CCCAGCTTCCGCCGTTTCCTTTCTTTCCGTGTTATCCGATTTTTGTTCTGCATTCTTCGCATTGTTTTATTGCTGTATTTTGCTCCATTTTGTACATCTTGATTTCTTTGGCACAGAATAGTTGAGAGTCGGTTGCTGCTCTTATAGTGGATCTCAATTTTGTGCAGGTTGTTGGGTATGTGGCACTGTTTATTGGAAATACCGTTCTCTACACTACGTAGTACTGCTGGGCACTTTCTGCGGACATTCTCATAGCGCCTTCTCCTTTTTAACATTTTTTCGTCACCCTGCTTCCGTTTCTCAATAATAGTGTCTCATTTTGTATGTTGGTTATATCAAATCCTTTGGCTTTCTTCCCTCTATTTGGCATATGAGCAAAATTTGGCCCTGTAATTAATCGTCGCTTTATACTGTTAGCCCCTCTTCTAGTTTCAATAACGCTTATGTGTTGGATGCTTCCTCTAGGGGCGATTCTTTTTTTGGTATTTTTTATGAGATTTTTTATTGTTAGGTTTCCATTGTCTTAAATGTAACTTTTTCTGGTAATTCACGGACGCTTGTTTCCCCTCCATACGTCTCTTCAAATTAGGTCTGCTGTCTTGTACTTCTAATTGTACCCCAGTGCTGTTTTTTCTGCACATCATAACTGACGAGATTCCAGTAGGTATCTTTCATATGTTTACGCTTTTCATCGCGAATCTTTCTGTTGTCGTTCCTGTGCCTGAGTGGAAAGCTCGAGCCTCTATAAAACACTTTTGGCTTTTTCCGTCCAGCGCAAATCTGGTTAACGTATCATACATTATATCATTTTCTCCCGCGACGTGATATAATTTATCCCATTTGGAGAACTGGTAGCTTCCCTTCGATCGAACATCGAATTCGCGCTCATCCGTACATGAGCATATCCACATATCAAACCGGTAAATTCTCACTTGGAGCATATTTCGACGGATGACTTTGGCACCTGACAGCACCCATGGAATCCCAACGATCCATGCACCTGTAGAGTTGATCGCGCCTTTTTCAATCGGACTACCTCGGATGCTGTAGCCATGGATGGTTCTTCTCACCAGTTTTTTCTTCTCGACAAATATTTCTGACTGGACTCCTCTTTTGCGGAAATCCTCTGCCTGGAATGAATTTCACCTTCCTTATTAGTGCTAGAATTCCGTTCTTGGTCCGCTTGTCAAAACAGCCTCTCCCTGGATCTTTTTCGGTTCGGAGAATCCTACTACGAATAATACTCGTAAAAAAAGTCGCAAAGTGTCTGCGAGGCATCTCAGAATTGGTCTCCAGTATCAGCTCTACCCCTTCTTTGCTTCGCAGCGCATTCTTAGCAGGCAACAGCTATAGCATTCACGCGACTATCTTTCAGAATACGCGCTGCACTTGTCCATACGCGGTACAGTCCTTCTGCATATGGCATGATACCTTCTGTGCTGTCAGAGCCGAGCGCTGATCCCCATATCTTGCGCAAAAGTTCAACCCGCGCAGGCCACAATGCAGCATGTGCCACAGTGTGTGATGCATAGGTCCCGTAGCAGCTAACAAGGATTCCGTCGACCACAACGCGCCCTGAGCGCGTCAGCCGCGCATAGAGGCCATCACTCGTAACGAGAGTGTCAATTGCCACCACGGGGTCTGGCAGGTGTGCAGCAATGTCGAATAAAGCGTCGCCTATGCGGATATCTTCTGCGAAAACCGCTTCACCTACAGACGTCTCCAGTTCGAGGATCTTCTGTATGTGCTGCTCTTTCTAATGTGAAAGACTCGACACAGCTGTCATTTTGCGACCCGGGACTCTCGGGTTCTCGTTCATCCGGTACACCAGATGCTGCCTCGTCAAGCGCAGCTCCTTCCCCGAACGCGTCTTGATCAATAGGTTTTCTGCTGTGGCGCGAAAATCTTTGTGCAACCACCCCAGAACTGTGTCCTCGAAGAGTCGCCCACGTGAATCGACGCAAATCACGGCCATACCTGGACGCAATTCGCTTATCCGCCGCGTATTGCCAAGACCTCAATAAGCACTGAGGCATCCTCTGGGAAGCAGACCCCAGTTCCGCCACCCACAGGGACCTGTGTAACATTTGCTGTCGGTGAGGGCGACACTGAGACGGAAGGCGTATGCGTTGCTGAAGGTGTTGGTGTCGGTGTTGGTGTCGGTGTTGGTGTCGGTGTTGGTGTCGGTGTGGGTGTTGGCACAACTGTCGGCGTCGAGACCGCAACGAGACTCGCTCCCCTTGGCAGGATTCTTGGAACGCTACTTGTAAAATTGGTAGAGATCTCCGTCACATTGGATACGAGTGCAGTAGGTGCCAGGATAGAGACATTGTAGCTTGCATTCACTGCTGATGTCGCGCTGAATACACGTCGAAAGTCGAGGCTGCTTCTCTCGTACGAATCGGCGAAGCGCGAGGCTATTGACACGAAGATACTATCGTAGTTATCCGACACAGTGACGTTAGCTCCAGTTCCATTCAGCGTTGCCTCTAGATTATCCCGGAGAACGACCGCAACATCAACACACACGGTCTTGTTCATTATACTGACAACCACAGAGAATGCGATACCGGCTATTGCTGGAGTAGGCAGCGGCGTCAGCATTGTCGTCGGCTTTCGTGTCTGTGTTTGTGTCGACGTCTACGTTGGTGTTGGTGTTCGATTTGGTGTCGGTGTCGGTGTCGGCGTCGGTGATGGTCTATGAGTTAGTGTCGGTGTCGGTGTTGGTGTTGACGCGGTCACTGATACGTCGAGCGCGAAGACATCATTAAGAAATCCATTCGTACTTAAATATGATCCGTACCCTCCAAATATTATCGGATCGTTTCCACTGGTATTCCACAGGGCGGACCCATACCGGGCGCCAGGCGCGACATATGGATTAGATTCGTACTGAAATTCATACACGGGATCCCCATTCACCGACGAATTTCCACATATCCATGCCCACTGCCTCTGAGCAACATCGAAAACCCAAAGATCGTTAACCTATCCAACTGCATCAGTAGCTGGTGAATAACCGATACCACCGCAGAGCAGCAGGTTACCCATTGCATCCACGAACCCGTTGCCCAAACCTCTTGCACCGGGATACATGTTCGATTTGAACGAACCGAATCACCCATAAGATCCAGGAGAATCGATACACGCATTGCCCGCCACATAGATCCAGACTGACTGACTCGTGTTGTAGAGCCATAGATCATTCAGGTAACCGGGCCGTGATGAACTGTCCACTTATCCGAATCCCCCGAACATCCAAAGGTTTCCTTCGGTATCCGTCCACGTGACGGGGCCCTTGCGTGCCCAGGAGCGTTCGGCTTGCTCGCAACTCCAGGCTCGTTGTACTTTCCAGGCTGATTCGCTACCTGAGATCCATTCATGATAGCCCATTGACGGCATGCGGGAGAAAAGCAGTACAGGTCAGACAAAGAATCGATTTCTTTCAAGCCACCAAACAGGCACACGGAGTCATCCAAACGCATACAGACGCCGGTTTCGGATCGGGCTCCAGGATTATAGTTAGAGTCCCAAGTCCCTATGGGCCCGTACGCCGCAGAAGGATCAGTGCTGTTACTCCCGGTAACCCATGTCCAGCTCCCGCTCTCACTGTCGTACATCCAGATGCCGTTTCGGGAACCTCGATACCCGTATGCATCGAGTCCAGGCCCGCCATACAGCCAGAGATGATGCACATCAGTCTGCCAGTAAGCGCAGCCGTATCGACCACCGGGTATATTATTAGGGCTTCTTACCTGAAACGCGCCATCGTGCCCCGACTCGTCGGCCTCTGATGAGCCACCGATACAAGTCCATTCAAAAGAGCTGAGTCTAAACATCCAAAAGTCATTCAGATAGCCGAAAGTAGTGTTTCCATACCCGTAACCACCTAACAAATGCACTAAACCGTGGGCTTCAGCCCAAGCCGCTGGTAAATAACGAGTGCTCGGCACGCTGCTGGCAGAGGTCTCGTTCAGAGCCCCGTACTGGCCAGGGTGATTGACACCCTGGTACCCACCGATCCAGGTCCACCGTACGTCATACGTAGGAGCCTGCGCGGCGCATGAAACCTTCAAAGAAGTCGTGAACCACAGATAGGCCATGAAGAAGCGCAGCATAGCAGCGCAGGAAGCAAGCCTATAATTGACGCCTCTGCCACGCTCGCCCCAGCCTTGGCGCGGTCCGCGGATAGTGTTTTACAAATCCAAACTTCTCATTGCCAGTATGCAGTCCACCAGGTGCAGAGCGTCGGAGCCAACCCTTCCAACTCACTTGGAAACTGCCTGATCACAGTTAGGGGTCTTCTAATGGCCACGTAATTGAGGGTTTCACGCAGGGCTCGTTTCCAGGAGTGGAGGTGTCACACAAACATGGAAAATGCGTCCGTGTTGCGATATTAGGGCTCAACCCGCAGCAACTCTACTTGAATCTGTCCAAATGTGCCTTAAGGGAGTATCCTATCTCGGCCGATCTTTGTGCAGGCTCGAAGCCGTCACCCGTGTGGGCAGGGACTAGTGCGGTGCTCGACTCGACGGCTGTGCACTTTTAACGTCCAAGTTCAATCACTTCAACTCAGAACCAGTTTGTGGCTCACAAGCTTCCACCGAATCAAGCAACTTGTAATCGAGGTCGCGCAGGAACCGGTTTCACGGCCTTCTACCGACGCTGTAGTTTTTCTCTTGCTGTACTATTCAGACACCCACAATAGGATATTTTTACGGTAAAAAAATGCTTTAGGTCTCAGCCACTGACGAAAACAGAAGGAATTTATGCTGTGCGCGATACCATTTGCATCCAGGAGCAAGCAAGTCGTGACCTCTGCTGTTTCCTATTGCCACAACGTCCAGATGGCGTTTGATTGTTCAGAGGAACAACGGAGCTTATAGGAAATCGTTCACAGCGGGTGAAAGAAGCAACGACCATTTACATCGTTGTCTCAACTCCCAGGTGATGAGGACGATACCTCGGACCCGTTCGTTCACACGGATTAGACCTTCTCAACTTTTAGCTACGATTTATGTAATGATGAAAACATTGGTGGGCTGCCCTCACTCGCCAGTCCAAGAAGAGTGCGACGAAATCTTAGACTCCACATGGGGGCGTTGGGAACAACTTTCTATACTGCTCGTTGTTCGCAGTACACGTATCGCGGTTCAGGCTGAAAAGGGCACACATACAACCTGCAGCGAGCGCTAATCTATGGCGTTTCGCGGGACGTCCACTTCAGAGTCGAGATCGACTCCATTGCAAGTCCGTATTCGCGGAAGCGACGCTGCTGAATCTCTTTTCATATGAGGTATATGATTATGCGTTTTCTAGCAGCAGCCTTCCCAGATCTGGGACACATGAGCTGCTTGAATTTTGCGCGGCGAAAAATTGCCAGCCACTCATAGCTTTCGTATGCTATACGGAAACTCGTTCTAGATGGATACGACGAATTTTGGACTCACTAGTGCTCGAAATCCCCGTGATGGTATGAACCGAATTTGTCCAACAAGACCGTGTCCATCTTACGGTCATCTAGCTTGCAGGCTGCTCGTATAGCGTGCACGGGCCACAGGGCAGGTTGGAAGCTGTCTTACAACCTTGACCCTTTCAGGTGACAGTTTCGAGCATATATTCAACTAACGGAGGACTATAGCGAATCACCAAAAGTATATTTGAGTGCCATGTTCTGAAAAATAAGCAACTACGCCCATACCCGCAGGAATGCGGGTCTATCTCGGTCAGCAGAGGGGCTCGAGATGACAGACTGCGGGTAAACTGCCGAGAGTATCTGACCATGAGATAGTTCCCCACACAGATTATGGCCCCCTGCGCAATTTCCGGCCACGACAAATACTCTGGCGTGAGTCTCTGAAGCCTGTACGGCACCAAACAGCCTATCTTAGCGCCAGACGCTCACCGTCCTGTCAGACGCCAGTCCTGCACCAGAAAAGCGTTTTGGAACCCAGGAAACCCCAGCGTACCTAGTAACAGTGTCTGCAGAGTGGGATTCCAGTCCCTGAACGGGTTAAAGTAGGTTTTCAAGTCCCACACTGCGTACCCTGACAGTCTGCTACCTCGAAACCTAGTACTACTCCTGACGCAGGTAACAGCAGCCCGGAGCGTTCCAAGAGGGCAGCAGCCCTGGTTTCCCTCTCAAAATTATATTAAGCTTTTGTACAGGTCGTCACATAGCAGCGCGTCAGTCATGTTCAGCAAGAGCTGAACGGTGTCACGAAACAGCAAAAACAAGTGAATACATCAAAGCCGTCGTCTTCGGTGGGGTATCAGTGCGCAAATGTCTAGAATATCCATCACTCCCACATGTGCCGCATCCGACGCACGCGGGGCGGTGCCCGCCACGGCGATGCGCCATTCACCATAGCGATGCTACGATCACGGAAGCGGAATTTTTTCTGGGAAAAGTGAACCGGCTGTGCCTGCCTACGAAGCTTTTTGGATCAATTGAGCTCCGATTTTTATGTCTTGTGGCAACATTCTAAATGATTCGGCACCAGGTACTGGTATGCTTGACAGGGAGGCGCTAGGTATGGAGAAGCGGAGCGTGCAGTGTGAGGCGAGGGTGAACGCTTGCAGCACCTTGGCCTTCCTGTCACCTACGTTCAGCACAATCTTGCGAATGGGACGTGCAATTCAGAGTCGAAGATCGGTTGTTGCTGAGGTAGACCCCGGTCTGTCCCGCTTCCGTCTCGGTCAAGTGGTCGCAATCTCTGCACAGTCTCTCGCAAGTGGTCGGTTGTCTACGGGTCGAAAATTGCACCGCGGGAGAGGCGCTGTCGGGACACTTCACAGCAGTGCTGACACCGACCTGATACCTGAGAGAGAATCGATACCTGCATTGCGAAGAGGCATGGTGCGGAAACCAAAAAAGGAAGCGACGCTAGTTCTAGAGCGCGATCGGCTCGAATCCTCGCCCCAGGAAAAAGTTGTTGTCGCGGCAACAGTTTCTCTTGGTGTCTTTGCGATGCTTCGGATATTCTGGGAGATGCATTGCCTTCTGGCAGCCGAGACACCGCAAGCGGCACATCTTTATCCAGTGGTTCGCGTTGCGCTTGAGGGCGCTACAGCTCTCTTCGCGTACATCATGGCCGACTTCGCCTCCGGCATTTACCATTTCTTCCTCGATAATTATGGGTCCCGAGAAACACCCATTTTTGGGGAACAGATTGCTGCTTTTCAGGGCCACCATCAGTATCCATGGACGATCACGCATCGTGATTTTTGCAATAACGTATTCAAGAGCTGCGTGAATAGTTTATTACCGCTGCTCCTGGTTGCATTTAGTGGCGCATGGGGCACATCTGCTGAATGGACATCAATCTATTTACGGAGTTTCAGCTGCGTTTTCTTTCTCAGTGTTGCTTTTGCGCAGGAATTCCACAAATGGAGCCACATGATTCGGCCACCGAGCTTCGCCATGTTTCTGCAACGATCGGGATGGCTCATCAGCCAACGAGCACATGGTCAACATCATCAAAGCCCCTACCACGAAAAGTACTGCATTATCTCGGGTTGGTGTAATCAGTTGCTCGATGATACAGGCTTTTTTCGAGGCCTGGAAATGTTGATTTGGCATGTTACCGGAGTGGAGCCCTTGACCTGGCGACTAGGAGCCTCCAGAATCCCAAGCCCGACTCGCGAATCTACAAAACAGGAGGCCAGTAGGTCATAGAGAATCGAGCTCTCGCTGCAATCTCGCTTCTTTATTGGCATCAGCATGCTGCGCCGAACCCGTACGTCAAGCGATTCGCAGACCGAGTCTATTCGTCTAGGCCGAGACTCCTACATCGCTCAACCGACACGACTCAAGCCAATGTTCAATTGTGATTCGATATCGTCGCCAGAGGATCTGTGGCCGCAGTTTGTCCAGCTAGTTAGAAACTTGCAAGACTTGCTGTACAGATTGATAACATTTATTTACTATATGGGATCCGAAACACAGAGACTACTGGCAGTGCTCTGCACTCAGAGTTGCCTTTGCTGTATCCAATTCCATATTTTGTTGCGAAAGCTCGCCGAACTTGACCGAGTTCCACCTTTTGGATCATGTCGGCACCGTCTCCAGAGGCAACCTTAGCTGCGTCCGCGCGTCCTGGTGCTGCAGTAGGTGCCATCAGAAATAACACGTGCAGGTTTCGACGGACGAGCGAGTCTGGAGGCCGCCTCGCTGAAAGCATGGTCCAAGGCGAAGATGGTATCGTGATTTTTTGTCTTGTCGTCGTGTTTTGTAAAATTCTTCATTAGCAACGTGCAACCTCTTAGATATGGACCATAGATGCACTAGACAGCGGATGAGCATTGCTCGAATAAGGTTCAGCCACACGCTCTTTTGACGCATAAGTCTACCAAACGCTAAAGACAAATTCACCGACTAAATGCTCCCTGCAATTGGTGATAAAGCTTTTCCAAATGCTCGAAAGAATCGGATGAGCTTATGATAGCTTCGAATATTGCCCGTATGTGACCCGATGATCCGACGTTTCCACAGGAGTCGCACACAACCACCAGGTTACAGCGATGTGCCTTGTGAAGAAACGCGTTCAGTACTAATGGAAACCTTAGCCAAGAAACCGGCAACGGAATACATCTGGAGCATGAAGACGGCCAGGCTGAACAGGCGTAAAAAAACGATTTTCTTCTATAGACTGCCTAGCTGGCCATTCAGCTCCAATTCCCTTGCTAAACTATATTCGAGTACTGAACGATTTGCGCTGTTCTTGCATTGCGCTTTTTTTCGAGCGTTTTCTTAGATGTGGAGCCCCGAGATCCAAACTATTGCAGTACGCGTTCACGGACGAATACCTATACTTGGACTCTAGGTCGTCTTATCGGACTGGCCCCTTCGAAGTTTTTCCTGCCGGAATCCGTGACATCATCGTAATCAAGGTGATATGCAACATCCTCGAGCAAACTTCCATAAAGCCACCGACACTGTAATCCGATTCATTGGTGGAGGCCTTTACCATTCTGCTTCCCTAACTTTTACAACGCCCAGGAGAGCCATGTTCAAATTGTCCGTTTCTCTGTTTCAAGTCATCTCGTCTGTTCAGCGATTCATGGCGAAGCATTAATGAGGAAGCGAAAGCTCGACAATGTGTCTTGGCGAGCTCTTCAACAGCCCATGCCGAAAGAGCTCCCGATATTTCACGTAAAAAACTCGTTTCCTTTCGAAAGTTAAACCCTTCTCTGTTCATCGTCATCGACGAAATATATTCGGCAGCAGAATGATACCTGGCTCACGGGATATGCTCCCAGATGCACCCATCTCATTTTTCCGCCTGGAAAAGTTTCTTGGACTGGAACTAGAGTCGTCGCTGCGATCGCTTCCACTCGAGATTCCGCCACAGCTTTGAGCCTGGGGGCGTGCATGGATCGAGAGCCCTCAAGCGCTTTCACAACCTGGAGCTTCCTTCTGGTACTTGTTTCAGCATGGTCAACATAGCGTTCCGTGAATCCTCTATCGAATAGAACAGCGAGCACTCGGGCGCGCAGCAGACATAGTACTCGCCAAGTAGTCACCCAGCTCAAGCACGTCATCGTAGAGTTCGCCGTCGGACCCGGAAACGGAGGAGAGAACGGACAGGACCCTTTCCTGGCTGTCAAGTTGGTATGTGCCGGACGATGAAGAAAGGGTTCATGATCTGCAGGGCCGCCCTTGGAAGGACAGTTTTCGGGTACATAGGGGAACACTTGACCACAATCAGATGTCATCGCCGCGATGAGCGCACCGCGACTTTACGCGAGGAAGACGCAAATGGCAAGCAAAGCATAGATCGCATCTCCCGTTCGAGCATTAAGTGCGTGAGCAGCAGCCGGAAGCAGTGAAATGGTGGCTTTGACACTGCCATCAACATCCTTCTACTTCTGAAAACGGAGCTAGAGGGACAAGAGAATTCTGCGTTGCTACAGGCGCATATGAGAGAGACAAGGGAAGTAGTCAAACATCATGCCCCTCAAGACTGGTATTGACGAAAGTGAGAAGCGACCCAAAGCCTAGTCTTTTCTCCCGATTTAGAGGGTCGGTCCTCGTTTTTTCAGAAATGAGTGTAGATCTGCCCCCACGTTGGGGGTCTATTAATGAAATGATTCATAATCCGCGTCCTCCTGCTGGCAAACCTGCTCTTTCTACTCATGGACTATCATCTCACTTTAGTTCCAACTTCAGGTGAGCGTCATCGAATGCTTTTTCGCAGTTTTCAGCAGGAGCATCGGAGTGCGTTTATATTGAAAAAATGAATAATCCAAGGAGAAGCTATGGATATGCAAGTCAGAGATCCTGTTCGCCAAGTGTCGCCGGCTGCCAGAGAAAAGCAAAAAGCAGTGTCTAGTCCAGAGGAAAAGGAGAGGACAAGAAAGAAACGGCAGGAGGCCCGAAGTCAGGGGCCGCAAGAAAGACGAATGTACGACGATACGGTGGTGATAGCCTGTCTTTTCGGACATATCACGGATACGTACGAGGAAAAATTGCGAGACGCCATCAGAAATCGTGTCGATTCGTACTCCATGAGTATTAGAAAGGCGTCGTCAGGGCTAATGCATTTGGTGATGAAGATGAACGAAAACGTGACGCACATGGAAACAGTCGCGGTTCCGGACGAGTTTTTCGACAAGACCTTTATTCGTAACCTAATGCTTGGCACAGGGGAAACACGGAGTGAAAATAGCGGATTCACGCCCTCCACGAAGAACATCCCTTTTACAGGTTCGAGGGTACTCGAAGCAGGGGTGACCAGGATATTTATGCATACGGAGCGATGAAGTAGCTCACGGAACTGATGAACCATTTGACGATGAACCTCGAACGTTTCATGACACGTGCCGTCTTTGCGCTGTACCCGGGCATCTCTTGTAATGGAAAATTGGCGATTATCAACGACATCACGAACGATCGCAAGCATGAAGATGAGGTCGAATTCGTGGACAAGAAGGAGTCAAACGAGAGCGCGAATGAAGCTTCTGTATTCCGTGCGGGTATACAAGAGCACCGTGCGGTACTGGGGTTGGCGAATCCAACAAACAGGGTACCAGAGCTGAAAAAAGATAAGGAAAGATACTATCGCCTCATTCTGCGGTATTCCGTGTTTCTGGACCGTGAACTCGAACGCAAGGCAGAGGTGAAGCTGAGTGAGGGAAAAAATGAAGAGTCGGAGAGACGGAAGGCTGTCCTAATGCGAAAGCGTTTCGACGTGGTTCCCATGTGCAATAGCAAGGCATATTTCGTGACTATCGTCCCCAGAATCCTTCACGGCATTATGAAGGAGATCAGTCCGGAGTACATTGTCAGCAGGGAGGACTTCACCGGCGAGAAACCGGGACACGTACTGGAAGAGTGTCTTCGATTTCAAACGGCTCAAAGTCAGCAAACAAAAGGTATTCAATGGGATGATCGAAACCGATGGAGTAGCCTTGTGTGTACATTATCGGGCGGCTGAAGAATGATCGTCCAGTTCCGCCCTCGGCTTCGTTCCTCTCGAAGGGTGAAGAAAAGGATCGGGCGGATACTGAGACGAAGAATGTGGAGGATAACGACCTTGTCGTTGGCACGGCGAAGCATGAAGTTGAGAAAGAGGCGGATCCTGCGACGCAGGAAGTGGAGGATAACGACCTTGTCGTTGACGCGGCGGAGCATGAAGAATACAAAGAGGAGGATCCTGCGACACAGAAAGTGCAGGATAACGACCATGTCGTTGGCACTGACCCTACACACACAAATATCATAAGAATCGCAGCACCGAAGCGTTCGGAAAATGGTACTGATGGTAGTTTACGTCAGAAAGACATGCGCCTTTTGAGGTTCCCGAGAACGAGATACTGTAGAGAATCTGGCATAACGAATGCGAGGAACAAAATAGGTACATGGAATGCAGGAATGAAGGATCACCTGGAAGCTTTGAGCGAGGTGACGAGCCGAGGCGCGGACTGTGGAGTTTTTCGGAAATCCATGGAAGTTCGTGTTGCCCATTCGGATCCGTTGTGGGAGGAGTATACCAAGCCCCGGCGGGCTCGTCTGCGAATGAATCTGTATTGTGGTAAGCAGCGTGTATTCGTGAACTTTTTCAATCAGTTGAGTGCCCTCAAAGAGGACAAGGCTCGAGGGCTCGTAGTAGCCTGCGGAGCAGGGCGATGGAAGACCCAAAAAGTGTGTACACCGGCTCCAACGACAAGAGCGTACGAGGAGTGCGCACACCGGTATGTTACAATACCTGTCGGTAAGTTCCGAACATCGTATACACACCATGAACGGGGGTGTACACTTCAAAGGGTCGATATGGAAAAGTGCCAGCGGAGCCCTGAAGATATAAAAAAGCACGCACCGCGGACGGAAGAGCAAATGCAAAGGAGGGCGAAAGTGCGAGGGCTACTTGCATCAGTAAGTACAATCAATGACAAGAAACGTATGGAGTTTGTGAACAGAGACTTTAACGCCGCTATCAATATAAGGAGATGCGCGGTGATGGAGACGAGACCTTCAGAGTCAACAAGAGGGAATTTTGTTGGACAACCTCTCAAAGTCGAACTACATGAGAAAAAGTTGGAAGCTGTAGTGCGTGGCCGGTCCAGAAAGACGTGGAGCGTCTGTACGTCAAATGGCGTCTTCTTGTCTGGGGCGCGTTCGCCACTACTGTACGCCGTTGGCGTCGTTCGACTTTCGAACGGCGTTGATGGTGCGTGAGGCGGCGCTGCGGCTTATACGAGGCCACTGCTTCACCTAGCACCCGAATCAGTGCCCCTAACCAGCGTCAGGCAGTTTCGTGCGAGGATGTACCTAGCTTTGGGGTCGAAGCTGCAGAGTCACATGAGCCGGAGCAAGCTCTGTGGTTTCGTGCACGCCAGTGGATATCGAGGCGGCTTTTCGAGCGACTCGAACACAACGCAAACTCTGTGGGCGCGCTACATTTGTAGCGTTCCAGTCACTGATGCCAAACCATTTGGGGTAGTCGTAGTTGGTATAGGGCGAGCATTTGTAGCCGCATCAGTTCGACTCCCGGTACAGAGGCGACGTCGCCTGCAGTGCTGCAGGCTCGACACTCGCATGCGCTCCACTGCTACAACGAGCCCCGGCTCAGATGACCCAACCGAAGAGACGCGATCAAAGGAAAAGGAAACCGGTGTGTCTGCGTGGGCGGAGCGTCAGCACCGTACCCGCATAAACCTGGTTGGAGTCTTCTTTCTGCTCGTGACCTTTGCCTGGTCGCTGCCGCTCTTTATCATCATGTTGATCCTATACCCGTTCGTGCTGATCCTTGATCCGTATCGAGCTCGCGTTTACGACTGGATCGCGATGCTCTGGATGCGACTGTCCATGCTGAGCACTGGTATTCATCCGCGTGTCGTGGGTACGGAGAATCTGCTTCCACCTGATGCCACTGTGCTTTATGTGTGCAATCACAATTCGTACCTGGACATCTACACGGTGGCGTTTCTAGGCCGATTTTTCAAGTTTGTGTCCAAAAGAAGCATTTTTGCGATCCCTATTATCGGCTGGGCGATGGGAATGGCTCGACAAATCGGGATTGAGCGGGATAGTCGACGGGATCAGCTGCGGGTCTTTCGCGAAATGGTCTCGCGACTGGAACACGGGGTGTCGCTGTTGCTTTTTCCGGAGGGCACGCGCTCAAAAGACGGGACGCTCCGTGCTTTCAAACAGGGTCCGTTTCGGGTCGCAAAGCAAGCTGGGGTACCGATAGTTCCACTGACGATTACAGGCACGGCGGAAGTGATGCCGCCCTGGGCGCTGGCACCGTTGCGGTGGCCCAAACAGCGAATCACCCTAACCATTCATCCTGCGATCCAAACTGCGGATCATAGTGTGACGGACCTTATTGAGGCTGCGCGAACAGCAATAGCGAGTGCGTTACCTCCGGGACTCTGCGGCCGCTAAGCACGTGCTATGGCTATTTGGCGGCCTCTCGCGGATACGCTCACTAGAATTGTGCATGGATATTCTCATTCTGGCACAGGACTCGAGATGGTCGTTTAGCGGGTGAAACAGATAGGACCTGCGAACCTGCTGGTGATTTCGGGAGAATGCTGTCGAGGATTCTTGTCGCTGCGACCTCGCACTGTGCCGCAGCAGGATTAAGGAAACTCACGTTCCTAATGTGATCGCTGGTGCATTACGGGGAGCGTCGCCCGCTGAGGTGCAGTGCGCACGGGCGAGGCGTCACGCAGCGTTGTCGCTTTGCGAAGTATTCGTTTGGCGGCACACTTGCCTCGATGATGTGCATGCAAACGCAGGGCATCGTAACGGGGGCTCACTACGTGGGCCCCAAATGTATGCACTGAAGGAAGATCCGTCCTATATATGGTTGCCTCAATACGGGAATGCACTCTATCTGCTCTGGCGAATGTTGCTTGTGGATGCATTCTTCGCTTTGAATGCACGAAACCTTTTCGGTACTCATTCGTTGCTTCGTGATTGTTGGGACTAAACTGAATCAAATGGACACCGCGCTGTTTCCTGATCTCCTGCCCTACCTTTGCATATCTGACGTTCAGCACGTTATGCCAATGCGTCCGACTGTCGATGCGACGCTGCACCAGCACTGAAATTGCGATATCCGGTCGTTGCTAGTCGGCGCGACACGATTATATTGACTAGACTTTACAAAGAATCACGTTCGCACGCTGCCACAGCTTTTTGCTGGTTAATCGGTATTGCCTACGCCCATCGATCTCATGAGGCACGAAGAATCAGAGCTCTGGGCGCTGGGTATTGTCAGCCTCTCTATCTAGACTATATATTGTCTCGACTGTTTCCATGTGCGTCACGTCTTCGTACATCTCCCTCGCCCAATGCATCAGTCCGGAAGACGCCTTTACAATACTCTTGGAGTACGAGTCGACATGGTTTCTGATAGCGTCTCGCAACTTTTCCTTGTACGGATCTTTGAGATGTGTAAGAAGACAGGCTTTCACCACCATCCCGTTGTACAGTCGACTTTGTTGCCGCGATCGACATAGGGCCTCCCCCTTTGCTTTTTTTCTCTTCCTTTTCTACTGGACTCGGCAATGTTTTTTGTTTTTTTCTGGCAGCCGGCGATCCTGGGCCTCCAGGATCGTCGACTTGCTTTTTCATAACTATTCTTTTTTTGTTTTTTTGGAAAGAACGCTCTGTGAACGCTTCTGTTACATACTGCGACAAAACACTTGACTAGACTTGTTTGAAGTTCGAAACAAACAGGAACTGAAAGACTGTGCTTGGCTACGGCCTGAACGGAAGTCTGACTTTCACAGCTGAACAACACGCTATTGATCAGGATGGCGTTTCCCTTGAACGGCGGCACGAGCGTCGTGTCTTGTTCTTTTTCTGGCCTGAGAAAACCTATCCGTTGACCGTGGATCACGGATTGCGGGATGGATATCGGCTTTCGGGAAAGCGCCCATCATGGTGCACCCTACTTCCAGGTTCCATTACTTAGACTCCCTTTCCGCTAGACTGGTCGATTTGTGCGTTCGTTCGTGCGCCGAGCCTGCAGTGAGCACCCGCCGCAGCGCTTGTACCGCTGGAGCGGATGCTGTACAGAGACAGAACAGCGTTGGCGTACCATCGAATGCGCTGCGACCAGGGCGACGTGCAGACGCTGCCTGAGCACCCTTAATGCCGGAATAAACCGCTTCGGGGATGAGTTGGTCAGATATCACTAAAGCACCTGCCACTGGGGGGGCCATGACGCAATTACCAAGAAGACTCGTCCGGCTCACGGGGCCTTCCGCCTGGAGCGCAAACATTCTAACATGCGGAAAGCTTCTTCCCCTGTCAACGTTTAGCGTAGAGGGGGAATGAAATCGTTACATCGTTTGTCGTGTATCGTGAGTATCTGTTCTTTGTTCTAAATAATTCTGTCGAGTTGTGCACCTCCATATTTGAAAGGCATGAAATACAACGCGCTTTTCACAGTGGAAGAGAAACGTAGTCCTGACCATTCGTTGACGTGTTGTTCTACCGGAAAAAGTTGTATTTGCGTTGGAGTCGAAGCAAAGTACAATTTTTCAGTTCATTTGTGTTTCAGCCCTCAAACATGTCTAGTCAAGTGCTTTTTCGCAGTATATAACAGAAGGGTTCAAAGAGCGTTCTTTTTCGAAAAACCCCAAAAAAGGAAAGCTATGAAAAAGCAAGTCCACGATCCTGGAGCGCCATTGTCGCCGGCTGCCGGAGAAACAAATACAGTGCCGAGTCCAGAAGAAAAGGAAGAGAAAAAGAAGCAAAGGGGAAGGCCCTATGTCGAAGGCTGCAAGAACGACAACTGTACCACGAGATAGTGGTGAAAACCTCTCTTCTTGGACAAATCAAGGATCCCTACAGGGAAAAGCTGCGAGACGCTATCGAAAACTGCGTCGACTCGTACTCCAAGAGTATTGTCAAGGCTTCGTCAGGACTGATGCATTGGGCGAGGGAGATGTACGAAAACGTGACGCACATGGCAACCGTCGAGATTCCGGGCGAGTTCTTCGACAAGACGTTTATTCGTCACATGATGCTTGGTACAGCGGGGACGTGAAGGAAAAATGATCGGGTGCATGCTCTCCACGAAAAACATCCCTTTTGCAGCTTTGAGTGTAATCGATACAAGGGTGACTCGCATATGTACACATACGGGGCGATAAAGTACATCACGAACCTGAAGAGCCATTTGACTTTGAATCTCGAACGTTTTATGGTACGCGCCGTGTTTGCACTGTACCCGAACATCTCTCGCAAAGAAATATGGGCGATTATCAACGGCATCATGAACGATCGCAACATGAAGATGAGATCGAATTTGTCGACAAGAAGGCGTCACACAGGGGAACGAATATAGCTTCTGTAATCCGTGTGCTTATAGAAGAGCACCATGCAGTCTTGGGGTTGGCGAACCAAACCGACAAGATATCAGAGTTGAAAAAAAGATAAGGAAAGATACTATCGCCTCATTCTGCTGTATTTCGTGTCTCTGGACCGAGGGCTCGAACGCAAGGCAGAGGTGAAGCTGAGTGAGGAAAAAAATGAAGAGTGGGAGAGACGGAAGGCTTTTCTAATGGGGAAGCGCTTCAACGGGGTTCCAATATGCAACATCAAGTCACATTTTGTGACTATCGACTCCGGCGTCCTTTACGGCATCATGAGGGAGATCAGTCCAGAGTTCATCGTAAGGAAGACAGAGTTCACCGGTGATACCCAGGAGACGCACTGGAAGAACAACTTCGATTTCAAACTTCTCAAAGTGAGCAAGCAAAAGTTGTTCACTGGGATCATCGAAACCGATGGAGTAGCCATGTGTGTACTCTATCCGCGGTTGAAGAGAGATCGTCCTGGTCCGTCCTCGGCGAACCATGAAGATGTGAAGGAGGCGGATCGTGCGACACAGAAAGTGCAGGATAACGACTTTGGCGTTGGCGCGGACCCTCGGAATACGTATATCATAAGAATCGCAGCACCGAAGCGTTCGGAAAATGGTACTGATGGTAGTTTACGTCAGAAAGACATGCGTCTTTTGAGGTTCCCGAGAACGAGATACTATCGAGAATCCAGTATAATGAATGCGAGGAAGAAAATAGGTACGTGGAATGCAGGAATGAAGGATCACCTGGAAGCTTTGAGCGAGGTGACGCGCCGAGGCGCGGACTGTGGAGTTTTTCGGAAATCCATGGAAGTTCGTGTTGCCCATTCGGATCCGTTGTGGGAGGAGTATACCAAGCCCCGGCGGGCTCGTCTGCGAATGAATCTGTATTGTGGTAAGCAGCGTGTATTCGTGAACTTTTTCAATCAGTTGAGTGCCCTCAAAGAGGACAAGGCTCGAGGGCTCGTAGTAGCCTGCGGAGCAGGGCGATGGAAGACCCAAAAATGTGTGTAGACCGGCTCCAACGACAAGAGCGTACGAGGAGTGCGCACACCGGTATGTTACAATACCTGTCGGTAAGTTCCGAACATCGTATACACACCATGAACGGGGGTGTACACTTCAAAGGGTCGATATGGAAAAGTGCCAGCGGAGCCCTGAAGATATAAAAAAGCACGCACCGCGGACGGAAGAGCAAATGCAAAGGAGGGCGAAAGTGCGAGGGCTACTTGCATCAGTAAGTACAATCAATGACAAGAAACGTATGGAGTTTGTGAACAGAGACTTTAACGCCGCTATCAATATAAGGAGATGCGCGGTGATGGAGACGAGACCTTCAGAGTCAACAAGAGGGAATTTTGTTGGACAACCTCTCAATGTAGAACCATATGAGACAAGGTTGAAAGCTGTAGTGGGTGCCCGGTCCAGAAAGACTGGGAGGCGTCTGCACATCAGTTGGAGACTTTTTGTCTAGAGCGTGTTCCTCGCTTCTACTGTATACCGACGGCGGCAACGTTTCTCCTTTGAAAGACGTGCGGTGGTCATTCAACACCGGCGCGACTCTCTAACATTTCTCAATTTCCTGCAGTTGCCACGCAGAAAAGTGACTGGGACGGGTTCATCCTAGCAAGGAGCACTTACTAGTTACCGTAGCAGCAGTACAGCGTCTCCTAGATCCGTGCTGCACTCAGCACTGCGTGTTCTCCTGAATTGGAAGTTGTGCTGCTTATAAGACTCCCTGTTGAGGTTTGACAGCACTCTGCATGCTCAGCTTCGTTGCACCGTTAAGGTGCGTTCTTTTGTCGGCTGCTTGTGCTCCCTTGCAGCGAAAGCTACCCCTTGCGAGCTTGCGTACTTTGAACACGAGGAACTCGAGTTGCTCCCTGCGTCTGGCGGAGCGACCTCTAACGGCCACGAAGCGAAACGCCCTCGGGAACGCTTGCCTGGCGCATAGTCTTTGGGGTCGTCGTCGCGTATCACGTACAAGCCGTCGCAACGCTCGTTCCGTAACCATGACTGCTACCGCTGCGAGTCGAGCTCGAACGGTAGTGAGGCTTGCGGACTACCAGCCGCCACCGTTTCTCGTTGAAAGCATCGACCTCGAGATTGACTTGCACGAAACGGAAACCAAGGTGCGGAGCCGGCTTTGCGTGCGTCCTAATCCAACATATGCCACCGAACCGTGCTCCACACTCGAACTGGATGTGGGAGCAACGGTGCGTCTTGTTCCGGACTCGCTGCTGTTGAACGGCAAGCGTTTGGATGCAGAACGTGGTGCCTATCACATGCATGCAGGCAAGCTCGTTATCCGTCAGCTACCCTCGGGCAATGATGGATTCACTCTGGAGTCGTGTGTTCTCCTAAACCCATCGGAGAATACAGCACTGGAGGGCCTCTATCTCTCGAAGGGTACGTTTTGCACACAATGCGAGGCCGAAGGCTTCCGTCGGATAGTTCCGTTCATCGATCGCCCGGACGTACTCGCGCGGTATCGCACCAAGATTATTGCAGATGCCTCCAAGTATCCGGTTTTGTTGTCGAATGGCAATCTGGTTGAGCATGGACCTTGCCCTAGGGATCCGCAGCGGCATTATGCGATTTATGAGGACCCCTGGCCCAAACCCTGTTATCTATTCGCACTTGTTGCCGGTGACCTCGCCCGCGTCTCCGACGAGTTTGTTCGTGCCTCCAACAGACCGGTGAGCTTGCACATCTACGTCCGGCACGGTGATGAGGCCCGCACTGCGCATGCGATGGAGTCCCTGAAAAAGGCCATGCTCTGGGATGAAAAAACCTACGGCAGAGTCTACGATCTCGACGTGTTCAACATCGTAGCTGTGGACGACTTCAACATGGGAGCGATGGAGAACAAGTCTCTGAACATTTTCAACTCGAAATACATTCTTGCGAGCCCACAGACGGCAACGGACTCGGATTACAACGCTATAGAGGCAGTGGTTGGGCACGAATACTTTCACAACTGGTCGGGAAACCGGGTAACTTGTCGAGATTGGTTCCAGCTATCTCTGAAAGAGGGTTTTACCGTTTTTCGGGAACAGGAGTTCAGTGCAGACATGCGGGGCAACCGTGCAGTCAAGCGCATTGCCGACGTTGCCCGACTCCGTAGCACACAGTTTCCTCAGGACGCAGGGCCGACTGCACATCCAGTTCGACCCGACACCTACGAGACCATTAATAACTTCTACTCGGTTACCATTTACGAGAAAGGTGCAGAGGTTATCCGGATGATGAAAACGCTGCTTGGGGAGCAGGGCTTTCGCCGTGGAACCGATCTGTATTTCGCACGGCACGATGGCGAGGCGGTGACGTGCGACGACTTTGTTGCCGCCATGGCGGACGCGAGCCCCAGCGTTCTCTCAGCTGCAGACTGGGAGCAATTCAAGCTGTGGTATGCGCAGGCAGGTACACCTCAGGTTTGGATCAGCGACAGCGCGTATGACGCACAGAGACGAGAGCTAACCATTGTAGCGCGCCAGCGGGTGCCGCCAACCCCCGGCCAACCAGTGAAGAAACCGCATGTGATTCCTATTGCGACGGGTGTGCTCGACGCCTCCGGAAAAGAAGTTGTGCCGACAACGATCCTCTGTTTGAAGGAGGCCGAGCAAAGTTTCACCCTTCAAAATGTTCCTCCAGGGCACGTCGTGAGTTACCTGCGACACTTTTCGGCACCTATCAAGCTTACTAGGGAATCTTGGGCTGACCAGGAGCGCGAGGAACGAGAGCTCGCTTTTCTTATGGCTCACGATACCGACGACTTTCAGCGCTGGGACGCTGCGCAGCAGCTGCTGCTCAACGCCGCGCACCGTCGCGATGGAAGCCTCACCCCGGTGGCGATCACCTCGTTTCAGCGTGCATTCGACGCCCTCATCGATGATCCGCTGATTCTGTCGCAAGTCTTGGCGCCTCTGAGCGAAAGCTACGTCATGGACGAACAGCCAACCCTGCCTGTAGATCCCGAACTCGTCCACAAGGCTTGCCTAAGCATCAAGCGACAGCTTGCCGAGGCACTGCGCTCGCGACTCGAGCACGTGCTGGATACAGCCGAGCAATACGAAGCGGGACGCAGCGGCTTCAGTCTGGATTCCATCGAGCAGGGAAGGCGAGCGCTCGAGGCGGTCGCTTTCTCCCTGTTGGTTACCTTGCCGAACCCCGAGCCCTATCTCGAGCGTGCCCTGGTACGCATGCGAAACGCAGCGACCATGACGACCATGCTTGCGACGTTACAAACGCTGGTTCACGCGGACGCTGCATCCAAGGAGCATCGCGAGCAAGCGCTCTCTGTGTTCTACGATCGTTGGCAAGGCGATTACCTCCTGATGGACAAGTGGCTTCGCATCCAGGCGACAGCCCCGCGCTCCGACGCGCTGATGGTTGTTCAGTCGCTACTCCATCACCCTGCGTATAATGCCGGGAACCCCAATAACATCTATTCAGTCCTTGGAGGCTTCGCACTGGCGAATCCCTATGGTCTCCATGGTGGATCCAATGCATCCAGCGCTTACCGTTTCCTCGCGGATCAGATTCTGGAGATCGATGGACGGAATCCGCAGGTAGCAGCGCGCCTTGCGAATGCGTTCACCAAGTGGCGTCGCTTCTCGGAGGATCGCCAAAGTGCGATGCGTATCGAAATGGAACGCATGCTCGAGAGCCCGAAACTTTCCACAGATGTCGGGGAAGTGATTTTCAAATGTCTGGAAATGGCTCCTGTATCGAGCTGAGTGTTTAGAGAGTGCAGCCCCTATAGCGCACCAGTCTGTAGCTGGACGCAGGTGCAAGTTCGTTCATATAATGGGTGCACGACGCTGGAGGCGCATTCGCGTGCGCAGTTGCTATCGACGCTGGATGCGTACACAGTTGATAGTACGTGGCGTGTTTGTGACGAGGTGGATCGAAGTGAACACTGTCATGTGGCTGCTGCTTGCCTGATGAACACTGCCTGGGGATTGAGTGGACGGTACCGAGCATCTCTGGCGGTTTGTGCTGCGCTGGCGAGCTCGTAGACTGAAGCGCTTGAACGCGGAGGAAAGATTCTGCGCATGCACGAAACGAGTTGCGATACCTCTCAGCGTCTCGCGAGGCGTTCATGGAACACACGGCGAGGCAGGAGCCGTTGGTGATGCAGTGCTTTTAAACCGAGACTTGGTTGCGGTTCACGGACTCGTCGCCCGGAGTACACTGCAGCAGGGAGCACGGGTCGGCTTTTGTTGGCGTTGAGCGCGTCCAGCGGGCCCGGGACGCCAAGCGGGGGGATACAAGAGGGAAGGGGGCGTCGGTGTCGGCGATCCCGGTGCTTTAGGCTGCTTCCGTAAAAATATCCGTTGGACAGGCGTACACCGGGTGACGCATCTGGCGATGCGGCAATCACAAGCTCCAGGTTGCCAGCAGACGGACTCGGCAAGACGGTACGCACGGCAGGCATTGCTCCTCAAAGCAGTGCCCGAGAAGAAGCCGTACGAGCGCCAACACCCCATCCTGCAGATCGATTCGTGTCCAGAGAGTGCGGCATCGACTGGACCGCACTGGTGACCCTGTTGTGAGGTCGATTACGATGAACGAACTCGGTCCTTGTTAGAGCGCCACTGTACCAAAGCAACAATTGAGATACGATGGACTGCATAACTCCCGTCAATACCGCTGGGGCTTCGTCGTCCGTCAGCAATGCAGACCGTGTGTCCGCATCGCGCATCCGAGCGTCTCGCAGAGGTGCTCGGACGAGTTGATACTGCTTCCCCGGGGAGGCGTCCTTGTCCGACCCTTTGTCCGAATGGCATGCATCAAGGCAGGCAGCACTGCGGGGTGCATATGGTGTGACTCATTGCCGTTCATTGATGAAATGGTCGATAAGAAAGCAATTCAGATCGATTCAGTTCTGCCAAAAAAGTCGTGCATCACAAGTATTGTTCAGCGCGAAACAATACAGAGGCATACAGACAATAGCAGGACTCAGAGCATTCCATAGTGCACGTCCTTCTGAGTGCAATCCCGTGCGATACCCATTCAAGTGCCGTCAGAAAGCATTATGAATGGTGCCGGATCCGTGATGCAAACCAGAATCTTCTATATACGCCGAGGCTGCTGCTCACTTGGAGAGAGAGGTCGTCTCCATTGCACACTTTTTTACAAAGCTCAGGAGCCTCAATTCGGGGTCTTCCGCCAGCAGGTATTTGGACCCTGATAGATCCAGCGACCTGTTGCGGACTTGGAAGCCACAGAGGGCGCGCGCAGAACGTTGACGCGACCGGTGCACAGGCGTCATAACGGGCGCCCATGTAGGGCTCAGAAGCAGGAGGATCTCACGAACGAGCGATTATCTATGAAGGGTAGGAAGAGAAACCGCCAGACGGCAAAGAAAGAAGCTCATTCGAACAAGCAAGGCAGCAACGACAGGCTTGCATCATGGCAACGAGCCGTCATGCCGTGCATCGCGTTCGATCGCTTAGCGGTATCCATCGACATCGAAGGCGAACGTCTTATGAACTTTGTGACCAACTTTAATCTCATTGGCAAATAGGCTCGGAATAGGAGATCTACAGACGAAGGATGATCAAAAATGTCGCGTCACCTGCCGAACGAGTGCCACAGAGCGATATGCATCGTGCTGGACCTGTGGCGAGCGAACCGCTCGCGACACGTTTCGGTGCGATCCGAACAGCAGTTCAGTTCTCGTGTGGTAACCGTTGACGCTCTGGAGCAACGAGTTCGGAACCCTGCGACCTTTACCAATAGTCATATGCTCTACTCACGAGTGTTTCATCTTCGTCGCAGCAGAGGAGAACAAACGGGAGACTGGTTCTAACAGATGGCGGACAGAACTGAGGGGCGCCTCAGAAGCCGTAGCCGCATGGTTGCTGGCGGGTGCAAGATGCGGACACGACACCGCTTGCGCCCGTCGCCACTTTTTACCAGCAGCGTATGCAGCAAAATGAAGCTCGATCACAGAGCCCATGGTAACTGTTCGGTTGGAGCAACATGCGCTTGCGCGTGCAGCGGACAGCGTACTTGCCGCGGAGATAACCGAAAAGATGATCGCCAACGAAGGATACAGCACGCTTCGGGGGCACCAACGGGCGAGAGCGTTTAATATCGTTTCCGTGTACACGCCAAGGCCATGCCCTGAGCGATGAAGCAGGCCTACAAGCGCCACAGGGCGGTACTCAGAGGACGAGCAGGTTCAGTGGACGTACTGGAACGCTTGAACACAGCCATGTGCCGCGCCTGCGATGTGCGCTCCGAGGCTTTATGTAAACGAGCTTTATCGGGCAAGCGATGCCTAGGTTGCAACTTTTGCTTGTGCTTCGCATGCGCATGAAACAACAGAAAACTACCAAATCTTGACTTGAATATTGCTATCATCATCCCACAACTACTGAGCGCAGCACCGGTGGAATAACAAAGGCCAGCCTATCGAAAACCGGATACATGAAAGCGGAAAAGCAAACCCCAAAGTCCTTTATGATTGACGCTGGAAGCATACCGTGCCCAAAGACTCGTCTGCGAGCCCCTGTGATCGCGCCCCGTTCCATTTGATATTCACGCGGATGCACTGACGTCGAATCGCATACGCCGTACGCGCATCATGAAGAAGATCGTCGCCATCGCTGCTTCTACAGATGAGTTTGCACCAACGATCTATGTTGTCGTTTACTGAACTGAACGTGTGCACACACGAAGAATCCTAAATTGCACGATCAACATCGACATTCGAGAAAGCGCATATCATTCATGACGCCACCGTCAAGTTCCATGACCCATACGTCCTCTCGGATATAATGTTGCTTTCCTACATTCCACCTTGTCAATGAAACTCAACCAGCATGCCGTCGCAGGCCGGCAGCATGTCATCGCGCACGCCACGCTCTATAGCCCATGGGTAGGCGCTCTCTTCGGTTTCCAACAGCGCCCCTGTGCCGCTTCTCGATCTGTGGGCATTTGATGTGTATATATGCATATCCGTGTGTACGTATGCGTGTATACTTATCCGTGTATACGTATCCGTGTATACTTATCCGTGTATACGTATCCGTGTATACGTATCCGTGTATACGTATCCGTGTATACTTATCCGTGTATACTTATCCGTGTATACTTATCCGTGTATACGTATCCGTGTATACGTATCCGTGTATACTTATCCGTGTATACGTATCCGTGTATACGTATCCGTGTATACTTATCCGTGTATACGTATGCGTGTATACGTATCCGTGTATACGTATCCGTGTATACGTATCCGTGTATACGTATCCGTGTATACGTATCCGTGTATACGTATCCGTGTATACGTTTTCGCGCGCGCAGGTGCAATCGCCTCGATATGCGGCGCGCTGCGCAAGGTGTTACGACGGTTGTCCCTGCGCGGTACGGAAACCTGCCAGAAAGACCTGAACGCTCGTTGCCTGTGACGTTTCTGGGCGGTTTGCGAATAGCGACCACGTTTGTGGTATCGTCCTTTTTGGGGGTCTGGGTTCGAAAGCGCTTTGAGCACTTGTACTTCGAGAAGTGTTCGTGATGAGCACAACAGACTTTGACTACTTGTTCAAACTGCTCCTCATTGGGGACAGTGGTGTCGGTAAGAGCTGTTTATTGTTGCGTTTTGCGGAAGGTTCGTTTTCGGACTCGTTCATGTCGACGATCGGTGTCGACTTTAAGATCAAGTCGCTGCAGTTCGAGGACGGTAAAGTCGTCAAACTGCAGATCTGGGACACCGCTGGGCAAGAGCGCTTCCGGACGATCACCTCGTCCTACTACCGCGGGGCGCACGGCATCATCATCGTCTTTGACGTGACCGACGAAGAGAGCTTTAAGAATGTTACGTCTTGGATTTCTGAGATTGAAAACTACGCGAGCGAATCGGTCTGCAAGCTTCTCGTGGGGAATAAGACGGACCTGACGGAGCAGAGGGTTGTCACCCGCCAGCAGGCCGAGGAGCTTGCGCAAAGACTGGGCATTCCGTACATTGAGACAAGCGCAAAGACGGCGGATCACGTGGAGGAAGCGTTTGTCATGATGACGAAAGAGATCCGAAACCGCACAGGGAACCTGGCACTCGCCAAAGGCAGTGGTGCTGGAACCAGCCGCTCTGGTGTGGATGTGCGGGCCGAAACCGAGCAGGTCAGCCAAAGCGGCGGTTGCTGTTGATAACCAACTGAGTCGAAGGCAACGATTGTGGGCGTCGCCATGGCCCCCGTCTCTTTCGAACGCGAAGGGATCTGGTGCCTGCAGCAGACAAGACCGACAGCATGTCGCATGCGTCGATTGAGTGTGTCAACTTGCGGGCCGGTTGCCACCAAGGCGCCCTTGTCCCCAGCGAACGCAGCGAACAGGTTGCGAAGATCCAGTCGTGTCTGAGCGCGACGGGCGAGGTATGCTTCAGAAAACCTCAGGGCAGCGCCTCAGTCGCCGCATCCGCATCTACATCGCTGTCCTCGAGGTCAAAGACCAGGACTCGGGAAGCACTTGCGAAGATGCATGCCAATCCGCGTGTAATTCCGCAGACAAGAGCTGGGATTTGAAGCACTTCTGGGAATGCGCTCCCGAACGATGATGTTGATGATGCGGGTGCAGTGAGCTCTAACGCTCGAAAGAGGTCATGACTTTCCGTTGCGCGAGGCGGCGATGCATCGCCTGTTTTCACGCTCGTCAAACACCAGAGCCCCGCGGAAGTCAAGACACAGATCTTGGGGTCGCGGTACCATGCAACCCGAACGAAACTTGTTTCAGATGAGCTTTGTATCAGATATCGAATCGAGAATGATAACGCAACCGTCCCTTGGGTAGAGATTAGCCAGAGGTCTCCGCTTTCGGTGCAGACCTGGAAACTTGCCATCGACGGGAGCCAGCGCACCATAGGTCTTAGTCGCTGCCGCTGTAGTAGTGGTTGTAGCGAGGACGGCTCCCCAGTGCTCTGAGGTATCGATGCGGAGACCGCAGTCTTCAACGGCCAACGTCTGGACTGATGATGCCGTGCTAGATCGTTCAGTCTCGTTTCAAGGGTCATGAGCGCCCGAGTGAAGGATTCCAACTGCGCATCCATATCCGCAACCCCGAAGAAACGCTCTCGAAAGAGCGCTTCAATTTTTTCGCGATCAACCACGAGCCGCAGGTTTTCATCAGATCGTCCAGCGAGCCAGCTCCAAAACATAACATAAAGCGGTCGAAATCGTTGCAGCATTAGCGCAATGCCGTGTCCCAGCCGCCAGCACGCCTTGGTCTCGGCTGTAAAAGCGGGCCCCGCGTCCGGTAACCCAGCGACCTGCGCCAGAAGTGCATTCAAAAGCGGTAGCAGCTGGGTACGGGCGATCTCAACACACGCCCTGAGGCTGGTCACCACCGTCCGACTGCAGCTTCGCTGATTAGACTCCGACATGGTATTCGCAAGCCAGTCCCGTACGGCTGGCGCTGGCGCCATCCCGTATGCCAACAGAAGCAGTTCCCGAAACGCAGTCGCCCTATCCGCTTCGGGGCGGTACCGGACCAGCGTTTCCGTGAGCGTATCGAGGACTTGATACATCACACGAGCAGTGGCTTGCCAGTGCTCCTGGATGCCCTGGGTGGCGAGCTGCAACTGGAAAATGCGCTCGCGAGTTTGCACGCTCCAGTGCGCGAAGCGTCCCCATTCGTGAAACCGAGGACGCACCTCATCTAAAGCACCGATCAGAAGGGTGTTTCCGGCTCCTAGCGCAGCCAGGTATCGCGTATCCTCCGACGTTGTAAAGTCTTCCACTGAGCCGAGGCGCGCCAGGTCGAACATTCCACAGGCGTACAGACCTTCGATGAAGATGAAGATATCGGCGCCATGCTCACGAACGCCCAACGCGAGACTGCTCTCCTTCCGATCTGTCAGCGGTATCCAAACGAGTCGCTTCCATCCGCCATACTGGACGTCGAACGGCTCATCGTCGGCCTCGTATATGGTCATACACTGCATATGCTCCACGGAGAGCAGGGTGAGTGTCCCATCAGACTGGCCGAGCAGGAGCCTGGGCTCATGCGGCGACCAGCAGAGGCAGGTGACTTTCGGTATTGAGTCACCTGCTGATGCTTCGCTTGGACGCCAGACACCGACGAGCTCCCAGTTCAAGCGCAAAATGACCACTGAAGCCGGAGCAAAGACCAGCGCGAGCAGGTCCGCAACAGGAGACCAGGCTGCAACGCAGACGGTATCCAGAGGCAGCGTCCGCTGGTGCAGGCATGCGAACGCACCGCTGGTCGCTGTGTGCATGTGGCTGGGGTGGAGAGCGCCTTGCGACTCACGAGTAAGAATGAAGCGCTGTGAACTTCGTTGCGAATTCTATCCTGGTGGATCCTCGGTGGCTCCTTGTGCTCGTTTGCTCGCCTAACGTTGGACGAGAGCGCCCAGCGCACACGTTGTGGTCGGAGAAGCCGCCTGGTGCCGTCACCCGCAGGGCTTGCCCCACCGCAGCTGCCGCCGACTCGGATCAGGTATAGTGAGATTTGTGTATACCACTGCGCGGACCTGGTGTTCAAAAAGAGAAACGTGCGTATTCAGGTGAGAGTCACGGAAGTGCGCCAACGGGAGCGCCACTCTACCACTGATGCAACGTTTTCAGCACCGATCAAGTACCGTTGCTGACGACGACGCTTGCGTGCACTCTAGAAAGGCGGTGTAGCGAGCCCAAGCGGTACACACCGAGAGCAGACTCTCCCTTGAAAGTGACTGCGTACAAGTGCGGTTGCGTTGCCCAGCACTCCACCGGAGGTGCTTTCCCGCTGGCGTCCTTCCAGCCCGGAGCCGAACAGCAACACGCCCGAGTCAGCAGCGTCCACCGCTTTATTGCTCCAAGAGCGCAGCACCAGCAACACCAGTTTCGCAACACAGCTTGCCTCGTCGAGGAAAAGAGTTCTTGAACAGGTGCAAAACGTTCCTGGTGGCGGTGGTAGCTGTACCGCTGCGTTTACCAGTACGCTGGAGCATCAGCTGATATACCCTTCATACGCGTAAAACAATAAGGGATAGCAAGCTCGTTTGCCTCTCTGTGAGACGGGTGGGTGCTCTTCCCTTATTGCGAGGTGGAAAAAGGTCAAGGTACGGACTTGTGACCTAGTTTCTTGGCATGTCGTCGCAAGCAGTTTCCTGGTTGTGTCCGCCGAGCTTCTCAAGGTGTTCGTGGAGCGGTGGCGCCGCTGCAACCGCTCTTTGGTCGACAGCTCGCTCTCTGAGAGCACACGCTCCGACTCGAACAGGATTTTATGTAGAATCGCATCCACGGAAGTTCACAAGGAACCCAGACACTGGATCAAGGCTGCTGGGCCCGCGACACCGGCACGTCGGGCGCTGTCGACGGACTGTCGAACGCTCACAGAGGCACTCTCTGGGTGCCTGTTCCCTTCAGTTCATCCAGGAGGTTGCAGAGACCTACGCAGACGGAGCCGCTTTGCGTCGCGCGGATCACGCACTATCGTCAAGTTCGCGTTCATTCTGGGTTATGCCTGCCACTCAAGAGGCATACGCGCGTGCAGTGGACCTCGCTTTTCCCGTTCTGGTACACGAGCATGCGACAACCTGGGGAGAGTGGAAAGAGCCAACCACTGATGCACGATATATTGTAGCACACGGAACCTGTCCACGATTGGTGCGGGAGCAGCGCACCGGTGCTACATACGCAGTATTTTACGAACTGCAGTCCGCGGAAGATGTGCACGCTCTGGAAGAAAACCTGCCTTGCCGCTCTATTGTCATGGTTGAAACGAAAGACTGGGAACTCATACCCGTTGAAAATCTGGTCAGCGTAGCGTATCAGAGACAAACGAGTATACTCGTTGTCGTGTCGACGACGGGCATGGCTGAGGCACAGCTTGCAAGCTTAGAGCGCGGTGTCCATGGCGTTATTCTGGCCACAGGGAGCGCCAGCGCCGTTGAATCCTTCGCTAGTCTACGCAATCGTTATCAACGGCTCGAAAACAGTCTCGTATTGGATCCAGCTGTGGTTGTGGACGTGCGCGAAGCTGGTGTTGGCGAGCGTGTTTGTCTTGACACCTGTTCGCTGCTGGCGTTTCACGAAGGGTTTCTGGTGGGCTCCAGCGCCTCCACTCTGGCCCTGGTGCTCAGCGAAGCTGCTCAGAACCCATACGTTGCTAGTAGGCCTTTTCGCGTGAATGCCGGTGCCGTCCATTCGTACATCCTTGTCCCCGATGGCTCGACCAAGTATCTCTGCGAGCTGCGAGCTGGCGATGAACTCCTTGCGGTGGACGCCCGCTCGGGTCGAAGTCGCTCTGTAACGCTTGGACGAGCGAAAATCGAGCGTCGTCCGTTGCTACTCGTGCAGCTAAGTCTCCATGCGGACGGTACGGGTGCCGCTGCCGGCAACAAGACGGAATCGTGGAGCGGCGACATCGCCGGGAACGTCATCGTCCAGAACGCGGAGACTGTGCGCTTCGCGATGCCCACGACCTCAGGTACGTCCTCTAGTCAGCACGGGAATGTTGCGGTGACAAGTCTGAATAGAGGACAGCATCAGGTTTTGGTGCATCGACCGGCGCGAGACAGTAACGGTACCATAGCGCGCCACCTTGGACGCCCTGTTCAGGAATTTATCCTCGAGCAATAGCCGAATGCCTGCGAATAATGCGAATCCCGTACGGCACAGGGTAGGGCGTGCTTGGTCAGCTGCTGTTCGCTTGCAGGTAGACCGGCGTATACACGAACTCGATTTGTACGCGCTGTGAAGCAGCACGCCCCAGTTTATCGCATGCAACACGAGATGGCATCGTTGCTGGTTTTGGCCCGGAAAAGGCTTCGTGTGGCGCGAAGCTCTGGACGCATCTAGTTTACAGCACAAGCTGAATGGATTCGCTGCGCTCCGTACGCATACTTTGCGCAGTTGCATGACTGGTGGTCGCTCAAGAGCACACAGCGAGCACGTACCAGGACCAGTGCCGCTTCTGACTTTTTCAGGCAAGCCGTGTTGTGCTGAGCGTAGTCAAGGTACACTTGTCTATTCTAGGCCGATGTGGATGAGCGCTGATGAGCAACCCATCGACTGGTACGGGTCATACGTGTCCCGAGTCCTGAAAGCGCGCGGTGACCCGGCGGATTCCCGCAGAATCGACGCATCAAGCGGCTTTGAAGGCTACGACATGCGCACTGGAGTTTTTAGCGCACTTTCGTACGTTCAGTGGCAGTGCAGCTCGATTGTCGCCTCTTATTATGCGGCTTGTCGGTGGGATTCCTCGCTTGACGGACAGTTTACATGGACCAGGCATCCCCGATTGGGCCCTGAATATCAGCGATTAGAAAAGCATCCACTGTTCCACCTATATTCAATTTAGACTCCATGTACTTGGCTCGGATGCAGTGGTTATGTTTTACACGCTATCGTGCGACGAGCCCGCCGTGAGCGTCTGCGGTAGCACCAATAGCGCCGCTGCGGATGCAAACCGGAGACAGAGCGGCTTTGCTATACCAATGCGGGCTTCGGCTCGGGATTCCAGGTTTGATTTGCTCAGAGCAGGGCTCGCCTGCACTGCCTTGAGATGGTGCAGTTCGCTGCGGCGTCGAACTGCGGTTCCGTCGCGTGCAGGTTGTTGGCGCGTTTCTCGGGTTGCGTTTTGCATGGGTATTCGCAGACGAACGGCAGTCGGCGCCGTCCCGTGCTCGTTTGAAGGGTTCGGAATCTCTCCGAAAGCCTTTGAAGTACAACAGCTTCTGGTCTGCAGAAGAATATAATAAAATCTCCGGACATGCGCTCAGGATCTGAATATTCTGAAATGGTGTTCCATCGAGGAAGAGCGGAATCATACCGATGAACGCAAAACAAAATGCTCTGCACAATTCGCGTGCAAAGGTATTCCACAAAGATGGTGCAAGTTTTTCATAAAAGACCCTGCTCTTGATCGAGCGATCATCCACATATAGAGCGTGTCTCATGCGCTCTCCGCAATGCTAAACCGACTTCAGAATGAAATGGGAACAGCGCATCTTGGCTCATACGGATACAGTGATGTTTGAGCATCTTCCTGCAGTGATCAAAATCATCCATGTCGTTCTTTGTCTTCAGCTTTTTCATTTTTCTCTCGTACCTCATAATTTAGATACAGCGGTCTCCAGTTCTCATCTCGGTCTGTAACGAGCAGTCGGAAGCTGTTGGTGCAAAGATTCACGTGTCGATTTTAGGAATTCTCAACTATTGCCGATGCATATCACGGGAAAAGGACATTCGTTGCGATCTGCGTTTTCCCAGGCAATGTCGTCGTCTACGTATACAAGTTCGGCGCACGCCTCGTATTGATAACCCGTGACTGAATGCAGGTATACCGATGTGTTCACCTATCCTTAACCTCCATTGGATGCTCTACGACGCGTGGACGCTTGCTGCATCGTTTGGCTGATGCCCATGACGGCCACAGAAGACGCGCCTTGATGAAATCTCCAGGAGCAGCGCCTGGGGCTGTACCCCTCGAACACCAGCTTGTTCGGGGCTAGCCTTTCGAAAAGTGCTCTCTGCAAGGCACGCGAAGCCGCATGCTATTCGCTTCAATACAGCATTTTAAAACGAGATGCTACCTATCATGGAAGAATTTTCGAAAAGAACTGTCGAACTGGAAAGCAAGTCGGAATTCGTTCATCCGTATCCGCGTCCTTTATGCAAATCGTATCGGACGCGTCACTTAATATGATCGCTGGGATGATTCAAGCCCGTACCCAGGACCCGTTTCCGCACAATCAAAAGCCACGGAAATCTCTGGGCTCGTATCCTTTTAGAGATATCCAGCTGCTCATGTGAAATGCGGTTTCATCGATCACCACAGAGAGACGCACGAAATTCTCCCAAACTGGATCGCTGATGCAAAAAGGGAATGTCGAGAAGATTTCTGAACAAGCTCGTGAAATAGCGCTCAAAAGACCATGCTGAATATGTTTCCTCGTCCATCCCGCGTCGCGAATACCTGTACCTCACGAGTCCTCGTGAAACGGAATAATCGAAAACTGGAAGAATACCTGATTCCAGGACCGTATATCGAAGGAACAGAGCGCCGCAAAGCCATGTACGCATTCACTTGGATCATGCGTTCGGAAGTTTTACCAGCGCTTGTTCGAGGGTGTCGCCAAGCATGTTGATGCCGACCAGGTCAACGCTGCCAGCAGCAACGCGTCGAAAGCGCTTGTCCGCAGACACAATCGTAAATCCTTGAACCATCTAAGAATCTATGAGCCCGGATCTTTGCACTGCACATAGCATTCAACCATCTAAGAATCTATGAGCCCGGATCTTTGCACTGCACATAGCATTCAACCATCTACGAATCTATGAGCCCGGATCTTTGCACTGCACATAGCATTCAACCATCTACGAATCTATGAGCCCGGATCTTTGCACTGCACATAGCATTCAACGATCTACGAATCTATGAGCCCGGATCTTTGCACTGCACATAGCATTCAACGATCTACGAATCTATGAGCCCGGATCTTTGCACTGCACATAGCATTCAACGATCTACGAATCTATGAGCCCGGATCTTTGCACTGCACATAGCATTCCCATACTTCGATTCAAAAAGTCATAAACATCCCTACTGAGGGAAAAGTTCCAGCACTTCCCCCTACCGTTTGCATCCTCATGGGTATCGCGAGGCGTGCCGCGTGCAATGCGCAACCGCAATGCGCTCCATTCATTCGCAACGCCTTCCGGTACACTGGCTTCGCGTTGCAAACTGAGCACCGCACGACGAACGCTTCTCAGATGGACTGGATCAGTGCAGCGCGCCATAGACGCACTGGATTTGTGCAACCTTGCCGGGCACTCTGGTCGTTCGTTGGATATCGAGCGCTGCTGAAGGTGTGTCCGAACGAGAACGTTCTCGGGCCGGCAGCAGCAGCAGCAGCACGCCCTCATTCAGAGCGTGCGGCCGCTTCCCTATTAGCCAGCGCCACAGGGCAACGTCCAAAGTCCGGTGCAGCTGGTCGTCGACGTAAGGGCGCCGAGGCAATCGATCGCGTTTTAGAACGGTACGCTGCAACCGTTGGTGTCGAAGTACACGTTCAACTCGCTACAAGGACGAAAGCGTACTGTGGTTGCAGTTGCGAACAAGCGCCGGGGCCGAACACCCATATATGCCCTGTATGCACCGGCCAGCCTGGAACGCTACCGGCGCTGAACCAGAACGTGGTCGAACTGGCTGTCAAAGCCGGCCTGGCTCTGCACTGCAGGATAGCGCTGAGGACCAAGTTCGATCGGAAAAACTACTTCTACGCCGACACGCCGAAAAACTACCAAATAAGCCAGTACGATATGCCCATCGCCGAGAACGGATACCTGGAGCTGCCGTCCTCGGGCAAGCGCGTACATATCCGTCGTGCACATATGGAGGAGGATTCGGCGAAAATGTTCCATTCACAAACTGCAGAAGAGGAGCCAGATGAAATCCCGGGTCAGGACCCTGGGGCACACGAAGCAAAATACTCTCTGATAGATCACAATCGAGCTGGCGTTCCGTTGTTGGAGATCGTTACAGGGCCGGATATGGAGTCCGGGGCTGAAGCGGCCGCCTTCGGCGAGGAGCTGCAGCGCGTCCTACGATACGCAGCGATCAGCGACTGCAATATGCAGGACGGCTCGCTTCGTGTCGACGTGAACGTCTCGATTAGACCTCGTGGATTGTCTGGTGTCAGGTCGGATGATGCACTCGGGACCAAGGTAGAGCTGAAAAACCTGAACTCCTTCAATGCAATCGAGCGAGCAGTCGATTACGAAATTCTTCGGCAAGCGGCCATGCTTGATGGCAATGGAACGGTTCGCCAGGAGACGCGTCTATGGGATGAGCGTGAACAGGCTACGAAGGTGTTGCGTATCAAGGAAGGTGCATCTGACTACCGTTATTTTCCGGAACCTGACATTCCGCCGATTCTTCTAGAGCAAGCTCAGGTTGATGCTTGGAAAGCGAGTCTGCCAGAGCTACCTGCAGAGAAACGCTTGCGTTATACGTCAGCATTAGGCCTTACACCTTATGATGCAGGAGTGCTCACTGCAGAACCAGCGACAGCTTTCTTTTTTGAGGACACCGTCGGACATCTTGCTGTCGAGGGTCTGGATCCTCGCATGCTGATCGATCGAGCGAAAGCGGCTGCAAACTGGATCACCGGCGACATCGCCGCCCTGATCAAACAGAAACCGCAGGCGCGCTCTATCCAGGAGACAGCACTGACGCCGAGCGTGCTCGCAGAACTCATTCTGCTGATTGAGGACGGGACGATTAGCGGGAAGATCGCCAAGGAAATCCTCCCAGAGCTCATGGAGGAGCCCTGCAGTTCGGTGCGTGACCTCGTTGAAAAGCAAGGCAAGACACAGATCCGAAGTGAATCCGTAATTGCGGATCTCATTCGACAAGTCATGCGTGAACATCCCGAAAATGTGCAGGCGTACAGGCAAGGGAAAACCAAGCTTGCAGGGTTTTTTGTCGGACAGGTGATGAAACGCGGCGATGGTCGTCTGGATCCGGCCCTGACGCAACGTCTTGTGACCGAGTTGTTGTCACGCGACGATTCCGGCGAATCCTAGGAGACGAGCATTGATACGCTGCATATTCGCAATGCTGCTGCTGCTGCGGCGGCGGCGGCGGCGGCGGCTACCAGGGACTCGAACGCACAGCACTGGACTTTGCGGTCCGCGTCGAGCGTTCGTAGTGCGCGCCTTTGTTATCACTGGCCGGGCATGCTTGGGAATGCGGTGCGGAAAGCGCTCAGGTACACGCTGTGTCCACGTGCGAGATGCTGCTCCGCGCAACAACGACTTCAGCACATACGCTGTACTCTGCCGCTGGCTATGTGATCACGGTTGGCTTGGACATTCATGTTAGCGTTAAATGGAACGGGTTCTATGTAGCTAACACGGCCGTTTACACCAAAGGTTGGCTCTCTTCCCGCTGGCATCGATATCGATCCGTATGGGCTTTCTCTGTGACTGCTACCTTGTCATCTTGCTCCTGTTCCCGGAATTCTAGGTCGCCGATCTCTCCACTCGCTCCAACCTCTTTATCAGCAACATCAGGACGTGTGTGGTAGTATCAAGACATGCTTTCGCCGCCTCTGGCTGCTGGTGGTGCTTTCCGTTCACAGACGGCAGTAGCCATCTCTACGTTACTTGCCATTTGCATCTTCTAGGTACGCGGCCTCGGTACAAAATTCTTTGCAATGTCATTCAACTGAGGCGAGGTATTCTCGTATGTCCATTGCTCCTTCTTCTTCGACCGCTGCCCAGTCGCGTGTGAAAGCCTGCTTCAACGCTCCGTACGTATCGTTGATCCGTGCAGAGGGCAATTATCGATCATCGACTCCGGTTCTGCGTCCGTAACCGTATGCAACGGTGACGGGCCCCTATCTGATCTGTACGCCCAGTAAGTGCTCCACTAGCAGCACGTGCGAGCGCGCAATCCTCGTTTTACAGAGGATTTCTGGAACGAGCTCTTGTCCGTGATGAAGAAAATACCAGATCAAGAACCAAGGCTGGAGATGGAGTCGGACATTCCACTCTGCCCGAGTTCCCTTGTAGATGCCAAGCAGTGACGCACGCTCCATTCGGTGCGATCTCATCGACGTTCGTAGTCCGCGACCATGACCTTCATCGAAGCAAGCACAAGAGTCGGCAGCTTCTGAGCGATCATACTCGACGTCGGGTACCGTAATGGTGAAGAATGTCGTTCCATTGATGACTGTAAAAAGGGGGATTTTTCAGTTGAACGGAACTGATAATGTGCCATAGTAAACTCAGTTAACCTTCTGCATGAGTTGAGAACAAGTCCTCCGCTCACACTGTCGAGTGCTCTTCGTCGTCAATCCGACGTCGCCAGTTGGTGCACTCATGAGTTGCATGGATACAGAAAGATTCACGCCATGGAAATTGCGTGATACGGACATGCTACCCGTTGGGGAAAGGAGAATCATAGATGCTTGCACGTATGCAATGGGAAATTACATCGGCTACTTTACGAGCCTTTGTTGGATTCCATCGCGAGCCATCATGTCTCTAGCGGCATCAGTAATCCCAGCGGCGAAGAAGAGTTGAACAAGCCACCTCCTAATTCTGGCGGAGAATTCACATGGTACGTATGAATCCGCAGACTGTCGCTGCTGCGCTGGAAACGTCGAGGTTGTTCGTATCCACCAGCTCGGTTCGAATCCAATGGTGTCGGGACAGCGAGCCGTTCCCGGACTTTTTTCATCTGACAGGGCTGTAGATTGCATCGAGTCTCATCTCCAAATTTGCATTGCGCAAACCGCAGAAACTGCAGTGGAGTATCCATGGCAAAGGTGTTCTCGGCAGACGAAAAATGATCATGTGGAGGCAATCCCTGAATTGCAACGAGCGCAGGCAAGTGCCCATGTCAAAAGATGCCGATACAGGACAACAAATACCATGTGGACGAGCACCGCTGCCTTTTCGCCATACCCGGTCTATGGTTGAGCATCAATCCTGAAAACTGTGTGGTGGTAGCTGTTTGCTTACAGCGCTCGACAAGAATCCCCTGAAGTATGTAGGAGAACACCTCTCAAACTGAATCGCGCTGTCAGCAAATACCAATGCATAATAGCTCGATCTTGTCGCACGTCTTTTAGAGCATCAGAAACGAGTGCGCAACAAATAGCACTACACAGTGGACAGGCGTCCCCACTGAACGACGTAGGCGTACAGGAATGGTACACGTACCCAAGACATCGAGCGTGACGCATAGTTGCCAGGTATCGAGGCATTGGCTGCACATCTTTTTGCAGTCGAAGGGCATGTATTGCCCGCTGCGGGCTTCACCAGACCTTGTAGCACGTAGCGCGCCCGCCAAGGTCCCTGTGGTCATGACACCCCAGATATTGCAGTGCCGCGCCACTGGTGCGGGTTTCAAGCGGCCGATGACTCCCCTGGCCCTCTACGATAGCTGCACGCAACCAAGTTTGTATGACAAAGCAACGACCTAGCCGGTACCAGCACTCTTGGATAGACGCAAGCGAAACAGCACAGGCAAGCATAAACCTTCGCGAGAGACAGCCCCGGCAGCGCATCTTCAAGGCGCATGCAGCTGTCGTTCTCTCGGTGTAGTGGCTACGTGTGTATCCAGGGCTACGTCCATGAACATGACATATAAATTGCGTATGCGAAAACCGTGGACTAGCGGCGGCAGCTCACGCTTTTCCTCCTCCCCGCATCTGTCAGCACGGACGAGCTGCGCGGCGATGCTCGGACGCTGGCGAAACGATGAACCGATGATAGCGCACAGCACAGTGCAGCACAGTGCCTGCGAACTCTCAGATGCGCTTTGTCGCGCTCGACGTCCATACGCACCTGTAGGTGTCGTTACTCGTGCACCGCGACATCAGACGCCAACAGGTAGCTAGCGAGGTAGACTGTGCAAGGCCGTCGCGCTGCAGCTAGCAGCACGTTGACGAAAATCGTTCACTTTACCAACGTCTATGCGCGAGAATCATGTTCATCAGATCGCAGGGAATGGCATGACCCTTGCGTGCATTGCGCTGCTCTAACACTGCCTTTCTGATGATGACCTCAACGAGCGCGCATCGGCAGCAGCCCTCTGCCAGATGACCTTGGTTGCGGCACGGGCGGCGCACCGAGCCTGCCTGCCTGCCTGCCTGCCTGCGTCGCGAATGCCCGCAGCAACAGCGCCGATTCCAGTGTTTGGCGGCAAACGGACACGCACGTGCGTTGGCAATCTGAGCAGATTGCTGTCCGGCGATCGCCGCATGCATGCATGCGTGCGTGCCGCGCATTGCGTTTCCCTTGCACGCATCCGGAAGATATCCGTTTGAAAATGGACTCGGAGAAGTGCGCACAAGCATTGGCCTTGTGTCGCTTTGCGAACGTCGTTTCGTTCAACTGCGGCTAGCACCATTTTGTTTCTTGTTTAATACCTTCGCTTGAAAAGAAATTAATCGGGGTATAGAACTATGTTTGTGAGCGCTACAGGGATCCAACGCAAGTCTACGGGTATGGCAGTGCAGCGGGTGGCCACGTGTCGGCGCGCGGGTGCTAGAGCCCGGAGCCCGCTGCGAGCCGCTGCCGCCGGGGCGGAACCGCAAGGTTCGGCACCCCGCAAACCGAAAACCGAGGGGAAGACCCCAAAGAAAACCCCGTCCTTGTCAGCAGAGGAAAGGGCTGCTCGTGTGCAGCAACTCAAGCTCCGCATCCTACTTGTGCACCGGCAACTGCAGATTGCTGAAAGTAAAGAGAGGGATGACTCGCTCTCGATGTGGCGCTCGTTCGCGCATGATATGGCCACTCCCGAAGTGAACAGAGAGCAAGTCGGGAGCACGAACTCGAAAAACATCGAAACGATGAGCGCTGACGCACTGCGCAAAGAGCTCGATGCGCTCAAAGCGGAGATCGCCTCCCTCGATGCCGATGCGTACGCAGACGTGCTCCGCAACACGGACGGTATCAAGACTGCAGAGCAGCGCATCAAAGAGCATGAACGCAAAATCCAGCAAGCGCCCAAAGTCTCTTTCCAAAAGGTCGTCGCCCAAGACACGGACGAGACGCCAAAGCAGAAGCCAAAACCCAAACGCTTTCAGTTATTCGAGGGCCTCAAGTCCTGGTTCGTGCGGAACGAACCCATCATCGAAGAGCTCGAGCGAGAGATCGAATCGATCTAGAGCGCAGCATGCTTTCGAACAAGCAACTTGCGCAGCGCATACGTCGTATCTGGCTAGACGGGCTGTAATCAGTGCGTGCGGAGAACATGACAGGACCGAGCGCTTGGGAGCGTTTTCGAAGGTTGTATGGCCGCGACAAGCGCAGCGCTGCGCACCGCCATTTCTTATCTATAAAGAGTTTACGTAACGGGGGTAAAAGGGTGCCTCTGGACGACTTCAGTCCAGTGTCCGTCGTGGCCGGTGTGCGATCCTTGGAGGCATCGCACTGCTGTTGATGGGCTTTCATGGATTCGTCCAGACGCACTCCGCCGAATTCAAGTACCCAGCGCCGTTGGGATCGAGTCTGCGAAGCGACCGGCGTAGATTTCTTCCCGAACGGGTCTTCAAAGCTCTCGTCGCATTGCGAGGAACGCGTTCATAGATTGTACCGTCGATACACGCGAAAGCGTCCATCGTCCAGGCAGGTGCAAGGTGCACAGGTCCTGCGGCACCTGCATTCCATGTGTCACCGAACGGCTTCCTTTGGAACTCGTCCACTGGGCCCGGCATTGTATCCCGAATCATCATCGAAGGTATCGTCTTTAGCGCTGGGCTCGCTGCATTACAGGCAAAGCAGCGTTTGTACTGGACCGCGATATCCGCATACGAAGCGCGCGTGATTCGTAAGACGACCGCACACATGGACATCGTAGCTCCGCTGACACATGCACACACCCATGAAAAGCTTCGGTACATTCGTGTTCATAACAAGGTCAGCTGCTTGTCGATTCCAGACACAACGAGACGTCAACGAGAAGAGCACGTCAGAAAATACCGCCCTTGCGATCGAGCACAGCGCCTCTCTGAGACGCTCCTGGCTTTCCAACGGGTGTGCGCCCTCGGTGGCGCCGCTGCTCCACTTAAGTTGGGCGTCGGTCGTCCTCCTCATGTCGTCTCTGATGTGACGTCGCTTGCGTGCCGGGACGGCGCCAAGGCGGTCGAACCCCCGACGCCTCGATGGCAAGTCGCTCGACGGCAGGTCGCTGGCTGTGCAGCGCATGACGGCGCCCCGGAGCGCGAGCCACAGAAAGACGCGCTCGGATCAGTGCCAGTAACCGCCGCGCACACTTGGTCGATCTGGACAGCAGACATCTGCCGCGTGCAAGCCCAAGCCTGCGCAGCAACTTGTCAAGTTGAAACGGGGAACGCGGAGTCTCCCGCACCAAAGCGATCAGAAAATGATTCGGAAACACGTATGGCGGACTTTCGTCTGCCTCTCGCGCGATTTGATCGCGCCAGTGAATCAAGTCTCTCAGTAGTGGAAGCATCGTATCCGACAACATCGCTTTGTACTGCCGGGCCACTTTCAAATGCGCATCAGCAGCAACCTCTTGCAACGCGTAGCGGCGTAGCGCGACATCCGCAGACTTGAGCCACAGCTGCTGCAGGCGGTTCGTCTCGGGCGAGTTTGGGTCAGTCTCCTGAACAAGCCTGGTGCTCAGGACTCGGTAAAGGTACAGGAGATAGTGCGTATCCTGTCTGGCATAATGGAGCATACTCGATGGTAACGGCCGAATGCGCCAGTCTGCTACCTGAAATACGCGTTTCTCGGAGGCCAAGGCGTCGCGGGATCCGTTGCGGAGCGATGCGGGGTCTGCGGTTCGATCCTCATCGCGCGCGTAGCAGCTGATGAGGTGCGCCAAAGATACGCTCGGTTCGCCCAGCAGTTGGGCTGCTCGAGCCGTATCAAAAAGATTCACGATGCGCGCCGCAGGCGTAAAATCCCGCTGCAGCCAGAGAACGTCCGAGTCCGCACCGTGCATCACTTTCACGACACGCGGGTGTCGAAGCAGGCGAATGAAAGCGCCTGACGGGTCCGCGAGCGCGGAACGCAGAGCCAGCGCATCGATAACTGCATCACAGTCAACAGAGCTGATCTGTACGAGGCAAACGAAACCTTGATAACTGCGGTACGAGTGTGCTTCGAGATCGATTGCGACCGCCTTTTTGAAAGCGCAGGTTTTGTCGAGGCTGAGTCCGGACGACCCGGTTCCCGAGACGGAACCCGAGACACTGTTCTCTGTCGTTGGTTCGATGTCCGCAAGAATGTCACTTAGAAACGCCTCCAGATCCAAGGCAGATTCAATGTAGCGGAGAGGTGTCGTGGCCAGGGGGCGCAGGCCGGCGTCCGCCGCAAGCCTTCGCTCGAGGTCTTGCACTTGCGCCACGCAACCCGAGGCCGCTGCCGCTGCCGCTGCAGCAGTATGAATAAGCGACTCTGCTTCTAGATCATGCTCTAAAGTTTGCGGGGCATTGCTCACCTGCCAGGAAGTTTGCGGCTTCGGGTACGCATTGTTCTGCCACTGGCTGGGAATTCGCTCAGAGGACGGCTTGTGCATGGTTCAACCTTTGCTCTTCGCCACCGCTGCTTCGCGAGTTTTCGCGTGAATTCTGCTTAGAACATCCAGCTACCCATACATTCGAGACTCTTTCCTGGTATGTTGCAGCGGGCACCCACGCTATGGAGCACGCTGAGCGCCAGCGGTACGCTGCCTGCTCTGTCGGCGCGCTCGTGCGCCAGCGACACGCCACTGCGCGTGCGTGCGCATTGCGGATCCGTTCCTGTCCATCTCGTACAAACACGTTCATTAATGTATAGTATGGATCTTGCCGTGCGCTGAGGCCGCCCGCAGCACCAACGCACCCATGCGCGCTCGGTGCGCGCGCTCCGTCCAGTGATGGCGAGTCGGCGGGATGCCCCGTTGGTGCGCCGGCTCTCTTCAGCCGGAAACATGAGCAGCTGGCGCGAATGACTTGCTCCACGATCCAGTACAATCTTGTATATATTAGACATCCCAGGTTACGACGTCGCCTAGGCATTCGCGTGGGTGCCATTGCAGCGCGCCTACCCACGAGCGACCGCATCCCATCGAGGAATCGTTCCATGGTGGCTTTTCTGTTGCAGGAGGCAGGTGTTCGGTGTACAGAGCGGCGTATCGGTTTGGTGGCGCTGTGCCGCGCTAGACTACTCGCATCGAAGGAGAGAAGAACGTTGTCGTTTGGTTGTAGGTTGCGCTTCCTCACGAGTACTATGCCGCGAGGCGACGCACACGGCGGTGCGGGGAAGACCTTCGAGCCGCTCCGAGGCAAGCACACGGCAACGCTGGTATGGCTGCACGGTCTCGGTGATACCGCAGATGGCTGGAGCTCTGCAGTGCCAGAACTGAGGCTGTCCAGCACACGGGTTATACTTCCAACGGCGGACACGGTTCCCGTGACCCTCAACTTTGGTACGCGGATGCCAGCTTGGGCCGATATTTACTCCCTCAGCGAGAACGCTCGCGAGGATCGTGAGGGCATTCTGCGCTCAGTTTCACGGATTTTAAAGATTGTCGAAGAGGAGTGCACAAACGAGGGTGTGCGACCCGAGAGGATTTTTTTGGGGGGGTTTTCACAGGGCGGTGCGATCGCTTTGCAAGCATACCTACGCAGCGAGCGGGACCTGGGCGGCTTTGCGGGACTCAGTACTTGGCTTGCCTTGCGGAACGAGGTATTCGCTGCAGTTCCCAAAAGTAGGCGCAAAGGTCGTATCGCTTTGTGGCACGGTGACCAAGACGAGATCGTGAACTACCACTGGGGCGTCCACTCCGCGGAGCTTCTGCGCCAGAACCTGGCCCCTGGCTTCGAGGTATCGTTTCGAACGGTGCAAGGCCTCGGTCATGCTGTTGACCGCGAAGAATTCGCAGAGCTGCGAAAAACTTTACAAGAATGGACTCGCGTCGAGCAGTGAGGCTCGCAGAGAACCCAACGGGTGAACATGGACCGTGTTCTTGGGCAGCCCCAGTCGGCAATCGAAGCACAAGGTCATTCGATGTATTCGTTCGACCGCACCATTGAAAGGCTTTATCGCGTGTGTGATATATGGAAGCGAATCGGCAAGCGCGTGAGATTCTCCACGAGCAGCGTTGACCCAGGGGAAAAACCAGCGCTGCCCGTGGACGACGCTTGGGTGATCCACAGCGCAAGCGTGCCTGTCGGAGTCAGAGGCACATGCTGCTCCACGGCTTGCTGGGCATCATTCCTTGGCTTCCCTGGACATGTTGAATACGTCGAGATTCGGCTCTAGTGCAGGCCTATGGCCCAGAGGCTGAACCATTCTGGTACGAGATAGCACGGGTAGAAATCGCGTAGCCATCGTCGTCAGTTACAGGGCTCGGATTCCGCGTCAACGTCGAGCATCTATGCAGCTGCGTTGTTGCCGCATGCGTCCAGGGATAGGATGCCGTGTTCACGCCCAAACTGTTTAGAACTTTTACTGACTCCTGCTGCGCCAACGCGAGTACAGGAGATGCGGCACGCATACGTCGCAACTAGTTCCTAGTCGCTGGAAGCGTGTAACTCACAGAGGTGCCCGCGTGCGTGATGCCCCGAAGGTACCAGCGCACGGAACGCATGCGGCTAGTGGGGGCGTTCAAGCGTTCGCGAGATGCGGGGACAGTTCCCTCTGCTGGGTGCTAGGTATGAATCGCGCAGCCATTGCCTTGTTTGCTCTAGGGCGCAAACGCCGGGATTCGTCTTGTTCACGATGATCTGTTGGTATGCAGCAACATTGGCCGATAAAAGGTTCGCTCCATTGCCGCTGTCACGAGCGACGTTGCGCCCCATGGACGCAGCGCTCCTCGTGCATTGAACGGCTTTGCGCGGCGACTTTGATCGGGAGGTCACATCGCACACCACGGCTTTCGGCGTTTCTGCCCCCAAAAGCAACTCATTTGTTGTTTTCACTGCGTTGCATGCAAAGCGCGGCAAGAAACTGGCAAAACGCTATGCTTGGTCGAATGCGAAGCGCACTGGGACACTGCCCAGCGCCTCGTGCGCTATCTGAATATACCTGCGAACGCATCGACGCGCTCGAGGTTGGCGTGATGGTGGTTGCACCCCTTAAACCGTCCAAGAACGTTCCGTAGACTCTAGCGACTTGTAGTTCGAAGCAACGAGCCGGCTCGCGTTTCCCATTTGCGGCAGCCGTTTCAGCGTGGCGTCGAAAGCGTCCACAGCCACTGGTCATCCGACGCCCGTTACCGGTCGACAGAATCCAAGTACATTGCTCGTGCAAGTCCAACACGGCAAATGCTGCACACCGAAGCGGTCACAAAACCGTGCATCCATGTCAGATGCAGACGGAACACAGCACTGCCCGCTATGTCCCTGCCATGCGCTTTTTTCCCTGAAATTGTTTTGCTGTATACCTTCAACATCAAGACTGAAGCTCTAAAGTTTTTCGGATCCATTCTGAGGTTTTTGGGATCCTCTGTTGCTTGTTTGGCAGTTCTCAGCCGACGCGCTCTTCCTTGAATACGTTACGCTACCGCCACAAAGATCGCTCGCAATGTCTTCAAGCAGGATCTGGCAAAAAACAGAAACGATACCAGCATCCGATTCATGTGGAAAAGCCTCGATTCCTCTCGATTCCCCATGAGTGGCATGCTCAAATGACATATTCTTTACCTTTTCGATGTTTATGTTTCAAGACAACCTAAAGGGGCAGCGATACGTGCCGCTTGATGGATAAGGAATATAGGTCGACAAAATATATTGGCGAATTCTTCACAAGGCCATGCCAGATTCGGGACGCTCTTGGCACTTCCTATCATCGATTCGGTACGGAACACATATCCTCGCCTGGTTGGAGCCATCGACGACGCAGTGGGCAGCAGCAGCTGCATGATCCCTGTCACGGGATATGCTCTCAGAGGCTCTTGTTTCTTCAGCTTGAACAAACAAGTCTCTTGGATCGTCATCATTGCAACGATGGCTTGCAGTGCAAACGACGTCACAGAATCGGAAGACGGCAGCGTTGCTGCTTTGAAAGCTTTCGATTTGTTTTACGGCCCGGGACGTATCTACCGATCCTTGCGTCTATCACAGGCAACGTCGTGTTTCGCGTATGCTCTGACGAATGGAAGAGCATGTACGAGCGTATGCAGCGGACAGCGTACCCTCCGAAAGGCCAGTCCAGAACCAGCCTGTTATCTCTAGGCGCAACAGCTGCTGCGGAATCACACACAGAACCACCGTTATAAGCCTCCCGTGATCGTTCATAACCTCTGCCGAGCGATAAAGCAAGCATTCACGCGCTACAGCGTGGCTCTCACAGGAGCAGGTTTGGTTAATATGCAAAGGAACGTCCAACCACAACCATGTTTCACCGCTGTGCAAGGTCGATCGAGGCTGGATACCATCAGGATGAACCTTGCAAGCCAAGCACAGATCTTCTCTTTGGTCAGTGCATGAGTGAAACAAGTCGACAGCAACCAGAAGCTCTCTAGTCAGACTTGAATGCTGGCTTGAACTCGCTTCAACTGCTGACAACGCAGCCGGAGATACGAGAGAGCCAGGGGAAAAGGAACCAGACACCGAAAAAGCCCTCGAAAAGCTGTTCTTGACGACAAGCACAAAAAACGGAATCAACCACCTTCACCGTCTGTGTTTCAGTCCCGATTCCATTTAAGGTAGCACGAGTCTACGTAAAACAAACCGTAGCCTGAGCAAACATCAGGCAAACTTGTTCGCAGGGCACGTCCACCGCCGAACTTTTTCATCTCGGCGCTATTCGTTGTACGTAAGCTGAAGCCGCAGCGCACTCGGATTCCCAAAACGGAGTGTGTTCTAAAGACACAGCACGTGTGCGGTGACGCTCGAAACCACATGGATGGAAGCTCAGAATCCAAACCAGAGACAACCCAGAGCTCTGAGCGATGGAAACGCTGGGTTGAGGCCAGCGAGCAAACCTCGCGCCTCCTGCCACCAGAGCACCCGCTCTGGTGGTACCGCGCAGTCTCCTATGAACCGAACGAACACGTACAGCGAACTGCTGCGCTGATTCCGCATCTGCTCAAGGAACCCATCGACTGGATCGAGCAAGACTTGGGCACTACCTCGCAAGCTGGCTCTGATGCGCCCTGGTTGTCGAGTTGCGTCGCCGAGTGGCCGCGACACCTCGCCACGCTGCTGGCAAAAAGTCTCCCAGTAAACGGAGCAGCTGTTCTTGGGGCAGCTACTGCAACGCTTCGGCGCCTTGTCGAGAACCCGGAGGCTCCTCTCAGGCGCATGCGACTGCTGTTACTGGTGAACTCGTTGCTGCGCTCACTTCGCACTATTCTGGAGGCACTCACCTGCGAAGACTGGACTTTGCTGGGTGCCAGCCGGACCACAACTGCTGCAGAAGAGGTCCAGCATCGCCCTGAACCGCTAGAGCAGCCTCGGCAGCAGGTTGCAGCGGATGTTGCGCAGCTGCTGGACCGTGTTTTCGCTGCGGATACATTCGCAGACGCAAGTGGCATCGCGCGCCTTCAGTCACAGCTTTTCAAACTCGCTGAACTCGTTGTGCTCTCCTTCACTTTTTCGCCAGTGGACTGGAGCTCACGCTCCTTCTCAGGGCGGGATGCTGCACGACTTGCCGATGTCATCAGCCCGGTGAAGTGCCAGGAATGGGTAGAGCAGGCGCTCTCGCGTCTGGCGGAGACGCCAGCTGGCGCCTCGTTCGTGCCGTTGCTGACGAGAGCCTCCTCGTTGGCGAGCATCGCTCGTCGACGAGCAGAACTCGCAGTGCGTACGCTAGTGCCGCTGTATGATGTGGCGTTCAAGGAATCGTTGCATGTGAGAAGGATTTCGCAGAAACAGTCCATCGCACTGAACATGCGAATCCTCTTTCTCTGTCTCTTGCGCTGTCCGCATATGCTGCCGTTCAAGGAGGAACTGTATGCTGCATTGGAGCTATTCGGCGCTGAGGATCAGGCAGAAGCTGCTGCGAATACTGCCGAGGAATGTGAGCGGCAACTTGCGCTCCAGCAGGGCAGCGTTGCGCCCTGGAGCCGGGTTGTGCAAGACGGGCCGACGTGTCGCCAGCTGGAGGACAGTGAGCAGGTCGCTCGTCTCCTTGTCACGAGGAGCGCTGTCTCACCTGCAAGTTTGGAAGAGCTTGTGCTGGAGACGCTGCGGCAAATGCCCACGAGCCGCCCGATACAGGCTGCACCCGACGACGAGAGCAGTCGCATGGATCCGAGGCTCCGAGCGCAGGTTCTTGCAGCACAACAGAGTCAGCGTACGCAAGTGGAGAGCATCCGTAAGCATTTGAAAACGCTCCTTGCAGAAGAGGTGAAACGACGTCGTCCTGTAATACGGGCTCAGGCGCCAGAAGTACGAGCGCTTCCGCTAACCGCGGAACAATGGGAAACGCTGGGAGAGCAAGCGGTGCGGCGCCTCTTGCAGGCCGAGGACGCCATGGAGCTCTGCGGGGCCAACGACCTGCGCCTCTCCTTGTTGGCACGCCTGCTCGCACAGGCAAGCTATGGAGAATCCTCGCTTAGCGAGGAAGTTGTCGACTTTATCGTGCAAGACTTTTCCGGTCGAATGGAGCTGGCGTTGCGATGGCTCACGGCGCTGGTCGCATGCGATGCTGAGCTGCGGGGAGCACCTGAAGAGCCGCCCCGTGGGCTGAAACGCTCGCACAGCGAGATACGCGCTGATCTAGATGCTTCTGCCTCAAAGCGGGAGCGACTCGCGGCGCCTTGGCAGCGTGACGCGGCTGCTGAACCCGGCACTGAGCGCGACGATAGAATACCGACTGCGGAGACGCTTGCTGCGGTGGATGCCACCAATGGCAACGCTGCAGGAGTGAAGCGCGAGCTGCCAGCTCACGACCATTCAAGAGACACGGATGACAAGTCTGCGCCTGCTGCGGACGCATCCCGCGTACACCAGTCAGCGTCCGCGAATTCCAATCAAACAGGTGCAGCACCGAAGGAGGCACCGAATACAGCAATGCCTGAACAGCTGGACGTCGACCTGGATGAGAGCAAAGCGAAGCGGCTAACCGTTGCAGCATTGAGGGCGGAACTGGCAAGGCGCCATCTGGATGCCAAGGGCACCAAGAAAGTGCTCCTAGAGCGATTGCTTCATGCGCGTGCCGAAGAGCGCCAGCGTCTGAGTGCAGAGGTAGGCGAACGTGCCGCGTCTACAGATGCTGCTGTCGAGACCTCGGACGCCAGCAGCAATCAAGCGTCTACCGACACACCGCAAGACGCGGACAAGCCCGTCAAGCCGCAAGCGTCGCAGATGGACCTGGCGTCAGCATCGTCAGAGTCACCGTCATCAACTCTCGCTGCTGCTGCTGCTGCTGCTGCTCATACTGATACTGCTCAACGCATTCCTGACACCGCATTACCCATGTTGACACCAGCTGACCCCGCTTTACATACAGCGGAGCTGGGCGTTATACGCGCTCGCGTCGCCAAGGCGCTACGCGAGTCTGCGCTGCTCGACGAGGACAAAAGTGCTTCGCTCCTTGCCATAGCCGAATCGGATACCGCATTCCCCGAAGCACGCTACGAGCGTCTGCTGGATACTCTACTTGAGCGTCTCACATCTCATGCCAAAGTTCCCGACTCACTCCTAGCCCGTTTCCTCGCTGAGTTACCTCGCGTGCCTCCATGGGTGTATGTGCTCTTGTCGCAGATGGCAACGGAACCCCGTCGGGCTTTCTCTGCCCTGGCTGCGCTCAAGGAGCTCTGCACCCTACGTTACAGTGTCGATCGCGAGCGTGCCCTGGACACAACGCTTGAACTCTGCTGTTCTGATGATGAACTGGTGCGGGGACCGGCCTCACGGCTCGTTGCGGACACGCTTTTTGCTGAGCATGCGCTCCTAGCACCGTGGATCGCGCACCGACTCCAGTTGTGGCTGAGCAAGGCCCTGGAACGTGCCCTGCTGAACGCTTCACCGTCACCAGCAGCTGAACGATATCGTTTGCGTTTGGAACGTCTCGCTGCGACGTATCTCGCACTGGTCCGACACGACGTGACGCTACTCGAGTTTTACGTGAATGAACTGTACGCACGAGCGAGCACCGATGCGTCACTTGCCGCGAGCTTGCAGCGTCTCTGTGGCGATCGAGCGCTCTTCCGTTGGTCGGCGACGAGCGATCGTCTCGAAGCGCTTATCCGAGAGGCACCGATCCCGGAAACCAGTCCACTGATTGTCCAGATCGTGGAACTGGTCGCGGAAACGCTGTTCAACCAGACAGGCAAACTGCCGTCATCGCTAGTCGATGCGGTATGGCAGCGGTATCAGCGCGAAGGGCGCGTATCGCTGCTGCTCTTGTTGCCGGTACTCAGGGCACTGTCCGCGGAGCAGGCTCGGCAAGTGCTCCCGTCACTCGTCCAACAGCTGGACGCTGATCAACGACGACTTGCCTGGGAACGTCTGGTGCTGGTTGCCAGTGGACGTACCACGCCACCGCTGACACCGAGCGCGCTTGTCGAGGCCCTGCATCGTCTCGACTCCAAGTCCGAGGCGATTCCGCTGAAACTCCAGATTGAGGCGGTGCAAACCTGCTTCGAGATGGACACGATATTCACTGCGCAGTGCTGGGCAAGTGCCCTGCAGAGTATGGTGCGTTCCCCGCACCCGCTGCCGGTGATGCTCATGCGAACGCTGCTTCAGGTGGTGGCGCGGTACCCCAAGACCCAACACCTCATCCTGCAACTGCTCACAACGCTGGTCACTGAGCGTCGTATCTGGGAATATCCAAAACTATGGCCGGGTTTTATTCGGGCATGTGTGTTGCTGATGCCACAGAGCGCGAGTCTCGTGGTGGCGCATCTACCGAGCGCTGTTCTAGACCGAGCGCTGAGGGAGTCGGCGGAACTGCGCGAAGCACTTGCAGCGTTCGCGGAAGCGCATGCTGAAAACGAGCATCGCGGGTGATCGGTTCTGGAAACGAGCGTGAGCAAGGTGACGAACATGACCTTCGGGTCGTGGTGGATGCTGCACTGATTCCATGTAGGTGCTCGAGCACTGAGCCGTTTCAGGGACTGGTAGCGGGCGTACAGCGACGCCCAGGTGGTGGTGACGGGCTCTTCGCGAAACGCGCAACACCAGCAGCGCCAGTGGCACGAGTTGGTGCCGCGTGGTATGCTCGGTTTCAAGACGCGCTCGCGAATGTCGGGTTGCAGCAGGTTGCTGCGAGGTATCCGGGGGCAATGCACACGCTCACCTTGCTTCTCCTCACCGTAAACGGCACAGTACTGTCCGTTGTCGACGCCATTCGAGCTCCTGTCGCCCGAGCATGATCTGGATCGCCCGCTGGGTCGCCGCTGCAGACAGATGCTGCTGGGTGAGTTCACGTACCAGCCGGTTCAAAGCGAGCATGGAACCAATGGCGATGCGCCGCCGAATTGCTGCTTCGGCTGCTTGAACCTCAATGAGAAATTCCCCGCTCAGGGTACCCTCAAAGGCACCAGGAGGTAGCGCACCTGCGTGCGCTGCGGCCATGGTGGCGACTCGGAAAAGCCGCAGTGCCTCTTCGGCATCAGCAGCTGATGCAAGATCGCTCAGGCGCATCTTGGCCAACGCCTCGGTCAAGCGGATGAGGGATTCCAGCTGGCGTACCGCAATCGGTACAGGAGTCGGTCCATCTGCCGTACGATCGCGCAGCTCCTGGCGTACTGCCACGTACGCTGTTCGTAGTAGGTCAGCAGCCTCTGCGGAGAGGCGTGGTCGGCAACGGCGTCTGGCGTAGGCGACATAGCGACGCAACTTGTCGATCGGGACAAGACCAACGGCGTTCAGCATCTGGCTGGAGGTGAACTCGCTAGCACCGTTCGGTGACAAAGACAGCATTCCTGAATCGCTGATATCACCAGCCGAATCGAGTCCAGAGCCCTGCGGGCGCAGACTGTGGCCCCGTTGATGCAGCGCTAGTACATGTCGGGCAATCGTTCGATCACGTTCATCATTGCGCACGTCGCGGACCAGAAATATGAGGTCGAAACGAGAAAGAATCGTGGATGCAAACTCCATCTGATCCGCTACAGTGCGCGTATCGTCAAACGAACCAAAAAGAGGATTCGCTGCCGCCAAAACTGCCGTGCGCGAGTTCAGCACGGTGGTGATCCCGGCCTTGGCGATGGAAATGGTCTGCTGCTCCATGGCCTCGTGGATGGCGACACGGTCTGCGAGGCGCATCTTGTCAAACTCGTCAATGCAGACGATACCACCGTCAGCTAGCACCATCGCACCGCCTTCGAGATGGAATTCACCATGCGTGGCGTCTCGAATAACAGAGGCGGTCAGCCCTGCGGCGGAAGAGCCTTTGCCGCTCGTATACACGGAGACCGGTGCGACCTTCTCCGCAAACTTGAGCAGCTGTGATTTTGCGGTAGACGGATCGCCCAGAAGAAGCACATTGATATCGCCTCGAATTCTCATTCCGTCTGGAAGCGTCTTACGAGAGCCACCGAATAGTTGGCACAATACCGCACGTTTTGGATCGGAGAGACCCCAGATTTCTGGGGCAATGCTCGCCGCCAAGACTTCGTACACGTTTGGCAGTCGACTCAAGCTGCGCATGGCTTCCTCTTCCTCCGGGGTAAAGCCTGGATGACGGTCACGTCTTTCCTGCGTAGCATCAATGCCGAGGACTCGGATATACGGAGTTCTCACCGCTGCTACAAGGTCTGGTCCGCTAGCCCTTGTGGCAATGTTAGCTGCCACAGAACGACTGCTCCGATCACGAGTGCTGGCGTATGTCGAGTAAACACCGACAGCGCTGACGCGCTCACCAGGAGCTACTCTATCAATCAGATTCCGCTCGAGAACGAGCAGGAGCGATCGAGGGACCTCCCCAGTGGGTACCGACTCGGGCAGCTCCTGCAGCTTCACTGTCTGGTGATCAACAAACACGCTTTCATGCGGCATCACCTCATACGAGTCCAGAGGGCAACGCATTTCCGTCACACGATCGCATTGGCGGGGCACCTGGAAACCACCGAATCCCACTGAAGCACGTATCATCTTTCGGTAGTCACAGTGCTGGCAACGTAACCAGACGACCTGCGCTTTCGCGCGTACTTTTGAAGCGGAAATAACAATGCCTTGTACACGCACAAGGCGCCCCAGCTGATCGGACTGGAGTTCCCTCAACGGAAATGCGTTCTCCTGGGACTGCAGCAACACCTGCACCGAAACACCGCCTATCTCGTGGTCCAGCGGCAGCCGCAGCCGACGTACCACCCGATCGACTGCTTGCTCCAAGCGCTCTATCCATTCGTTAGGCGCTTGGCGAATATACCCAGCCAGTTCTTCATCAAAGGCGTACACGTCCTCTATCTTGATCTGAATCCAGTGCTTGCGAGCGTGCAGCTGGCGCACAAGCTGATCGCGATAAGGGAACACGTTTGGAGCTGAGCGAAACTGCAGCAAGAACTCAATGATTCGCCGTTCTTGGATAGAAACATTTCCACTTTGCTCTTCAGCACCTGGTACTCCAACACCCTGATCAGTATAGTAAACTGGAGCCGCGTGCCAATCCATGAAGCGTCAAAACGTAAACCGTATGACGTTGAACACAGAGCGTTTGGAGCAGATAGCGCCCACCAAGCGTTTCCCGCCAAAGCCGCGCCTCCAAACGCCGTTCGAAAGTCGAACGACGTCGCCGACAGTGTACCGTAGTGGCGGGAAAACCGCGCCCTAGACATAACGTGTCCAGCTGATGTGCAGACGCCTTCCCGCCGTTTCTCGACCGGCCACCTACGACTGCTTCCAACTTTTTCTCATATAATTCGACTTTGAGAGGTTGTCCAACAAAGTTCACTCTTGTCGACTCTGGAAGTCTATTCTCCAGCACCGCACATCTCCGTACATTGATTGCGGCATTAAAGTCACGATTCACAAACTCCATACGTTTCTTGCCATCACTGGTTGTACTTACTAGTGCAAGTAATCCACGAACGTTCACCCTCCTTTCCATTTGCTCCTCCGTCAACGGTCCGTATTTTGCTATTTCCTCAGGGCTCCTGTGGCACTTTTCCATCTCCACTCGCTGAAGTGTACAACCCAGTTCATGGTGTGTATACAATGTTCGAAACTCATCTACAGGTATTGTAACGAAACGCCGTGCGCACTCCTTGTACACCCTTGTCGTTGGAGCTGGCGTACACCCTTTTTTGGTCTTCCAGCTCCGTGCCCCATACGCTACTACGAGCCTCTGACTTTGATCCTCCTTCAAGGCGCTCGGCTGATTGAAAAATTCGCGAACGCCCGCTGCTTCCCACCGTATCGATTCATACGCAGACGAGCCCACCGGGGCTTGGTATACTCCTCCCATAGCGCATCCCAATGCGCAACGCGAACTTCCATGAATCACCGAAAAGCTCGAAAGTCCGCTCCTCGGCTCGTCACCTCACTCAGAGCTTCCAGGTGCTCTTTCATTCCTACATTCCACGTAACGATTTTCTTCCTCGCATTCATGATTCCCGATTGTCGATAGTATCTCGCTCTCGAGAGCCGCAGAAGACGCATATATTTCTGACGCAAGTTCCCGTCAATACCATCTTCCGCGAGCTTGGGAGCAGCGATGGTTATGATATTTGTGCTTCCGGGGTCCGCGCCAACTACAAAGTCGTTCTCATGCGCTTTCTGCGTGGTAGGATTCGCTTCCTTCTCATCTTCATGATTCGCCGCGCCTACGACAAGGTCGTTCCCCTCCATCTCCTGCATCACAGGATCCGCCTCTTTCTTTTCTTCATCCTTCGTCACGTCAACGACAAGGTCGTTATGCTCTATCTCCTGAGTCACAGGAACAGCCTTCTCCTTTTCTTCATGCTTCGCCACGTCAACGCCAAGGTCGTTATCCTCCAACTCCTGCATCGCAGGATCCGCCTCCTTCTCACCTTCATGCTTCGTCACGGGCGAGGCTGAAGGCAGGACTGGACGATCCACCTTCAACCGCCGATCGTGTACACATATAGATACTCCATCGGTTTCGATCATCCCAGTGAATTTCTTTTTCTTGCTTACTTTGAGACGTTTGAAATTGAGGATACTCTTCAAGTACGTCTCCCGGTTTTCAGCGGTGAACTCTGTCTTCCGTTCATCGAACTCCGGACAGATCTCCTTCATGATGTCATGAAGGACTCTGCAGTCGATAGTCTTAAAATGTGACTTGATGTTTCACAACGGAACGATGTTTAAGCTCTTACCCAGAAGCGCAGCCTTTCGTCTCTCCCATTCTTCATTTTTTCCCCACTCAGCTTCATCTCTGCCTTGCGTTCGAGTTCTCGGCCAAAAAACACGAAATACCGTAGGATGAGGCGATAGTATCGTTCCTTATCTTCTTTCCACTCTGATATCTTTTCTGCTGGATTCGCCAGTCCCAAGACAGCACGATGCTCTTGTATAACCGTACGGATGACGGAATCCTCGTTCATGCCCCTGAGTGATGTCGTCTCGTCGATGAATTCGATCTCCTTTTCATGCTGGCGATCGAAGTTTTTGGGGTTCATTGTTAAATGGTTCTTTAGACTGGTGAGGTACTTCATCGCCCCGTAGGTGTAAATATTCGAATCCCCCCCTGTATCGAGTACCGTCGAAGCGGAATTCGGCGTAAATTTTGTGGAGGGCATGAACTCGCTCATTTCACCTAGACGTTTCCCCGGTGCCAAGCATCCGGTGATGAATAAAGGTTTTGTTGAAAATTTCTTCCAGAACCTCGACTGTTTTGGTGTCCGTAACGTCGTGATACCATTCCCTTAGGAAATGCGCCATTCCTTGGGAAGCGTCACGGACACCGCTTGAGTTCGGCTCGACACGGTTCCAGATTGCCTCTCGAACGTTTTCCCTGTACGGATCCTTGGTATGTTGAAGAAGACAGGCTTTCACCGCCATCTCGTCGTACCGTCGTCTTTTGTGTAGCCTTTGACGTAGGGCCTCCCGCTTTTACTTCTTCTTCTTCTTCTTCTTCTCTTGTTCCTTTGGACTTGGCACTGTTCTTCGTTTTTTCGGGCTGCCGGCGACACTGGCGCCCAGGATCCTCCAATTCCCCTTCCGTAACTTTCCTTTTTCAATATAAAAACCGAAACCGCTTTGGATGGGACAGCTATTACGCGCGAAAAAGCACTTGAATACATTAGTGTGAAGGTTGAAACACAATTGAGGACAAACAATGTACTTTTCTACGACTTGAACATCGTTACAATTTGTACGATAGAGCTACGTGCTTCATTTTTCCGATGGAAAAACACTCACATTGACAATGGATCCGAGGTTGCGCTATGCATGGGTATCGGATTCAGCGAAAGCATCCATCATGCTGCATTCTAACTCCAGATTCCATTACGTATACTTCCTTTCGGATGTACTACTCGTCTCGTGCTTCCTGTCATTCGTCGGGTGCATGCGTTGATGCACCCGCCTTACCCTCTAATCCGCTGATGCCGATGCATAACAGAGACAGAACGGCGTTGCCATACTACTGAGGGCGTCGGATCGAGGAATGCTTCACCTGACACAGAGTCGGAGTATATGATCATTCTCGGAGCCAGCAAGCTCCGCAGACAAACCCACTGCACGCGACAGCGCAAAGCGATATACGTGGAGTCCACCGCAACGAGGGCGACACCCGGAAGAGATCTAATCTATCAAGTCCCAGAATAAACTGCAGTTTGGACGAGTTGCAGCTCAGACCGCACTACAGCACCCGCCACCGGGACGAGCGTGATACACTAGCCCAGACAGTCTTGTCCGGCTCGCGGAACCTACCGCCGATAACGTAAACGTTCTAAAATATCGAAAACATGTTCCCCCTTTTAATGTTTATCATAGAGAAGGAAAGAAAATGTGATCTCTTTGCTAGTTAGAGGTTCGTTTCTGTTCCTTTTCCTATAGTGCGCACTCGGTAAGCGCTGGGTCTCATCATTCGCCTCTGCTGCCGCCGCCGCGGCAGCAGTTACGCAACAGGTCATTCGCTCGACGTTCGGGAGAGCGCAGAGCCGAACACGAGCGCTTAGGCAGAGTCTTTCGGGCCTGATCGTGGGGGCGTTTGACCCTACCTGGTAAACAGTGCGTAGTTTGAGACGTTCTGGAGGTCATGTCTATAGACTTCGCGCAACTGGAGGAAGTGGACGGCACGCGCTGGACGTGGCTGTTCTGGCCAACGACCAAGGCCGCAGCTAGCCAGTGCGTGCTTCCGTTTGCGTGTCTTTTTACACCGTTGCGACCGTTACCAAACATGCCCCCTCCGCTGCCGTACCCGCCGGTGACGTCGCGGGAGGGTACGGTGCTCAACCCGTACTGTAGCGTGGACATCAACGCGCGGATGTGGGTTTGTCCGTTTACGTTTCAGCGCAACCAGCTCCCTCCACAGTATGCGAGCATCCCGGATAACCAGCTGCCATCTGAGCTCATTCCGGAATACACAGTTGTAGAGTATCGTTTGAATAGGCCACCGGCCCCACCGCCGGCATTTCTCTTTGTACTGGACACGACAGTGCCCGAGAAACAGTTCACGGTGGTGAAGGAGTACCTCCTCAAGGCGCTTTCGCTGCTACCGCCAGGAACAACAGTGGGCCTGATTACGTACGGGCAGCACCTGCAGGTTCATGAGATTGGGTTCACTGAAGGCTTTCGATCGTACATCCTTCGAGGGAACAAATCCTATGATGCAGCGTCACTGCAGCCGTTGCTTGGACTGGGCGGCGCCTCTGCAGCTGCTGGCGCTGGAGCTAGCGCTGCCGCCAAACAGCGTGCTGATGCGACAGCAGCGGGCGCTCATTCAAAACTGGCACCTCCAGACCGCTTTCTCCAACCCATACAAGAATGCGAGTATATGATGGCAACGCTTCTGGAGGGCCTTCAGCGTGACGCCTGGCCAGTGCCGGCCGACGAACGGCCAAAGCGCTGTACGGGTGCCGCACTCGCAGCGGCTGCGGCTCTCCTGGAATGCACCTACAGGGGCTACGGAGCACATATTTGCCTGTTGCAAGGCGGGCCTTGCACCGAGGGTCCCGGCACCATCGTTGGTCCAAAGCTAGATGAAGAGCTGCGCTCTCATATCGATATTGAGAAAGACAATGCACCGCATTTGAAAAAGGCGCTCAAGCACTACGATGAGGTAGCCACGCGCCTGGTGAACGCCGGGCACGCGCTCTCCGTATTCGGATGTTCCCTGGATCAGGTCGGTTTCTATGAGATGAAAGCGTGCGTGGATCGCACCGGAGGCGTTTTCGTAATGGCTGAATCCTTTGAGCACGACATGTTCAAGCGTTCGTTCGAGAAGTTCTTTGAATGCGATGAAAATGGACATCTTAAGCGCCATTTCTTGGCAACACTCGAGGTCGACTGCTCTCGGGAGTTCAAGATTGCCGGCGTGATCGGACCCTCGGCTTCCCTGGAGAAGAAAGGACCCAGCGTCTCCACGGACACGGAAATTGGTATTGGGGGTACCTGTGCATGGCGAATTGGGAGCATCTCGCCGGACACGAGCCTCAGCGTTTTCTTCGACGTTGTGAACCAGCAGTCGAATGGGATTCCCGAGAATCACTATCGGTACATACAGTTTCGAACAACTTACCAACACAGCTCGGGCGAGTTCCGAATGCGGGTAGCGACGCATGCTGGGCGCTGGTGCGACGGCAACGACCTCGTGACCCTCGCAGCGGGTTTCGATCAAGAGGCAGCCGCCGTCACCATGGCGCGTCTCGCTGCTTTCCGTACGGAAAACGAAGAGGCCTTCGATATCCTCCGATGGCTGGATCGGCTTTTGATTCGATTATGTGCGCGCTTTGGCGACTACCAAAAGGAACGGCCCGAGACGTTCCGACTTGGCCCCAGCATGTCATTCTATCCTCAGTTCATGTATCATTTGCGACGGAGCGCGTTACTGCAAACGTTCAATACCTCACCCGATGAGTCTGCGTTCTTTCGTTCGCATTTGTGTCGGGTGAGTACCGCGGATGGTATGCTCATGATTCAACCCAGCCTGATTCAGTACTCGTTGGAGAGCGCGCCTACACCGGTGCTGCTCGATGTGGCCAGCGTTCGGCCCGACGTTGTCCTCTTTCTCGATGCCTTCTTCTACATCGTTATCTTTTATGGTGACACCGTTGCCCAGTGGCGCAAAGCAGGCTATCATTTGCAGCCAAATTATCGAAACTTGGCGGAGCTGCTGGAAATACCGCGGCGAGATGCGGCAGCGTGCATTGCAGCGCGTTTCCCGTATCCGCGCTGGGTAGAGTCGGACCAGTACGGATCCCAAGCGCGTTTTCTGCTCGCGAAACTGAACCCCAGTGCTACCCACACAAGCGGTAATGTCGATGTACTTAGCGGCAGTGCCGCTGCCGAGTTCATCTATACCGATGATGTTTCCATGGAAATATTCCTTGAGCATCTACGCCGCGCCACTGTAGCGACGACTTGAGCCACGATCCGCAGTTTGTGTGTGTATGGCGGGGCGTTTTCGCGAGGAACATCGCGACTGCGACTCTCCTGGCGTAAAGCAACGTTTCGTGGTCGGTACCCAGCAATGTTTGGGTCGTGCTGCCTGACCCAGGTATCCAGGTACCGAACGGCAGAGCTGGGGCACGAACCAGCCTCGGAATGACGAGTCCGTGACATACGCAGGAATATCGAATGGTGGAACCCCATGATCGTCTATCGGTTGCCTGCGAGAATCGTTCTCGATGTGAGTATGCGGCGCTCTGCTCTCATTCTCTCACTGGGCAGTTGAACGGTGCCGTTTCAGCTCCCAGTTCTGGGTTGGAATCCAGTCCGCTTTGTCGGGGCAACTGATTTGAATACCACCGCAAGTCACCAGCGTTTCAGTAAAATGCCTATACAAACTTCTGAACGATTCTTTCGAGACGCATTTCTCGACACGTAAGCGCTGGATGCTCCTGAACTAGGCAAAGTGTCCGGATGTTGATCGACGTTTTTTCCGGGACTCGGTGCAGTGTGTGCTTGCGCGTATTCTTGCCGGTGATGGAATCATACGATAGCGCGCTTCTCGCTTTCCATTGCCTTGCCATCTGACGTATGGTACGCTGTCCATAGACCATGATCTCGTGCACTCGACTCGGTTTTATGCACATAGTCTCTAAAAGTTTCAACGGGCATTCTCGTACCCATTATATGTGGGTATGGCGTCCCGCACACATCGATGGGCCTGCGAGAGAATCGATTCATGCAGTTAGCGTACGCACTCGTCGAAGGAGCGGCAATGCAGCCTTTGTGTGCAACAGCTCATCCAACGAAACAGATTCCCGTGATACTACACGACATGTCCCACATGCCATTTTTCCAGCGAACGGAACAAGATGGCAGATGTATGCCGCTTGACAATAGAAACCGTTGGCGAACGCTGGACGATCTCATGGACATCCGCTGAAGATCATCGGCGCTCGTTATTTGGACGCTCATGTACGCTCTGAGTTGGAAGCACACAACATATCCAGCTGGGATCGATCGCGTAGTCAGAGCGTCGCGAGGCGTCCTGACACCACCATTTCACCTGGTGGCTCGCCTGCTGGCGTCCACTGTGCCCGACACTGGATCCAATAGAGCCCTGGATGATTTTGAGCAGCTTCCTCTGCTTACCGCTGCGGCCATCGGTGCTGTCCTCTTGATCCAGAGGTACGGCGACGACCATGATGGCCTTCAACCCGAGATCCACGTCCGCCGTGAAGCCTTTCTCTTCATCTACCTTTTACGGCTGACAACGAATCTCGATGCTCGACTCAGGCCTCGGTTTGGCAAAGTGCATGCGGATGGATACTCGGTGGGGTTCCATTGCAATGTCAGCCTCTTTCCAATTTCTGCCTGTAAACGCGAGTCGTTGCATGAGCTTCGCCAATGCCCTTCGCAGTGCTGGTTCACTGCTTCATATCTGCATGCAGATACGCGCCGAAGATCACGACAAGACCATATCGTATACGATAGACATATCTGCTGCAATGCGATGGGTCTCAGTCTCACCTGCTGGGACATGTTCGGACAGAACCTTGAGGAGGCGAGCGTACTCGGATTCGGGTAGTATGTCTGCCGTGCTCCGGTGGGATCTGTTCAGAATGACGTCGCAGCGCTTGATGCAAGCAAGACATGCGTTACGTTTCACTTATTTACAGGATACAACGCCCGACGGCCCAAGACGAAGCGCAACAGGGTTAGCCTGGACGCTCTGAAGCGACTCTTGCTCTCGTTGGGACACCTCACCAGAGCTATGTACCATCCTCTGCTCTTGGACCATTTCGCTGATCAATCGCCATGATCTTCGCCCCATGAATTTCTTCCATCAACGTCGACTTTTCTGGGTAGGTAAGATGAAACTCGAATGCGCACGGGGTGCGACTCATGAGGCGCTCGAAATTGACCAGCCCGTGGTTTTTTAGGTTCGTTTGCTACTTTTTGGCACCGAGCTGTAGAAGCGAGATTAACTGACGTGGCGCGGCGGCAAGAACTCGTACTCTGGGAAGCGTGTCTACGAATCCCTGATCCTACGGTCAGGCTGTACTACAGCTTCTGCCCCGAGCATCGTTTGCGTACTCGTACGAAAGTACGATCCTAGAATTCCGGTAGAATGTGGACAGGTGGCAGTCACGCGTCGTAATCTCTTGTGAAAAGTTGCTCGATGACGTGCATCAAGGCGAGGGAAGCTGCGCAAACCTGGATGGTGTCGCATAGCTCTCAGTCTGAAAGATTCTTGTCGTCGATATGTCATTGTGCCGTGGCCGTGAACACGGATTCAAACGGTTCTTTCCATTGCGATAGGTATTCGTTCCGATTCCTGTTCGTCATTTCCTCTGAAATTTCATGCTTTTCTTCGTCTTCTTATTTTCATAGCTGCATTGCATTGTTGTGCACGGTATAGTCCATATTCGGTGCCTCCTTCGGGATGAAGAAGCTCCGGGAGGAAACTCGAAAACAAACTCGTCATTTCTAGAACGTACCAATGATGCCTCAAGTACATTCCCATTGCCTTCTCGGCCGCGAGTACGCCCACGGGCAGCACGGTTGCATCGCACTCTCTTTGGTGCATGAGCAAAGACACAACGGAGCATTTAAGGGTTAATGACAACAGAGGTCGACATGTCGAATAAAGGTGTCACGGATTCAAACGACCAGTCCATTGATCTCTGCGCGAAATGATGGCGTTCGACAACAGAGAACACGCTTTTGACTCGACTGAACTGGATAGAATAGGCTGGCATGAAGAGCAGCTCAATATCAGTAGCAGCTGCATGCTCCACGACTGCTTTGGCGCGATAAAACACCATCTTATCAGAGATCAGGTGAGAAAGCTGTGCAAAGAAGAAGCCAAGAAATGCTCCGATGAAGAAGCATAATTTGTTGAACATTCCGATCCGTGTGGCGATATAGAGGCAACCATATGATCCCATTGACGCTAGGACTGATGCAGTCTTCACTGTCGCTTGTCTTTTATTTAGAAACACATGTTTGCCGCTACTTGAGTTCCCATGGACATGTCTAGCATTTCCTTCGAATGCAGGCTCAACGAGTGAGATGAACAAGCATCGCTCTTTTTCTGAGCGTTTGCAAGTTAGTATGAAACCAATCTGGACGCACGTTATTTCCTTTACCCTCCGTGCGTCTTCATATTTGTTCGTATCTAAGATACGGAAACTCCATATCCTATTGCCTCTCGTGCAGTTTTTCGCAGGGAATGTGCCGCCAACCATGGATCGACGAGGAAACAGTCATGCGGATAATGTTCGGGGCATTCCCGTTTGGTTGCTTTTCTTGCCGAATAGCTGCTACGATAAGCATTGCTTATCTACCTGCTGAACGTTGAATTGGTAACTTGAAGTTTGCCTGTGTTTCTTTCGCAAGGCCGCAGTTGTACCATCAAGTCTTTCCGCGACCTTTCTTCGATCTGCGAATGACACTCCCTTTTCTCGTATACCAGCGAGACAGAAAGCCGAATCAAGAAGTACTGGTACATGCGTTCCAGGGTCCACTGCTCTGCGAACATCGTAGTGCGCGGTATGGCGCTCGTCGCACGATGCGTTCCAGGATATTGTCGAAGGCAAGTCTGCCACGGGATATCTCCGATCAGACCTAAACCGTACCTCTTCTCAAGTCCTTTGTGTCACTTACATTAGAACAAGGCGCAATAGGAAATTTACGATCGGACCTAAAGCGTACTTCCACTCAAGTCCTTTAACTCGCTGGCGATGGTGAAAGGAGCAACAGCGTGGCGACCTTGCGCAGCAAACGAGCCCGCGTCCGAAGCGCAGGTGCAACCTCTTCACCAGCATGTAAAACCTGTTCATCTAGATTATGCACAAGCTGACGCATGGTTGGTTCCATATGCCGAGCGATAATCGGATCTTTCGGTTGAATCAGCGGCACCGCTTCCTCTAAATACGATAACTTGCATTCGAGATGGGTCCGCAAATCGAAACCTAACTGCTGGACCAGAGAGAGGAGCACAGGCTGGGAGAGCTTCTCGCAGACAAGCTCCGGAGAGCACTGCTTGCAGAGCCAGACCAACGTCTCCAGATCACTTAGATTGAGCGCTGCGTGAAACGCTCGATCCTCGTCCGGCATCGGTTGTTGATGCAGCCATCGCAGGATCTGCTCTCGTGGTGTCGGTGTCGGTGCCGTGTACCCGGTGGGCACCAGTGTCGTCGCCGTCATTCCAGCAGAAGACACAGGTCCTGACGTGGGCCATTGCAGTGTCCGCTGTAACGCTTGTTCCAGCTGTTCGGTAACCGGCTTGAAGCGAACCCGTATGGCCTCGTCGAGCGCTCGAGAGAGCGATGTTGCCGTCTCGGCACTGGTGCGCATCAGAGCCGGCACGAGGTGCTCTTTGGCAATCTGTTGGAGAAGACCGTGCATCGTCGAGGCTGTCTCCGACCTGGTGTGGTTCACCGTGCCCATGAGTTCATGCAGGAGCTGCTCTATACGCGTCAGTCGCGCTTCAAGTTCCAGAATGCGCTTCTCCGTGAACAAAGGCATTCCAGCGCTCGTCGCCTGATCTGGAAAGTCTCCGCGCTTTGGCGTAGCAGCGCCAGCTTCACCATTGCTCTCTGGAGCAAGTGTTCGAACATCGACTGGCAAACTTGAGGCAGCGTCGCCAGCATTTGGACTCGGAGAGCTTGAGGCAGCGCTGCCCACGCCAATGGCCGAGTGCTTTCTGGAGCTTGAGCTTCGCTGCTTCAGTTGCGGAGCGATCTTCCGAAAAGCCTCGTACAGGGTATGGGTGTGGGTCACCAGCACCGGCGGCGACGTCGACATCAACCCCTCGAGTGGCTGCGAAGCTGAAACGTCCAGCACAGGTCGCCCGTGCACCCGGTTTCCGGCAGCATCACCATGATCATCATCGTCACCAGCAGCACCAACAGCACGATGACGATCATCATCATCATCATGAACAGGGTCATCAAGATCATTATAGTTCTCGTCATGATTGGAGCTCTCGAGCGACAACTCGGCCGGGGGTGCTTCTCCTGCTGGCGCCAAGTGTTCGCGACGTACATGATACCCCTGAATACACTTTTCATGCATGCACCACAGGTCAAGAAAGACGTTTTCACGCAACTGTGGTAGTCCAGACTTCTCATCCAGGTCACGTTCTCGACGAACAGAACGAGTCGCACAGAAGCTGGCAATCGAATACCGCAGAGGCACCTGCACCAAATAATCCGGGATAAAGGTTCCACTCGCATGGTGCAGAACAAAAAGTTGCCTGGTCTCGTGATTCGCGAGAAAGAGGAATTCTCCCTCGGGATCGGTCGCTAGCGGCCCCAAGCTCGCATATTCATGAAAAGAGCAGCGCGCGAGGAGCTGTACGCTGCCGCTCTGCGGCGGAGCCCAGAGCCCAACGAGTCGCCAATACCACAGCTCTGTACAACACGATGTTGCAGTGACGAGCACCTGCGGCGCGAGGCTGAGGACACGTTCCACTGGCGCCCCACTGTGAGCGCAGAACTCCCCCACGATCGTGCCGTGCTCCGGTTCAGCGATATGTACCATTCCATGAGCACTAGCTAAAACAAGCAACCAACCAGCTGCAGCTGCCTTGGCAACGAAAGCAATATCACGAACCTCATGCGTTGTTGGAATCACTGTGTGCTGCCTGCTTTCCACATCGCCATCAGCGGTGACGGGAAGCACGTGTACCCGAGCGTCCTCTGTGAAGGCTATCCAGCGTCCATCTGGGGAGAGCGCAATACGGGAACTCCGTCGGTTCGAGAGCTGAAAGCGCCACTGTAGGTGCTCGCTCGGCGATCGCGACGTTCCATCCCAACCCTCGAGCCGCCAGAAGATTACACTACCATCGGCTGCACTAGAGAGCAGGAGCTGTGGGCACTGCGGTGCGTGGGAGAGCTCCTCGACAGGGCCCTCGTGGCCTTTCAGGAGGGCGCGCTGGATTTGGAGCCTATCGAGCAACCGGATATGGTTTTTCACCGCATAAGCGATCCAGTGGTCGTGCACAGCAATGCGGTGCGCTGAGCTCTCCACCAGCGGCGACGCGTACGCCGTCACTGGTGTAACCGCGAACAGTTCCCGTGATGCTCGAGCCTGTTCGTGCAAGCTTGCGCGATAATGAAACCTGCTTCCAAGCAGACGCAGTCCGTAGTCTCGCTGGGGGTCGGGCGTTGCGTTATGAAGGTCTGCATCCTGACTTTCCTCTGCAATTTGAACCACACTGGGAGTGCTGGGGGGTGAAATCGCCCTCTGACCTTGCGCCTGTCCGCAAGACGTCTTGCCTAGTACACCAACGCGGTCCGCTTCCGTGTATTCAGCGCTTTTGTTCGGAGGTACCGCCGACGGTGCCGCGTCCCCCAGAGTGTCCGCTTCTATCCCGAACTTTTCGAAGAGCATTTTTCGCTGTCTAGCGAGTCTTTCATCCTCGTCGCTAATTATATGTGTCTCCATATTAGAGAGGTCCCACAATCCAAAAGCAAACTGATAGAAGCGCTAAAGTCTGAAAAGTACGCTTCAGGAACGCGTCAAGCCCCAGACGGCTTCCGTAGACAACTGGTGCTGTGGTGCTATGGCGTCGCCGCAAACGCTGCACTGGATCGCCAAAGCCAAACCTTAGAGGCTACGGCTGTTGAAGCTGGTAACAACAGCGGTTCAGAAAAGGTCGCAGTGTACTGCGCTCGAGAAGGGCACTGCACTGGGTCGCCAAAGCCAAACCTTAGAGGCTAAGGCTGTTGAAGCTGGTAACAACAGCGGTTCAGAAAAGGTCGCAGTGTACTGCGCTCGAGAAGGGCACTGCACTGGGTCGCCAAAGCCAAACCTTAGAGGCTAAGGCTGTTGAAGCTGGTAACAACAGCGGTTCAGAAAAGGTCGCAGTGTACTGCGCTCGAGAAGGGCGTGTGCTCGCCTTTGAAAGTGCATGGCTACTGCAGCACCTCCGTTCCACTACGGGACGAGAGTCTTCTTGGACTGTACGGACCTCTCAGCACATAAACTGGAATGGGAACAACGGCTTTCCTGCCGTGTCTCCGAGCGGAGGCTATCGCCTCGCGACGCAGTCTGGAACCTGACACCGGCGTCAGAGAGCTTGAAACGCCCGGACGAAGGGCAAGTGCCGTCTGGTTCATTGGAACTTGAGCGGCTTATACAAGCGAGAGTACCGAGTGTTGGATTCCTTGCCAGGGACCCTGAAGCAGTGAGCACGCTTCGACTCACAGCGCTTGAGGTTCCAAACTGTTTCCAAGGAACCGCCTCGAACTGGAAGCTTGCTCGGTTGGCTGCGCTTGAGAACCGCTATGCGTCGATATGGCAGTCCGTCTCTAGCCAGTTTTTGCCCAAGAGAAGCACATACTTCGCGCCAGCGCTGGTGCTCCAGCTGGACGTCTTGCCAGGCGCTTCTGCACTGCGTCCTCGCTTGCAAACCCGGTCACAGAAAGAGCATATCGAGGCAGCGCTGGCGTCGAAGCAGTGCTCTATGAGTGCGCACACCGTGCACCCTCGCTTGGACGTAAGGCTACGGACGCCGCCAGCGAGTCGAGTCACCCCATCGCCAAAGGCGGAGGCGGAACCGCTGCCTTCCCTCACACGAACGGAATGCGATACTCGCGTTGCTGCGACGGACAACAACAACAACAACAGCAGCAGCAGCAGCGCTTCCGTGTTGCATGCTGGTGGTGTACACGACTCAGCATCACCTTTCCTAGAGAGCACCAGCAGCGCTTCCGTGTTGCGTGCTGGTGGTGCACACCACTCAGCAGCACCTTTCCTAGAGAAAGCCGCACACATGCCGGCGAGCAGCGTGCTAGCGCAACAAACGGATACCGCTGTTGCCGAGAGAACCTCATCACCCGGACATGTATGCATTCATTTTGCCGTTCAGTGTGACGACAGCGTGCTACAACAAATGGAAGCCGCTGCGAATCACTTGAGTCTTTGCATGACAGGCAACATGATGGAGTTGGGAAGCTGGAATCTGAACGTCGCTCGTAAGCTGGAATTCTCTGTTCAGCGACGCACATTTTACCTGACTGTAGCGCTGTTTTCGACGGGCGCACTCACCAGCGAATCCATTCGCTACGTATATTTCTTTCTCGACGACCGTTTAGGTGATCGACGCGCAACACGAGTAATATTTGAAGTGCCTGCATACAGCGTGCAACGCACAGGCGCAGCCTCTATCACCACAGCTGAATCGATACTGCGACACTCCTCAACGGATAACGCATGGTTGGATGCTTTTCGTCCTCGAGTTCGCTCGGTCTCGCGTTCGAGTGCTTCCAAACCGGTTCGAGTTCACGACTACATTGAAGCAGTGCAAGATGCTTTTACGTTGATCAAGTTGCGCGTGCATATCGAAAGGCCAGTGGCTCCTGCTCAACCCGAGCATTTGATCAAGAAAGTCTACGCCACCGGCGACGTGTATCAACTGGGGCTATGGACGCAACCAGGTCTTGTGGCCTTACAGCGTGCGGCCTCGGAGCCCGATACCTGGGAACTCAGCATTGTCCGACCGCCGTGGGATGACGTGGAATATATCTACGCAATAGAATCGGAAGCAGAAGACGCTATTCAGTACGAACATCGACCGACACGATTTCGACGTTTGTGCGATGAAACCACTTGTCTGAATCACACGATGGTATGCGAGGATATCGTTTCGCCGCCGAGTACGGCAACAACGCCAACCTTGATCAGCTTATCGGTGAATCCTGCAGTGCTTGTGGGCCCCTTCCTCTCTGCGACACAGCTCCAAACGACGCTCGTTTCACTCGTAGCCGCGTCTACCGACCGGTCACTCGGACTCGTGATCGTTTTTCTACCACACGAACGTGTCCACTGTACAAACCCAGCGGAGCGGGAACAGCTCCAAGTAAGTGCGACGCGCCTGGGCATTCGTCTGCTTCTGGTGCCATTGCCCAGCAATCGCCTCTTGATGACAGCAGAATGGCCCGATGACGGGTCACTTGCCGCAGAAACGGGTACAGATCAAGGTGCGCTTTTGAAAGCTGTGGCGACAGCAGAAGCGGTGCTGCAGCGAGGAAGCGCTGTCTATTTCACAAGCGCTGGAAGCTATCGTGTGCTGGCCACTGTTCTTGCCGTGCTTTCACAACGAGCGGTTTCTACGGATCGGGAGGCCCCGCGAGAGCGGCTTTACGAGATGCTTGAATGCATTCGCCGCGAGACCGGGCTCATTGGTCTGCCGAACTATGCGCTGTGGCGTCTCCTGCTGAATGTTGCTCCCTAGACGGACGGCGATCCACAGTCGCTTGTTGCAACTGGATGCAACTCGCCGCATCTACGAGGCGTCTCTGGGCGAGAGAGCCCCTACCGGGTTGTCTCGACTGCCAGCGCCGGTCCAGGGTATCCTCCGAGAGAACACGGGTCTCGTCGCCCCCGAGCCTGCGAACTGGACAGCGACTGTGCCACAGAGACGCAGTGAAACCGGCACAGTTTTGCAGTGACACTTTTTTTGGTGGAATGCATCAGTTTCGGATGCTTCGTGCCCAGGTGATGCACGCGTGCCCATCTTTCGCCGCACGGAAAAGAGTTTGCGCCCTATTCTGTCACCGGCTGAGGCGAAACCTGCAACTTGTTATGTGAACGCATCAACGTGAACGCTGCAGGCACTCAGAAGGGTGCGTTGTGCGTTCCCAGAAGCCATTTTTCCTGGAAATGCAAGACGTCTGGTAAGTGTCACTCATTCACTCTAATCCAGGTAACACGTTTTATACATCAGGCAATGGCGAGGAAAATTGGGATACCGTACGAACTTTGCATCAGCGCTGTTGTGCAGGCATCCTCTATACCAGTGTTAGGTGAACCTGGAACACTGCATTGCTAGCGCTTTTCATGGCTTTTCGTTTTCTCTAATCTGGTTTCGAATGGGCAACATCGAGAAACACAAAGCGCAGGCATATGCACTTGCCGATGGATGCATAGGTTTCGGATTCTCGGTCGTAGTTTTGGAAGCGGCTCCTTCGACGTGTTGTCGTCGGGGTGCGCTTCGTCACCGGACCTACGATCGCTTGCGACGCCCCGGAACAGGGGTTCGTAAAATAATCGATACCAGTATCCAAGGCGGAGGGATCGGCCTTGACGCTTCTGTTTTTTTAAGAAAAGCACGCCCCAATGACGCATCCTCCAAGTTTTTGATCTGTACGTTTCAAGGCAACTCGTGGGCACAGCGATACGCGCCGCTCGACTGACGAGGACGAATAACTCGGTATCGTTTCGTTACGGGCTCTTCACAAGCGTATGCCGCAAGCTCACGAAACTTGTCACATCAAAGAATCCTTGCAGTTCGAGCGACAAATCGATCTGTCGTTGCCGTCATCCACGGCACAGCATTAGACAGCAGCATGAAGCCCTTCTCGGAGTATGCTCGCAGGGGCGCGAGCGTCTTTTCCGTTTACGTGGATGAGGGTCCTGGGCTCGGACTCGAGTGATCGTAACGAGCGCTTTCAATGTGGAGTGCGTCGCTGCTTTGTATGAATGGAGTGTACATGGAGAGAAGGTTTTCATTTTAGCGGCCTCTCGCTTGTATCATTCTTCCGGTACTTGTTCCTGTCATGGATACCACAGCGTTCCACAGATCCGCTGTGAAATAGACCAGCGTATGCCTGGGCATACAGCGTGCAGCGTAACCCCTGAGGATGTCGCCTAGAAGAAACCCGTGATCCCAGCGTACGGTAGCAGACGCGCAAAAGGGAGTATAGTATCGTGACGAGCCCTCTGTACCCGTCACTCGCATGCACTGAGCGACGGAGCAAGCGTTCACGTGCGATAGGGGAGACCTCACAGGAACAGGAACAGGAACAGGAGGAGCTGTGCTTGGCATAGGAGAACACCTCACCACAATCAGATGTCATGGCTGCGAATCATGCACAGTTGCTGTAAACAAACAAGCTGTGAACGGCAGACGAAACATGAATCGCAAATTCCAAAAGTTCATGACATGCGTCAACGAGAGTCGGAACTGGTCAAATCTGGACTTGAAAACTCCTGCGAATATTCGTCGGGTGCTGCAAGCCGTGCAGGTGTGAATGCAGAGACTGACGTCACTTGGCCGGACATATGAGCGGTAGCAGGGGAAGCAGTCGCAGAAAGAATCCGCAAAGGCTGGTTTTCATGATAGCTGGAAGAGTTCCACACTTGGGTGTGTCCACCAGAGCTGGCTAAGAGGTCCTTTTGCGCTTTATTCTGTCAAGGGTGTATACGCTCGCAGCAACAACTCGTTCCCAAGAACGCTCGACGTTTGCCGTACTGATGCAAACCGCGAAAACCACTGTTCAAAGGCGTGGTAGACCATACCCTGCTCTTCTTTTCGTGCAGCAGCCGACGAGGACTTTACCAGGTCACCGCTTTCCCTTGAGAGCGCTCAGTAGATTGCAACGTCCTGGGCTCGCGTCCCGTCTCAGCTCGTGGAGGCTCGTCACTGAGCGCGAGACCTCGCCAACAAGCCTACTCATTGTGCCTCTGGGCTATGTTACCACTGCAGTGGCTTGCCTTTGGGTGCACGGAAAGCACTGTGAAACAAGCCCGCAGCCACATTCAGGCGCGGAAGACTCGGCTCCAGCCTTGCCACAAAGCGTCGTTGCGTGTTATCGTCAGGGTTCGGAGGTCGCTGACTATCGCCTGCTGCTCCAAGATCGAGTTTGCCTGTCGCTTTCACAATGTGTTGAGCCAGATCACCTGAAATTGATCACACACGTACTTGTGCACGGCGAATGGATTTCCTGGTTGGAGCACGTAGTCGGAGACGGACTCCTCCCCTCGTTACGGTGGATAGGTCTCCTGTCGAGCACGAGTCTGTATGCGCCTGGAGGAGAGTCCTGGATCGACGAAAGCGCTCCACTCGACTTATCCACAGAGAAAGCAGCGGCATGTTGGCAGGCTGAACAGCGAGCAGGAGAGCTCGCACATCGACTGGAAGTGCGACTCGCCCGCTTCCGACTTGGGGCCGTATACGGTCCGATTCCACCATCGCTAAGAGGCAAGCGTGGATGGACACGTCGCAGTGTCCTGGACACGATGTTGGCCTACCACGAGCACAGCGAAACTAGGCAAGGATCGCGGCGACCGCGTGATACGCTGGTGAATCGAATACACGTTGCCGACGCTGCGCGTCTCCTGCTCAGCGGTGTTGCACAGAGAGCAAAGGGCGTCTTCAACCTGGTGGACAATGAACCTGCGACGCGTGCTCAGGTTGAGGACTATGCAGCGCAGTCCAGAACGGGTCAGTTAAGCGCGATTTCTTCGGAATCCCGCCTCCAGAAGCGCATCCGCAACCACACGGCAAAGGCAGTCCTGCTGGGCGGCTCGGCAGATCTGTGGTACCCCAGCTATCGTGAAGGCATTCGAGCGATAGCAGAGGGCGAAATGTTCCCATTTCATGTGGACCAGCTTCCAGAGCGGTTATCGGCGACGAGCGATGCGCACAAGAGTCGTAACGCAAACCCCGGGCGTATTGAATAGGTGTGTATTTGTGTCCGGACACTGGTTGTATGCAGCGACTAGAACCGACAGATACGCTGGTATCTGCGAGTGTTTGACGTTGTTTCGCGTTTACGGGATTCCTTTTGCGAATGCGATACTGCCCGGCTTGCGCTCTGGTTTCCCTGCTCGCTCCGACGAGCAGTGTACAAAATAGGGGCGCCCGCCGCGTGTTGCACCCACAGTCGTTCCCAGACGCGTGCAGGAGAACTCGGAATCTCAAGTCTCATACAGGATGGAGCCCGGAAACGCAGATGCACCACGAACTAGCTGTACGCAACGGAAGCACACACACACACACACACTGGCGGCAGAACAAAAAGTACCGTCGTGCGGGGCGCAGGTCGATTCCGCGCGGTTCCGCTCAACAGCAAGCGTCATGCTAGCGGCGATGATTAACAATCGTTTATCGATCTGCTCGTAAGCTGCTTGCTAGAATAATCAACGAACACGAGTCAACGGTGCGTCTTCGAGCTGCTGCAGCGCTACCGCGTTACATGTGTTCGACACGCCAGCCAACATTGTAGCGTTCTAAGGAGCTTTGAGGGTTTTGTGCTTGAGTGTTGCAATGCACATAAATGCCACATTTCTTCGATGCATTCCCCGGGATCGGTGCTTCACTCGCTGGGGTACAGGTATAACCTGTAGCCCGCGGGTTGCTCGTTTCTCTCCGCTGCAGCACCGATGCGTCTGAACAGAGTATCTTCGGTTACGCAAAACCCCACATCGGTTTCAGGTATGGACCGTAGTTCCTCGGCGGGCTCACGATGAGCCCCATTCCGATGCTCTGCCGACCAGTGCAGGCTCGATCAGTACGTGTGCCGGGCAGGAAAGCATTCTGCATCGAGCGTCATCCGGAAACGGGACAGTGTTGGCGTACCGTGCGGTTCACGGGGTCGATGCACCGCGCCCTACGCTCTGGAATCATCGCGCAACGAGAAGGAAACTGCATTACAGGTACCAAACTTTGGAATTACCTGCAGCGATAAACCGGTTTTAGAAACTACCCGAGATGCCGTATCCAATCAGACAAACATCTCCAAAAAATTCGAACTCTAATACCGGTTCAAGCGATGGATACGCTCTGCAGCACTCGTTCGATGAACATAGTCTCCCAAGTCAATCTTGATTCACCCTCAGATGTGGTATATAGCAGGAGATCGAATTCCGGATGCCATGTACTGAATCAATCGTAGACGAGTTGCCCGTTGGATACGCATTTAGTACGGAACAGTAGAACGAGGACTGCGTTCCTCTTTCTGGTCAGTCATGCCACAGTACGCAGATGGTTGGGGAACACAGTGACAAACAAGTGGATGCGCTCCGCGCTAAAAAAAGACATTCTTAAAGCGTGCTTCGGATCTATGGTAGAAAACGACCGATTGATCATTTCAGGGGAAGCTGGAGCGACGGTAGAAGCCACCATGGGCGTCGCTGCTTATCAACATCTCGTTTGTGTGGTCCTGAAAACACAGCGATTCAGTCGCCAAACCGTCCGATTTCATGCATGGCCATCTTGCACCAAAGTCGCAACGGCAGTGTCTCTAGAGCGTCGCGATCTGTATGAAGCAGAGTAGTACTGGTTTGTTGTTGTTTCAGTCCATGAGACTTGCTTCGGCCGAAACGATCGGAGCATCTACAGGTATCCGCAGCGCAGGGCGCACGTTGTATGAACGATCGAATTCGAAGAGAACGAGGATATCATCATCTGTTCTAACTGAAGCGGATTCCAGTAGCGTGCTCAGTTTCGCTCGTAGGGAAGGCTCCTACTACAGCAACAACTTTATCGAATTGTTGAAGACCTTTGTCCCTGACGCCTGGTAGCATCCCTCTATGGGAGAACGTGGTATTCCTCCACGTCGCATACGTTCGAGCTTTGGCCGATGCTGCCGCGGATTCGAGCTGCGTTCCATTCCTCCGTACGCTCCGTGGCTGAACAGAATCGAAGGAGCCTTTTCTATCCTGCAAGCTGATGATCGCTCCACTGGGCGAATCGCTGAAGCTTTCAGCACACAGTGTCACGCCCGGGTGGATGTCGTCTTTCTTCCGCAAGTCCGTCTTCTCCAGAAACGGACCTTACCTAGAGGCATAAACAAGAGCGTTCATTTGAAGAAATCACAATCCAAAGGATGCGCTGGGGTGTACACTTCAGAGAGTCGCGGTCGGGAAGAGTCAGTGGAGCGCTCCGGCAATAGAAAAGCACGGAGCGCTGACAGAGCGAGAAGGGCACCAAGGGTGCGACATCGACGACCCCCTGCACTGGTGCGTTCCGTCAGTGGCACCTAACGCATGGAGGTCGTGAACCGAGACTGGAACGCCGCTGTCAATATCAGAAGATGTGCGGTTCTGAGGAAGAGCCCCAAGGTGCTGACGCGATCCAAATTCCTAGGGTAGCCAGTCATACTCGAAGTGTACAAGAAGAAGCTGAAACCGGTTGCAGGCAGCCGGTCAAAAAAGGCTGGTAGGTGACTCTGAATGGATATTCACTTTCCCTATGCTCGCGAAACATGTTCGCTTCTTAAGCACTGCGCCATAAAGACTCGAGGATAGCTAAAGGAGCTGGCGACTCCCTGAAAATGTGCTATGTCTCGATAATCTCTCGTGTGTGTTTTGCGTTTGCGACGGCACCGTCCCTGAACCAGGTGCGACGAGCTTTCATAGAGGTGTACGGCACTTGGAACTCGGGCGCGTCTGCAGAGGTGCTGGGGTCCGTTTCCCTGCTCGTACCCATATCCATATATCAAAAAGGAAGCTGTTTGGGGACTTGAATTCTACTTCATCGATACGAAACAGTTTTTCACTCGTTCATGACGTCAGAAGCGCGCTTCTGCTCTGTGCGACACACGAGTTGATCAAACTCGCCGGTTACCGGTGAGCCAACAGTGCCGACTCTAAGGGTAGCAAATGCGCACAAACGAGAAAAAAAAACATCGTCTGCAACAGTGCCTCAAACCAGCCTCGGGTCTAGGTTGCCAGATCAGCATCTGCGGGAACTGGTTTCTGGGGAAGGGTGCCATTGTCGATGCGTCGCCATTGTTGGCTACACTGTTTACGGGGTTTTGTATAGGGTCCATTTCCAAGATATTGTCCGGTCTCCGCTTTCAAAGGAAGCTGTTTTCTGTGTAGAGTGAAGGCAGATGAACATCGTTTCTTCAACCTTTGCTGTCAAGCAACACGGCGGACAGGCCGCCGTACATCGCAGTCGATTCCGCGGGACACGTGCAACTGCCTACCCTGGATGGAGTCCAAACGAGAGCGCAAAACCCGGAAAAGATGGGAATCTGGAGCTCCCGCTCTCGGTTCCCAGGAAGCCCTTCAACTGTGAACTACCTCTGCCTCAAGATAAAGTCGCTGGGCGAGCCAGCGAAAAGCGCGGGCTCCTCTGCACTATGAGCTTATCTAGTGGTGGTCTTCACGAGCAGTTGTGTCATTTACACCCCAGCTCTAGTGATTCCAAGTATACCCAAGGCGGCAGCGAGTTCGAAACAAGAAATGCTGGAGAGTTTGACTGGACGGGATCCCAGCAATTGCCCCGACTTGCAAAGGGCTCGATCTCGCTCCGATACGTTTTGAAAAACGAGGGTGAATTCACCACTCGGTTGACCGGTGCTGTTGCGCACCGTGAAGACCGGAGGGATTGTGGTCCCCGGAGGCACTCTGACCCCATGATCAGCGAAGCAAGCGAGTATGCTTGCACCTTGGCTGGTATCCAGCTGGAACGGGGCTATGAAACGATGCACGTCACGCTCTGTGACGGTGGCATCGACTCCCGAAAGACGCAGACAAGGAGACTGTGTCGCCGACATCAGGTCCATGGGGCCTTCACGAGTAGATGCTGAAGTTCCAGCCTGGACGACAGGCGCAAGCCCTTCCGGTGGTGTGTGCGACACCATCTCGGGCCGGAATGTCGCCGAACTTGGCGTCCAGTCGCCTGGTTGACGAAGCGGGACACCCATCGCTACCGCGCTCGCTTGCTGGGATACGTTAGCTGGGCTCAACCCCAGCTCACGATCCGTGCGGTTACCGTTTCGTACTTGTGCCCCACTGGTTGCTGCGGGGCTCCCGGCTGCTCCTAGACCGAGGGCGGCCCTTTTTGCCTCGTAGCGGCTGAGTAGATTCCACATGTCCTGGTGTGATGACAGGAAAACTTCAATATAGCGATGGCCCATGCGATCCTCGTGCTTGTGGAGGCATCGTGAGGCATCTTCTGGAGAGGCAAACTGAACGAAGACCTCGCCAGTTTTGCGCCCCTGGTGATTGTAGACGAACACAATGCCTCCGGGGAGAACCTGCAGCGGGCGGCGAATGAAATCCTCCAATAAGGACGAGTCTGCACCCATCGTGGCCTTCGCGGGCGGCTGTCGAATCCATTCAGCAACGTCACGCGTAGTCGCAGACCATGGCAAGCCTCGTAGGCGCACGACGCTGCCTACCGGTGTTGCCGGTGCTACAGTGCTTGCCGCACTAGCGGTCGAGGACGGGATAACCACTGACTGTGGTGCTCGAGCGGTACTTGCTGTCCCCAGCAATTCGCCACCGGCAAATGGCGTTCCGATGCCAAGCGCATCTCGGTGGCTCCTCACGGGTGGCATTTGCGCAGGAATGCCCATGGCCACGCTTTGTGCAGGCATGAATGCTCCGGGCCATGAGCTGCCACCCACCATCATATCCGCTCCAATGTATGGCAATGTACCCGAGGCGTATCCGTTTCGCGGCATCGATCGCATGAGTCCACTATTCCAAGAAAAGTGTTCCGGGATAAACATGCCTCCGTCTTGGGCGAATCGTGTATGCATTTCTCGGCAGGCTGCAAACGCATCTGCACCGACGGCGCTGCGCACTGGACATATGTAGTAGTCCCCTAATACCAAATCGAGCGAGTTCCGAATGACCGTCTCGGATTCGGGTCCTACTGCCGCCTGTTGGAGCAGCTGCTGTTCCAAGTCGTGTACAAGCTGCATCAGAATTCCCTTGCTAGCGACCACGGTCCCAAATCGACGATCATACTGTACAAAAGCTTGACGCGAATAAGCGGCCAGCTCCTCGATTGCATCGACTAAGTTATACATGACTGCAATATCGTTACTGATGAGTACAGGATATACGCCTCGCCTGTCACTCTCCGCCTCGAGTGCCTCTACAATACGCTCCGCCCCGGCATCCGAAGGCTGCAAGAGCGATCGCAGACGCTGACGTAGTGCAGCTGAGACCGGTCGCACGTACAGCTGCTTGGCATCGAGAACGCGTGCGCGCCGATCACCAACCAGCCACGCGAGACGGAAGACTTCAGAAGCACCCCGATCCCCAAATAGTCGCTGAATATCGAGAAACAACAAATAATCAGGTCCAGTACTCGCCATTCTTCCAAATCACAACAACTGATAAACAAAGAGCTATCGTTGTCGTTGAGACCCAGTTCAGCGAGACTGCTTCAAGTCGCGCATGCGCTCGTTCCGCACAAGTGCGCGCCACCTTCGTAGAGCTTCCCCTTAAAAGCTCACGCCCCAGAGTCTCTTCTACCCAGATAGAGACCAACTCGCCTCACGGCGCAAGACTGGTCTCAAGCTCTCCAACCGCGGAACGCAGCGCCCGTCTACGCTCCTCTTCAGCGAAATGTGCACCTAGCAGCACGCAGTCCAACGCACTCAAAGTCACCGGGTAGGTTCCGGTCCTCTGCTCCTCGACGCACACCCCTGGAGATCTAGGCATCGATTCCACGCAATACCGCGTGGAGGACAGACAGTCACCGAAATCGTGCGTGTGCAGTATGTTTCGTCAGGCAGCGTCTGTCGTACGGAAGTCGACTGCACGACACGCACGGCGCGCGAAATGGTGAACACGACACCGCCCGGTGCCGAAATTGGACACTCGATGGCACCGCCTTGCATGGTGTGCTGCTGCGGAGGCGCACCGCACGCACACGAACAGATCGGAGGCCAGCACCCGCCGGCACATGCACTTTGGGACTCGCTTTCCCGCGCACTGCACGATGGTGGCGCTTTGGATGATTGGGTATAGACGATATCGGATTTTTATGGACTTTATTGGAAAATTGAGGAACGTTATGGGTGCTTCGTTCGGAAGCGTCGCTGGCGGCGCCGTTTTCTTCGATGACGAAACGTTTCCATGGACCATGGATCCCAGACTGCAAGATGGATAATGGCTTTCAGCAAAGCGTGTATCATGCTGCACCCTACCTCCAAGTTCCATGACCTGTTCCCGGATATATACTGGTCGCTTCAGACGTTCTATTGTGCGCCGAATGCACGCCGTGAACATCCGGCATTGCGCTCCCACCTCTGGTACTGATGCAGCACGCAGATAGAACGGCGTTGCCATACGACAGCGGACGTCGGCTCGAGGCGTGGTTCGCGTAACACGGGAATGGCGTATATAATAATTCCGGGAGCCTGCAAGCTGCGCTAACGGACCTACTTCCTGCGACAGCGCGAAGCGGTGTGCTAGGACACTCCCGCAAAGCAGGGCGACACCTAGACGGAGCATACCCGCTCCCAGTCCCAGAATGAATTGCGTTGCAGACGAGTTGCTCAGATCGCATTGAAGCACCTGCCACTGAGAGAGAGGGACATGAACCACGAGCCTGGGAGACTCGTTCGGCTCGCAGGACCCTTTGCCTGTAAGCTGAACTCTCGGCAATATGGAAAGATTTTCTCTCGTTCAACGGTTACCATAGCGAGGGAAATGAAATTTTATCCAGATGCTAGTTAATGGGTCGTTTCTGTTCCTTTTCTGTAGCGCGACAGATACGTGCAGCTCCACATCTGGAAGGCATGAAACACGATATGCGTCTTGGCGTTGAAGGGAAACACGTTTCTTATCATTTGCATGAAGCTCTAACGTACGAGAGGTATCGACGTTGACGCCACCGCAAAGCATCGTCTTTTACCTCAGTTGGGTTCAATCGCCAGGTGCGTGTCATGAAACGTGTTTTCGCGGTTTATAGCAGACGCGTTCAAATTACGCTCTTTTTCAGAAATAAAAAATAAAGAACATTGCGGATAAGGGAATCGAGGTTCCCGGAGGGCCGATGTCACCGACTGCCGGAAAAACACGAAAGAAATCCTCTTTTTCCATATCAAAGAATGGAGAAGTGCAAGTAACGAGGAAGAAGAAGAAACTGGGAATTGGACGACAAAAATGTTTACGACCGACGGGACGATGGCGGGAAGAAATCGACACTGAGTGGACCAGTTTTAGTAATCTTTGGACTGGTGCGTCCAGCCGACTGCAATGCACGCAGGGAGTTCCAGAATCGATACGTCAATGCCGCAATCAATACCAGACGATGCGCGGTGCTGACGACGACAACCGCGGAGATGAGGCAAGCGAACTTCGTAGCGCAGCCTCTCAGACTCATAGTGTACAAGAAAAAGCTGAAGCCAATGGCAGATGGCTCGTCGACAAAGGCCAGGAGGGACCTGTGAGTGGGTATACGTTTACGATCGATAGTCATGGGGCATTTTTTGATTGATCAACGATTTCTGGGAAACTTTTTTCTGAATATGTCGGAAATAGGCTTTGAACCTTGCGCATGAACACTAACCTGCGGGTCACGTACTACTGTCATCAGAACCAGTCTTTGCGGGTTTTTCGGCAACTGGTTCAATTTTTCTCTTTTATCTATGGATTCGAATATGCTAGTGACTCCGTTGCACCCGGATGAGTTGTCAGCAGTCAAAGAATGGTGATCGTAGCGTTAAAAACTTCGAATTTCGATGTTGTCGGCTGTTGTGGTCGGCGGATGTGCACATGCGAGAGTTGTAATCCATACATCGCTTGCCATTATCAGATTCCTTGCATAACGTCGGGATGCTGCATTTCCAACGCTGCCATACGGCTGTGGTCAGGTGTTCCCGTATGTGTCCACCACGATTCATCGTCCAGGTGCTGCCCTGTGCTGCGTGAATGCTTGCCTCATCGCCGTGTACATCCCTTTGACGGAGACAGGGGGCTCGCTTTTATGCCCTATTCCGTTTGCGCGCGCTGGGCAGCTCACTACGATTTCCAGCATGCTCTGGGCGATCCCCCAGGCCAGTAGGTCACCTGCTGTGCGTGCAAGCGCACGATGTTTCATTCGGTGGAGGATTTTTCGAACCTGATGCTGTCTATAATGATACAAGTGCAGTAAGGAAAATCCAGTCTGCAGGAGAGTTCGCGCGACTTCGACCCGACGTTTCTCGCTTCGGGTAAACCTATGACACATTCTCCATTTCATACGATCGCAATGGTGACTCAAATCCGAGGCCGTGGCCCTCCTCCACGCACACAGACAAGACGGGAGCGTCTGCAAGCATTTTCCGTGAGATGGATGATGCTGGTGTGGAATGCCGTATAGTTGACAGCCACAAACACATTGGAATTTGTCCTTCCATATGAATTCATTTTTTGACCTGACAAGGTCAGTAGATTTGATATGAGCGTGCGGACAGGTCGCCAAGCGACGAGATCGATATCTTTCCTTCATCCATCGTGGTGTGCGAATCGCTGCATCCATCATTTGCCTTGAAATGGAAGTTTCGAAAATCTGAAGAATGCGCGATTTGAGCATGTTGCATGTAAGGAAGAGAGAAGCACGGCGACGCGTATCCAGGAACGGGATAACGGTATTCGTTATGTAATAAACCATTGTTTTCGGGCCTTGAGAATCATTTTGACTGCGGTGGCGCAAAGAATTCCATCGACAGAGAGTCGAAGGAGCCACGGCGAAAAGAAAGCCGAGAATCATGAAATTCCGTATGCATAACTGAGCATTTCGTGCTCGACTTCGAATATCGACTCCATGAATGTACGACAAGAGTTCAACCACGAATCGAACGGCATGAACAGATGGAACGGTTCAGCATACTACGATACTCTGGCGAAACCATACAAAGAAATTTTTCGAATTTGATAAGATACCCTGGCGAACAAGCTGAATGCCGTTCGTAACCTCAGATATAGATGGGGTTTTATCTCCCGTTCGAATCAAACTCTAACAGCAATCGTCGTCAAGTCACCATGGCTCTGTACTCACAGAAGCCTCGTCCTCGCCACGAAGCGAATCGAGCTGCTACAAGGCCGCGCGTCCACTTCTAGCGCACGTGCCGCACAGAAGCGTACTCCGTTCGTGTGTATCGCATTTGCAGATGTCATGCACGCGCTGTCTCACGTGAGCTCGATGTGCACCGACGGTAGCGGATGCAGGCAAACTCACTCAACGGCGCATAGCTCGTGACCATGCTGTCCATGCGCATGCACAAGACGCGCCCCTGGTCGCTCACGATGAACCTCGCTTGAAGAAGCTGGCGTACGCTGATGGTGTACCCACTCGCAATTCAAGTGTCTTGCGTGTGCCGAGCGCCTGCGAGCCTCGCGGGCAGATCGATCGCGATGCGTCCACGATCGACGCGCAGGTCGACTCTGCTCAATCATCGACCTTGCACGAAACTATCCTACGATGATTCTTTTCTACCTATGAAGGGATGAAATTATATATTGTTACACTTCTGTACATTGCTGGACAGGACAGACGTGGCACCGAGACGCAGATTGATCGGCATGGCATCGCGGGTCGCTCTGCGTGTCGTCGGGGCAGCGCGCATGCGCATGACGCGGAACCCATCGCGCGCTATCCGCTCTTCGTGGATGACCGCGCTCTCTCAGTTTCCAAGGAAATGAAAGTTTCAAGCAGGAAAGTATAACGCTGTTCGGTTAGTTTGAACGGTATGAACTTTGGGGACTCGAGTACGACACGACAAATAGGTTTAGGTGAGCTGTGGCCGCTCCTGGCAGATGTTGACCTCAAGTGGTTTGCTCGGTTCCTGCGGGTGCTTTTGCAGCTCGCTGAACCTTCTGATGAGGACACGGGACGAATGCCGCGGCTCGAGGCTTCGGGTATTGTCACCGGGAATCGAAGCGGATGTCGTTCTGGACGCCGTTTCACAGCAGAGGATCGGTTTCGACTACCGCTGAGTGCGTGCGCGCTTCTATGGGAACAGGCGCGCGCCTCCAACGACGCTCCCGGAAGACGAGGTCCCGGGGAGGTCGCTGCTGGCGACGAACCGTCGGCTTCGGAGCGCAAGTTTGACTGGGAGGACAGTCAAGCATGCGTTGTGTTCACGCTAGCGGAGCTGTCTTCGTTGGTTCCAGCTTCGATTCGTGAAGACTTTGATTCTGTGTTGCGCTGTTTACTCGAGGATGAGGATGAAGTCATCATCTTAACCGAGAACACACAACTTGAGTTGCTTGATGCTGTATACGTCACAGTTACGGGTCAACCGGGTATCCCAGCCTGTGTCTTGGTGGAACGATCCTATGCGAATGTCGAAGCGCACATATCGCTCTTGTGCTGGGGTCTCTGCGAACAACGGCTGAGCTTTCCCACCTGTACACCGGATTCTTCATTGGAGAATCGGCTGTGTCCAATTGCGCCGATCGAGGGTCTTCATCAGTCGACGGTGAAGCTTATTCAGGAGCATGACGCGTACTGGCGCTGGGGTGTGGTACAGATCCTCGAATACCTGCTGAGCTTCGGTGACACAGCGCTGCGTCCAAAGGCGCAGGCAGCCCTCGAGCAAGGCATTCAGGAGGCGCCCGAGGTGTTGGCATGTGCTCTAGCGGAGACGCCGAAGCCAACCTCAATGGGCGGTGCTGCGCTGCGGGAGCATGCACTGGACGTGCTGCTTCCGTCTTTTCTGATGGGAGGCACGAACCCAAATTCAGCGGCAGTCGCTCGCCGCGTGTGGCAACATGATCGAGCTGCGCTCATACGTGCAGCCATGCACTGTTGGCAGAAAGACAGGGCAGCCGCTGCTCGTCTCCTGGATGTCGCTCAAGACCTCAAGGCTGTACCTGAAACATTGGCAGTGGTGCGTCCTTACGAGTTCGCGATCGATCTGGCGTTGCTGGCTTCACGGCGAGAATACATCAATCTCCGCAAGTGGCTACGCGATCGTCTCCATGATCACGGATCAGAGTTTTTTGGGGCATGCCTCAATTATCTGAGCGAGCGGGCGGCACAGGGAGATGCAGCTGCGCTCTTTTCGCTTGAGGCTACGGCTACGATGCTCAAGGTGTTGACAGAGAACGTCGGCCTCGTGGACGAGCGCATGCGCGAAGAGCTCGATCAGCTTTGTCGAACTTCGGCAAAAGAGGGAGATAGCCAGGATGCTTTTCCACCAGAGATCGAGGAGCGAGCGAATCAGTTTTTCCAACGCATCTATGCGGAGAAAACGTCCATAGCGCAAGCGATAACTGAGCTCCAGGAGCTTCAAAATTCACACACCGAATCGGATGATATGCTGGTGCGCTGCATCATTCACAATCTGCTCGATGAGTATCGGTTTTTCAGTCGGTACCCGGATCGAGAGCTCCGCATAACAGCGGAACTTTTTGGTGCGCTCATCAAAAATGAGATCGTGGTTCCACACTCCCTGATGTTCACGCTGATCATGCGGTATCTTTTGGAATCACTGCGAAAGTCGCCGCCGAATAAGATGTTCCAGTTTGGTCTCATGGCGCTGGGAACTTTTCAGCATCGCCTTGCGGAGTGGCCCCAATACGCCAGATACATCGTTCAGATGCCACACCTGCGCCAAACAGCTCCTGAGTTTTTCCAATCGGTCTTGGCGATCGTAGAGGGCGCCGAAGGCCACGAGGCATTCCACGGAGAGGCACCAGATGAATCCGATGCTTTCCGCAGCGGCGCGAAGAAACCAGTGGCAGTTGAGCTCAGCACAGGCGCTGACGCCAAGTCGACGAGCGCCAGCGCCGAGCGTGCTTCCCCAAGAGTTCGCGGTGAAACAGTAGCCGGCGCAGGAATGCAGGATATGCACAAAAACATTATGGGTGCTGCGGAGCGTGCTTCGACATCAGCGTCACCCTCGAGTGCCGTAGCTGCATTCGGTCTCTCGACACCGACCACCTTAGAGGTACTGCTGCGGGCATCGCGCGATGAGCAGCGACCTATGAGCGTTCCTGATACATCAATTCAGGATAAGGTGCACTTTATTTTCAATAACCTCTCTCCGGAGAACATGGACAGCAAGGTGCGCGAATGTTTCGAGATTGTTCACGAGGAGTACTGGGATTATCTTGCACAGTACATTGTGGTGAAGCGCGCATCCATCGAGCCAAACTTCCAGGCTACCTACGTCATGTTCCTGGAGCATGCACCCCATCTGATACCACTGGTTCTCCGCAAATCGTACGATAATGTGCGCATTCTGCTGAACTCGGAAAAGATCCGCTACAGTACCGCGGAGCGCTCTGTGCTCAAAAACATCGGGATGTGGATCGGTTCGCTCACGCTGGCTCGGAATCGACCTATTCTTCGCCGCGATCTGGACCTCAAAGCGCTTATCTTGCAGGCGTACACCACCGGGCTGCTCATTGCCGTTATCCCATTTGTTTGCAAGATACTGGACGCATGTCGAGTGTCGCGCATCTTCCGCTTGCCGAACCCCTGGATCGCCGCCATCTTTGGACTGCTTCGCGAGATCTACGAGCTTTCCGATCTGAAACTGAATTTGAAGTTCGAGGTCGAGGTGCTGTGCAAGAACGTGGAGATCGATCTCCACAGCGTGAAACCCACGCACCTGCTCGCTTCTCGCAGCCGCCCCGTGGGTCGTGAGAACCCCGATTTCACATTCAAAGAGGGTAGCGACCTCTTGGCGAGTCCGAGTTCACGTCGAGAGATGCTCACGCCGCACAGCGCGACACCATCGACGTTACCGACAGCGGCAACACCGGGCTTGGCGACAACCGGTACGGAACGGCCGCCTGGTGCAGCAACAGCAGCAGCAGGTGCAGGTGCAGGTGCAGGTGCAGCAACAGCAGCTCTAGCCTCGACGCCGGCTGGAGCACTCGCGAGCGCAACACGAGCCGACCGCTCCGACGATCGTTCGAGTTTCGATCTGGGCGCACTGCGCTCCTCGTTGCACTTGGCGACCACGGCGCCTCCGCTGGCGGCTGCAAGAGCTGCCCAGCTTGCAGCACAAACCGCAGCGATTGCCGACGGCGTGACCGTGATTCCCAACCTCTCCCAGTACATCAGTGTGAATGAACACCCCGAGTTGTTCCAGAATCCATCTGTACTCAAGAGAATTGTAGCAGTTGCTATTGATCGAGCAATCCGCGAATTTATTCAACCAGTGACCGAGCGTTCCGCACTCATCGCCCTGGTAACAACACGGGAGCTCGTCGCCAAGGACTTTAGTCAAGCAGATGGAGAGCTAGCGCTCATGGCTGGGCAGCGCATGGCACAGGCGTTAGCCAGCGGCCTGGCGCACATCACGTGCAAGGATCCCTTGCGTATTTCCATGATAGGGCATTTAAGATCAGTTTTTTCTAATATCGGTGGTGATCAGACGATCGTCGAACAAGCAGTGCAGGGCATTGTCGCGGAGAATCTGGATACCGCTTGTGCGATTATTGAACGTGCTGCAGCGGAGCGGGCGACACGCGAGCTGGATGCCAACATGCTGGTTGCAGCAATGAGTTCGCATCGGCGGATGCCGCAGCTGCCTCCGTCACTCGTGTCTGTGATGCAACAACCGCCGATACCGCTGTTGCAACCACCGGCTAGCGTCTATGAGGCATTCTCTATGCGGGCAACGGCACTGTGGAATTATGGAGCGATGGAGAATCACGTGGTGAAGACCACTGGGTATCCGTCGGCGTTTGCTTCTGCTCCTCCATCGGTAGCGCCGCTCTCTGTAGCGGGGCAATCGACGAGCGCTCCAATGGGTGTTGGCGGAGTGGCGACTGCAGTGACCTCTTCGGCGATACCCATAGCGGTTGCGACGACAGATGCAACAGGCGCCGGACCAGCAGCTGCGCAGCGCTTCCCCAGTGGCGCAGCAGCAGCAGCAGCAGCAGCAGCAGCAGCAGCAGCACCACCACCGCCAGCAGCAGTAGCGTCTGCGGTGTCGACTCCGGGGGGCCTCACGGAATCGCCTGATGCCCTGATGCGCATGGTGAGCGCTGAAGAGCGCTTCATGCAGGCCTACGCGCTGCTGATGAATGTGGCGAACGCGGAGCTGCAAGCCAATCCGGAGATGACGCTCTCGGCGGCTGGCGGCACGAAACGCGTTCTTCAGCAAATCGCTGCGCTGGTGCGACGGTTTGGCGATATGGAGCGGCTGTGTGTATCGCTGGCGATGAAAGTGTTTCGGTGGCTGCTTGACGCGCGCGTGCGTCTCCTTGTAGAAACGCACGTTGTTTTGCTCAAACTACTCAGCGATCCGGCGCCACGAATCCATGCGGATGTAGCTTCCTGGTGTGCAGCCCTGAGCGCGAAGGGCAACAACACGAACGTGGACGCGGATCATCCACTGGGCGTTGGCGTCGAGCTCACACCCGATATCCTGCACGCACTGCAGCGGGGCGGTTTTGACGTGCTGCACTCGCGGCTGCTGGATGCAGCAGCTCCGCAGACACCCGGGCCAGCCTATGCTGGAGGCATTAGCAACGCTGGTGGCGGTGCTGGTGGCGGTGGTAGTAGTGCAGCGGCAGCGCCGTCGCTTGCGCCTATGGAGATGGCGGGTGCGGGTGCGGGTGCGGCTGGTATGCTGCCTCCAGCACCGCCGCTTGCTGGCGTGCCTGTTCCAGGGACGTCGCTCCAGGCGTCCCCATTGATGATGCAGAAATGCGGCACCGCAGGTGCCGTGAGCAATACCTCCGAACGGGAACAAATCGCGCATCTCATGGACGCCTGGCAGCATATCCGCAATTCGGGCAGTTCCTTGAGTGAGCTGCTTCCTTTACTGAGTCGTTTCCAGCTAGATGCGCTGGTACCGGCGGTCGTTGCTTACGCGCTGGAACCCGGACATCAAGTGCTACCATCCGCTGTCGATGAGGCAGCGCTTCTCGTTGTTGCACTTGTTCGCGAAGTGCCCGGCCTTGATCTTTCGGAGCGGATGGTGCTGCTGCAGGCTGCGCTGCAGGAGGCAGTACAGCAGTTGCTACGGAATGCTGGGGACCCACGACCTCCTGCCTGGTTTTTGCGCAGTTTGGCTCGGGCGCTGCACGATACCGACCGCGAACGATACTCGAAAGACGCTTCCGACGATGACCGCCCTGCTAGCAACGAAGTCGCGGGCAGCGAAGGCCCGGCCAGCTCGACGCCGGACTTGAGCATGTCGAGCCCGCAGATTTTGTCCTTGTTTGGCGTTGCGCTGCACGCCATCCGGCCGGCTGTCGCACCAGTCTTCGCTTTTTCGTGGCTAGAACTGGTCTCGTGTCCGCTGCTAATGCCAAGGATGCTTCTGAGTAGGCAACGGGCCGGTTGGCCTGCCTTTCAGCGTCTACTCGTGGATGCGCTGGAGTTTCTGCAACCCTTTCTGAACGCCGTTCCCAAGGGTCAGCCATTGAGATCAGCGGTGCGCCTCTTTTATCGTGGTGTGTTGCGGCTTCTTTTAGTAGTCCTCCATGATTTCCCAGAGCTTTTGGTGGAATCGGCGCCGGTTCTCTGTGATTACATACCGCTGCATTGCGTGCAGCTACGAAACCTGGTGTTGAGTGCGTTTCCGTCCAAGTTGCGGCTGCCGGACCCGTTCTCCCCCGAGGTGACCATCGAAAGCGCAACCAAGATACATACGGTGCCACGTCTGAGCGCCAATCCAGCTTCAGTATTGGGACGAAGCGAACTCCGTGCGGTGCTCGATGAATATCTGCAGCAGGGCGCCCCGACTGGATTCATGTTGAACTTGTCCGCGCGCTTGCGGGCTGACGATCCACTTGGCAGGTATGTGGTGCCGCTTGTGAACGCCGCTGTGCTCTACGTGGGTCAGTACGCTGTGCAGGCCCGGGCAATGGAAAGCTTTATTCCAGTCTTTCTGCATTTTGCAGAAGAGCTTGATGACGAGGGTCGTTTCCTGCTCATTTGCGCGATGGCGAATCAGATTCGCTACCCCAATGCGCATACCAGCTTTTTTGCGCTGTCGCTGCTGCACCTGTTTCGCCACGGACACGTTCGCATTCGTGAACTGATTGCCAGGGTTCTTGTTGAGCGCCTGTTTGCAGCAAGACCGCATCCATGGGGCCTCCTCGTGGTCTTTCTCGAACTGGTACGGAATCCCGAGTACGGCTTCTGGCAGAGTGACTTTATCCAGCTTGCTCCGGAACTCCATCGTTTGATGGACAATGTAGCGCGCACTTGTCTGGGGGTTGCGGACGCTCGAGCCGCAGCTGCCGCAGGTCTCAGTTCTGAGCGGAAGAGTGCCCCGCGCGGCATGAACGCAACCTCGCTGAGCCCCAGCATGGGCGCTGCTGCAGAGACACCAGGCGGCAGCACTGGTGCTGGTGGCGGTGCTGGCGACAAGAGCCGCCAAAACCTCCCCGACGACACGAACCGGTAAGTGCGCACACGCCCGGCACTTTTCTGCCTAGCGCCAGGAAACACTGCGATCACCGAATCGTTCCGCCTCGTGCAGCACCTGTTGCAGGTCGATCTCAAACTTGGCGTGTCCAAAGCGACACGCTGGTCCCTTGGGACAAAAACCGCCCAAATAATTCGCACACGCTACTTTCTGCACGTGCTTGTAACGACACCGCGGTCCATGTTTGCAGAAACCACGGGCATAGAAAGGACACTCCATACGTCGGGAGTCGGCAACAACGTGGCGGTACATGCACTCGTCGTTGGTGCACTCGCCGTAGCGACTGAAAAAGAAACACTCTGGCATCTTGTCAAGCTCAAAACGGTGAACAAACTCGCACTCTATACCTTTTTTGCATAGTCCACGTAACCAGTGTTTGCAGACAATCAGTGACTTGCTTCTAGAGTGGCGGTACTGGCAGAGGTCGCCCCGTTCGCAGCGGTTCTCTAACCACGCCTGGCATATGTCTGTATCTTTCCCGGGTGCAGTTTGGTCGTCGTACTCCTGCTGCGCTAACCCGGTGTACTTTTCAAACTCATAAATGATTTCCTGCTCGTTTTGATTAATCGTCATCAGTTCATTCTGGGTCAGCGTTTCACGATAGACTGCCACAAATTCTCAAGCGCAGTTCCGCGGCTGTCGCGTGAATCCACACCAACGTCGAGACGCTTCTCGGGCGTTCTTCGACCGGTGGCCTCCTATGAGTTTCAGCTTCTCCTTGTGCGTTTCTAGAGTCTAAGAGGCTGCCCCAGAAAGTTCAATTGTGTTCTTTCCTCGGGTATTTTCTTCAGTATCGCACATTGTCTGCTATTCATAGCAGCGTTAAGGTCTCGGTTCACGAACTCCATGCGTTTCTTGCATCTGATGGGATTCAGCGTTGCGAGGATTCCTCGGATTCGCTCCCTCTGAACCACTGTAGTTTCATTATCGTTCCGCAGGGCAAACATCCTGTTTTTCTCGTCTATCCCTCATCGTCGTCTTCTTCGTCACTCGGTACTTGGCGAGAAACGGATCTTTTTCGTTTTTTGTGGAACGGGGTGGTGACGGCGCTCTCAAGCATCTTCGAGTTGCATGTCCATAACTTTCCCTTTGATTTTTTCAAGATAAACGCATTTCTTGACGACCCTGGGTGAGCGTCTTCCCCGAGAGACAAGGACTTGTGGAAGAGAGACGACATGTGCCCCGGTGGGTCACCGTGCGCTGAACGCTTCAGCGAATCGCCCATTGGAGCGATGACTACGTTTCACGATAGAGCAGACTCCCTCGATGGGGTCGACCAACGAAAAGTACTGGGGAACGAAAACCAGCTTTACCTAGTGAGAATAGACAGAATCACGCTTGCAACCCGAATGGTGAAATGTCATGTTGTCCAACAGCAGGACGGCGCAAGACGTCAGAGGAAAGTCTTCAATGATTCGACAAAGCGGATGCTGATCTACAAGCCTCCTCTGCGATCGAAACTGAGGTCGCCAAATGAATACACTCCAGATAGAAGAGATGGTGTTATCGTTCGCTTCGAGTTTGATCGTACATAAAAAGAGCTCCATGCACCTCGAAGATACCCGTGCATGGTCCGATCGTTTCTTCCGAAGCAAGTTTCATTGACTGAACAAACACAGCGACGTGCCCGTGTTTCATACTTACAATGACTTTCCAGGAACGCTGTATTCGTTGCGATTTCGCTGGAAGTTTGCCGTGTATGACCAAGGACTCTTTATCTGCAACTAGATCCCATTGTTTTCAGGACGGTACTTACAATCTGTTGAGAAACAGAGACGCTTGTGGTCGTTACGATCGTCGGTTTTGCTTCCTGTACGGTAATCAACAGGTCGTTTTCTGCCACGGACCGAAAGCACTTTTGAGAATATCAGTTTTTGGCACAGCGCGTATCTTCTTGTATTTATCAGTCTTCCTCAACCATCTGAGTACTGTCGTATAACTGAACTGAAGGAGGAACACAGTCCGCTATGTACTGTTCAGAAATGAATCTATTCTACAGGCAATCCGTCTCCAATCTATAGATTACATTGCATCGCGAATTCGATCTCCTGCTATGTACCGTATCAGGGGTGAACCCAAAGTACGTTGATAGTCTACAAGCGATTTGATCATGGCAGTGGTATCTATCCACGTTAGCTTGGAATGGGACGGGTACACTTTGATCATGCCGATGTGCACGATTCGGTTTGCTTTGCTCCCAGGTGTTTCGCAACTGCGACCTCGGCGAGCTGTTCCTACTACGGATTCGTTTCTCTACCACATCTCCAGTTTTCAAGTAGCTGGTGTGCCCTTTCTTTCCAGCTACGATGTTCACAGTCAAAGCATAGTGATGGCGGCGTTCGAGTCCCGATCTCGTGGCTTCCAGCAGTGGTCCACGCATTCGATGTACGGGCGGAGGGCGCTATCGACGCTTTGCCTACTATGTCCTTCTTCATTGGTTACAGCTTCGTTGCGATCTTCGCAGCGTGAACACTTGAATGTAACAAGGTCTTCCCATATGTCGACAACGCAGCACCGCCGAGCGCTGCCCGGCGCCCCGTTAACATCTTCTTCGTCGCCCGGTACGTGCCGTTGACTGGTACAGAAGGCTCCGCTCTCTGTGCCGACCTCCGGTACCGCTCCTGGTACCGCACCGGACGATCGCGTACTTCCCCCTGGAGAAACATTCGGCGAGCATTGGGTCCGGTTCACATGCACCTGCGAGCTATTTCATTCGATAGAGGATTTGCGGAATGCGATGTTGTACACGCTGAAAAAAGCTACCGCTGGAAAATGGACATTGGAAAAAACATGTGAACTTGCAATTCGTCTAGGCACCCTTCGCACAAAACGATGAGACTTGCTCCACGGCAGGCAATCGCCGCAATGACTCGCGTCCGAGCCTGAGGCCCTTCTCCCCGCAGACAACAGGGACGGGAACCTCTCGGTGCAGATCCCGTGAGCGCTATCATGCTGCTGTCTGGAGCAGTTTCTTCGATGACCAGAAAAAAAACGAGGTTTCATCTTTCGAACGGAATCCATCCTTTGAGATGACCACTGCAGTGAACGATCGGCATGAGCTTGCAAAGACGTCGTCAAGCGATGTCTTCCAGACGTTTCCTTGTCGATCCCGGGGCGCGAGTTGCCGCGCCCACAGCTTACAGTGAACAAGAACCCTCAAAAACTTGCAGCATGCGATAATCGAGTATGCTTCATGTAAGAAGAGGAGCAGAATGTAGGCTTGTATGGAAGCATTGCAGGATCATATCGGTCATTTTCCTGGGCTCTATTGGCGGGCTTCGTAAATCAGCCAGATCCCGGTGACGTCAGAATTTCCGGCGTAAAGAATCGAAGGAGCCACTCCGAATACACAACCGAAAATCATAGGAAAAGGAATGCATTCTATCGTTTATTGCTGCACGTCCAACATCGATGCTGTCCATTTAACAAAAATTCGGAAAAACGTCGCAAGTCAGGAACAGCGCAGGCACTTCAGTGTACCGTTATTGCATGTCAAAGGAACAGGTTCGTGTGCGCGATGCTCAAAATCCATCGGTCGAGCTAACGAGACGGCGATGATGCGGCATGTCCAGATCGAAGCGTACCAGTAGTGAAACCGCTCCTTCGAGACGTACATTTTTCGTCGGCAACCTCACATTCCGTCGCCAGGGTGCTTGATCAACCACATGCGGAATCGGAGAAGACGTAGCTCGTCTCCTCAAAAAAAAACGACGTTCTGGAAAGCAGAACATCGACATTTCAACGCTGCACTAGCATGCCCCCAGACGTCCATTAGGACGCATCCCCGTTTCCCTGCAACGAACCGAGGCAAGAAGCGCACCAGCTGGAGAGGTGCGGCGTATCCTACGATTGCGCAAACCTAACGTGCGAGACTGCGTGCACTCAGCCGGAGACTTCATGTGTTGCGGATGCTCGGTTTACGGTCGCGGTGCGCTTCCGCACATGCCTAGTTCAAAAACAGCTTCTGCGATCATTCAGTCGGTGCCGCGTCCGCGTTACGCACACGAGACCAAAAACGGGTGCGCTCCCTAGACCAGCCTCAGACCCAAAAGTTCCCGCGGGCTCCACGCCACCAAACCTGATCCACGACGTTGATTCTCGTATCGGACACGGTTGCTCTCCGATCGCGCGAACATCTGGTGCGCACCCAGCGACCACTCGCCGAGCTTCTGGTGCCAGTGAGCTTTTGGCCAGAGCCCCGTGCACCTTCGCAATAATACCACCACTGAACCGCTGCAGTGTGCTTCTTAGCCGTTGCCCCCACAGCACTAGGCCGCGACACGCACGACACCTGTCCCTACCGCAACCAGAGCGATAGCGAGCCGTTACTTGAACGAGCGGGAAATGGGGTTCAGCACGGTAGGTTCACCGGCTTCACGCTCCTTTTGGAGCGCGCGCTTCTCCGTTTCCGCCTGCCAGTCCTCCACCACCGTTCGCGGACGGCTTCCGATGCGTCGCGAGAACTCCACCATGGTATACGCAAATACAAGCGATAAACCGACACCTCCGAGAAGCTGGACAGACTTTGGAAAACGCGCAACGGCCGGCCAAGGGTGCCAGTCCGTTCCAGTTCGGTTCATGGACATGGGTTTCTAGAGAGCGTCTGTGCAACACTATCTCGCAAGATGAACTCAAAATAAGAAGTATTCGGTCAGGTTCCCGGGACAAGCACTGTTCAATACTCTTAAGTCCGCTCACGCAAAGCTGCCGCCCACACAGCCAGCCGTGAAAGCGCTAAACGCTCGCAGCCCGACACAGAGATCCCATGGCTCATGCGCGCGCGAGCGCTCTCGACGAACCGCTCGACGGCAGGGTCGCGCACGGGGCGGCGCCTGCCGGCCTGCTGGCTGGCTAGTCAGCTTCCGCTGTGTCTTCATGATCCAGTGGATGGGTACTCTTTTAGTCTAAAAGGTTCATTAATGTACATACTTAGCGATCAGGCAACGTATTGCGTGGCATCGGTGCATGCGCGCAATCAAAGTGTGAATGAGACATGCCTATATGAATAAATCCATACTAGGATGAATAACTACATTTATGCCCCCGCTTCGCCTCCAGCACAAGGCACCGTCGCCCGGTACAGAACGGCAACGGTAATGCGCGCTTCTATGCTCATGTACCTGCTTGCTTGCGGGTGAATACGGGGGCAACCAGCTGGCGTCCAGTACAGGCAGTGTGCCTCGTGAGGTGCAGGCCAAGGCACCGAGCTTTTGGCTCTCGATGCAAGCGCTCTGTAGTAGAAGATTATTGGTACACCTGTGGAGAGGTTCAGCGCTGAGCGGTGCGCAAAAAGCTGCTGTGCACCTGCGCTGCTCTGGGGCTGACTCCCAGAACGCTGGTCTGTTGCGACGTGAAGTGGTACATAGAGTGGTACGCGCTCCCGACGAACTGCTTGCACGCTGCTTGTCTGCAAACAGATGGAACTCCTCGTTTCGCGACTTGTACCCACGTGGTTGGAAGAAGGGAAAGCCGCCAGAAGAGCAGCCAACCTTAAAACCGGGGGTCGGTTCGCCAGCAGACCGGGAGGGTCTGGCTAGTGATACCCAACCCGAGCGCGGCGACGCCTCCCGAGCGAAAGGCAGCAGAAGCGGCGGAGGCGCACCCGGACCCAACTGGTGGGCGCTTCTCGTGTTTGGCTCCGGTCTAGCCGCAGCGCTCTGGCTGAGCGGATCCGAGTCAGGTGCGAGCAACCCGTTCAGCACACCCAAACCGCGTCAGATCTCGTTCCAAGAGTTCAGTCGTGAGTATCTGGAGAGAGGGCTCGTATCCCACATCGTGGTCGTGAACCGCAGCGAAGCCCGTGTCTTTCTCAAACGCGAGGCGCAGGGTCGTGCAAGTGCTCGCCCCGGCAACGGGTCGCCGTGGGAGAGCCCGTGGCAGAGACCCGTGGCAACCTTTGTGGTGCCCAGTGTCGATGTCCTGGAACGACGACTCGAGGATATTCAGTCGCGCATGGGTCTGGAGCCCATCGATTACATTCCGATTGTATACCGAAATGAGACCTCTGCGCTGTCGACCCTGGTGAACTGGGCGCCCACCATTCTCCTTATCGGAGCCTACATCTACATTGTGAGACGAATGAGTGGACTGGGCGGCTTCGGAGCTCGCGGCGGTACAGGGGCGGGCTTCCCTTTTGGTGGCATGCTGCGTCCGCCAGGAAGCAGCGGTAGCACTGGCAGCGGCAGCGGCGCCGGCGGCATCACCGGTGGCGGCATTTTCAACGTCGGACGCGCTTCCGTGACGGTGCTCAATCGAGATCCAAAGAGCCGCATCGGCACTCGGTTCAGTGATGTGGCGGGACTTGATGAAGCCAAAGAAGAAATCATGGAATTTGTGAGCTATCTGAAAAGTCCAGAGCGGTACAAGCGCATCGGTGCAAAGATACCCAAGGGCGCACTTTTACACGGCCCGCCCGGCACCGGCAAGACGCTGCTCGCGAAAGCCACCGCTGGCGAGTCTGGCGTCCCTTTCCTGACGATCAATGGTTCCGACTTTATGGAGCTATTTGTTGGAGTGGGCCCCTCGCGCGTTCGCGACCTCTTCGCACAAGCACGGCAGCTTGCCCCGTGCATCGTCTTTATCGACGAGATCGACGCCATCGGTCGATCACGAGGCCGTGGTGGCCTCATTGGAGGTAACGATGAACGCGAAAATACCTTGAATCAACTGCTTGTGGAGATGGACGGCTTCCAGCCCAACAGCGGGGTGGTCGTTCTCGCTGGTACCAATCGGGTAGACGTTTTGGATCCAGCGCTCCTGCGTCCAGGTCGCTTTGATCGGCAGATCGCCATCGATCCACCCGACATCAAAGGCCGCAAAGATATCTTCCTGGTGCACTTGCGCCCCTTGAAACTGGACCCCTCCATCGATCGAGAGGCTATCGCGAAAGAGCTTGCCGCACGAACTCCGGGTTTTGCGGGCGCGGATATCGCAAATGTCTGTAACGAGTCTGCATTGATCGCTGCCCGCGCTGGTGCCAAAGGGGTCGCGCGCGCTCACTTTGAAGCAGCGATAGATCGGGTAATCGGTGGCATTGAGAAGAAAACCATGGTCATGTCACCCGAGGAAAAGCGAACCGTGGCGTATCACGAAGCGGGGCACGCAGTTGCGGGCTGGTTTCTGGAATACGCAAGTCCACTGCTGAAAGTTTCGATCGTGCCGCGGGGCTCTGCAGCGCTCGGCTATGCACAGTACCAGCCGCGGGACCAGCGACTGTATTCGCGGGAACAGCTGCTGGACCTCATGTGCATGACCCTAGCTGGACGCGTTTCCGAGGAGATTTTCTTTGGTCAGATAAGTACTGGTGCGGCCGACGACTTTTCAAAGATCACCACCATGGCGTACAACCAGGTGACCCAATGGGGTATGGGCGATGCACTGGGAAATCTTGCTTTCCAGCGGCGGAATGATGATACATCACCGCGCTTCTACAAGCCGTACAGCGATAAAACTGCCCAGAAGATTGACGAAGAGGTTCGTCAGCTTGTGCGCAGTGCCTACGAGCGAACTCGAAGTTTACTCGAGGAGAAGAAGGAACAGGTTCGCCTTGTTGCAGAGGAGTTACTGGCGAATGAAATGATTACGCGGGAGGGTATGGAAACGCTACTCGGGAAGCGCCCCTTTGTAGAGCACAAGACTTTTGACGAACTCGCCCAGGGCGCTTCGCCGACCGGAAAAGCGGCAACCGTGGCGCAGGACAAAGCGCTATCCGGTGCGGATCCCGGGCAAGGCGTCGAGACCGTTGGCGGTCCTACACCCTGAGTATCGCACTGGTGCTGCTGTCTGAAAGCGTTCGACCTTGCGTGGAGTGCCTCCCAGGGGGAAGCGCTGGCTCGCACCGTCTACAGACCAGATGCAGCAGTTGCGTCGACCCGTTGATGGACGCAATGAGAGAGGAGGGCTATGCTCAAGGCACCGTCTTTCGCTACTATCAGGCAATGGACTCGCGGACGCGTATCGCGTACACGAGTTGATGTCGTGAGCTTGGCGTGCGTCCGAGGCTGCATCAACGGGGCCTTTGGAGTATCGGCGCCAATGAGCTTTTTCCGCGGAAGCGCGTTTCCGCTGATATGCGGAACGAGCGGCCACGCCAGATGCTTGTGTTGGCACGAACGCGACTGGGAATCGCCCCAAACTGCACAGTATGATGATGATCATGATAATCGTGACGACGACGACGACGACGACGACGACCACGAAGACAGCCCGTCCGTGAGCATTCGCAGCGGCGCGCGTTTCCCGGCCCGCTGAAATAGGAAAGACAGACGCGATTACCAGGTGTATCGATAGACACACACACACACACACACTCCAGGAGAGAGACCGGGGGCGCTGAGCGTGCCACGGCACATCGTCTGCGCCCGTGTTCGAACTGGTCAGCGATACCAGGCGGCACGTGCTTGCTTGCGACATACACAATTCCGGGATGATCGGTTCGCGTTGAATGCATATCCATTTTTCGTCATGCACTAGAGCCGCAGTGGCGAGCACTGCAGTTCCTCGCTAGACCTGTGAATGTACCCTTCAAGCAGACCGGGTACTGCTCTGGCAACTAGCTACAAGGCGTTCTCTAACACGGTGTGGCGGCGCTGTTGCTGCTGCATGAAGCTTGCCTTGTCCTGGTAAACTGAACACCGATAGAGCCTTGGTCCACTTTTCCCGGAATCGAAATCGCGGGTTTGTGCACTGCGCACGAGACCTCCTCGGCATCTTGAAACGACTGGAAAACTCGCTGAATAATATCGAGGGCTAAGGTTTCAACGAGGTTCCTTGGAGGGCCCTGCACAACCTCTTTTACGATTTCGTACAGTTTCACATAATCGAGGGTATCTTGAAGGGAATCGCTTCGCGCTGCTCGACCGAGGACGCTGGTGGCAACCTCGAGGTCCACCTGGAACACTTGGCCAAGCGTTCGCTCTGCCGCCACCGCGCCGTGATAACCAAAAAATCGTAAACCCCGCAGAAACAGTCTGCCTTGCATCAAGCCGCTGCCAGGTGACGTTTTCGAAAGGTTCGGTGGAAAAGTGCACGAGTCTCGCGGACAGCGTTCAAGTAGCGAGAGAGTGCTGGTGCTGGGGCACGGGCTCCAGGCGCACGTACGTTCGGGCGCTGGTTGCAACGGGTACCCGTGTTCGCTCGAGAAGGAAGCGAACGCTACCAATGACGGAGTACAGGATCGTCAGCGTATATTGAACGCAGCGCAAAGCCCTAAAGTGACTGCAGACGCCAGAAGTAAAGTTTTCTCGCGCCCCGGCCCGTCTACGGACATGTGCTTCGCGGAACGCATTGCACAGGTGCGCTTTCGGACGCATCGCCAGGTCAAGCGCTGGGAACGTCCTCCACGGGAATTCCGAGACCGCCATGTTACTCCCAAGTGTGTCCATGAAAGTATGCCTATGTATGATCCAGATACCTGACTGTCGTTGTGCGTCGATTATGCTCATCCGCGTTTGAAGAGGTTGACGTCAAACTTGTAAAGAGCGATCCATTCCGAATACTCCGGTGGCGATGCTGTTTCCTGAAGATTGGCAACGAGCAACAATTTCCGGGCACAAATACCCTGCGAGAAAGTCTGTTCGAGAGTACAGAAAGTGACAACTGACAAGCACCTGGATAACACTTTCATTCAAGCTTCATGTTCAGCGTTGCATATGGAACAGAGTTTTCCGTATTTTCTCAAGTTGACTTTGCAGGCGGAGAATCACGCGAGCCGGACGAGTCTGCCAGCCTAGTGCCTCGTGCTCCTTCCAATACCGGGGTGTTGTGTCGAGACCTGAGCAACGCGTCCGCAATGCAGTTTATTCTGGGACAAGGAACAAGTAAGCTGCATCTGGACGTCGCCCCGGTCGCAGTGGACTCCTAGTACATCGCTTCGCGCTGCGGCATGCAGTAGGTCCGTCTGCGCAGCTTCCCTATGCTCAGGATGATGATGAATCCTGATTCCGTGTCGAGTGGAGCGCGCCTCATGCCGATGCCCTTGCTAGTATGGTAAAGTCGTTCTGTCTCCGTGATGCATCTGTACCAGGGGTTTAGGCGCTATGGCAGGTGCGCAGCGCAGGCACTCTGCGAACAATAGAACGTATCAAGCGGCCGGTACGTCCAAGAGCAAGTATGTGGAATGGCGCATGGAGGTATGGTGCACCATGATGGGCACTTTCAAGAATGCTATTATCCAACCTGGAATCTGGAACCCCAGGTCAATGTAGACGTACCATCAAACAAAAACCCGAGTGATCGAACGCAATGGAGCACGACGTCGATACCCGCCATGAGAAAGTCGCATCGCCGCTAAGGGATCTTTGTTGTACTTTTTAGACCAATAATGGTTAATATGGTACGACGTCGATACCCGCCATGAGAAAGTCGCATCGCCGCTAAGGGATCTTTGTTGTACTTTTTAGACCAATAATGGCTAATATGGTACGACGTCGATACCCGCCATGAGAAAGTCGCATCGCCGCTAAGGGACCTTTGTTGTACTTTTTAGACCAATAATGGCTAATATGGTACGACGTCGATACCCGCCATGAGAAAGTCGCATCGCCGCTAAGGGACCTTTGTTGTACTTTTTAGACCAATAATGGTTAATATGGTACGACGTCGATACCCGCCATGAGAAAGTCGCATCGCCGCTAAGGGACCTTTGTTGTACTTTTTAGACCAATAATGGTTAATATGGTACGACGTCGATACCCGCCATGAGAAAGTCGCATCGCCGCTAAGGGATCTTTGTTGTACTTTTTAGACCAATAATGGTTAATATGGTACGACGTCGATACCCGCCATGAGAAAGTCGCATCGCCGCTAAGGGACCTTTGTTGTACTTTTTAGACCAATAATGGTTAATATGGTACGACGTCGATACCCGCCATGAGAAAGTCGCATCGCCGCTAAGGGATCTTTGTTATACTTTTGTACAAAACATTCAAGTATTGACCTACATCCATATCCGGTTTGCAGACTTGGCCTGCGTATGCCACGCGGACTCGCCAACATCTTATGACGACCCGTTTGTTGTCCGTTTGACCTTCGTTGATCAAAGCAACCTGACACCATCGGATCTAAACCTAAAGCTCATCAACCTGCGCGACAGCTGCACGCAGGCGTTCGAGCTCGGGAACGCAAACGTCGCCGGTGCAAACACGGCTTGGCGGTGCCGCGTGTGCCACACGGCGCCTGAGTCGTCGACGAATCGCGGGTCGCTTCCACGGATTCCGCGACTTGCTCTCTGGCGTCAAACTACGTTAGATATTGCATCTCGGGTTCTATTCAAATTCAGTATGGTGGAGGAACGCGTGACGACGCTCGAGGCGACACCCGGTTACAAGCGGTACCAGCGACTGCCCCCGGCCGCCACTGCACTGCTGAGCGATCACACGATGGTGCGGGTCTCGCAGCGTTCCCTTCGGCATAAGATCGAACAAGTGGTGCACCAGTCTCGAGAGGCAGCCGAACGGTCTGCTGAACTTGACTTGCTGCTCGATCGGGAAGGCCGGCGTGGTTTCATCGAGCCCGAGTCTGAACTCGAACGCCATACGAGCCACGTTTCTCAGCAAGCGCTACAGGAAGCAAGCAGCCTCTATGCACAACGAGGGCGTTTTCGCCTCGACTTTGAGGACTACTCGCGAACTCGCGCCTCGCAGGTACTCCGCAAGCAAGAACGAGCCGCTAGCTCGAACGGTGTCGAACATCCCACCATGGGCTACCGAGCTCGTTATTCTGCAAGCTCGCGTGTCTTGCTGCTGGGAGGACTCCACAACGGCCATGTCGTCGTTCTGGACTGGCGCCGCAAGCGCACCATGGCACCAGAATTGCACCTTGGAGAACACCTCCGCGATGTTGTGATGTTGCATACAGACGGGTTGTTTGCAGCGGCCGTGGAACGTGCTGTCGCTATCCACGACGCCGTCAGTGGTGCCCAGATCCACTGCCTGCGTCAACACTCGCGCCCACATAGTCTCGATTTTCTGCGATATCATCTTTTGTTATTGAGTATGAGCGAGACGGGCGAACTCCACTACACCGACGTCTCGAATGGAATGACGGTGGCCCAGTTCCCGACGCATCTGGGCAGACCGAGCGCTGCGCTCACGACGAGCCCCTACCATGGCGTCGCGTTCACCGGACATGCCAACGGAACGGTGCAGCTGTGGTCTCCGGCTATGCCAAACGAGCCGTTGGCAAAGGTTCTTGCGCATCCGGGTTACGGTGGCGTTGCTGCCGTCGCCACCGATCACGGCGGTCGTTACCTGGTAACCGCCGGGGCAGCGAGTCGACACTTTGCCGTATGGGACATGCGGAAACTGTTCCGACCGATTCATTCCTACGAATCGAAAAGCGGTGGTTTGATTACCTCAATGGACGTCAGTCAAACTGGGCTCTTGGCGATCGGGCACAGCGCTGGAGGTCGAGTGATCATCTGGAAGGACTGGGCACTGTACGAGGCCAAGGCGTACGAGCCCTACCTGCAGACACGGGTCGGTGTTGGAGCCGGCGGGACGCGGATCAGCGCTGTTGCTTTTGCGCCTTTCGAAGATGTGCTCGGTGTTGGCTACTCTACTGGGTTCGAGTCGTGCCTCGTCCCTGGATCCGGAGAGCCCGAGTTTGATGCGCTTGAGCCTAACCCCTACTGGCAGAAAGCACAGCGCCGCGCAGCGCAAGTGCAGCTGCTGCTGGAGAAGCTCCCACCAGAAACCATCGCGCTCGACCCGAACTTTATTGGACGGGTAGAACGAGATCACCGCAGAGTCCAGCGCACAGGAAGGCGAGTCTCGCAGCTTCGCTACCGACCACCAGCAGAAACTGCACCCAACGAGGCAGCACCTCGAGAAGACCAGAGCTCGGCACCCGAGGATGCACAGACCGATGAGAACGGGGGTTTGTCGGCTTCGGTACCGCCGTGGCGGCGTCGGGTGAAGCACCCCTCACTCCGAAAGAGCCGTGGGAGGAATGCTCTCGCCAATCGACTACGAAGGCGTCAACAAAATGTGATCGACACGAAGGCCGAAGCGCTCCGAACCCGTCTAGTGCAAATGCTTCAGCATCGTCGTCGTCGTCGTCAACGAGGCCATCCTCGTGTTCATGATCATGAAACTGGGCAGCGCTCATCCAAGGATGCCACTCAAGCGACACTGCGCAGCGAGAGGCACACAAACCGCGCACATCTCGCAAAGTTGATGCCGCGGGCGTTGCAAAGCTTTCACCAACACCAACGGTAGCCTGTAAATTCGGGTAAGGTTTACTAGGAGTGGCAGATTTTGTGAAAGAATCATCGTTGAGAGGCCCCGACGCTCAGTCATTCGCGTGGAAAGGCAGGTTACATTTGACAAGAGCTCCATCGGAGAGCATCTTCATCCGTTCCGGATCTCAAACTGGAACGCTGAACTGTTTGTTCTGTCGATGCCGCTGGATATTGTCTCCAGCGTTTTCTTGGTACACGAACACGCTCGACATTCGAGGTGCACCAACAACGTATGATGGATTCATGCGTCGTTTTAGGATCATCGGTCGACGTTTTGGTGCGGCTTCCTCGACGCTGTCCCGCCCGAATTCGTCACGCTACCAGAGTCAGGATGCTTCGCGATACACTCGTACAGCGGTTCATACGGAAACATTGCAATGAGCATCCGTTGCACGCGTACAAGCCGCCAGTCCTCTCGTTTGCGAGTGAGCAGCACGCTCACACCGTGCATACCTCAAGTTTTCGATCGTTCTATATTGAGGCAACGCTTGGGGTGCAGCAATATGCGCCCGGCAGGCCGATGGAGATGGAGAGAGGTGTATGTCGTGCTCGGACGACCTGTTCGCAAGCTCACACACAGAGAGTTCACTGGACTCCTGGCGTCATGGAATCCATTCCGTGCGGGAGACGAATCCTCGGGTCTCTGTGACCAGGATCGAGGCGGCATTCGGCAGCAGTATGCTACCGCTTCGTTACCAAGCCCCGAGAAGCACTGTCTCTTCTGTTTGTTTGGAAGAGAATGCTCGACTTGGGACTCGATTACCGCGGCGATCGCCTGTGGTACAACAAGTGTCACCGCCTTGGTCGCAGGAAGCCTCGACAGATCGCAGTATCTCTACTCGATCTAGAGCCAGCAAGTTCGTCAAGGCAATTGTTCCATCTTATGCAGAACTCGCGCTCCACAGCCCTCAATGGAATGGAACTGCACGCGATGCTGTGTGTGCGTATGTATGTATGTATGGATGGATGGATGTACGTATGAGTGTGTGTGTGTGTGTGTGCAGCGGGCAAAGCCCCCGCCCAGGGTATCGTCGGCGAGAATCCCGTGCTTCTAGGATAGTGCACCAGTCGTTGACACCGAGAATCGTATTGATAGGACGCTTCTGTTCCAGGCAGAGCGTTTACCGAGCGATGAAGCGAGCCCTGACGCGCTACAGGGTCGTCCGCGGCTCACAGGGTGTGGTGAATACGCTCGAGCCTCTGACCAGTGCCAAGTGTCACCGCTGTGCCGGGCCGCTTCGTGGCTCCATTCAAAGAACACGAAGGTGGCAAGCGAGGCGTCGATCGCGACCTTTTTTGCCGGTGCTGGCGGAGCCTTGACACCAGCCGGAGGCAGCGCAACCGCGACCTGAACGCTGCCATCGACATGCTTCGACTCCTGAAAGTGGAGCTGGCGGGACAGTTGAGACCGTCGTAGTTCACGCTGGAGCTAAGAGCGAGCAAAAGGAGGCGGTGGTAGAAAACGCGAACAAAGGCTGGTGTCGATCAGCGTGGGACGCGACCCAAACGTTAGCGTGTACACCAGCCGAAAAGGGTCTCTCCCGTTTTGTGCTTACACTGGGCATCCATTCCGGTTTACGAACAAGCGGTATCGTAAATGATCCTGCCTCTGTTTATAGCATGTCGAGCATCCGACGGAGATGCTATTATGCGCTGCTCTGGTGAGCTCAAGTCGCTCTGGTAGCGAGCCTACCCTGCTGAACCTCACACGTACGTATCCTCGAACGCCACGTCTAGTGCATGCATCACGTCTTGAACGATATCCTCAGCGTCCTCGATTCCACAGGAGAAACGCACGAGACCGCAAGTGATTCCGAGACGGCGTCGTCGCCAAAGCGGTTGATCAAAATAGCCCATGATGCAGACTTGTTCGACGAGAGTTTCCGTGCCGCCCAGGCTCGGGCCGATGTACGGTATGCGGAGTGCGTCGATGAACTTTCCCGTACGGCGAAACGTCTCCGCACCGTAGGGATCGTCGGCGCCACCGCGCAAGTGACCACGCAACTCGAAGGAGAGCACACCACCAAAGCCGCAACCACCATCCGCTGCCCTAAACTGAGCATACGCTTCATGAAGGCGGCGACCGAGGTGATAATCGGGGTGTTCAGGTAAACCCGGCCAATGGACACAGGCGATGCGCTCATCATTGGCCAGTCGATGTGCGAGAGCGGCAGCATTCTGATTATGGGCGTCCACACGGATCTTGAGGGTCTTGAGTCCACGCAGGAGCAGATAACTCGTGTGGGGATCAATGACGCCACCAAGGATGCCGTGCGCGCGACGAACCTTTGCGATGAGTTCAGCACGGCCGATCAGAGCGCCGGCAAGAATGTCGTTGTGGCCACCCAGGTACTTGGTCGCACTGTGGAGCACGAGATCCGCCCCAAGCTCTAGCGGTCGATGGTTGATTGGTGTGGCGAACGTGCTATCAATGCAGACCATCATATCGTATTGACGCGCCAGTGCAACAATGCGCGGCACATCCACTAGACGCAGAAGGGGGTTCGTCGGCGACTCACTGAAGAACACGACTCTCTGCTGGGTGATGGCGCCGTCGGTGGACTCTCGTATTTCCCGCAACGTACTTTCCAGCAGCGCAAGGTCGCTTGGATCCATGATCACGACGCGCACGTTGAGTCGGGGCATCATTTCTTCAATAAACTGGCGCGTTCGGCGATAGCAGTCTGTCGTCGTGATGAGGCAACCACCAGTGCCCTCCTCTGAGACCGTGGTACCGAGCCCCGCGCCCCGTACATCTGCATTGTCCAAGGCGAACAATGCAAACAACATGGTGGTGACGGCATTCATACCGGAGGCCGACAAGAGCGCATCATAGACGGCGGAGTCCGGATGAGCATCCTGCTGTGCCAGATTCCCGCACTCGAGGTCGATTAGTTTCTCCTCCGCAGCCCGTGTCGTTGGGTTTCCGTACCTTCCGTATTCGAACGAGGAGTACTTACCTAAGTTATATTGGATACATTCCCGCGTATTGCGGAACGTGAACGTTGAAGACTGCACGATGGGTGTTGTCAACGAGTCCGCCGTCGCTTTGGCCTTCTTTCCGCCCTTGGCACGTTCACCGCCGTGCACAGCACGGGTCGACGACCGAGCGTCCTGGATGAGGCGCGCACGTTGACGGTCCATGCCTTCTGTCGCAGCCGGAGCTGTCGCAGCTACACCCTCGGCTTCACCGCGCCCATTACCGTCTGATTCAGACAGAGTGCCTCCCCGGTCGAGTTCCGCACGCTCTTGCGGCGCGACCTCTAACAGCTGCTCCACAGTGGCCAATTCATCCGACGTGAATGTATCGCCGGCGTTTGTCCGCGATGAGCATGGCGTCTCTTGGCGACGGTGGCTGGTCAGCGAGAGCATCAGAGCTCCAGCGCTAGCCCGTTGGCAAGTGCCTCGCTGCACTACGTGCCTTCGGGAACCCCAATTGTAAAGTAGGTGCTCTGAAGAGCGCGGCACGAAAAAGCCCGTACCGCGCGCCTCGAGGCCGGTGCACCAGCGCCGAGTTGGCGTGTTCGCCAACCAGAAACTGCTGCTGCTGCTGCTGCTGCTGCTGCTGCGGGCGCGGTCACGACCTAGAACGCCGATCCCGCTCGAGTCTCGTCGCCGCAACGCGACTAGAGAAACACACGAATCGACTGCGTGAATGCGTACCCGCTCGCAATTGTTGGCTCGTGCCGACGCTGGTATCGTCCTTGAAACTTGTTGACACGAACCTGGCGGTGATCGTGGTGATAATGGTGCACGTGGTGTTGGTGTTGGTGGTGGTGGTGGCGGCTTACCACGAGTCCACCCGCCAGCCGACCCAGGCGGAACGAAGCTCAACGTACACGCCAGCTCCCGTCGAGCCCCGGTTTCACAAGGCTCACCACGACCTCTACGCATACCAGGAAAAGGGAACGCCTGCGGTAACCCAGGTCGTTAGCGCGACGTGCACCGTAACGCTGTGCCCCGCAGCCGCGGCATCCCCGAGTACGATGCGTCGGCGGATGGCAGCGGCACCAGCGGCGGCGGCGGCGGCGCTGCGATGGATGAATCGATGGATGGATCGATGGATGAATCGATGGATCCATCGATGAATCGCTCGCACAGGTGCCCTGCTCTGCTGCAGGCGTTCCCTGTACGGCAGTGCGCGTGGTGCACGTGGGATGCGCCCTCGCAACGTTCGTTGCGGTATCGCTGATGCCGCAGCAAGCGCCCAGACGGTGCTCGGCACCAACCAGGTATCTGGATCGACACCAACAGCTCTTCTGGATGGGATCACTGGGCTGGAGCTCACGGAATGCAGAGGCGTGTGTAGAGCGCGCGCGAATTGTGTCTGCTAGGTCGTGACTGGCAGCGCTGGCGCAGCAGCAGGTGTTTGTGTGGATCGATGGCTGCTTCTCGGAAAGAAACGGATGATTTGCGCAACTTGCTGCTGACTGGCCGGCAGCGTCCACGTAGGCCCCGAATATCCTTCAAAGCATACTAGTTTTATCATGTAAGATCGATTCACCGAACCAGGTACATCCGTCAAGGCATTCCATTTCTTTTGCGTACGATCGATGCATCGATTGCAGCGGGCGCTGCTGCCGGTATTATCGGTCGCAGCCTCGAGCCGACGCCCTTTGTGGTACGGCAACGCCATTCTGTCTCGGTGCAGCGACCGCACCGGCGCTATAGGCGCTATTGCTGTCGCTTTCGGCAGGCACTAGGCACACACGATAGGACGTGCGAAACGACCTGAATATCCGAGAAGAAGCATAGGTCATATAACTTGGGAGTAGGGGGTTTGATGGATAACTCACCGCGTACTGAATAAAACCGGAAAAGAAAAGAAAAATGCGCATCATCGGAGAACGCTGGCCTATGGAAACGTTTTGTCAATGAAGAAAAAAAAGAAAAAAAAAGCTGCGCACGCATGCATACAGCAACATGCGTGCGGACACGCATCTACGAACAATTCGTGTGCGTCATCTCGCGAATCTCACTTCAAGTTGTTCGACTCAGCATTGGTATATATGATTGAGATAGGCGAAGCTGGCCTCCAGGGACAACTTGTTGAAGATATGATGGATTGTGCATGATTATGGCGGTTCAAGGCGATATGCAAATCGCCAGCGAGACCCTGAAACGTTCACGTTGCAGGTGCTCTGCGTGCTTGCCAATACCCAAGCATGAAGGCACCGTTTGAACAGCGCGATCATGAATGGTGCGGATATCGTGACTAGGGTCTCGGGTGCGAACTGTGCGCTCTGTGGACGCAGCACCAGTGCGTTATGATGTGAATCCATTCGCATGCTGTTTCCATGCGGGGCAATGGAACGATGAAGCGTGATATTTCGACAAGTCTCTTTTACAGAGCGATGCCGTTTGCCTTCATCCACAATGTGAATCCCGCGACCCCCAGAGGTGCGCAGGTCCCGCGGCCTGGAACACGCCAGCGCGCTGTCGCTTTACGCTGGTGCGGCGTTCGGGTTTGCGCGGGCCTGGCGTTCTCGGGCACAGGCGCTTGTACGCCATCATTTGTCTGCGCCAGCGGCATTGAAACGAAACCCAGGTGCCTACCTTGCGTATGCGGCATGCCCACTGGTACCACTACAACGAAATGCGTGCTCGGCTGGGGCAGAATGACGGCCCGCTTCTAACACAGCGGACATGGACCGGCTGTCAGCCGGCGCCTGCGCCTCAGCAGACATTGCTCATGTGCATGCTTTGTTTCCGCAAGTTCTCGGACATGGTAATCTGAACGCAAGTATCAGCGCGCGTCGCCTTCAATGGGATCCGTGGACGGCGTGACCTCGTTTTCGCACGCACTGCCTCCAGTGGTAGCCGCACAAGGCGCTTCAGCTGGGTCAACGGGCGACGAAGCAGATGCGTGCTTTTCAGCAAGATTATGGTACGTATGTGCGATTGCATCGAAATCGGCAACGTAGCTCTCACTTATATTCGCATTCAGGGAGCTCACAAGGTTCCGAACAGCCTCCGCCAGGGCCGTGGCATCCGCGGCGACCTGGTTCAGCATGGTGCCCAGGGGTGGAACCGCCCCTGCTTCCACATTCGTTGACGGCCCGCGATTCCCACCGAGATACTCTTCAGTTAGCCGGACGAATTCCGCCCGAAGATTCTGGGAATACGCGGCAATAATCTGTTCAAACAGGGATCGAAGCGCAACGGTCGGCAGCACAGAACTCAGGATGCGCTCCAGCGTGGTGATATCTCGAATCAAAGCAGATGCCCAAGTGCTGGGTGCAGCGCACCCTGTCTCAGAGACCACTGCGTACTGTTCCAAGGGTAGTCGTCGAAGCTCCGCTATGCGATTTCGTAAGCGAGTCTGCATGATAATTACGATCTTGTTGAGCAGCTGCGCCCGATGTACCTGCAGATCCGCGATCGTACGCTCAAAAGCCCGTTCGAGATCCGCGTCACGAACGACAGACTGCGCGGATGGCTCCCTTGGCGTCGCCAACTCGGGAACGGCGTGCACTGTCGCAGCACCGCCTTCCGTCTGCGGTGATGATGATGGCTCCTGTGGCACACCGGGGACCACATGAAGCTTCCCAGCAGTGGCATCCGACAATTCTATTGCATGCTGGCGCGCCGCGTCTTCAGCACGAGGGCTATTCCTTTCCAAAGCGGGTTTTGCATCCGGGTCCATGCCGACATCCGCCTGGCGAAGCGTCGGGCAGAACCACCTCTGGAGGCCCTGGTATCGATCACTCTCTTGTGGATGCAAAAGACGGAGCAACAGGTCCACGGTGCGCGCACAGACGGCCAAATGCTTTGCGGTAATGGCCTTGAGGTGCGCCGTCTTCATCGCGCCTGCTCCGAGAACTAACTGCAGCGACCGTTGGTTGAACGTCCGCAAAGCCTCGAGAACGCGCATACTCAACGCGTGCGCCAATGCAACTTCTTCGCAATGTAATGCGTCTCGGAAGCAGAGCGCGCACGCATCCAACAGTTCAAAAAGGTCCTGCGAGGCGTCAACAAGCACAAATCGCTCTCCCATGAGCACGACTGTCGCTGGCTGGCCTTCGGAATGCTCACGGACCTTGCCATCTTCCATGGTCATCGATTCTGCATACAAAGGAGCAGACGTATCTCGAACAAGGCGATCCAAAAGAGACTGCAATGCTGCAGTGCTTGTCGCTGGAACCCAACGCTCTGCGTTCAGGCTAACCTGCATGGACTCCAGCTTTTTCTCAAACGCAGCTTGCATCGTATTTCGAATGCGGTCCCGCAGATCAACCAGTACTACTGAGGACGAGGCGGCGGGGCGATCATTCCGCACCTCGAGTATGCGATCCAAAAACTTGAGAAAATCGCGCGTTTCCACATGAATTTTCAGGAGAAACCTCACCTGTTCAAAGTCGGCCGGTCGACAGGCCTGTACAACACTATCGACAGCATCTCGAAATCGCGCTCCAAAGCCATCGCGGAAAGCGCTGAGGACATCTGCACGCTCGACGTGTGACCTGTGCGGCACATGACCGGAGGCCTCGAGGCTCTCCAGCTGACTCGCCACCTCGAAAAACGTGTCGATGACTGCAACGGCTCCTGGAACAAAAGTGCGACACTTTGACAAGAATGTGGTGAATGCCTGCGCGGAATCGCATGCCCACGCATCCTGTTCAGCAGATACAATATTGTTCAGCTCATGAAGCAGGCCTGTGGTTACGCGGTACAGGGCACCGCTTGCCATGCCAATCTGATAAAGCGCCGCCACAAAAGGTGTGATCTCCTCGCGCAGTGTGCAAAGCAGCGCCAGAGACGACCCTGGAGTCTGCTCAGAAGTGAGTCGTTCGGGCGTTCGTGTCGACATCGACGTCGACGTCGGTATTGGTGGAGCGGGTTCGGCGGCTGCACTCCAAACGAAACTCAGTGTAATCTGAAATTGTGCAACGATTTGGTGCTCGAGCGCCGTCCCCAGTCGCCGTCTCAAGGCCCTGTGGTGTCGGGAAAAGTCCTCGACGAGACGAACATCAGCAATGTCAAACTGGCGGTCTGCTGACGCCGAGCGTTCAGCTGGCCCTGCGCTGCGGACGTCACTCGCGTGCGGTACCGCATCCCACTTTCGAAAAACCTCGTGTGCACACGCATCCAGACGCTGGTAAGTATATGCAGCTTTCAATAGATCCTGGTGCTCTTCGTAGAGCTCTGCGGCTCGCGAAATATCGCGAACGCTTTTGAGCTGTTCCAGTACGGCGATGAGGGACCCGAGTCGCTGTCGCTCTCGCTCGAGCCGTTGTCGACTGAGGTTAAGGGCGCCTAACGCTCCGGAGAGCGTTTTCAGTTGTCGCGGCCATTCTGATGACAACTCACTCACCAAGTCCCGAAGCGAGGACTCCGTCTCAGCCACAGCACCCAAGCTCGTGCATCTACGCAGCGTTGGTGCCGATGGGTCTTCGGCTGCAACCTGCATTTCGAAGCATCGGTTGCTGAACCTTATATATCGTTCGAGTGAGCGCGTGAGTTCGGCTTCTGTTTCCACCAAGTCGTGGGACGCACCAAGTTTTCGGGACAAGTATTGAAACTCAGGGGTGCTTGTAAGCTCAAAGTTCTTCGCAGACACCCGGTACGCTTCGGGTATCTGCGCAAGCAAGGCAGCCGCAGAAACGCCAAACTCGTAGTCCGACTGCCGAAACTCCTGTTCCAGTGTCGTCCATAGTTGCTCCGTATTCACAAAGTAGCGCTCTAGAGGGTCTGAAGCCGCCCTGCCGTCGGGTGTTTCCACGGTTTCCTGAAGAGACCCCGCTGGCAAATGTACCGGCTTGTGGGATTTGCCAGCCTCCGGGGTCGCCGAGGCTGTGTTCGTCCTCGAAATTGCGACCTTGTCCATGACGAGGCCGCAACGTCTTCGCAAGCGAAAGCCTGCAACGACCCCCAGGCCCCAAACCGACTGGCCCAGTTTACGGCAACCAGGTTCTAACTGCTGGCCTTGGAACGGGGCGTGAAACTCCGACGACCTGCTACGTGGGTGGTTTGCTCGTGTGCGACCCCCCGCTCCTGAAGACCGTCAGAATGCACTCAGCTAGGAGCGTCCCCAGTTTCCGCAACTGATCCTGAACGGATAGCTCGGGGAGCTCCACTAGTCGTTCTTGCGAAATTCACGACGTTCAAGACGTTCGATTTGGTTACATGGGGAGCCACGGTCTACATCCGTTCCGGATCTCAAACTGGAACGCTGAACTGTTTGTTCTGTCGATGCCGCTGGATATTGTCTCCAGCGTTTTCTTGGTACACGAACACGCTCGACATTCGAGGTGCACCAACAACGTATGATGGATTCATGCGTCGTTTCAGGATCATCGGTCGACGTTTTGGTGCGGCTTCCTCGACGCTGTCCCGCCCGAATTCGTCACGCTACCAGAGTCAGGATGCTTCGCGATACACTCGTACAGCGGTTCATACGGAAACATTGCAATGAGCATCCGTTGCACGCGTACAAGCCGCCAGTCCTCTCGTTTGCGAGTGAGCAGCACGCTCACGCCGTGCATACCTCAAGTTTTCGATCGTTCTATATTGAGGCAACGCTTGGGTGCAGCAATATGCGCCCGGCAGGCCGATGGAGATGGAGAGAAGTGTATGTCGTGCTCGGACGACCTGTTCGCAAGCTCACACACAGAGAGTTCACTGGACTCCTGGCGTCATGGAATCCATTCCGTGCGGGAGACGAATCCTCGGGTCTCTGTGACCAGGATCGAGGCGGCATTCGGCAGCAGTATGCTACCGCTTCGTTACCAAGCCCCGAGAAGCACTGTCTCTTCTGTTTGTTTGGAAAAGAATGCTCGACTTGGGACTCGATTACCGCGGCGATCGCCTGTGGTACCACAAGTGTCACCGCCTTGGTCGCAGGAAGCCTCGACAGATCGCAGTATCTCTACTCGATCTAGAGCCAGCAAGTTCGTCAAGGCAATTGTTCCATCTTATGCAGAACTCGCGCTCCACAGCCCTCAATGGAATGGAACTGCACACGATGCTGTGTGTGCGTATGTATGTATGTATGGATGGATGGATGTACGTATGTGTGTGTGTGTGTGTGTGCAGCGGGCAAAGCCCCCGCCCAGGGTATCGTCGGCGAGAATCCCGTGCTTCTAGGACAGTGCACCAGTCGTTGAGACCGAGAATCGTATTGATAGGACGCTTCTGTTCCAGGTAGAGCGTTTACCGAGCGATGAAGCGAGCCCTGACGCGCTACAGGGTCGTCCGCGGCTCACAGGGTGTGGTGAATACGCTCGAGCCTCTGACCAGTGCCAAGTGTCACCGCTGTGCCGGGCCGCTTCGTGGCTCCATTCAAAGAACACGAAGGTGGCAAGCGAGGCGTCGATCGCGACCTTTTTTGCCGGTGCTGGCGGAGCCTTGACACCAGCCGGAGGCAGCGCAACCGCGACCTGAACGCTGCCATCGACATGCTTCGACTCCTGAAAGTGGAGCTGGCGGGACAGTTGAGACCGTCGTAGTTCACGCTGGAGCTAAAAGCGAGCAAAAGGAGGCGGTGGTAGAAAACGCGAACAAAGGCTGGTGTCGATCAGCGTGGGACGCGACCCAAACGTTAGCGTGTACGCCAGCAGAAAAGGGTCTCTCCCATATTGTGCTTACACTGGTGCAGAGATTAGCAGCTACAGGTATTCGGGTCCCGCACCTGCCAACTTCGTCTGAGGCTGCCCTGCATCTCTCAACTCGGTAGCGGCATGGTGTGTTTTCCGGCACCAGGGCGTGTCGTCGATGCACGTCGCATACTGCACGTTTCTGCAGCACCCCAATGATGACGTTTCGTCTTGAAGTCAGCTCACGCCAAAAAGCTACTCATGTAGCAATCGGGGTCGTCTGGGCCATACAACAGTTTCTTCGCGCCTGCTGCGCACCGGTAGAAAGCCGCATGCATGGTGCGGCTTTTCCCGATATTTGCCAAGACTCAGAAAACTTGCAAATAGGGGTCAATTTATGGCTTGAAGTGGAACCTCTTATTCGCCGCATCTTGCGTTCTCGCACTCCACAGCGGCTGCGCTGTCTGCGTGGACCCCACCGTGCTCATCGGCTTCGGCGCTTCAACGATGAAAGTAACAGATCATTTGCTCGAAAGACGGCCAAAAAGTCACTGGAACGGCTTGTGCAACAACGGAACCACAGTGGAGCACGCTGCTTGTACATAAGTTTGGTCTGCGTCGTCCCTGGTGAAGCAGCGTGGCAAATGGAGAACCCGTGAGCGCCAACAGAACGTATACACACAATGATCGTCTCGACCATGGCGATCCGTTTCTAACGTCAGTGAAAATACGCGCCGTCGCGACGTGAATGAATGCAGATATTCACGTGGAGTACATATGCTTCTCATGAGTTCCGAAAGAGACACAAGCCGTGGTGCAACCTCAAGTCGCTTTTCAAAGCGCCAAAAACAATGTTCGATCCGACGCACGCATCGGTGCAGGCCGCCGCATGTGGTAGCCGCACATTCTCATCACGGATACCGAGTATGCTCTCATTTAGAAAGTATGGAAATGTCAATGCAGTTTCCGGAGTATAGCGCTTTGCCCCTGAACGGTACTCGCTGCCAATGTTCCCAGCAAGGATGTCGTTCGGCTGCACAGGTCGCAAAACGTAATCATTTCATCCAGGTTGCCGGCGACAGAGAAGCCTGATCAAAGCCCGCATATTTCGGGTATCCTCGCGAAACGAGTATGAAACTGTTGGTGCTGAAATATGGCAAAGCTCGGGTGCTATGAACGTCGTTGCGCTGGCCCCGGTACGCTCACAGTCCGCCGTGAAAAGCGGGTACACACACTGGACAGGGCAGCCCCAGTGGAATATTTTTTGACGACGTACACGTTCTATCCTAGCCATGAGCCTCTACTCGGCTACGCTACTTCAGCCTCTGGAAGCCCTCAAGTCGCTATCTGATATGCAGCGTGCACAAACGTATACACAAGCCCACGAAAACTCGAGGCGGATTCGCAGGTATGAGCCGATGAGCGCCATCCGTCAGAAAATGCAGCAGGCACCGCTGATTCCATCGAAACGTAACGCTGCTTCATGTCTTCTGAGAGGTCTCGACTCTTCAAGGTAGCGAATACCGATCACCGTCACGGGATACGCAGCTTCTATCGCTGCTCTGTGGGCGCAGGCTCGATCCAACCACAATGACGGCAGGTGCGTAGACAACGATCAGCGAAATATTCTCGAATAATGGGGACGAGATCCTTTCCGATATCCTTGCAGTGAAACTCGCTCGAGTGGAGAACCGCACTACAGGACTGGCAGTACCATCGCAGGATATCGAGGTCGTCGGCGGCTCGCTTTCGCTCGATGACCAGGCCGACAGTCCCAGCTGGTCGCTGCGGAGAATGCGGGACCCTTGCTGGAAGTACAAAGAGCTCGCCCTCTCTGATACGCACCTCCTTGAACGCGGGAGGACTCTGGTGTTCGTCAACGATTTTTAATGAAATATCGCCCTCAATCTGGTAAAAGATTTCTTCATAGTTCTCAATATGGTAGTCGGTTCGGACGTTGGGACCACCGACGAGCATTACGAGAAATCCACCATCTGCCAGGACGACGTTGCCCACCGGCGGTCGCAACAGGTCTCTGTTCTTCTTGATCCAGGCTTCCAAGTGGATCGGCGATAGCCGCGTGCAACTTTCCTCTGCGCTGGCGTCGTTCATACTCAAGATGATCAGCGGCTAGAATAGCAGCTCTCACACGAATGCTTGTAAAAAAGCGTTTTGCACCCTCGTACGCAGCGGCAGACGGAACCAGGTGCGCTCCTGACCCACCCGGGTCGCTTCTTCAACTGAACGAAACCCGGTTACGTCTCAGAGTGAGCGCTCGTCTACGACAACGCCTAATCCCAAAATTGTAAACCAGAACAGAATAGGTCTTTTTGCGTAAGATCTGGATACTCATGCACAAGTCGAGACACGCGTGCTTTCCGGGCTCAAGTCGGTACGCTCGTTGTCTCTTTCCAAAGACGGGATAAGCGCCAAAGAACCGCATTCGGCAACCGTTTTCTGCGCTGTTGCAATGTCGAAGCGTCCACAGACCAGGAGAGGACACGAAGCCAGCGGTCAGCTCCGTGGGGTTTCGGGGGCTTCGACGAAACCCGCGTCGAACGCACCACCAGCACAGCGCACTGGTGCCCGAAACGTGTGACTTGATCCATACCAACAGCCTCTGAGTGTTGGCTGCAGTGCATGCGTGCACCCAACAAAATGAAGCCCTTGTACAGTACAGGATCCGAGTATCGAACTGTGTAGCGCTCGCTGCCAGTTGTTGCAGGTATAGTCAAGGCAGTGAACTCGCCAGAAGGCTTCCGGGTAGCAGGTCGTTGACGATCTCTATCGCTGTTTCCGAGTTCGTCCGTGAAGTGTAAACGCAATCAAGCGACCCTTGGGGCGAATCACGAATCTAGGACGTTGTTCCAACATCCGAATAGGCGTCGCAGAGAGCTGGGGCAACCTCCATGCCGACACTTTGTTGCCGTTCAGATTCAGCCAAATTAAAATAGAACACTGGACTGCTCGCCCAGCTGCAGTATATCGATAGTTCAGAGCTTTGCGAACTGCACACACGCCAAACATTTGCAGTGCAAGCGGAAAAGCGAATCGATTCACGTATTGCATGAGGATTCTCAGTCGTTTCTTTGGAGTGGCTACGTCGCCGCTTTGTAGCTGGCATGTGTTACATCACCGAAATCAAGATAATTCGCAACGTTCTCCAATAACGGTTCCTAAAATAGCCACTTTCATTATCCGGTTCACGCGTTCGAGCCTCTGAATCCTGCCATTCCGAACTTATAGCACGCTCAAATCACGCATTCTACGAGTTTTCACTAGTTCTGTTTCAAGGCACCTCATAGGCGCATCGATTGGCGTCCTTGCATTGAAGATAAAAGAATCTCGACGCACTTGCTCGAGCAGACTTGTACACTGAACATTTCACGCCGAATAATAGTCAAATCTGTCCGAAACACAAAACCCTCCCTCTCAGTGAACATCGACTACGCGGGATTCGTCACCAGCACGTTCCTGCACACCGGATGTGCTACCAGCGGGTGCCGTCTCTACCGCTCCCATCGCAAAGGGTTTTGGAGTCGGACTCGTGTCATCGCAGCGACCGTGTGGAATCGAAAATACGTCACTGCTTTGCACAACGGAAGCGCAGACAGATTGTAATTTCTCGAATTGTTCTGAACCTGGATTCTCCTCCCGGTTCTTGTTCAACCATAAAGAACATCGCGTTCCAGAAATCCCCTATCGAAGAGCACGACAGCATTTGCGTCCTCGCGCAGCAGACAGAGTACTCGCTGAGAAGACCGCCCAGAAGACGCCGTGATCGTAGGGTTCGGCAACGGGCGCGCGAACCGAGGAGTTCATGGCGGGTAGCCTGCTGTACTAGGACAGCGTGTGTCCAAGACGGTTCCCATTAGTCTACGTGCCACAGGGCGCCACTCGGGCCAGAACATGCCATAGACTAATGGGAACCTCAAAACCCCGTTCAGTGTCAACGCTGCGAAGCGCGCAGCGAGATTGCAAACGAAGCTGATGAGCACGGTAAGCGAATCGTCGATCGCAACTTCCACCTGTCCATGATATGCGTGAACAGTGTCTAGAGGAAGCAAAATCGTGACTTTAACGATGCCATCAACATCGATGGACGGACAGCATAAACTGGCGTATTTCAGGCCGGAGATAAGTAGGAGGAGCATGAAGCAGTCGCCTTCAAAGCCCGTAGAGACTAGTTTTCTTAACAACGGAAAGCGACTCGTACGCTAGGGTGTACTCCTGAATGAGACCACCAGTTCCAGTTTATTCTGGCATTAGTGCAGTTTACATAACGTAAATCTTCAAAGAGTTGCCGCAGCTCGAAGGTACGAAAATCCCAATGTCGCCTTGGCTACGTTCAAGCGTGCATACCCGCCCGAGTCTCTCGAGCCAGGCTCAACAACAGCAATGCACGCTGCCGTGTCCCTGCATCCAGGGAAGCTTGGAGCCGCCCATGGGCACCGGTGCACCCGCAGGGTAGTTCGCTGGCGGGCTTCCAATACCCCGGGAACCTTGAGGCTCCCATTCAAAGCCTTCCAGCTCCCAGTGGACTCAATCCCACGGGCCCAACACAGGGTGTGCGTTCATCGCATCACCTTCGAGTCTTGACGCAATCCGGTAACCGCTAGTGTACCGCCAGCAACGGAAGGCTTGCCCGAGACGTCACGAGCTCGTCCCTGCTGCCCTGGAACCTGAAAACTGATCGCTACGGAGCTCGCCCGGGTGTTCCAGTGTCGATGCTGGCGATCGCGGTGGAACTGCAAGGATGCACCACACATAGCTGCATCTGTGAGTTGCGTGCGATTTTGGCATCGGATTAAGATTCTTTCGCTTTAGAAGACATTATTGTACAACATGAGTCCGGTCCTCAGTGGTTCGCTATCGAGAAAAGTACCCGGTGCTTACCAAAGGCAACCGGTCGTCGCGAGATCGTCTCCAGGGTAACCTCGTGGGATGCCGCTGCACGCCCGGAAGCGTTGCGCCCAGGGCAAGCTCGTTCACGACGCTCCTGGTGACTATGACAGGTCGACGCGCGGTTTGGCGCAACTACCCAAGCAAGCGCGCGGGGCAGGTACGCATGGAAAAGTGGCGCGCGTTCATGCTGGATAAACAGGAGGGGCTCGGGTATCACCGCCAGGGCGCACGACCGACGACGTCCAACCAAGCGCTTCAAGCCATCACATCTGTTAGTCTCGATTATGCAGTCCATGACACGAGCGCGCTCACAACAAGAGCGCCTTGCGTTTGCATGAAACGCGTCGCAAGCTCGTTCTGAAGACGCGCTTTGGTATCTGGGCACACGCATGCGTAAGCTGCGCGACCGTGGCATCGAACTAGTGCATCCGATGAAGCATTTGCGAAGCGCCGCATCCTTGGTCAGATCCCCGGGAAGCGACGCGGCCCCGCGGAAGCACCAGATCCGCTCCAGAGTCGCCGTCCAGGCCGATCTCAGTGCCATCACGAGTATCGAGGCATCTGATGCCTTGTATACCGCTGCATGCGACACACAAACAAACAAACAAACTCGAACACAGAAGCGCGTGCTTTCGCTGGTCGCAACGCACAGCCCACGCGCCTGCTATGGATTTTCGTCGAACTTGGGCTCAGTGCTTCTCATGGCCCAGGTCCATCGCATGCATTTTCGCCACAAAATCTTGACCTGCCTGTCCTCTGTACGACTCAAAGGTCGTCGTTTCCCGGGGTTTCACAAGCATGCGCTCTCGAGTCGATGACGAGCGCGCGTAAAGCGTCTCATCACTCGGATCCTCCGAGGCGCCGTTCGTGCTCCAAGACTCTTCCTGATGCGCGCCGGTCCCCGTTGCTGATGAACTCAGGTGTTCTCCAGGGTCGACGCACGAGGCTCGCAACGTCTCTGGTGCATCTGGAGCCCCCAGTGTCCGCGGAGTTCGCCGCCTCGCGCCCGCCGCATTGCCTGTGCTCTGAATAGGAATCGGCTCCGTGAGCGGCAGTTTCGAGGCTCCTCTGCTACCTGGGACAGCCATCGGCGCGTTCACGACGGACATATGCGGCATGTTGTCCCCGTCCGGGTGTCGTTTGCCGTCGTCGTCACGCTCAGCATCCGCCTTTTGCGCATGTAGCCGCTCGTGCAAACGTGCACATCGTTCGAAGAGCGGAAGGTCCATCTCGATCATTAGCTTTCGCACGTTGCAAGTCAAATTGGTTACAGTGGGATTCCAGTGATTCCGCTCGTTATGTACGAGCGCCCCAAATACAATAGGAAAGACCCTTTCGCGATATTGCAAAATTAGAGATACCAGGTATTCGTTATTCCAAAGAAACAGGGTGCGCTCAGCCACCTGAAAGTGTGGCGACTGCATGCACTTGGCGATGCGCCGGAAAAGATCCTCCAGAACGATACTGAATTCGCGTGGATGCGTCTGCTCGATGATCTCCTCGAGCTCGGCAAGAAAGAGCACTTCTTTCTGGGAGTTTGTGAGCGGCCAGTATCGCAGTAAACCTCTCAAGATATCCACGGCAAGTGGCGGATACTTTTCCACGAACTGAGTCATGCAGTACACCAGCTGCTGGTGGTACAGCGCAACTGTGCGCGGAATATGTAATGGAATGAGTGCCTTGCGTAGAAAATTCTTGTGTTCCTCCTTGAGTGGCAACGCGAAGCCATTAATGATTGATCCCAGGATTTCCAGCAACTCCGCGATGCCATTATGCCGCTCTGACTCGAATACAAAATAAAAGAATACATTGGCGATCGATCGTCGAATAAAAGGCCGCAGCGGCATGAACTTTCCATAAATCCGGTGTAGGATCATCTTCAGATAATCGCGTTCCCGGGGATCTTCTGAGTCAAATAGGTCCAAAAGTCCCAACAGAAACTTCTGATCGATATACCGCCGCGCCGTGCGGGGATCGAGGTCTGGGGACGTCACGAATCGTAGCAGTATTTCATAGACAACATGTAGATGTGGCCAAGCTGGTTCCAGAGTGGGTTCGTCTTCTTCGAGCTCGCCCGCCAGAATCGCCTCCGGTGCAGTCGGCGGCGACATATGAAGCGTTCTAAACAGATTTTTCGTGATCATTTCAACCAGAGCGGCGCAGACCTCATCCGTTAAGATGCCTTTCATGTTCGACAGCGCATCTGCGATTTCGATCAGCGCAATCCGTTTGCCTTCCTTATCCACGATGTCCTTCGTCGGGTCCATGAAATCGTAGATCTCGCAACACAGATGCAATTTTCGGCACAAGAGCTCACGACGAGCTCGTGGATTCTGCACCTCGCTCAGCGCCGGTAACCCGTAAAACACTGAGGTGGGTTCCGGCGTCGGCGACGGAGAGCGACGCGCGTCCCAGCTGCCCGGCGTACCTGATCGGGCTGATGTCAGCAAGTCAGTGTTCAGCGAACCTGATAAACCGATGCTCCCTGCATTGGTCGGCTGCGTTCGCGGTGAGTTGGACGAGGATGCCGCTGCAGCCGCGGCAGCCGCCACGGCCGGATGCACCGAAGCATCCGGCGGCATCCGTTGCTGCACATGGAGCGTGGACGCCGGCGGCGGAGGCGACGACGGAGCAGTCGGTCGGGAGTCGATCTGTTCATCGATTTCCAAAACGGCCGCTTCCGTGGTATCGCGAGCACCATTGGATTCCGCTTGAGGCACTTCTCGAGAATCGTTCCCCGCGGTGTTTCGAAACGCCAGGAAAGCGGGTCCCCGAGGTGACATCGCGCGCGGCCAGTCATGCGCTGTTTTCGGACTTGATGGTCGCAAGTCCTCAGGCATAACGTCTTCAAAGTTTCGCGATCCGGTGGAGCCAGAGCCACCGGAACTAGTGCTCGCGCTACGACCCCCAGTGCTCTGAGCACCTCGACGGGGTATCGCCACCGGAGCGGAACGCACCGCGGACTCCGCACGAGAGCGCTCGCTATCCATCCCTTGTTGCGTCGGGGTAGGTTCACGCTCTGCATGGCCCTCCCATATACCAGTTTTGGGGGCTTGCATGGAGCGCACAGTACGCGAGCAATAATGCTGCCGGCGGGTGCTGTTGTCCGAGCTTCACCGTTCTCTGGACGTCAAATGTGTGCCCAGAGGGCTCTGCTGGAAGATTGCAAACCCCAATAGTCCCGTTCTGGTGATTTAGAATGGCTTTTCAGTCGCCAAAGGTCAGAAGTTAACGGCAAGCGCGGCCTCTCTTCAGGCACGAAACCTGGCAACAGCCGCACCACACCTTGCCGCGTTGCGTGATCTCTCTCCACTCGTACGCCGCCGCTGAACGTCTTAAAAGTGGAATCGGCCGACCTCGCACGAGGATGCTTGGTCACGGAACACAGTCTCCCTCCAGGTTTCCGAAATACGTCCTTCGACAACGTGTTATGCTGACGGAGTTGTCGTTTTGACGCAAGCTTCGATACGCTCTGCACCGTCGGCACAAGGCATGCTACAGAGGGCGACGCACAGATCGCAGGGCGCGTCACTGCGGACCGCCGCGAGCGCAGCCTCTGCGGCTTGGAGCGATCGCGCCGTGGAATGAAAGAAAAGGAAATTATGGTATAGATATAGACAAAACTGTTTGCTCAGAGGATGTCGCTGTGTGGCGATCGAGGCACGCAGCAGGTTTTCGAAATGTACACGTTTAGCCGAGCATCGTTGAGACTCGTTACTGGACACGTTGTTTTGACACCCGTACGGACGACGACTTCATCAGAGACCATATGTTAATGAGGTGGTTGTCTCAGTCTCATCAATATGTCGGGCGAAGATCCAGTTTTGACGAGGTTTACCGGTTTTGATGGAAATGGATCGCGAGGTATAGAATCACCATGCAGCGTTCAACATAGGAACCGCGTTTTGGACGGCATGTTGTTGTTTACGAGCAGCTTCAGAGCGGACCAAGTGAAAACCCCATGCAGGCCACAGATCGCCCGATGAATGGATGTTGCCAAGTCCGTATGCCCAGTATACTCTGTAGATAGTGGGCAGCTTCGTCGTGCGACTGGCTGCGCTCCGGATCCGCGGTATATCGCTACTTGGCAAAGTTGCTCGGCATGTTCGCTTCGAGTACGGCCTTTCTGAAAGCGCACCGTACGCCAATCCGAAGCGCGTATCAGATGGACCAGGGGTGCGATTGCTGAGCATGTCTGCATGCGAAGCTTGTTCGAAAGCGCACGCTGAGCCTAATTTCGGGGCGTTTGGAAGCACGCGTCTCTCGAGATGCATCTGCAAAGTTAGTCGGACCTCATCACATTCTTGTTTTCGATGACTGCGTTGCCCGGTCACGATTCGCACCATGCAATGCGACGGTGCATATTGCTTGCCAGCCGCAAGTAATCACGTCTAAGAGCGGAATTCTTTGAGCTATACGAACGAAAAAAATCACTTATTGCACTCCATTTTCAAAATACCGCAGGAGATGGTCATTCACATGGTAGAGAAGATGTTTCGCAGGTACTGATGACTCGTCTTTCGGGAAACAATGCGATTTACCACTCTTCGATCATGATTCAAGTGTGATAAGTGGTGCGGAAAAGCCTCGCGATCACAGGGCGAATCACTATCCATCCGCAGACGCCTCCCAGTTTGTTTCGACCGGTATCCTGCTATCGGCGTCAGCCGCTCCTTGTGCACTTCGACCCTGAGAGGCTGCCCTACAAAATTAGATCATGTCAGCGCCTCAGGTCTATTCTTCAGCATCGCACATCGTCTGGTGCTTATAGCAGCGTTGAATTCTCGATTTACGTATTCCCTGCATTTACCGGCGATGGTGAAACTCATCTTTGCCGGGATTCCTCGAACTCGTGCCCTATACGCCACTACAGTCTCGTTGTCGTCCTGTGGGGTAAACACCTCTTCTCGCCTTACTCATTGTCATCCTCCTCTTCGTCGTGCGTTGCTCTCCATCGCTCGATTATCGGCGAGAAGATGATTTTCTTCGTTGTTTTGGAGAACCTGGCAATGACGGTACACCAGGATCCTCAACTTGTACGCCCATACCTTTCCCTTGGATCTCTGTTGCTTCAAACGAACGCACTTGTTTATGTTCCTGGGTCAGGACCTTCCTGGAGTGAGATGGACTTGCGGAAGAGAGGCGACATGTGCCCCGTTGTTTCACTGTGTGCTGAACGGTTCAGCGATTCGCCCAGTGGAGCGATCATTACGATTCACGATGGAAAAGACTCCTCCGATGCGGTAAAACAACGGAAATTACTAAGTAATGAAAAGCAGCTCTAGCCCGATACGATGTGCAAAAGCTTGAACGTAACCGAAAGGGGGAAATGCCATGTTGTCCAGCTAAAGGAAGTCGCCAGACGTCTGGGGAAAAGCCTTCAATGATTCGGCAAAATTGGTGCTATTCTATGCGCCTTCTCTACGAGCGAAACTGAGGCCACCAAACATATCCACTAAAGCTAGAACAGATAATGTCCTCGTTCTATTCGAGTTCAAGCGTACGTACAACGGGATCCTTCACCTCGAATACCCCTGTACGCTTCGACGGTTTCGTCAGAATAAAGTCTCATCGACTGAAGATACAAACCGACCTCCCTCGGCTTTACACGGATTGTGACGTTCTATGAACGCTGTCGTCGCTATTTTGGTAGAAAGTGTTCGTGATTCGACTAGAACATTTTTCGCGACCGTATCCCAGTGTTTTCCGGACGACTCGAACAAGCTGTTGAGAAAAAGAGATGCCCGTGGCGACTACTTTCGTCGCTTCTGCGTTCCGTACGGTGATCAACGGTTCGGTTCCTTTCATTGACGGCAAGAAGTCTTCTAAAATATGGGGTTTTTAGCGCAGACCGCATATACGTTGTTCTTGCAGTGTTCCGCAACCATCTGCGTACGACGGCATGACTGACCTGAAGGAGGAATGCAGTCCTCCCTGTACTGTTCAGTACAGAGTATATCCCACAGGCATTCGTCTACAATATATGCGATACATTGCATCGTGGTTTCTGTCTCCTTCTATACACCACAGTGCGGATGAAACAAAATCAAGTTGAAACACAAGATTAGGTTCACAGTCCCGGGCGCTCTGCTGCCTGAGCAACCAATCCCGATTTTTCACGGTCTTTACGGGGCATCGAGTTGACACAATACTTGCGTGCGTCCTTTCGTTACGCCTGGGAGCGGGAAAAGCTCCAACGCGTCGACAATGGTAGAGAGTCATGAAACGGGGCGCTGTTAAGGAAGCACTGCTTCAGTCACGACATCCAGCGACTATGCCCTGCGTGCAGCCGCCGCGGAGCAAGTCGCTCGCAACACGTTTAAGCATAACTCGTATCGTCGCAACTGATAGAAAGCTTTCGGAGCTTGAGGAACTTCACAAAATTTTGCAGGAGAAAAGCTATCCCTACGGGGCCCCGCCTCCACCAAAAAGCTATCTCTTCGGGGGACTGGGTTGGGTTTTCGGATTCGGCTGTGCCGTCGGTGGCCCGTTTCTCGGCATTGGTGCAGGGTATGCGCTTTCAGCACCAGGCGCTGTGGGCGGACTCGTTTTACCTCGACCGATTGCCGTCTTTGGAGGTGGTTTCGGAGCTGGAGCTGTCTGCGGTATCGGTTTCAGTGCCGGGCTTGTTACCGGTATCGGAAACGGCTACGTTCCTATTGGGTTCTGGGTACCATTCCAGTTCGCACCGCGGTTTTTGCGTCTCGAAAAACTGCTTGATCAGCTACTTCAGAAGTTTCAGAGCCGATGACTTGTATCCACCTTTAAAAGTCTACGACTGGAATGTACCAGAACTTCAATGTACGGCAGAGGCAAACGAGAGCGGATGCAATCGATGATCGTTATGCTGTAGCGCGTCTCAGCTGAAGTTTATCGAACGTTTAATCGTGTCCGCGGCAGCGACAAGGTATGCGCATCCCAGTGCATGCTAGAGAAACAAACTACAGCGATTCTTTATCGTTAAGACAAAGGTCATGAGGCACTGGAACGAGAATTTTTGTACCTTTTATGATACAGGTACGATGCGAGAAAATATTTGGTCGGCCTGAACAATCAAAGGACAAGCATTGAAGCGCAGCTCCGGGCAACAATTTTACCAGCTTGCAACGTAGACCTGAGAAATTCCGTCTCCGAATCTGTATTCACTGAGACTCAAACTTGCCTGAGCGATTTTTGGCAGCAACATCAGCCGGTCGTAATGTTATTGTCGCTATCCTATAGAGCGTTCGCATGCAGATGTTCAATATATCAATGCAAACCTGTTGTCCGCAAGCTCTCCGAGCATGATCTGCGCAGCGCGCTTTGCCACTCGGACTCGCTCCATGACCACCCAAAGGAGTGCTCATAAAATTCGGTGCTGTCCCGTAAGCACCCGTGTCATGAAACGCATCAGGCGAAGGCCGGTGTCAACTGTGTGCAACGCCGATCCTGCGGCTGCTTGTCGTTCTGTATTTCGATGAGCGCACCCTCGGGTGGAGCACTTTCCAGGTTCCTTAGTTGACGACTGCCGAAGGAACCAGGTCCGAAGGGTCTCCAGATCCGCCGATGACGCAGTACGAAGCAGCACCTGAGAGATGGCGCCGTCCAGTAGTGTTAACGGCCACCGCAGCGCCTGCTCATAAACATCAGTGCGCTCTGTGGGCGCATGCCGCACACGACATCACGAAAAAGCAAGCTACCCTTCACTACCGTCTGAGTTCTGTGTTTTGACGCGGAAAGCTTCAATATGTGACGACTCCTTTACGACCAAAATAGACAATGGACAGGGCTTGAACAGTTTGAGCCTTCATAAGCGAGGCATCTGCTTTTCCAAAAAGGAAAGTTCGCGCGAATCCTATCAAATGTTGATGTAGAACAGCATAAAAATGAATAGGGTTCCCCAGTTGCCGCTGTACAATTGCAATGAACAGGGCCGGAGCTTCACGAATTCAATTATGACTCACCATGGAACGATGCCTGGTCGTTCTTTTCGACGCTTTCGGTGCCCGTCCGTGGCTCCATCGACGCTGTTGAATGACTTTGCTGGGATACTGTTGAGTGCGGGCGCGTCGCAGGACCAGACAGGAACCTTCCAGAGTTATCGCGGCGGCGACGGAGGGCATGAGCCCTTCGCGACTCATGCCGCCGCCTTCTTCTGCCCGCACATAACGACATATTCCTTTGCACAAACATAGCGTGGCTCATTACATGCATGTCATGAAACGATTGCTGGACGCTTGTCTCGCGACCTCGAATGCGCATCCACTGGAGAAAACGCCGTTCTCTTCGGCTGACAATCCGATAATACCGCCGGGGGTCAACGAAATATCCCATCGAAGCGGTATTGCCAGCTCCCGAACACATGGTTTGAATATAAGGCAGCCAAATACGACCGGCTGCATCGATCGAGGAAATGTTCTGCATCGGAAAGGGTGCCAGCACTGGTGTCCGCAGCTCATGGCGGATTCCAGAAACTGCATGGAAAAAATGTCCATGGCGAGCTATCATCCCCGCAGTTCCTACGAACGGTTGCTGGGCTGTGTAGCCGTATGGAATTTCCAGGAGAACCGGCGATGCAGAGAGCGGGCTCAGGCCTGCACGTGTCGGAGCTCTGGACATGGAACTTCCAGCCCCTGCTGATGGTTCCGATTGCATGAAGCCACCGCTAGTGGACAGGATCCCTCTTGATGTCGATTGGCTGCTCTCGGGGCTTGATTCCGCTGGAGAGCCACTCAAGGCACGAGATAGTGCCTGCCCGGCCAGTGAATCTCCGGGGCAGGGCACTCCGGGCTGCTCGTGCGGCGGTGCAGCGCCGTCGCCTCTTCCTCCCGACCGCTCCATACTTGCTCAGAAGAGTTCACCGTTGGATCTCTCAGAACATCAACCTCGCAAGGCGAACTTGGAATCGTGTGCGTGTACCAGAGTTCACCCACAGAAAGAGTCGCTACTTGCGCTGTGCCGGTTTTATAGAAGCATATTCTTTAAGACAGAATTCCTGTTCGGAAAACGAACCTCTTCTCCAGGCCCGACGGCAAAGGGCTCCAACTTGACACCCAACTGCCACGTAAGCAATAGGAAGCAAGCTGATTACAACGCGGAAAAGTGAATACTCTCGGAAACGTCGTCGCCCCGACTCAGCACACGTCAAGCTCTCAGCGTACCGAGTCGATGCCTCCGATTTCGAAATACCGGCGTCGCGCGGTAACGAGGCGCGGGTATAAAAATTAGGGACATAACTATACAATGGACATTTCTATCCTCAATGCGTGCCTGCTGCGCCCGATGCTGCACGCGCATCGGGCGCAGCGGCACCCGTGCATCGCCGGGGGCAGGCGCTACGCAGTGACCCGTAGAACGAGTGAGCGTACTGGCTATTTAATGAAAAAACTTGTTTTGCTTTATGGTGCAGAAAATCCTGCTATCTAGCGGTTTCTCAATAACGTGTTCATACGGCCCAATGGAACAGACGAGCGTGAGTTTCGGTACTGTCTTTTCAGGGCTTCGCGCGCATGCGCAAGCATGCGATTTTGGCGAAATGGGGCGACTCAAGAACGGTTTACTGCCGCTCTCGCTCAGTCTCGAAATGGAATTGATGCGCTGATTCTGAGATCGCTCATAAATGCTGGAATTGATAGAGAGGTCCCCTGTTGTGTGCTAACCGATGGAGAGGCGCTGACGCCTCGGAACCCTTCGCCGTCCCCGAGTTGAACTGTGCAGGCTGACTGCATTCTTCGACGTATGCGTCAGGTAGTCGAGTCTGATCAAATCGGTAAGGGTATCCGCTCCTTGGCACCCGTACCGAAGTCGTCTGTTTTTTAGGCTTATTCGACATGAATGGCGGTAGGAAACTTTTGGCTCCGCTGGGTTCGGAGTTCCTCAAGAACGAAAACAAGTTTCCTTTTTAGGAGCGACATGTTCTCAGCAGCACAAAAAATGTGTTCAACGGGATTCGCAGCTGACGCAACGATCGCTTCAGAAGTAAACGCGTGGAACTGACAAGCAGCAGCTTGCCAAATACACAACGCAGTCATCGAAGCACTGGAAATTGCGAATTTCTTGTATCGTCAGTGACACGAAAACGTTTCGCAACAATAGAGCGCATTTATAATCCCAGTCACGGACGCCTCCCAGCCCTCTTTGACTAGCAGCCCGCTATCGGTTCCAGGTTATCAAGGCACACCTCGTGCCTGAGAGGCTGCTCCACAAAATCGTATCTCGTCAATTCCTCGGTTACTGCAGCTGGTGGAACTCATCAATGCGAGGATTCCTAGAACGCATACCCTCTCTGCCACTGAAATCTCGTTGTCGTACGGTCGAGCAAACACATTTTCTTGCCTGTCTCCCTCTTCTTCCTCTTCTTCACTTGTTCTTCTTCTCTCGATGGTTGGCGAGAAGAGGATTTTTGTTCCTTGTTTTTTCGAAGCCGGCAACAAAGCTCCTCAAGGATCCTCGACTTCCATGCCCATGACTCTCCCTTGGATTTTTTATTTTTTTAAATGAACCTACTTGTGTATACCCATGGGTGGAGACCTCCCCGGAGGGAGAAGGACGTGCTGAAGAAAGACGAAATGTGCCCCGTTGTGTCACCGTGTGTCGAACGCTTCAGCGATTCGCCTAGTGGAGCGATCATTACGATTCACAATAGAAAACAGTCCTTTGATGGGGTAAAACAACGTTGCGTACAATGGAATGAAACGCAGCTCTAGCCCGATTGAATCAGCAAAAGCTCGAACGCAACCGGAATGGTGAATTACAACGTTGTGCAGCAGAGGGTCTTCGCCAGACTTCAGGGAAAAAGTCTTCAGTGGTTCGACGAAGTGATTGGTGCTGTTGTATGCGCCTGCTCTGCGAGTGGAAATGACGCCGTCGAATGAATCCATTGCAATCAGAACAGATAATGATGTCATCTTTCTCCCCAGATTCGATGTTAAATACAACGAGCTCCCTGCTCCGCGAATGGCCATATTTCCCACGACCTTCTCGTCCGACGGAAGTCCCATCGGCTGAAAATACAAATCAACGTCCTGTGCTTCATACAGATCGCGACGTTACAGGAATTCGATTGTAGTAGCGAATGCCGTGGAATATTGTCGTGACTGAAGTGGAAAGTTTTTTGCTACTGTATCCCGGTGTTTTCAGGACCATTGAACAAGCTGTTGAGAAACAGAGACGCCCACAGCGACTACTATCGTCGCTTCTGCGTTCCGTAAGCTAATCAATGGGTCGTTTTCTACCATAGACCGAGAGCTCTTTGGAGAGTATCAGCTCTTGGCGCTGAGAGCATCTACTTGTTTCTTTCAATGACCCCCGACCATCTGAGAACTGCGATACGAATGAGCCGCAGGGCGGGGGGTGCTGTCCCCCTTGCACTACTCAGTAAAGCATACATATCCCGTAAGCAATTCGTCTCCGATCTATAACGTACATCCTAGAGTGATTTCGGTCGCTTGCTCTTCACCGCGAGAACGCATTCGACTGGACTCAGAGGGAGTGGACCAGAAACAAGTTAAAAGATTATAAGATCCGGACTTGTCGAAATCTTATGCCCGCACACGTAGCTCGTGATAGAAAATATCACCGGAGTAACTCCATTACAAGACGCTCCATGTATTTTCGGTTTACAAGCCACATAGCTGCACCCGGTTCCTTGCATGAGATATACACTCCTTGCTGGTTTGTGGGTTGCTTCAGTAGTTTTTGATGCTACGTACTTCCTGAACTGGCAAAGCAAAGACCTGGAACCCGAAGATCGTGAATCAGTATTCAATTCAGAGAGGAACCACGATCATTGGAGGAAAGTTCCTATCATGGCAGCGATTTATCAGAGATGCTCACCTGATGTGTCTCGCATACTCGGGAAGACCTCTCTGGAGCTCGCTCATGCGTATCTCGCTCCCATTTAAGAGTCTTTCCCCAAGGGTTTCGATGTCCAAGAGAGGATGTACGTTCATACAAGACGCAGCCGGCAATGCTCATGGCGATCCCCAGGATACCGTAAGAGCTGACGCTTGCCCGATAAAAAAGCACAACGGTGATCATCCCACTGATCATTCTGCGCATCGAGCTAGCTATGGTAAAACTCACATTGTTGAGCTCGTTCAGGGAAATCAGAGAGAACAACGACTGCACAAAATTCACAAGTCCTTTCAACGCTAGCATGCAGAACAGGCTCTTCCGCCGTTGGATGATTTCAGGGTCGCCGGACGCCCCTACCAGTGATTGGAGAACCATTTTTGACGCCCGAAATCTTGAACCGGAAGCTGTGCATTCTTGAAACAAACGAACGGCTCTCCCTGTCAAGATTTGTACAAAAGTATTCTTCCCTCGACTCACACCAAAACAGCCCACAAAAAATCTTAGCCCAAAGTACGGAGCCAAGAATGCCAGGGACAGTACAGACTGGGCAATCTGCATGCTGAGCGGATCCAAGCGGTCCTGCGCCCCGGCAAATTGTCGCTTCGTGAGCATTGAATGACCAACACCCAAGAAAACAGAAAATATACAGGACAAGCAGCCGACCAGAAAACGACTGAGGTCACCTAATCCTTGACCCAAAAGAGAGTGTAACGCAGGTTCACTCTGCACGTCTTGAAGGCGCTCCATTGACGCAGCGCTTGCCTCGAGCAGGTCACCAGCCGAGGCGAGCGAGACACCTCCCACGATTGGAATCAGAGTGATGACAGTCTCCAAAGGAAAATCCTCGCCCCAGAACAACTTTTGCAGCACGACGCTCGCTACCGGCGAGAGCGAGCGTATCGTGACCGTCAGGTTGACTGATATGCGCGCAAGTCCCCCGAACTTTGACACGTCACGGAAAACGGCGACAGCGGCAACCGGCAACAGCTTCACCAATAGCTTTTTGCGAAAAAGTTTGCGCAACGAGTCCGCACCGCGAACAAAGCGGAGTAAAATGATGCCGTAGATGGCGCTAAGAAGTGTCTGAATAAACGTCAGTAGGACCTCAGAGACAAAGAAGCGCGCTAACAACTCCCGCGTCACGTAGAGGTGCAAGACACTGATGACCGTCCACACCACGAAGGCCCCTGCAGCCCTAAAACGGTGACCTGAACCTTTTGGCCGAGTATCCATCCGTGGACTCGTCGGTTGAACTTTTGCTACTTGTTGCTACCGGCAGCAGTGTACAGTAGTGGCGACCGGGGCCCTGGAGAAGAACTCTCCAGCTGATGTGCAGACGCCTCCCAGCCTTTTTGGACCGGCCACCTATTATTGGTTCCAATTTATTCTCATATAGTTCGACTTTGACGGGTTGTCCAACAAAGTTCACTCTTGTCGACCTTGGAGGTCTACTCTCCAGCACCGCACATCTGCATATATTGATAGCGGCATTAAAGTCACGGTTCACAAACTCCGTTCGTTTCTTGCCATTAGACGTTGTACTTACTAGTGCAAGGAGTCCACGAACTTTCACCCTCCTTTCCATTTGCTCTTCCGTCAGTGGTCCGTACTTTGCTATTTCCTCAGGGCTCCGCTGACACTTTTCCATCTCCACTCGCTGAAGTGTACATCCCAGTTCATGGTGTGTATAGGACGTTCGGAACTCATCTATCGGTATTGTAACAAAACGCCGTGCACACTCTTTGAATGTTCTTGTCGTTGGAGCTGGCGTAGTCCCTTTTTGGGTCATCTAGCGCCCTGCTCCGTACGCCACTACTAGCCGCTGAGTTTCATCCTCTTTGAGGGCACTCAACTGACTGAAAAAGTTCGCGAACGCCCGCTGCTTCCCACAATACAAATTCATTCGCAAACGAGCCCGCCGGGGCTTTGTATACTCCTCCCACAGCGCATCCCAATGCGCAATGCGAACTTCCATGAATTTCCGAAAAGCTTCAAAGTCCGCTCCTCGACTTGTCACCTAGCTCAAAGCTTCCAGGTGATCCTTCATTCCTGCATTCTACGTAACGATTTTCTTCCTTGCATTCATTATACCGGATTCTTGATAGTATCTCGCTCTCGAGAACCTCAAAAGACGCATGTCTTTCGGACGCAAGTTGCCGTCAGTACATTCTTCTGCACGCTTCGGTGCTGCGATGGTGATGATATTTGTGTTTCCGGGGTCCGCGCCAACGACAAAGTCGTTATCCTGCAATTTCTTCGTCTCAAGGCACGCCTACTTCTTTTCTTCATGCTTCGTCGCGCCAACGACAAGGTCGTTATCCTGCATCTCCTGCGTCGCAGGATCCTCCTTCTTCTCATCTTCATCCTTCGTCACGCCAACGACGAGGTCGTTATCCTCTACCTCCTGCGTCGCAAGATCCGCCTCTTTCTCATCTTCATGGTTCGCCGAGGGGGGAACTGGACGATCTCTCTTCAACCGCCGATAGTGTATACACAAGGCTACTCCATCGGTTTCAATCATCCCAGTAAACAACTTTTGCTTGCTCACTCTCAGACGTTTGAAACTGAAGATATTCTTCCAGTACGTCTCCCGGTTTTCACCGGAGAACTCCTCCCTGCTAACATCGAACTCCGGACACATCTCCTTCATGATGCCGTGAAGGATTCTTTAGTCGATAGTCACGAAATGTGACTTGATGTTGCACATTGGAACGACGTTGAAGCGCTTCCCCATTAGAAAAGCCTTCCGTCTCTACCACTCTTTTTTTGTCTCCTCACTCAGCTTCATCTCTGCCTTGCGTTCGAGTTCACGGTCCGGAAACACAAAATAGCGCAGGACGAGGCGATAGTATCTTTCCTTATCTTTTTTCAACGCTGATATCTTTTCTGCTAGATTCACCAACCCTAAGACTGCACGGTGCTCTTGAATAGCCGCACGGATCACAGAAGCTTCATCCGTGCTCTCTTTTGACGCCCTCTTGTCGACAAATTATACCTCATTTTCATGCTGGCGATCGTTCGTGATGCCATTGATAATCGCTCATTTTCCTTTGCGAGAGATGCCCAGGTATAGCGCAAACACGGCGCTCATCATGAAACTTTCGAGGTTCATCGTCAAATGGTTCTTTACGTTCATGATGAACTTCATCGCCCCGCATGTGTAAATATCCCGGTCACCCCTGTATCGAGTACCCTCGAAGTGGAATTCCGCGAAGTTTTCGCGGAGGGCTTGCAATAGCTCTTTTTTCGTCGAAGATTCCCCTGTACCAAGCATCAGACGACGAATCATGGTCATGTTGAAGAACTAGCCCAGACCCTCGACTGTTTCCATATGCGCCACATCTTCGTACATCTCCTTCGCCAAATGCGCTAGTCCTGACGATGTCTTTACATCCTTCTTGGAGTACGAATCGACAAGGTTTCTGATAGCGTCTCGCAACCTTTCCTTGTATGGATCCCTGATACGTTTACGAAGACAGGATTTCACCACCATCTCGTCGTACAGTTGTCTTTTTTGGAGCCTTCCACGTAGGGCCTCCTGCCTTCGCTTCTTCGTCCTCTCCTGTTCCTGCGGGATAGGCTCTGTTTTTCGTTTTTTTCTGCCAGCCGGCGACACCAGGCTTCCACAATTGTCGACGTGCTCTTCCATAACTTTCCTTTTTTATTTTTTTGGAAAAGAACGTTCATGGAACGCTTCTACCAGAACTCGCGAAAAATCACTTGAATATACTTACTTGAAGGCTGAAACAAAATTGAATTGAAGAACTATACATTGCTATGACTCTAACGCAAGTCCAACTTTACCGGCAGTACAACACGCTGTTGATCACGATCGCGTTTCCCTTCAACGGCGACATGGACGTCGTATCCGGTGACTGTCAGATGTCCTATGTGCGCGTATCGAGTGCGCTATTTAGAATAAAAAGCAGAGACTCTGGATTCACCTGCGACTCTTTATATATTTTTCCTCCTCTACGATTAACGTTCAAAGGGGACAAATGTTCCCGTATTGTCTAAAGTTTACCTTCTAGGCAGAAGGCACCGCGAGCCGGACTAGTCTGGTAGGCTGGTGCTACGTGTTTCTTAAGTGACATATGCCGCTGCAAGGTCTGAGCGACTCGTCCGAAATGCAGTTTAATCTGGGACTCGTAGAAGGTATGCCGCATTGGGGCGTCGACCGGGTCCTAGTGGACCCTTCTACATCGCTTTGCGCTGTCGCAAACAGCGCCTCTGACTGCGCAGCTTGCAGGCTCCCAGAATGATAATTCGCCGAGATTGCGTATCAGATACAGGATTCCGCGAGCCGACGCCCACAGTAGTATGGCAAAACCGTTCTGTCTCCGCGCAGCATCTGCTTCAGCGGTCTAAGCGCGATGGCGGGTGCTCACGGCAGGCACTCGGCACACGATGGAGCGTGCGAAACGACCAGAATATCCGAGAGGAAGTATGGGTAATGGAGCTTGGTGGTAGGTGCTTCATGATGGATGCTAACCTAAAAGCCATGATGCATCCCGCAATCTGAAATCCATGGTAAATGTAAACGTTTTGTCATTGAGAAAAACCCCCGAAACAGTGCGCGAAGCTCCAAAGACCGCTGGATAGCGTGCACGTCCAAATCGATCTTTGTCCACGTTGGCAAACAGCGTGCAAGTGCGTCATTCTGGACAAGGCAAAACACGCCTACATAAATAAGACAATTATGTTTTTTATGGAATTGAGCGGCAATACGTGCTACACGCGTTCCGCAAGGCAGCACTGCTTGAGAATGCTGCAACGTTCGTGAACGTGCGTCGGGACCGAGCCCGTATCAGATTAACAAAAGGAGTAGAACCATTTGCTATACTCCTGCCTATAGATTTTTCCGAACTTTCTTCCAGGCGTACAGCCTCTACACTTAAGATGCAGAAGTAGGAGCTAAGGGATTCTTGTGTAGTTTTAGGATTCTCGGTCGTCTTTCTGTTGTGGATCCTTCGATTCGCTATCGCTGAAATTTGTTACATCACGAGAATTGGGATGCTTCTCGACAACCATGAGCGGCAGTTGACAAACAGCCGATTCCATCATGCCATTCATACTTAGAGGCCTCCGCAGTGCTCCTTCTCCAACGAACGACGCGTTCAAACCACGCATTCTTCAAGCTTCGGTTTTCCTATTTCAAGGCGACCAGTAGGCGAAGCGAATTTGCCAGCTGCATTGACGGGGGAATAATACAATGCCCGCTGATGGCTTGTGCACAAGCTCATGCTGAGTATTCATTGAACTTGCCAAGACATGTCATCAAGTCCACTGGAAAGACAAATCCTCCAGTCCTTTCGCCAGCGACGAAACGGCAGTCGACAGCAGCGTGATGCGTCTCAACGGGTACGCTCCGAAAGGTTCCTGACTCTTTGTTTTGTATGGGAACCTGTCTCGGACTCGGAATTTAACCATCGGAGCAATCGTTTTTAATGGAATGTGCGACAGCGGTTTGCACGAAAGCAGCATATACAGATCGAAATTCCTGGATCTGGTCTGTAGCGTCGACCTTCGTTTCGGGACTTGTTTCATCATGGACAACGTGGCATTCCACAAATCCTCTATAGCACAGAACAGGGAGTACGTGCAGCGGAGAGCGTTCCCGCCGAGGGGATCGCGCGGATGAAGCCCCTGATCACAGGGTATGGCACCGGGTCCGTAATCGGAGCGGGTTATCGATCGGAGCCTTCTGTAACAGCCAAGGACGTGAGCCGAGCAACAGAGTATGCGTTTACAGGGCGTAGGGCGGCCCTTGAACGAGTAGGTGAGGTGGTAGGCATATGTGAAAACCTGACCATGGTCAAGTGTCACCGCTGCGAAGGGCGCTTCGAGGCTACATTAAAATAATATGAATCTTGTAAGCGAATCGTGACTCATATCTATCATCTGTGCATGCAGCGCGTCGGCAGCTGCCGAAAGAGAAATAATCGGAACTCTGAAGCCGTCATCAACATACATCGACTACTAAGAACGGATCTTGTTGGCCAAGAGAGACTGGCGTGTTCTAAACAGGGAATAAGAGCGAGGAAAAGAACGCAATCACAGAAAAAAACTCACGACGTCTGGTATTGAAGGCAGTGGGAAGAGATACAAACGTTAGTGTGTACGTCCGAGCTAGCCAGGCGAGACTTATTCCATTTCCGTCTGACATGGGCATGATTCAGTACGAACATCGATGCTCATAGACAAATCGATTTTCGAAAGATTTCCCACCTAGCTGATAAGGACGACATCAGAGGCCCCCGCTTCCAAACCTTCTCTGGCCAAGGAGAGCGTACGCCCCAGAGTCGAAGTTTTTTTCCTTCCAGAATCCTATGCACACAGGGACACAGGCACCCAGAGGCAACCCCATTGCCGGCCGGTGTTCCGGCACGGAGTCAGCTTCGCTTGTCAGAGAAAGCCCAGGGAGCGCCTTCGCCCCAGGCGAGGGCGCACGGAGCTCCCGATTCGAGCGTGGATGCTGCTTCGCGAATCCGTTGTGATCTGGTGAACCCCCTGCCTGGGGAACAACTGTGTGATAACGTGAAGTGCTCTGTGTACCTCCAAACAAATGTTTGCAAACGTGAGTTTTTTCTTACCCAAGGCACCCAGGGCGAGCTACAAGTGCGTTCGTGTGGGTCATGTGCGGTTTCCGACTGCCACGGCTCGTGGTCGACGTCCGCGAATGTGTGTGAACGGCCTGGATTCGCTTCAAAGAGCACCGCCACGACTTGACGAAAACTCGCGCAGAGCTCTCTGGAAACGCATCTTTCATCTCGAAGAGGAAGTTCGACGTGCTGTGGAAGAAGAGCGTTTCGAGGATGCGGCACGTTTGCGAGATGAAGCGCACGAAGCGCGTCAAACGGACCGCTTCGTCTACCTCAAGCAGGCGTTGCTGAAAGCTGAGGAGGCAAAGCGCGAAGAGGAGATTCAAGCGCTCCGTGAGGCGCTGTCGAAGGAGTCGCCGCCGCCAGTGGAACATGCTGTGGAAAAACGTACCGGACCACAGAAAAAAGACACTGGTCGCAAGGCGTCCGACACGAGAAGGAGCGCGTTCCCGGAGGCGGGTCGAAAGCGGGGCTCAAGGCATCCGAAACCCTCGCCGGAGCTCTCGGCTGCCTTGAAGCGACTTGAAGCAGCCTTCGGTTCGACGCCGAATCCAGCGCCTGCTTCTTCACAAGAGGCGGAGCAGAGACTAACAAACGTTACCGACACGGTGGACAATGGTGTCCGCGTTCGCGTGGAAACATTCTATCGTCTCGAAGACTCCAAACCTGAGGCAGGGGAGTATCTCTTCGGGTATAACGTCCGCATTGTGAATGAGACGTCGAAGACCATCCAGCTCGTTGCCCGCTATTGGCGTATTCAGACAAAGGAGGGCCTCGTTTCCGAGGTTCGCGGCCCCGGCGTGATTGGCAAGCAACCCGTGCTGGAGCGCGGTGAGGAGTTCACTTACACTTCGGCATGCCCCATAAAACTCAAGAGGCCTGCTGCGGCGGGCGAGTTGGTTGGGTCAATGGAAGGCTCGTACCGGTTTGTGACTGGCGCATTGGGTGAACTCAGTTTCGAAGTGAAAATTGGGCGCTTTGGTTTCTTTATCTGAAAGAGTGACGGAGGCTGTACTCATTAGCATCGAATAGCTGAAAACCATTATCGTTCAGTATCCGCGAAGAAGAACCGATCCCGGTGTATATAAACGACACACCAAACTCGCTGGTTTCCTGAAACGTACCATTTCGGTGTCTAACTCCAGGCGGAAACCCGTTGGACTCGCTCTCCTGGCAACTCGCCTCTGATAGTGCTGCATCGGTAGTCTGTCGCGTTTCACCGCAACGCCCACACTGAGACCTCGTGGATTCGTTGGCGAACTCGTTCGGCACAAACTCGCTGGACGCTCCACACGCCCGACATATTTCCAGACGCTGAGCCTGGCGTTCGAGTTTCGGGGAGAGTGAGAGCCCTACAGTACGTCGCTGCCGGGGGGGTGGGGGTCACGCCCCAGAGAGCCTGCCGCGTCCAGTTGCATCGCCGTCGGACGTCCGGCAAGCTTGCCGTACACCGTCTAGAGCGTCCGGCACTGCTTCACACTCGTCCACGCTACCTGTTTCGTTGTGAGTTCGTGCTCGTGCTCGTGCTCGTGCTCGCGCTGTGCGTACGGTGTGCTGAACGCGTCGGTGAGCGTCCTGCAGAGCCGATCACTGCACTCGACGTACGCTCGTGTCAAGCGAAATGGAGAGAAGCGCCTGTGCGCTGTAGCGTGCTCCACGCCGTACGCTCCCTCCAAACGACGCAGTTGATCGGCCACTTTGTTCTCCGACTCACGGAACGCGCTAGCGAAAGCCAGCTTGTCGGCTCGGTGCGAGGGCGACTCTGGCTGGCGTTGGGGCAGCGCTTCCGAGTCCGCTGCCAGTGCAGTCTCCGCCACTATTCCGCAGTTTAGCTCTATCGACGCGCCATGAATCCGCTGCATCAGTCACGCTTTTCTCGGCCACTGAGTGTAGGATGCGGCATCAAAAGCGTGCGCCTCATGGAGCGCTCAGCGCGGAACTGCAGCTGCTCGAGGATAGTGGTGCTCATTCGATTCCTTCAGGGACCTATACTGTAGCACTTGCGTTCGCTGATGCGGTAGCGTGCAGGTCAAGGTACGCTAGAATGTGTGTTTGTGTTTATGTGTATGTGAGTAAGCGTGTTTATGTGTTTGTTTGCAATTCCGCTAGTTCACGAGCACGCCGTATCGCATCCTCTGTGCAGAGCATCAGCTGTACTGTGCCTCGGAAAGGCTCGCTCGAGCACGCCCCGAGGAATGCGCACAGCTGGCTCCTCTGCATGCGCAGCTGCTCTGAACAGCTGCTGCTGGACGAGGTGCACCAAAGCTAGAGAAGCTGCGCGAGCATCCGCCGGGAACGAAGCTGCGCGAGCTCTGAAGGCGTTCTGCGGCTTTCGGGTCCACGGATGCGAACGACTCGTCGTCTATAGATCCGCGAGCGCTTGTATGGCGGTTGACAACCGACAAGGGGCCTTTGACTGCTCTGAACCTGAACCAGTATGCAGGATCGCCGAGCCGCTCAACGCCGCCCTCGCGTGTGTACTCGATGGCACCTACGGCGTACTGGACAGCGATCTCTTCTGAGATCGCGGCAGATGAGAGTGGGACCAAGAAGCCAAAAGTGCGTCGACGAACGATCAGGTGTGTCGAAGGGACATGTCTGTTTGGCGGCTCGGTGGCAACTGCGGGATGTGGTCGCCACTGGAGCACATGGTGGCTTCATGCTCGCTTGTGTCGTCGTGTAGGACGGCAATATGCCCTTCGTGGCGTACCTAGCCACATGTCGAGCGTCCGTAGCTGGACGTGTCTCATCGAGAGCGGCAAACGTCCGTTGCCCGCGGAATACGAGCTCGTGTTTCCATACGGAATCGATGACCAGGTATGCGACGCGCAAAGGCCTCCCATAGCCGCGTGCTTCTGCGTATTCCATCGGTGACTCTTCATCACCATTCGTATGAAGGGTGTGGAAACTCGACACCCTGCCGCATGTTTTGGAGTCATTGTCAGCGTACGCATGGAGTGGAATGCGCAGAAGAAGAGGCAATCGTTGGGGTAGCGCTGGATAAGTTCTGTTTTGGGCTCCCGAGCCCCAGGATCAGGGCCAGGCGACGTGTAGCTCATTCGCTTGGTGAACCCACAGAGTGACTCACTCGTAGAACTGAAGCCCTTATGCTCGCAAGCTGGCAGTGAGGGCCTTTGGTGTTTCCGCGAGCGTTCTCGCACCCAAAGGATGGATTGCTTTTATGAGGGACCTGAGAGAAAGACAAACAAAAACATAAAAGGTGAGCCAGCACAGCTGTTCCAAAATTCAGTGCTTTGAGTATAACCGATCATTACACACAGAAACATCCTTGAGGAAATCGATACCAAAGCAACCGTTGACAAGAACCAGCATCTTGTCGAGACCGAGACACTCTTCTAGACGGTTTCCTTTCTCGCCTCATTCTAAGTCATTATTTTCTTCGCAATTCAACTTCCGCGTTGTACAAACGTGACATGTTCACTTCCGCAGTCACTATTTCAGAACGGACCGTATTGAGCTGCTCTTTCAGCTCCCTCACTGACTTTCGAGCCAGATCCAGATTCCTCTCAAGAAGGGCTTTCGCCTCTTCGCAGGAAAACTCAACCATAGTCTTCGCCCCAAGCCACAGAAACACTGTTTTGAGGGACTGTCGATCAATCACCGCGCGAGCGTAGACGCCGTCGCACAGTTCGAAGCGGGTCTCGAGTTCCCCCAGCAGCTGCAGCTCACCGGTGTTATCAGTGTGCAGAAATTCAAGCGTCTCCAGCGCAGATTCGAGATCGGAAACCTTCGACTCCAGTCCCTGGAGCCGCGAGTTTAGTCGAAGCTCTAAAGCTCTTCGATATCGAATCTGAAGTTCGAGTTGTTCCAGATAGGGACGCGCTCCTTGTGGTGACGACTTCACCAGACCAGTCGGATCCTCTAGCAAGGTTTGCGGCTCTAGGACAGGCACCTGAGATGCCATACCGTCTAGAAGTACAACCCTGAAATGTGTTGGAACAGCGTAGTTGGAAACATCACGTCTGCATTGTCGGCAGATTGCCGGTCGCAAGTGCGCCGTTGCATTAAAGAGTTTCAACTTCATTGGGTTCCTGTCCCTCTGTGTGTTTCCGCCTGGATTTTCGCAGTTTCTAGTAAGCGGTCGAAATCACTACGCAAAGTCATGTACAGATCGTAGACGAATTGACTATCGGATATATTCTCTATTGCATAGTGCAAGGAGGACTGTATTCCTCCTACAGATCAGTCATACAACAGCACTCTAATACTTAAGGAGCAATGAAAGAAAGCAATTGTGCCACGTGCCAACAAAAACCGATACTTTTAAAGACTGCTTGCGGTTAATGGTAGACAACGACCCGTTGGTCATCTTACCAAAAGCAAAAGCAGCCGTAATAGCCGCCACAGGCGTTTCTCTGTCCCACAAGCTGATTCACGTAGTCCTGATAACACAGGGATACAGTCGTAAAGAGCCGAATTTCACGCGCGGCCATTTTCCACTGAAATCTCAGCTGCAGAATTCCTGGAACTCAGCGGACGATATGAAGCACACCGACATCCGCAGGTTCTTTCCAGTCGATCGGACTTGCTTCGGATGAGACGCTCGGAGCGTACATGTCTTTTTCGCGGACGGGGCACCCGTTGTTTACACAATCGAACTGGAAGAGAACGACGACACCATCATCTTTGGTAGTTGGAATGGTTTGATCTTGAAGCCTCAAATTCGCTCATAGAGATCGCTTACACAATACCACACCCTGCGTTGAATCATTGAAGAATTTTGGCTGACGCCTGGCGACGTCCTTCTGCTGGACAACGTGATATTTCACCATTCTCGTTACGCCCAAGCGTTTGCCCATTTTGTTGGGCTAGATCCGCTTTTCATTGCATAGAACTTTTTGTTGTTCTACCATATCGTCTGACTGTTTTTTTGTAATGGAATGTAATAATCGCTCCACAGGGCAAATCGCTGTAGCGTTCTGGGCGGTGACACCGACGCACGTATCATCCTTCTTCCGCAAAATCGATTCCATCCAGGAAGATCCTCACCTAAGGGCATACAGGAGCGAGTACATTCGGAAAAATAAAATATCCAAGGGCACGTTAAGGACATGGAAGTCCAAGATCCTGGCGGGCCGTCATCGCCAGCTGCCGAAAACAAACGGAAAAATCGTCATCCCGCCGACAATCGAACAAAGAAGGGCACGTAACGAAGAAGACGAAGAACAAGGGAGACAGTCGACAAAAATTGTGTGCGCGACGCGATGATGACAAGACTATGATATCGCAGAGGGCATGAGTTCTAGCAATTCTTGCATCGGTGTGTTCAACCAACGGTAATGCACGCAAGGAGTTTCTGAATCGAGACTTCAACACCGCCATCAGTATCAGAAGATGTGCGGTGTTGACGATAAGATCCGAGGATCTGAAACGATCCAGCTTCTTGGGAAAGACTCTGAGGGTCGAGGCTCGTCTGCATAACCTGAAACCGATAGCAGGCGGCGCGTCGAAAAAGGCTGAGAGGCGTCTGTCAGTAGGTTTCAGTTTACCCTCCATGGTCGCGGGATTTCGTTCGTTTTACTGATCACGTTTACCATGGATCTTGGAGGTATAAGGAAAAGCGGGGATTGCAGAACATAAACTGCTGTTCCACCAGCTGGAGTTGGCAGGGCTCCAAACGCCAATGTCCGTAATATTCACCCAGCTTCTGCCAGCAAGACAGGGTCCTTTGGACAGGGAACCAGATTCAAGCGATGCAAGTCGTTGGACTTGGAGTGCAGATCGTGCAAATTGGGAGGCACTGCACTTGAATTCCGAGTGATTCTCCGCAGCTGGAGCGCACGGTGCTCAGCGTGTACTCCACGGATTCGTAATGAATGGATGAGCTCATCTAAAATTTTATGTGCCTGTGATGAGAACGACCCAGTGTAACGAGGAGCTGCTCGCATAGGATGCGTTTCAATAACGCCTCTCCAGAAAAGAGAGTCCTCTCGCGAAGACGGGCGTAACCTGGTAATGAACACTCTCGCCTGCATTGCATTCACTGTTTGAAGATTTCTCATGCTGACGTGCCGTTGAAAGAGAGGGATACCCCACAAACTTCTTTGAGTTTCAATTGCCATCGACAGATTCTCCAACAGCTTGGAAGTTAATTCCTAAAACCTTAATCCTGCATCTGCTGAGCGAGGCTAGGACCTGCTTGGACTCGAAAGCAGAAGCAATGAAGATGTTTATGTGCTCACAGGACGGCGGAGGCATCGCATGTGACACATCAACTAATCCAGCTGCCGTCTGACTCATGTATGAAAGTGGTGCAGCTGACAAACGTCTGGTCGATTTAGAGTAAAAGAGAGCAACGAGATGGATTGTATTCCTTATCTTACAGCACCTAATTGGAACTGCCAAACGCTTGGGTCCGATGTTGCGCGCATGTAACGACTGCTCCCTCCGGAAAGGCTCCTGCTGGCGCACGTTCACTCGTAGACGGTGGAGATCCCATCGAAGAACAAAGGGATAAAGCGCTGGCATGCCACAATTCATGGCTATGGAGTAGCCGACGCCGTGCCAGCTATGAAGCGCACTGCTCGGGCAAAAGCGTCAAGCCTATTGGTCTCCAATAGACTCCAACATGGAAAAAGTGTGCCTTCATCGGCACAGCTGCCTAGGAAGCGGGGCACCCGCGACCCCGCCCAAACATACTTACATGAAGTGCCCCATGAGCGCCCGCAGAGCGAAAGCTTTCTCGCGACGGGGAAGCAGCGCGACTACAGCTGTGCGGTCCATGCTCAGCATTGAACGTTTCTTTGGATTCAAAAATGCACAGATTTGCAAAAGAAAATGCCGGACTACAATATTGGTTGATTAAGAGAAACGGCATCAAGCATACGGATCGTTCCGCGTCAACCAAGTGTTCCAGAATCACGCCAAAGCACTTTATGTCGAGGGATCACTGCCTGTTATGACTGACGAGGCTGCTCAAGCTGGCAGCGCAAACAACGAAAGCAACGCATCCAGATCAAATGCATCTACATCTGCACGAACGCAGCGCAACGTAGCCTCAAACTCCCATGTCAATATTGCAGCGTATCCGGCGTACATGAAGATCTTGTACGCCACACAGAGGGCATATCCGAACGCAGGCCTCGCAAAGTTGCATCACAGGTGCAAAATACCCGCCGGTGCAGTATTAAAGATATTTGGGGTTTCTTGAGCCAAATCCACGTGGGCGTGGACACCTATCGCAGACAAACTTATCGAGTGGGCCTCCGAGGACATGTTCATAATTTTTCGATACTCCTCACGCCACAAGAGACAGTCCAAAACCATTCATACTCATTAGCATCGAATAGCTGAAAACCATTATCGTTCAGTATCCGCGAAGAAGAACCGATCCCGGTGTATATAAACGACACACCAAACTCGCTGGTTTCCTGAAACGTACCATTTCGGTGTCTAACTCCAGGTGGAAACCCGTTGGACACGCTCTCCTGGCAACTCGCCTCTGATAGTGCTGCATCGGTAGTCTGTCGCGTTTCACCGCAACGCCCACACTGAGACCTCGTGGATTCGTTGGCGAACTCGTTCGGCACAAACTCGCTGGACGCTCCACACGCCCGACATATTTCCAGACGCTGAGCCTGGCGTTCGAGTTTCGGGGAGAGAGAGAGCCCTACAGTACGTCGCTGCCGGGGGGGTGGGGGTCACGCCCCAGAGAGCCTGCCGCGTCCAGTTGCATCGCCGTCGGACGTCCGGCAAGCTTGCCGTACACCGTCTAGAGCGTCCGGCACTGCTTCACACTCGTCCACGCTACCTGTTTCGTTGTGAGTTCGTGCTCGTGCTCGTGCTCGTGCTCGTGCTCGTGCTCGTGCTGTGCGTACGGTGTGCTGAACGCGTCGGTGAGCGTCCTGCAGAGCCGATCACTGCACTCGACGTACGCTCGTGTCAAGCGAAATGGAGAGAAGCGCCTGTGCGCTGTAGCGTGCTCCACGCCGTACGCTCCCTCCAAACGACGCAGTTGATCGGCCACTTTGTTCTCCGACTCACGGAACGCGCTAGCGAAAGCCAGCTTGTCGGCTCGGTGCGAGAGCGACTCTGGCTGGCGTTGGGGCAGCGCTTCCGAGTCCGCTGCCACTGCAGTCTCCGCCACTATTCCGCAGTTTAGCTCTATCGACGCGCCATGAATCCGCTGCATCAGTCACGCTTTTCTCGGCCACTGAGTGTAGGATGCGGCATCAAAAGCGTGCGCCTCATGGAGCGCTCAGCGCGGAACTGCAGCTGCTCTAGGATAGTGGTGCTCATTCGATTCCTTCAGGGACCTATACTGTAGCACTTGCGTTCGCTGATGCGGTAGCGTGCAGGTCAAGGTACGCTAGAACGTGTGTTTGTGTTTATGTGTATGTGAGTAAGTGTGTTTATGTGTTTGTTTGCAATTCCGCTAGTTCACGAGCACGCCGTATCGTATCCTCTGTGCAGAGCATCAGCTGTACTGTGCCTCGGAAAGGCTCGCTCGAGCACGCCCCGAGGAATGCGCACAGCTGGCTCCTCTGCATGCGCAGCTGCTCTGAACAGCTGCTGCTGGACGAGGTGCACCAAAGCTAGAGAAGCTGCGCGAGCATCCGCCGGGAACGAAGCTGCGCGAGCTCTGAAGGCGTTCTGCGGCTTTCGGGTCCACGGATGCGAACGACTCGTCGTCTATAGATCCGCGAGCGCTTGTATGGCGGTTGACAACCGACAAGGGGCCTATGACTGCTCTGAACCTGAACCAGTATGCAGGATCGCCGAGCCGCTCAACGCCGCCCTCGCGTGTGTACTCGATGGCACCTACCGCGTACTGGACAGCGATCTCTTCTGAGATCGCGGCAGATGAGAGTGGGACCAAGAAGCCAAAAGTGCGTCGACGAACGATCAGGTGTGTCGAAGGGACATGTCTGTTTGGCGGCTCGGTGGCAACTGATGGATGTGGTCGCCATTGGAGCACATGGTGGCTTCATGCTCGCTTGTGTCGTCGTGTAGGACGGCAATATGCCCTTCGTGGCGTACCTAGCCACATGTCGAGCGTCCGTAGCTGGACGTGTCTCATCGAGAGCGGCAAACGTCCGTTGCCCGCGGAATACGAGCTCGTGTTTCCATACGGAATCGATGACCAGGTATGCGACGCGCAAAGGCCTCCCATAGCCGCGTGCTTCTGCGTATTCCATCGGTGACTCTTCATCACCATTCGTATGAAGGGTGTGGAAACTCGACACCCTGCGGCATGTTTTGGAGTCATTGTCAGCGTACGCATGGAGTGGAATGCGCAGAAGAAGAGGCAATCGTTGGGGTAGCGCTGGATAAGTTCTGTTTTGGGCTCCCGAGCCCCAGGATCAGGGCCAGGCGACGTGCAGCTCATTCGCTTGGTAAACCCACAGAGTGACTCACTCGTAGAACTGAAGCCGTTATGCTCGCAAGCTGGCAGTGAGGGCCTTTGGTGTTTCCGCGAGCGTTCTCGCACCCAAAGGATGGATTGCTTTTATGAGGGACCTGAGAGAAAGACAAACAAAAACATAAAAGGTGAGCCAGCACAGCTGTTCCAAAATTCAGTGCTTTGATTATAACCCTCGTGCTCGAGGTCGTTCTTCAGCGTGCATTCCAGAGATAACGGGTCGTGGCTTCTGAGCACCTAGGTGACGATTGAACAGACGCGCCGACGACAAAGCCACATCAGCGACTTGCAGTTTAGCGCCTCCAAACGGAACAGTGTACTGAGGCGGTTGCGAATGCGCCACTGATTCTGTGCTCCATGTTCCTGAACAGCCTCTTGTGCGAATCGAGCGAATAGCTCTTTTACAATGGTAGGTCGTTGTGTCTAGCCAACACCTATGGAATGGCCAAAAGAAACCATTAAAGATGATAACACCAGTAGTCGTCGAGATATGCCGACAGCACCTGCAATGCATTTGCTGCATAACAGACATTCGAGCAACCACCTATTCTTCAGGAAAGGGACGTTCTGTTGACTATCAGAACTCTTCGCTTTCTTGGACAGGTTCAGTCCAGGGCAGATGAAGCGGTGAGTACGCGCTTTGCGTCCGGCGTTTAGAGCGGTGTTGCGTTCGCGCTACATGAGCGAAGGAAGGAGCCAAATGAAGCACGGCCCGTCTAGATCCGCAGCTCGCATACGATCATATGACAGGCGAGGATAAAGCTGAAAAGGTCACCATCGTGAAGTGCTATATCCACGACAAAGCGGCTTGTCGTTCTGTACAACTGAATTACCAATCGCACCTGTTTCGCACCGGGTAACGCTGACTCGATGCTCGCAGCTATCACTCGAATATGGTAAACCGATGGTGATTTCCATCTCCACTGCAATACGGAGAGCGCTCGGTACAGCTCCATCATAATTTCAGAAGCCGAAAGATAGCTATTGACGATTCCGAGCTGGATTCGACGAGATGCTGACCCGAAGACGAAGCATGGCATGATGTCGTCTTCGTCTAGCTCATCAAGATATTGCAACGGAGATGCGGATGCAGCGCTTGTTGCGCTACTTGGCAACACTGCCGCTCGCGAAGCTGCATCACCATGAGCTCCGGTATCTATGCTCTCGGGAACATTCTTCTCCCGAGATCCAGTGCCGATACCGGGAAAGCTGAACAGTGAACGAATATCCACTGGCTGAAGCATAGAATCGTCCATCCGATTCATTGCATCATGAATTAACTCGTACGCCACCGTGTACGCATTTCGCTTCCCATGCTTCAAGGACCAGACAATTTTTTCCTCGGGAAACCCTGTTCGTCGAATGCATTCCCGCAGAACCTCAACATTGATAGAGCGGCTTCTCGCACACCCCGTCGGCGGTGGAAGCGACAAATACCGTGGAAGGTTCTCAACAAACCAAGGGTGCTTGCGAATCTGTTCTATCGTAATTCGGGCGAGCGGATCCACAATGAGCATTCTGCTGATCAAATCTCGGGCGCCCGGCGACAAGTAGGATGGCATCTGGTACTGACCGCTCTTAATGCGTCGAAACAGTGCCGCAATGGATTCATCATCAAAAGGCAACGAGCCACACAGAAGTGCGTACAGAATAACACCACAGGACCATATGTCTACTTCTGGGCCTGCATATGGCTTTCCGCTAATGACCTCTGGTGCCGCGTAGTTCGGGGAGCCGCACGAGGTGCGTAAAAACTCTCCATCTCGAGCGATGTTCGCCAGGCCCAAGTCGGCAATTTTGATGTTCAAATTCTCGTCCAAGAGCAAGTTCTCTGGTTTCAGATCTCGGTGTATGATCATGTGTCGGTGGCAATATTCTACGCCACCGATGAGCTGTTGAAAGAAGCGCCGGGCCTCATTCTCCGGCAGCCGTCCGCGCTCAACGATAAAGTCGAAGAGCTCGCCACCGCTTATGTACTCAGTGACCACAAAAATATCGCTGGGGCACTCAATCACCTCATAGAGTTTGATGAGGTGCTTATGATTCAGAAGGCGAAGAATCATGATCTCTCGACGCACTTTCGGCGTCATATCCATGACGTGCACCTTACTTCTATTCAGAATCTTCACGGCAACCTTCTGACCACATAGCTCGTGATAGCCTTCCTTGACTTTACCAAAAGATCCGACACCAAGCGTTTTTCCGAGCACATAGGACCCTATCTTGACCGGAGGAGAGCTCCCCGGCGGGACCGCCGCCACAATATTCGACTCCTGACTTCGAAACGGTGCCCCGCTGAACTCGGGGCCAGGCCGCGAGGACATCCGAAGCAGCAGGCCAACAAAGCAGTCCTGTAAGCTGCGCTGTAGCTCGCCCCTGCCTGTCACCAAACAGCCTCGGAAACTTTCCAAACGTCAACGTGTTCCCACGGGGAGCTTCCGAGCCTCTCGGAGAATCCCTCGCTTCGACGTTCGACACCGTCTATGAGCGGTGGCGGAATCGCTCTAGAGCGCTGACGCGATTCTGTTGCGTCATACGATACAGGGCAGACGAAGCGGTGCCCGTATGCGTAGAGGATTCGTTGCAACTCAGTAGCAGCTTCTGTTCAATTCAACGCTTCCATTCCCAGTTGCTCTCTCTAAGCTTATTGAGTGCACTGGAAATCGGGTAGGAGCTTTCCCTCCGACCACGTTTGCCTGCGTGAAGGTGCGGCTTGGCGTTGCAGTTTTGCCTGGCGAGGTGTGCAGGCACCGGTACATTGTGCTGCAGTGCTATTTCTTGCTTGTTTACAGTAAGCTGTTAAGTTGGCAACACTCGAAGGATATAGGCAGAGGTGGTTTTGATTTCGGTGTACTTTTATTTGGAAGCGTCTGGAGAGACCTGATAGGGAGCGGCGAACACTCGTTCCCGTGCACGCTTGGGGTCGTGCTTTGCACGCTGGCAACTGCACAGCCAATTTGCTTCTGAAACATTCATGATGCCTTATGTCTTCGCATGTGGAACCAAAGATGACGTTTGCCTATCGCGAGCGCGAGGCCTCGTCGCTGGTGGAGCTTGTGAGATTGGCGACGCCCTGGGTGCTCGCTGTCTATCGTTCTGTGGGGTTTCTGCGCAGGGCTTGATTAACTCCAAGCATGCGCCGGAAGCTGCATATTCGCGAAGATGTGGTGCACGAGGATCCAACTGGACAAAAAGATCAGCTCGTCTAGTGCGGCGTTCCCGAATGCATCTCGGGGAAAGTCCGGTACCAACACTGCCCGTGCCGGTTGCGGCAACCAGGAGTACGCGGGAAAGCGTCTCCGTCGAGACTCGAAAAAAGTCCCCGTTGAGCGTCAAGCTGCAGTGTCGGGTTTCGACCATTGCCCCATTGCATCGACCATGGTCGATGGGACTGCAGGAGTTTCCAGAAAGTCGTGTGCGGTCCATGGGAACGGCACTAGGACGCCATCGAAGCCTGAAACTGTGCGCTGCTGCATCCGACACTGCCAGATTCTCTTCTGCACAGGTATCAAAACATAGGCGCTCCATGGAATATGTCTTCCGACTTGAAGTAGTCCGTGCGTCGCTCATTGCGGTTTGGGAGATGTCCCTGTTTCTTATGACTGGATATTTGCTTCATCGCACACATATATTGGACCCTCAAACCGTTCAAGGTCTATCCAAAGCTGTGTACCATATTTTTCTTCCGGCGCTGTGTTTTGTGAATATTTCCGCACATGTGGCTTCAAGCGGGCACACATCCATGTTGCCACTCTTTTTTGCAGCGTTCCTGCATATCATTGCAGGCATTGCCGCTGGTGAGCTGCTATCTGCTCTCCTGCAAGTTTCCTCGAATAAGCGCCGGTTCATCAGAATTGCTTGCGGTTTTGGAAACTCTACCTCTTTGCCTGGACTCTTTTATAGTAGCATCTTTGCATCCGATCCAAGTCGGGCGACGAGCAGCTTAGGATTGATGTCGATCTACTGTATTACTTGGACTGCAGCTTTTTGGCCTTATCTTCATGCAAATTTCGGTGCACCAAATGTTGAAAACGCTCAGCAGTTGGAAGGCACGAAAACGGGCGCCCCTGATATGGATCCACAGCGATCGGGGGATCCACCGAAGTATGAAGCGACTTCAAAGATACTGCACAGCGGCCTCTACACTGTAGCCATTCGTCGAATAGGGTCACTGATCTATGCTCTCGGGACACCGCCCGCGTTTGCATCGATTATCGGTCTGCTCTGCGGACTCGTTGCTCCGCTGCGAAACCTCCTCTTCCAGAACAATCACGTGCTCTCGGTTGGGCTCGTCCTTACAGTGAAATCTTTGGCTGCAGCGAACGGGGCATGTGCTATGCTCGTTTTAGCAGCCTCGTTGGCGAGCAGACCTGGGCACGGCTCCTCCGCCAGATACAGTTTTGTCGCACGGAATGGATCATCAACGACTGCATCGCACCCAACCAAGCTGTTTCTGCCGCTGAGCTTTATCGTTGGACTGTATCAGCGGGCTCTGCGGCTTCTTGGCTCAGCAGATTTCGAAATTGTGGTTCCAGCGTTGATAACACGCTGTATTCTTCTCCCATGTTTGACGTTTGCACTCATATTTCCACTTGCGGACGCTTTCGGATTGATTCCCGCGGGACCAACGGGTACCCTGATGCGTTTCGTAATGATTCTCCAAGCAGTGATGCCACCCGCGCAGAATATCGTGGTTGGCCTCCAACTCGAAGGTGACGCAGACGAGGCAGCGTATGCAGGCCGTCAGCTTCTTGTGACGTATCTGCTGTCTCTGATACCTCTGTGTATTCTTTTGACCCTGTTCCTAGGAATTCTTAATGTCTAGAAGTAGACATGTGGGTGCTGACTGCTCCCGAAAAAGGTGCGAACGTTTTGCGAGCTGTTGCTTTCGGCGCTACCGGCGTCTCTAATCAGAGGCGTGACCACCTACACACAGGATGGGCGAATATCAAGAAAGCGTTTTCAACTGCTTGTGGACAGCATAACCGTGCACACTCCCCTTGTCGGATGTTTGAGAAAGGGCCTACCGGCCATAGCATCACAGTTTGCCCCACGTGTGCGACCTCACAAAGCAAACGAAAAGCCGAACAAACACGTGACTTATGCTTTTGCGAGACAAAAGACAAGTGCCCGGGTGCAGCCCACGAGGCTTCATTGTTAGACCCCTCGGAACCGGTTGCCTCAGCTTGCATGAATCCCTCTCTATGAATGAAACATTTTAAACGAATTCTTTCTAGGTACAGCTTTTGGGTGGTACGCCAGTACTCATTAGCATCGAATAGCTGAAAACCATTATCGTTCAGTATCCGCGAAGAAGAACCGATCCCGGTGTATATAAACGACACACCAAACTCGCTGGTTTCCTGAAACGTACCATTTCGGTGTCTAACTCCAGGTGGAAACCCGTTGGACACGCTCTCCTGGCAACTCGCCTCTGATAGTGCTGCATCGGTAGTCTGTCGCGTTTCACCGCAACGCCCACACTGAGACCTCGTGGATTCGTTGGCGAACTCGTTCGGCACAAACTCGCTGGACGCTCCACACGCCCGACATATTTCCAGACGCTGAGCCTGGCGTTCGAGTTTCGGGGAGAGTGAGAGCCCTACAGTACGTCGCTGCCGGGGGGGTGGGGTCACGCCCCAGAGAGCCTGCCGCGTCCAGTTGCATCGCCGTCGGACGTCCGGCAAGCTTGCCGTACACCGTCTAGAGCGTCCGGCACTGCTTCACACTCGTCCACGCTACCTGTTTCGTTGTGAGTTCGTGCTCGTGCTCGTGCTCGTGCTGTGCGTACGGTGTGCTGAACGCGTCGGTGAGCGTCCTGCAGAGCCGATCGCTGCACTCGACGTACGCTCGTGTCAAGCGAAATGGAGAGAAGCGCCTGTGCGCTGTAGCGTGCTCCACGCCGTACGCTCCCTCCAAACGACGCAGTTGATCGGCCACTTTGTTCTCCGACTCGCGGAACGCGCTAGCGAAAGCCAGCTTGTTGGCTCGGTGCGAGGGCGACTCTGGCTGGCGTTGGGGCAGCGCTTCCGAGTCCGCTGCCACTGCAGTCTCCGCCACTATTCCGCAGTTTAGCTCTATCGACGCGCCATGAATCCGCTGCATCAGTCACGCTTTTCTCGGCCACTGAGTGTAGGATGCGGCATCAAAAGCGTGCGCCTCATGGAGCGCTCAGCGCGGAACTGCAGCTGCTCTAGGATAGTGGTGCTCATTCGATTCCTTCAGGGACCTATACTGTAGCACTTGCGTTCGCTGATGCGGTAGCGTGCAGGTCAAGGTACGCTAGAACGTGTGTTTGTGTTTATGTGTATGTGAGTAAGTGTGTTTATGTGTTTGTTTGCAATTCCGCTAGTTCACGAGCACGCCGTATCGTATCCTCTGTGCAGAGCATCAGCTGTACTGTGCCTCGGAAAGGCTCGCTCGAGCACGCCCCGAGGAATGCGCACAGCTGGCTCCTCTGCATGCGCAGCTGCTCTGAACAGCTGCTGCTGGACGAGGTGCACCAAAGCTAGAGAAGCTGCGCGAGCATCCGCCAGGAACGAAGCTGCGCGAGCTCTGAAGGCGTTCTGCGGCTTTCGGGTCCACGGATGCGAACGACTCGTCGTCTATAGATCCGCGAGCGCTTGTATGGCGGTTGACAACCGACAAGGGGCCTATGACTGCTCTGAACCTGAACCAGTATGCAGGATCGCCGAGCCGCTCAACGCCGCCCTCGCGTGTGTACTCGATGGCACCTACGGCGTACTGGACAGCGATCTCTTCTGAGATCGCGGCAGATGAGAGTGGGACCAAGAAGCCAAAAGTGCGTCGACGAACGATCAGGTGTGTCGAAGGGACATGTCTGTTTGGCGGCTCGGTGGCAACTGCGGGATGTGGTCGCCACTGGAGCACATGGTGGCTTCATGCTCGCTTGTGTCGTCGTGTAGGACGGCAATATGCCCTTCGTGGCGTACCTAGCCACATGTCGAGCGTCCGTAGCTGGACGTGTCTCATCGAGAGCGGCAAACGTCCGTTGCCCGCGGAATACGAGCTCGTGTTTCCATACGGAATCGATGACCAGGTATGCGACGCGCAAAGGCCTCCCATAGCCGCGTGCTTCTGCGTATTCCATCGGTGACTCTTCATCACCATTCGTATGAAGGGTGTCGAAACCCGACATCCTGCGGCATGTTTTGGAGTCATTGTCAGCGTACGCATGGAGTGGAATGCGCTGAAGAAGAGGCAATCGTTGGGGTAGCGCTGGATAAGTTCTGTTTTGGGCTCCCGAGCCCCAGGATCAGGGCCAGGCGACGTGTAGCTCATTCGCTTGATGAACCCACTGAGTGACTCACTCGTAGAACTGAAGCCGTTGTGCTCGCAAGCTGGCAGTGAGGGCCTTTGGTGTTTCCGCGAGCGTTCTCGCACCCAAAGGATGGATTGCTTTTATGAGGGACCTGAGAGAAAGACAAACAAAAACATAAAAGGTGAGCCAGCACAGCTGTTCCAAAATTCAGTGCTTTGAGTATAACCGAAAAAAAGCGAGGTAAGCATTTGAGGCAACCGCGCTGGTTTCGTCCGCTTGCAACAGGTTCTCTACCCCTGGAATGACAGCGTACCCACACGCAGCGGCACTCCTCACGGGAAGTTGAGCCGACATTCGTTACCGTTTTAAATTTTGACAACGGTACCGCATGCGTCTATCTACCGCTCGATGACTGCGTTCGCAAGCGCCGCTCGAGCTCTTGAGCCTCTTCCAACGTGTTCGCACCCTCTATCTTGAACTGTAGTGCAGCTGGTACCTGCCATGCATAAACGTGAAGGCCATATGCAACCATGTGCTCCACAAAGTCTGTGGCATAGTACTCACAACGATGTTGACCTACTCTGTGCGGAAGCACACTCCCGAGAGCTCTGAACAGTGCCGGGGCTCGGGCAACGAAAATACCAGAGTTGAATTCATCGCAATCGGCGAGCATGCGCTTTCGAGGATTCGTTTCTGGCATGCTATCGATCTGTTTCTTTTCTACGATTTCACGAATGCATAAAGGATCCTGCTCGTCACGCACGATTCGACCATAGTTTCCTGATGCAGACATGAGAGAGAGTGAACGGCTGCCGGTAACAACCAGCGCACCAAAGGTGGGGTCAGCACGGCGATGGTTTTGTTTGCGCTCCAGGACTGCCTGCAGCAGATCCTTATCGACTCCGGGAACGTCAGCATAGAGAACGATGATATCTCCGTCAAATTGCTCCGGAAGTGCGTACTGAGCAAGGTATACAGCATGAGCGGTGCCAAGCTGACTCGGCGTGCGAAGTGCATGTGTTAACGCGCATGGTTAGTATTCCAATCTACAGCGTGAGCAATAAGTGTTTGTTAGAAGAGCAAAAGCTGCTGTCGCAGCGCAAGCCTTGCTGGCCTGATAGGGCGACTTGAACGAGCACACGCTCCGTTCATAGAGTTGCAGTGGTTAAAACTTACGCGTTCAGTTTGCTCTATGAATATTACGTTTTTATCCGCCAAAGCTTTCATCACCCGACTACCTTCGTGACCGATGATAACCACGGTGGGCACGTCCACCTGTTCGACGGCCTCAACGACGTGTCGGACAAGCGGTTTACCATCTAAAGGGTAGATCACCTTTGGAGTCTCTGAATGGAAACGCGTGCCACTTCCTGCAGCAAGGACAACTGCAACTTGCTGCTCTTGGGGCTTGCACACGAGACGCTTATGACCTAGTTGCTGCGGCGCCTGCTTCACAACCTCACTCAAGGGCAGTCGTTTGGGGCTTGCCTCATACATATTCGAGAAACGCGGTCTCGCTCTTTTCGAGCGCGTTCTCCTCTACACTAGAACCACGAGTATGTTAGTGCAGCAGGTTCCGGAAAGTGCTCCAGGGGGCGGTTTTTCGCTCAAACGTACCGCGCGGAGACTTTCGGTCAGATTCGGGCGTGAAGTCAATAACTCCAATAAACGACGTTTCGAAGCGGATCACCACGCCGACCCGTGCCAAATAGTCTCCCTCTGAAGCGCACGTTCACATGGGCCTCGACAGCCTGCGTCTCTTACGCGCATGCTCTAAAAGGCATGGAGCTTGAAGGAAAAGCGCACTCCTGGATACCCACCATGGGGAGGTGGTATTTGTCGCTTCCGTCCCAACGAAAAGCGCTATATAGCATGTGAATGTCTGCCTTGGCATGATCTTCGAACTATTCGGCGAAATTGTGAGAAACGTAACAAGGAAAACTGGGAATCCGTCTGGAAATAAGAGTGCTAGGCAGCCCCAAAGAGCTCAAACGAGATGCCCACCTTGCATTTACAACAAGCAGCGTGCATCGTGCAGAGCATCGAGTCCGAGGATCACGGAGCTGCGTGGTATGTGATATTTGAAAATTTTTTTTTTAGACTCTCGCTGCAGATGCCTACGTTCAAATCAGATGCCCGTGCAGCTGCAAGAATTTCTGACTCGAGGTGTGCCTGGCGACACCGCTCTCTTGAGCTGGAAGTGCGGACAGACGCTCGACTGCTCTCATCCATATGTATTCTTGGCTACTCTCGGCCGCATTGCTGGGTATTATCATGGTATGCTCCAGCTTAGTGAGCAGTGCTCTGCTCCATTTTGCGGCAACAGATCAAGCGCAGATGCCCAGAAGCCGCTGGAAACCTTCTACATTCCTGAATAATCTTTTTGAGCGCATATATCTCACGTTCTCTGGCAGCTGCAGTGACGGTGATCCCAATCTGATACCATCAAATTGCAGGCCCTGCATCATATAGAAGCATTTACAACAACGTTGCATTTGCTGCCCGAGCGTGAGACTTGGTTTTTCTTATTGGGATTGGAGCCCCGAGTAGAGCGGGCCTCAGAAAGCGAGACAGCACCTTCGATGCTTTACTGTGTAAGGGAGCTTTCATCTCCAGGAGAGCGGATTCGTATTAGCGCGTGATGATCACAAGGGGTTCACTGAGCTCCGGGACCTTTCATAGGCCTCAGCTTTATCGCTTCTAATTTGGCCACGCAGATGAGCATCGCGTCCCCCGAGGTCCTTCAGCACAGTGCGTTGTCTATCAATGATCGCCTTTACAGACTACGCGTCACTAATGAGGGTGTCTGTCGGAACTTCAGAACCAAGAGGAGACGGAGACCCTAGCGCACACACGGAACCGGAGGCACGGCTCCGTAGTCGCTATGTCATTGTGTACATGTTGCTGAGGTTACCGGTGCAGAGCATCAGGCGCGCAAATGCCTCCCACAACATAGGTTGTCCGCACGCATTGACGTTGCGTTGACGCTGCTCGTACTGTACATGCAGGATGACTGGATTAAAGCGCTTTTTTCTGATATTTCTAAGGCATCCCCATCCATGCATCGCTTCGCATTTCTAGCATGTCATCGAGCAAATGGTTCTCGTGACGTACTGCTTACAAATTGGGCTCGTATGCAGGTGAAAAATGTAGCGCTGCCTTATGGTGTTGGAGTCCCCGCGTATGTACGTGTTGGTTTATTTTGCCGTAACGGCCGCAGATACCCGTGACCAAAGACGTGAACCTTTCCATACGGGCACGCTTCCTTGAACGGCACAGAGCCGAGCGTTCTCGCCCTATTTTCATCGCGGCGTCGACGCTTTTGAAGCGGAAGAGCTCGTCGGTACGCTCACTGCTGCTGGGATTTCTCTCCAAGTGATAGCTTTTTTTCGATAGACTGGCCAGTCAGGGACACAGGCTAAGAGCGCTAGCGTGCTACCAATAGCGAAAAAGAGCGCGAATCTGCGGAGATCGTCTGTTCGCCAGGTTTCGATCAGACAAACCAAAGAAGTCAGAAACATGAAGCAGTAAAATAAGCGCTCTGACAACTGCTGTCCGGCAGGGTGCATATTGTGTCCTGAGAACGGTTACTTGTTTTGCGACGAATCATCCACGGCGGAAACGCTACGCAATTTAGCGGAGAACGCCATTGACGCGACCGAGATACCCATGTCAGACTCAAGTGGAACGCGTCCAACTACGCTAAAGCAGGTGTGCACCATAAACAATCGGCCAGTTCCCACTGTCATCATTACAAGTCTCTCCGGGCTTTCCAGCACACGATACCTTTTCATCGCTCTCTATCTCATCCCCCGCCTGAAATGAGCAGGTCTCTCCGGTGCCTCATGGTTCAGTCTCAGCAGTCGAGGTCTGCTGATAGCAACGCGCAAGCCCCGATTCTACTGCTTCCCGCTCTCGCGAACGCATTTCATCATCAGGCAGCAGTTCGGGTCCATGCCGCACTCGATTCGTGCACCTCTTCTATAAACAGCCCAGGTAAGCGCTTTGCAGCGCGGACCCATCACCGTGATCCGCGATTCCTGTGTGTCCACTGTGCCTGCCCCTCCGTGGGCTGCTCTGGGGGACGAGGACACCAGCTCCGTCGCTCAGTGCATGCCTTCTATGGCTACAGACGACACCCGTCAATGCCCTCCTCGGGCTCAGCTTCAGATGCCGGACCCTGCGATGATGATCCGCTTCTTCTTGGCGATCACTCGGCGAGTACGCTAACCGCTGCATACGAATGCGTTCGTTGCTCCGTTCGACAAAGCATTTGCGGAACGCAATGTTGTCGATGACGATGCAAGTTCTGGGATATCAGTACAGACGAGCTCGATTAAGAACTGTCGATCCAGAAGTGTCGACCCCTCTGCACTCGCTTCGTGCTCAGCAGTGACGCACGCTCTGCTGAGAGCGATCCATGCGGTGCCTCGAGGCCCGGTGCAAGTCTCGTTGCAGTCCGAACAGGGGAGACAGGAACATCTGCGAGCGTACCAGCCCTGAGAGGTACCATGCTGCTGTCGAATGCCGAGTCGTCGACGGCCGCAAGCAGCGCACGATCGGTCTCTCGAACCGAATCCACCATTCGGCGTGTCAAGTAAAGTGAACGCCCGGCATGAGCCTGCGAGCATGTCGCCAGGGCACGACGTCGAGTTGTCCGCCTCGCAAATCCATCTGCACAAATTGCCGTGCCCACGGGTGGCCTCCAAGCAGGTCCATTGAGTACGCGAAGCATGCGTGATCCGGGCAGGCTACATTTTAGGCAAGGACAAGCGTGGACGCTTGGGCGCTCGAACCGGAAAACCATATTTTCGGATATGCCACCAACGCGTGTTCGACGGCGCCCCGAGTCATCTTGATTCCGTTGGCGCCACGAATGCCAGGAGAAAGGAGTCAAACGAGCCGCCCTGAACACACGACCGAGGATTCTAACTCTAACATTGAGTCGAGTAGCAGTTAGAGCCGCACATTGAATGTCGAGGCCGTGTATCGAGGAAAAGTCGGGGAAATGTTCAAAAGGCAGGCACAGAGCGAGCGCTTCACTGGCCCATTCCAGTAATTTAGGGATTTAGAATGCCAGCATGATACCACGGCCTCAAAGACATGCATAGCAGGCAAGCGCAGCAGATACCGACTCCGCGATTCAGCTCAGGCACCTAGAGTTCTCTGGCATTAGATATATTCAAACGGCGCTGACTTGGCTCTGACATGGAGCAGGATACTTTCGAACTGCGAATGAGGAATCCGTGGGAGCTGTTTGAATACTATCCTCACCAAAGTCTCAGCTGGGCGCTTGCTATGGATAAGGATAGAGCAAAGCGGCTCAAAGCGCTGCACACTCCAGGCGTATCGGCAGCCCAGCACAAGGCGTTCTGCAGAACAACCTGGCGCAGACGCACATCATCCAATAAAGTATATTCCTTTTATGCTAGGCACCTCATTGTATGCACTTCAAGGTTTCAATCGTAGCATGCAGCGGTAAGCGAGAGTACAGTTTCCGCTTGGTCCTTGGAAGCGTTTGCACCCTCAGGGATGCAGATGCTTTGCCGAGAACAACCACGGGATCCGCTGTTTCACATCATGATGCGCAGCTCAGAATGTATGACCTCCCTTCAAACACCCATTTCCGTCCCTGTCAGAGCACTCTCAAACAAGTAACGGAAATTTGAGCCTTCTCCGCATTCGTCGCGGGCTTTCCGCTCGCGTAGATGTGCGAGCCTGCAATCCTGTTTCATTACAAACAGTGACGGCTTCTCATCTGAATCCAAAGCCAGAACTTAAACCAAGTGCCAGCACTGTTCTTAGCGGCTATCCGTACCGTGCATCCTTTCAGAAGAGGCGCCAACAATCGAGAACGGTCGGATTCCCAAGAACGTGCTTATTTCGCGGACCACCCCAACAACGCGACGCGACACTATGAACAGAATGAAGAGAAATGACGTCAGGAGCACTAGGAACTCTGGCAGAGGTCGGCCAAGTAAAGCGTTCAGAAAACCAGCCCACAAGGGGATCAGAGCAGGGAAAGCACTTCCATACACTGAACTTGTTAAATGTGCCAGTATCAGTCTGCTACAGATGTAAAAAAAGGTCAACCCGCAGAGCCAATGATACAATAGTCCATTGGCAAGCACCACAGCGGGCGAGCACAATGGCCAGCCAATCATCGCAATGGCTAGCGTAAAAAATGGAAAAGAATAGGCCACCGCGAGACGAACGAGATGCCTCCGTCGAAGTTTTCTTTGAGACTCTGAGAGTTGACTGCCGTTCCTAAAGATTGTGATAAAATTCGAGATTACTGTGGGTAGCACTGGAAGCAATGTGAAAAGAAAAAACAGACGATTGAGCGGTAAGGCAACCGCTCGTCTATTTCGGAGCATCTCATGATACATGGACCATTCGGAGCGACTTAGAGCAATTTCCAGGTAACCGCCACTGCTTAGGATAGAAATCACAGCCGACGGCAAGCATATATGCTTGGAGAAAATGCTGCTCGGAAAGACTGGAACCACCACTAATCTTTTCCAGAACGCCGGGCCCCATATAGCCGTCAGCCACGTGAGAAGCTGCATGAGAAGCAAGCCTTCGTTTGGGCCGTTAATCTCGCGTAGCACAAGCGCACCACTAAAATATTCCTCCAAAGTAGCGAAGAAAAAAGGCATCATTCCAACGAAGAGAAGCAGCACTGTCGTCCAAAGAGACCAACCAAATTGAGCAGTCAGCGCGAACGTGAGGCCGGCAAATGTAACATTCAGTGCATCACATCCATGATCAAAAAAATGGCCTAGAGGGGAAGAGGAACCCGTCCGGCGGGCTTGCCTACCATCCAGATTGTCAAGAAGCTGATACATGCCGAGACAGAACGCACTGAATCCATATGCGATTCTCGCTGAGCTACCACTGGCGCATGATTCCGGCATACTCAGCAGCGAAGAAACGACATACGAATCGTTCGGGGAGCGTTTCAAAATATTGCTTGGTTCGCCAGTTAATCCAAGTTTTGCGTGCAGCACCCACTGTGCAAGAGATTTGATATCTCGTATACCTCCATCGCAGGCAAGGAAGACGACCGCGAGATGCCCTGTTACTGTAAAAACCAACCCAGCGAGCGTCACGGAATTGGGCGCGATGCTCTTTGGTAGCAGCTCTACCAACCGCGCGTAGATCGGTGACAGGACATAACGATACGTGATACTAAGATCAGTTCCGGAGTTTTGGTAAGCAGCAAGTCGTGAAAGCTCTTCAGTTGACAAATAGTGTTTCCGAAACCTCCCTATTCTGCCTTTTCTGTCTCTAAGACAACGCTTTCGTGGTATTTGCCGTCCGCGATGCTCGAGCTGCGAGCGCCGGCGCTCCTGCTCCACTTGATCCGAGCAAGCCCCATATGTTCCCTTGTTCCAGAACTTGCCCGCCACTTTGCGCACCCGTCGCACCGGACTATGTGCGTCTTTAGACAACGCAGGTGACATAGCCCTGCGAGATCTAGGAAACCGATATCAACTGCCTGTTTGAGTCAGTTCCTAGCAGACGTACGGGCTCGAACTAGCTTTTCGCAAACTCTAGTGGGCAGCGTATGGCCCGGTGTCAACGAATAGGGAGCGGCGGCTGCGATCCGCAAGCAAATCTTGTCTCCGAAATGGGTAAACTTGATTTATATCTATATGAGACAAAATTAGAGACGTCCAACTACGCTAAAGCAGGTGTGCACCATAAACAATCGGTCAGTTCCCACTGTCATCATTACAAGTCTCTCCGGGCTTTCCAGCAACCGATACCTTTTCATCGCTCTCTAACTCATCCCCCGCCTGAAATGAGCAGGTCTCTCCGGTGCCTCATGGTTCAGTCTCAGCAGTCGAGGTCTGCTGATAGCAACGCGCATGCCCCGATTCTACTGCTTCCCGCTCTCGCGAACGCATTTCATCATCAGGCAGCAGTTCGGGTCCATGCCGCACTCGATTCGTGCACCTCTTCTATAAACAGCCCAGGTAAGCGCTTTGCAGCGCGGACCCATCACCGTGATCCGCGATTCCTGTGTGTCCACTGTGCCTGCCCCTCCGTGGGCTGCTCTGGGGGACGAGGACACCAGCTCCGTCGCTCAGTGCATGCCTTCTATGGCTACAGACGACACCCGTCAATGCCCTCCTCGGGCTCAGCTTCAGATGCCGGACCCTGCGATGATGATCCGCTTCTTCTTGGCGATCACTCGGCGAGTACGCTAACCGCTGCATACGAATGCGTTCGTTGCTCCGTTCGACAAAGCATTTGCGGAACGCAATGTTGTCGATGACGATGCAAGTTCTGGGATATCAGTACAGACGAGCTCGATTAAGAACTGTCGATCCAGAAGTGTCGACCCCTCTGCACTCGCTTCGTGCTCAGCAGTGACGCACGCTCTGCTGAGAGCGATCCATGCGGTGCCTCGAGGCCCGGTGCAAGTCTCGTTGCAGTCCGAACAGGGGAGACAGGAACATCTGCGAGCGTACCAGCCCTGAGAGGTACCATGCTGCTGTCGAATGCCGAGTCGTCGACGGCCGCAAGCAGCGCACGATCGGTCTCTCGAACCGAATCCACCATTCGGCGTGTCAAGTAAAGTGAACGCCCGGCATGAGCCTGCGAGCATGTCGCCAGGGCACGACGTCGAGTTGTCCGCCTCGCAAATCCATCTGCACAAATTGCCGTGCCCACGGGTGGCCTCCAAGCAGGTCCATTGAGTACGCGAAGCATGCGTGATCCGGGCAGGCTACATTTTAGGCAAGGACAAGCGTGGACGCTTGGGCGCTCGAACCGGAAAACCATATTTTCGGATATGCCACCAACGCGTGTTCGACGGCGCCCCGAGTCATCTTGATTCCGTTGGCGCCACGAATGCCAGGAGAAAGGAGTCAAACGAGCCGCCCTGAACACACGACCGAGGATTCTAACTCTAACATTGAGTCGAGTAGCAGTTAGAGCCGCACATTGAATGTCGAGGCCGTGTATCGAGGAAAAGTCGGGGAAATGTTCAAAAGGCAGGCACAGAGCGAGCGCTTCACTGGCCCATCCTAGCCTGGCGTTTCGATAGCTCTGGCATTGACGCTGGTATCCGAGCTGGTGCTGCACATGCAGGCAGCAGCGCGCAGTCGAGTGCACGAGTGCACGTGGTCTGTCGCTGGGCGCTGCACGAGACTCGGCCTCACGCGAGCGTCCGCGAAAAAGCCCGACACCGCGACTCTTACAGCGCTATCTCGCGCGCGACAGGCCGCAGGACTGCACGTTCTGTTCACATCGCCGCTGTGTTCGCGTTGCTCCCGTTACTCAACACGTTATCAAGGCGCTCGCGGCTCGCAGGAGCACTGTGCTCGAGGCTGTGTTTGTGGCCCGCACCTGAGCGGAATACTTTTATGCGCGTCGTGGTAAACCTACCGTCGAAACAACAAACGTCTGCAAGCTCTGCCTGGAACGGACGTTCCTGGTTTTCATGGGGAATACTCAATTTATGGCTGAGGTTCGCTGCAACAAAACATAGACCTCGTTTTCCATAGCTCAGTATAGCCGCTTCTAATCGTATACGCTGCAGGCTGTGGTACCTGCTGCCTACCGATTCCAGTGCATGGCACCGCGCGCCGTGCGGCCGACCAGACGATCATCAGTCTCCGCGCCTGCTGCTGGGGAGCAGTGTGTAGGATAGTGTGTTTCGGACAACGCCGGAGCTTGAGTAGTGTGTGAAACCTGGGGCTGCCTCTGCCAGAAGCGAAAGCGTGCTCATATTTGTGGAGAGGTGGTGGCGGGACGATTTGCCTCGAACTGGGCAGCAACGGGGCACTGTCGGGAGGCCCGCCGCGGCGCGGGAAGCGCTCGTTTCCTAGCGCAATCGCGTTGTTAGTGTCCAATGGGTTTTGACGCTTCAGAAAAGCAAATCATGCACGAGCTCCTAGAACTGTCCGATGAAGCCGATGTTTGCGTTTCTGCCCGTGCGCTTGCTCGCTGCTTTGCTGATAAAGTACAGCGGAAACGTCCTCCTCCGCCACAAATTTCGAAAAGCCACGAGTACCCGCTTGAGAAGAAAAGGAGGATAAGTTTCCTCTCTGAGGAACTGTGTGCAACACTTCCGTGTGGACAAGAGATAAACGTGGATTTTGTTGGGTTTCTGAAGGATAGACTCGATTCTTGGTACTTGGATAGCACCGTCGAGGGAGATAGCGTAGACGATGCGAAGCTCGCGCAGAAGCTATCCATGCCTCCCAGCGTTGCGCTGGAGGATGTCGACATTTTTATGACTCGCAGCCCTGTATTGTATGTGTGCAAAAACTGCCGCCGCCCTGTAATCGAGTCCCGGGTCTATGAGCATATATTACGCTGCTGCCCAGATCGATGGGTTCCGCTCCTCAATGAGTGTGCCAAGCAGGTGACGAACGTCGCCACGCAGTTCCAGCGCAATATGTGCGACAGCGATCTGCATAATGTCGTGCTTTCGTTTGAGTTTCCTGAAATCTATTTCTCTCAGCTTCTGGATGACGAGGATGGTGCACCAAAAACGCGTTTCGGCAGACATGCAAAGCGTGTAGGGAAAGTGTACGACTCGCAGTTGCTCTTCATGCACGGAATGCAGTCTGCGCGTGCGATCAGCGGCAATCGTGATCAGCAGCATCACACTGCTCCGGTAGACGCAGATTTGAGCTTGTATCGGAGCTTTGCTGCACTTTCAACTGTCAAAGTGACGAGGAACGCTGGTATCGCTGAGACCAACTCCCGGATCACGGCGGGCAATGTTGCCACAGAGGCCGCCAAATGCCGAGCCTTTCACCGCAAGTATTTTTGGCCGCGGATACCATATGCGTCAAAACCGAATAGCGCTGAGACAGAGAGCATGCCGGATCGGTTGGATCCCCTTGCGCGTCTTCTGTATCTGAACATGTCTTGGGAGAGAATCATGCAGATGACTTTACCGCCGGCTATGAAGAAAAAGGTAACCAGTGCGAGAGGCTACGTGCACCCCGCCAAAGAGCAGCTCTCTACAAAAGAGGAGCTTCTGCCAGCATCAACGAATACGATTGCCCATGCGATTTTGCGGTTACAGAGCAAACGTTCTTTCGGCTCATCATGGCTCATAGACCCTCGGCAGCTCTCGCAGAACAGAACCACGAATGGGATCTTCCACGGTCAAAGCTTTTTTGCTCAGCCCGGCACATTTTGGACTGACCCAAGTCGCCAGTTGCTACCGCGTCTCCATCAAGCGCCTACGAGCACGCAGAGAGCAGTCGCCGCGTCGCTTTCCTCGGCGTCCAACGGGCCATCATCGATTCGAAGCCAACTCTCTGATCTTGTGCAACGGCGAAACAGTGTGCCGGACGAGGCCTCCAACGCAGCTTCCACAGAACGAAATCAGGTGGCGAACGCGGCTGCTGAGAGCAAATCGAGTCAAGCCTCTGCGGGAATCCCACAGCGGTTGAGCTCCCTCCAGTATCGTGCAAGCATGCCGAGCCCTCTCGGTGCTGTTTCCAGGCAGAGCGCACAGCCCGCTAGTGGAGCGAATGCGGGGCATGGAACGGGACTTTTGACTCCAGGCCGGGAGGTGGTTCAGGAAACTATGCGACATCGGATTGCTCCTGACCTTGTAGAGTGGCTGCGACGGGACCCGTTCTTCTTACAAATGACCGAAGCTGCTAAGGAACGAGTACTCGTGATGCCGAACCTAACTCCAGAGATGCAGCAGCAAGCACTCGAGGCCCTGGAGCAACGTCTCATGCAAGAGCGCCTGAGAGCCATTGCGCAAGCTGTCGTATTCGCTCGTGAGATGCCACAGAATTCACGGGCAAGAATGTCGGCAACGTCGCTGTTGAGCACCCTCCATCCGATGAACGAGAGCCAGCGCAAGGCACTGGGCGAGATGGTTCGGCAACTCTTGATCACTCAAAGGGCGTCCACGCAACCGCCGCGTCCTCCAGATCGGATTACAGAAGCGGTTGCCTCTGAGCATTCCTCATCGAGCATTCCGAGCCCGGCATCATTTGCATCGCGAACACAAAGGCAGGGGCTGGATGCACGCCCGTTGCAGCGCTTAGATGCCCCAAGAGAGGCCAGCAATGGTTCAAAAGCAGATACCGATGCAGAGCCCCTGCACGGTAAGCCTGGTAAGGGCGCTCAAGGCCGTCATCGGAGTGACGTAGATCTGCTTGCTGCAATCGATAGAGCCTTGGGAATCCGACGTGACCCTGAATAGGGACTTTTGGCCAAATCTGCAAACGTATCTGGGATGGATCTAAAAGTTAGCATCGGTACCTCTGGATCAGCGTCCGAGAGGGATAACTTGGTCGCCGGTGGGCGGCTGCATATAGCTCATGTACCCAGGTTGCACATGCCAGCCAAGCTCTCTTCTTTTTGGGTCGTCTAAACGATTCCCCGAAAGCCGTACATTGTCATACTTGCTCTAGAGCACAGCAGCACTCTTCTATCGATTCACTGGTTACCCTTTCTACGTAAATGTGAACATGAGGATGTCCGCCCGATTCTGGAAGCCACGCAAAGGCACCTTGAAGCGGCCGGGAGGGGCTTCGTTCATGGAAACCTGCGATGTCCTCAGATGGGGGACGGCATGAATGTTTGCATACAGTCCTGATGCGAAGCAACGGCACGCACCTGCAAAAACCTGCTGATGCGTGGTTCCTGAGCGCCGAGACCATGTGCGCAAACTGCTTTGCCTCGCCTCACCAGAAAGGCATTTCCTGAGATGCCGCTCTGATGTTGCCATTCAACTTATGAAAAAGTGCTGCTCATACTCCCATGCTTCCGTACAAATCGACAAAGTGCTTCCACTGCATCGTTGCACCCATTTGTTCGCCGACAATATCCTTCCATACGGCATAAATGATTTCGTCGGGAGGCTCAGTGAACGTTGTCATGAGCTTTTCGGCGTCGCTAACCTTTCGATCGGCCAACCAGTGATTCCGCAATATCTTGATTACTGCGATCCGAAAGAGGTTCCAGTCCACATGCTTTCCTGCCGGCTTGAAGACAGTCTGCCACGCTTTGAGCATGTTTCCATATATATCCGTCTTATGCAGCTCTTGGACAATGGTCATGCGCAGGTTTTTTGCTCCATCAGAAACCCTCGATGGAGCCAGCGACGATACTTGGGCTGCTGTCAACGAGTAATTACTCTCTAGAAGGTGCTCTCGAATGCAGTTACGCTCCATCGAAGAATTGGCGGCAATTTGATCGTCGCAGGATTTTTCGTGGGGTATCCCGATTCGAGACCCATCCGCGTGAACCGCAATCTGCGTCGCGGCTGGGAACTCTGAAACGGCAGACTCGGAAACCTCTAACCTTTCGGAGCGTCCCTCGGAGGAAAGAGAACGAATAATGCTCAGTTTTGTCTCCGCGATTTCCCTCTCGACTACGCTGAAACGACGTTCCATGTTCAGACGCATCAGATCGAGTTCACTCAACAGACGAGCTCGTTGAGCCTCTAGATCTTGAATTTGTTGCCGCAGCGATTCTACTGCTTCTGCTGAGCGTATATCCGGAAATATCGTTGAGAGAGACGTATTCTCTGCGTCTAAGTGTGGATCGTCATTCGCGGTACGCTGATGAGCATCCGCCTGAGTTAGCGTTCGCCAGGCAACGTTCGCTGTGGAGGAGCAATCTACATGAACAGCTGATAGAATCTCGTCTTCTTCGCAAAGGAGGTCTGCGTGCCTCGATCCAGGCGTATCGGAGGAATCCGCCTGCAATTTTGCCGAGTTTCGAACACGTTCACTGTGCTGTTCCCGTGAATTGTCGCATTCACCACAAGAAAGAGTCCGCCGCGACGAGAGCCGGTTGTTGGAATTGCTGCTCACGGGGGTGCTTGATGTGGAAACTGTCGACGACTTCGACATTACCGCACTGGCAACTACGGAATTTGAGCCCATCAGAGGTGGTGCAATGCCACGATGTTCATCAGCTGCTGTGCCGGCTATCGAGAGCGACGTCGCTTCGCTGGTAATACGTCGAGGCTGTGGCTCTTCATCCGAAAGTACCGTCATTTTCGACAAAAGCGGCTGGGGGTTGGAACCATCAGAGACCTGCAAGTGCAGTGAGTCCGGATCATCTTCCCTGTTTGTCTTATCGGACGCTTCGTCCAACGAGGGCTCGTCTGCAGACGTCGAGTTTCGCCCGGCAAGGCCGCCCAAATCTCGACCGCAGCTGCCAAGCGCGTATGTGCTTTGCTTCGGGCGCTCAGCTGCATGAGTGTTCTCTTGTCCGTCTGAGAAAGCGGGAGGATCTAAAGCAACCCTGTCTGTTTGTGACTCGGACTCAGGTTTCAGAGACAGCGCCGTTTGAAGCAAGTTCGCGTTGCGCACCCGAAACCGTATTGGAGACCGTTCCGTTACGGCCTCGGCGAGACGCTGCGACTCGAGCCACTCGTTATCCGTCTCGGGAGAATCATAACGTCCCGAGTAAGAGGCGCTAGTCCCTTCTTCGTTCCGCTCTGCGAGCGTTCGGCGCCCGAAAGATCCCAGGGAGTAGTCTTCCACCGGACGTTCGCTATCCAATTCGGTCATATGATCCTTCGTACTCGCTTCACTGGGTGTCACGCTTCGGGTGTACAAGCTGCTCATTCCAAAATGTTTGTGGGGCTTTTTGAAGTCTTCAATATACACGAGCAATATACTGGCGCGTGTCGCACAGTGTTGCTAGGTACCGCTTCACGTCCTAGGCATAGGCTCAGCGACGATCGGTACCTCTTCGTTTTGGATGGCGCCATCGCATTCGATGGGGAATTCAAAAGATCGCGCGGAATGTTTAAGACCAACATTTAGAATGGAACTTTATTAGACAACGTAGGACTTCACGTTTTGTCTACGATCCATATTTGAAGAACTTGGTGGATTGTTCACGTGCTTATGAAAATCAAAAGCAGCGTGTGAGAGACAGGGGTGGTTCATACATTTACTGCAGAGGGCCTGCGCTATCCTCGTCAGATAGCGCAAGGGCGCGTGCTCCGGACGTGCCAATCCTTCGAGAATTGTCGGCTCATCTGCGACTCGGGTTCCTAGAGGCCCGTCGATAAATGTGAAGCAGCGGGCAGCCGCTGGGGCTCCAGAACTTTCCAGTCGCTTTCGATTTGACGCGTTCCTTGCGAGAAGCCGTAGGACCTAGCAGGGCACGTACTTGGTTGATCGTCACTCTTGGAAGCGATGGAATATATTTGGAGAATTCAACTGCCCAGAAAAGCTTGAATGCTACCTGTCTTCCGCGAATGATGGAGAGTTTGGCGAGCAGATTTCCGAGAACGTTCAATATGCCTTCCTGCATTTTAGTTGAGTCTATTCCAGCACTGAAATAAGTTTAAATCTTTGCGTAAGTTTTGTGTTTCGGCTGTTGATCGCGATGCTTCTTTTCCGGAGAAGGATCGGCAAGTTTCCGTCGCCTCGACGCACCTGGTCTGGCAACTGCTCGTTCGAGTCCCGGGCGCGGGCTACCAGCAGTCCATATTCCCCTGGAAATTTTCGGATCAAAGATTCGCGCGACATAGCAACTGATCCTTGCGACTGAGGATGCAAAAGAGCATGATCTTCGGACCAAAAGTTTGTACGCGCGCTCCCTGCAATACTTTGGCACGAAGCTGCGAGACGCCGGCGTTCTGAACATCTTCAGCGCGGGTACCCTAACATGTAAAGCCATCCTTCGAACCCAATGGCAGATCCGAGTCATTTCCGAGCGCTTCATGCTGCTCATCGTTTGCGCGCAATATACTAATCTCACTGGTAGCGGAAACAGGGAGCTAATGGAAGAAGTGCCTTGGATGTCGATGGAAGCGAATGGCGGGCTGGCAGTTGCGTATGTATTCAGCTTTCGAGCGTATCCGTGGGGGGTGTCGCTAAGAAAGTGAGCGTCAAACCAGAACTCCGACGCCCATCGTGTTGCATCAGATCTCTTCACTTAGGATGTTGTATCTTTAAGGATGGTTGAAAGGTGATGCCGGCCCTCCAAGCTTCTTGCGCCAAATCGATTTCATAAACAGAGCTTTTCGTGGCATACCAGTCTTTAGCCTCGAATCCGAGCGGCATCACTTCCTCACGGGTTTTGTCGGTGTACGTCGCATAAGTCGCATCGAGGACCATTCTATGCCCGCAACCAGTTTTGTAGTGTGCTTCATGCCCTCCCAAAGGCGCCATGTATGTTCTCTGCAACCAAGTCTGCAGCATTCGAACAGCTTCGCGCAAAGCACGGGCGGAGCTCCTTCAAGTTTTCGCTCCTACGGGGAGAAAATTTAATGGGATTCACATTGAAGACAGGGATCGACGGAATGCCATTCTGCATGGACTATGTGAAATCTAGGCCGCAATCGAGCAACGAGACACACTTGCAACTGTTCAAGGTATAAGAAAAGAAAGATTTCAAAGAGGGTGAGTATATCGGGTTTTAAATACTCACGGTTGCCGCCACGTATCTTCACCAATAGTACTAGGTCAAGGACCTGAACGGAAAGCAGATGCGGCCACTCACTTTTCCAGGGGTTCTGTATAATCGGGACCCATGCATGATGGAGGTCAGAATAAGTACCATCAAATGGAATGTGCACATCGGGACCCACCTGGACGCTCTGGCATTGATATCGAGCAGAGGTGGATGCTTTCAGCGCCTCATTCAGCGATCAGATGAGCGTCCAAATGTCTCCAGCGGACGATATTTGGAACGAGCAGATGAGACCGTGCCGGGGCGGCGAGAGTTTTGGTCGCAGTGACGCGGGTAGCGTGCATGCCCCAACATGTTCAATGAGATGGGAAAGGAAGTGACCGGCAGGCCATATCACTTGGTGCTCGCCAATAGTGCTGGAGCAGCTGTCGGGCACAGACGCTACTCTTTTGCTCCTCGGGTGAACGCGTACTACGAGCGCAAGAACCGGGTCCGAAGAATACCCATTGATAAAGGCTTCATGACATTCGCACCTAACGAACACGGGCACGTGCTCAAAGCTAGTAGAGGAGCGGCTGGTGAAACAGACACATACGCAACAGAAGGGATACGGGGAGGTGCACGAGCGCAAAACGACGTTGCAATCGAAGGCAAAAGGCTTGGTATGTTGTGATTCCACCAGCAGCAGGGCCCGCGAGCACTCTGTGCACGGGGACTTGAGCGTCTCGATCAACATTCGGAAATGACTCGCACTTCCGAAGCGTCCAGCGGCTTTGCGTGAGACGGATTTATGAGAGAATCGTTTGCCACAAGAAGTGAGCATTTCGCTGAAATGCGAGATGTTTGCAGTGAGAGACAATCAATGTCCAGGAAGCAGCAGCATGGATTCCCGCCTGGAGCACGGCACTTTTACGGTACCGTCAGGCGATCCAGAAAGCTGCTGCGCCCAACATATCCGTTAGAAACGATATTTCTAGGCAATTGGTGATCTTTATTGGCTTTCCACCGTTCAATATAATCAAGTCTAAATTTCGTGTTTGTGAGCATGGCTTCGAATACTCGCTCGTGCAGCAGTCTTCTAAGTTTATAAAAGATCTCCAGCGTGTTCCATTTCAGTCATCGGATCTTTACCAGATGCCTCTTTCCATCATCAAACCGTCGTCGCATGCTGTGTTCCCATACATCCAAGAGCGCATGCCGCTGAAAACGGCCCGACGAGCTTTCAGCGCCAATCGATGTGAACGCGCAGTCAATAGGAAACGTATCAAGCGTTTGCACCCTGTCTATATGGAGAGCTTGATATCGAGAGCTCTCCGCGGTACATCCGATACAACGGTTTCATGTGTCTAGACACCTGAATCTCTCTCTTGCGCACGCTCGTACCGTTCTTCTTTCGGTATCTTGTTTTCCCATTACAGTTCATTGTGAGCTTACGCCGCACAGCGGTTCGATCAAGTGAGCAGATCAGAGCCTTAGGAAACTGTTGTCAGGATTTCGAGTAGATCTCAAGATCTGTATTGTTCGTCGATGTCCATAATCCAATTTTATGTACCTTGCGACGCCTGTCCAGGCAAAATACGGCAGCAAGCGTCGATGTGCAAAAAGGAGGTGCCCGCGGAGCCGCTCGGGCTCCCTGCCAGGCACAGAACACCCCCGTGGCGATCAGGAAGGTTCGCGAACGCTGCACTTCAGGAGCTTCTTCGGTGCACTCTGCGTTGCCAGGGTGTTTCTACTCTATCAAGTGGAAGATAAAGTTCAAAGTAGATTGTTGAGGAATGTCAGCGCTCTCTAGACGCATTCTTCCACTTCTAGATCGCGTGCTTGTAGAAAAAATAGTACCGAAGAAGACAACACCGGCTGGTGTTCTCCTTCCGGAGAGCGCGACGGCAAAGGCGCTGAACGAGGGCAAAGTGGTTGCAGTTGGGCCTGGATCCTACACCCGAGAGGGCCAGGTGTTGCCCGTGTCTTGTAAGGTTGGTGATACTGTACTTCTTCCTGAGTTTGGCGGCACGCAGATCAAGCTTGACGGCAAAGACTTCATGATCTATCGTGATGATGAAATTCTGGCCAAGCTCGAATAGCAAAGGACGTTTAGGAGTTTTAGGTTGTTGACATAAACGGAGGATCTGCTGTTATTCGATTATGATTATATGGACTCGGGCAACTCGTAGACGTTATTGCAATTCTGCGGGGCGACTGTTCGAGTTCACGAAGCTTGACGCACCTCGCCGCCCGGCGGAACTCGCCTCACCTATATTAGAATGAAACGGAAGGGGTCCGCTTTTCTACGGCGGACGCATAGACTAATGGTTTGGTGTGTTTCCAGTGGCGTGCCATGAGCCTTTTGCGGATATTTTTCCGCGATAGATTTCCTTTCCACTCCCTTACCTCCGTCTTTGAACGAACTGGCCACTCCTGTTCCTCCTGCTCGGTTTCCAGCATTGGGGGCATGTAGATGGCAGTGTCAAAGCCTCGATTTTGCTGCCTACGGCTGCTGCTAACGCACTTCCTATGCAGATGGAAGTTGCCATCTGAGAATTACTTGCCATTTTTATCTTTTTCATATGCGGCCTCTGAGCGCCCATCGCAGCGGTTTCATTTGACCGTGGTCAGTTGTTCACATAAGTCCACCACGGCTCTTCTCCGGTGGCCGGCGTCTGGCGTGCGAACGCTTGCCTCATCGCCCAGTATATATCTATGACGGTAGTAGAGGGCTCCCGTCGATGCCATCCTCCGTTGCCGAGTCAGGTGCTGTACCTACGATTTTGGGCTTATTCCGTGCGATCTGCTTCGCGAGTACTCTGACCGCTGCATGCCGAAGCACGCATTGTTCCATTCGACAGAGGATTTGTAGAAAGCGGTGATGCTTGTTATGAAAAGGGACCGAATGCGCACTAAATGCTGGAGAACAAATCGAGAAATTTCGATCCAGGTACGCTCCTTTCGTTCAAAGCTGTAACGCCCTCTCAAGTGGAGGCGATCGCTGCAATGAGAAAAGCTCGGGTCCAACATTCTTTTCCATGCAAACGGAAGACATAGGAGCTTCTGGGAGCACATCTCGACAGAGATATCATACTGCAGTCGAATGCAGTCTCGCCGACGGCAACGAAATGAGGAGGACTTGTGTTTCGGACGAAATCAATGATTATACTCGACAGGTTCATTGAGCTTCCGGCATAAGCTTGTGAAGAAGTCTTTGGGGTGCAACTTCGAGATGTGTTAGTTCCCAATGCATCTATGAGATTTGCCGCACGCAAGAGTTGCCTCGAAACAAAAAAAATAAAATCTTGAAGAATTTGTGATTAAGGAGCGCTACATCTAAATGCGAAGATAAGAGGCTTATACGAATGAATTGGATGATTACATTGTATGTTTTACGAACCCGTGTTCGAGGGATTCGCGAATTATCTTTGTGACGGCCGCGAAACGAGCTCTAGCCACACAGAGTCGAAAAAGCCATTCCAGAAAAAAAGCCCAGAAAACTAAATGTGAGCTTCAGTCCGTCGGGTTTAAATGCTGCACTTCGAAGGTCGCGACTGTACATCAAAAAATCGAAAAAACGAATACTGGAAACAGAATGAAGAGTTCAGTATTCCGTTCCAATCTGAGGCCTATGGAGAGACGCTTAATTTTCGACATGAATTCCTCATCTCGCAAATAATGACGTTTAGTTGGCTGTTTGAACGCGCACTGCGCGTACTTCAGACCGTTCCTGGAGCTTTCCCAGGAAGCTCTTCATTTTAAACAAAATGCACGCCTCTGTTTTGCAGCAGCTTTTCGCAGCAACGCGGGAGAGCTGCAAGACAGTAGCAGAGCTAGTGGACGAAAAAGGCGCTGAGAGTCTGGACGAGAACGACGTGCTCGCAGTCTTCAGGCAGGAGTTCTACTGTCCAGGCCGGGGACCGACAGGTACACTTTCTTCAAGTTGTCCTTCTTTAGAATTGGCAAGTGATGCACCAAAGAACCACCTACGTGGCGGAATCTGCGATCAGCACGACGAAAAAGCGGCCGTTTACCTCTGTGGTCACTCTTTAGGCCTTTTACCCAAGCGTGCTTATAGACTTGTTTCTGAACACCTTGAGCTGTGGGCCCGTCTGGGCGTTCGGGGACACTTCGAAGGGCCGGACCCATGGTACACTTTCGACGAGAGGCCACTAAATGTAGGCGGTGCGGAGATCGTTGGCGCGCTACCTCATGAGGTTGTGTACATGAACTCGCTAACAGTTAACCTTCATCTAATGATGATTGCTTTCTATCGCCCAACGGCTAAGCGTCATCGCATCCTCATCGAGAAGCATTCTTTTCCATCAGATCGATGTGTTGTGCTGTCACAGGTCGCCTACCACGGTTATGATCCGGCAACGGCAATACTAGAGGTAGGAGCGGGCTCTGAGGACGCCGGGCTTATCGATTTGAATCAACTCGAGTCTGTTTTGAACGAATATTCAGATGAAATTGCTCTGGTCTTGCTCCCTGGCGTGCAGTACTTGACCGGTCAGCTGCTACCGATGGAGGAGCTTGTGAACATCGTGCGAAAGACATCAAAAGATATAAAGATTGGATTTGATCTGGCCCATGCAGTCGGGAACGTCGTCCTGAAATTGCATGAGTGGGCGCCAGACTTTGCCTGCTGGTGTTGCTACAAGTACATGAATGGTGGACCCGGTGCGGTAGCCGGATGCTTCGTGAACGAAAAGCATACCTGTGCCACGGATTTAGAGCGATTGCCTCGCTTGTGCGGATGGTGGGGCCTCGAGCGCTCGTGTCGCTTTGAAACGCCGCGTGCACTCTCACTGCCGAGCGGCGCGAAGAGCTTTCAGTTGAGTAATCCACCGATCCTCGCACTTGCCCCTGTTGTGGCCTCGTTGGAGATTTTTCGGATGGCCGGTGGAATGCAAGCAATTCGCCAAAAGTCCGTGCTGCTTACAGGATATTTGGAGCTTTTGTTGGAGCAACTAGTGAAAGAAAAAGTTTTGATCATCACACCTCAGGACCCAAACAGCCGTGGGTGCCAACTTTCCCTCAAGTTGAACTGCTCCGCCACTGCCAAGGAGCTGTGCGAAAGGCTCGCGAACGAGGGATTCATCTGCGATGCACGTGAACCGAATATTTTGCGCGTTGCCCCGGTTCCTCTGTACAACTCCTTTAGCGATGTGCACTCGTTCGTGCGTGCTCTCGTTCGCCTAACCAGCATTCCCTGAATTCTAAACGGTAGAGAACGAGGTATCTCCCACCACAATAATGGCTTTCCTCGCTGCGAATAAATGCTGTGGCGGTTGTACTCGGAGCAGTCAGTTCCCGAGCATCTGCCCCAGAACGCCCCATTGATTTTGCTTTTGTTGCTCGCAGCCATCTTGCAAAACCAATGGATACTGGAGATTGCGTAAAAGTCGCGGAGTAATTTATACACTCATTTCTTGGATGCGGGATAGTGCTGCATGTGTGGAGTCTCAAAGTGTGAGCAGTGGAATGCAGGGGTCGAAAGTGGCTAAACATTTTCGATCAGCAAAAATTGTTTGAAGCAGATTGCTTCAAGTCTCGTGGAATCGTCCATCGATCGCATGCACTCTTTGCGCGTAAACTGGATCTCGAAATCAATAATGGCGCGAAAGATATTGGATGAGGCGTGTCAAGAAGTGCGAAACTTTCGGCTTGTTTTCACCTCATGGCTACTTCGGTTGCTGTGGAGTTTCTGCTCAGAAGGTATCCTTCCTTAGCGAACGCCTCGGTCTCGAGCGCTAGGGCTGCACTCTCGAGGCTCGCGAGCACCTGCTCAGAGCTCGGAATCGACCTGGAAGCGACTGCGGCGAAGCTCGAACTGTACCTTTTGAACACGAGGAAGGAGCTTTCTGAGGACACAGTTGAAGAGTTCACTTCGAAACTCGCTGCCTCTGCCAAAAAGAGCAAGTGCTCTCGGGCAAGAGTTTCCGAGTCTACTGAACTTATCGCGGAGGCGGTTCGCCGGAGAGCACCGCTGCCAGTCGATAAGCCGGAGGAGCACTCGCTCCCAGAGGTGCAGCGTCAAACTGCCCCAGTTTCACCTGAAAATCCGTATCTTTCGAGCGACACACTGACGGAGAGTTCCCATCCAAAACATGGATTCATGCCCGAAAGCACGCAGTCCCAGGAGGAGTTTCTAGATCTGTTTCCACATCGGGACCCTTTTGTTGATCTTTCTTCGCATGGCGTTGATGGGGTTGTCGTAAATTCCTCTCGCGCAAACCTGCGACCATCCTTCCGTATCACTCGTCCGCCGCCGGGGCTTGATCTTGAGGTGTGGCCTGAAAAGCTGATGTTCGATTGTCTAGAGAAAAGAAAGGAATCACAACGAAAGCGAATTCATGACGCCTTTGACGCCCTCCAAAGTTCCGGACGCATTGAGAGTCTTATGGAAACATCGGGAGAACCTGTTGATGGGCGTTTCATTGTCGGACAAGTGTTGTTTTCGATTCAAGGGCATGAACGTAACCGAGAGGTGTTTCTTGAAGACGACGAAGGTGTGATGGTGCAGCTTGAACTGTCAAAGCTGCATACATACTTGCTATATCCAGGCAAAGTCGCCGGTTTCGTTGGCCTCGATCTACCCGGGCATATCTTTGAGGTCCATCAAATTGTAGATGATATGTTTGTAACGGAAGAGGTGCCTCGACAGAGAAAGCGGGTAGTATCTATGAAACCAAGCAGCTTACGACCGAAATGGAGGATTCTCCTCATGGTAGGCCCCTATATTCAACCTGAAGACCCGGACTGGGACATATTCGATTTCTTGAAGAAAAAGGTTGCGGAACTGGAACCTGATGCAGTATGCATAATGGGCCCACTTGTTGAGGAGAATCCAGATGCGGGCGACGCAACACTGAATCTTGTGGACAAATTCGTGCAAGGAGAAAGGGTGCTCCAAGCGCTGCAAAATATTGCACGAGAAATGCGGTCAACTACCTTCCTGATCTCTCCAGCGATTGATGACTTGATGCATCATTTACCGGTCTTTCCTCAAAAACCATACGAATTTTCTGCGGATCCGATAGTCAAAATTGGTAACCCGACTTCGTTCCGCATCGAACTCGACCGACGAGACTCTATGAGAGTCGCTATCATGAACTTGCCTATTCTGGATGAAATGCGCCTTTCGTGCCTCTGTGGAGGGAGCAAGATTCCACGTATGGAAGAATGCAGCGCAGAAATCATACGGCAGGACACCTTATTCCCATATGATCCCTCTGGCTCGAAGATTCCTATAGATTATAGTCTTGTTCAAGAACTGAAACCAATGCGTCCTGATCTTTTAGTTATTGGTGGATCTGAAAGCAATTTCGCTTGCGAGGCGCATGGATGTTGCATCGTATGCCCTGGAAAATTTTGCAATCGTACCAGTCCGACCGAGTTTGCAATCGTCGATCTTGTCTCCGGCGACGCTGAGGAAGCTTGGCACGTACTATTTGGAAACGGAGGCGCCATGCCTGGACGCGACAACAGATGAAGTTACGGAACGCTGCAGGTGGAGATTATGGCATACGAATCGGCAATTCATTGGCAGAATCTCTGCTCTGGGACTTGTGGAGATTTCTTCTTACTTCGAGTGGTCCAAAACAGTCGCGTGCGGTCAAGCGAAGGCGCCATTTTTAATTGGTTCCAGAGAGAATGCACGCAGTGTGCGAGAAAGCCGCCATATGACAAAGAAACGAAAGGCGGCCACTATGGATCTATTCAAATAGTAAGAAAGCCGGTAAGGTACGAAAACTCTGTAGTAATTCACCAGCGCACCGGTTAAGGCTTGTTACTGCGTTAAGACTTCTAATACGCTTTCGAAGATACGTATTATACCTGAGGATCCGCCTCGTTTGTTTTGGATACGTTTGACGGTCAGGCGGAAGATTACTCATAATACTGGTTACAAAGACACAATTATTCGATACTATGCACTCATTCGTGAACGTGCAAGTCCTTCGAATACGTCCCTCGGACATCCGCCTATCCCCTGCGTCTTAGACAAGACGCGGCGACGTATTTTCAAAACAGCTTTCGTTTATGCTTAGCTCGCAGGGTTCGCTGCCACAGCAAGTTTCAGCGAGGTGGTTTTGCCTACGTCTTCGTTGTACACCAAAACCGAAGCGGCTGTAACTGCAGCGGAAGTCCTCCCATTTCAAAGCAACAGCGCCTTCAGCGCAGATAACAGTTTTCAATGAAACAGTCCCGGGAGCTTGGGTAGCAACTGCACCGCCACGAGCCGTGGAAAGTGCTCCCTAAACCGCTGTCGCAACCTTCATGGCAATGGTACAACCGATGCGGTGACTTCCTCCAAACGCGCGATCCAGTTTTGAGCGGCGAATAGAGCCGAAAAAGACAAAATTAAGAATATGCTCGGGCATCTCTGACGGGAGTGCGTTAGCACCATCAGGCGCCAACGCCAGGAACGAAGCCCGCCAGTTTCGCACATCTTGCAACTCGTTTGGCTGCATTTTATGCTCCCTCCGCAGCGATGCCTGGAGATGGTACAAATCGAACAGTCATAAGCGACGCTGGAAGAAAATTACAACCCCCAAAGCTCGTAGCGATTCCGGGAACTCGAATTGACGCTAGAATACCGGCTGTCTGAGCACCTGCGAGTGTATCCGCGTCGCGTTCCCCTGGGTATCTCCCCACAGGTAAGGCAAGCCACTTGACCGATGAGGTCTAAAATACTGGCATTTGTGCGTCGATCGGGCAAAAGCTTGAATCGTTCATGGGTTTGCAGCTATACCCATGTCAGACTCAAGTGGAACGCGTCCCACTTCGCTAAAGCAGGTGTGCACCATAAACAATCGGTCAGTTCCCACTGTCATCATTACAAGTCTCTCCGGGCTTTCCAGCAACCGATACCTTTTCATCGCTCTCTATCTCATCCCCCGCCTGAAATGAGCAGGTCTCTCCGGTGCCTCATGGTTCAGTCTCAGCAGTCGAGGTCTGCTGATAGCAACGCGCAAGCCCCGATTCTACTGCTTCCCGCTCTCGCGAACGCATTTCATCATCAGGCAGCAGTTCGGGTCCATGCCGCACTCGATTCGTGCACCTCTTCTATAAACAGCCCAGGTAAGCGCTTTGCAGCGCGGACCCATCACCGTGATCCGCGATTCCTGTGTGTCCACTGCGCCTGCCCCTCCGTGGGCTGCTCTGGGGGACGAGGACACCAGCTCCGTCGCTCAGTGCATGCCTTCTATGGCTACAGACGACACCCGTCAATGCCCCCCTCGGGCTCAGCTTCAGATGCCGGACCCTGCGATGATGATCCGCTTCTTCTTGGCGATCACTCGGCGAGTACGCTAACCGCTGCATACGAATGCGTTCGTTGCTCCGTTCGACAAAGCATTTGCGGAACGCAATGTTGTCGATGACGATGCAAGTTCTGGGATATCAGTACAGACGAGCTCGATCAAGAACTGTCGATCCAGAAGTGTCGACCCCTCTGCACTCGCTTCGTGCTCAGCAGTGACGCACGCTCTGCTGAGAGCGATCCATGCGGTGCCTCGAGGCCCGGTGCATGTCTCGTTGCAGTCCGAACAGGGGAGACAGGAACATCTGCGAGCGTACCAGCCCTGAGTGGTACCATGCTGCTGTCGAATGCCGAGTCGTCGACGGCCGCAAGCAGCGCACGATCGGTCTCTCGAACCGAATCCACCATTCGGCGTGTCAAGTAAAGTGAACGCCCGGCATGAGCCTGCGAGCATGTCGCCAGGGCACGACGTCGAGTTGTCCGCCTCGCAAATCCATCTGCACAAATTGCAGTGCCCACGGGTGGCCTCCAAGCAGGTCCATTGAGTACGCGAAGCATGCGTGATCCGGGCAGGCTACATTTTAGGCAAGGACAAGCGTGGACGCTTGGGCGCTCGAACCGGAAAACCATATTTTCGGATATGCCACCAACGCGTGTTCGACGGCGCCCCGAGTCATCTTGATTCCGTTGGCGCCACGAATGCCAGGAGAAAGGAGTCAAACGAGCCGCCCTGAACACACGACCGAGGATTCTAACTCTAACATTGAGTCGAGTAGCAGTTAGAGCCGCACATTGAATGTCGAGGCCGTGTATCGAGGAAAAGTCGGGGAAATGTTCAAAAGGCAGGCACAGAGCGAGCGCTTCACTGGCCCATCCTAGCCTGGCGTTTCGATAGCTCTGGCATTGACGCTGGTATCCGAGCTGGTGCTGCACATGCAGGCAGCAGCGCGCAGTCGAGTGCACGAGTGCACGTGGTCTGTCGCTGGGCGCTGCACGAGACTCGGCCTCACGCGAGCGTCCGCGAAAAAGCCCGACACCGCGACTCTTACAGCGCTATCTCGCGCGCGACAGGCCGCAGGACTGCACGTTCTGTTCACATCGCCGCTGTGTTCGCGTTGCTCCCGTTACTCAACACGTTATCAAGGCGCTCGCGGCTCGCAGGAGCACTGTGCTCGAGGCTGTGTTTGTGGCCCGCACCTGAGCGGAATACTTTTATGCGCGTCGTGGTAAACCTACCGTCGAAACAACAAACGTCTGCAAGCTCTGCCTGGAACGGTCGTTCCTGGTTTTCATGGGGAATACTCAATTTATGGCTGAGGTTCGCTGCAACAAAACATAGACCTCGTTTTCCATAGCTCAGTATAGCCGTTTCTAATCGTATACGCTGCAGGCTGTGGTACCTGCTGCCTACCGATTCCAGTGCATGGCACCGCGCGCCGTGCGGCCGACCAGACGATCATCAGTCTCCGCGCCTGCTGCTGGGGAGCAGTGTGTAGGATAGTGTGTTTCGGACAACGCCGGAGCTTGAGTAGTGTGTGAAACCTGGGGCTGCCTCTGCCAGAAGCGAAAGCGTGCTCATATTTGTGGAGAGGTGGTGGCGGGACGATTTGCCTCCGCAGTCTGCTGACATGCAGCAATCTTTTCTTGATTTCGGCTTAAAACCAGCAGTTCAGTGTGGCCTACTACGGTGCTCCTTTTTTATTCCTTCAGGAATCCAGGCCAAAGCCCTTCCTTTTATCATAAAAGAAGAGAATATTATATTGCAGGATCACAGCGGAAGCGGGAAAACCACACTGCTGGCCATAGCAGTAAACCACGTTGTGAACCCAGCAGAAAACTGCCTCCAAGCTGTTCTGCTTTCACCGACTAAAGAGCTTGCGCAGCAAACAGCAGTTTTGATCGAGCGTATTGGTTCTAAATACGTGTGCCTGCGTTGCTCGGTATGCCATGGTGCAGTCCAGGTCAAAGGAGCCGCGCACGTATGGAGCGGCACACCTGGGAAAATTCTGCAACAGTTCTCAAATACAGGAACGATGAGTGCTAACACGGTGCGCTTGCTGGTCATAGATGAAATTGACGAGATGCTTTCGGCTGGCCTTGAGAAACAAGTGTCCCGTATTTGCAGAATAATGCCAGAAACTTGTCAAGTCGTTGTCGTATCTGCAACTGCATCAATGTCAGGTATGGAGAGTCTGCATGATTTCCTTCGAAGGGACATGCACTTCATTACAACAGGCAGCACGGAAGCATACTGGCACGCTGGCATTCAGCACTATCGTGTTGAAGTTCCTGAAGAAAAATGGAAGCTCAGTGCAGTCTTCGATATTTTTTCACGATACCTGGTCAGATCTCAGTGCATAATATTCACGAACGAGTCGAAGAAAGCAGATTGGTTAGAGAAGAAAATCTCACTCCGTGGCTTTGAAGTTCAGGGCATTCATGGGGGAAAGCCTCAGGACAAGCGGGTCGCAGCGATTGATAAGTTTCGTTCGGGAACGACGAACGTTCTCGTGGCAACTGATGTTGCAAGCAGGGGCTTGGATATTCCTGGGGTTGTACTCGTCATCAACTTCGATGTGCCGTTGAAACCGAGCATCTATGTGCACCGAGTCGGAAGGTGTGGAAGATTTGGCCGAAGGGGCATTGGAATCACTATTATCACCAAGGAAAACAAACTTCAATTACAGCAAATCGAACAGTTCTTGAAGATTCGAATCCGTAGTCTCCCGGCCGAGCTCGTTGAAAAGAATCCACTGTAAATAAAAGACTTTTTCCGGAGCTCCGCCGGACCTGCGTCGGCGATCCATAGGAAAAATTGTAAAGGTTTCAATGACTTTTTCGTATTCCTCTGGGGAACCTGTAACGCTAAGTTCGATCAGAAATCCCATTAGCAGCGCCCACAATTTGTCGGCAGCGCACTCGAGGAAATTCGAAGATCCGCATCAAAATGCCTTGCCGTCTGCAGATTAAAATCCAGCGAGCTTTCTAATTTTTGACCACATGAAGCGATTCATCTCGGTCTATTTTATCATATCCGTAAACAATGTCGGAAATTGCGCAACCAATATAACTTGCCTCACTATGATATCTGGAAATATCGAGTCTTTGGCTATATTAGTACTAGGCTCTTGTCCAACATCTCAATCAGCTTGGTACAAAGAAGGACTATTTGACGCGCAACTCGGTAAGCTCTATGTTGGATGCTTCAAGCCATTCATATTGAATGGATTTGAAATTTAGTCTTTCTAGCGTTAACGTGAGGATTGCGCGTTATCTGTTTGGCGTGTAGCAGGCCATAACAAAAACAGAAATCGATACCTTTCTGTTTAGAAGTATGGACGTTAGGTTCACAACGGAGGAGTTCGAAGGTTCCGTCTTCTGCTTTCAGTCAGTGAGTATCGGACCAGAAACTTTGTGGCTTTGGCTTGGAAGAGACATTCGTTCCGGAGAAGCTTCCAGGCTTGCTTTGAGTTCGACAGCGTTGCAACTATTCTCAGGTGACAGAAGAAACGCGAATACTATAATAGAACCCACGCTGCTTCTGCCTCAGCTGGACTACTCCCTGTGCAGTGATGCTTCTCGCAGGCTAGCAAAACGCTTAGGTGCACTTCTTCAGCGAAATATATATTTAAGCGTATCTGTTGGTGCAGACTGGCTAGCAAACTTGTTCGAAGAGTCCGACGTTCCAAATAACTCACAGAACGGCCACGTGCTTAATCACACTACTTCGGGCGGACGCGAAAGAGCACTTCCGGGAAGTCGTTTCGAGATTTTCGTCATCGAAAGCTTCTCGAAACTCCTTTCATGACGACGCAGAGCTCTACAGGAGTAAAAGCTCTATTCCGCTTCGCGTCGCGTCCTATGACGCTTGTACTCATGGCGCAACAGCTTTACGGAAATCAGTTCATGTCTAACTGCAACTCACGAGCGAGCTCAGCCAGTTCAGAATATAGGAAATGAGACAATAGCCAGTTTTGTTTGCTTGAAAAGTGAGGATATTGCTACATGCTCCAGATAGATGCAGTTTCGCGATGTATCCGCCACTAGAAGATGCCCGAGAAACGAAAGACTCGATAGATAACGCATACCCTTGGCGAGTTTCGTACAGTCTAGACGAGTCCGATTTTTGTTCGAGCATAGCCCCCGTCGCACGTTGAAAAGCAACTTAAATATATTCTTCGCTCAGAACCGCTTTTGTTGAATGCCGAATGCCCTCGGCTCCTGAAGAACTTGAACTCGAAGATGTTTCAGCGTGAGACATTCTCGAATATCCCTCATTAGCTTCGCTAGGACAACTCGATTGTGACACAATGAGCGATCGATGTGATTAGACGTGTGGGCCGAGCTTCCAGAATATCTTTTACCCTATTAGTAATATTTAATTTCGTAATAGATTCTCACCTGTTACAAAGATTGAAAGAATCGGTGATCTTTTGAGAGTGCAAAAGTGTTCGGAGAGGAGCTGAAATGATCTTGGTTTTGCTGTGGCCGGAAATTTTGCTAGCAGCAAGGCATCGTGCTCCGACCACAGAGCACTGTGCATCGCTTGGCAAAGAATCCACCGAGTTCCCCCTTTGCGAACTCGGAGCTACCTCTTAAAGACTTTGACCTCAATCGTGCCCCGCCCCAATGTGTGTTGAAAAAAATGCTTTTTCGCGGTTTAAAGCATGGGCCTTCAAAGTGCTCACTTTGAGAATTATAAAGCCAGGTGGGAGGTATGGACAGTGAGGTCGAGAATTCTGGAGTCCCCTCCTTCCCGGATTCGACAAAAAACGAAAACAGTGCTTCCGTCGCTGATCATCGAGCGAAGCAGGGCAAGTGACGAGGCAAATAAGAGGAGAAGAGATAGACGAAAGAAGGTGCTTGCCTGACGGAATGATGACGAGACTGTTTTCGGACAGAAGGCACGAATATGCGCAATCTTTGCATTGGCTCGTTTCATCAACGGCAATAAACGCGAGGAGTTCGTGAACCGAGACATCAGCGCCGCGTCAATATCAGATGATTTTCGGTGCTGAAGACGAGACCCGCAGAGCTGACGCGATCCCGCTTCAAGGGGCAACCTCTCAGGCTCGAGGTGCGCTTGGGAAAAAACTGGAACTTATAGCAGGCGGCCGATGGAAAAAGGGCTTGGAGGCGTCTGCGACAGGGTGTTTATTTGAATTCTTTGCTCGTAGAACGCTTTTTGGTTTTATTCAACACAGAACTCTTGCTCTGAATACTTTGGCTTTTTCCGTCTTTCCACATCTAATGTCCGTAGTCGAAGGATGTTGATAGCAGCGTTTAATTACCGATTTCGAAGCTAGCGGCTTTCGCCGATGCGCTTCACGCACAAGCGGGAATGGCGATCTCTGCTTCGCTGGCCTTGTTCATATTCCGCGAACACACCCTCGATGCGCCTTTCGCAGCGATGATTGATGTCTGCGGTGAGGTTATCCCACAGATTCACCACAGCTTTCGTCAGAGCACCGCCCCGCAGAGCATCAAGGCTGGCTTCATTGTTCCGTATTTGCTCTTGAGGGGTGCATGAGGATTGCCTCAACGCTCCCTCTGTTTCCAGGCCCGATAGCGTACTTTACGAGCACGCGCTTCTTCTGGGCGATGCTCTCCGCAGGAACTCTCTTGGCCGCAGACGCAAACGCGCGATTTCACACTCGGAAAAGTATTCTAGGAGCGCGACGTCACCCTAAATGAAACGAAAACCGGAATGAAAATAGAGCGCAGATAAGTCGAAAAATATCTATCTGTATACGTTTCCTTCATGCAAACGCTGTCGCTATCTCCACTGAAAACGATTGCCGCGATGACCCAAGTCCGAGTCAATGGCGCTTTTTTATTCAAACAGAAGGGACGGTAGCCTCTGGAAGCACATCCTGTGATTGTTGTCATGTTGCCGTCGAATTCCGTGGCGTTAAGGGCCAAAAAGGGCGTAAGATTTCGTCTTTCATTTGAAATGGATTATTGACATAACAAATGCAGTGAAGGTTCGGCACGAATTTGCGAACAACTTCTCATGGGGCGTCGTCGAGTCTCTGTTTCCTCATAAATTCAGCGTTCACATTTGCAGCGCCCGCGAGTTGTCATAGGGACAGAATGATCGAAAACTTGAAGAATGCGTGATTTGAGCGTCCTACGCTTACGGATCAGAGAAACTAGAGACTTATGCTTATGTTTTGAACAGGGATATCTATTATTCTGGAAACTCCTATTCGAGTGCGTCCCAAATCATCTTGTTCCCTGTAGCGCAACGAAATCCACCGCAAATATGTTGAAGAAGCCATTCCGAAAAGACCACAAAGAATCTTAATACATTCGCATAAACCTCTACACCTACATTGCTGCATTTGGAATTTAGAGGCTGCTCTTCTAAAAATATTCTGAGCAAAACCAAAAGGCAGGAACAAAACGAACTCTGCAGTGTCCCATTAAAGTCGGAGATGGGTGTAGCGGCCATATACCACTTTAATCCATGGGATTCAAGCGCCACCGGTGCCGTTAACCAAACATAGTCAAACTGTTCCTAGCAAAGCTATAGAATACGTTGTTGTGCTCCTTCATGAAGTGAATTATTTCTTGAAATTCGAGCACCTAATGTTGTCCGAATCTCTGCAGAGCTTTCTCAAGCTCCGCACAGCGCCCTTGGTTCTGGTCGCTGCAACGCCAGGCGTGGAAACTCTGCTTGAGAGGCTTTTCGCCGAGCTGTTTCAGAGAAATGAGCTTGTCGATGCGCGTTCATTGGGCAGTGTTTCTATTGCTGAGCTTGCAGTTCAGGCTGCACCGCGAATCTTTGGTGTCTCCTTGACGGAAACCGATAAACAAACGAATCTCTCGAAGGCAGGGTCGGAAGACTCGAGGGCAACGCCGACACCGTTTCTTCGCTTTCTAAGTGTTCATGACGCTGTGCAGTACTTAAATTTGAGGGAAGACGACCCTTCCTCCGAGTCTCATAACGCGCTTGCTTGGAACAGCCCCATTTCCTCCGGTGCTCTGCCGCCTCGAGATGTACTTCGGTGCTGGCAAGCGGCGTTGCGAAAGCAAAAACGCGAGCAGCTGTCTCTGGGCAATGCGTCATCGTTGATCCTCAGTGTACTGAGTCTAGCGCCATTTGGATTACCGCACTTCATTTTTGATCATCCCATCGCCCAGGTCGTGTTTGCGAGCGTGAATGACTCCGAAGATGACATTTTAAATTGTCTTCTTCGTGACGATGCTTCGGGTTGTCGCTTTCATACAGGTACGCTGGATTCACGACGACCTCTATTCATTTTGGAAATTTCTGCGGAATCATCAGCCGGTAGCGATGGCATGAAGCGGACTGAAATAGAGTTCAGCACTCAAGATGGATCACGGGGCACCCGAATTATGGTGGATGCTGCAGAATGGTCGAGATCTGCGGATCTTCGTGAATATATTTCACTTTATTTCGGGCGATGGATTCATTCGATTATTCAGAGTGAAATCGAGTCACGCGTGGATCAAAGAGATCGCGCGGGAAGAATCGTCCGCAACCAGTTCAGAGCCTGGTTCTCTTCCGGACAGTCAAAGACTCGCGAAGGGGTCATCCCTGGTCATCGACTGGGACTTAGTCCCCGCGTTATGCCTTATATCTATTTATGGAATTCGGCTGAAATGAGAGCTTTTTTCTTAGGGTATATGCTCGTTGCTCAGGAGAAATATTCAGAGGCGCTAGCCGTCTTTCGAATGCTCTCATCGGATTTCAGGGCCGATCACAGTTTGATATATTCAGCGGCTGCTTCTGAATGCCAAGCGATCGCGCTTATCCTCAAAGGTTCCAACGAAAGTTTGGAAGTAATGGAACTCTTACAACATGCAACGGAAAACTACCGAAATGCTGGAAGGTTTCTAGATGCGGTAAGAACGCTTACTCTGTTGGCAACCACCTGCATCGAATACAATAATCTATCACGTGCGGCGGATTTGCTTCTAGAAGAAAGTCTACCCGAAATAGACTGGTTGCGCAAAGCTCCAAATGCACTGGGACGTTTGCGCAAATTGTGTACAGCTGCCTGCTTGGAGCTCGCTGGAGAATGCTTCAGAGTCCTGCGACGACCGCGACGCCATCGTACATGTCAGATGTGCCTCTCTATGGCGGCGGAGTGTTTCACCGCTGCGAAATTTTTTGACGAGGGGCATAGATTGTTCGCCCGGATTTGCGATCACTTGGCAAAAAAATCTTGGTCCTGGATAGAAGCGTACGTGAATCTTTGCACTGGACGCACCGCGTGGATGTGCGGAAACATTTCCGATGCATACCAACGTTACACAGCCTTTCTCTCGGATTTGAAGCCCTCAAGGGTTGACGATATCGCTGTCCTTCGGGAAACCGTGTTAGTCGCATCGGCTCTCGGTGAAGCAACTCGAGCATCTAGCTGTCGTTTCCCGCTTCTTGATCATCGAAGCATCGTTTTTGCGGAGGAAAACCGCATTCTCGAGTCTCCACAATTGAGTGAGTGGAAGGCAATGTGGGGAGCACTGGATGCATTCCGCGAAGCACAGCGCACATTGGAAGCGGCTGGAGCCAGTATTGATCAACAGCATTGGGATGCAGAGCTCACTTCTCTCGATACTGTGATGGATTTGCTTGGCGGACAGGAGCGCCACGTCCACGGCATGCTCCGGGTCTCCGCTGGAGAAAAAATTGTCGTAACGTGTCGGCTGGAGAATCCGCTGCGAGCGCCAATCGAGCTGGACGATATCATACTCCGAATGCGTAGAGTTTCTATGAATCATTTACTGCGTGAATCTGGATCTTCAGCGAGACTTTGTGTGCCAGTAGAGACCGCAGAGACCGTCCGCATCTCACACAACAGTGACGGGCTTCTACGTGGCGTATTTGCAATATCAGAGAGCGGGGCATTCGAGGTCGAGGGCATCAGCTGGAGGGTGCATTCGCCTCTCTTCGAGCCTAGTCTAATATGCTACGCGTTTTACGAGCTTAATGAATCGCCAAAAGCCATGAATTCAAAGGATTTGAGGAAAGGTTTGGGGGCATCTTCACGCGAATCGTGCGGTCACCTAGCAGTTGAGGTTGGTCCGCCTGCACCTCTTCTTACTTTGAACACTCCGCTGATTCCGAAAACTGTGATGAACGGCGAGATTTGGCACACAAGCATAACGCTTGCGAATTCTTCACTGGTGGATATTCACAACATATCTCTGAGCTGGAGCCCAGAGTCTGACCTGTCGATGCGCGTCATGCAGTGCACGTCATCAAGCACGGAGGTCACTGTACAGCATGGTCGCCGCGTGGTTTCAGTTCGATGCACGTTGCAGCATGGCGACTCCCTCGAATTCAAGGTTGCGCTCTGGTGTCGTCACCATATATCCGAACGGAGTATGGACTTGAGGATAGCTCCACGTTTTCTTCGACTTCTGATTTTTTCGACCTCTGAAACACCAACGGCTCGCAGGTCAAAGCTGTTGCCTGTCAGAATTGGGGTCCTTGCTGAAGACTCGGTTAGCGTTCTACCATGCCACCTTGAGCACTTAGCTTTGGAGACGACCAGCCCAAGTTCCATCACAGGACAAGGATCCGCTGTTTCTTATGGAAACTGTGATGGTACCATTATCGGGCTACAGATTCAAAACGTCAATCCAAACGGAATGACACTAGAAATTCAACATCTGCACGCTTGCCATCGAGGACAGTATCTTTGGTACGAGCCATTGTTCACTTTCGCATCTCCGAAACTTGCACTGCAGCAGTATGACAAGGCAAATCTGCTGCTACATTCAAAACCTGAGACGAGCCACAGCGGTGATGATCCGGAGCTCTTGAGCTTCGTCTCCGGTACAGATTTCGAGGTATTCCTTCCTGAAATATTCCCAAGTGAGCCGGGAACAACGAGAAAACCTTTTGATCTCGACGACTTGTTTGTGTGCCTCTTCTGGCGCACCCTAGATAACGGAGATGGAGGGCAACGCACTGGCTTGACTGCGCTGAATATTACGGCCGCGCAGCGGCCTCCGCAAACCAACGATTATGTCCAGAAGGAAGAATCTCTCCTGCTCGCCGCGGATACTCTAGCGATCGTTCCTTGCGAGCATGGTGTGCGCGGCGAGGTTCTGGTTCCCAAGAACAACGCTTATAGTTCGCTCGCATGTGTCGATACATCGAAAATACCGTCAGACTTTGCAGTCTGGAGCGGACACATCTTCAAGTCAGTTGCGCTGCGAAAGTTTGCGTCAGATGCTCAGCTGGATGTATTCCTTATCTCTCGCGACCCTAAGAGGTAAACAGAGACTATGCGCGAGAAACAGAAACCGCAGTTTATACGACCGTAAAGCCGTCCGGCAGCTTGTGCAGCACTGCGAATGAGATCGACACTGCTGAGGCCGCAGGCGGGTGAAGCGGTTGCTCTAGGAGATCTCTGGAAGTTCTCGGCGAGGTGGTGGGCACCCTTTGGTATGTGAGCATTTCCAAGATATGGCTATCATTTGGCCGCGTTGGCGTGCAAGAAGACGCCTACGATCCTTTGAAAGAGTCGAAGCGGCCGAAACTCGTGCTAAAGGTTCGCTTTTTGAAAAGCCTTATCGCAATCTTTGTCCCCACCAGCAGTGTAGTGCGCAAACCGTTCCTCCTTATACGTTAACATGCCTTTCCGTCACTCAAGTTACCGCAGTAGCATCGGTCCGCCGCATAGCAGGCTTGGGTTACAAAGGGAAGACGCTCCGCAAGACGCATGGAGAGGTCGTTGCGGAGCTGAATTTTTCACGTGAAGCAGATGTATTTGGTTCTTGTTGTCACAAGGCAGCTCCTTTGTCCTTTGCCCGGTAGACACACGCTCTGCCTCCAGCTATTCGGACAGTTTCGATAAATCGAGTAAAATGAGTTTGACGGCGCGATTAAGCGAGATGTTCTTCTGCGTCCGGCTGTCGTGATGGATGCGCAGCAGCGAACTCCGGCAGTTCTATCAAAGTATGGTATATTTTTCGCAATGTGGGGAACTCCTCCATGTTGACGCCGAAACGCTCAGCATGACCGATCTGTGGTACAAGAAACGCGTCAGCGAGTGTCAGCTGTTTCCCGAAACTGTACGGCCCTTGCCCTACAGAGTGTTGCAATATCGTCTCTAGTTGGATCAGCCCCTTATGGATCCAATGCTTCGACCACTCTGTTCTGGCGGCGTCACCGAATTTTGAGCTAAGGTAGTCAAGTACTGCACTATTATGGAGCGGCTGTATGCCAGAGTTCACAATCTCCACAACGCGCCTGACTTGAGCACGTTGAGCGGGGTCCTCAGGCAGAAGCTTCACACCCCCAGTTACTGCTTCCTCGAGATATTCGCAAATTGCAACGGACTGCGTGAGTACGTGACCATCAATCAAAAGCGTAGGCACTTGGCCTCCAGGGTTCAAGCGCAGAAACTCTGCAGGCGGTTGCTCGCCCTGCGAGAGCTTCAGAAGGTTTATAGGGCGGTACTCGTAGTCCACCTTTTTCAGGTTTAGTACAATGCGCACTCGGTATGAAGATGATGACCTCCAATATGAATAGAGTACAGCGCGCTCCATCCTTCACACCGAAGTTGGAGTCCCCACGCGTAAACAGTGCCTAAGACTGAGAATCCTCCTTGCCGCTGTGCAATACGATTCTATTTTTCCTCGCTGTGTCCAATCGAATGCTTTCTTGCAGTATAGAGCAGAAGATCTACATCACTATGCAATATACCCTATAGCTCATGGATTAATTTCCTGTAGGATATATTCTTAACTAAACAGCGCATAGAGGCCAGCATTCCTCGTTCAGTTCGGAAGAACCACTGTACTGAGATTGTTCAAGAACACTGAAGGAAACAATTATTTGCGCCCAGTGCCAAATCCGATATTTTTAGAGCGTCTTTTCGGCAAATGGTAGAAAACGACTTGTCGATCACCACGCAGAAAGCAAAAGCGACGTTAGTAGCCACCACTGGCGTCTCTGTTTACCAACAGCTTGTGGTGAACTCGAAGCGAGCAAGGGTATCAATTGTTCTAACAGTTGAGATTCACATGGCGGCCTGAGTTTCACTCGAAGAGAAGGCTCATAGAACAACAACACCCTCTAAAACGAATCGTTGAAGACATTCACCCGACGTCTTTCGACGTTCCTCCAGTGGACAACATGGTGTTCCACTTTTACCCTTGCGTTCGAGCTTTTGCAGAATCTCTCGGAGGGTTGAAGTGTATTTCATTCCTCCGTACGCTTCGTGTTTGAACCGCATCGAAGGAGTGTTTTCTATCGAGATAAATTATGATCGCTCTACTGTGTGAATCGCTGAAGCGTTCAGCACCCGGCGACATGGGAGGACATTTTGTCTTTCTTCGCAAGTCCGTCTCCGTCTGGGCAGGTCCTTGCCTATGAGCATAACGAAGTGCGTTCATTTTGAAGAAATATAAAATCCGCCGGATAGGAATGAACATGGAATTCGAGGATCCAGGAGGCCTGTCATCGTCGGTTGCTGGGAAAGAACGAAAAAACCTCCTCTCGCCGACCATCGAGCGATGAAGAGGAAGTGACGAAAAAGCTGAAGAAGAAGGAGGTAGACGAGAAAAGTATATGCCCGAGGGAACTATAACGACACACTGGTGGCACGGAGGGCAGGAGTTCGAGGAATCCTCGCATTGATGCATTCCAATAACGTCAATGCATGCAAGCAGTTTGTAGGCCGCGAGTTTAACGCTGCTTTGAATACCAGACCATGTGCGGTGCTGGAGACGAGACCCTGTTTCTGGTGCGATACCATTTTAAACGGGCAGCTCTACCCGATAGCATCGGCAAAGGCTCGAATGCAGGAAGGATGCTGAGACATCACAATTTCCGGTGGAGGGTCGTCGCGAGACGTTAGAGAACTTTCTCCAACGATTTGACGAACTGGTTGGTGCTGTTGTATGAGCCTCCTCTGTGAGCGAAACCGAGGCCGCAAAATGAATATACTGCAGCTAGAAAAGATGAACATGTCGTCGTTCTCCACGAGCTCGATCGTACATGCAATGGGCTCACTCTCCGCGAAAACTCACATAGGCAGCGACAGTCTCGTCGGAAGCAATTCTCATTAACTGAAAGAACAAATCGACGTCCATGTGCTTCGTGCTGATCGCTAAGTTTTCAGAACGGTGTCGTTGCGTTTTCAATCGAAGATAGTCGTGCGTGAATTAGGACTCTTTTCGGCGACTGCACCCCAGTGTTTTCAGGACCACACGAACAAGCTGGTGAGAAGCATCGACTCCCGTGGTGGCTACCATCGTGGCAGCTGCTAACCGTAAGTTGATCGACCGGTCGCTTTCTACCATGGACCGCAAGCAGTCTTTGAGGACATCGGTTTTTGGCACAGCATGTATATCTTTGTTTCTTTCAGTGTTCCTCTACCATCTGAGTACTCTGGTATGACGGACCTGAACGAGCAATGCAGTCCTCCATGCACTTTTCCGGAAGAATATGTCTCACAGGCAAATCGTTTGTGATCTGTACGGTACACTTCACAGACATTTAGATCTCTTGCTATAAACCGCTGCCGGGTGTTACCGGATTGAGTTGAAAGACGCTATGAGCTTCGCCGAGCGCCCTTATCCATGTTGCAGCGATGTCTGCAGCGTTGCAGTGGCTCCGATTGCAGGCGAACGCGCTTGAGCGACGCCGCTACGTCATAGCAAATGCTGCGACCCCTGAACAGTACTAATGTGGAGCAAAGGTGCTATGCGCCAGCTTCATTAGCTTTCTGTATATGCGCAAGCATGGTTCCATGGTATTATGGACAAATTTACAACAGCATACAAAATGGGCCTGCAAAGCAGAACAGGGAACTACGCAGACTGGAGGGCTTTCCTTGCTTGTAGGTGTTCTCCTCCAACAGACGAATGCGAGTCCTAGTTCTACTGGATCAACGTGTGGACCCTTCTAAAAGTCTTCCTTTTGAAAGCAAGGATAGCAAAAAGCCCGTGCGAGTGAATCTGTCAGGTGCCTCAATGGTACCCAGCCTTGTTGACCTCAGCGCTTGATGGCCAACGCAGGCGCTCAGCCCTTTCGTCGAAATTGAATATGCTTATCAAGAGTTCTTCTAAGACTCTATGCTGTCTCAGCGCATAATTTGCAATCGGAAAGAAGCTGGTTGTGGGTCAGAGCGATTTGGTTGACGACAACTTCGACGATTGAAGGGACCCCATTGCCATAAGCCAAAGCAGCTGCGTCGCAACATCCATGTAGAGCTGAAGACTTCAATAGCCGACACGCGGGATACGTACAGCGACTATGAAGACGGCTCATGCCACGTCGCATGGAAGTTCAGCGACTCGATTGTTTCGAACGATATTTTCCTGAAACACGTTAAAAACGGGGCGCAAAGCTTGTTCCGCAGCTGCAGTTTGCTTCGGCGTTAGGATTCCCCTCTACCTTGAATGCTGACCGTATGAGCTCATCTTCATAGTCGATTGTTGCGCCAGAAAGCAACGGAGCACTGATCGCGTCCACATAAACGCGAACGCCGTCTTTCTCGAAAACAACGTCCTCCGCTGCGGGTCCACTGTGTTCAAGCTTAAACTCGTACTGGAAACCTGCACAGCCCCCGCTGTTGACTGTAACCCGCAGCGCAAAAGGCAAGTGCTTCGGTGCACGCGTGGCAAGTTCCCTCAATCGCCTCACGCACTCTTCTGTGACTGAAAGAGAGAAGCCTCCGGCGCCTCGCATGGTTTCAGTCCCCGATGCAGCAGACTCTTTAGCAAAACTTCCTGTGGACAGCAACCGTTTGAAACTGGCCGCGGAGACTTTCTGCTCCGGTACACGAGATGCTGCTTGCCACAAGCATCTCAGATGCAGCAGCATTGTCGTGTAACCCCTTCGCAGCGCCCCAGCAAAGAGGAGCAGCTCTAAGGAATCGAAGATGTTCCACTGCGCCTGTTCGCAGTCGACGTCAATGCGCTTAGCCACTTTCGTTGCATCATGTTTTCCTCGGAACAGGGTTTGAACGGTGACTCCAAAATCTCTAAAGAGGATTGTAGGTACAGCTACAATATTGGAAGTTATGGAGACACCCCAAGACAGCAGTCAACGCCTCCTTTAAGCCCTGCTGGTTTGACGGGCTCCCTGGGTGCGCTCTCTCAACGATCGCATCGTAGGCGTCGGGGTATCTTGGGACTGCCCGCTGTGAGCTCGCTCCCAAACGCTGCCGCCGATGAACCAGCTAGAGCTAGTACGGGAACAGCGGCTTTCGCGGTTGCCCCCTGTAATGAAACTGCGGAGGCAGCAGGGCTATTGAGTGTGCCGCTGCACTTGCTGCAGCCTTCTTCGAGCTCCGCACTCTGCCTCGCGCGCTGGGGCTCGCCCCTGGCTCCGAAAGAGAGGATCGTCAGTGGGAAGTGGATTGATCCGAATCGGATCAGCGAATTTCAAGCTCGATTTACAGTTTTAAACGAATATGCAGTGCGTTGCGAGTGTGTACCGCTCAATCCGCCGCACAATCGCTTCGAGGATCGCCCGACGATGAGGTTTTGGCGGCGCGATCTTGGGCAGGAGTTTGAAATGAGCGTTCGTCGAAGGCAAGATGGCCTGCTCCTGATCAGAACCAAAGTCTTCACGCTGTTATACGATCCCGCGAAGTCTCATGGTGCTTTCGAGAATGGAGCCCTGCGGATCATCCTCAATGACATTGGTCCGATTGCGGGCCTGCAAAGCGATTTCAACCTTGCTGGTTGGATAACGCAGCCCGTTGGTGAGGTGAATCCATTTGAGTTTGTCTTCGGAATCTCCGATCCCAGCATTGGTAACTGTGGCGGTACATGCCGGACACTGGATGGGGCAAACGGGTGGGCGTACGATAAGCGCTCCCAACGGGAGTACCACTTTGGCAGGTATGTCGATCTTGGGAACGGCATCATTTCGAGACGAGGTTGGGCGATTGTTGACGACTCGACATCACCTATCTTCGATGCTCATGGCTGGATCTGTGAGCGAGCGCGAGATCCGAGATCAGTGGATCTCTATGTATTTGCGTATGGCGACCAGTACTCCCGTGCACTGCAGACGTTCACCAGCATCGCAGGAAAAGTTCCACTCCTGCCGCGATATGCTCTCGGCAACTGGTGGTCTCGCTGGTGGCCTTACTCCCAATCGGAGATTATCCAGTGGGTCAATGAATGGAAAAATGGTCGAAACATTCCACTGTCCGTGTGCATACTGGATATGGATTGGCACTTGCCCGGTTGGACCGGTTACACTTGGAATCCAGAGCTGTTCCCAGACCCGCTCGAGGCACTCAGGGCCCTGAAACAATTGGGTGTTCGGATCGGGTTAAATGTTCACCCCGCTGATGGAGTCCATGCTCATGAATCAATGTATACGGCAATGGCCACTGCGCTCGGCGTCGATGCTTCCAGTGGAACACCGCTGTACCTGAACGTCGCCTCGCCATCTTTCATGAAGGCCTACTTTGAGTTCCTGCATAATCCACATGAACGAATAGGCGTGGATTTTTGGTGGATCGATTGGCAGCAAGGAACGCAGTCAGGCGTCGCTGGCCTGGACCCGCTCATATACCTGAATCATCTGCACTGCCTGGACTCTGCACGAGAATTTGGGCGTGCTGAGCCCCGAGCACTGATCCTTTCTCGATACGGAGGTCTCGGGAACCATCGTTACCCGGTGGGATTCTCCGGTGATACGCACAGCACCTGGGAATCACTAGCGGTGCAACCAGTGATCACTGCAACAGCAGCGAATGTGGGGTTCTTCTTCTGGTCTCATGATATAGGCGGGTTTATGGGAGGTGTTCAGCCGGATGGCGAGCTTTACGTTCGCTGGGTCCAGCTGGGCGTATATTCACCGATTCTTCGCCTCCATGGCCACAAGTCAGAATTCATACGACGCTGGCCGTGGTCTTACGAGAAAACGTATGCTGTGGCGGCGACGGCAGCGCTGCGTTACCGCCATCGCCTCATCCCCTATATATACTCGCAGTGCGTCAAGGCCTCGCTCAAAAGCACCCCACTTTGCCGTCCATTGTATTACCAGTATCCGACGCAGAATCCGCTCGCGTACACTGCGTGCTGTACGCAGTACTTTTTCGGGGATGAGCTGCTGGTGGCGCCTTTCCTCGAACCGATCCTGCCCTCTGTGGGGTGCGCTCGCCGCGTCCTGTGGCTACCACCGGGAACTTGGCGCCACTTGCCATCCGGTGAGGCATACGCTGGCAATCGCTGGATATGCGTCTATGGCGGAGTCGACGATGTGCCTGTGTTCGCAGCATCCGGTGCGATCGTTCCTCTCGCATCCTCCCCGGGATGTCGAAGCGGCATAGCGAACGATTTTGCGGCCCTGATGGATGATCAGAATTTTGACGCGGATGCTGGACTGGAAAATCCCGAAATGTTCGATGTGACGGTTGTAGCGGGAGGCGAACACACCTTCCAGATGATTGAGGACGACGGCAGCGGCGGCGATGATCCTTTGCGATGCGCACGTGTAACCTGCTTTAGCACAGATTTTCAAGTTGTCGACTCGAATCCAGGGTCCAGGAAGGCGGCCTGTGAGACACTCACCGTACAGATATGGAGTGACGCGGTCGGTCCAGACGCCGGACAGGATCCCGCGCGGAGCATCTGGAGCCCGATGCGGCAGTTCACGATCCATTTCGTTGGTGTAGTGGATCTGAATGCTCTGGCTCAACGTGGGGAGGCTGCAAACATTCGCGTCTCTGTGGATGACGGCCATGGGTACAGGGAGATTGTTGAAGGATACGAGACTTCGTATGATGCCTTCCGAGAGACATGGACCTGTGCGTTGCCGAAACTCGGTCTCGACACGCGGATCCGCATTGAGATATGCGGTGCTGCGCTGCTTTCTGCTCGAGATCGCAGGTCTGAAAAACTGAGGGATATTTTGCAGCGATTTCGCTTAGATTGCTGGTCCAAAATTTGTCTTGCAAGGGAGCTGCACTCATTCCTCGAAGGTATGAAGTCCATTCACGATATACTGAGGGAAGACTCGACGCTAACGGACTATGAATATGCGGGATATTTGAGCGAAGAGCAAATTCGAGCCTTGTATGAAATCGGGTTCGAATGTGGCGTCGAGTGGCTGCGGACCGGTTATCATCCGTTGTGGCCCCATCCAGCACCAGTGGTCGCTTGGAATCCACGGCGGAGTGTAGCGTTTGTTGCTCCGACATCAACGTCTCCTGAAATTCGCAGAGGGCGGTATCTTTCTGAGCGACGCGAGCTGCAGATGATCAACGAAGTGCTTGCTGAGGCGATCATGCGAGAGCAGCGCGCTTTGAGTCAAGCTTCGGATGGCGGGCGACTCAGTCGACCACCGCCGGTATCATCTGCCGAATCCGAAGGCTACTCGGACTCGTTACCACCGCGAATACCCTCACGCTCGTCCAACATCGGGCTCACAACCGGAAGCGTGCCGTCGGCGTTTGCCGCGAGATTGTCTGGGCTCCAGCCTGGTTCACCGATGCAGCTCGGTATACCGCTGTCTACGGGAACGTCGCCCGGTGGTTCGTTCACGAATAAGGCTGCTCAACTGAACATGTTCGCAGGTATCGGAGGCTTAGATTCGGAGAGGAAGCCTCCTGCACAGAGCGGCATTTTTCCCGATCCGGCGCTGGCTGGGTTTCGCGTGGTACGTGATCAAGAGCTTGTATTCCCAGCAGATCCGCTGGATGATTGGTCGTTAGAATATCACTACGGTCCGGATCTTGCAGTCCATATAGCTTCCAATGCCGCTCGAACCACACTTGCTGCTCTAGGTAGTAGTGTTAGCCGACATCAGGCAGAAGCAGAGTCATAGAAGCAATGCAAGACCTTTTCGTGAATGAGCAACACCTTCGTGTGCAACGGATGTTGCCGACCCTGCATCTGCCGCCGCGGTACCAAAGAACTTTCAGGATTAAAGGCGACTGTGCCACAGTCCGCAAGATTTTGAGCTTGACCAGGGGTGTGTTGTTTGGGCTGCGTTTTGAGGATCGATTTTCGTCGGTACTGAGCGAAAGTTCTGTTACCTTGGTCGTGATACAAATGTTATTGAAACAAATAATGCCTTACGGCCGTGCAGGGTAAATGCATATCCACTCGCAGACGCCTCTTAGACTTTTTCGATCGGCCAGTTGGTATCGGCTTCAGCTTCACCTTCTACGCTTCGAGCACCAGAGATCGCCACAACGTTCGCTCACGTCAGCTCTGGGGGTCTCGTCTTCAGCTCCACAAGGCGTCCGATATTGCCTGGAGGCATTGAAGTCTCGATTCACGAACCTCATGCGTGCAGAGCCGCTGGGTGAACTCATCAATACAAAGTTGCTAAAAATCATGACCTCTGTATCACTCGTCTCCTCATTGCTCTGAAGGGCAAACATCTTTTTCCGCCCATCTCCTCCATTCTTCCTCTTCTTCACTTGATCTTCTTTGCGTGGTGGTCGGGGAGAAGAGGATTTGTTCCGTTTTGTGTCGAAACCAGCGAAAACGCGCCTCCAGGAACCTCGACTTTCAAGTCAAAAACTTTACCTTGAATTTTATGTTTCTTCAAGTGAACGCTTTTCTCTATGACCTTCGAAGAGGACCTGCCCGGAAGGAGAGGGACTTGCGGAAGAAAGTTGACAAGTGACCCGACTCGTCACCGTGCTGAAAGCTTCAGCGATTCACCCTGTAGAGCGATCATTACGTCTCGCGGCTTAAAACACTCGTTCGATCGGGTAGAGCTACGATGAGAAAGGAGGAATGACAATCAGCTCCACCCCAATAGATTCGGCAAAAAGCTCAAACACAAGGGGAACGATGCAACACAACTCCGTTCCATAGAGCGATGTCGCCAGACGTTAGGGAAAAGTGTTTAGTGACTCGACGAATCTGTTGTTGCTATTGTTTGAGCCTCAATTATGTTTGAAACTGAGGCGACCGAATGAATACAGTGCAGCTAGAACAGGTGATAATGTCGTCGTTCTCTACCAGCTCAACCTTACGTACAACGGGCTCCCCGCTCCACGAATACCCATATACTTTCCGACCGTTTCATCAAAAGCAAGTCTCATCGACTGAAAAAATCCGACGTACCTGGTCTTCATGCGGATCGTGACTCCCTAGCTACGCTTTGGTTGCGATTTCCCTGAAAGATGCCCCTGGGCGAATTAGAACTCTTTTTTTTGCGACTGTATCCAAGTCTTTCCAGGACCATACGAACAAGCTGGTGATGAACAGAGACACCCGCGATGACTACTATTGTGGCTTTTGCTTTCCTTAAACTAATCAACGGGTCGTTCTCTGCAATGAACGGGCAAGGAGTGTTTGGGAGTATCGGCTTTTTTCGCAGGGCGCGTTTACTTCCTCCCTTACGTCTTCGTCGGCTATCTGAGTACTGTGATATACCTAGCCTAAAGGAGGAATGCGGTCCTCTTTGAACTGTTCAGGAACGAATAGATATCCTAGTAGCAATACGCCATTCATATGTACGGTGCATTGCATAGTGATTCAGATCTCAGGCTATAGAGCGCTGCCAGGGTGGGACAGGATTGATTTGAGGACCATAATATTCTGCAACCGGGTCAGAATAAAATGTAAAGGTTGCTCCTAGCCAAAACAGGAGTCCCCGTGAAAGTTTTGGTTTCTTCCCAGTGTCTTCAACAAGAGCGGCTGCGAACTTTTACCGCGACTGCTTCCTTTGCGTTTCTCATTTCCCATTTTCAGTAGCCAGTTAATTTTGTTTCTCCAGCTCCTTTGCCAGCAGTCGAAGGATTTCTATTGTTGCGCATACGCCACGATGAGACCGCTACCGACTGTTGTCATTGCAGCTCATGCACTTGAAGAAGTTGCGATCTTCGCCTCGTGTACCATAATCATTTTCTTCCTATTCGGCCTCGGTGCACCCTTCGCAGCGATGACACTCGGCTATGCTCAGGTATCCGATTCCTCCTCGAGCCTACTCTTCCAAAGGTCGCGCTGTGACACGTGAAAGCTTGCGTCGTCACTCGCTACATGCCCGCTATGGGTACAGAAGGCTCCCCTGGAAGCTCTTTACCATTTCCGCGTCCTGAGCTGTAACCTGGGATTGAGGGCTTCTTTTGGGAAATCTACTTTGTACAAGCGCTCGGCATGTTGCGTATGCGAACCCACACTGTTCGATTCTGTAGCAGATTTGTGGCATGCGCCGTTGTTCGTGACTGAACAAAACATTGGAAGGAATATCGATGCTGGTCTCCATGCCAAGTACTTCCTATCCGCTTGTGCTTCCGTCGTGAAGAGCGTTGACGCACTCCCCGAAAAAAGCGATCGCCGCCGTGACTGAATTCTAAGCCCTCGACCCTTATTCATGCTTGCAGAAAGGACCGAAACCTCTAAGGACGTATTTCGAGAGATGTACCACGACGGTATCGAATCCCGTATCGTTAATCGTCACGAAGAGGGGAGAGCATGCTTTTCGAACGGAATCGATCACATTACGTTAAATATCAACGAACTTTCGGCACGACCTTTGAAAGTCGTTCTAGACCAGCGTCGTGTACTCTTTGCTCCTCAATCTGGTCGGCCGAATCGCTGCGGGACGAGTTACTTTGAAACAGAAAGACCTATACCAAGAGCAGCGTGTGATTTTAGCATGGTTCACTCAAGGAAAGGGAAGAGTGGACGCTTGCAAGTATGAATCGGCTTGTGATTTCGTTTCTTTCACAAAGTTCTCTACAAGTGCTTAGCAAATGATTTCGATGACGATAATGAAGCTAGGTACAGAGGCAGAGACTCGAATTATCCACTCGGGGAGCTCGACCGAGACTCTGGAAACCACGTGTGGATACGCAAGCAATCATTGATAAAAGGCGAATGTCGAAGCTGTAAGTATAAAAATGTCTGTAAAAACAAAAGGCACAAACGCAGCGAGCAGTTCAGTGTTCTATTTCAGTCTGACGCCGGCATGCGACGCTGAAAGTTCATGCAAGCAGCCTCAGTTTGTGATCCGCCTCAGTCAGTAATCGATGTGTAGCAATATGGTTGTGCATTTTTTGTTCGCAGGAGTCCGTTTCAACAAAACTAGCGCGGAATAAAGATCCTCACTTGGTTCTTGTGCAATGGACTAAATTCCCAAGAGCCATGGTCATCGAACACCTCTTCGACTGGGAATATAAGCAGTTGTTTCTTAACAGAGAGCGGAGCTACTGTCCCATGAAAAGTAAGACTACAGCTGGATGCTGGCGAGCGCCCGAGCGAGCCATGAATCTGGTTCGATCGAAAAGGTAGCTTGCTCGTGCACACTACCTGCTGCACTGGCGACAGAAGCAACGGACGCAGCAGAATCTACGCTTGTTTCGTACCTTCAGCGTTTATTCGCCTGTCGATCAGTGTGCGCTCCCGACGCCGCCACGATCATGTGAAAATTTCACAAGAATTTCTGCTCCGGCAGAAAAATCCCCGCGAAATATATCCCGCCGATACGGCTGTTGCCAAAAAGCTTGCGCATGCTCCATGCCGAGGATGACCAGCTGGCATGCTGTGAATACAGCCAAATGCATGCTGCTCTATGGAGGCCAGTGGGTCGTTATGTACCTCTAAAGCCTCGAAACCTGAAGATATCGACGCTGTAGCGTAACCGGGGGGGGGGGGCGCTTCATCTGTTATCCGCTGCGGGGCGTCTTCTCATCAATGAACGGAAGACCACATAGTTCTGCTGCAACACTGCAAGGGTGCGAAGCATATGGTCTCAAGGAAATCGTTATGGAAAATGAGCTGATGATAAAAGTGATCGTGACGGAGCTCGATAAACCGATGGATTTAGGGTTCGGGTTCCAGCAGACGGACGCGATGGCGGAACCGCGAGCACGCCTCCACACCCGTGTCAGTTGACTGTGGAATCGTAAAGCGCTCGCTCTGTTCCTGCATTTCGTTTATTCCCAACTTTTGTTATTTGCACAGCTTAGACATTCAAGATACAGCAATTATGGCATACGGATGCATACCTAGCTCTGGGATTATTGGTCATATGTTCGGAACGGCTCCATTGAATCTTCGCCGCTAGAATTCAGCAAGTCGCCGCCTTTAAGATGCATCGTGGCGCCGTTGAACAAAGGTTCGTCAAATAACCCAAATGATGATCAAATGCATACGCACAGGCGTCTATGATTCTCTATTCCTTACGAGTAGCATGCTCAAATTGCGTATTACCCATGTTTTGATCTTTTCATTGAACAGCAACTCGTGAATGCAGCAGTTCGTGACGCGAGGTGGAAGAAGGGAAGCATTTGACGTCGATATATAAAGACTCCTTGACTGGCTCATGCCGAACGTACTCTGAAGGTATCGCTTGAAATACCCGACTCCATTCGAATGACAAATCCTTTTCAGTATGTAGCCATCGAGAAAACTGCATTTAAAGGCGGCAGGAAACCTCTCACTGGATACGCTCCCAGAGCCTTCTTTGTTTTCTGTTAGCACGGAACAGTGTCTTGGAATTGAGCCATCGCGGAAATCGTGTCCAATGGAAACTGCACCATAGCTTTGCATCAAAAAAGCATCGAGAGTTCGAAATTCCTGGACATCTACGATACGGATTTTTCTTCCAGTACTTGTATCATCAGAAACAAAATTGCTTTCTATAAATCATCTTCCATTTGGAAAAGAGCAAAGAATAGGAGATGGACCAACTTATGCGCCCCAACGTATTCTTCATGGTTCGACCAGACTGAAAACGTTTTCGGGCTACTATGCGCAGATTCAGAAAGGCAAATGCTTGTTCGAGAGCTTGGATCCTCCTCGAAATGGACTGGTGCTCGACTCTTTTGTTGCGGCGACCGCGGCCCTTGGGATCGTTGACGCTTGTTTGACAATATTCCCTAACGTTTGTGGATTGCTGAATTACGATTATGCATGAGAAACAGAGATGGACAATCCGTAAAGCGTAAGTAGAGACACTCTATCCATCAAGTAGCATGCACATTCTGAGCGCACCCGGCATTTTAGGATAATGATTCTGTGAGAGCATTCAAGAAATCCTAGAGTGTTTGGCACGGAGGTAGATACCGTCCCCAGCAAAACTCGTCACGCTTGGATGTAATACCCAGTTAACCGACGCTCATAGCTTGGGTGTTCTGTCGGACGAGGAGACGCGCTCATCGCTACACCACAACGCAGCGGTCGTTAAGGTACATCCCGGAACGTATTTGCCGTAGCCGAAACATGTTGACAACGTCATAGAACAAGTGCTTCTTCAGAGCATACTCCCGGAACGTACGTACTTCACGCTCATGACCTTGTTCTTCGGGTGTGTCGGAGCCCATGTCAAAATGGAGGACTTATTAGAGGTGCTACAGAAACCGACGGCTTTTCTTGTCCTCAGTCTACCCGAGCACATACCGAATGCACGTCATTCGCTTCCTTCCGTCACCAACCCCGCACGCATTTCGTTTCCCTGCTGAGCGTCTTTGCGATGTCAAAGGCCGCTCTTGATTTGTGAATCAAAACGACTTCGATGGCGCAAAGGTGCACCATGATGTGAAAGTTCTCATGCCAATCCTGAGGTGTTTCAGCGCGCAGCGACACAGGCGGACAAAGGATTCTATGACGTAGAGACCAGCGGGCGATGACTCGATCACAAGGTGCAACGGCATGAGAGAGCTCCTCATGGCAGGAGCTTCGTCGAAGCCCGTCGGCGCGGAGGATGTAGATAGCGCGACACATCTCCGTTGAATGTCCATGGAAGACGAAGATGTGAGGGACAAGACGGATCTGCTGCCGGGGGATATCCCGCCCACAAAAGCGATGATGGTTCTGCATTTGGAGTGCTTTTCCAGTTTTCCATTGGAAGAGTATAATAGACTTTTGCAAACGCGCCTCTAGATCGCTCTGACAAGCGCTTCACTGCGCGTCTTTTTCGATTCGTTCTGGGTTGGCATTCACGCTGAGGTACGAAATTTGCATCAAATGCAGAACAAGAGCGTCGAAGAAGAGGAAGGACTGCTCGATGATATCGAGTTCATGAAGCTAAGTATGCATTTTTGCCCGAAGAATCGAAGGTATGCATGAACTAGGAGACAAACAAGGAGCGACATAAGACAAAGAAAGATGCATATGCGGAGAATAAATGGGCGAACTAGAGGTTTGCGCAACAGCCAGGTGGCGAACTGTGCTCCGTCGAAGTCAATTGCAAGTGGGAATCGTTCGTCAACAACTCGAAGTTCCCACAGATATCAAACTCTTATGAGGGCTAGAAACGCAAGAAGGATCAGAATACGAAACACTCGGACGAGCGGTGAGATTCGCACACGCATGGTCTCGCACAGATTCACCAAAATGCGGTCTACATCGGCCTCGAACGAAGGACTACGTGCGTCTAGATTTGCGCTTCCGTGAGACTCAAATAGCTGGCCGACATCCCTATGGAAACGGCCAACGCTTTGGTGGAGTAACTTTCGATCACTCCGACTTTCATGTGCGGTCGTGAAGCTCAACTCCGCGCCTGTCATAATCGTCCCAGCGGACGGGCACGAGTGAAGGAACGGTCTGGCAAACTAGCGAGCGAAGCAAAAGTGAGTCTCTGGAGCCTACGCCGCATCGCCGCAAGCGGTTGGAAATTGTGGACAAGATTCTCGCATATGGCTAAGTTATATCGATGCCCGTTGCCTGTATGGGTCAGCTTTTTAAGAAGGGTACGTAGAAAAACGAGGAGCGTGCACGGAATCGGATGCTAGAATATCGAGTTGAACAATGTGCAATCACGTGTGCAGCGGACAGAGCACTTACCGAGGGGGCGTCCAAAAGATGCTCGCGATCATAGAATACGGCGTCGGACGCGAAAATGGAGGAGCACATCGAGGAGAGCCCTCTGCGCCCGTAGAGGATTTTCACCGAGCGAGGAAGCAAGCATTCACCTGCCACAGGACGGCGATTGAAGCAGGCAATGTTCTGGATATATGGGTGCTGCTGACCAGAGCCAAATCTCACGCCTACCAACCGCGTATCGAGCCTGTATACATCGAATATGATAATGGTGAGCGAGGCGTAGATCGCAACTTCCGTCTATGCAATAAATCCGGAGAAAGTGGCAAGAAGCTGTGAAATCGGTACTTGCAAAATGCTCCCAATATCGTTCCACGGATGACAATGGTGCTGGAGTAACAGGAGAAATCGGCAAATTTGAAACCCCAAATGTAAGATAACAAAAGAAAACAGTCACAGATAAAACTTTCAAGGTCTGGTGTGGATCAGATGACAAAGAAACCGAATCTTTTGATTGTCCCAAAAGCTGGACAAGTATACCAATAGAGCTACACGACACATCAGAGGGCCAGGGGCCACGCAAACCGAGATCACGGGAGAAACAAGAAGGACTGGACAATCCAGACATCCAGAGGAGCGCGCGCGTGCGCACCCAGTGCGAGGCGTCTTCAGCCTAAGATTCGTCTGGTGATCTCCGTTTACCATGGCTCGCAAGCTATTCGCAGCGTTCCAGAGCTCTATTATCAGAGCCCGATTGTGTGCTCAGTATAAAGCGGCCAAATGCACACTGGCGACGGAGAATAAATCGAAGAAACCGTTGGTCAAGGTACCGGAAGCTGCAATTCAGGGCGCACCGTTGCTGTCGACAACAGGCAGCGGTTCGTTAGTTCGTGTGCAGGAGGCCTGCACGGCTGATGAGGTCTGGAAGGCCGCTCAGGTTTACGCAATCTGTTTCCGCAGTAACGCCACACAGGATTCTGCGCACCAAGTGAAAGATAATCAGTCTTCAGCTGGCGCACCTGAGTCCTTCTACCGCGGCTGGCGAGAAGAGTGGGAGCTCTTTTTGTTGACGCTAGAGGCTTGGCTAGGTTTCCGCTTACGCATGAAGTTTCGGCCAAATAACCACCGACTTTTCATAGCAAAGGCGTCTGTATGCTCGAAAGACAAAGCGCTTACGCCGCGACCGCCGCGCGATAGTCTGCATGCACCAGGGGGCGCTTCGGAGCCAGTTGCAGAGATGGTTGTCGGTATAGTGGAAATGTCGCTCGAACCTGTGCGAGTCCAGGTGACGTCATTCACGGCCGCGTTGCTTGATCTTCTCGAACGTATAGCGGGTAAGAATGTTTCCGGACGCGCACACGGCCGCAATTGTAACCAGGGAATCGTGCGGCGCGTGTACTTGTACAACCTTGCGACGCATCCGGACTATCGTCGACGCGGCATTGCCCGATATCTATTGGCGCAGTGCGAGTCGCAGACCAGAGCGTGGCAGCATCGCACAATCTATCTCCACGTAGAGAGAGAAAACGCTGGGGCACTCTCTCTTTACAAGCGAGCGGGCTTTCGAGTGATCACCGCAGAAGCTCGTCAACGTTCAGCGAATGCCCCATGTCTGCTCGGCAGATGGGTTGGCCATAACAGGACTCCTTGAAAAGCAGGATGTGAAACGCGAACCATGAGTCGAAGCGGAGCGCATTGCGAGGGCAAAAGCCTGCACAGCGGTGCAAAGCGCTTTTCAGATCGCATCCACAGCCTGTTAGACACTAATTTAGGGCGTGACCTCCGGCTCCGCACCGTATGTGCAACGGCTCGCTCGCAATTTTGAGAGTTTTAAAGTATTTCCGCGTTCAATCCCCTGGCCCAGGCCTAGCACGCGCTTGCTCCAGCACAAAGACCTGTTGCAGCAACTTGGTAACCATTTTCATCCGAAGTATGCCCGCTCGCATCTCTGGTAGAGTGCCATAAGGCCGCCCAGTACTGAGCAGCGTTCTCTATTCCTGCTTTGGTCGCTCTGTGCGGTTGGACTGGTTCTGAAGCAGCCACAAAGTACCCCAGAACGCCAAAATATGGATAAATAGCAAGACTGCCAGCAATATCCAAACACCGTATCGGAACTGCCGCGCCCAGCTCGGGAACGCCTCCCGCCAGTCCGGCCAGGGAGTCATCAGGGTTTGAAGGATATCGATGCTGCACCTCGCGGAGAAGCAAACGACGGAGCGCGCTGCGCCAACGCGTTTTCCACCAAGAAATCTTCACGCTGAGATGCAGCGCGAGGAACCACTCTTTTGCCGCCCCGGATAAGCACCTGGAGCCGCGTCAGGTAACCCTTTACTTGAGCTCGTGAGAGGTACCTTGTAAACGCTGGGTAGCTAGACGAAACGCCACAAAACCTTTTCTCCTATGCAGGATTGGCGCCTTGCGTTCGCAGTGTGTGTGCCAGAGGCAGTCGTACAGTATCGAGCCCATCTGGGAGCGTGCATCTATGCGCCCCGTGGAAACACCTCGATGGTCATCGTGGAATCGATGATCCCTGCTTGATTTAAACGAAATTGCATCCCATAGAAACGCTATTATGATTATCAGCGAATCGATGATCCCTGCTTCATTTAAACGATATTGGATCCCAGAGAAACGCTGTTATGATTATCAGCGAATCGATGTCTCGGGCTGGGTTACTCCGGATCCACTGCTTTTGCCTACAACCCGGAAATAGACCACGCCTCCGCCCTGAATATGAGGTATTTTCTCTAGTCCTAGAGAAGCGCTCTCATAGGGGGTAGAGGCTGGATTGCTCTAGCGACCCTGCACGAACAAACATGCCTCAGACGCTGGATTCGCAGCCACTGCTACCGCCGCCACAAACTGATCACAAAGGCGAAAAAGCAGAGGTATTTCCCGGCCAAGCCACTGTTCCAGTGTGCGGCGATGGTTAGAAAGCTCTTTAAGATGTGGAATGAATACAGCAATTCATATCCACATAGGTTCGCCACTGATGCTGGTGGCCAAATCCTGAAGTCCATCGCTCCAGTATACAGCGGCTTTTGCGTTTCACGAACTCCAAACACGTCTCGGGGTCGTGAATAAGGATACGATTAATGGATCCACCAGTGGCTACCAGGGTTTTGTGTTGCATATGAGTGTACACCCGGACAGCGCGCGCCAGAGTCCGTCAGCTCTACCGCTGCATCTGCTGGTAGAGTAGTCCAGTAGCTTGGCCCTGTGCTGTAGCCGTGGCTGGTGTCCTTATGAGCGTCCCATGATGGTTGGGGAAGCAGGTGCGCTCCCAGCTTTGCTGAATACACTGAACTCACGGATATCTAGTTCTAGATACCTCCGACCCCATCGTCGTGGCAGAAGAAGGCGACACAGCCTGGATCGATCAGAGCATACCGAAGGGTGGCTCGGTGTCGCCGTTCGCTGTTTTGCGACAAACGCAGTGCTCGTAACGTTTCCTGCCTGCACACAGCTTTTGGGAAAAACATGAACATATGGGTATTTCTTGGTTGCCCGACACTCGTGCTACCCCGCTAGGCGGTAGACGCGACCTTCGTCATCATCGGTGCCCGTCCAGGTCCGCTCGAAGAGATACTGACGGGTGCGGCTAAAATTCAAGCCGATCGAAGTACGTGATCGACTCGCGCCCGCATGGGGCGTCTCCTGTGCCTCCGAAATTTCCCATATGCCACTCGACTCCTCGTCTGCGTCGTTATCCACGTTTCCATGCATAGCGCTAACGTCAGAGCTGGATACGGACGTGGGTAGCACCAACTCTTCCGCATCTCCGTCAGAGCGGATCGCCAAGCGTTGCTGCCTACCCAGTCGCATCCACAGCTTTCCGAGCGTCTTCGCTGAACGAAATGCTTTCAAGTCATGCTCTCGGTGACGCTGAATACTGCTGCCAGTCGTGGATGTGATTCCGAACGCCTGAGCAACGGCGCTGTTCTGATCGGTGCGACCGCTATACGGGCGACGCTCCGTCGGAGACCGCTCGGCCCTGTCCTGGTCAACTGTTCCAATCCAGGCAGGCATCGAGTATGTCCGCTGGACGGCGAGAGGTGGCACAGCAACTTCACTGGCTCTTGCGTGAGCTAGAGGTGAGCGTCGTCCCAACCCGTGCCTGGACCCCGACCTCCATGGGCTGCGGCGGGTCGCTCTGTTGGCGACCACATCGCCATGGTGCTCCCCCCAGAAATACACCTTGTAACCGGGAACGAACGCGTTCTCAGTGGTCAGCTTCGCCCTAGCCATCGATTCAGTGGAGGTTTGAACCATATTGGCAAGATGCTGGGCCTGGGGGCGATTATCACCCGTCAGCGCAGCGTACAAATTCTCATCCGCTCGTAGAACATCCTCATCTACAGGTTCAAAATCCGCTGCTGGTTGCTTTGCCGGCTCCAGCGGTGGAACCACTTGATATCGTAAGAATTTATCCACATCAATGCCAGGCTGATCATCGTCCCTCATCATACTAAGCAGTGTGGGTGACACATTCCCGCGTTCCGTGAGCCACCGTCGAGAGACCCCAGAGAAGAACGGATGTGCCAAGACCTCGTCGACGTCGTCAGCTGTGCCGCTGGCCCCGCTGCCGAGCCTAGTCCGCGGATTTCGATCCATAAGACGACGCAGGAAATCCTTGCATACCGCACTGGCCCCGGTCATGTAACCACCTTGCCACGCTGGCTCGGAGCGTTCGTCCAGAATCATGCGATAGACCTCCCGCTCGGTTGGCGCGTAATAGGGCGGTGTACCTGCCAGCAAGAAGTAGGCGAGAATGCCGAGTGCCCACCAGTCGACTTGACGGCCATGGCGTTCGCCTCGCAGCACCTCTGGTGCCTGGTAGATCGGTGTGCCACTGCGATCAGTGCAGCCGTCGGCATCGCGACCTGCCAAGCCAAAGTCCGTTAGACGCACATGACCTCGGCTATCGATAAGTACATTCTCCACTTTGAGGTCGCGGCAGACATAACCGCGCGCATGCAAATGCCCGAGTGCCAGCGCTAACTCAGCGACATAGAAACGAAGTGCGTCCTCTGGAATGCATCGGTAGCGCTCTAGTAGGTTGTACATGTCGCCTCCGCTGACATACTCGAGCACCAGCACCAGCGCCTGGCGAGTCTGGTACCCGGCCTCGACTTTCACGATAAATGGGTGTGCCCCGCAGTTGCGCACTATTTCAAGTTCCAGCTGGACGTTGCGTTCCTGCCCGCGTTGCCGCACACGTTGCAGCGACATGACTTTGACGGCATAGAACTTGCCAGTCGCGCGTTCGCGCACCAATACCACGGTACCGAGCATCCCCTGGCCAAGAAATCGCACCAAGTCGCAAGACGGAAGGTTGAAGATGGTCTCTGCCGCCTTGGGCTTTAGCGGGTGTCCCCATAGCTGCTGTTGCTGCGGTTGCTGCGGTTGCTGCGGTTGCTGCTCGTGCTGCTCGTGCTGCGAAGTGGAAAGTGCGTTCCGGCTCACGCTATGCAGTACGAAGGTTGTAGCTGCGGCTGCGGAGCGAACGTTTCCCTGAGCACGCTCCTCAGGGCTCGTCCTGCCTCGAGGTTGCAGCGTTAATTCAGGGACCACTCTCGAACGAGGCCGTTTTTTCGTACTGGATTCCTCCGAATCACTCCAACAGACACCCATGAGACGGCCTAGTGCCTCTGAAGAGTATTCTAAAGGTCGGTTGCAGGCTGTCGAGCTAACGGTGTGTCTGGTGCTTGGTATCTGCAGTGCGATCGCCCTGCAAAACTGGCGGTCTCCCTAGTGTTCACAGCGAGACTACAGCTTGTTTCTCAGGACGTCCAAGTGCAGGTGATCCTGCTTCGAACTGTTCTGTAGCTCTGCGCCTGCAGCAGCAGTTGCTTCTGTCCATACGCAGCAACGGTGGCTTGTCGCGCCGGAAACGAGTGACGTCGTTACGAATCGGTTACGAGAGGTCCCCTAGCGCTCTAGCTGCTTATCCTGAAGTTCATCGACTGCAACGATACCTTTTTTGCACTGGAAACGGTTAAGGGAGACTCCAAACGAGGCAGCGAGTTCGTGGACCTCGCATAACGATTGATGCGACACAGTCTCGCTGCGCGATGCATCTTCTCACGACTGCTTATTCCTACTGGTGTGACACTTTTATAGAAGAACAAGGCTGCGTTTGGCCCCAAACGCTCGCTTCAACTTCCAGATTTGAGTCGATGATGCTTTCGAGCGTAAGCGAACCTTGGACGCGTGTCTAGTTGCGTTCTCGCCCTGGAGCACGACTCGAGGCTGTACAGCAGGTTTCCATCGCACAGGTTGAGTGCATAGCAGCCGCTGAAAGGAAGCGCCAGCCTCTGCACAGATCGTCTGCAGTGCTTTTGAGACGCCCGGCGCACAGCCATAGTACCTGCGAAAATGGCTGCGCGTCCTCAGGGAACACGGTATCACTGCCGTGTTCCGCAACGAAATCAAGTCTCAGTACGGGAGGAAACGAACGTCGTTCCGAACCAACTTTACCTTTGCCGTGATAGAGCGCACTCACGTGAGCTAAATGTCGAAACGAGCAACGTTTCGGTTCAGGATGGTCACGATCGCACCACGGGGTCCACCTTGCGACCAGTTAATTGTTCGTAGATCTCACGAATCTTCAAAGCGATGATCGTCTGGAATAATGCTGTTCCGTTGTAGGCTCCGGGCGTGTTCTGCGCTGCCAGCATGAGCTGGGTGAGCTCACCATAGTATTTGGTACCGGTGTTTGACAGATGTGACTCAATGTAGACGAGCTCCTCGAGCTTGGCAAACTCGCCGTCCACCTCAATGGTCGAAAAGTCTGCACCGTAAAAGCTCTCGGGGCCGTAGTGGAACTTGATGCCAGGGTAGGAGCAGGTCAGACGTCGTCCGCATGGGATCCATTCGATCGTCGATCCTTCATCAAAGAGGTAGGCGGTCTTGAAACCTTGCACGCCTTCGCGTTGCAAGAGGCGAACTTTCAGAATCTTCCGTTCTTTGTCCTCTGGTATGAGCTCGGTTGGCTTCACTTGGATGACGGCATCCGCATACTGTCGTTGCGGCAAGATAAACCGTTCAAAATCGGGTTTGCGGGCCTCTATAGATGCAAGGATGGCCTCCAGTGTGTGGCCACGCTCTGCCATATCACGCTGGATCTTCCACGCGATTTTCACTTCATCATCCAGGTCGAGGTATACCGAGAAATCCAGCAGTTTGCGCACTCGTTCATCGTACATGGGGTGTAGACCCTCGACAACCACGATGTGGTTCGGAGAAACGAGCTCGGGTGGATCGATCCGCCCGGTCTCATGGTTGTAGATAGGCTTCATGATATCGAATCCATTCTTGAGCGCCTCAAGCTGCTCTGCCATCAGGTCAAAATTCTGGCAGTTTTCATCCAAAGCCGTGATGTTATCCTCTTTGCGGCCCTGGCGATCGCGATTATGCCAATCATCCAAGCAGATAACCGTGATAAGCTCACCCTGCGGCGTATGACCTTTGGGTATATCGGAGCCGAACATGCGCATCACACGGCGCAAGAAGGTAGACTTGCCCGCCCCAGAGTCAGCCGCAACGCCGACCATCACTGGACGCTGAATGTTTTTGCGCTGAAGCGCCTCCGACTTGACAGCACCGACGGCAGCTTCTTTGTGGACGCCTCGCGGTGCTTTCTCCGCATAGCGCGCTTTCTGCATCGTCGACGTTTGCATGTGCAGCCATGTCTGTCGTGTTGGTTTGGGCAAGCGTGTACTGCGCAAAGGCGGCACCGCGAGAAACGCGCGAGTCCTCGCCACGCTTACCATAGTGTCACCGCGAAAGCGCGAGCTCTGAGCCCCTACACCGCAGACCGGTGGCCGCTCCCGCACCGCTGTTGTTCGCACAGCTCCAGCAACGTTAAAGCCCAGCACCATTTTGCGCTTCAATTTAAGTAAGGAATGTTGAAACAAATTACCTCGACACACACAGACACGGACCACGCCCTCGAGCGGTAGGCCTATCGCGCGTTTGGGGATATCGACACCAACACGCCAAGTGTCTACGGGATCGTCCAAGGCGCTGCGCAATTCGCTGCGGCTCGTTGTGTGCGTGCTCGCTGCGGCGCCTTCCGTCGAGCATCGACGGAGGCCAGACGCGCTCGCCTGCGATCGCATCGCCCGTCGTCGACGTGAGGCCGCGCGCATCAATCGCCGGCGATGTAGAGATCTTAATCATTTAGGGTTCATGTATGCCATATAGGACTTCGTGATGCTGCTGCGTCTGCGCATACGACTGTGCAAGCATACAGATCATGATGGCGATGATCATGCGCGGGGGCATTCTTTTCCCAGCTGCGTGTGCTGCAGTTGCGTATGCGAGCGCGGGCACGCACTAGAAGGACACGCAACCTGGATGGATGCGCATGGATATCGAACGATCGGGTGGACGTGCTGGCCTTGGGTACCAGGGCATGTGCGCGCTCAGAGGACGCCTTGTTTGATGGATGCAACGTACGATAGTAGACTGATGGTATGTGTAGTTGAGTGCTTGTGCATTGACGCATTGTGAATTTATTAGGTTTCCTGGTGAGGCAATTGCGGTTTCAGCTACTGTTCATGCGCTTGTCGCACATCTACGTGCACCTGCAGGATAAAAAGCGAGTCTTCGAGCATGATGTAAAATCGAGTGCCTACATTGCCGGCAGATCGTCGGGAGCTTCCCGCCAGACTGCTCTGGTCGGTACGCGGAACCCTTGCCAAGGTTTCCAGCACATCTCTTGCTTTGGTTCGCTTTTGAGGCGATCAACACAAATTCCAGGATGCCACAGAGTGCTAGCAACGAAATCCATATCGGTGCAGCGAAAGCGTGCTGTGCGCGTGCCACGGTATGCGTTTGGAGGCCATTTCGCTCATCTCATAGTGATGGCGATCGCAACAGTGCCTTGCAGGCTAGGGCGAGTGTTTGGTGGCGTTTCTGTGCAGGCGTAGAGATAAACCATTTGGGATGAACTCAGTCGCTGAAAACATGAAGTGAATGACTGCATAAAACTGACGTTTACGTTCGCTTTTCAGTTCGTGCAAACTGCGAATCCCGATACCATGCACTCGGCTTTCGGTATATGACACCGTGCTGGGCAACGTAGCGTTGCGGACGTTGCGCATCGGTTACGCTTGCGGTTGCCCGGTTCGGGGAACAGGTCCCTGAGGACACGGTGCAGGCTTCACGCTTGACGCAACGAGCGCGGTACGGCGTTCACACCAGTCGAAGCAATAGCGTTGTGCGTCGCCGACGAGTGCATCAGTGGGTTTGTCACACGCCGCGCGCTATCGAACTGCAGCACGTGGATGTACGCTCCCTGCCGCGAGCATCGATTCTGGACAAGAATGAGGGTGTTTCATACCCCGTCCCGCTGCGTACCGCTGCCGAACTGTTGTGGTGTGTTTGTCCAGGGATTGCTGTTGACAAAGTTGCTCACATGGAGGCCTGTATGCGCGCGATGATCCGCATCGACGGCGAGGATACTGCAGCTTGCGCTGGGGATCATGCGTCTCCTGTGCAACCGGAGCCTATCCCATGTTACTGACGTGACCTCAGTGCGCAGCCCATGCGACGCCTACACTGCTGACTGCGTTGCCAGACTATGTATCGTGAATCCAGTGCGCAGCGTATGCGACGTGGTGTGCACCACGGGCCGAGCGCTGCTGCGGACACGCTTTGGACTTGCGTATCGGGCAGGATCGCCTCCGCCCGAATGCATACAGGTCGCTTGCAGCGCAAAATGAACCGTGTCCGGTACAGGTTGCACAACCATGGTGCCCAGATGGGTGTCACGAGCGTTCATAACCTGTCCAGATCAACGGCATGCCACGTTCAAGCTGGTTTTGGTGTCCGCGAGTCCCTGCTCTGTGAGGCAGCAGTCGCGCGCTCCTTCGCTACGACGCCGTTGGACGCTCAGGGCGGGACGCACGTCCCCAGAAACCGCGATAGAGCCGCTGCCACCACCACGGTGAAGAATCGTTGGTCTGCCACTCGAGCACCTGCACTACATCACCGACACGAAGAAGCTGTCCAGATCGCCGTGGGTATTCCGGTGCCAAATTCTGACCAAATATCAGCCCAAGGGGTTGTTTGCGAAAAGTTTCTAGGGTGCGCAGCGGCTCCCGAAATGCATCATCTACCCGGCCGGTATCCTGATCTGTCGTCGTGATTCGGCAACGACTGCAAGGCTTCGCGACTAGAAGCGTGACCTGCTCTCCGATTTGGATTCGTTTCCAGGTGTCCTCCTCGAAGGGCTCCAGAGACCTGCGCTGCACTGCTGAGACTCGTTCCTCATTGAGCGGCAGCGCGTCAATGACAATATTTGGTCTGAAGCGACTCATGGGCACTTGGTGGGCCACCCCAGACTGAGAAGCTATTCGTCGGTTTAACTCCGCAAGCGACTGCATCGAGGTTAGCAATACGGGAAACGCGTCGGCAAAGCCCACCACGCTGTCGAATGACGGCGACAGGAACGCCCGCTCCGGGTCAACAGTCCGCTCGAACGTCGCCGGCATTCGGTAGATATGAACTGGATACGACAGTTGATCGTCCAGCGCAGCAGCGAACCAGTCTTCACCGCCAAAGTCGATTGCGGGTACGATGTCGCTCCAGATGCGCACTTGAGTGTCGGCGGTGCGTTCCTTGGACACCTCCAATGGCAGCTCCAGCGGCTCCAGCTCGGGTCTTACCTTCGAGCGCACCCTCAAGGTGCTGCTCTCGAGGTCGAGCTCGGGAACAAGCTGGCATAGCTGCGGCTCTTGTCTTTGAGACACGAAGCGCGCCGTACGGCCTCCGTCCTCTACCCCGGGGCGACCGATGACGTAGAGCCTATCGTAAGCCAAACCCGTAAGACTGAGCGCGCTCTGCTCTATGGCGATACCTCGACACGACTTTATGGGGTACACAAAGAGTCCAGTAACGACAGCTCGCGTTTCGCACCTCATCCTAGTACGCTGCGCGTGTGTGCCACGAAGTCAAGTCAGTAGAGCGGAAAAGTTTCGCGACGATAGGTTAAATGACTATCTGCTCACAGACGCTTTCCAGTAAAAATTGCCAGCCCCTGCTAGCGGTTTCAGTCTATTCCAGCGTACCTCGAACCTGGGACATTGCCCGATAGAGTTGCTTCGCGTCAGCTGCGCGTATCATCTCCAGCAACGCACATCTCCTGATCATGATGGCGGCGCTGAAGACTCGGTTCAGAAACTCCATGCATTTCTTGCCGCTAGCTGAGTTCATCAATGCAAATAGTCCTCGAACTCGTGCCATCCGTCCCATTTGCGGCTCTGCCAGCAGTCCATGCTTTTCTATCGCAGAGGCGCTCGGCTGTCTTTTCTCCTTCTCGACCTTCTGGTGTGTTCCCGCCCCCCTCCCTCGCAAGCTCATCCCTTGGACTTTTTATTTCTTCAAATGAACGCACCTATTGGTGTCTTTAGTTGCGGAGCTTCCCTGAAGAAGAAGGACTTGCGGCCGAAAGACGAAATGTGCCCGGGTGTGTCACTGTGAGCTGAACGCTTCTGCGATTCTTCCAGTGGAAGAGCATTACCTTCCACGATAGAAAACACTCCTAAGAAACTGTCGAACCACGGAGAGCACAGATGAACGAAATTCAATTCTTCTCCGATAGCTTCATCAAACGGTTGTACGCAAGAAGAATGGTTGAATACCACGTTGTTGAAGAGAAGGCCGTGGCCAGACGCGAAGGAAAAGTCTTCAATGATTCGACAAAGTGATTGGTGCTGTTGTATGAGCTTTCTCTAGGAGCGAAACTGAGGTCGCCAAATGAATTCAGTGCAGCTAGAGCAGATGTCGACGTCGTCGTCGCTCTCTTCGAGATTGATCGTAAATATAACGAGCTCCCTGCTCCGCGCATACCCGCATATGCTCTTGCCGTTTCATCCGAAGAAAGTCCCATCAACTGAAAAAACCAACCAACGTACCTGTTCTTCATACCGTTCGCGGCGTTCGAGGAACGCTGTCGTTGCGATTTCGATGCAATGTAGCCGTGCATGAATGAGGGCTCTTCTAGGCGACTGCACCCCAGTTTTTTTAGGATCACGGGAACAAGCTCTTGAGAAACAGGGACTCCGTGGTGGCTACCATCGTCGCTTTTGCTTTCCGTAATGTAATCAACAGGTTGTTTTCCACAATTGGCCGCGTTCACGCTTTGACAATGACAGTTTTTTTGCGGGGAGCGCATATACTTCTTTCTTCCAGCGTTCTTCCACGGTCTGAGTACTGCGGTACGACTGACCAGAAAGAGAAGTGCAGTCCTCGTTGCACCGTTCAGTAAAGAACATATACTAGAGGCAATGCGTCCTGGATCTGTGCGGTATATTGCGTTGAGATTTTGATCTCGTGGTATACGACACTTCAAGGATGATACGTACTTGAGTTGAAAGAGTATAGGAACCTGTAGGTGTTCGAGCGCTTGAGGTTACTACACATAGCCACCCCAGACATTCCTTGTTTGGATCCAGGATTCTTTACACCATCAATGGAAACCTCTAGACATGCGTGGACTCCATGTACAGTTTGCGTTTCCGTCGACAGAGTCTTCGCTCGTGAACAGGTGCGTCATTTCTTGGAGCAGCCATATGATCGAATCACAGAGGCCTCTATCATTTTCCTCTGTAGCTTGAGCGCCACCAGAGGAAATCTGGTTGGGATCATGGATCTTATACCGTGGAAAAAGTCAGAGGAACGTGTTAGAAACTGAAGCATGAGCCCTTGTGGTGAAGGCATGCGCCCGTGATCTCGTGCGCATCTGGTCGAGATGCCGCTCCTGTTCCAGTGTTACGGTATCTGCTATTGGATATCTCTTTTTAAGGTGAAAATATCACTGTGCCGAGAAGGCGGAAACGCGCGATCATTTAATGTCCACTTTTCATCCATGAAAGTTCTTCCATGAAGCTATCGATTTCCCGTCCATTCCTACCGCTTGTTCCGTCGCATCCAATACCAATATAGTCCTTTAGCATCAGCAGCAGTAGCAGAAGAAGAAGAGTGAGTAGGACACAAACAACAACTCCCTCAACTATAGCGCACGTGCTGCTGCTTGTTACGCTCTATTCCTTGTGAACGGCGGACAGGTGGATGCACACGTTCGACGTGACGGGGTATCATCGTGAACAGCTACATATATACAGGATGAGCGATGCGACTTGCGCAAGGACCTCCCCGGGCCAATCGCTAGAAGGAGCGTTACCGGACCGCTCGTAGCGTACCCTCTCGAGAGCGAGCTCGATCTCGGCAATCACGTATACCTCTCAATCCAACAGCATATACACCGCTTCTTCTGATAAGCAACGCATACGCGATGCCCATGGCTTACCCAAGACTGCAAAACTAGATCATACTGCTCGGGGAGAGCGGTCATCGAAAAGACCCATATGTGCTCGAAAGGCGCCTCAAATTCATGTCATACCACGTTCGTTACCGAACTCCAATCATCCTCCAGATCCAAAAGCCTTCGTCTAGCAGAACTCGCTATCGGAGACGCCCCCACGCTTCTGCAAACAATCGAGATGCATTGAATGCTCGTGAGGCGATCGACACGGCATTCGTTGAATAGAAATTAGGAACGCCACGACTCTGAGCATCGTACGCGTGATTGCGTGTCTTGTGAACAGGGCATTCGCCGAGAAGCAGTTGCGAACGTAACCGGGTGTATTTTCTCACTCGTGAGTGCGTGTCTAGTGAACAAGGCGGCTGGTGGACGTCAGCGGCATGACAGACGCGCTCGAGGCGCTAGCGGCGCTCTTTCCGCAACGCAGTAGAAAGGAGCTGGAGCTAGTGCTTGAAGCTCATCGAAACAACGTGGAGCGGGCTGCGGCTTATCTCCTGGAGGAAGCGCATGACACGGGGCATCTAAGCGCTGTCAACCTTTCCGAACCGGAAGAAGGTAACTCTGAACCGCAGAATGTCGAAGAAGTGTTGCGGGACTGTGACCTAGTACAGTGCACGTCCGGGAGCGTGGATAACGACGCGGAACCTGTAGCAGGCACAGACGACAACGTTGTTGACGAGGACGCCCTTTTAGCTCGCCACCTACAAGCAGAGTTCGATCGCGAGTGGGCAGTCGCACTTAGCGTTCGAGAGCGCAACCGAGACGGATTGGGGTCGCGCGGAACCTCCTCGCCGCCTACGCCTGGCGAGCAGCATCGTGGACCCCAAGAAACGGACCGATCGCTGAGCACAGATGTGCGAGAGGTGCTTGATCAAGCCCAAGAAACGATAAGCCACTGGTGGCACGGCGTCAAGGACACGGTGCAGTCCTGGGTCGGTGAGTATCGTTCAGCGTCTCGCTCTACTCGTGCACCGCCTCAGGAGGATCCCTTTGTTGGGCCACCGCATAATTACGCCATCCCCGAGGTTATGAGCGAGGAGCACTCCGAAACAGCACCAGAATCATCCGACGCCTCGGAGCAGGCCTGGGATCGCCCACAGCATGATGTGGAGCCCCGGCTGGCCATGACGCCACGCCCGCGCCTAGCAGCATCCAAAGATAGCCGCACACTGGTACCTCCATCCTATACCAAGAAAGATTTGTAGTCGTTATACTCAGACCAGTGAATTCTGGAACACGTGTACAGCACGCGCTTTTCGTTTTGGTTTGTCTTTCTCGCAGGGTCCCAAGAAAAGCAATGCATCCTGTAGATTAGAGAAAAGTCGCAGAATGACTTGATGCTGCCACCGCTGGCTTGCGAAAAACGACCTCAATTATGCAAGTCAATCTTGCAAAGGTAAGCACGTGGATGGTGGATTCTTTTTCTTGTCCATATTCTGAACGTCGTGCACTCGACACGTAACGCACCAAACGCTACGTCCACGGCAGTCTCGTGATGAATCCTCTCCGTTCGTTACGCTCTCTGAGAGGTACCGTCAGAGAAGCCACAGGATGTAGTGTTTCCATACCATTTATACAGCGGTGATGGAGAGACGCGGATTGACAGTGGAAGACGTGCGCTTGTATGCGATAAATTCGCGCCTTGAAGAGCACACGCTATCGATATAGTACTGAAACACGAACGCTTCTTTCAGCTGGGACGAGTGTTCTTCTCACTCGATGAGACTGCATTCGGGAGAAAAGATAGACCTGCGCATGAGTGGCCAAAGAGAGACAAACCGCCGTTTTTTAAAGAAGACGCAAGCGAGCATTCCGACAACATTAGAGCTGGCGGCGATTCAAGTGTTTCGTCGCAAATGACTCGGCAAACGGACAGAATCGTCCAACATCTCATCCTTCGACGACGCGTTTCATGGCCTCTCCTTCCTAAGCTCTTGTGTCATTCTCATCGACTGCGTTGCTTCCTGTCATTCAAAAGCGGTCAAGGAGTACACACCTGAGACTGGCGGAGAGCAGCTCGTTTCCAAGATTTTCCTGCTGTCTCAATCGAGTCGACGGCGCTGTCGTATTTGTCAAACACCATTTTCACGCTCAGGGACTAAGGGACGGATCCTTCGCATTCGTGATGCCATTCTTTGATAATTCTTCTCAAGAAAAGTCGTTCTCGATGCTCATTAGCTGACAACTGCTCTGTTGCTGCTCTTCTCGTTCGCGGGAGGGAGCGAAAACGTGCGATTCAGTCCGCTGATGTGCTCGGCAGGGTAACGGTAATGAAAACATATTCGAGGGATAGTCGATAGCACGAACTTAGAAAAGGAAGAATTCCGGGCACGCTCTACACCCAGACCATCTGAATTCCGATGGTACAGTGGGAGATGGGTGCAGCGACCGCAGCCATCTCACCCGGAGAAGCACAGGAGAAGGCATAGAGTCCACCATACAATGAAGAGCAAGTTCTTCTTGAATGAAAGGACCTTGCGTAACAGGAGACAAAACCTGTCGGAGCAGAAGAATCAGTCTGAGGCTATTGCTGAAGCATCCCTACGAAAACATGTCAATAGGAAGAATATTCCAAACAACGTGAGATGCAACACGCCGTCCCAGATTGCATAGCTTCTTTCTCAAGCAAGCCACGCCCAGCTGCTCTCCGGTTGACGTACCTTGCCAAGCAACTGCTTGTAGGAGCTCCGGACGCAGCGCTGCTAGTTGTCCATAATCCTCTGGAAGGGTTTCGATCGAACCTTCGTTTGACAATTGAAGGCACGCTCGGGACACAAGATGGAGCGCGGCCTGATCGCAGGTTCAGAGACTTGAACACGGCCTTCATGGAGTCTCTTGATGCGCCCCCTGTTACTTCAGCGATCGGAAGATCCAGAGCACAGCTCCCGATAGGATCAAACCAACCTCAATAAGCCCTAGCGTACGTAGGTTAATTTTGAGCGCTACATGAGGCGCACCCTTTTGGCGTTGGACCCGAACCCTGGTAACCCCAGACCTGGGGGACTGGCGGAAGCGATACATGGGCGTCGATGGAGACAAACGACGAAATAGTGACTGAGGAGATCGCGGTGGCAGCAGGTTCGGAAGAGACGCTGCAAAGTTCCCGAGAACCGTTTCAGATGGTCGATGTTTGTCGTGTGCATCTCGGCCTCGGACGGATGGATGTGGTATCCGAAGAATTTGCGAAACACGATAACTGACTTCATTGCATCTTGGGATAACATGCGGTCTTGAATACAGCGCTCGAGCGCGAAGCAGATTTCCTTCGCGAATGCGAGCCCCAATGCTTCCTCAAGCGCCTCTTCAATGTGGTTGTCATATATCGCTTCAAAGTGCATGATATCCCCTAGACGATTCTGTGTTTATAAGCTATTCTGTTTGGCCTGGTCTCGGCGAGCGAGCACGAGGCTTTCGAATAAATTCACAGCGAGCGTTGGATGAGCGCTTTCGATTTTCCTCGCCAACACTGAGGCATGCGTTCTCACCTGGAGCAAGGCTCTGGAATGGTGCGGCTCGAGCGCCGAATGCATAAACCAAGAACGTATTTCCTGGGCAATTATAGAAAAAATGATTTTCCATCACTCGATATGACTGCGTATACGTGAAAAAAAGTGAACTGCTCGCGCGCGGCTTTCGCACGGTACGTGACTCAACACCAGGAACCTGGGCTAGCCGAAGAGCGAAGCAGCGAGAGCGGTATCGCTTGCTATGCTGGTGGATGCACGCCCGACCTCGTTGGGTGCCCTCGGGGTTTTATCCTGCGTAGGCATGCTCGAAATACGGGCGTTGTCCCACATGCGGACACTAGCCAAGTGCGTCTGTAGCTGTCAATGTACGCCTTGCCGCACAGATTTAACACCCATGTCAGATTAGTATGGAACAGGTAAACTCAGCTTAGTCGAGCGCAGATGCGAACGTTGGGGTCTCTTCACATCAGCATCAACACGAGCCTTGGCGGGCAGTTTCTGCAACTGCTTCATTCTGCTGCGTATTATATCCGGGTTTAAAAACAGCTATCTATACTGTTTGTCACTCTTGATTGTAAGCAGTCGCAAGATGTTGATGGTAGCGTCAAAGTTCTGATGATGCTTTTTCAGGTTCTGGTTCACGCTTTTCATTCAAGGGCAAACGTTGCGATCTACGCATCGTTTTCAACTTTCTTCTTAGATGTATGGAGCCTCTGTGCGTTTTTCACAACGATCACGATTCACTATAGTCGGGTATTCCCGTGCGGCCACTACATCTTTTTCTCCGAAGTCAGTTCTGTGGTGCGTGAACGCCTGCTTCATCGCTCGGTTCATGGACTTGACATGTACAGAAGGCTCGCCTCGATGCCTTCCTCCGTTGCCATGTCCGGTGCCTTATCCTGTGACAACGGGTTTGCTCTGGGTGATGCCATCCGCGAGAGCTTTGTCCGACGCACTTGCATGCTGTTCCATTTGACAGAGGATTTTTGGGCGCGATGATGTCCATAACGAAACAAGTACCTTACTGAGAATCCAGATTACAGGAGCAACCAAAACATCTCTACCGATCTACGCTTCTTTCGTGTAAAACGGTCACGCACGCTGCACTGGAAGCAATCGCTGCGATGACTCAAGTACAGGTCAACGACCCTTTCCCACGCAAACCTGAGGAGACTTGACCCGCTTGGAGCATATGCCGTGAGCGGTATCTCACTGCTGTTGAATGCTGTTTCGTTGATGGCGACAAAGAAGAGCGGATTCGTTTTTCAAACGGAATCGTTTCTTTGGCGCGACACGGTCAGTGAACGTATAGCACGAGCTTGTAAACAAGTCATCAAGGCTCACGTCGAGTTTTAATCGTCGTCAATCCAGTGGCGCGAATGACTGTGATCGCGAGTTGCTTTGAAACAGACAGATCGACAAGTTCAAGAATGGGCGATTTGAGCATCCCACTCGTAAGATATGGATAAATGTGGACGCTCGGACGAATAAACTGGACAATGGAATCAATTAGTTTAAGAACCCTAGTTTGAGGACATCCTAACTCATTTTGGTGGCGGTAACGTAACGGATTTCAGCGGCACAGCATCGAAGGAGCCACTGCAAAAGATGACCGAAAAACCGTAACCTACGTATGAATGCATACGCAATTCTCGCTGCACTTCCAATGTCGGGAACTTACTTCTGAGAAAAAGTTCGAGAAAAAGCGCTGGTCATGAACAGATCGAGCGGTTCGGAAACCCATTGCAATCTGAGACGGGTTTGGAGCAAACCTCACCGTCGTTGCACAAGACGACTCGAATGACACAACGCAGCATGTGCACCACAGCGAATCCAGTGATCAAGTGCAAACTAGTTTTCGGAATTTTAGAGTGGAATGGTCGAAGCACAGAGGTTATCTATGCTCCGGATTGCATGGGGAGGCAATTCGCGGTCACTCGACATTTAGGGTACAGTTTACAATGTCATGGGGTACGCGCTGGTGACGACCTCCATAAAATCCAAGTGCTGCGTGAAACGCAGTTTACCGACGGAACGCACCTGATTTGGTTGATTGGTCGCGCAGGCGTTCTGTAAAGTACTCCATTTCGGTAACGGTCATGTGTCTATACCTATCCAGTGCTGCATGAGCAAGCACACCGTGAATATCAAGTCGGATTCGCGGGTCTTTTGTGAGCATGCCCTGGAGAAGCGCAGTGCACGCTTCGCTGAGCGCGTTAGAACGGGTACGCGACAGGCGCCTGCGATACCAGGGTGCAGGTCGTGCCCGATCCGTACTACGCCCGCTCGAGTTGCTCCATTTTCGGTGAAGCTCTCGGTCGAAAGATACCGACTGATGCATGATGTTCTCACAGAGTTCGTATAGGGTGTCCCCGAGAAATGGTGGTCGACCAAACAAAAGGTAATAGAGCGTTGCCCCTAACGACCAGATGTCGCTCCGCTTACTGATCTCGGAATCCGGGGTTGCTCCACTGGTAGGGCACTGGGGAGCGCCGCGCTCTCCGGGATTTCTTATTGGATCGATAACCAGGGATCTCGCTGTGTGCGTACTCACGTCGTCGTCCTCTTCATCGCAGATCTGGCACACTCTGGAAATAATTTCGGGCGCCACAAAAGCGGGTGCCCCGACCAGACATTGGACATCGGGTGCATCGGCGACGCATGCTGTGCCAAAATCGTTCAGCTTAATGGTGCCGTCCACATGGAGCAGCAGGTTATCCGGTTTGATGTCGCGATGAACGATGTTTCGAGCATGCAAGGTAGCAAGACCGTTCGCAACCTGCCAGAGTACGAAAAGCGCAACATCTTCCGATAAAGACTGATTCATCACGAGTTGGTTGGATTGAAGCACCGGGAAGCCGGGTACAAACTCGACGACCAATTGGAGCGGTACACTCAGCTCTCGCGATGACCCATCGGATACTAGAGGCTTCAGCCCCGAATCGCGGATCCAACGCAAACGATCACGCTCGCGAGCAAGCACGAGTGAATCACTCGCAGTAGGCAGATCCGAATCCATCGACTGACCGTTCATTTGCTCTGTGGGTGAAGCACTACAAGACTTGGGATCTGTGCTCGACACCAGGCTCGCATCAGTTTTTTGCCAAGTGCGACGGTCACCAGCGCCATGAAACAAAGGCGGCAGAGGCTGCGCGGAATCGCGGCCAGTGTCGCCATTCACGATCGCTTCAGTGCCGGCGTCCGATGGTGCCTGTGAGGCATCTCGACGTTCAGCGGGTAGGATATCGATCAACTCCACGAGGTTAGGGTGTCGGAGACCTCGCATGAGCTCCATTTCCATCAACATTCGCTCGTTGTTGTGGTCACAGCAAGCGCTCGTATCACGGAGCGAGCCCGTTTGCGCATCAAATCTACAACGAAGAATAGCTTGTTTCACAGCGTAGAAGCGACGGGAATACAAGTCCATCGCGAGTAGGACTTCCCCCATCGATCCGCGACCAAGGACACGTAAGAACACGTAACGCCCGTCAGCGCCGTGTTTAGGATAATTGGTCAAGGGTTTCCCGCGCCAGTGGAGTCCATCGATGGGGCCCAGCTCGTCGTGGAATCCGAGAATGTGTGCTCCCTGCCAACGCCGCTCATTGCTCGACCTCCTTGATCCCTGGACTGGTAGCGCATGCAGCATAAACTGACATGACGAGGGTGCACATGCGGTTAATGCGTTCAACCACTGATGCATGATCCGCTGTTGTTCAAAGACGAGAACAAGTCGTCGTACTTTTGCGATGGGAACAGAATTCGTATGACCTCGACTTGCCGGCACGGTTTCATCGACAAAGGAATTCAGCGAGCCGCTATTGCTGCGCTCCAGGCGCATACTCGATACCTGGAACTCAAGAGATAGCGCACACGTATCAGCACGCACAGCGACAAGATCGAATAGACAGAAGAGGTTTGGCCACGACGGGCAACTGCGTAACTCCAGAAAGTCGTCTGTCACCCAGACTCGATACGATCGTGCTCGTTCTTGGCGACCCCAACACGAAAAGAAACTAGGATCTATGCACTGAACGCGTGTACCCTGAACAGCGGCCAGAACGTCCTCTATCGGAACAGCGAAAACCGAAGGCACCGAAGCAGCTGATTCCATACGTCGCGTATGCGATCTTATCATTCACCCACGAATGTAGAACAGCGCGATCGCACGACTAGGGTGCAGAAACCGCAGCAATTTCGCTTCGTTCCCGTGTGGATGACACGAAGCGCTGCGCGGTTGCCGATCAGCTGACTCACCCAGGCATGACACCTGCCCTATCGCTTCGAAGCCTCGAGTACCCTCAGAAGCAACCTGTACCCAGAATGCTCTATTTCTCCGCTAGCCAGTAGCCAGTATACCAACGACGGCGCCTTCGACGACCAGAGCAAACGTGTACCCGACAAGAACTCTCGAACGGTGTTCACGGGGAAGCGAATTGCGAGCATCGGATACGGGCCATTCGCCTTGTCTCAGTACTGCGCTGGTAACTAGGTACAGCACCCGGAACCACGACCTACAATACTGGTTTCTATGGACTGTTGCGGAAAAGCCTGTCATGAGTTCTCACGATATCTGGTGTTCGGGACAATGAAGGGAAAACTTTTCGCGACCATAGCGTATATATGCGTATACGCCAACTCACAGACACTTCGCAGCCTTATGTTGACCGCCTCCCCGCAATAGGCCTCAGCTTTTCCGTGTATATTTCGAGTATTAGAGGCTGCTCCGTGAAGTTGGATCGCGTCAGCTCTTCGTGTCTCGTCTTCAGCACCACACATTTTCTGATATTGATGGCGGCGCTGAGGTTTCACTTCACCAACACCTTGCGTTTCTTGACACTGGCTGAAAGCACATTGGTACGAATTACTAGAACTCATGCCCTCTGTGCCACTAGAGTACAGTCATCAGCCCGTCGGGCAAACACTTTTTCTGGTCTATCTGCTCATTCCTTTTCTTCGCCACTTGCTCTTCTTCGTTCGATGTTTGGCGAGAAGGGGAATTTTCGTTTTTTCAAACACCTGGAGATGACGGCCCGCCAGGATCCTTGACTACCATGTCCATACTTTACGTCGGATACTTGATTTGTGGAAACGACTGCACATCGAGCACATCTGCTATGTACCGCGAGACAGCACTTGATGGTATGCACCTGGAGGCGGAACTCAACTGAGGTGAGAGACTATATGCAGCTCGTTCATGGGCTAGACGAATGCCGATCTTGGGCCTCAAAGAAAGCTCTTTGAACAGAGCCCTATTCTTCTGGGTGCAGGTTCATGCGAGGATACGCGTTGTCCAAATCGATTGAAACGGAGCCCAGCGCACACAAGTGATACCACGTTTCCTATCGCGCGTGCACCTATCCGAGTTTTCAGGTGTGATTCGCAAGGGATGCTCTGTTCTGTGAGCAAGCGTCCGATGAACACTCGTCATTGACGACGACTGCATCGAAACCGACAGCAATGGCTTTTCATGCCCATAATGGCATGCATGCAAAACAACATCGAATACTCTGTAATCACCTGTGAGGCTCTTGCAACATTCGGGTAAAGCCCGAGTCGCAACTGCGCCTGTGCAACGAAATGTTGTGTCTCACAAAAGACCCGCGACTAACATTAATAAAGACTGTCAATCATTTCCAGAGGAATTCCCGAGTCCGCTTGCAAGAGACATCCCATCAGATACTGCCGAGTTTCGCATGCTTTGCGAGATTCCACACCGTTTCCGTCACATGTCGATTGCGGAGATCACCATACAAGAGATATGCAGTCAGTGCCCACTACCAGCTGTTTACCAGGAGCGCTTCACGACATGGCTGCTTTTTCGTTTTCACACACGAAAGCGCATACTTCTTGCAATGCATAGCTGCGTACATCGTTTGATGCATGGCAACGCACAACTCACGAATTGCAAATCCATCCACCTCTTCATGCGTGGTAGCTTATACCCTGTCGAAGGCAGACAGCGTTCAGGGATTCGCATCACGAGTGCGCGAGGCACCTGAGACAGTGTAGTACAAAGCGGAACTTCTACGGCGGCATCCGCCGGGATCGATCCAACGGACACCGTTCTACCGCCGAGAACGCGTGTCGCTCGACGCTTTGAGAAGAGTGAGATACGTCCGGGACGTGTTGGCATGCTAGCGACTAACGTCGACGAACATTGCATAGCTCGTATCCTCACTCTAAATTTGGGCGAAGCAAACTCGCCGTAATCAGCATAGAATCCAGTTTTCGAAACACTGCTTGCACAACTCATTTGGGAAGCACTTGTGCAAATTTGGAGTCGTGAACGCGGAACACTGCCCGCGTGCTTTACAAGCTTTGGCCTTGGGACTCATTTCTTGATACAAACTAGATTTCCAAGTCGCCTTGCAACGCAAAGAGTCTTGGGGTTGGTTCTGTTTGCGTTCAGAATCTATTCAAGGTTTTATGTTTCGCTTTTCAGTGAAATGTTCAGTACGGAGAGTCCCGCTTCCACGGCGATAGGCGCAGTAGGCGTCGCACTGATGCTACTAGCATTCTTGTTGAACCTGTTTCGAGTATGGCGACTGGAGCGCTGGCCGGATTCGATTCTTTATTCATTTGCGAACTTTCTGGGCGGAGCGTTAGCGACAGCTGCAGCAGCTATGATTTTCTATTGGCCTTTTGTTGTCTACGAGGGAATCTGGTGCTTCTTCTCTGCGGTGAACTGCGTAAGGCTTGGCTGGGACAAACTCCAGAGGCGACGGGCGTACACCGCTGAAGCGAAAGCAGCCGCAACACGGCAGTCGAGTTCACGAAGCCACTCGATCAGCAACGATGGCGATGGCACCGAGCGCGAAACCATCGAGCTAGTCGATACAAAGCAAGGGACGCTCAACAAAACAAACGAAAGCGGAGCGAAAAGTCCGGCGCTAGTGTGAATGCTTTTGTATGTTTGTGTAGATTTGGAGCTCTACGAGAACAGGTTTTGTGCCTGTCGGCGTCCAAGGTCCGTTAAGCGGTTGTCGTGCCTGCCGTTCACATCAGGAAATAAGCGTCTGACGAATCTATTGGTAAAATGCATACGAGGAGAGCGGCACCACTACTGCGCACTGTACCTTTTGCAGCGAAGGATGACCTTGCGATACAATCGTTCTGGTGGGCATTCGATGGCAGGAGCCTGACCTTACGGCTTTGCTACCTGTATTGATCCTTAAAGGGACTGTTTGTTGCAATGACAGTCACATTACTTTTTTTTTAAAAGTATATACCTCAGTTTGGTTCGATGAAGCAGAGTCGAATACCAAGCTTCGGCTGCGCCACTTGGACGTTGGCTTTCGCGTTGAGACCTGCTCTCGCCACGTCCGGAGCCCGACGAGAAATGCTCGCAACTTGCTTTTCATTACATGACCAGTGTGCCGTTTGCTTGTTTCTCAAGACGTCGCCTGCTCAGTTGGTCGTTGGCTCGAGTCGAATCCACAATGCATCAGCGGTCGAAACGTAAAGGTCTGTGCTTCTTATCGGCACCGATGCAAGCGCTCGTTACTGCCTGCAGTCAGGACTGGAGTCGAACGAGGCGAGCGTCTACGGCATCGCAATTTGTGTAAACTCGTCTACAAGCTGCCCTGTGCCGCCCCAGGAAGCTCGCTGCAGCCGAGCTACTGGACAACACAGCGTTTCGCGTGCAGGTGCAGATTCCTATTTAAATTGAGGCACCATCGGTGTATCTAACGAGAACCTGCAGGATATGCAACTGCTGCCGTTTATTAGAACAAGAGGTACTGGCTCCTCCGGAAACGCCTTTATATCCCAGTAGCTCCAGCTCGGCAGCATTCTCCTCAGGAAAAGAGCTCTGATCGATTTCCTGACTCTTGGAGTGCCGAAAACAACAGCTCTATTATACGGAAATTTCACAGTAACTTAGGACACATCCTTGCGGACGCTTACTCACGGACTTAAGACTTCAAGGCTCTGATGGGGCGCACTTAGAGACGGCTACATCTTCATGCATAATTCTGCGGACGTCGACTCGCAGACTGCATCGTTCACTGTGTCGCTGCCAGAGGATCAATGCTTCATACGAGGTGCTCCTTGGTTTTTCATGCCCCTGCCCCAAAGACAAGTCCGGTCTGTGGCAAATGGAGCGCCGGGGCGTCGGAGCAGAGCAGTGTAGAGGGCACTTCTCTGAGTATCGATTAGGAGCACCCTTGTGGGACTCCTGGTTCATAAAATCATTCCTACAACCAGGGTGGATGAAAGATGAACGGGTTCAGTGACCCGGGCGTGCACTCTAAAGTTTTGGACTCTTCCTATTTTCATCAAAACTGGACCTTACGTGCGTTTTCTGCGATTGATCTCAAGTTTGCTCGTTTATTTCTGGCGTTAAAAGCTCGAGTCTCTCATTTTCCTCCGGCTCCATATTCGGCAGTCGAAGTATGTTGCTAAAAGCGTCCGAGTCCCCATTTTGTAGCTTCCAGCACTCGTCGACGAGTTCCATGCTCTCGAACAAGTTGCGTTCTAAGGTCCGCTTGCCGATTCCCGTCCTAGTATACATCCTTGGTGCGTTCTACGCACCGGTGGCACTTGATTGTACTGAGTTATTAGCATACATCCACCTTACCTTGTTCTCCGAGAGGTGCCTTGTCGCGCGCAAAAGCTTGTTACATCGCTAGGTACGTATCCATGACGGATGGGGAAAGCACTCCCGCATGCTCTTCTCAGTTTCCGTAATCCGTGCTGTACCCTAAGATCACAGGATTCATCGGACGATCCCATTGGTACGTTCTCTGTCCGCTGCACATGCGTGGGCACGGTATTCCGATTTGTATATAGGATTCTTGGCAAACGATGTTGTCCACGATGGAACAAGTATCGGACGGAAACTGCCATGGCGCAGAAAATGCCAGCACCTTTTGATACTTCTGCGCCTCCTGCATTCACTGCGGTGACGCTATTTCCACTACACATGATCGCTGCGATGACTAAAGCCCAAGCGCAAGACCCAATTCCACGCATACAGAAGAGACAGGAGGCTTTGAGAGTATATCCTGAGAATGGATCTCGGTGCAGTCCGACGCTGTATCGTTGATGCGCACAAGAAGATCAGGAACTATCTTTGGAATGGAATTCGTTTTTTGAAGTTAGAAGCTCAGAGAATATTTGGCATGAGCTTGCGGATAAGTTATCAAGGGACCAATTCAAGATTTTTCCGTAACCGTCCAGAGATGCGAATCACTGCGGACACGAGCTGCCTTGAAGCAGAAAGAGCGAAACATTGAAGACTGCTTCATTTGAGCGATGCAACATGTCAGGAAAGGAGCCGCCTGGGGGCTTGCATGAATGGGCTGGATAATGACATGGCATACTTGAAGAACTCTTGTTCGAGAATGCCTCGAAATATCCTGATTATGGTACTGTAACGGATTCCAGAGGCAGAAGTTGACAGTTGCCTTTCCGAGAAGACGCCCGGGAATTCTACTACCACGCATGCATCCGCGAAGCCTTTCTGTTCAACTTCGAATCTCGAGGCTTTATCTTTAAATATGCTCTCAAACATTCGCAAGGCAGGAACAGAGTGCGTGATTCAGTGTTCCAGTATAATCTGAAACTAGCATAGACTACACAAAAGCATTCGTGATATTCGATCATTGATTAGTTAAACGATTCATGACCATAGAGAGTCTATATACCCAATCACAGACGCCTCCCAGCCTTTTTTGATCGGTTGCATGCTATCGATTTCTCCTTCTCCTTATACACTTTGACCTTGAGAGGCGGCCCGACGACGTTGGATCGCGTCAGCTCCTCTGGTCTCGTCTTCAGAACTGCACATCTCCTGATATTGATAGCGGCACTGAAGTCTCCGCTCACGATCTCCATGCGTTAATCGCCGTTGGTGGAACTCGTTTTTTTCGAGCATTCCTGGGACTCGTGCATTCTGACCCATTTCCGGGTCTGTCAGCTCTCCGTGCTTTCGCATCGCCGAGGCGCTCCGCTCCTGTTCCTCCATCTCGATCTTCTAAAGTGTGCACCGCTGCCCATCTTTTGGACTCTTCATTTCTTCTAATGAACGCACTTGTTCGTATGCTTCGGTGAGGAACTTCCCAGATCGGAAAGGACTTGCACAAGAACGACGACATGTGCCCCGGTGTCAACGTGTGGTGAGCGCTTCAGCGACTCGCCCAGTGGAGCGAACACTGCGTTTCACGATACAAAACCCTCCCTCGATGTGGATCAGCCACGGAGCGTACGCAGGAATCAAGAGCAGCTCTACTCCCAAAAAAAGAATAGGCAAAAGCCCGAACGCAAAGTGAAATGTCTTGAATGATTCGACGAAATGGTTGGTGTTGATGGATAAGCCTTCTCTAGGAGCGAAACCGAGGTCGCCAAGTGAATCCACTGCAGCTAGAACAGATGACGATGTCGTCGTTCTCTTCGAGACTGATCGTCAATGCAACGGGCTCCCTGCTCCGCAAGTACCCATAGACACTCTGAGCGCTTCGTCCGAAGAAAGCCTCATCAACTGAAAAACAAACCAACCGATATTCCTGTGCTTTACACAGATCGTGACTCTCCAGGAACGCTGCAGTCGTTGGGAGTTCGGCGGAAGATGGCCGAGCGTGAACTAGGACTTTATTGCGACTGTGTCCCAGTGTTTACAGGACCGCACGAGCCGGCTGTTGAGAATGAGTGTCGCCCCTGGTGGCTGTTATCATCGCTTCTGCCGCCCGCAAGTAGATCAAGGGGTCGTTTTCTACCAGTAACCGGAAGCAATTTTTGAGAACGTTGGTTATTTGCATAGAGCGCATATCCTGCTTTTTTCAGTGTTCCTCAGCCATCTGAGAGCTCTGGTACGACTGGCGTTGAGGAGGAATGCAATCTTCCATGCACTGTTCAGTAAAGATTGTATACCGTACGGGCAATTCGTCCTCGATCTATAGGGTACATTGCTTGGTCATTTCGATCTCCTGCTATTCACCAAACCGGGGCCGAACAAAATTTGAGTTGAAAGACGTTAACAAAGGCCGGTATCGCGTTACCTCTGCAGCGCTACTCATCCTCAGGTCTGCTTCCCAACCATATTCAAAGCTTTGAAACTCAAAAGACCGTAACGCTATGATCTTGAAATACGTGTACTGGGAAAACTCGCTTCTCGAGTGCATTGGAATGCGCGCTTCACCGCCAAGCTTCTCGCCATGAGATGCAACCTCTTTGCATGCCCTGTTCTATGCAGCGTTGCTACACTTGCATATTGCGTACTCGTTGCGAATCGTTTGCTTGCCTCGATTTTCACCATGACACAGGTAAAAGCTGGCCAGGGATGCTTGTCACCATCGCGAGAATACCTACGTCGCGATCTCCCTTCGATCGAAACAGGCATGTCTTCTACTCAGCCTCCGTATTGTCCCCGAATATGCATGCGAACGAGGCACAAAGACCGTAATAAAGCGCAGCCTGTACCGGACGATCCTCTTTATTGAGACTAGAGACGTTACCGATGTAGTGTTCGAGAATCGAGGCTGGTGACGCAGACACTACGCCCCAGTCCCTGAGAGCGCGTTCCATGTGTGCTTCCGCTCTGTATTCCATCCTGTGACACGAAATCTTGCGAGAACTGTGTAAGATTCCAGAACTCGTTCCGTAGCGACCGAAGACTTAGGCTCATCGCTTCCATTCGCGAACGGTACTCGGTTCAGAGTCAGCCGCAGCGCTAGGCATCGCACTAGGGTCCGCTGGGCAATCCAGCACTTTCCGATGTATCGTTGGCATCGCTGTGGCCCGCTCTCCGAACAACCACATCTAGTGACGCTTCGCAACAGGTTTTGATGCCAAAGATAACGTTCATCTCGCGATTGACGGATGGACTGCCGCTCGCAGCTTCCCTGGCCGACGAAAAGGACGCGTTCGCGCTAGAGCTTCAAGAGTACGAGCGACAGGCGAAACGGATCCTCAAGGGTCTCACTGCCGAGTACTTGGCTGGCGGACGCGGCAGCGTTCCGGCTTCTCGGAAAGCCGCCAGCATCGAATCGGGCGCCTTCACGTTTCACTATTTGCTTGGTGACCAGGTGGCTTTCTTGACGCTGAGCGAAAAAGCTTATCCGCGAAAGTTGGCGTTCGCGTTTCTCGACGAACTTCGACGGGAGTTTGAAGCAGTTTATGGAGCCCAGGTGGCACTGGCGAACCGACCCTATGAGATGATTCGCTTCGACAGCTTCATCCAAAAGACGAAGAAAGTGTACTTGGACGCCAGTGCTGTCCGAAACCTGGAACGCCTCAACTCAGAGCTTTTGGATGTGCGCGACATCATGACGAGGAGTATTCAGGAAGTGCTTGGACGGGGCGAACGTCTCGAATCACTGCAGAATACCAGCGCCATGCTATCAGCAGAGTCGCGCAAGTACCTCCGTCGAGCGAAACATGCTCGTTGGATGCTACGGATTCGACAGTACGGGCCTATGATGGTGATTTTGGTCATCATTGCGGTACTCTTGTGGTTTTTCAAGCTACGTGGGCGAGGTGCCACTGCAGGTTTTACCTGATTCGGCTCAATTTTTCGCATATGATCCGAAAGATGGTGCATCCTGGTGAATGAGCTCAGAGAGCCTCGATGAGCGCCTCTGTAGAGGCAATGGGGCATACAGCGTCAGGTTCGCACTGACCGTGCAAGGCTGCACTGATGCGAGCGCGCGCAGTCGTTGTGTATGGATATGTTATTTGGCGCTGTCGCATCCACAAAGCGCACTGGTATTTAGATGATTGGGTTGAGGCGGCGTCTAGTCGCATGGTGTGACGCGCTGAAGCCTGAAGCTTCCGATACTCTGCACAGCGACGAATGTAGAAAGGCCATGTACGCAAGAAGCCGCTGTCTATGTCGAGCTACCAGCCATTTTCTGACGATTCAAGGGTCTTCGAAGCGTTTCCTCCCAAGGCGGATGCTTCTCCCTGGCACTCGAGCTACCCATGAGTTCTTGACGACTGCAGGGCGCCAAATCGGGACGTACGTGAGGCGGATGCTTCTCCCGAGCATCGACGCCATCGAGCCCGCGGGTGGGTATGCCTCACGAACGCAAATACATTCTGCCCCGTGTCGCCTTTGCAGCTGAACCATGCCTTCGATAAAGCTCAAAAGCATGTGTCGACTGAAGGTCATGCATACGCCCGAGCTCGACTCCTGTACCAGACTGCATTCGAATACCCAGCTCGTGTTCTAACGCGCATGGTGAAATCGTCACCCAAAGATAGCAGCGCCCCCAACATCACGCTGGATATGCCGGCAGAACGCCCATGCTGCTTCACTGAGCGATCCACACACGAACACGGATAAATCAAAACAGATACAAAGTTGCTAGTTGTGGTGCGGCAGCCATGCTGGACCAGGCTTGAATAACATCTTCCCACTGGAACGCACCCGCTTGTTTCGCTAGAGCCCAGTCCCGCAGAGCATGTTGCAACCGCCGAAGCAAGTTCTCGCCCTGGTTCGGAGACCAACGCACACGCTCAGTTCCAACTTATTGGGCTGTGTGGATACGTTCAGCACAACGGACCAGCTTCGATGCCAATGCAGTGAGTTGCAGCAGACTTGATAAGCCGTCCGTGATCCGCATATGCGTTAGACCGATCTCACGCAGGAACTCGAGCCGCAGGTCTCGCCCACGCTCTCCACCTTCGGTGATCATGGCCTGAGTTCGAGCCACCCGAAACAGCGTGGCAACTAGGTCCGACGCTGCGTACCCACTACGCCAGATCGCCTCAATCTCGCCAACTGCTTGCTCAAATTTCTGTGTCTCACATAATTCGAGAAATCGACGCAGCCGTGCTGGCGACGGTGAGTCACATACACGCAGCACATGCTCCGTTGTAATGACTCCGAAACCAAACCACGTCGCTTGGGCGTTGTTCAGGGCCTGCCTCATATCACCATCGGCCGTGAAGACAATGGTCTCGATTCCGTCCGGCTCGTACGGAACGTGCTCTTCTTCCAGAACGCTGACAAGGCGACTGCGCACCGCTTCATCGCCAAGACGACGAAACCGAATGACAGCACAACGACTCTGTATTGGTTCGATGATTTTGCTGGAGACGTTTGCGGCAAGCGCGAATCGTGTGGTACTTGAGTAGAGTTCCATGATACGGCGTAGAGCTTGCTGTGCTGCGGGCGTCATCGAGTCCGCTTCGTCGAGAATGATGAGCTTATGTCGTCCCGGCGGCAAGGTCACGTGCTGTTGGCAAAACATTTTGATCTTGTTTCGCACCACGTCAATACCTCGTTCATCTGATGCGTTCAATTCTAAAACTGCTTGCTGGATGAGCGCATCGCCCAGAGTATCCCGCGCCAAAGCAAGCGCTACGGTCGTCTTGCCGACGCCCGGTGGACCAACGAGCAGCAAGTGCGGCACGTTCCCGCTAAGAGCCAGTGCTCGCAGTCGTTCGACAACTGGTTGGTTGCCGACGACTTCAGAGAGCGTCCGTGGTCTGTATTTCTCAATCCATGGTTGATGATCAAGCATTTAACAGTGCTTTTATCAAAGTGCGCAGCTCTTCGTTGAATGGCAACGCAATGAGCAAACCTCGTGCTGATTTTTTCGCTAGTTTGGGTTCGTTGAAGCTAACCGAAGATCCCTTGGTGCACGCCGGTTATCCGCAGCTAAAGAAGTACGCAACACTTTGCTCCGGATAACGGGGCACCCAACACGTAAAAGCCAGGCTTGAATACGAGGATAATAGCTTGTTTGCTCAGTTCTAGCCCGCCGTGGGACATCGATTGAAATGGCCAGTTTTTTCGCGCCAGTACTGTTTCCAGTCTTTCAACTCAATTCTGTTTCCCCTGCCGAGCCATGGAATGGAATGCTTCTTCGCTGTGTAGAGCTCGGGATAAGCATCACGTTTCAACGCACCATAAAGATCATAGAAGAATCTCCTTTAGGATATGTTCTTTACTGAGCCGTGCTTGGAAGATTGCATTCCTCCTCAACGCCAGTCGTACCAGAGTTCTCAGATGGCTGAGGAACACTGAAAAAAGCAGGATATGCGCTCTATGCAAATAACCAACGTTCTCAAAAATTGCTGCCGGTTACTGGTAGAAAACGACCCCTTGATCTACTTGCGGACGGCAGAAGCGATGATAACAGCCACCAGGGGCGACACTCATTCTCAACAGCCGGCTCGTGCGGTCCTGAAAACACTGGGACACAGTCGCAATAAAGTCCTAGTTCACGCTCGGCCATCTTCCGCCGAACTCCCAACGACTGCAGCGTTCCTGGAAAGTCACGATCTGTGTAAAGCACAGGAATATCGGTTGGTTTGTTTTTCAGTTGATGAGGCTTTCTTCGGACGAAGCGCCCAGAGTGTCTATGGGTACTCGCGGAGCAGGGAGCCCGTTGCATTGACGATCAGTCTCGAAGAGAACGACGACATCGTCATCTGTTCTAGCTGCAGTGGCTTCATTTGGCGACCTCGGTTTCGCTCCTAGAGAAGGCTTATCCATCAACACCAACCATTTCGTCGAATCATTCAAGACATTTCACTTTGCGTTCGGGCTTTTGCCAATTCTTCTTTTGGGAGTAGAGCTGCTCTGGATTCCTGCGTACGCTCCGTGGCTGATCCACATCGAGGGAGGGTTTTGTATCGTGAAACGCAGTGTTCGCTCCACTGGGCGAGTCGCTGAAGCGCTCACCACACGTTGACACCGGGGCACATGTCGTCGTTCTTGTGCAAGTCCTTTCCGATCTGGGAAGTTCCTCACCGAAGCATACGAACAAGTGCGTTCATTAGAAGAAATGAAGAGTCCAAAAGATGGGCAGCGGTGCACGCTTTAGAAGATCGAGATGGAGGAACAGGAGCGGAGCGCCTCGGCGATGCGAAAGCACGGAGAGCTGACAGACCCGGAAATGGGTCAGAAGGCACGAGTCCCAGGAATGCTCGAAAAAAACGAGTTCCACCAACGGCGATTAACGCATGGAGTTCGTGAACGGAGACTTCAGTGCCGCTGTCAATATTAGGAGATGTGCAGTTCTGAAGACGAGACCAGGGGAGCTGACGCGATCCAACGTCGTCGGGCCGCCTCTCAAGGTCAAAGTGTATAAGGAGAAGGAGAAATCGATAGCATGCAACCGATCAAAAAAGGCTGGGAGGCGTCTGTGATTGGACATATACACAGTTACACTGTGGTCGTGAAACGTCGTTCGTTTTCCTGATCACACAGGAACTGACGCCAGCAACGAAGCTGGTGAAAAGTTCTCTGCCGCTTCCTCGTGTTTCTTGAACGGAGCACACAAACATACTGTGCTTTTAGACCAGCGTCTCGGTCTTCTGCTAAACAGTCGAGAAGAATTTCCGTCAACGGGCCTTCGCCCTGCTGACACCGCTAAGCAGGAAGCGCTCGCAGGCTCGTACAGCATTCGCAATTGTCGCGGAAACGACTGACGTTTTCCTATCCTGCTGCCTGGCTGCCTGCCTGCCTGCCTGCCGTTGTGGCATCGACTAGCTCGCCACAATTGCACGCTCACATCTGGTGTTCTTATTTTGACACTGATCCGCCTCCAAGTCGAACGAACAGTGTACGCACACCAGGTCAACAAGGTGGCGTTCTTGCGGCTCTCTGCCTTGCAAAGTCGAGGCGGAATAGTTCAGGGAGGTTCTGGGAACACTGGCAGTCCTCTTCGGGTTACGCTGGCTTCGGAACCGCAATGAGTCGCGGTTCCTGCACTGTGTTTATCGGAAACATACCCTATGGAGTCACGGAGGATATGCTGCTAGAACGCTTGCAGCAAGTAGGTCCGGTGGTGAGTCTACGCATCCTTTACGACAAAGAGACCGGCAAACCGAAGGGCTACGGTTTCTGTGAGTACCGCGACCCTGAGACAGCTGAGAGTGCTGTACGGAACCTCAATGAGCGCATAGAGTTCGGAGGACGAATGCTGCGGATCGCCCCGAGTTCGCAGACTCGGAATCAGGCAAGTGCTGGCGGGTCCACTGCACCGGGGGCAGGAGCAGCGCCCGAGGGCGGACGATCGGGCCCTGGGCTGGGTCCTGGAGCTTCAGCAGCATCCTGGGGCGCTTACGACGCTCTTGCGGACGCTACCGCACCGTCACAGCCGACTGGACCGACAGTGACGGCTGCACAGGTAGTTCAACCGTTTTTGCTCCCAAGCGGACAGCCATCTCTGCAGGGTCTCAGTCTCCAGCAGATCTTCGATGTGCTCGCTGAACTGAAGACGATCGCCCAGCAGAATCCCAATGAAGTACGCGCGATGTTGGCTGCGCATCCACCGATAGCGCATGCGATTCTCCAAGCCCAGGTTTTACTGGGCCTGCTCAGCGCTCAACAGGCACAGCAATATCTGCAGAGTATGACGGCATCGGTGACTACGAATGCGAGCCTGGCGGCGATGCAGAGGGTGCAGTCTGGTGCTGCAGCCGGCGCTGCTGCACCGCTGCCTGGAGGCATCGTTCCGGGTCAAGGCGCTGCGACTGAAGAGGCTCTGATTCAACAGTTAATGTCGCTGACCCCAGCGCAGATTCAAGCGCTGCCTCCGGATCAACGGCAACAGGTGCTTGCGTTCCGGATGCAAATGGCTGCCCGGCGCTAGCACTCGAAAGTGCTGGAGGTCTCGAGAGTGTCCGTCCAGCAATCTGGAAGAGCTGCAGACACATTCTCATAGGGCATGCATCGGCCTGCAGGTACGTAGCGCTCGCATTGGATTTGTTGGCAGTCGTGGCTATCTTTTAGTCAGGCAGAAGAGCATGAGGGCGGCGGGAAAGCTCAGCGAATGCATTAGAGCAATGCGCTTGGGTTGCGGCAGGAGGGAAACTTGTCTCGATCACTGCACGGCGGCGACGCACAGGAACGTGCCCCAAATGCCGTTTTGCAGCCTGACACCAGAAACTGTCATCCGGGAGCGAAACGGTGGCGGGTCGTAGAGCTAGCGTCAGTAGGGATGCAAAAAAACGATTGCTGGCGACGCGTCCAGACCGCTCGTACGGTACTGCGGTGTGATAATTCACGCTGGGAACGATGCTGCGCGAGTTCCTAGGTACCAGTGAAAAGCACCGCGGAGGCTACTGCAAGACGAGTTTCTGCTGGTGCTGCATAGCGGCGCAATCACGAAGAGCACAAAGGCGATTCAAAGCAGGTACGCGAACAATAGATATCGTCCTTTGGGGGCATAGAGCTACTGGAACATGTGTATTCGAGGCATGAACAGCAAGGATACGAGGGAATGGTACCTATGGACACGACTGCTGCGCTGCGGATGAAAGGTTCGCGTAAAACGCAAGCCGCGCCATGTCCAGCGTCCGGGTAACGCAGCCTGTACGAAGCGCTACAAACCAAATGGTGCAATCCAAGGTGCTCCGCCTTTGCCGGGTCGTAATCTGGCCAGGGCCTTGATACCCATTCATGACGAGAATCGGGTCTCGCGCAGGCAAACGTACCTACTTTCGTCTACGCTTTCATGTTTGGTGGCGGCGGCCGCAGCAACAGACGACGACGTCGTGACGCGTCCAACCTCAGGTGCCACCACTCAACGGCAGGGAGGATACGTTACGAAGATGTCGCTTCCCGGACAAGAAGGTTTCCATCTTTGGCCTGCCGTTTGCCTTGGAATTGCATGGACTGCTGATGATCTTCGCTTCAGCTGTGTGTGACTAGCGATGGGTGGCGTGAAACGCCAAACCCCCATACGAGACACGCTGCATCTGTGGATCTCTTCAGCAGCAGCGGCAGCAGTAGCACTAGACAGAGGAATCTACTAGTCTGGCTGTATCATGGCTGGATTCGGAACCCGGACAGCACGAATCCGCTGGGTGGTGTCTGCGACATCCAGGGGTGCGTTCTTTCGGCTGCAAACTGGTGCCCAAACGTCGTGATTTCCGTCAAACGAACGTGCGCGACCTGCTGTAACACACGCAGGTCCACGTCTCCAGTTGCGTCATCGGTCGTACCCGCGTGATCGTCTTGGAAAACCTGCCCAACGTGACCCACAGGCACCGGATTTGGATCCTTGACATGAGCCTGACGCGAATCTGCCACAGCGTCCATCGATAGAGACTGTGTTGAAGGGGATTCACGCTGCGCTATTCGCTCTGCCGCCGGAATAAGCGACTCCGTATCTGCAGGATGCTCTGCCGCTGACATGACTGCTCGGTTCACAGACGATTCGTCTGGAGCGTGTGCGGGGCGAGTGGATCCCTCTGGAATCCCTGGAGGTTTCCGAGGTATCTCTGCAACCGCGATGCTGTCCGGTGTCGTCACCATGCGCTCGCGTTCCGGTCGGTTTACAAACGGCTGCCGTCTGCTTCGCTTCCACTGATCGAGTTTCGCATCGTCGATCGCTTCGATACCGACCCCTTGCCACGTGCTCGTATCCAGTTTTCGAGCTGAACTGGCTAGATTCCCAGGTGCATCGATGGAAACTGGCGCTGACTCGCTGCGAGAATCATCTGAAATGCTCATAAACGCTTGCAGTTCCGCCAGAGGCTGTAGCCATGGACTCCAGATGACAAAGGGATAACCAGGCGATAGTAATGGAAGAAGCAGTGCCATGAGCTGAACCAGATCGCCTGCTCCACCAGGGACCTGCTCTTTGAAGGCAATAATGATTGCCTCATTTCCCCGATCGGCATTGTCGAGCCACCTCTGCACAGAGGATTCCAGTACATCCATCGTTTTAGATGATTCGGGACGCTCCTCGCGTTCCTCTGGTCCTTCCGGCGATCTCTTGACAGCATGATGTTGCAGATGATCGTTCACTTCGAGGAGCTGGGCATCCACATCGCCAGAATTTTCCGCCCCGATCGAACCGTCCGTACCCATAGGCGGTACCGTGCCCCCGGTTGGCGCCCGGGCGTCATGGAGATGTCCACGAGGACGGCCTCCGAATGACCCTGGCGTCTTCTGTAACCATTCCAAGGGCAGATGCTGAATCAGCGGTAGACCAGCTGCTTCCAGGCGATCTTCTGAAGTGGAATTTGAATACGATTGTCTCGATGCGTTCTCCGCATCACCTCGTAACGGATCAGTGGATGCGCTGTGCTCAGCTCGTTTCGATCGACGTAAGCCAAGTATCCGCAGTGCAGCACCATGACTGGTCTTCATGCCAACTCCTGCAGCTGTGATGACCAGAATACCCTCTGCAGGATTTGGAACTCGTCCAGGATAGCGCATCCGTTGGGTGCACGCCGCGGTTACAAGACCTGTTCGTTCTGCGAGCTCCTCGAGGATCAACACGCGTTTGGTACCCGCCCAGACGCCGGCCTGCAGAAGAACAAACCCAAGCGCTTCGGCATGCATCCACAATGATTTGCCTTCCATTTTCTGGTAAAGGGTGTCTGTAAGTGTGCATAAACTAGGACGGATGACGCGCAAGGAGAATCCGTGCCGCTGATGTTTTCGCTCCAAGCGTTTGGACTGTGCAGCGGATACGCGTTCTGAAACCGTTTCCGCTGTGGCTCGAGTTTGATGATTGGTGCCACGAAACTGGGACGTGAAACTTTCCTGACTGGTACCAGGAACGACCTGGGTAAGCGTTGGAGGCTTTTCGGTCGTAGCGCACGCTGTCGCGCTAGGGTTGCTTCGTTGTTCAGGTGCCTCCGCGTCCACGTCCTGCCCATCTGTTGCAACGGCATCGGCATCAGTTCGCAAAGCGAGTAACATCTGTTTGTCTGTTGCCTGCGGTGCAGGCGATACCGCTTGTTCAGCTGGATCCGGGTAAGAGAGACGCACGCCCCACGGAACGCCGATCAGTGCACTTGGGTGCACGTACCTGGTACCAACTCTGATCAGTGTGTCCGCAGCAGCAGCAGTGCCTGCAGCGTCATGCACGTCTTGCAAAGTCGCTGTAGTCTTCCGAACTTGCAGGATCTTGCGATGTTTCTCATAGCGACCTTCTCCGTACTGCAGAATAACAAAGTCGCCGTCTTGCACGCGATCCGCTGCATCCCGTTTGGGACCAGACGCCCCTGGCATGCCTTTCACAGCGTGTGTCGGCCTCTGACAGCCGTTGCAAATTCGTTCCGACCGTAGGCAAGTGCTCAAGTGTGTCCCTAACAAGTGCAACTCTACAGCGGCAACAGTCGAACGTTCGAACGTTGAAGCGGGTGCGGTGCAGCGCGGGGCGGGGCGGCGCTTTACGGATAACCCCAGTGGTTGGCCTTGGCGTTGGCTCAGAGGCTGGACTCGAGGCATAGGTAGCGGGCTTATCTAGGGTTTGTCTGCAGTTTCGATAGAGCGAAATGCAGTTTCAAGTGTATGCCATGGCACGCAATTTTCGCTGCTGGTCAATATGTTTCGTAGAGCAAGGATGGCGCTCCTCGGCTGCGTCGACACGTGTTCCAGGGAAGCGCCCAGCAGCGCAGCGTGCTGTTCTGAACAACGCCGGGGAGCAAGACGTCTATACGAGCTTTCACGCTTTATACAACCGATAGCAGGGTCCAAGTGGTTTATTCCTGCACGAGTCAAGCGCACTTGATTGCGGTGTCGGCGCTGCGCCGTTCTTTTTTGAACCGCAGGTGAGTGCTGACCAATGAGTTTCACGAGAAAGCCTGCGTTCGCTAGTACGCAGACTGCTCATCTGCGATTCAGCGCCGAGCGATGCGTTTATGGGGGACGCGCTTCCAATAAGAGCGATTCTTAATGATTCGCTTGAAACGTAGGCGTTGTACCCGAGTGGCACCCATAGCATAGCGTCAAGGATATCCCGTCGATGGTGCGCTAGGCCTGCACCCGTCTGCACCATGCTACAGCGATCAGATGAACGTGGAAAACAAAACTGGTTCTTCTGATCGTGCATTCCGATATGTCGCTCGCGCTTTTTTAGAGTTACGCTTGCAGCCTTCGCAGTGCAGCCATACGGGCTTTCGAATGCATAAATAGTTTGAGTATTCTCGGTCGGGGTTTCGGAGTGGCTCCTTCGACGCCGCTCGCTGGAATGCGTCTTGTCAACGGTATCAGAATGATTCGCAACGCCCTCGAACTCAGGATTCGCAAAATACTTGATTTCATTATCCAAGTTTTTGGAACGAGACTCAACGCTTCTCTGCTCCGTCCGTATAGCATGCTCAGATAACGCATGCCTCAGGTCTCTGATCGGTGTGTCTTAAGACATCCGCTGGGCGCAGCAATGCATGCTGCTGGAATAACGAAGAAAAACCATTGGCGTCGAGAATGGACGACATGTTCACAGGCTCATGCAGAAAGCTTCTGAAACTTGGAACGTCAGAAAATTCAATCTGTTCGAAAGCCGACTTCTTTTCTCTTTGTAGACATCGACGGAACGCCATTCGACTGCAGCTCGATATCAATAAGTGGATATGCTTTCAGAGACGCCCGGCTCTTGTTCTTGCATGGAAATGGGCAATGGATTCAGACTACAGTCGTTGCAGCGATCGCTTCCCAGAGGAGATTGTGTCATCGCTTTGCACGATGGGAATGCAGACCAATCGAAATGGTCCAACGTGTTCTCCAGTCTGGATTTGGTTTCGGTGCTTGTCGCACGGTGGACAACATCGTGTTCCACATATCCTCTTTTTTGGAAAACAGCAGAGATCGGAGGATGGGTTATCTTAGACACCACAAATTGCTCTCTGTGGTTAAGACCCTATTGATAGGGTCATCGAGGCCGTGAAGCAAGGGCTCAGTTCAGCAAATACATATTCGATAACGCGTACCGTCCCCGACGTGGATTGGTGCTCGATGCTTTGGGCTCAACGACCGGGGCTGCAGGGCTCAACGCTTTGTTTGCAACACTTGGTCAGGTTTGCAGATCGCATTTTCCGAAGAGCGATAGAGAAGAGAGGTCAAAAATGTATGAAGAATAAATATGAATTACATGGTTCACAACGGAAATGCAGTGTCCGTGCATACCAATTACGCCGAAGAAGCAGCGGTGTGAGAGCTTCACAGATATCCTGGAGCGTTCCGCACGCAGGATGTATAGCGTTCCCAGAGAACGTTACTACTCTCGGACGAAAAGCATTGCTGGACGGAGCTCATCGCTTGGGTGTCTTCTCAGACGAGAAGCTGCGCGCATCGCTAAACTCAGGCACTAGGGTCGTTAAGGAGTACCCCGGAGTGTCATTGCTGTTGCCGGAACACAGAGCGCTCGTAGAGGATTATGCATGGCATCGCACTCGGCCGCGGCAATGTGCTCTGCTCACTCTCAGGTTAGTGTCCTTCCAGTGTGTCGAGGACACTGGAAAAGTGGAGAACTTCTCAGATGCGCAAGTGACACACAGCGGCACGTCATGTCATCATTCTCCTTGAGCACAATCCACAAACTCGTTATCTGCTCCGTGTTTTCATCCTCGCCGCTCGTACTTCGTCTCCGCATATGATTCGCTCTGGGGACGTCAGAGGTTTGAATCGCTGGGCAAGTAAGAGGAACCTGGATAAAACAAAGAAGCGCGTGGGTAGAAGAATAAACATGGGGATCCTGAACCAAGACAGCGGTCCAGTAAACCGAGCGATACATCAAATTCCGAGGCAATCCAAGGTGAGGGGTTTGCCACAGAATGATTCCACCAGGTTAAATGCTTGCAAGCAGTTTCCGCTCTGACACCTTTACTCCTCGATCAACATCCGGCAATGTCTCGTGCCCATAGAGCGCCCAGCGGCTTTGCAGGGAGCGAAACCTCCGCGGCAACGTTTCGTATTCCGAGTGGGTTTTGTGCGGAAATCCTCGGCATTTCCGTAGGAAACAAAAGTCGCCAGGAGACTGGAGTCTCGCACGAAGCTCGGCATTGCTATGGTGCCGGTCAGCTGGCCGGAAAGTTTATAACGTCGCTTGAATGAACCGGGAGCATTTTTCCAGCACAAATGGTGAACCAGGAGAGCGTTCAACTGTTCAGTTTTCCGGAATATACAGAGGGCGAATCATAGAATTTACGGGTCACAAATACCCAGATATGCAAAGGCGTCCTTGTCATGGTCCGTCAGCGACCTTACTCGGCAACAGCTTGTTTTCCGTTTTCAAACAGAGTAGTGTATGCACCAAGCAGTCGCATCCCTAACAAAATGGTATGATGCCGGGAGTTCGCCGCCGCAGCATTACCCGAATGATCTTCGAATCGAAAGGTTAGATGCACACACACACACACACACAGACGGACACAGTTGTGTCCTATTCTGCTTGTGGGGATGGAAGAAGGGTCTTGTACACGTGATGAACATTGTATCGCGCGTGCAAAGATGCGCGCACCTCTTTGCATCGCTTTGCTGTTACTCGGACAAACTCTATTACGACCAGGCACGCGGGAATAGCCGCTGCCACTACTCACGATACCACAACAGTTGCAACAGGAAGGTGCAGGGGGCGCTCAGCGAGAACCAGCGTCGTCGATGGCATCGTCGTGTCGGGCTCATTCCGAGCCACATTGACCAGTTGTGCAGGCGCTGTCGTGAAGGCCGGCTCGACCCCGGATTGCACGACAGCCGGATTGCGGTGAGAGCGTCTTCCACCAAAAATTCCAATGAGTGCAAGTTGAATGGCTCCAAGCGATGCGCCAAAAATATTCAGGACATAAATGAAGGGTTCCTGCTTTGCGAAGCCGTAGGCCGTCCACAGTGTTCCGTTCACAAGCGACATGATTGCCAGGTTACGGTCGATCATGGAAGCATCGCGAGTGCGGAAAACAGTACGAATAAGAAACAGGGGTGAACTGTACATGAATCCGAGAATAATATTCGCGACGAGCCCTGAGATCAAGACTCGGGCGCTTTGGTTGCGCCAAACACCATTGCTCGCCAACGGGATGAATACAAAGAATGCGGATACGGTCAGGACCAGGGCGATAATGAAGAGCAGGCCTTCAAACATCCGACGCATGGAGAGTCCCGCAACCCACGGATGCCGCTGCAACTCAGCAGGCAACGGCTTGGGAACCAAAGACTCCGTGGTGTCGGAGCGCACCAGAGAACTTGTCAGTGCCCCGTTCCCGATCGGTAAGTCAGTTGGACGCAAAGGATCCTCTATCCGGGGTGGCAAACCCGTGTTGCTCTCGGACTGGGTTCCAGAAACGGCACCCGTTGCGTTGCGACGATTTAAAAGACCTGAGGCGTTGCGGATGTGGGTCCACCAGTGCCCACTAGAAGCGGGTGCCAGCGGAAGCGCCCGCACCGCTTCCGGTCGCTGCCGCTCGCCGGACGTGATTTGACGCTTGCGCCACTCATCGAGGCGTAATGCAGCATACGCAACCACAACGTAAAATATGCAAAGCATCATTCCGGGCGCATTTGCCCAAAACACGAAATAATCGCTCTGCACAAATGCATAGGAAATCCAGCCAATGGCGTTGCCTAACATGAGCGGGTACGGCAGCGGATTCACCGGACCCAGGATATTTTCATCGACAGATGGTTCGTCCATTGTTGGGCCAAATTTTGAACTCAAAGGAGTAGGCACCTCGTTCATTGGAATCCCCGCTATGCGGCCATTCAGCTCGTTTGGGGTCACCTGAAGAACCAGCTCGACGGGGGCGAGTTCCGTGCTATCCCCGGTGCTCGGCACGGAGGCCAGATCACTCGAGTCCGCTCCACTATGATGTCCCGTAGCCACATTGCTATGGACATTGTACTCGAGAATCGTTTCAGAGAACATGGGCGTAGCAGCTGGCTGCGTTGGCAACGGAGCATCGCAGCGAGCGCGTTCAGCGCTGACGCGCACACTATTCGCTACCGCAGTAAGGCGACGTCGCACTGCGAGCACACGCGGAAAGGGTGCCAAAAACAGAAGAAAGGACAAAACGATCCCTATAGACGGTACGACATAGTCTAAAATTATCCGAGCTGTGCCCTGTGTCGCAAACATTCGCAACACACAAACACCAGTTGGTACGCAGACCGACGCGCACGATCGACAAACGGATGATGACAAGCCCCGCGGCTTGACTGCACCCAGCAAGGGTAAAGTCCGACACCACCGCGAACACCGATACCACCACCACCACCACCACCACCACCACCACTGCCTCCACGAGCAGTGTACACTAGGACCGCGCTTAGGGTCCTTCTGCGTGCAGTAAACTTTTTTGTATCGTCTCGGCGGTCGCTGCCCCTCCTGATGCCCTAGAAAGCAACCAGATGACGCGAAGAAGCGAACAAACCACACGTCTAGTACACCAGCACGCTGTAGGCAAAGCAGAGCGGGTTCAAAGCGCTCGTACGCCGGTTGTGGATGCGTGCGTGGATGCGTGTATGCGTGCGTGCATGCGTGTATGCCGCTGTTACGTGTCACGCTGAACAAGGCGGTGATGCCGCAGCGCCTGCAATTCGCGGTAAACCCGTTGCCCGCTGGCGCTTTGCTCAGGCACATTGCTGCTGGCGATCGCATTGCCAGGGCGTGCTCCAGTTGACGTTGATGTGGGTCTCGGAGGATCACCATCAGCAAGCGCTCATCAAAACAGCAGCGATCGCAGTTGATGGGTAGCTACGCCTGACGTCGTCGGTGCCTGGAAACGCACCAGCTCCTATTCATGAAATGATCCGTTCTTGCTGTGCTGTTTGGAGACTGGCCTGGTGAAGCGCGTCGCTCGGTAGGTTGCCAGGCACTGGAATATCTTGAACGTCAGCTGCAGCTATGCAGAGGCGAGCACGTTGTTTCTGCAAAGAAAGGAGGTCAGACGTGGTTGCTCGATCGTGATAGACATGAAGGTGTTTTGCGCTGGCGATAGAAACTCGTCTGCATCATGGAGCAGTGGGGCGGCAGCCGTGCATGCGTACACGGCGAGCGGCAACGGCAGTCGCGAACAAGGAGCATCGCGTGCGCAAAAACATTGAATACAGCGTGCTCTAGAAACTTTGGTGTTTCACAGGTACGGTGTCCACTGCCAAGCGGTGGTGCCCTCTGAACACATGTTCATCTTAACTCCGTTTAAAGGTTGCAAGTTAACCGCTGTGACAGACGGTGGAGAAAACGCCTCTGAGGGTGACTGGATAGACGAGAGGGCGGTAGGGCACGGGACGCAGCTCTGGCAGCAGCGCCGTTCCCTCGAGCTCGGTTGGGCGTACCAGACACGAGACCGTCAAGCACCACCAGTAGTGTGTCGTGTTTGTCGCGGGAGCGGTTCAGTGCCTTGTAGGTTCTGTCACGGCACCGGCGTGATGGCCCTTGGCGACCGACTCGCCTGCTCTGTGACTGCCCGGAACTGCGACTGCTACGCGTGTCGCGCCAGGGGCCAGCAACGCTGCACGCGGTGCGCGGGCTCTGGCTTCATAGCGAGCTGGTTAGCGCCGCTTGAGGAGCTTCCATAGATGGAATTGGGGCAATGGATCTGGTTTAGCCTTCTTAAGAATCGAGACTGCGCGCAAGCCTTTGTTTGTGGCTGTGCGCGCTGGCGAGCTGGCTTCGCACGGAACTGTCGAGGAACGTGCGCGTGGACGTGAGCTGACGCATGGATGTGTTCGCACCATTAACATATTCAGCGTCGGTGCTGCGACCCGGCAACGACCGATGTTTTGACGTGATAATGATTGACCTGAAAATGCCACGAAGATGCCTAATGAGGTTCCAGGTACCGAGCGCCCTGCACGGCAACTTTGCACGTGCTTACGGTTTGCTACGACCGCATCATGCGAAAAAAACAAAGAGCAAGCATATGCGCGGTGCATTGTGCACATGCCCAAGGCACACGTCGAGCACCAGTGGAACTCGGACTGCGTTCCGTCGTCGCGTACGAGCACAGCAGCGACACCGCTCTTGCCCCGACGGGTAAGGCATGGGTGGCATCCGCGGCTTCCCAGCATCAAACCAAAGAACATGGGCTTCGTGTATCCAAAGCGATGCCATCAGGTGCGCCGTCGCGCCTAACAAGACCATAGCGGAAAGTGTCGGAAGGTACGCGCCTTGCATTTGGGTCTTGATTCATGAACAGAGGACGCCGGCTCTACCCGTGTCAGATGAAGACGGAACATTCAAATGCTTGATGCTTCCTGCAGTTCGATTTTTCTCGGGGCGTTTCTTTTGCCACATGTGCAGCTGCGACATTCGATGCGCAGCAACGAGGGCTTCCGCGCGCATACGTAGTTTTACGATGCTTCTTGGTACTTTTCTGGGGTGGCATCTTCGACGTTTCGCTACTAGAATTCTTGACGACACCAGAATCAAAATGATTCGCGATGCCTTTCAATACGCTCTCGTAAAATAACCCTTATCATGATTTAATGATTAGAAAGAAGCCCACTGCCCGCGTCCCGTTCAGGTGTCGTTTGCTCAGACCACGGGAGCTTCATGTTTTCGATCTACCATTTTTCAAGGCAACTTGTGAGCGCAGCAATTCGCGCCGCCCGAATAACGAGGAAAAATACGCGAGGACGTCTTCTCTTTGTGAACTGTTCACAAGCTCATGCTCAAAGTTCATTGAACTTGACAAATCAAACAATGGAATCCGTTCGAGACATACATATCCTCCTATCTTTTGGCCGTCGACGATACTGGATTCCACAGGAGCCGCGCCATACTACTCACGGATTACGTGCCTGGAGGCTTGGATCTCTTGAGTCTTCACGAAAATGAAGCCTGGACTCGGACATGAGTTATCGCAGCGATCGCTTTTCGTGAAGCGTGCGTCGAAGCTGTGCAAGAAGGGAGCGTCCACCGATCGAATACCTCGAGTTGCTCTCCGGTTTGGATACCCGCCCCTGCGGTACCTGCTTCGTTATGGCCAACATCGCGTTTCAGAAATCCTCGACTGAGAGAACCAGCGTGCGCTTGCCTGGGCAGCAGACAGAGTGCTCACTCTGGGTTCCGTCTAGAAATAAAACAAGCTGGTGATCGTTGGCAACGGCACCTGCCGCGGAAACCGACTAGGACATCGATGGAGGCCTTCTGTAGGCCTCAAGTGCACGTACCGAGCGCTGCGGCAAGGAATGATTCCCTGCAATATGGGTTTCTGACGACTCGGTGGCGGCGCGATGGACATACGCTGGACACCTGACCACATGCAGGTGTCACCGCTGCAACAAACGCACTGACTTATATACAAACACGAAGAACATGGCAAGCGACACCTGACCACATGCAGGTGTCAACGCTGCAACAAACGCACTGACTTATATACAAACACGAAGAACATGGCAAGCGACACCTGACCACATGCAGGTGTCAACGCTGCAACAAACGCACTGACTTATATACAAACACGAAGAACATGGCAAGCGACACCTGACCACATGCAGGTGTCAACGCTGCAACAAACGCACTGACTTATATACAAACACGAAGAACATGGCAAGCGATGCGTACATAGCAACGTCCGCCTGAGCACCATATGCGTCGACAACGGCTGTATGCAGCGAAAGCAGGGGAATGAACACGAGCATCCGTCATCTTCGACTGCTGACAACAGGGCTAGAGAAACAGTAGACCGGCGTTCTACAAGCAGGGGATACGTGAGCGTAACATGAAGCAGTCGGAGACCATTCCCCGCCACGACTAGTTTCGCCGCCACTGCGAACAGACCCCAAGGTTCGCTTCGGCGTCTGGGTTCGCGCACGCGTCCTCCTCCACGCAAACATGCGTATCGATATGCGGTATTCCGAGATCGCGCTACACGCCTTCGAGAAGCGAGCTTGCTTCCAGCGTGTGCGCTCCCGAACAGTGCACCGTGCACCTACCGATGAAAGACGTATTCAAATGCGCCTGTTTGTATGTGCAGGTCTCTTCGGTGATCAGCTCTGCGCCCGATCTCTCTTTACTTGTATTCGAGTTACGTTCCGAAATACGGATTGCGGCCGCGTGCGCTATTCCCTGCCATACCCGCTGCTGCTGGTGCAGACGCCGCAGGAGATGGCATGCGCATCGACGGCACCGGTCCACTAGCGCCAAAGTAGAGACTCGAGGGCGGCGTCGGTCCAGTTGGTGGCGTGCCCGCCATAAGCATCGGTGTCGATGCCGTCAGACTGCGCAGCAACGACTCCGAGCCGCTGGCAGCGTTCGTGCGCTCCTTGCGATTCGTGGTTCGATGATCGCGCTCTGCACGTTCCAGTGCTTCCAAGCGTTTCCCGTAATCATGCAGGGTTTGGATGTAGAACGGCATCGCATAGTCCGAAGCACCAAAGCGCCAGGTCCACTCCAGAACAAGATCGGGGCGCAGCAGCGGATAACACAAGTACAGGGCCATGGTAAAGGCCTCCTTCAGATTGCTCTCTAAAAAGTAGCGCGCTATGGATTCAGCGAGGCTCGCAGAGCCTGATTCTGCGGCGATCTCAGCAGCCTCCCGGAATGCCATATCTCGTTTGCAGAGCTCAAGTGCTCGTTCGTATTTCTGGCTGCGGCGGAGCAGCAGCACAGCGACTTGACGCATGAGCGGGAGCTCGTGTTTCTCCAGACGCTGAGCCAGTGCCATTTGGTCAAAGTTCGGGTAGCGCTCCACGGAGAGAACCAGGGCGTCCACGTCTTCTTCCATGATGAGGACTTCGTTCAACGCTTCATTAACTTCGGCCAAATTCTTATCCTGTACGCGCAGCATGTACGGCTTCAACAAGGGAACGTGGCCTAGAGGACCGAACTTGTCGAGGCCGTGCTGACGAGCCATGGAGAGCACGCGGCCCGGGTCCAGGCGCGATTGCAGCACGCCCAAGAGCTCAATGAGCAAATCAGGGTGCTCGTCCATGTAGAATGAGACTGCGCGATAGAGGACTTCGGCGCCAGTGACGGCGGCAAGACACTCTTCGAGGCCCTTGTGCGACCAAGCAAGTGGTGCATGTTCCATCATAATCATTGCAGCAGCGTCGTATTCCTCGTACCGCATGTGGGCAAAGCAAAGCTCATTCCACAGGTGTGCACTCTCCAGAGCCCGGATGACTTTGGCCAGATTACAGCGCGACCAGTAAACGAGGAGGTGCTCCATGACCTTTTGCTCTGCGTACTTGCTATAGAGCACCGCGAGCTCGGTAAACATGCCATTGTGCGCTTTGTCCAGTCCGAGACCGTTCTCCAGTACACTCATAATCTGATCGAAATAGCCACGCGTCTCGTAGACCCGAATGACCTCGTCGAGCTCCTCGGGGACCACAATCAGATGCAACGCGCACAGCTCTGCAATGCGAAACTCCTGTGCCTCCACACACGCATAGCAAACAGTCTTCCAGGTACGCAGTTTGTTCGCTTTGCGTGCCGCCTCCAGTGCTGCCGTAAATTCCCGCATGTATACCAGGCACTCGGCCAAACGTGCGTAGTTGTTGGCAGCGACAAACAACAAACGGGCGGCTTCGTACTTACCTTCACTGAAGAGACGGTCCCCGACAGCGTCTAAATCCGCTGACTGCGGCGAAGCGAGAAGCTCCTCCAACTGTGACAACTTTGGAGGATCACAGCAGGCAAGCGCGTACACCAGTTCGCTGTCGATGAGTTCCTCGTCAATGCCGAGCTGCTTGCTGCGCACAAACTGGAGGTATGTGGCGAGGTCAGCAAAGGCGCCGGTCTTGCGACACGCCTGGATCAGTGGCCGGTAGCGATTGGTCACACCAGCGCGCATGTACACTTGAACGGCCTTGGTAAGCTCTCCCAGACGAAGCAAGCCGTCGCCGAGCCGTGCCCAGATATCCGCACGGTCGTGCTGTGCTGCGTACTCGTTCGCCATGACAATGTCCTTCTTTTGGTCAATGAGAACGCTCACAGCCTCGACGTGCATTTCGAACTTGGCGAAAGTCGCAAATGCCTCATCGTAGAGGTCGTGCTCCAAGCACAGCTGGCCGATTGTTGCGCCGTCAAACGCGTCCAGGCGGCGAATATAGTCACCGGTGCGCTCGGGTGCTGATCGAATTGACGTCAACAGCAGCAGGTTTTGGAGAGATGTATTGTTCGCAAAAGTTCCGCCCGCCTGCAAAACCAGCTTCTCCAAAAGTTCTAGAAGCTCGTTCTGTAATCCAGCTCGCATGAGTGCTTTCACTGCGGCACTGACTTGCTCCGGATTACGATTCTCCATCAGGGCAGACCCGATTACCTGCGTGAGCAGGGTCTTCCGATTGGGGTTGCTCTCCTCGAGGACGCGTGCCCAGAGTTCCGGGTTCATCCGCTCGATAACGTAGCGTGCCTGCTCCCGCCAGAGGCCGTGATCGCTTGTTACGCGCAGCACATCGTCATCACATGCACCGTGCGCGTACGCAATGAACGCGAGAAGCGGATCACGCCGTTCACAAAAGTTGCCCACAATTCGAGCATCATAAAACTCGTTCGTCTCGAGGAAATGCTCCGGGTTGATGTTGGCGTCGACGTAGACCTTGGCCAACGCGGTATGAACCGCTCTGTCTTTGCTGCCCTCGGCAACCAGTGCTTCCAGCAACTGCAGCATCAGTTTCAGCTTCTGACGTTCTTCGAGCACCTGCGTGACGGCCTCGATAGGCACCAGTGATTTGATGCTCATCAGCAGCGACTTGATATAGACGTCGTCAACCGAAGAGCTGTCAGAGTCGAGTAGCGCAGCCACGACGGCTGGCGTATTGCCGGGGTTGATTCGCTGAACATAGCCTTTCACGATTTCAAGCTGATTCTGCTTCACAAAGTACCGAACCATGTCTTCGACATCACCGCCTTTTTCGCACACATTGATGATCGGACGAGGGTCTTTGGGTCTCAATTCAAAGAGCAATTCCTTCACTTGCTCGGGATTGTACAGATCCGATTCGCGGGTGACGCGCTCCGCCTCAGACCACTGCTGCGTTCGACAGGCTGCTTCGATGTATTTGGCAACGACATAGGGCGACTTGCTGGTTGCCAAAATTGCCCCGAGGTACAGATACATTCCTTCATAGCACTGGTGCTTCTCGAAGAGGTCAATCAGACGTGATGGTCCCAGAGCATCTGAGTAGCGGATGGCAACCTGCACCACCCGCTGTATGTTGCCGCGCAAGTCGTTGGTCAATAGTTCATCGAGCAGCTCGAGGCTGTCGTCGGGAGAAAGATTCGCGAAAATTGAGAGAAAGTACTCCGGTTGAATTGCATGCGACAATGTAACCAGTATCCTTTTGACATCGCTAAGACGAGTGTACAGCTGCAAAGCGCGCTGAGCAAGTCCCGCCCGCTCGCAAAGCACAGCAATCCGCTGCTTATCAAAATGTGTATACATCTCCTGAGCAAGTATCGCATCAGCTACCTGCGGAGCACCCAAGGTCAAGTTGATCTCAAGGACTTTGGTCTGCAAGTCACCTTGCTCCGGGCGATCCTCGCGCATAACATCCAAAAGATATGAGGTCGCTTCCTGCACCATCCCGCGTTGCAGAAACAGGTCCGCTACCGCCGCGTGGTCTGCGGTATCTGTTGCCAGCGACTCCGCGACCTCGAGCGCGACCTTTGGGCTGGTTGCCAAAGCGCTCTGGATCAGGGAAAGCGCGTCCACTGGAATACCATTCCGTTTCGCGTATTCCGCGGCTCGCTTGTATTCGCCGAGTTGAATGAGACCATCAAACACCTTGCGATGCGCACCGGCTTTCAGGTAAATCGCCAGAGCCAAGCGATGATCGTTGGCAGCTCTTACTAGATCGCCAAGCTCCTCAGAGCATTCGATTCGGTTCTCCTTGATCCATCGCTCAAGCAAACCCAGCCGGGAATATGCGACGACCTGCCGACCAAGTTCGATCGATTCAACATTGTTGAGGTTGCCGTGCTCCAAGAGCACCTGCAAGTACAAAAGGAGAGGCGATGGTACATTCGGTTGTGGTGTCGCCGCCTTGAACATCTCCATGGTTTGAGGCGTGCGCAGATTCCCAGCAGGCGATTCCGCAACGACCTGAGCCGCCTCACGGTATTTTCCCGAATCAAAGAGGAGGCGAAATTGTTGCGCGAAAAGATCATCTGCACCGGGCAGCGCATTCCGTGCCGCGAACTTGATGGCCAGATCCAGGTCGTTTGTCTCCCTCAGGATGTACTCAACGACCAGAGATGGGTCGATTGCAAAAACAAGAACCTGCCCCCGTCGGTTGATTCCTATTAATCCGCCTGTCTCTCTGTGTGATGTGCTAACAAAAACAGGAGATTCACTAATGCGATTCGCGTAGATCAACTTGCCCGATTCCAAATCAAACGCATGGATGTAGCCGTACTTGGTCAGCAGATACGCCACCGACAGTTTGCTCGATACCTGCAATGCCACGGGAAAATCGTTATCCATGCCAGGTGCGTATACGATATTCGTGATGCGTTTCTCGAAGCGCGGAGCACCATCTGGCTTCCTATCCTGAGCGACCTCCACCACGTGGAATTTGGTCTTGCTCGCGAACGCGAACAGATGCGTACCCGTAACATCCTGAGAATCAATCCGGTAGCGATCACAGAAGCCTGCTGCATAGCCATCGAGAATCTGACTCACACCGCGATCCACAGCATACAGCTGGATCTTGCCCAGCACACCACCGGGAGCGGTGTCGTCGGCGCGGATCCCAACCAGAGCTAACCAGCGTTCACCTACACCAGCAACTAAGTTAATAACTTGGCAGGCGGCCAGCGCTGGGTGTCGATCGAATACTTTTGCAGGCGGCGCGGTGCTCGAAGCGTCAATCGACCAGCTGTACACCGCGTTCGCAGTAACGATCCCCAAGGTGCGCCCAGAGAGCCATTTCCAAAACACAATATCGCCCTCTGACAACAGGTATGACTTGATACGCGTCTTAGATGTGATGTCGAATAACTGGATCTGCGCACCTGCTCTCAGGGCAATGATGCGGCTCTCGGGGTTCATTATTGCCGAGTCCGCGGTTATCGGTCGCCGCACGATCTGGTCGGGCTTTGTAACATCTATAATCGCCAGCTTATTTCCCTGGTCAGAGGTCTCCCGAACGCAGATGACACGGTCTGACTCCATGGTGACGTTGCTGAAGCTGATATGCGTCGGGCTGATGCCCACCGAGGGCAGCGTGAACAGCTCCTCGAAAACAACAGGTGCCGCCGCCATGCTTCAACGCAGCAACCTCCACAAACTATTCTCCGGTGAAGTACCTCTTTACCCAACAAGCCAACAAACAACGCTCAAGAGGTTGCTGGTGTACAGAAAGGCCTCCCGAGCCGCAAAACAGACACTTTAACCCAATTAGACTACCAAGGCGGCGCGCAGAAACGGATGCGTGCGCTGCCCAGCCATGCACACGTGTCCAGGCGCATGCGTGCACATCCATCGATGCGTGTATGCGTGCGCCAGCGCGATTGCATCGGGACGTTTCTCGCCGAAGAGCAGCAGCAGCGGCAGTCGCCGCCACGGCACTGTGTGATGCAACGGACGCTGGAGAGGCGGCGCCTATGGCGGCAATTGCTGCGATGCGCTGCTCCCAGGCGCACCGCCTCGCCCGTCGATGCTGTTCATAGAAGGTATTTCCAGCGTTGGTGATGCTGGTGGTGCTGGTGGAAGCTATCATTTGACGATGAGATGCGTATGCACCAGGTTCACGGTATATGCACGCGAAATCGGTCGGTCTTTGCCGGTTCTGAGAAAAAGAGCGACGCGAAGGATTTCATGCCCCCTGATGGGGTGCAGTTCGAAGACACGGGATGCAGCGCATGCAGGATTTGCACGGCGGACAAGCACAGCGCGGTTTCTGGATACTGGGTCACGGACGAGTGGCTTTTCTTCTCATGATAAGCGGCATGCATAACAAAACCGTGATGCCCCCAGAGACGCAATTGTCGGCTATTGGCAGCGTTTCTCATGACGAGCAGGATGCATAACGCAAACTAGATTCTCCTAAGCAGACACGTGCTTCCAATAGCCAGCATAGAGTCCCAGGCACTTGCGTGGAGCACCTTGTGCACTGAGGTACCCGAACAGAGGCTTCGTGAACGCGTCGCAGCGATGCGGGCGCTCCCGCAGTGGACACGTGCGCCGCGACGCAGTGGCAGGTATTTTGCGAAGAGGCTGTTCGCTTTCGCTGGAGGACTCGCACGGAAGCTGAGCAGCCCGCTCGTTGATGAGCGATATTCTCCGCGCACGAGAAGACTTGCGTCTTGGTCGATTCGAAAGTGCAGCATACAACGCTGAGCGTTTGCTTGCAGGTGAACCAGAAAACCCCGCTGCAGTAGAGGTGCTCGCGCAGGCGCTGCTTTCAGCGGGTGAGGCGCGGCGTGCGCTACACCGACTCGAGCGCTATCGGACAAGGCTGCCTTTGGAAGAGACTGTTTTTATTCGCTTGATCGAAGCTCGATGTCTGGCGGAACTGAGGCTATACGAGGACCAGGTCGCGATTTTCGAGGAGCGTGGCCTCCCATCCACGACAGGAGAGCGCGACGCTGCACGCGGGAACGCGAATCCGCTCATCGCCGCCTATTACGTTCTCGTGGGCGATGCGTATGAAGCCCTGGAGAACCCTCAAAAAGCAAGCGAATGCTATATTGCAGCACTGCAGGCTGACGAAAGCTGTGTGGAAGCGCTTGAACGACTCTTCTATAGCAACGCGGTGGTAGCGTCAGTGCCGCTGGGCGCTTTACCCCCGAGCACGTCGTCCGGTGCTCAGCACAAGGCACTCTCTGTTGACCAGATCGCACTCCAGGCGCTATGGCCATTCGAAACACCGTTTCCCAAGGATAGTTCCCCTTCGAAGGTATATCTCATGCTTGCGAACGATCTTCGGTTCGATGACTGGCGGAAACGTTGGTCCCTGGTACCTTGCTTCTTCTTGACCATGGTCGCTACCCGGTTCTGGCGCCTCGGTTTCTGCCAAGAAGCGTACAGACTGGTCTCATTTTTGGTCGCTGAACGAAAGGAACTGGAACTGAAGCGGAGCTTTCCCTTGTTTGTTGCGCTGCTGGCTCACCACCAGGACCTTATCACCCTCTTCCGGTACGCGCATCAGCTCGTGCAGGAATTTCCGCGAGCGGCAGAGTCCTGGTACGCTGTTGGCATGTACTACTTCGCATCGGGGAAATATGATGCATCACGCGCGTACTTTCAAAAGGCGACGCTCTTAAACAGCAATCTTGCATACGTATGGGTTGCGTATGGCCACGCCTTTGCCGCTGTTGACGACAGCGAACAGGCGCTTGCGGCATATCGGACTGCAATGCGTCTCCGACCGAATGACCCGACACCGCTGCTTCATGTCGGGATGGAGTTTGCTCGGCAGAATCATCTGGCAATTGCGCGCAACTTTTTTGAACGGGCAGCAGCAGCAGCAGCAGTAGTAGTAGCGCCTGTATTGACCTCGAGTGCCGACTCGGACGCAGACGAGGACGCACTGGCAAACGGCATCGAGCGTTCCCGCCCGTGGAATGAACTCGGTGTGCTATGCTATCGGGACGGGGAGTACGCCGAGGCAGTCGCTTATTTTCAAAAGGCAGCACGTCCACTCCAAGCGTACAAGAAAGCATGGTCGATGCGCCTAGGCCTAGACCAAAGATATCGCATCTCCGATGGTGGTGGAGGGTTTGCTCCAGAGAAACAGGCTGAAGCGGCTGTCCAACGACCTGTGCTACAACAGAGCGGCATCGAGAACAGCCAAAGCACAAGCTCGGATACCAACGCTCCCTCGGCAACATCCGTCTGGTGCGATCCCACGAGCACGTTTTATGGCTGCCAAGAAGCGCGTAGTCTGCTGGCAACCATTTGCAGTAATCTTGGACATGCGCTCATTCGACTGCAGGCGATAGACCTAGCTGCCGAAGCGCTCGAAGAAGCGCTACTGGTCGGACACGCTGTTCGACTTGCCCCGGGCTGCGCTGGGTCCGATGCGCTGGCACGGGCGGATACCTTGTCAGCGCTTGGCTATGTGGAACATGTGCGGGGCAGCGTGCAGAGAGCTGCTCAGCTCTATCACGAGGCTGCCCGGGAACTTGCGCTTGCCGGTATCAACGGGAGCACGCTGCTTCTGGACGCGCTCCTTGAACGCGCTGTAGATGAGCTGGCTATGCAGTCGATCAGCGAAATAGCCACCACGGAATGACCGAGCTCTGGTACGCGATATCAGCGTCGCGCTCGTGAAGCCTTGCCCTCGGTAACGCCGCACGTACCTGCTTCGACAGCTTGGTTACCTGCGTTCATGCAATGTTCACGAGCTGGATGCGTTCAAGGATTGACGCAGCGTACACCGCAGCTGTCGTACAATCATGCGCTGAGCGCACGTTCTCGCTGTTGGTTTCAGCGTGCGAGCAACGCGGGTCGTATGCGCGTCTGTACTTCCCCCGTAGCCGATGACGTTGAACCGAGGATTCGGGGGAATGTCTCAACAGCGAACAGCATCGCGTGTTGCAACGCTCCGCTACGTGTCTGCGTCTAGACATGATCCAAGACAGATGCACTGGGAAAGCGCTGTGATGCACAGAATCTGCGTCGAAGAGCGATTTCGCACGATAAACTTCTTTAAGTGGATTCTTCTTCTTCTTCTTCTTCATGATCATATTCATTGTGATTTTCTCGTATTTGATTGAAATATATGCGTGTTTTCTGCCACCGTCACATGGAAAACGAATAGCGCGTCTGCCTGCTTACTAGTACTTGAATAATCGTATTGCCAGTGTCGTGATCGACACTGTGACTTTGGTTGGGAACAACAACGAGTTGCGTCTCAACTTGTTCCCCAAGCGCTGGGCCTGCCCGAACGCTGACGACTAGGTTTGCATTGGCCCAAGCGCAAATACTCGGCTCTAGAGGGGTACCTCCTCGACGAATACCGTGCAAGGCTCGCGGATCGAGAGCGTTTGGTAAGGTGTGCACCGTTGTTCGCAGCCCGCAAGCGTTAGATCATCCATTGAGTCCGCGGACATGCCATCTTGTTCGGGATTTGGTGCAGCGCCCAAGTCGGCACTCTGACCAGCATCTGCAGCTTGTTCATGACATGGCGCATGGTGGCCAGTCGACAAAACCAAGCCAGTATCGGGATCCAGCTTGAACACCGCTACTCGATCTGAATCTTGGTTAGCCACGTAGAGGAACTCTGCGCGGGGATCCAGGGCGATATCACGTGGGGTGCGTCCACCAGACGGAACCCACTGCAGAATCCGCATACAGCCATTCTGTTCGGAGAACTCGATAACCGCAACTGAGTCGTGTCCACGGTTGCTCGCATAGAGCCGATCCGTTCTCAATGGATGCAGACGCAACGCCGACGAGATGTTGTACTGGTGCAGTATTTCCGGCGAGTACCTCTGACGATAGTGGGCCGGGAGCAAGTCCAACATGGACGCAGGCGTGCTCGACAGCAGCCCGCTGGCAGTCTGATGCCCAAGCACCGTCTCCACTGGCGTTGGTCCGTCCCAGGCGTAGCACAGCAGGGTCGCGTTCAGTTCACAGAGAACGAGCGCCCAACGGCCAGATGGATGCAACAACATGTGGCGAGGTCCCGCACCGCTCGGCGGCACGGAAACGAACGCCGCAGAGGGATGCGGCAGGAGACAGCACGCCGTCCCGGTGGCTCGTGCGAACTCGGTCTGGTACAGTACGCCACCCTGGGGCGCTTGGAACGGGTAGTCAGACACCACACCAGCCGGAGTGATGAAACGCTGCTGCTGCGCTTGAATGGGGCGACCGTTCTGCTCATCAGGACCAGGCGATGTGCCCCGTACATGCGCAGCGACAGCATCCTGTGCCTCTGTACACAACTGCGCATCGCTTCCCGATAACGCAGCGTGCGGTACGCACCGCAGAGACTCTTGGTCTTTTCCGTGTGCCAGCTCGGAAGCTACCTCATCAAACCGGAGGATAAATTGATAGATGCGGTCCGTTCCTAGATCTGGGACATAGAGGAAGCGCTCGGTGGGGTCAACCACGATCTGGTGTGAGTGTGGTCCATCCTGCCGATCGCGGCGGAAACCCAAGAGACTTGATTTTGCTTTCTGTGCCTGTTGCATCGCTTCAGTGAGACCTAGGAGCGACGCTGCGCACGGTTTCGTTTCCTCGTCGACTGCATCGACTGGGGATATAAACTGCACATGCTGCACCAGGTGCAGACGTGGACTCGTCGTATGCTCACGCTCCACTGCCTCACGCTCGATATGGAAGACCACAACAGATCCACTCCAGTAGTTTGCTATAAGAAGAAACCGTCCAAGGTGATCCGTCCACGGATGGCAAGCGCCGTGTCCCGCGGTCGCAAACTCTCCGAGCCGCTCTAGCAGGCCGCCCTCGCGCCGCAGCCAGCGGAACAGGGTCACCGACCCGAAAATATCCGGGCGAGCATAGTCGAACTTGGACGTTTCATTGACTGCCCAGAGGTACTCGCCTGAAGGGCCACGATCGCGACAGAAATACGCTGGACACAGTAGCCCGTCAGCACGGACGACGAGTCCAGACTCGTCAGCCTCCTCCGGGGAATCAGTTTTAAGAGGAGCCAGGTAGCCTGTGTCGTTGTCCAACCAAAACCCGAACACACCTTTTCCGGTCCCACGACTGTGGTGTAGCACACGCGTGTACGTGCCAAAGTACACGACCGTGCGAGGACGCGGTGAGGCTTTAGCGATTGGGGAGCGCGCACCAGCCATCACTGGAGTTGCGCGTGGCGAAGCAGCTCTCAAGAGCTCAGCTTGCACTGTAACTGCGTCATGAATATTCCTGTGAATATCTACTAGACTCGGAAAAGTTGTACTGACAAGACGCACTGAGTCGGAGCGCATTTTCGCACCCGATAGAAGAGCTTTCGTTCGTTCGTTCGTTTGAGTTGGCGGAGCTACGGACCGAGAATATCTCGGGCGTAACGACGGACCGAGAATATCTCGGGCGTGGCTGGAGAGTCGCTCGAGCGCGCCGTTGATTTTTCTCATGAACGAAATGATCACGCCAGCCAACGCTTTTCGCTCTTGTCGACTGTGGAGGTCTCTGTTCTATCACCGCACGTCTCCTGATATTGATCGCGGCGTTCAAGTCCCGGTTCAGAAATTCCATACGTTTTTTGCAAATGGTTGTACTTACGAATGCGAGTAGTCCACGAACTTTTGCCCTCTATTCCATATGCTCTTCTGTCAGTGGTCCGTGCTTTTTAAGTCTTCAGCGCTCCGCTGGCACTTTTCCATCTCGACCCTTTGAAGTGTACACCCCAGTTCATGGTGTGTGTAGGACGTTCGAAACTCATCTACAGGTATCGTAGCGAAACGCCGTGCACACTCTTTGTACGTTGTTGTCGTTGGAGCTGGCGTAGTCCCTTTTTTCGGTTCTTCCAGCGCCCTGCCCCATAAGCTACTTCCAGCCTCTGAGTTTCATCCTCTTTGAGGGCACTCAACTGATTGAAAAAGTCCGCGAACGCCCGCTGCTTCCCACAATATAGATTCATTCGCAGACGAGCCCACCGGGGATTTGTATACTCCTCCCACAGCGCCTCCCAATGAGCAACGCGTATTTCCATGAGTTTCCGAAAAGCTTGTAAGCCCGCTCCTCGGCTCGTCACCTCACTCAAAGCTTCCAGGTGATCCTTCATTCCTGCATTCCACGTATCAATTTTCTTCCTTGCATTCATTATACCGGATTCTCGATAGTATCTCGCTGTCGAGAACCTCAAAAGACGCTTGTCTCTCTGACGTAAGTCACCGTCAGTATCATCTTCCCCAGGCTTGGGTGCTGCGATGGTTATGATATTCGTATTCCCAGGGTCCGCACCCACGACAAAGTCGTTATCCTGCACCTCCTGCATCGCAGGATCCGCCTCCTTCTTTTCTGCATGGCTCGTCGAGGGCGCAGCAGAGGGCGGAACTGGACGATCTGCCTTCAAGCGCCGATAGTGTACGTCCATGGCTACTCCATCGGTTTCGATCATCCAAGTGAATACCTTTTGCTTGCTCACTTTGAGACGTTTGAAATCGAAGATATTCTTCCAGTACGGCTCCCGGTTCTCGCCGGTGAACTCCTCCCTGCTAACATTGAACTCAAGACTGATCTTCCTGATGATGCCATGAAGGACTCTGGAGTCGGTAGTCACAAAATGTGACTTGATGTTGCACATTGGAACCACGTTGACGCGCTTCCCCATTAGGAAAGCCGTCCGTCTCTCCGACTCTTCATTGTTTTCCTCACTTAGCTTCACATCTGCCTTGCATTCGAGCTCTCGGTCCAGAAACAAGAAATACCGCAGGATGAGGCGATTGTATTTTTCCATATGTTTTTTCAACTCTGACATCTTTTCTGCTGGATTCGCCAGCCCCAGGTCTGCGCGGTACTCTTTACTAGGCGCACGGATTACAGAAGCTTCATTCGTGCTCTCGTTTGACGACTTCTTGTCAACGATCTCCGTCTCATCTTCATGCTTACGATCTTTCGTGATGCCATTGATAATCGCCCATTTTCCATTGCGAGACAGACCCGGGTAGAGTGCAAACACGGAGCGTATCATGAAACGTTCGAGGTTCATTGTCAAATGGTTCTTCAGATTCGTGAGGTACTTCATTGCCCCGTATGTGTAAATATCCTGGTCAGCCTTGTATCGAGTACCCTCGAAGCTATAAAAGGGATGTTTTCCGTGGAGAGCATGCACGAACTCATTTCCCCTCCGCGTTTCCCTGTGCCAAGCATCAGGTGCCGAATAAAGGTCTGGTCGAACAACTCGTCTGGAATCTCGACCGTTTCCATGTGCGTCACGTCGCGATACATCTCTCTCACCAAATGCATCAGTCCTGACGACGTCTTTATGGTGCTCTTGGTGTACGAATCGACACGTTTTTCGATAGCGTCTCGCAACCTTTCCTTGTACGACCCCTTGATATGTCCAAGAAGAAAGGCTTTCACCACCGTCTCGTCGTACAGTCGTCTTTCTGGCCGTCTTCGACGCAGGGCCTCCCCCTTTCGGTCCTCTTCTCTTCCTTTTCTTCTGGACTCGGCACTGTTTTTCGTTTTTTTTTCTGGCAGCCGAGGATCCTGGACTTCAAGGATCGTCCAGTTGCTTTTTCACAACTTTCCTTTTTCTTAGTTTCTTTTGAAAAAGAGCCCTCTTCGAACGCATTTGTTATATGCTGCGAAAATTCAATGGAATATTCTTACTTGAGGTTTGAAACACAATTGAACTGGGAAACTAGACTTTGCTATGGCCTCAAAGGAAATCCGACTTTTACAGTAGAACAACACACTAGATCTAGCCGTGCAATGCCGTTGTCATCCATGGGACAAGACCCTCACCAACAGTGCACGCTGCGAGTACGAGATCGAATGCTCCCAAAAAAGAAAACGTGTTGTCTCGATCGCGTTTCCCTTCAACAGCGACATTCGCGTCGTATTTCGTACTACCAAATTTGGGATGCGCGTACCGAGCGCGTTATTTAGAATAAGGAACATAGACTCACGATTCACCTGCAAATATTTATGTATTTCTATCCCCATCTACGATAAACGTTACAAAGGGGAAAGGTTTCCGTATCTTCGAAAGTTTACCTTCTAGGCGTAAGGTCCCGCGAGACGGACGAATCTACCAAGCTCGTGCTTCATGCTTCCTCCAGTGGCAGGTGCTGTGGCGAGACCTGAACAATGCGTCCGCAAAACGCAATTCATTCTGGGATCAGGGGCAGTTAGGCTCCATCTGGGCGTCGATCTGGTCGCAGTGGACTCCTAGTATATCGCGTCAAACTGCCGCAGGCAGTCCGTCTGCCAGCGCAGCTTGCAGGCTCGCAGATTGATCATATACTCCGACTACGTATCAGGTGAAGCGTTCCTCGATCCGACGCCCTCAATGGCGTGCCAAAGCCGTTCTATCCCCATGATATATCTGCTCCAGCGATACAAGCCCCGAGGCGAGCGCTCACATCAAGTACTCGGCAAACGATAGACCATACGAAACGGCCAGTATATCCAAAAGGAACCTGGAGGTAACATCATGATGGACGCTTTCCCGAACGCCACCACCCATCCTTCCCGAAACCAGGGATCCCTGCTCCATGGAAACGTTTTGTCATCGCAATCGAATCAGGATTGCACCATCGATCTTGATGCAGCGATGTCCATTGCAGCGCGCGCTTGCGCATCAGCGCCCGCAGGGTCGCGTCACGCGGGGATGTATGAACAGCGCCTCGAGACAGCGCGCGTTCGATAGACGCTCAGCGCGTGACTACCCTGAACGCATGGACCATATGAGCGGGTATACACGTTTCGAGTAGGTTCCTGTTTGGTGCTATAGTACTTGACGTGAAAGCAGGAATACTCAGTATCCAACGATAGAGGTCAGTTTCCGTTTTTAGGCTGTTTCGAGGTTGCACGAGTCGGTTGTAGTGGAAACCCTCGCGCGACGCAGCGGTAGTGGCAGCGCCAGTTCGCACGGACGACTTGTCACGTCTACAAAAGACTCTGGGCTGCGACTCTGTGGTGGTTTTGGTTGAGTTGTCTATTGTTCGCTCGACAGATTTTGCTCAGAGAAGCCGTGAGTCGGGTTGAAGCGGAGCGTGTTTGGATACCAGGAGGTTTTTGAAGCTGCTGAAGCAAGCGTGTCTGTGGCTGTGTACCAGGGGTGAGCGGGCACCATGCGGGGCCCAGTGGGAGGGCGCACAGCCGCTGTCGAGCCAGCGGTCGGTGCGACACCCGCAGCGAGTGCGTCGGAGCCGAAGGATCCAGTTCCAACGGTGGTGGGGCAGTCGTGCCCTTGCACTGGCGGCAAAGGTTTCATCGTGGAAAAGGACGTTTTTCTTGGCTCTGGCCACTTTGGCGACGTTTACAAGGGCCGCAACGCGCTTACAGGCGAGCCAGTAGCGGTGAAACTGGAGTATCGCTCCCGAACGATTGCGTATCGCGAGTGGGAGGTTCTGATGCGGATGCAGGGACTCGGCGCTCCCACTGTCTACTACACTGGACATGTCGGGCGATATTTTGTCTGTGTTATGCAGCTGTTGGGACCTACGCTCCAGAAGGCCCTTGAATCTCGAGTTTCGCGACGATTTACCTGGCCACAAGTGTCTCAGATCGCGCTCAAGTGTTTGGCGTTGATCAAGCGAGTCCACGACATCGGTTATGTTCACGGGGATGTGAAGCCCGAGAATTTCCTCCTCGAATACCGCGAACCGAAAAACCAGACGTCAAGTCGCCAGAATACGGGGGGGTCGTGCGTGGACCCCTTGGCGCTACTAGAGGTGAATATAGACGCACGCGATGCCTCCGGGACGGGCGCCAATGGAACGACATCCGTGAGTGACCCAAAGTACGCTCGCGTGACGCCGGCGAAAATCGACGTCAACGTGCCTCTCTATATTATTGACATGGGCCTCGCCACCCGTTGGCGCGAGGATGACGCCACGGGCAAGCACGTCCCATACGGTCAACGTATTGATCACTTTAGCGGCACGGTGCGGTACGCGTCGGTGAACGCGCACCTCGGCCGCCACCTGTCTCGGAGAGACGATCTGGAATCACTCGCTTACATGCTGATTTATCTGTTGAAAGGGCAGCTCCCGTGGCAAGGTTTTGTCGGCGACGACAAGAATATGCAAGTCTGCGAAAGCAAGGGACGCATGCTAGTTAATGACATCTGTCGAGCAGTGCCGGATGAGTTGCGCTACTTTTTGGCCTACGTGCGGCAGCTGAAATTCGCTGAACAGCCAGACTACGAGTACATGGCACGGATTTTGGATTGCAAGCAGGGAATCGTTTGGATTCATCAGCAAATGCGCCTCATGGCCGAGGGAGTGCCGCTTGTCCCCCCGTATCAGGCACGTACCCCTGCCGCCGAGACTGTTGATGTCGATAGTGCCGCACCGAGTGCGAATATCATCAACTTGGCCAGCGATGTCTCGCAGAACAGCGCAGGAGCAGCAGAAGTTCTTCTTGTGGAGTCGTCAGTGCCGGGCACGGTCGGTGGTAAGCGGCGGAATGGTATGTCAGGGCAAGCATCTGCCCAGGCACCAAAGCGAGCGCGAACGCCGGGTGCGGCGGCCGAGCTGCAGAACACGGCGCAAGCGGTCTCGCGAGCGAGCTCCACAGAGCCGGACGTGGGCATTCGTGGTGGCGCGCTCGCTGAACATGCGCTATCCTTGGCGCTCCAGGACGTGGGCATGCGACGAGGACGCTTTGAAATTATTGCACCACGAACGACGAAAACACATCAGTGGGTAATCATAAGCACCTCAGCGAACAACGCCTCGTCATGTGCCCCAGCGAGCCAGGTGTACACGAGTCATACCTCGTACAAGAATCTGGTGCGCGAGGTGGAGCGCAAATGGGCTCAGGGCATGCGCATCAGCGTGTTGTGCTTCGACGGCGGGATGTGGACCAGCGTCCTCAACGCCAGAGATCCCGTGCTGGTGGAGCAAGCCATGCACTATTGCCCCGGCAATGAAGTGCCTCGAGATTGGATTCGCAGCAAATGGGACGAGGGCTTCTACATCACTGCTTGCTCAGCGAATCACACAAGTTGGGGGATTGTCGCATCGACCATGAATCGCAACAAACGCTACAAGCAACAGAGCTATATCGTGAGCTCGACCTTCCCGGCCAAGTGGTGTGCCGACAAGTGGACGAACGGCTATGCCATCACCAGCCTCTGTGTCCAGGGGCCGCCCTCTGCCGAGCAGTGGCTCGTCGTCATGAGCCGAGGCACAGCGTTCAAGGAGCAGGTGGTCGAACTCGAATTTGGGTATCCCAGTGAGAGCATTCATCACCGCTGGGACGAGGGCTACATGCTGACGGCAGTTGCTTGCGGATCAGATATATCGGCCTATGTGATGAGTCGTGGACACGCGTCTGGTGAAGAGCAACGCTGCACGCGCACGAGTCATGGGCCCTTGTGCAAGATTCGCGAGGACTGGAGCGACGGACTGTTCATCACGGCGACGGCCTTTGGCCGTATCACTTGAACGCGATTGAGGATCTGACAACCGAGCATGTTTCGGCAGTACCGAGCGATACCGACAACGTTGGGTGTTGATTTGTTTCGCAAGACGTCATCGCTTGCCGTGCACGATGCGATGGATCGTGCCGGACGTTGCCGCTGTTACGACGTAAATCGTCGCAAGGCGCACAGTGCAATGATGCTGTGCACGCATCACCGGATCGCGATCTGATGCCGGTTGTCGTCATGTGTCGAATGGTCGTGCATGTGCATGCCGTCCGGGGCCGTGCAGTGCACGCATCACCGGATCGCGATCTGATGCCCCCGTTGCTGGCGTGGATCGCGCATTGTAGCCTCCATGCATGCCTCATCATACGTTTATGTGCGTGTCCGGCGTACGCGTGCCCGCAACCGCTGCTTCCATCTCTATTGCAGTTTTTACCTGGTCGTTGCGGGCGATGCCTGCGCTTGCCACGAATCCTGTTGCTCCATGGAGCACGTGCGCCTCGCATTCAAAGCACCAGCGTTCGATCAAGCGAGCACTCCATAAACGCCCCTGTCTTCGGATCGTATCGTAGGTGTGGTCGACCAGCTACCGACACCACCCTCGTATCAGACCGAGCGTTTGATGAGGCGCCATTTGCTGCAGCGGACGCGCCTGGAACGCGTCGCCGGATCGCCAGCGCTGGCGATCCGGCGGTTGCGCTGGCGGCGTACTGGCCCGATACCCGCCGCCGCTTCGGATCGATGCGCGAGCACGCCGCCTGTGCGCTCTACACCTTGCGTGCCTCGCGGGGAGCAGCTGACAGCTTAGGCGACAAACTTTTGAAGCACCTGGTCCGCAGCGTGTACAACGGTGCTGCATACTTACTTGACCAAGAGTCTGTTGTGTGTCTGCTTCGTTTTCTATTGGTTTCCTATTGTAGGCGTCCTTGAATTCAAATCATGAACCGAGTACTTGTGCGTTGTATGACCGCGAGCTGGCCCAGTGCATTGCGGCAACGGACGCCGAGTCTGTTCCGTCGGGTCGCGGGGCCCGCTGGAGAGCTCGTGCAAATGGCTCCACAGGCGGCACACGATCGAGGTAGGCGATTGTTGGCGAGTGCAGCTGGGACGTTTCCAGCGGATCGGAAGTACATGAAGTCCCACGAATGGGTCAAGGTTGAGAACGGCACCGGGACGGTTGGCATCACGAGTCACGCTGCAAGCCAGCTCGGTGATATCGTTTTCGTGGATCTTCCAGCAATCGGCTCGCAGCTTGAGAAAGGAGCGACGTTCGGGGCCGTGGAGTCTGTCAAGGCTGCGAGCGACGTGTATTCCCCTGTGAGCGGCGAGGTGGTTGAAGTCAACGCGGTGCTGAGTGAGGACCCCGCCCAGGTGAACAAAGACCCGCATGATGCTGGCTGGATGATCAAAGTACGGGTGAGCAATGCCGATGAGCTTCAGGATTTGATGGATGCGAAGGCGTATGAGGAGCATGTGGCATCCGAGCATCACTAGCGCCTAGGTGTGCGCTCGACGGACGCGAGGGCATGCAGCGAGCGCGAACACATCCCGAGACACCGATCGATCGTGAATCCCTCTGTTCGATGACAAGTCGGGAAATCGTTGCACAAGGTTTGCGGGTGATGCGCCAATAGCTTCAGGACCCCGAAGCTATGCGCATTGACGGGCTCGCTCCCGGGAGTTGCCGCAGCACCAAACGTGACGTTTGCACTGGCTGTAGTCTGCGATGTTGTGCTCGATCCAGTTCGTATAAAGTGCCTTTATCTAAGGATAGATTTAATGATTCTGTATCGACCACGTAAAAGTCATTCGAATGGTCCAGGTACACTGAGACGCACTGGTTACCACGAATCCGTCTGGTACGGATCGAGGCGGCCAGCAGGCGCCGCTGCCGCATCTGCTCAAACCCAGAGTCATCCACTCGAGACACCGCAGACTTCAAGAGAACCGAAGCAATGTTACGCATAGGGCGATCTCGCGTTCCCTTGATGGCGACCCAGCAGCTCTGTGTTGCCTGGGTCACAAATAAAGGCGACGCCGTCTACCGATGCGTACCCAGCGCAAGCCTCGTGTCCGAGCATGCAGCGCTGGACCCAACTCAGATGCAAGCAGAGCCCTGCATTGCTCGTCTTGCACTTGTTTTGCGATTATTTCGAAGTTTTATTTCAGTTACACAGCCTCAAAATGCAAAGTGCAGTAAAAAAACGCTTACTAATTCATGAGTTGCTGGAGGATGCTCTGCAATCTGATCGGAGCGGTTTCTTCGGCGCCTTGCCGCTGGAATATGTGGCGTCGCCTGCATCAAGATCATACGCGACGACCTCGAGCACCGCTTCGTAAAATAACCGATAGCCTCATGCGATGCTGGAGCGCGAGCCTCCACGCTTCTCCTGTCCATGGGTTCAGCATGCTCAGGTTATGCAATCTTCAAGATCTAGATCTAACTATTTCGAGGCAGCTCGTATGCACAGCGATTCGCGTCGCTGAGCTGACGAAGGGATCGTCTCGACTTCGTCCCAGGGCGACTTGCCCACAAGCTCGTGCCGAGACTTCACCGAACTTTTGAGACCAATGGATCGTAATGGATACCGTCCAGAAGACAAATCATCCTCTATTCGTGGCACTTCGACGATCGAGGTTCCACAGCATCAGCGAGCATATCATGGTATACGCTACCGAAATGTCTCCCGACGTTTCTCATTGAATAGAAAGGGGGTCTTGTATTCGGATTTGAATCATTGCAGCGGTCGCTTTCATTGCAGAATGCATCACGCTTTAGCACGAATGAAGCGTCGACAAATCGGTATTCGTCGACTTGATCTCGAGGCTCGTGTGTCCTTTCCGTATTGTTTGATCGTCGACCATATCGCATACCATAAACGCTTTATCCAATGGAGCAGCGTCCTCGTGTGTGTGCTTTATTCAAAGGCGTCTCCGAGCGTGTTACCCTGAGGAAGCCCGTGGTCGTACGGGACGGCATCGAGCGCGGAAACAAAAGTTATAATCCACCGGAGCATTCCGCACCAGTCACGGCTATGTACTGATCGATGAAGCAAGCCTTTACGCGCCACAGGATACGTTTCGGAGAAGAAGGTATGGTCGATCTATGGCGAACCCTGACAGCAATCCAGCGTCGCCGCTGCGAAGGTCGCACAGACGCTCTATGGAAAACAAAAATGAAAGTGGCAAGCGAGGCGTAGAGCACAACTTCCTGGATTGCATGCAGTGCGTCAACAACAGCCCGAGCTGCGACACAGGGACCTGCTGACAGCAACCGCCATCCTCCGACTGCGGACAATGGAGCTGCAGGACCAGGACAGACCAGCATATTTAAAGTCCGAGATCAGGGTTCAAAGGACAACAGTCACCAAAAAAACACCGCAAAGGCTAGTTTTGATCATCGTGGGAAGCGATCCAAATATTCGCGTTTACGCCCGAGTCACGTCGTTGGACCTGTTCCGTACCAATCTGACATCGGTGTATATAGGAGGTTTGATGGTCTCATTATCGGGGCACACTGCAGCTGTTTCCAGCAAACCCCCGTGCTTTGTCTTTGCCCAGCTCAAACGGGCACCCCGAAGATTCGTGTGCCGGTTCCCTGGTCGGACAAGGCCCAGCCCAGCCCAGCCCAGCCCAACGTCTCCAGAACTCGACCCTCCCGGGTATCTACTTCGCTCTTCAGATTGATTTCGGTGTTCACAGCGGTTTGAAGCACTCCATGGGGCGCTTCGCGACCGCAACGCACACTGCGGCTTCCAGATCTAGCACCGCATCCAGCATTCGTTTCATGTCCAAACATTCATCATCGCTGCTCGATACGCTATCTGCTCTTGTTGCATTCGCTGAAAAATTCGATATTTCGCTTCGTGATACATCCGCCATTTCGGATCCGGATCCAGTCGATAAAAAAGCTGATCAGGCCCGCCGTTCATGGCTTCTATTACCTGCAAAAGATCGCCTTCCAGGTGCGCACAGCGCGCGCAGATAGCGCCACCCAGGAGCATGACGTCGAAAGGGCGCTCTGCGAATACTACCGGCAGCTGACACGTGTCTGCAAGTGATTGCACAAACAGCTCGTTCTTCAGCATGCCACCACAGAGCAGGATCACGCGAATGTCGTGACCTGCCTCGTTAAGACGCTCAATGATTTGACGCGTTCCGTAGCCCAGGGATTGCACGGTGGCCAGGTAAAGCGCAGCAAAAGCCTCCTCGTTGGCGAAGGTGTCCAGACGTAGCCCGACAATCGCTCCACTCATGCGTGGATCCGCGAGCAAGGAACGATTCCCATGGAAATCCGGATACACATGGATGCCCGCTGCTCTTTTCATCTGGTGCTTGCCAAGTTGACAGAGTCGAGCGTGGACCACGGCGAGCGGTGTGTTTCCGAAGCCGAGAGCATGCGCATGACTCTCGACCAGATAATCGAGTAATCGACCGGTGACGCTCTGGCCTCCCTCGTTGAGCCACAGGTCTGGGAGCACCGCGGTGCGGTGCGGACCCCATACACCACGAACGAAAACAGGTTCCCGCGAGCAGACCATGTGACACGTTGACGTGCCAGCAATCAAGGCAATGCGTTGACACCAGTCGAAAGGCACCATGGCAGCAGCGGCAGCAGCAGCAGCAGCTGTACCCACTGAAGTAACGCGTGCCCCTGTCAGATCGATAGTCATGAGGCTCGGTGCGGTTTCATTTGATATGTTTGAGCGGTCGTCTACAATGGATCCCGTTGCGCACTGGGTAATGTTGAGGCCGTGCTCATCTAGAACGTGCATCGCTTGCGTGTTTGCAGTTGTACAGGCGTGACCCGTTGGAGTACAGGCAGCGGACATCGGCCTTGTTCCCGCACTGAGGCCCGATGGTGCCTCCTTCATCCCAGTCGGCTGGATCCACCAGTCAGATCGTTCTCCTGTTGCTGGAATACGCATACTGTAGGCTCCCACGGCACCCGCATGTGCATCGACCATGCCGGCAGCAACGACAACTTCGCGATAGTCCCAGACGAGCTGCGCTGCAGCACCTCCATCGACGGGCTCACCTCTTGCGGTTAACGTGCAGTTGGAGGCTCGGGATGTCACGTCCGATGTCGGGGAGCCAAACAACAGAAACGCTGCAATCTTTGAAAGTCCAACCGAATCCCCGATGCCGTGGACTCGCTGCCCCGGTAAACGAATCTCTCGACCGAAGCATCCGCGCGTAAACAGGTCCCCGAGTCCCCATCGTTGATAGAAGCTCGTATCCCACCGCATTTCATCGGTGCGATATGCCCACTTTGCAGCCAGGGGACAGAGTCCGCGTGCCTCCAAGTTCCCAGTTAGCGCAAATACAATAAAGTCAGAGAGGTCCATGACGGCAGTGCATCGCAGGAACAGCTCCGGTCGATGACGCAGCAACCAGAGCAGCTTCGGGGGCTCGCTCTCCGGAGACAGGGATCCCCCGTAGAAGCGAAGCACATCCTGGGTGCATTCGGCAGTGTCAGCGTTCATTTCAGCCGCCTCTGCTTCGGCACGATGGTCCATCCATACGATAATATCCCAGACGGCTTGGGGCAACGTTCCGCCATCGTCGTCATTGTGTTCCACGTCCAGCGCGACGCCGCCAGGTACACATGACCACAGACCCTCCGGTGAAGCGCATTCGTCGCTATAGCAGTTCCTGAAGAATGCTGCTTGCTCAGCACTGACAAGCGCCAAAGAGCAGGTTGCGTCGACACCAACGCCACACAGTTGCCAGGCAGGTCGCTGCTCGTTTCCATGGCCTGTTGGCTGGGGTACCGCAGGCCCTAGCTCTGCTCTCTCCGACGCGCCCAGCGTCTGCAGAGAGCGTGTCAGTACGGTACCAGCGGTGCTGACGCTCGTCGTTGCGTTTTGACTCAGTGTTTCCAGTACCTGGCGTGTGGAGCTGGCAACCGCTTTAAGGATGTGAACAGTCGACTGTTCAAAATAGTCTGGTTTAGGGTTATGAGTGGGAAACGGCGCATCTGCCCTAGCTAGACAGCGTCCCAGTTCGTCGAAGAGCGCAGCTCGTGCGCTCCCAGTGCCCACGTCGATACTTAAATAAACAGGAAGAGGCTGCATCAGTTGAATTACATGGGTCTATAGTATTACAGGGAACTGTTTGTTGCCTTGGAGGCAACGGAAACCGCGGCTTTCGTATCCAAGAATCATAAATCGTGCCCAGGGCGAGGTCGGCAATCAGAGCGCGCGAGCTACTGCGCCGCTCCCTTGCGCTCTCCTACGTTTTCTCTCTTTCTCTCAATCTCTTCAACGAACTCGGTACCTCCTCAGATGTTGTGATTCCGCATCCATCAAAAGCATCGAAGAGCGAACGAGTCGCTGCTGTTCCGCAGCTACAAGCCCGATCTGTGTGTCCGGGTGCTACCGTTTCAAGCGGTTTGCCTCTTCACAGTGCCAGCATCGTATCGCAGGGAAGCGAAGCTAGTTGCTTTCGCAAAGCCACTGATGAGCCTCCCACAGTAGACGCGTTTTCGCTCCGCCAAATGTCGTCTGTGCGCGGCAGACGGCTCCGTGAGGTTTATCTTTGTCAAGAGTGTGCGAACTTCGCAATAGAAGATCCAGTGGTTTGGCAGCGCCCCCAGCAGTCCTCGACACAGCGTTCGTATCGTTGAACGACAGGGATTGCTATGGAGGTGGCTACAGGTTTCCGCGTGCGCTTCTTTTTGCAATGCCCTGATTTTATCGTTGTCCTCTGGTTCAGGGGTCAGCGTCGCTGCCACAATGTTGAAATGGAAACGCCTATTCGCCACGAACTTGTTGAAATGCAAGCGTGACGCACCGGCACGTGTCCAGGCGTTCAACGTTCGGACCGTGTGTGAGACAGACACCAGGTTGCCAGCTGCTGTGCAATGATCGCAGCTGTTGTCGCTCGTTTCCCAGAACAACTCGGTCAAATAACATTGATTATACTTACGAATCGAGAATCACGGGAATCCAGTACCGCCTACCTAATGGCAATGCGAATGGTTTTCCGGGTATCGATACACAGTGCAGCGGCGCTGAATTGCTGAACCGCAGTATACCAGTGCGTTGCTCCGAGCTGCAATAAGATTCCCTCCCTTTTGACTGCGTATTTCTACGTCATCGGAATTCTTCTGCGTTTCAGCGTAATGCACGCACCGAGTACGAAACGAGTACCAGGAAACTTTGCTCGACGTAAAGCTACTGAACTTGCACGAGGCACCAGACATATCCAGATGTTGATCGAGGCGAAGTCTCGTTGCAGAAGGAGCTGGCTCGCATGGTTGCCAGTATGCGCACATGAACGCAGGCCGCTGACCTTCCATTGCCTTGCCATTCGAACTTCGGGCAGCCTGCCGTACCCCATCTCGCCCATTGTGCTCTGTTTCAAGCGCTTCGTTTCTGGCTGTTTCAACGGGCACTCGTGCTCGTGACGTTTCTCTTTTGGCCGTAACTCATCGACAGGCGTCGTACAGAATCGTTTCCTGCACTCGTTCTACGTTCTCGTCAGAGGAGCAGGCGTGCAGCCCACGAGCGCCACAGCACGTCTTGCGCCATAGGGTACCGTCACCCAACGAGACGAACGATCCGTCGTATTTCTTTTCCTGTTCATGAAACAAGTCGCTGAATACTCGCGTCTTGCCCCTGTACGCCGAAAATCGTTGGCCATTCCCGTGCGTCCGCAGGTATTTCTGCCAGAGATCGTCGACATACGCCATTTGGACGCTCGTGTTCTCTCTGAATGCAGCACACAAAGCATCCTCGTCCGCAGGACAGTGTGCTCAGAGCACCGGGGTCTGGTCCCTGACGCCGTCTTTCCAGTTTTCGTGTGCCTTCTCGCATTCATCATGCCCATTCCTGGGTGAAATCGAGCCCGGGAAAAGCTGAGTAGCTTCATTTGCATTCCCTGCATATCCCTCGATACGTTCTCTCGATTCAGAGGTACGACAACCGTCATGATATTCTCAGACCTGGGGATCCGGGCCCACCATGATGTTTCTCTCTTGATATGTCTTCTTTGGCTGAGACCGAGTCGCATCGCTTGACTTGGGCCTCGATCTCACAAGTACATGCGGATTTGTATTCCAGCGAGCTTCATCGGCACTGTAGAATTCGTTCCATTCCTTCTCCGTACACGAGGAGCCTTGAACGAGCTCTGCAATGCTCCTAGCCTCTAAAGTGGAATGCGGAATAGCTGCGCGCAGACAGACCAGCTGTAGCTCACTGAAGATGCGATACAGTACAGAGCAGAAGCGTCTCGGGTGATCGACTGGGCTTCCATCTGAGGTGCTGGGAGCACATCCACTTGGCGATTTCGGAGGCTACGGCGCTTGGATTCGAGGCGACGGTCTGATGGAATCTGCTCTGGTCTGCTCTGGGAAGATCTGCTCAGCGAAACATGGAACCGTAGATGCAAGCAAGGTAGGCGTTGCGTCTCAACGATCCTTTTCGGTACGAAATCCGCCGACCCGAGGCTGACGGCAACACGACGAGCTTGGATTACCTGAAGCGATACTCCCTATCGCTGGCACATCAGTTCCGAACTCGCTGCCACCTCGATCTCTTGCCGCCAATCGCTCGTCATTTTCCTCCATCGACCCGCTAAGCATCCCGTCCATCCATCCGTATTTTATCGCGTATGTGACGTGAGGATACAATGCGCATGGGAGGTGTTTCGTGAAGCGCTCGACACTGAACCTAATTTGGTATGTTGAATGTAGTTCCGTACTTTCTGGCATCTGCGTTGTCGATCCTCAGATCGCCGAGGTGGCGCGGTAATGTGTCAAGGTATTCTGGGAAGCGTGCGAGTACATCCGGAATCCTATGAACAGGCCGTGTTGCGCCTTCTATCCGGAGCATAAGTTGTGTTCTCGCACGAAGGTCTGATCCGAAAAAAATCCAGAGAAATGCCGAGAGCTTGCCGCCCGTGTCTGGAACTCCACCGAAGCGTCGCGTGGCGCGGTGCACCAAGACAAGACGAAATAGGCCAGACTTGTGCGCGTAAGAAGCTACGCGATCTCTAATGGCGTCGTGTGCCTGACGCCTTCAAGGATTCTCCCAATGGATATGATTTATTGGTGAGGCGTTGACAGCGGTCCAACAATGATCTTTCCGATCGGAAGGTGCTCCGTTCCCGTCGGAACTCGTCATCTTTTAGGGAAGCTATTTCTCTGCTTTGACGTGTGGTTGCATCTCTTTCGGCTTCGACATCTTTGCCTTTTCGCTTACTCGGCTAGGTAGCATGGATTTTTTCATGATACGCTGTATACGTTTTCTTTCTTGGCACTCAGACGCACTGATCGCTCGACGTGCCTGAAACTCGTCTTCTCTTTGAATGTACGCACTGTTTCTCAAGTGCTTTTTCGTCGCCTTAGCCATCGCATGCCCGCTCCCAGACCGGAGCGCACCTTTCCCTTCTCAGCTGCCAATGAGCGGAGAATCAATGCATGGATTCGGTTCTGGTGAACACAAAGAGTGATTTGTCGAAGAACTTCTGTAACACGGTTACGTACGACTCGTCTGTTCTTCCGGTAGATCAAAATGGCGTTTGAAATCCTATACGACGTCTTTAAGCGGATGGAACCCGCGAGCGTGTGCTAGCACGAAGAGCAGCTACAAACCGCGCCCCCGCCCCCCGACCTACATCAGTGATGGACTGAGAGATATTGCCCAGGAGAAGGACACGAAAAGATGGAACTCGAGGCGTGTTTCATCGGAGGATCAGGTGCTGAGCGCTGCTCTCTGTGTTGCGATTCATGGGCGAATACAGTATTGAATCGTCGCGAGAACTGACGTTGTCGGAATGCTCGCTTGACTCTTCTTCACAAACAGCGGCTTGCCCCTCTACGGCAACGTCTATACAAGTCTCGCATTGGTCATCGATGAATTTGTCATCATGCGAGATGAACGCCCGTCGCTTCCACGAAAAGTATTCGCATTTCTATACAGAATCTGTTGTGTATTGTTCGAAATGGTGCGGTCTCCTGTTGAGGCGTGCCTGTTTCTTGATCCATCCGCGTCTCTTCATCTCCGCTCGAGGAAACGTTACCGAAAGTTTACATGGAATTGCATCTTTGGTGGCATTACGGTGCGAGCATTTGGACTGGAATAGATTTCGTAAAGATAAGCGTGTATATAGCTTTCGGAACGTTCCATGTCGGGTGCACGACGCTCTGAGTATGGGCTTCGAGAAGCATGGCGCATCCACCTGGTGACTGTAGTATGACGAAGTTGTACGTCCATTTCCGCTCCTTCCTCATTCAGATGCGAGAACATACACCCTATTCGCCCACCAAACTCCTTTTTAACAAATAAATTCCTTCAATCCAATGCCTGTTAGAAGAACACTCGGAAACAAAAATGCGTCTTTTTCCCGGTACTACAGCATGCAGTGCGCTGAACTCTCCACAGAATGGTCGACGCACTGCGCCCCGTGCCGCGGATGCGGCTGTGCGGCGGCGCCTTGGCAACGCCGACGAAACCTGACACGCCCTGGGGCTGTGGCGGTGCCCCGGTGCTGGTAACCCGCACGGTGAGCGCTGGACCGCGCAGAAGGCTCCAGGAACTCCGGGACTGTGACCGGCGATACGTTCTGTAGAGGACAACAGCACCGGCTGCAGCAGTATCGAGCCTGGTAGGTGTTCCGGAGCGCGCGCTAGCCGACCGGGCGAAACCGCGCACGCCATCTCGACCGCGACGGTGTAACGCTTATTGGCACCTACTGCATCGCGTCGACGCTTTTCGCAGCTTGCCCTGCAGATTCCTGTGCCTCAGTCGTGCGTCGAGTCACAAGAGGCTGCCATGACGGACTCTTCGACACCCGAACGGCCGGAAGAGAGCAAAGCTGGCGAAAGCTCCGTAGAAAACAGTGTCTCAACGACGACACCGGAGCGACTCCGGCGGCCAGTAGTAGTAGCGGACGTTGAAGTACGGCTGCAGAACGTGGTCGCATCTGTGAACCTGTTGTGTCCTCTGGACCTGCGTCATATCGCGATGCGTGCGCGGAACGCCGAGTACAACCCGCAGCGCTTTGCGGCCGTGATTATGCGAATACGAGACCCTCGTACCACTGCGCTGATTTTCAGTAGCGGTAAGGTGGTTATCACGGGTGCACGTTCCGAGGAAGATGCTCGTCTCGCAGCGCGCAAATATGCGAAGATCGTTCGCAAGCTGGGGTATGCAGATGTCAAGCTTGCTGATTTTGAGCTGCACAACCTCGTAGCGAGCGCGGACGTGCGTTTCCCGATCCGACTGGAGGCGCTCGCACACGCCCATAGCAACTATGCCCACTATGAACCCGAGCTGTTCCCCGGACTTGTTTATCGCATGCTGGAACCGAGATTAGCTCTTTTGATATTTGTCAGTGGCAAGGTCGTCATCACTGGGGCCAAGTCACGCGATGATCTCAACGAAGCATTTCAGCGGCTTTATCCGGTGTTGTGTCAGTTCCGTAAGGCAGACTCGCGGGCAGTCTCTCGAGCGACGACAGCGACACCAACATCGAACGCGAATGCAGGATCAGGAGCACCGTCGGGACCATCGATCCCCGAGCATCGGAAAATGGTCGAAGAATCCACTTTATAAAAACAAGAAAAATTACAGGTGACGTGCAGGTACTGGGTTTTGCTTCGAGCTATGTGGAGCGTGCATCAGCGTAAAGTGCTCAGCACTAGTGTTCCCGTTTGCTGGGTCCGCATGTCGACGCTGCCAGCAGCGAACGCGTGTCGCGTCTCCAGGTATCGCCGAAGAACACGCGTACCGCATGTTGCCGTTCCACGGAAATAGCAGGTTCATTGATCCGACCATCATAAGGGATGATGTCTGGTTATGGTGTGTGGATCAGCAAAATGAGTACGTTGCATGGCGCTGGGGGCATTGCTCAGCAACGGTCCGCAGGAAATGACAGCAGATGGATCCCTGGTGACTTGTATTACCGCTTATTTTCCAATGAAGATTACGTCTGTTCGATTTTTACAGTCATCTGGAGCAAGTCGAATCCGATGCGGTCAAGATACGCACCAGGACGCGGAGGCAACACGCGACCCTGCTCGGAGACGACACTCAGTGCTGACGCGCGAACTCGACCTGTGCCCCGAACCGGTTGCCGCTTAGAAGCACCGTGCCGCACAGCAAACCCGTCGCGAGCTGTGGACGGTGCGGAAGCAAGTCGTAGAGAACGGAAAAACTTGCTTCATTTCGCGAAACAGCGCATCCTGTGCCGCTAATGCCGCGGCTCGGCAGCATGAACTACCCGGTATCGTTCGTTCTGTGTCAAACAGTTTTCAGATGCGTATTTTCGTTGTCCCCGAGAGCGGGCGGACGCCCACGTATCGCCGAATACATCGCTGCTTGGTCTGTCATCGAATTCCGCGCCTGGCTTTTGAAGAGTTTCCGTGCTCCCCGCAGCATAAGCATCGTCCAGTATACATTCAATATCCAAATTGTTACGGAGCTCGCACTGCCAACTAGCCCTAGCCAGAAAGCGCACAGCGCTTCTCCCGGATTCAGGTACATCGGTGCAGCGAGCACGATACCAGCGACGAGGACGGGAATGTAAATTACGCGGCCCAGAACAAAAGCAACCAACATCCCGAGGCCAATGACTTTGTACTGCCAGCGCTCGCGGTAACGGAAACTGAGAAACCAGCGAGCATTCACAAGTGGTGTCGATACTTCTGTGAGGGCGATTCCAGTGGCCCAGATGAGCGCTAGTGGTTGTTTTTCCCCAATATAGAAACAGAACATGATCGATAAGGCGGAAAATAAGTGATGCGCGAGTGATGAGCATGGTGAAGAGATAGACCGCATGAACAAGAGAATCAGCACAGCATCATAGCAGAAATAAGATAACAACAGCGCCTGCGATATGTAGAAAGACGCCTCATGGGGTAAGGCACGCCCAAGCACCTTCCCCTGGATCAAAGACCAGAACGTTTGTTGCAGCAGTCCCGAAGACACGACGACCATGATGACGGCGTTCACGTTCGATACAACACGTGATATCCACTCTACCTTTTGACTGAACGACAAGCAAGTGCGAAACGTTCGCGATACGGGCACCACCGAGTACACTAGGAAGCTCGCAAGGAAGATCGACCACCACAGTGCAAAGCCGTAGAGGAGGAAGCCCGAACTATAGAGGTCAGAGAGCGTGCGCAGCTTGCCATAGCGTGACTCGACATCGCTTAGGGTCTGCTCCAGCGTCCCTGAGAGTTCTGCAAGCCGTGCACCAAGCTCGACGAGAGCCTGAACCCGTTTCATAGAAGCAAATTGAAGACCAAGCGCTTCGCGTCGCTTCGAACGACGCACGTTAGCAGCCAGGTGGCTAGTGCCCTACCACCGCTTTGGCTGCTCAGTGGAAAGCCACCACACAGAACGGCAAGCGCAGCTATAACGGTAGACGATGCTGGTACCGGTAGGCGCGTACCAGCCGCGGTGCCAGCCGGGCGCCATCGAAGCGTCATCGGCAGCGAGCGCCGGTTGTCGTGTTTCGATTGTGAAGGGTGGACAATCATGTTCAAAACGGTATAAATGGGTGCATGCGTCAAATAGCGACATATGAGGACTCAGCGCTTGGCTGGTCGCACGTGCTGCAGGCCTGTGGTCGCATCTGCACATGGAGATCGGGCGCTCGACGAACACCGTTCGCATTCGTGGCTGTCCACTGGAGCGAGTACTTACCGTGCTTCTGGCACCAGGAGTGTTGCTGGTTTGAGCTAGCCATATCCCAGCCCGACGTCTGCTTTGGACTCGATACGACGCAGAAGCGCGTGGACCGGCTTGGTGGTCGCTTCTCTGAACGACGACAGCAGTCACGCAGCCGTTTTGGAAAGTTTCCGGACAGGTGTACTGAGTTCAGAGCAGGCAAAAACTGGAGCACTCGTCACATGTGTCTTCGGCGCTGACAAGAAAACGGTACGAGCGCCGATGCTTTCCGAGGCGGTTGCCGCAGATTCGCGCTAGAGAAGCACGTTCTTCGCAGCGCGTTTCCGATTCGAAACCCTGGAACGCTGGATTATGGAACGAAAAGAAGGCGCGCTGGCGCACGTACCTACCGGCGGTGCCAGTGTACCGCGATTCTTTGCTCTAGACCTCGAGCGAGTACATCACGCGGGTTGCCGTCCCGGAGTTTCCCGGTTACAGAGGATCAGCGGTGTGCATCACCGCTGTGTGGCGTGACTTGCAAACCCCTCCATCTGGAGTTGTCGCATTGCATGAGGATCAACGCTAGGGCACGGGCACATGCGTCGGGGACCGCTCCGTGCATCCGCATAACACGCTTCCCGTAGTGGACGTGATGCGAATCATCCAGGCGGATCTACGATGATGAACGCCCGTTTTCTACGAAAAAAAAAACGGAGGTTCGTTGGTCGCATTGACGTGCAGGTCATGACCGCGACATTCGTGTCAGATTACGATGGAAAACTAGCCTGCTCGCTCTGTTCCTGCCTGTCGATTTTCGCGTGCGTTTTAGGTGTACGACTTCGATATTTGTAGTGCAGAAATATGGATGTATGGATTCACTCGTCGATACTCCAAGGCTCCCGGTCTTTTTTGGGAATAGCTGCACTGACTCTGCGCATCTCGAATTCGCTCCATCACCAGAATCAGCATGAGTCGTGACGGCCTTGAACAAGCATTCTAAAGTTATATACAATGGGATGGAGTTCATAGGTAAAAACATCCACTTGTCTCCTATTCTTTGGTGAAGAATGCCCGAATCATGCATACTTCAAGTTTTCGATCTCTCTATATCGAGGTGAATAGTGCGCCTCGCAACTCGCGTCGCTGGATCGTTGACGACAAGCTCTTGACGTCGTCCGTTTGCGACTTGCTCACACGCCCATGCCGCAATTCACAGACCATGTCACGTCAAATCATCGATTCCGTCCGAAAGATATATTCTCCTCTCTTCGTGGTGTATCTAAGAAACGGCACCCGCAGCGGCTTGATGCCTCTCACAGCATATGCTTTCAGAGGCTCCGGTCTCTCGTTTGAGGATGGCGAAAGGAATCGGACTCGGACGTTTTTCTTGCTGTGATCGCGCTCAATGGAGCGTGCAAGACCACTCGACAGTAATGAAGCGTCGACGAAACGACGTTTCTCGATCTGATCTCCAGGCTAGATTTTCATTTGGGGTTCAGGTTTCATCATAAACAACATCGCCTTCAAAAAATTTCGCATCGGATGGGATATTATGTGCTTGCGAGTGCAGCTGAAAAATTACTCGCCGAGGGCACCCTGAAAATGAAGTCCCTACCCAGAGCGTACGGCACCATACGCGGAATCATAGGAGGGCATCGACCCGGGCCTTCCATTCCCGTCCAGGACGCAACCCGAGCGATGAAGCACGCGTTCGGGCGCTGGACTGCAGCGCTCGATGGAGGATGTGCGCCGCCTACCCAGGAACATTTAACCACTGTCAAGAATCGCCGCTGCATTGATTCCACCGAGGCTGTTCTCATACAGGACGCGAACTGCAACCGAATCTAGATCCTAACTACCGTCTCGGCATGAGATGCATAAACAACAACCGGAAGTAGCAAAATCAGGACGATATGATGCTGCGGTAACCGCGTTTTTTCAACAGCTGATAACGGAACTAGTAGTAAAGCAGAGACTGGCGGAATGACAGCAGCAGATATGAAACCGGAAACAGGAAGCTCCCACAAGGAGGCCTTCAAACCTCTCGTTCACGATAATAGGATGAAACCCAAACGATATCATGTACGCACCTGGATTCAACAACGCTGTCCATTGCGTCGCTGTATACGGGTGCACCGTACGATGCTTGCGCGCGCGCGCGCGCTCTGCAGCTTTCCCGCGCAATGCTCGAATCTGCGCTGCTGCTGCGCCGGGCATTTCAACCGCAGCGTTCAGATCTGCGCGTGGGCGAGGCGCCTTGGCGCGCGTGCATTCAGCAGCGCCAAAATCCGTTGGCAGCACAAGCACCAGCAGCACCAGCGCCAGCAGATAAACGTACCAGGATTTTGGGTATATATTCGCGACAGTTATTTCGCTGGAGCGGAGGTTTCGCGTCTGTGTGTTTTCTACGATCAACGCTTTCTCATTGTTTTTTAGTTCAAAGTCATGACGGATATTGTTCAGTTTAGCGCATCTCCATTGCGGTTTTCTCGGGGCGCTTTCTCGCGGTGCGCGTGGGTGGCAACGTCAACGGGCGCTGTGCGCTGCCCCAGCACTGGGCGACGGCGTCACTGGAGACCTATCCCAGCTGGACGAACCGGAACACGACTTGGACGGCAGCCGTGCGCGGAGCAGATCCATTCACTAAAGTGTGTGCTTGGTGAGGGCTCGGACTCAGAGGGAGCACGTGAATCCACCAACGAAGGAAACGGGCGGCAAGAGCAGGGCTACGCGGTAGACCAGGGAACGCTGGAGGAGCACAAGAACGCCAGCGTTTCGTTTGGTGGCGCGCGTACCTCCGGGCAGCGTGTTCGATCTATCTGTGCCAGTACGCCAGCGCACGATACTGACGCAAACCTGATCCGAGACTTTGCCACAGACCGAGCAGTGCGAACGATCATCTACTATCTCACGGAGTTTCGGGACGAGCCAGCGCGGCGTTGGCTGCTGGATTTTGACGACTATGGGAAGTGGTTCGGTGGAGCCTCCATTGGTTCTCGACGTCACGAGCAAGCATACCATTTTCTTCGGAACACTGTTGAGTACCTGAGTGGGATGATGTCGGCGCCCTCGGAGATGCACACGATGGTTGTCGGGACGCGTATTCGACGCGAGTTCACTTTTACTCTGGAACCGTTTCGCTACGCGCAGCGTATCATGGCGGCCCGCGAGTCCATTGCGGAAGAGTTGCGTCGGGATCTCGGGTTGGTGAGCGTTGAAAACAGTGAAATACTCTCCGAACTGGTACATGAACAGAGTGGTCAGGCGCATCAGGCCCAGCGTATTCTAGACCATGACGATTTTACGACGGATGAGTCCCCGCTCCGGTACCACAACTATCGCTACGTGAAGGCGCTCTTGACGAGAAGAGCGACTGTGCGTTTCCTGAATCGTCTACGTTTCGAAGGACGTCATGCTGAACATGAATGGTTGAGCAAGTGGCCGCGTTGGGAAGAGGAAATTGGGGACGGCGACGACTTTATCCGTTCTCTTTTGCGTCTTGGCAACGTCCGCTGCGAAGGCCAGAAATTCTTTGTCGAAAACCATGATCGAGTCGTCGAACGCGAAGGTGTCGGTGCACGCACCGAAAAGAGCGTCGGTTTCATGCCGAGCGATTTCGTGGATGAGCTCCTGATTCTACGCTCGTTGTTAGCGCGTGAGTGGCGTTCCCATCTGGCGCCGGAGAAAATCAAAGAAGAGCATTTGACCATTTTGCGCAGCCACCTGAAGCGGTCCATGCCCAACTCCGAGTGAGTAATCGAACGACCAGGTTAGTCCTCGTTGGCGCAGACAATCGGACGGTAGCGCCAACCAGACAGCGGCTCCCAAGTGATGCAAACTACATCCGAGTCGAACGAATGATACGTGTATATTTCATGGACGAGCGAACGTTGGCGGTTGCACAGGTGTTGAATGTCGTGAGGTTCGCTTGATGGACGCATTTCCGAGACAGGGTTCTGTAAACTGTACATTTTTGGATCGTTGCGCGGGCAGAGCACACTGCTCTCGGTCTGGTGCTGCTTATGGCCGCTGGGCTCAAGCGTGCTTGGATCTGTTGGAGTACCATGGAACGTTGAGATGCTCGCTCGATCCCTGCATATCGAGTGGTTTCTCATGGGAACAGCTTCTAGATTCAAAGTGCAGCAAAATGGACCTTTCGATTCATACGTAGTTTTCGGACTTTGGTCGTATTCGCCAAGTGCGTCGTTGGGCGCTTGGTCGTTCAAAACCTATACCTAACCGGAAGCAAGATCATTCGCGACGCCTTCGAACAAGAATTCGTAAAGTATTCTCTATCACGATCCGATGCATACGTTCCTGCATCCATTTTTCGCGTTCGCCATCGAGTAGAACAATGCAAGCATGCGTTCTTCAAGTTTTCGATCTCTGGATTTCAAGGCAACTCGTCGGGCGTCATTTTGGCACCGCTGGAAAAACGAGGCAGAATACTTGACGAGGTCGTCCTTTGAAAGCTTGTTCATGAGCTCATGCCGAAAGTTCGCTGACCTTGTCCTTTCGAATAATCGATCACGTTCGAATGACGATTTCTGCCTTCGTTGCGGGCGTCGACAAAACTGCATTCGTCAGCAGCATGCTACCACTCATGGAATATGCTCCCAGAGACTCCACGTTCAATGATTTGTGTGGTAAAGGGTCTTGAGCCTCCGTCACCACAGCGATTCGTTTACAGCGGGCAATACGCAACCGCTTCGCACTACAGGAGCGTACACGCGACAATTTCCCCCGATTCGTTCTATTACCTGGACTTGTCTTTGGGTAATGGTTTCAGCAGGGTTCATATTGCGTGCAACAGGCTATCCATTGGACGGAAACGCGTGCCCTTTTCCATGCACTGGAACGCGTACGCGCGGGAGGTATCGCCAAGAACAAGTCCACGACCGTCCGGGTACCGCGCTGGACGCTGTCGAGGAGGCAAGCACCGCAGAGAGCCTTCTTCACCAGTCAAGCGCACGGACCGAGTAATGAAGCAAGCGTCGATGCACCATGGTACGGCGCTCGATGGAGAACATGCTGTGGACTCGTGAGCAACACCGACCACAGGCACGTGTAATCGCTTTGCGGAGCGCACCGAGGTTTCCCCGAAAGGCGAATAGGATAGCGGCGAGCAAAGTGTCTAGATCGCAGCTACCGTCTACACATGCAACGCGTTCACAACTGCGGGAAGCAACGAAAGCTAGGCGTTATTGGCGGCATCGGTATATCCTCCGACTGCTGACACTGGAGCCTTAGGCGACAGATAAGACTACCTTGCTTTAAACTGGAGATAAGCGAGCGGCAAAGGAAGCTGTCGCAGAAAAAGCCCGCAAATTCTGGTGTTGATGAGCGCGGATACAACCTAAACTTTGGTAGGTGCGTACGAATCGGAAAACCTTTTCCGTTCTATGCTGACTCGGGTGTATGGCACAGCGGAAAAAGCGCTATCCTAATCAGGATATTTACTTGGTAGCTGACGTTTGAAATCGCCGAGTCCACGTCCGAGAACGGAGTCTTGTCTATGCGAAACGAAACGTAGCAATTAGATTCTAACTTGCGCAAACTCAGATACATCAGCCCTGGTTCGAAAGTCTTTCCAGATGTTCGTCCTAGGCAGCCGCGATACCGAGCGTTTCCTTGGACATCCCCACATTGAAAGCTTTTTGACGCAACTGGGTTTCCAGCGGAACGGGCAGCATAGACGTGGCGAGCCAAGGCGCGCACTGTTCAGTAACAGCGAATCGTGTACAGTTCGTGGCAAAGCCTCTCAGACAACACCTTAGCGCTGGACACAGATGCATCCGTACCGATTAGATCGCTGCCGGGGGCCTTGCGTCTTTCCGCAACGGGCGGTTCATCGGCGTCAGCGGCATCAGAACGGTGTGCTCGAACAGACCCGTGCAGCGTTCGCCAGAGACCAATGTCCTCGGGGGCCGCGTTTCCGTGGACGCGTGCCGAACGCGTTATCGTTCCACGTTCACTGGTCCGGACTTGAGTCGCTGTGGACGCGAAGCTCGAAAGCGTCTCCACAACATCGCTTCTGATACCACGAATGATCACCAAGTGATCCGATTGCTGCACCCGAAGCATCGATCGAACGAGTGTCACCGTGGAGGTCCCCGATGAGATGCCTTGCGCAGACACGCGACCCCGGAGCATAGCGATGGCGCTCTCTTGTACTGGTCCACAGCGGCGAATATCAGGTCATCATCAATGCATTTTCGGAGCGTTTCGGAACATAGTCTGTCCCGAATCAGGCCGTTTTCGAGCATTTGTTTCATATATTGAACACGTTTTCCGCCTAACTTCAAGCTCCGTCAATGCGGAGCGATGATTGTCGTGTACAACATGGTTTGGACTGGGAGTCAGATACCAACGCAAGGAAGCATACATGCGGAGGTGCCTTGTGCCAAAAAGTGCTTTCTTTCCAGCAATCGTCGCTTCCTGCAGGTCCTGTTGGAAGCTTCGAACCGGATTTCAATCCTTCTATCGATACTTGTGCAGGAGCCGGCCGCGCAGCTCATCAACGCGCGCTTCAACTTTGCAAGTTACCTCCCGAAGCAGCGGCTGGTCACGAATGCGTTGCACTTGGCGACGTAAGAGCAGTTCCAGCGCTGCTGCACGTCGACAGTGCGGCCCATACGTGCGGTGCATATGCGGGACCTCTACCAGCACCAAGAACAAGACATGAAGCGCTTGGGAACAAACCGCGAACCAGAACGCCCGCCAGCTTTCAGTGGCTAGACTCAGCCCGTACATCCAGAGGTAGCCCAGCACACAATCAGGGTTGTTCAAATACCGATAAATACCCGCGTATGACGGGCGCAGAGAAGCTTCAACCGATGCGGGTCGTTTCCAAGGCCCCTGATGGTTCGACAACGCACACGGTTCGAGAAAAAAGTCTCCGTAGAACCAGCCGTAATCTCCGAGAATCCGATATGCGGAAATAGAAGACGACGCTCCCACGATGATAAGAGCAGACCCGCCGACGAGCGCCGCAGTGCGACCGGAAACCAGCGACCAAACGGAAGGAATTCGGATCGGTTGGGCGTCGTGAAGCGCGAGCATCACAAATACCAGGTGGTTCATCACAAGGCTCATGTTGAACGTCCGCTGCCATTGGCGAAAGGCTTCAGCCGCACAGTGGCCTCGCTGTTCGAAATGCCGTGTCCACCAGCGCCGAGTACTCTGGAGATAGAGTACAGTGCCGAGACCACACCAATGGAAGACCATCCAGCCAACGACCTGCATTGCATAGTATCGAGATGTAAGCGTCCATCCCGATAGGGCCGGCGTAAAGATTGTCATACACGCCATAATGAGCAGAGACAGATCCGAATTTCGAAACGGGTCCAGATTCGCCAGGACCACAGCTTCCTTTTCGATTTTGTTTCGGGAACAGCATGACACGGTGCAGATGCGCTCAGGAGAGACGCTTTCTGCAGCACAGGAGGGGCTCTGCGCCCTCTCGCTCGGGCCGTATGTTTTTTCGATATGGGGCTCCTCCACGCTCATGAGAAAGAGCAGCTGAGACATGTGTGCGATGAGCGACGCAATCAGCAAAGTGTACGAGCGGCATATCAAACTAAAGCCGTAGTATGCAGTATATCCGACAGTGTACATTGGATGGGGGAAAAGCTCAAACACGCCATCGAAAGTGAGCTCACCTTCCATGATGAAAAAAAAGTCGCCCCAATACCAGGCAAAGTCACCCACCACGCGATGCGCACTCGCTTTTGCCCAGAGCGAAAATGCGATCAGCGCAACGCCCAAGAGGTAGCAGAGCCAGACATCCGGCCTCGCATACCAGCGCTCTATCCATGGAAAGTGGAACACTCTGCAGCAGAGCAACAGGTACGACCAGCCGTCATTTGCCAAGACGATGGTCGCAAGACATCGGAAAGCGGCCCAGGCTTCGAAATCAACTGGCCAAGGTGGCGATGGTCCGTAGCGAGCTCGCGACGCTACCCGTTCATCCGGCAAGAGCGAACTGCGAAAGCATCTGCGAATAATTCGCTTCCATTTCGGGGACAGACCTGCCCACCAATGGGTAATAGCGGCGTGACGGGACTGCCGACGCAAGAGCCAGCCAAGCCCTACGTTGTACGCCAGTCGCCAACTGAGAAAGAGCATCACAGAGGAAATGACACCAGCCGCGCAGGAGCCGCTCAACGCATCGGTGCACAGTGGGTCCAGTCGTGGAAACACCCAGAATGTCGCAAAGAGCTGGACCAGGAACAAGGCGTGCACCACGAACTCCAGAGGACCCCAGTTTCTAACATCGAAAACGAGAGCCGCCATGGTTCGTGTTACCGGGACTCGAAACCGCTCTCCTGATATAAGACCGGTCCCATAGCGTTGTGTAGGACGTAGTTCTTCTCCATGCGCATTGGAGGCGCCCTGTACCTGGGATGCGGCTCGCTCCGTCATCGGCGACGCTGGCGGTACACCAAAATGAACTCTATCGCCCGAGTTCGTCGTCGCACTTTGTTTGAGCGTAACATCGATTCCCGCTCGCACAGGACCCTGCTCATCATGATCTAACGTTGATAGTGACGGCGATCCAAGGCTAGTCCGCCCTCGTCTACGCTCTGTGGATCGTAGCGAGCTCGCCTCATCTGACAGCGAGGATGTCGACGGTGCTCGACTCGGCACCCTACGGCTCTTTCGCGACTTGGAGTTCCGCCGTCCGCCCAGCGTCGCTACCGCATTTTCTTGGACGCTCGGTAACTCCATACAGAAGATGTGCAAGATGATGACCACGAGCCGGCCGACACGGCACGAGCACTTGGAAGAAAGTGGTGCAGGCGTGTATGCGTGCAGGCGTGTATGCGTGCGTCACACGCGACACGCATCGACGTGCGTGCGCGCGCATCGGTATGCGTGCGCGCTCACGACTGGCGGCGGCGGGCGCGCACGTCCAGTTTCACTGGCTCCCATGAATCGATGCGATGCATGGAGACGTTGACGAATCCATAGACTGAGGATTTATTTCGAATAGAGCAATGTTCTGTATGGATTTGTTCAATGGATGCATAGACTGTGGATATATTTTATATAGATCATTGAAATATATGGGCGTGTCAATGGATACATAGACTGTGGATTTATTTATCCATGAATCCGCTGTAGACGTTGTGTGCGTTTCCTCTCGGGTCGGTGTGTACGGTTGTTTGTGCAGCTTCCTATCGGACGCGCCGTCGAATTGTCTCGCTGACTGGCTTTACGGAGAGCGCTGTACTCGGAACGTATGGAAACGAGGCGCACTGCGCGCCGCAGCGTAGCGTCCAAACGTTTTCCGCTGTCCTTAGCTGGTGTCCCTGCTGTCCACTGGTCTGCTGCGCGACTACAAAAGTAGTTGTAAGCGTCCGATCGCCGTCCATTTCGCGCAGGTCGCGTTGCCAAAAGCGCTTGGCATTTTGCGTAGCCGATGTGCCAGCGTCATTCCATGCACACCGAGGACGCCAGGTTCTACGATACAAAAGTGGAAAAGCGCAGAGACCGAGCTGGCGCTCTGCGCCCGTTCACACCAAGCCGTATGTAGAAAAGAAATCTGAGTTCGAGTTCGCGCGCCCAAGGTGCTTGACGCTGTACCCGTTGCATACTCGTTATGCGGCACCAGAGTGAGCGCCGATTGTGTCTCACTTTCTCTAAAAACATGACTGTGGCACTCGTGAGGCGCATCAAAGCCGGTAGCTTTGCCCCATGCGTCCGATCGCAGTTTCTGCTCATTCGCCACCGGGTGCGCGTACCTGGTGCACGAAGCCATGCCGCATGTCCTGTCTATCTTGAAGCCTCGGCGCTAGCTGCACGTTCTCGCATCCAGCTTTATCCAACGCTGTACCTGTTTTAGACGCGCGCTGCGTAACAGCCAACAACAACACGGAGTATTCCTCCAGACATTGCGCCTACGCACGATACCCATGTTAAGGACGACCTGCTGAATGCCATCGCATCTATTGGTGACGCGGGTGTCGCGCTTCGACGAACGTCGTCGGGGCGGCTTCTATTCGCGGGAACGCAATACCAGCACCGTCTGTACCCGTCGTCCACGGTGGTGTGCTGGCAGCACTGTCCGGCCACTCGCTGCTGGAACATGCAACACACGGCGTTTGTCACCATAGATCGGATTCAGGTCATGATTTTACGATCTTTGTGTCAAAGATAAATGCCCGTGGTACCGGACTTGATCAGGCACCATATCCATGCCAGTTCGCTCGCTGCGAAGCCTCAAGCCCGGACGCCTCGCAGACGCTGCTCAAGAGCAGTGGCATCTCAAGTCCGCGCGTTGCGGGAGGCAGCCGCGGTGCCCGCTGATGGATTCGCCACTCCGTTTCCACCAAAGCGCAGATTGCCTTTTCCAACCAGTTGCAGAGCCGTACGCACGATGTGTGCGGCTGTCAGTCCGGCTTCCTCATATTGTTCAGCTTGTGTTCCTGTTTCGATGAAGACGTCGGGAATGACCATGGGTCGCACTTTGCATTTGCCTTCGTCCAAAAGTCCGTTCAGAGCAGCGTAGTGGAGCACGTGATCGCCGAATCCTCCGATGCTGCCCTCCTCAATGGTGATCAGCACTTCGTGATTCCGAATGAGGCGACGGATCAGATCCGTATCAAGCGGTTTCATAAATCGAGCATCTGCAACTGTACATGCAACATCCAGAGCCTCCAGCTGCCCTGCAGCGTGTACCGCTTCGAGCAGACGCGTCCCGAGTGAAAGGATTGCGACGCCTCGTGGGATTTCGGCGCCATCGGCGGTACTGGCGGACTTCTTTTCGCGGATGATTCGGCCTTTGCCGATCGGAAGCACCTTACCCCGCACTGGAATGGCCTCCAGATCGTACCCGAAGTGTTCACGGAGAACATCGAGGCCAACAGCGGTACCACGTGGATACCGTAATGCACAGGGGCCCTCATCGTAGGCCCGCGCCGTCGCCACCATATGCACCAACTCGATTTCATCACTGGGGGCCATAATCATCATGTTTGGAATGCAACCCAAATATGCCAGGTCAAAGGTTCCATGATGTGTGGGCCCATCATTCCCAACAAGGCCCGCCCTGTCCAGAATGAATCGCACTGGTAGCTTTTGCAATGCAACATCGTGAATAACCTGATCATAGCCACGCTGCAAGAAGGTCGAGTAAATGCAGCAAAACGGTTTGAAACCCTGGATACTCAGGCCTGCGGCAAAAGTTACCGCATGTTGTTCAGCGATACCTACATCGAAACAACGCGTAGGGTGAGCCTCTCCAAAGGCGCCCATGCCGGTACCGCCCGGCATTGCTGCGGTGATGCCAACAATGCGGCGATCTTCATCGGCCTCTGCGATAAGCGCTTTGGCGAAAACGGATGTGTAGCTCGGAGGTGAATGCATCGGAACCATCTGCTTTCCAGTGGCTAGGTCGAATTTGGATACACCGTGATACTTGTCTAGAGCGGATTCGGCGGGAGGGTAGCCTCGCCCCTTCTCCGTCTTCACGTGAAGAAAAATCGGTTTGTTCCCGGGTGCATCTCGAATATTCTTCAGGACATTGACGAGAACCTCAACGTCGTGGCCGTCGACAGGCCCGACGTAGTAAAAGCCCAGTTCTTCAAAGAGCGTCGCGCGGTTGCCGCCAGCTCCCTGTGCAACCCAGGCTCGCGCATACTCGTCAAGCTGGGCTGCAGTGCGCTGCAGCGGATCCGGAAACAGACGAGAAAACTCTTTTGCAATAGCGCGAACGTCCTGGAACTCCTTGCTCGTTAACAAGCGCGACATATAGCCACTGAGCGCCCCAGCTGGTCCGGTGCCTGCAGCGGACTTGGTGCCCGTCGGAAGGCTCACCTGGCCGTTGTCATTCAGAATGACAATGATCCGCGAGTTCAAGTACCCAGCGTTGTTCATTGCTTCGTAGGCCATGCCTCCGGTAAGCGCGCCGTCTCCGATAACGGCAATCACATGTTGTTTCTTTCCTGCGAGATCGCGTCCTATCGCTAGACCCAAAGCCGCCGAGATAGAAGTCGACGAATGGCCAGCGCCAAAAACATCGTATTCGCTTTCGACTCTTCTAGTGAAACCGCTTATACCTCCGCTTTTGCGCAGAGTGTGCATACGATGACGCCGGCCGGTCAGAATCTTGTGCGGATACGTTTGGTGGCTGACGTCCCAGACGATCGCGTCCTCCGGGGTATTGAATACGTAGTGTAGCGCTACCGTCAGTTCTACGACACCAAGCGAGGCGCCGAGGTGTCCACCAGTCTTGCTCACTGCACGCAAGAGTTCCCAGCGCAGTTCGTGCGCCAGCTGTTTCACTTCACCCACGGTGAACTGGCGCATATCCGCGGGGAAGCGCACTGCATCCAGAAGAGGCGTGCTCAGCGGTGCCGCGCTCGTATACTCGACAGAGTGGGACTCTCCAAGCGACCCATCGTCAGCAGCACAGCGCAGTAATGCGGCACGAGAACGCGTCCGTGCAGCACGCCTCCGCGACGTCTGCAGCTGTGCACACGTGCACTGGTTCAACGCTTTCAAGGCGTCGGTTTGGCACGGTGTCCAAGTCGACTGCTTGCTTGCCACAGATCCCACAAATGCTAGACGTTGTTGTACCTCCATGAAAAACCACCAGCACAATGCGTCACCAAGCGGTGTCTTCGGTGCGTTCCTGCAGTACAAGGTTTCAAGTTCAGAGACCGAGCAGATCTGCCAAATTCTTCGCCACAAACACAAAGATGTCACTGCAACCAACTGATGAACAAGGACGAAGTGGGATCACGCCCTGCACACGAGTCAGTTCACACACCGGAGTAGTTTCACGTTTTGAACGCTCACGCAGCGCGATGCGCTGGCTTTGCGACGTGAGCGCGCACGTCATTGCCCGTGCGAGCGTCTCCGCCACCATCGATGGCGAAATGAGGCGCCGCTAGGAGCACGCTCCTGATGCTGAACATATTGGTTTTATAATGGACATATGTGCTCGACGTTGCCTAGGGCAACAATCCGTGCTGGATTGTCTAGTTCTGTGCATGAAACGCTCGGGCACTGTCGATGCCGCCGCGTTGCATGTATTGTGTCCAGAATGACGAGGTTCAGAGGTATCGCCAAAGCAGCGTTCGATTCAGAGCACTGCACGCTGGAGCAGATGCAGCAGCACGCTTTTTTGTTTGTTCTTCTGTCAGTAGCACAACAAAAGGAGTCTGCCTTTTTACAATAGAGAATAGTCGAAGAAAAACATGATGCCGTCACCGAGAACATGGGTAAAAGGTCCTACTCGAACAAATCAGTTGCTCCAGGGTCAGCAGGTGGATAAGCGCCAAGCTTGGCGTAGTTCCTCTCCTGAACGACGTGTACCCAGGGAAGAACTTGTTTTACGCTACTAGTACGACTATCCACGCATCAATCCATTGCATTTCATATGCTCTCGAAGAAGAATATCTCAAGAAGTCGCAGGATTCCAAGATTTGTTACCGTTGACACGAACGGTGTACAAAGTGGGCGAGTACATTGCACGCTTATCTAGAAGGCAAGCGCGCGTTGAACAAAATGCTTTCAATGACGCTCTGAGATGCGAACGCTTGTGAAAGCAGAAGCGGCTGTTCGTCTCACTCGATATGGCTTCACTCGGGATGGATAGTAGAACTCGGCGGTCCTTCAATGTGAGGCAAGCCGCTGTTCGGAAAGACGTGACAGGCGAGAATGACGACAACCTTAGCCATAGCGGCGACGCTGTCGTATGGCTATCTACATATCGGAAAAATAAAGGATACTTAAACACCCCATCCTTGGTCGAAGAAATGTTCGTGGCGAATGCTCCTAACATATAACTGTCCTGATCTTCAACAACGCCCAGTTCTGCCACGCTCAATAGGCCATCGTGTGCGCAGCTGAGGCTGATTCTGAGCGTCTCTGCGCGCCAGCCCGTGCCCCTGGATCAATCCTGTCGATGGTGCCTTTCCAGTTGTCGAGCGCCATTTCGACGCTCACTGAACAGCATTAAAGTCGTGTGCATCCGTGAAACCGCAATGTATATACAAGTTGTTCTCGACGATCACCACATCTAGATTGCTGCGCTGCTCCGCTTCTCGTGCGAGGAGAAGGAGCAGAAACGAGCGCATATGCCGGTGGGCGTACTCGCAACGGATAACACTATGAAAAGGGATATAAACTAGTAGATTCATAGAGAGAAAAGGCTTTTTTTCAGCATCAGTGTCTACCCAGAACTCCAGAGTCCGCAAGAACAATGGTTACAGATTATAGCAACCACATGCGTGCTACGCTACCACGTACAGGGCAAGGCTAACGATGAGAAGGAGAAGAACCTACGAGACTAAGAAGAGCAAAGTCCAGCTCAAAAGAGGACGAGATGGAACAGCAAGTTAAACAATCGGAGCAGAAAGAACTATCCGAGACGGGTGTCATCGTCTCCCACATGCAATGTATTCATTGATGAAATCTTCCATAGAGCGCGAGGCAGGACGCCATACGGAGTAGTCGAACTCCCGGCCCGAGGGAGGCTCGTCGAGCTTCTCTCGCTTTGATGCACATCATGAAACAAACATTTGTGGGTGTTCCGGACGCAGGGCAGCCAGCTGTGCACATTCCACTGGAATCCTTCCATAATACCCTCATGCAGCGGCTGACGCTCTGGACAGAGGATGCAAAAATGGTCTGATCGTCGGATCAGAGCTTCGCGCACGCGCTTCCTCGAACTTGTTGACGCATTGCTGTGCCCAGTCTGCGAGTGGTACATCCACAAAGCAGGTGTCAAACAGTATCAAACTGACTAGAAAACCCAAATGCGGTTCTAGCTCGAGCGCTGCGTGGAGCGCACTCTGTGGGCGTTTTCCGATCTCCTTACTGGCGAAGAAAAATGGGAGTCATGGAGAGTAGTCTCCGAGTGTCAGTGGAGGCGGGTGACGAGCTGCTGGCGCAGGAGATCGAAGAGGTAGCGAGTTTGGAAGAGATGCCGCAACGAGCGTGGCGATCGCTTCAAATCGTCCGAGGGCATGGTGTTGGTCTCGGCCTCGGGCCAAATGAGGTCATATTCAAAGGATGGTTGAAACAGTGTTCCTATCTGCACTGCGATTTGGGCAAGTGAACAGAGTCCTCCGGGGCAATGCAGACTCCCTGCCTGCATTAGAGTGCCCGTCGTCTCCTCGAGCTATCACTCAACATGCTCCGTGTACGTCAGACTAGGGTAGATCTCAACATCGTAGACAAATCTGTACTGAACTTTATACCCAACTAGGTGAGCAACGGGTGATCTCTGCTTACAACTCAGAGGCATTCGAAACAGTTTGTGGGGATAGCGGGATGGAGATCCTTCAGGGTTTCCAGGTTTGGGGGAGCAAGCGGGAAAAGGTGAAAATAGACAGTGGCGACCCTTGAAATATCTGTCTGCTTTCAGATTGTGAACCCCATGCCCAAGACGAGCAATAAATCTCAATGTCAACAGTTCAGGATATAGGAGAAAAAGTTTTGGTAGACGTTTTGGATTCCGGGTTCAAGGTCGTCATGTTTCTGGGCGTACCTCTTAACCATGAGTACGGAACCCAAGATCTGCATGGAGAGCTAATGAAGCTGCTCAACTTTTCCAGAACTCGGTATTATCTGGAGGCGGGCTTCTTTGACGCCAGGAGGCGTGCCAACATGTGGAACGACGGCGCCAGGACCTTCTTCGACCCCCGATGCACCATCTCGAGCAAATGGGGAGGCATTGCAGGCTTCGTTCGTGGATCACATAAACCGAAAGTGCCCCATGCCGACGATACTTGGCAGTGGTTTATGTGAACGCGCCAGGCTCGCCAACATTGACTGCTGTACTGAAGCAAGAAGCTTCCATTCGTCAGACTGTGCTATGAAATGGAAACCAAAATGGCCTAGGTTTCGCTTCGTTGAGCGGCAGCGTATGGTGCTGGATGTTCAGTAACTCGCCGGGGATGCACGATTGCTCTTTCCACAAGAGCACCCAGAACAAGTGCGGGAATCGATGTTGCACGATTTCCATCGATGCGTTCGGGACCACATATGCGTATCACGAGCGGGCATGAACGCTGAAACATGTAAAGAAGAAGAAGGTGAAACAATAACTGGCGCACGAAAAGGTGAACGGTAAGCTGAACGAACGTCAAATGGCGAGGCAGTCGCAAGAGAGCGCATCACGATGATGTGATTCCATCAGCCGCAATGCGCGGAAGCACGTTCTCCACACCCGCGCTTCAACGCACCGATCAATATCTGAAAGTGTCTCATACATACGGAGCGTCCAGCTATTTCCCGTGAGTCGTTTGTTCGTGCGCAGTGTGTTGTATGCACTGCGGAGATTGAGCTCAAACGCTGGAGAGTTTCGTTTTCTTACTTGACAAAACTTTAAGTTAGGCCAGCGTTCGCCGATTGTGTGCTTTTTCTTTTCTTATTTTTTTTCAGTACGCGGTGAAGTATCCATCAAACCCCCTACCTCCAAGTTACATTACCTATACTTCTTCTCGGATATACTGGTCATTTTAAACGTCCTATTGTGTGCCAAATGCCTGCCGAGAGCATCCGCAATGGCGCCTATAGCGCCGGTGCGGTCGCTGCACGGAGACAGAACGGCGTTGCCGTACCATTCAGAGAGCGTCGGCTCGTGGAGAGACTTTCGATGAGAACAAATCACAGCCCAGGACAGGGGGCATTGGATTCTCGCCCCGAGTATTTCGCTGGTATGGTACGGGCCCCTGGTCCAGCGTATTTTGGGCGCCACATACACAAAAAGCGAACGGTTTTGTTTGCCATTTTCCAGTCAGTCATGGTGCTCCATTGACCTGTATCACTAAGCATGCCTACAAAGATCCATTGCGTGAGCCTCAGTCTCGCCGGGGTTCGATTGGCACGGGCGTTACCAATCGCTTCTGGGGTCCATCTATTTCGGTGCCGATACACCTTCGGTTGCTGCAACTTGTGGGCAATATCGTTGTGCATGCGTCAGAAAAGGATGCCACAGAACCTGTCTTGTTTCTTCAAAGCAGCACGGTGGTCCAAGAGAGCGAGTGCTCCTCCATTTAACGCATTACTAGTCCATATGTATTCGCATGCGCTTGCTTTAACGCAGGCTGAATGCACTCGTTCAGGTTTCGCATCGAGCTGGCTGTACCGTGTTCCGAACCAGAACTAAATGCTCGTACGAGAGCGCTGCACCGGTCCCTGCAAGAAGGCGTCGTGCTGAACACACCATTTTGGGCCGAACTGAATGAATGCACACCTCTGGAGCGAAGCGGCTCCATTGAGGAGAACGGTATTCTGTTGGAAGCATGGGATCATATTCCAGCTGCAACATGAGTGCATCGAGAAAGCGAATCAGATCCCAGGGAGTGCATATGAAACGCCACATTCGCTTCAGCTGCTTTCATCATAGAATGTGAGGCAGGCGCTGGATCCAGCGGTTGCCCTTTACGACTGGAGAAACGTGACCCGCGACGTCATCTTCAGCTGACAAGAACGCTGCCATGCGTTGCTTTCCATACCCATCGTTCTCGACGCCATGTGGCACACAGCAGCTACCCGACTGTGGGGTGCCCACGTGAAGCAGCTACAAGCTCTGCCAGCGGGTCCGAGTCAGCGTTCCCCAATGTGAAGAACTCTCCGGATAGGGCTTCGAGTTTCGACGCCGACGGATCCTCGTGAGCGGTGCTGTTTTCGGAAATGCTATCGCTATCAGCGTCCCATATGATTTCGCGGTCAATAGCGTCCGCAGTGAGTCTGATAACCCCCAGATTCGTCTCCGTATCTGTCGTGGTTCGTGGTAGCTTTGCAGCTCCATCGTGACCTGGTATTTCCAGGCTCACAAGCTCCTGGAACGTCGCGATGTCCACATGGTCGCCCAGCGTCGACGCGCGCCAGGCAGCCGTGAGGAATCGCTCGACTTGGTTCCGAAGTAACTCATCGTGAAGTGCCTCGTAATCCGGAAGCGTATACTCTAGAGGGCGCGTTGTGGTATCAGCTTGTGGTGCTCCCGGGGCCGGCGTCGTCTCCACGCAGTTTGCATCGGGGACGGGAACCCCTCCTCGGATCACAAAGATACCATTGGACGCGTGCTGGAGATCTTTCACCTCAAAACAGAGCACGTCCCCGACACGAACTTGTTTCTCCGATAAGTCGACACCTGGGGCATCTACTGCTAACGGTATCCATCGGTCATGCTCTCGTCGATATTCTCCCGGAAAATCATCCACGCTAATGGCTGCGTGAAAAATACCAAACACTCGTAGTGCAACATGCCGCGTGCCGAGAAATACGACTCGACCATACAATCGAGGAAGCTGCCGCGTCCGGGTTCCATTCTTCACAACGATCGATGCTTCGCCATCAACCACCGGCGGAGAGAAAACAAGAGCCTCCACATGGAGCCGAACATGGAAAAACCCTCGATCCGTAACCTCTAGGTCGAGTTTTGGTTCTGCAGCGGTGTACGTGTTTGCCCGACGCTTGTGCAGTGGATCCAGTGCGGCGCCAGGTACCGCACGCAACGACACCACGGTTCCCTGCAGAAGCGGGTCGTAACGAAAAAGTCGGTTGAATAGACTGCGGTAGATCGCGTTGAAGACAGTTTTTGGACCTTGCAGCACAGCTGGAGATATCGACAAGCGCTCCTCAAAACGTACCCGTTTCCAGAGCGGTGTTTCGCTGAGTGTTTCTGGCCACATCGTACACCTCGGGACGGGCTTCGGGTAGCAAACTATCTCGCAAGGACGGGTTACTGCAGCCGAATGTCGCAGGTTACAAGTGAATGCATAACAACTTTCCGTAACAAAACATCTAATTGAACGACGGAGCGCTACGATAGACTATGGTTGGTTTTCTCTGACGCCCGAACGAGCGCGTCTTTCCACCTGGAGGGGCTGCGTTACGGTTATCGACTTGCTCAGGGCGCGCAAAGTTTGCTGCTTTGCTCGATGGCGATCAAGCTCTGCGATGTACTAGCACGCTTACTCAGCGTGTTATGGGTTTGGTTCGTGTCCTCCGAGGAACTCGTGCGGTCTCCGTTGAACCTTTACGCAGCTGCTTCGCACTGTCTCGGCGAGCAACACACCTGGCCAGGACTTGGGGAGGAATGCGCGGGCGCCCGTGTCACCGCTGCGACTAGGCATCTGCAACGTCGCATTGGGTTGTTATCGTTTTACACCTCAGTTGCGTTCCACCTCTCGGTGTGTGTCATCAGATGATTTTTCCTGGTTCGTGGCAGATGCTTTCGAAGTGCGTAAGTTTTCAAAAATAAGAAATCCAAGGGAAATTTATGGACATGGAAGTCGAGGATCTTGGAGGCTCGGTGTCGCCGGCTGCCGGCAAAAAAACGGAAAAATCCTTGTCTCACCGATCATCGAGCGAATAAGAGCGCGTAACGGAGATGAAGAAGGCGGGCGATAGGCGAGGAGAGGTTTTCATGTCTGACGCGATGATATCGAGACTGCAGCGGCAGAGAGGATTGCTTGATTTAGCAGTCCCTGCATTAGCAAGTTCAGCCAGAGGCAATACACGCAATGAGCTCGTGAAACGGAATTTCAATGCTGCCGTCAATATCATACGAGGATCGGTGCTGAAGACGAGGCCCGAGGAGCTGACGCGATCCAACTTGTGGTACACGCTCTACGGCTAGAGGAGTGCCTGGAGAAACGAAAACCGATAGCAGGCGACCGGTCGAAAGAGGCTGGGAAGCGTCTGTGAAAGGGTGAATATGTACACGTCATAGTCGTGAAATGTTGTTCGTTTCACAGAGCATAAGTTTAACTGGTTTGTGGGTAAACAGATCAAAATAAATGATCGCAGTTGGACGAAAGCTACCCGTAGCAAGAACGCATATTAGCTTCTACCCAGCAGCTCCAAGTTTCCGTTTGCTCCAAGTGGGTCTTGCGTCAAGATCCCACGCTCGTTCATTCCACCAGGTCTCCTTCTGATGAGCGCACCGTGGATATTCACTGTGGTGCCGACGACATCATCAGGGAAGCAGCAGCTCGATAGGCTGCCCATGCTGTTTTAAGGCGAGCCTCATCTCTAAGCGTTGCCTACAAAAGTCCTGGTCCGCGTTCTCCCAAACGCTTTCTGATAACGGACTAAATGTTTCACTATCTGCAAGCGTACAACAATGTTTCCCCGCGAATCTTTTTTGCGGCGTGAGATCGATAAATCCAACGAAAACTTCCCGAGTATATGTTTGCTTTCGGAAACCAGACAACCCACTGGTACTAGTCCTGTTTCAGAATCAAATCGGAACGCTGAACAGCTCGTTCTCTTCCTGCTTTTCGATTATATTCCGATATTTTCATTTATGTGCAACCTGTGAATCTAAACTGCACTAGTAGTGGCATATGGATCTACGCAGTGGTTTCGGATTTGCGGTGGACTTTTTGGAATGGCTCATTCGATACTTTGCCGCCGGGATTTGTCACGACATCGTCATCGACATGATTCACAAGGCCCGCGATCAGGGATTCGTAAACAAACAGATAACATCAATCGAGTCATACCTACAAACCGCCACTCTTCTCTTTTCCTTGCATGCGACACGTGCAAATTACGCATTCTTCAAATACTCGGTCAAGCTGCCACAAAGCAACTCGAAGGCGCAACAAAAACTCACGCCATTGGATTGATGAGGAAGAACTCTCGGCGTGTTCCTTGACGAATCGTTCAAAAGCTCGTGTCGAAAACTCAATGAACTTCACATGTCAAACAATGGATTTCACTCGAAAGACATTTCTGCCTGGGGCTGTGGCCGTCGACGAATCGCCATTCGTCACCTGCAGTATTTCGATCAATGTTTATGCTCCGAGAGGTTCCCGTGTCTTCTGTTCGAATGGCAAAGGGTCCTAAACTCGGACTTGAGTCCTCGCAACGATCGCTCCGAGTGGAGAGAGCGCGCGCCAACGCATGACACACACGGGGCGCAGACGGCTCGAAATTGATCGACTTTGTCTCCAGTCTGAATTTTCCTTCTGGTATTTGTTTCATCATGGAAAACATCGCGTTCCAGAAATCCTCTCTATTCAATGGAACAGCGTGCTCTTGCGCGCGCAGCGGATAGCGCGTTCGCCGAGAAAGTCGCTCATAATAAGCCTGTTATTATAGGGGATGGCGATGGGTGCGGAAATGGACTAGGGCATAGAGGCGAGACCTCTGGACTGCTTCGCGTGCTACGAGGAGGCTCCCAGAGCATGAGATGCGGTGGACATCTCGAAACATCGTATCACACTAGAGTGTCACCGCTGCGAGGGATACACCAACACGCTTTACAAACGAGAAGATGGCAATGGCATGCGCAGCCTAGATCTCAACCTGCGCCAGTGCATGAAATGTGTCGTCAACACCCGCAACCGGCAATATCGGGACTAGCGCTGGGATCAACGTCCCTCGACAGCTGACAAAAAAGCTGGCGGGACAGGAGGGATTGGCGTATTTCAATACCGGAGATAAGAGATAAGGAAGAAGGAGTCGCAGAAAGACATTGCCAAGGACGGCGCTCGTGATGGCTCGAAGAATAGAGAACTCTGGAGTATGCACCCGAGTTGGCAAAGTTTATCTGCTCTATTCTCGTCCGACTTGGGTGTAGAGGCTTATTTGACAAAACATTCGGGACACGAGTTGAAGAGATGGCAAAGTCCTATGTCTCCAGCGGAAGCTTCATGATGATGTGATGGACCTGCGCAACCTAGTCCGGCGCGGTGTCCCAGTGTCGAACAGAGAGCGTTACAACCATGACGCCGATTACCATGGGACAGGTTCATGCTTTTCGCCGACCGACCATCGAAGTTGCAGCAGGTTTCGTTTCAGTGCCACCGCTGATGGCATGGGCCATGCATTCTCGAGCACGACAGCGGAGTTCATCGTGCGAAGTGGCATGCACTCGCTGAACAGCCACAGCATTCATGTTTCAGGAACGCACAACGGTAATATAAAAGACTTTTGCGCGCCTATGTCGTGTATTCGCTAGTTACAAGCATGCTGTAACGAAACCATGATGAATTTGCGACAATGAGCTCCCGCTGCACATGATTCGCTGCTCTGCTTGTGTACGTACCCGTGCAGCTCCACAGCTGACGCTACCCGGTAGCCTTCAACCGTTGCCCCGTTGCATCTGAGCCATGTTTATGCGCCGCGGTGCATCGATACCGGTGCGGTGACCGTGGCTACCACATGCCCTTACGAAAGCGCATCCTGCATGATCCAGTTGGACCCAGGGTTCCTTGCAACCATGTTCTAGGCTTTGGGCAAGTTTTCATCTGGTATACGAGCCACGCAAAATCTTGGCGTCTGGAGCACGTCTTCTATGAAGATGCTGGGCTCAAGCGTGATTCCTCGTCAAAAAATCTTCAGACCGGCCAATCATATCCTCTATCATGCGCTGTCGCGTGCGTTTCTGCAAAAAGTTCTCCCCATAGCTTCGTATTTCATCAAAAGTGCATTCACGACGACACTGAATTAATGCCTGGCGGGCATCCTCAACTGCCGCTGCCTGTTCCTGCAGTGCATTCTGCAGCACCCGTCGGTGCGCTGCTGCCGACCAACGTTCGAGGAGCTCGTTTCGCCTCCGTGTGAGCCGGTCCAGCACCTCTTTTTCAGCGGCCAGCTGTCTCTGCATAGATTCTATTTCTTCGAGCATTACTCTGGTACGCTCTCGATGGAGATGGAGCCTGTTCTCGCGCGCATTGTCCAAGCTACGCTCCAAATCAGCTAAACTTCCGCGAAGCGTGGCAACAGGATATGTCGCGTTGTAAAGTTGCGTAAACTCCTCTTCTACAGCGTCAACGACTTCAAGTTCTGCAGAGTTTCTCCCCTCAAGTCTTTTCTGCAGGCAATTAACAAATAGCTCTTCTAGCGACGGAAGGTCCTTTGGCAGCGTGGCCATATAAACTCGAGGCGTTTGACGATTAGAGCGGCTTGTCCAGGGCTCCGGAAGACCAGTCCGAGTTCAGCCAGCAAGCGCTCAATTCTTGCGAGTAGCCTTTATTTTGAGCGCTTCTGCTTGCAGTCTACAAAGTTGTTCAGCGAAATAGACTAGGAAGCTCGCGTACCTGTGTTCTTGCGTTACTACCTGTAAGCGTTCCGATATTTTGACGGACACGTTTCGAGCCTTGAGCGGCGTACGCGCTGCTGTCCGATTTTCGAGGCGTGCGCGTCACGAGTCGATCGCTGGCGTCTCGCTCGGATTTCCTGGCAAGGAATGAACATCGCGGCATCTTTTGTTCTTTCTATGGGTCGAGTGACGGCAGAAGCCAGACGCTGCATAAGCCAGTTCTCCAAATGGATTTAGGATATAGTTGATTCCGGGGTTTGGTGTAGCCGGGCACTAAAGGTTTAAAGTAAATCCACCTCCAGGAACAGAAGTTTGCTCCACTAGAGTTTCCATGGAAGCGCTTTCTCCTCAGGAAATCCCACAAGTCACGCCCGAACGGCGCACTGCACTTCCTTATATCCCTGGATCATTTCCGCATGGGAAGGATGCTTGCTCTAAGGTGTTGGTCCTCATAATGAAAATTGTTCTCTGCCCGTCATATGCTGCCCGGATCTGCGACCTTGTTCGCATCATGCGCGACACGGTGCTCCATCAGGTTCCGTTTTTGACTCGAAAATCCCCCGAAACCAAGCATTCTGAAGAATGCCGCGTCCGATGCACTGCGCCCAAAGACGAAGCCAAAGCTCTGATGCGTGCTGCATTTCATGCTCGCGTCGCGCATAAACGAAAACTTGAGAATCCGCCTCTCAAAATTCCAAAAGTCTTGAATGTTGCCAGCTTTTTCCAGAATCGTATGCACGCTGGGACACCCAAGAACTCGGAGCAGATGCCTGTCCAACGCCCGCCGAGGCCCCGTAGACGCGATTCCAAACCGTTATCCCGAAGAGCGAAAGGTCTCTACTGCTGTATGCACGCATGAATACGTCATGCACGTTTCTCTCCTGCATCTCCATGGCGTACAATTACCTGAACGACAGTTGTACGCCATCTACCTGCAACAACCGACTGCTGCGCGTTTCGATTCCACCAGCGTCACGGTTACCAGAGGAATATCTCTCTTCGACAGAAATTCCTGGGAACCAAATATTTGTTCAACAGACTAAAAACCGCCCGCTCAGCATCCATTTTCCATAGAACTCTGATTTGCATCGTTCCGTATCGAGCATGATGGGAAAAAACGCACCAGCCCCGACATCGCCTTCCGCGAAATCGACGGTGTCACGGCGATGAAGGCGTCTACGTCGTCTCAGCTGCACGCGCAACGGATTTCGTTCAAGCGCTGGAACGCAGTTGCGACGAAGGCATGAACTCTGTACTCATGGCGTTTGTTTCGTTGAATATTGTTCCCAGGGACGACTGCAACTCTCAATGTGCAGGATTTTGCTTGAGGTTTACGGGAGAAAACAACCGCTATGTGTTTCGTTCGAGGACGAGAGCGTTTCCGCGGCGCCGCTCCGGTTGTTCGGCACTGCGCGGGCTGCGCTCGCAGTCGGCGTCGCCTGCTCCAGCGTCAGCTTCGCCCGCGTCTGGACCTTCCGCTAAGAAAGGTGTGGTTGCTCGTGATAAGGTGAATGTAGCGGTCATCGGTGCGGGGCGGATCGGCCAAGTCCACGCTGAGAACATCGCTTTCAGACTTCGACGCGCCAACTTGTGCGGGGTGGCCTCCGGCACCCGGGAGCTCGCGGAGCGCTGCTCCCTGGCCGCTGGCTGCAAACCCTACTTTGACTATCACCAGCTCCTGGACGACCCGAATGTGGACGCAGTATGCATTTGCTCAGCAAGTACGCAGCATACGCGGCAGATGATTGAGGCAGCTCAGGCAGGAAAACACATTTTCGTCGAGAAACCGATCGACATCGATTTGGGCAGGATCGACGAGGCCCTTACCGCAGTCCGCAAGGCTGGCGTCAAGCTTCAGGTCGGCTTCAATCGTCGTTTCGATACCAACTACATGCGAGTTCGCAAAGCGATCGAGACCGGTGAGATCGGCGAAACCCATATTTTCCACATCGTGAGCCGTGATCCGGAGCCACCACCGGCCCACTACTCCGCAACCTCAGGGGGAATCTGGATGGACTGCGCAATCCACGATTTTGATATGGCTCGCTTTCTTATTGGCAATGAAGTCGACGAGGTCTTCGCGTATGGAGCTGTCCGCATATCACCTGAGATTGCTCAGTACGGAGACGTCGACACGTCTGTGGTAATGTTGAAGTTTCGGAACCGTACGATCGGCACGATCGACAACTCCCGCAGTGCAGTCTACGGATACGATCAGCGCTGCGAGGTGTTCGGTAGTGCTGGGTCGATTTCTATCAACAACAGCTATCCGAACACAGCGATTGTCAGCACCGCTCACCATATTCAGCGCGACTTGCCTATGCATTTTTTTATGGAGCGATATACGGACTCGTTCATTCGGGAAATGGATGCCTTTTGCAGCTCATTGCTCGATGGGACACCCATTCAGTGCACCGGTTTCGACGGCCGAGCGCCGGTAGTCATTGCCATGGCTGCTCGGCAAAGCTACCAGACCGGCATGCCGGTAAAGATCAGCGAGGTCGATCGGCCGCTCCCACCGGAGCTGCACGACTGGGATGGGCAGTGATGACGCTAGCTCGGATGCATGTACTTGCGCACTTTAGCGGGCATTCCTGGAGGATGTACTCTGTGGATCAATATCTATTGTAGTGGCGGGTGAAATTTCTCGAGTCGGATCGGCGGCAGTACCAAGTGTATCGCTCTTTAGAATCATCATGATAAATGTAATCATCAATGCACTATGAAATTGCTCGCAGCGATGACTTTGCTGGTCTTGTTTGGCACGGCCCGAACGCTTAACTTTCGCTGGCGTCGAATACATCGCGAAGGTGCGTGCAGTATGAGCTCTGCTTGACTCTGCGAGGAAGCAAACAGGACGCATGTTATATTGAAGGGTGCAGCATGTGCTTTCCTATGTGTCTTCGAGGGGGCAGGCATCATAAACGTTGTATTGGTGCATGCTGTATGTGCCGTGTCCGTGCTCGCAAGGAATTCAGCCACCCGAGACGACCTACATTTCGGATATATGAAATGGTTTAGTGGATCGCATTCGGTGGCTATGCGGGGAACCTATGGAAATCGATACCGATACGTGAGCGATGACGGGTTCACGGCTGGGAGCACACAAGGGCGCGTTACGTTCAACCGCTCGTCCACGGTCAACATGCATCGTATTCCATGATCCCCGCCCGTTGTCGGGCATTCAGCATGAGTGGCTGTGCTTCTTGTGCGGGAATCATCTCCACAATATCAATTTTGGTTCCGTGCCTGAAGCAGGCATCTTCTTCACCGGGATACGATCCGCTCTTCCGAGCTCAGAGCGCCTGTGAGCACTCGCGGACGCCGCAGGGTTCCGCGGATGCCTCGGGGTCTTGCAGACCGTGCGAAAAACGCGAGTGTGTGCTTCCCAGAGAGCGCTGAGTCGAACGCAGCTGAGGCGTGCAAGCTGGAACTTGTGCTCGTTGCGAGAAAACGTGGCTGCTGAAACGAAGCGACCGTGCGTAGATACATTCCAGAAGTAGCCACGGGGCTCTTTTTCGATTGATTTATTTTTCGCGACCCGATGCCACGGATCGCACAGTTCATATGGTTACCATATATATCGAAGGATATCCAGATCTCAAAACCTGGATTGGTATTCGGCTAAGTCTCCGCGTGGACGCGCTATCATGACGCGTTGATATTCATGCAGGCTCCAGACCTACGCTGCAAACCGCGTCCCGTTCGTACAACGAGTAGCGAGCAAGGGACTCGAATTGTACACATAGCGGTGCGCAAAAATTTCAAAGTTTTTATCCTTTCAGAATAGGAGGCGACCTTCGTTCATATCAGTGCTTCAGAGCAGTTTCATGGACGTGCTTATCATTTCGCTGGCATATCGATCATGTGCAGTGAAAGCGGAAGCATCACCAATGCTTCCCCTGCATCCCAGGAGCCTCGGCTCGGAGTCATCGATCCCCTCGCTTCAAGAAATGGAACGCGTGGATGATGCCAGGGCCTGCCAACGGGATGTACCCGAGAATGCTGGTTCGCTGCAGCGTCAGCTTCGACCCATCCGTCCTGCAGCCCAAAGAAAAATCATCAACTGGTCGCCGCACCAGCCGAAGGAGTCGCACAGCTGGTGTTCGCGGCGTTCTGCCGACAGCGCTCAGGACTGAACCTGGAGATCCTGGGTCCAAAAAGTTCAGTGACATGTACGTTTCCGTGTGCAGGCATGGAATCCAACGCACAATCGCGAAACAATGTATGCGCCATGATGATCGTTTTTCAACTCAATTTTGATTCACCCCCTATTCGGTGTAGAGCAGGAGATCGAAATGACCATTCAATGTACCGTAGAGGTCACAGATGAATTGAATATAGGATATATTCTTTAGTGAAAAATGCGAGGGGGATTGCATTCGTCCCTCAGGTCAGCAACACAACTGGAATGACATGGTTGAGGCACACTGAAAGAAACAAGTACTTGTGCTCTATTCCAGCTACCAATATTTTCAGAGACTGCTCGCAGTAAATCGTAAAAAAGAGACTGGTTGATCACCTTACGGAGAGCAAAAGCGACGGTAGTAGCCACCACTGGCATTTCTGTTTCTCAAAAGCTTGTTCGTTCGGCTCTGAAAACACTTGGATATCGTCGCAAAAATATTACCGTTTTCACGCACGGCCGTCTTCTACTGAAAGCTCAAAGACAACAAAGTTCTTGGAACGTCACTATCAGTATGAAGCAGAGGGGCGTCGGTTTGTTTTTTTTCAGTTGATAAGAATTCCATCGGGAGAACCGATCGGAACGTATATGGATATTCGCGGATTAGGAAACCCGTTGTACGTACGATGGAACTCGAGTAGAACGAGGATATCATACTTTTATTCAAGCTTTTGAGGATATATTCGGCGACCTCAGTTTCGCAGGCAGAGAACGCCTATCCAACTGCTCCAACCACTTTGTCGAATCATCAAAGACTTGCCCCCTGATGCCTGGCGACTTCATTCTGTTGGACAACATAGCATTTGACCACTCCTGTTACTTTGGAGCTGTTGCTGATGCTATTGGTGTCGAGCTGCTTTTCATTCCTCCGCGCTCTCCGTGGTTGAGCCCCATCGAAGGCGGGTTTTCCGTCGTTGCACGCAATGATCGCTCCACTGGACGAATCACTGATGCATTCAGCAAACGGTGACTCACCCGGAGCACATGTTCTCTGCCTTCCGCAAGTCCTAATCGCGTCGGAAACGTCCTCACATTAGGGCATAAAGAAGTGCGTTCATTTTGAAGAAATAAAAAATCCAAGGGAAAGCCATGGACATGAAAGTCGGGGATCCTACAGGGCCACCATTGCTGGCTGTCGAAAGAAAGCCAAAAATCGTCTCCTCCCCGACCATCTAGCTAAGACGAGCCAGTGACGAAGACGAAGAAGAAGTGAGGGGATCGGCGAGATAAGGCGCTTGTCCGACGGGACCACGACGAGAATACATTGACACAGGGGGGACGAGTTCTGGCAATCCTTCCTCTGAAGCGTTCCATCAAAGGCCATCAAAGCATGGGGTTTGTGAACCGAGACTTCAACGCCTCCATCAATATAAGGAGCTGTGCGGTACTGAAGACGAGACCCTCGAAGCTGACGCAATCCAACTTTCTGGGGCAGCCTCCCAGGCATGAGGTATGCCTGGATAAAACAAAATCAGTAGAAGCCGGCCGGTCACAAGAAGCTTGGAGATTTCTATGAATGGGTTTTCTGTACCCTCCATGGCTGTGGAACTTTTTTTGTTTTACTGAGCATATACTCCTGCAAGAGTTGCTTGTCACAGCAGTGGGTTGACGAAAGCGGCTGGCACTGCCGTTAAGCCCGCACGAGCTTTACCCTCTGTTGCTGAACTTGATCAAGCGCTGTTCTCACAGACAGAACGATTTTGTTTGCTGCGGTTGAGGCCAAGTGCACTCTGTGAGACCAGTCCGAGTCCCAAAGGGTCCTGCAGCGCTCTCGAGCTTCCGTTTCGAGCGCCACTTGCAGCCTCACAGGTTTCGCTAGGTCACGCTCTTTGGGGAGTTTTGAGAGGCTGCAACCTGCGCACCTGCGTCTGAGCCGACAAATGACCCCCTTGCTTTATTTCCTAACTCGCCTTCGAGGTGCCACTGTTACTGTTGAGCTGAAAGATGGGACGAAGGCCACGGGAACTGTACAGCGAGTGGATAATGAGATGAACGTTTACCTGCTGAACGCTTCCGTTACTGGAAAACCTCCAGCCGAGCTCCCCTCTGCTTCTCTGGAGACGCACGCGGCCCAGGTCGTCGCCCCTTGGACCGAGCGATTCAGTGAACCGGATGCCTCAGCTATGAGTCGTCGGAATCAACCTCAGCAAAAGGCGAGAGAATATCGAATCCGGGGATCTACGGTTCGATATATCATTCTGCCCGAGTCATTGAACCTGGAGAGCGCTTTGAAAGAAACGCGCAAGTTCAGCCCCAGAACACGATATCAGAAAGAGAGACACTGACTGTGCCGGGGTGTTTCGCAAAAATTGTTTCTGTTTATCGTCCGGCGGGAGAGCCCGGGACTCTGGCCTCCGGATTGCTATCGACGAGTCATGGAGGGTTCTTCGTCAGCGCAGTCACAGTTTCGATGTAGAGCTGCTGGGTTGGAAGCATCTTGCTCTGCCTCCGCTGTTTACCGAGGAGGAAGCAAACAGAATGCTTTTGAGGATCGCGGGTAACTTGACGGGTAAGGAGCTTGCCGGCAGGTTCGCGACAGCGCTCTCCGCTGTCGATATCGTCGGCCTCGTTGAAACCGTGCAGGAGCATGCAACGGAGCGTACACACACACACACACACAATGGAGTTGGTGAGCTTCATCGCGAGTCGTTCCAGTGCGCAGGCGCATGTTGCCGGCTCTTTGCCTGGCGTCGCGTACGCTACTCGTCGTGCTACGAGGCTATGTACGAGCGACATGCGTCCCTGAATTCGATGAGGAACAGTGCTTTGCTGATCCCTGGCCTGAAATAGCGAAAACTTCCGTCTAAGGTGGCCCAATACCATCGTTGGTACTCTCCCAAGCTGCGGAAGCAATGACTGTTTCTCGATGTCTGCTCAGGTCCAGGATTCGTTTGCAGCCGATATCTCTTGTAGGTTTACCAGCAGGATACGCCAGCAAGCATCGCCTGATACGGCGCAATCGCGTCTATGGCGTGCGCTTTGTACGCAAAAGTTTGCAGGATAAAGGTGTCCTGAACCAATTTCCCGACCGTACTCTAGCCTCCTTGAAGCACGTATGACATTCGAGACCATGCACTGGAACACCAGATCGACGGTTATACGGTTTGTCCAGCCAGACTTGCAGTATTCGAAAGACAACCCCTGAAAGTCGCAAGCTCTACAAGCTTCTTGAAGCATGCATTACCATCGAAGCTGCAAACTGGAACAAACTGCTAGACGCATAAGCTGTTCACCCAACCTGACTTGCAGCATGCGAAACATGAGCTGAGGAGAATCGGATGGGTTGTCTCTGCCCATCGATGAGGCGTCACCGTCCTCTTTCGCATTCATGCGCACTTGAACGCGACCCGGTTGCCGCTGCGTATCGCCGTTTCACGACCTGCGCTCCGCAGCACCACAGACCGGACTTGAAGCGAAGACTCTTGGGAGTGGTTCATCAAATGCAGAAGGAGCTCGATAAGGCCGTTCGGAGCGCTAAGAACGCCATCTCTACGGCCAAAAAGCAGTACATCGTGTATGCGTTACGGGACACTGTAAAGCTGTTTCGGAAGCAAAGGACTGCCTCGGCGGAGCGCGAGTTTGTCAAAAAGCAGCTCGCTCAGATTCGGGACCTATCTCGACAAGAAGATCGTTACTTCCGCCGACGCAACGTTGCAAAACTCGTGTTTTTCTACCTAAATGGCTATGGTGTCGATTTCGGTATCATGGAGTGCGTCAAACTCTGTGCCAGTCCCAAGTTCAAAGACAAACGCATTGGGTACATGGCGCTGCAGGTACTGCTCGACGAACAATCTGAAGTTCTTCTTCTCGTAGTGAACGTTTTGAAACAGGATCTCCAGAGCGACAACCACCAGATTGTGGCTCTCGCGTTACACGTAGTGGCGAACCTGGCTTCAGCGGAGATCGGTCAGGACCTCGCTCCCGACGTGGAACGTCTCCTGCACTCGCGGAACCCTTTTATACGGAAGAAAGCAGCGCTTGCGGCGCTCCGTTTATGTCGACGTACTCCAGAACCAGCGGACTCGTTTCGAGCTGCCGCCCTGGAGCTGTTGAAGATGCCACACCACCACGGTGTCTTGATTAGCGGTCTGGCGCTGCTCGAGGAGCTGCTGACGGTAGCGCCGGGTGCCCTGTATGGGATGCTAGCCAACGAGTATCAGGCATTGTTGGTGCAGCAGCTTCGAGAAACCGCAACAGCTGGCTTCAATCCAGAATACGGATTCCAGGGTGTCTGCGATCCATTTCTCCAGTGCAGCATCTTGAAGATGCTTCGACGACTGGGGCAGCACGATTCGGCGGCGACAGAGGAGCTTCACCGAACACTTATCGATGTTGCGCGCTCAAGTGAACGCTCTCATGGAGTTGTCCTCGAATGTGTTCGCACGATTTTGGCGCTAGAGAGCTCGCCTTCGAGAAACCTGGCTTTCGCGATTCAGATACTCGGTGACTTTCTACGTAGCCGTGACCCGAACTTGCGCCTTGTTGCGCTAGAACTGCTCCCACAGGCTGCAGAGCGGAGCATGGCGAGTGTTGCCGCCCACCAGGAGACGATTTTCGAGTGCCTTCGTGATGCGGACCCGACCATTCAGCGACGCGCCTTGAGTCTCCTGTTTGCGATAGGCACTGCAGCGTCGCTTCAGCGATTCTGCAAGGAGTTGGTATCCTACCTACAGAGCGTGCGGGAAGCACTGCACCGTTACGAGATTCTTCAGCGTTTGTGGTTGCTCCTCGAGGAGACAGAGCCGGACGTGTACCGAAGACTTGACCTTTTCGTAGAGGTAGCTCAGACGCTACCGACCGGCGATGATGACATCGACGACGACGCCTTCAGGGGCGGTGCTGGCGATCCCGGTAGTGGTGCTAGTGGTGATCAGCGCAACCGCATCTACGAACCTCGCGTCGGTGGCGGCTCCGATGTTGCTGGTGATGCGTACGCCGGCCCAGGGCTCTCGGTAGTGCAAGAGATCGAAGCGGAGCTCGCTGACGAGGTAGTCACGGCGATGTTGGCGAACCCTGAAGCTGGTATGGCTATCTTTTACCGATTAATGGATATTGTTTTAGAGCAAATTGCGCGGAGACGTTCGGCTGTGACCCTGCTCATGCATATTGGACTTGCGTTTGCTGCTGAGCACGACATTCCGCATAGCGCTCGCCCTCGTACATACGCAAAAGACGCGGATGCGAGCGCCCAGATAGGACAAGCATCTAAGCGTGAACGGGGTACGTCAAAAGCTCCACGTGCAACGAATGCGGCGATAGAACAAGCACCTGATTTCGAACTCGGAACGTCAAAAGCTCCGACTGCAACGAGTGCGGCAGTTTTATCCGAACGCGCTGGTGAAGACAGCGAAGCCGCAGAAAATGGTGTTTCATCTGTGAACAGCGCGGATATCCCGTCAGCCGCAGAGGATAGTCTCAATTGGAAACTAGCGGAACTGGTGCTTCATCTACCTGGTGATCGGGATCTGTCTCTTCGTCAACGGCAAAGACCGGCGTATCTGCACCGGACATCAACCCTGGGGCGTTTAGCCGTAGATGTGCTCTTTCGCACAGCCTTGCGGACGCGGCTCAAGACGAGTGAAGTGTTTGGTGCATGCGCTCGACTCCTCTCCGAGCAATCAAAAGCTTTGAGCCTAGACGTGCAACAGCGAGCTCGAGAATACCTGGTGGTTTTGGAGAACGCTCCGTCTGAGACCTTTGAACAGCTCGAGTCTGCATTCTCGCTACCAGATTCATCAAGTTTGCTCGCCTGGCGGCGACAGGGTGCAGCGCGCTCTCGAATCGTGAGCATTCGATTCCTCGGCTCGCAGCATCGCTCACGGATGAACGCCGGAGCCGCACAACTCATTTCCTTTGATGACGAGGAGGAAAGCGCGGAAACGTCCGGTTCACGAGCACCGGACGAGCAACCAGCCGTGCAGGCACCACGCCAGCGCACTCTGCTGGCCGATGCCGTACCGGTTGCAGTTTCGAGCGAATCCACCAACGAAAACGACAGCAGAGCGGCGTGGCATCTCGATATCCTGGAAAGCGTCCTGGATCAAGTGAATTCGAGCGAGGAAGCGTCAGCCGGGTCAGCGTCCGCGAGTCGCGTCATCTACGACGACGAAAAGCTCCGCATACAGATCCAACGCACCAGCTCGGAGACTGTCGATGGACAACAGCGACAGGTATACCATCTGGAAGCCCAGTTCATGAACAAGAGTCCGCGGACCTTTACGGAATTTTTATTCCAAATATCGGTACCGAACTATATTCTGCTCGAAATGATGCCAGCTACGTCGGGGAGCCTGCCCCCGTCGACACAACCTCAGCGGGTAACGCAGCGGTTTCGACTGCACAAGGATGGGCATGACACACGTCCATTGACGTTCCGCTTCCGCTTTACGTATGTGGATCCTTCGGGTCAGCGGATTGTGCGTCAAGGTCTCGTGGGTGACGTACTTGACGCGTTGGATTCTTAGCTCGAAAACGTTCCGCGGCGCTATGCGTGAGACCCTTATTGCTAGCTCTCACGAAACGTGACTCCGAGCATCGCCTTGACCAAGCTCGTGTTGCTTTCTGATGAAGCAGTGCTCACTTGCATCAGTTAAGTGAGCTTCGAGGCTGTCGCCGCTAAAGTCGTTCGATACAGTCGGAAATTGGCCTCGTCGTTATGCTTCGCAAAAGGAGCTTTGCGCTGCTCCTCGACTGTTTCCCAGAGCGTCCAAGCCTTTATATAAAGTTGATGATGCTCCTGGGAAGCGGTCTAATCCGTAGACAATTGCACGAGGGCAGCAGTCGGGAAACCACTCCATGCTTTCCGCTGGAGCGCACACCATCACCTCTAAGAAGCATCGGTGCGTCCGGCGGTCTTGAGGCGGGGCAGAGCTTTCAGACCCGGAAAAGGCTGCGTTCTAGATCGAGGAGTCTGGAGTTCATTTACGTTTAGCGGCCTTTACGCTATCGGACGCGTGCTTTCCCAGCCATGAAGTCGTTTGTGCTCTATTTAAGCATCAGCCTCGTTTCTTGAAATAGCCGTGGTGCAGAGCGGACTTGTGAAACAGAGTTCTGAGCGCTAGCAAGCTCTGCAAAGATACTGTAATCTCTGGATAGGAGTATCCGGCTTTCCAAGAATTGCTAAACCGTGCAAGGAATCAATGGTATATGGGTATCGTTATGCACGCAATGAACATAAAAAACAAACGCTGCATCCGTGTCGGGTGTACATTCAGTACTGCATTGCCTGTTCCGTTCCTGCCCTTCGTTTTTTCCGACCTTTCTTCGATGCACATCCTCGACATTCCAATTGCATGAAAAAGGACCCGCCGATTCATCTGTCGTCTTAACATGTTCGCTCGTTTCGTCGGTATGGCTCGTTCTAGCCTTTGATTCGAGGATTCTGTACCTCACTGGAATCAAAACGAGTCACCTTGTCATCGAGAACGGGTCCGTAAAATAACAGTTATCATCGTGGAATAAGGACACACAAGCCTCCATGCTTCTCGTTTACCTGCCTGCAGCATGCTCAAATCAAGCATGCTTCAAATTTCCCAAGTTTTCCATTCAAGAAAATTGATGCCGCTGGACTGATAATGCAAAGAACGCCACGTCGTCGCTGGACGACTTTTCGATATCTTCATGTCGAAATTTGAATGAAATGGTCACCACGAAGATTCGATTCCGTTTGAACGACTCCTCCTCTTCTATATGCGGCTATCAACGAAACTGCATTCGTCAGCAGCATGCTACCTCTCATGGAATATGCTCCCAGAGACTCCACGTTCAATGATTTGTGTGGTAAAGGGTCTTGAGCCTCCGTCACCACAGCGATTCGCTTACAGCGGGCAATACGCAACCGCTTCGCACTACAGGAGCGTACACGCGACAATTTCCCCCGATTCGTTCTACTACCTGGACTTGTCTTTGGGTAATGGTTTCAGCAGGGTTCATATTGCGTGCAACAGGCTATCCATTGGACGGAAACGCGTGTCCTTTTCCATGCACTGGAACGCGTACGCGCGGGAGGTATCGCCAAGAACAAGTCCACGACCGTCCGGGTACCGCGCTGGACGCTGTCAAGGAGGCAAGCACCGCAGAGAGCCTTCTTCGCCAGTCAAGCGCACGGACCGAGTAATGAAGCAAGCGTCGATGCACCATGGTACGGCGCTCGATGGAGAACATGCTGTAGACTCGTGAGCAACACCGACCACAGGCACGTGTAATCGCTTTGCGGAGCGCACCGAGGTTTCCCCGAAAGGCGAATAGGATAGCGGCGAGCAAAGTGTCTAGATCGCAGCTACCTTCTACACATGCAACGCGTTCACAACTGCGGGAAGCAGTGAAAGCTAGGCGTTATTGGCGCCATCGGTATATCCTCCGACTGCTGACATTGGAGCCTTAGGCGACAGATAAGACTACCTTGCTTTAAACTGGAGATAAGCGAGCGGCAAAGGAAGCTGTCGCAGAAAAAGCCCGCAAATTCTGGTGTTGATGAGCGCGGATACAACCTAAACTTTGGTAGGTGCGTACGAATCGGAAAACCTTTTCCGTTCTATGCTGACCCGTCCATAGATAAATTTATTGTAAACTCCGGATACGAATGCCTAAAGCACTTCGCATCCCAACCAAATAAACCTATGCAGACTGTGTCCAGGATCTGAGGTGCTTTTCCCTGCTCACTCCATGCATTCAGTTCTTGCGTTGTACGCCATACTCGCAATTGCTTACAGTTCTGTGTGATCCATCCCGTGCTCCGGAGCTACGGTTTGCGTTGCACTGCTGGGCGGCTCAGCGGTCTGCCCGGTTTTCGTCTGCGATCCCAGCGGCGCAGTAAAAGTCTCTGCCTGTGTCTGGTTCAAGGATAGCAGCGCCGTGGCGAAATGTTCCGAAAAGAGGCGCGCTTGCTGTTCAGCAGCATCCACCAATTCTGCGGACGGTTGGGCTTGCAACTGCTCTGCGAGATGTGTAACGCGAGCCAAAAGCTCCTGCATATCGGGGGGTTTCCGCTGGACCCCTCTACCCTTTCGTAGCTGCAGTGCATCCTTCTGGTGCTGGCGAATCCACTGTTCCAGCTGTTGCAGGATTTCAAGGGTCTTCTGGTAACGTTCCATCCGGGCATAAACTGGTTTGGTTGCATTTTCGAGCGACCAGAGAAGTTGTTCCAAGTCGTTGACGGCGAGCGCTGCACTGGATTCTTGGTGAATTCGCAATTCCACTTGATGCAGACGCTCTAGAATGAGGCTTCGCTCTGGCTCGAGACACAAGCGCGCTGGGAGCTTGCTCAATGTACCAGATGGGGCACCTAAGGCCAACTCTTCATGCAGTCGAAGAGTCATTGCTTCCAGAGCGTTGCGCAGGTACGCGCTCCGTTCGCGTTCGCGATCTAGAGCATCCAAAGCTTCCAAACGAATTCTTGACGCTTTCGCGCTCGTTTCCGGAAATGTCCATACAGAGTAAAGCATTGTTGCCCGCAGCGAGTGACGCTGCCCACGAGGCACCACTGATGGGCTGGGCTCGGTCTCGGCCTCGCCGGTTGGCACAGTCGAGGCTGAGCCCCGAGGGGCTGCCGCAGCGCCGGTGCCTGACCCGCGTCCGCGCACCCGCTGTTGTGGCTGTTGCTCCGTACCTGCGTTACTGAGCTGCTGGGGCGGCGCTGTGGACGCCTCTTCATCCTTTCGGTGCATGGTGTTCGATGCAGATGCGTGAGCGTGTGGCATCTGCAGCACATAAAGCTCAGCACGCTTGAGAACCGGTGCAGTGAGCGGATCAATCTCAAAAGCAAGCTCCAATTCCGCGGGATAGTTATCTTGGCCCAAGGACATGTTCTCGAGGTTCCAGTGCGACACAAGTGCGGCGTCATCCCAAAAGTTCGCAGCATTCCCTGCCTCGAACCAATAGAGCTCCGTGTCGAAGCGTGTCACAGGCATCCGAACCTGGAGGATATGGTTGGTGTTGCTGTTCATTCGCGGCGTCACGATAACGCATCGATCATAGGGTGGCCCCTTCGACGACGCATTCGCTACGCAGACCTTACAGGGCCGTGGATACACATCTGAGAGGACCAGCGGACGCACCCGAAAGAATGGCGACAACGCGGCGGCATAGAAGGCGGCTCCCATTACAGCTGCCTCCTCGGCGTTCACTGTCTTCCGCCAGAGATGACCCGGCACGAGCCGTTGTATTTCCTCAGCAATAGCTGGGGTCCGTGAACCTCCACCCAGAGGGATCAAAGCATGCAGCGGCTGCTGATCGGTCCCCACACGGTGATCCGCAAGCACTTGCTGGACCGGGGCGGCGATGCGCTCGAACACGTTGCGGCAGGCATGCTGAAAGGCTGCACGCGTAACGAGCAGATGATGCTCTTCGCCGGTCGGGAGCTCCACTGTGAGCAACGCTTCTTGATTCGCACTGAGGATTTCCCGCACACGATGGACTTCTCTAGAAAGGCGTAAGCGAAAACGTTCGTCATTATCTATCGAAGGCGCCAAAAGCGACTGTGCTCGCAAACGCGATAGCACGTCCTCGACGAGACACTCGTCGAGGGCAGCGCCACCTGCCTCAGGATGCCACCGGTAGCCGAGCACCTCCACTTCCTGGATGGGAGCAAGCCCGCCGCCAGTCTGGGATCTAAACGCGCTGTCATTTGCAGGAGTGAAGCGAATGAGGGCAGCAGTGGTTCCCTGGGCCCCAATGTCCACGAACAGAACGGTCTGGGGTTGCTCGACCTCTCGATCTAGAGCGAACCGAATCGCTCCAGCCAGGGGCGTCGACACGAGTCCACGCACATTCCAGTTTGCGAGTTGCGCAGCATGGACTAAAGCAGCCCGTTGGGACTGCCGAAACCATATCGGCACTGTCAGGACAGCATCCGTGCCGAGGACATCCTCAGGTGCCGGCGTTGTGGTGCTCTGTTCACGCGATGATACGCCTGTAGCTCTTATTGCCGCGTACGCTCTTCGCTGCACGTACCTAAAGAGCATGCTGGCGAGCTCCGTATCGGTGAAAGCTAGGTCTTGGCGACCTCCGAGTTGAACATGACACGTACGATGCGGCTGGACTCGTTGGTCATGGAGCGTGACGACCCGATCCGTACCAGCAGAGCAGTTTCCTCGTTCGAAAAGTCGACGAACGCTTCGGACGGCGTACTCCGGCCAGCGACCATACGCAGGGCTTGTTCCAGCCTCCCCGAACCGTCGCTCTATTCGTGCATCGCTCACCGGAACGAAAGCGATCAAAGCAGGTGTCTCTCGTTTGCTTTGCTCGTTTGTGAGAACCTGGATTCCAGCGATAGCTTGACTCGCTGCAAAGCGCACGTTCTCTGAACCCAGATCAATGCCAAATGCAGCAAGTTCACCACTTAGAGCAGCCTGGGTTGTAGCTGCTCTGGCTCTGATGGCTAAACTCGCAAAAGCGACCAAGAGACAGAGCGCAACGACTCGCACTACGAGTGCGTGGTAGATAGCGCTGAATCGCTGTCCTCGCTGTTGTCCTAGAGACTGCAACTGCATCAGAAACCTATGATGTGCTGCCTGTGAGTACCTTCGGAGCGTGTCCGGCAGAACGCCTATGAAGGAGGCTCTTCCCGGACGCCTGGCATAGAGCTTGCGTTCAGAGGCGCGATGAACGCCTCGCCATTCGAGGAGACGCTGCCTGCGAAGCTCGCAGTCGACGCGCTCTCATTGTTAGAGCAAAACAGGAAGGTTGATTGGATCCCTGTGTTCAGGTGTTTCGGTATTTGTTCCCGATTTCGTTTTGGTTGACGTTCAGCCTGGACGTCTGAGGTGCAACAAAAGGGTTTATGGCTTCGAATGTGTTCTTAGGACTCTCGATCGTGTGGTCGGAGTGGCTTCTTTGACGCGTTGTCTCTGGAATAGGTTCCGTCACCGATATCAGAATGGCTCCCGACGCACTCAGACAACAGTTGGTAAAACGTAGACACGATGGAATTGTTCATGTGCACAAGCATCCACTATATTCCTTTCTTTATGAGTAGTGTGCTCAGAACACGCATTCACCTAATTTGCGATCCTTCTATTTCAAGGCAACTCATGGACGAAGGGATTCGCGCCTCTGTTTTGAGGACGAATGCTCGGCGTCACTTCTTGACGACTTTTCGATATCTTCATGTCAAAATTGGAATGAAATGGTCACCACGAAGATTCGATTCCGTTTGAACGACTCCTCCTCTTCTATATGCGGTTATCAACGAAACTGCATTCGTCAGCAGCATGCTACCTCTCATGGGATATGCTCCCAGAGACTCCACGTTCAATGATTTGTGTGGTAAAGGGTCTTGAGCCTCCGTCACCACAGCGATTCGCTTACAGCGGGCAATACGCAACCGCTTCGCACTACAGGAGCGTACACGCGACAATTTCCCCCGATTCGTTCTATTACCTGGACTTGTCTTTGGGTAATGGTTTCAGCAGGGTTCATATTGCGTTCAACAGGCTATCCATTGGACGGAAACGCGTATCCTTTTCCATGCACTGGAACGCATACGCGCGGGAGGTATCGCCAAGAACAAGTCCACGACCGTCCGGGTACCGCGCTGGACGCTGTCAAGGAGGCAAGCACCGCAGAGAGCCTTCTTCGCCAGTCAAGCGCACGGACCGAGTAATGAAGCAAGCGTCGATGCACCATGGTACGGCGCTCGATGGAGAACATGCTGTGGACTTGTGAGCAACACCGACCACAGGCACGTGTAATCGCTTTGCGGAACGCACCGAGGTTTCACCGAAAGGCGAATAGGATAGCGGCGAGCAAAGTGTCTAGATCGCAGCTACCTTCTACACATGCAACGCGTTCACAACTGCGGGAAGCAACGAAAGCTAGGCGTTATTGGCGCCATCGGTATATCCTCCGACTGCTGACACTGGAGCCTTAGGCTGCAGATACGACTACCTTGCTTTAAACTGGAGAAAAGCGAGCGGCAAAGGAAGCTGTCGCAGAAAAAGCCCGCAAATTCTGGTGTTGATGAGCGCGGGTACAACCTAAACTTTGGTAGGTGCGTACGAATCGGAAAACCTTTTCCGTTCTATGCTGATGTAATTGCATCGAGCCATCAAGAGCGCTTCGTCGATATGATGGATACTGTGTCAAGGGCTCGAGGTTCACTCGTTTCTAGTTGAACTGAGTTGAAGTGGTGGCGTATCTGCTGATTCCTCGTGGAACGGGTGCTTGCCCTGCACGGTGTTCGCATCCTTTTCCGGCAGTCGCGGGTCTTTCTTCCACTAAACGCGTTGCTGGCACGCTCTAAGCTCTGAACGGCAACGCTTCCAGGACAAGTTACAAATTTGACGTTGGTACTGAATAGTTGCTCCGCGACAAAGACAACTGAATAAAGTGTGTCTTCCAGCACGTTTGAAGCGATGGATAAGTGACCCGTCAGAAACGTCCAGCCGTTCGGCAGCGACTTGAGCTCGTCTGTTGTACCGTCTTAAACGCACTCAGCAGCACTAACGCGGAAAGATGAAGCGCTGCTGGCGTGTTTTCTTACAACTGTGTAAGATATTGCTGACGCGAATCCTTTTCTTTCACCGCGCGGGGTTGTTCACGCACGACTTGGCGGGTATAGAGAACCGAAACCTTGACCAGCGCGATAAGCAGTGGGGTATGGTGCGTCTCCTATCACCATATGCCGTTCTGCAGTCTAGCGGCAGCGAGGGACCGGCGACTGCGACTGCATGGTATAACGGGAGCAGTCCATGGAACGCCGCAACGCCCCGAAACGCGTTCATGGTAGCACCTGGTAACGCCTGGTTCAACGAGAGCTTTCCATGGACTCTTCTAACGCCTCAACACATTCTGCATCGGAGAGTAAGCGAGGATATTCCTGATTCCATGAAGCGATCTTCGATGGATAGGTCGTCGTCGATGCGGCAGACGCATGCCCGTGGGCAAGTGATTGTTGTGCCGTTTGCAAAACATCAATTCGAGGCAGTTGAGCGGTGGATTCACTGGAATCTTCCACTAGCTTGCCCGGTAGAGACTGCAGAGCGCACTTCGAGTCAAACAGTGTTGGCGTTTTATATCAACACAATCTGGGATAGCGACCTCTACCTTCGTGTCGTCGACGCGCTCCGAAAAGCGACAGCTCCAACATGGCCTTCCTGTTTGGATCATGGTGTGTACCTCATCGAGGCGCGTCTGGACAGCACTGCTGATCGTTACAGGCCTAGCTCATGGCTTTCCGAACGTGACTCTGCAGGCACCGGCAGTATGTTCTATCCTTTGGTGTTTGCTCTGAGCCTGGCCGCCGCTGGCGGCAAGCCGGCTGAACGCTCCGCAGAGCCCTGGATGAACACGGAACACAGGGCGCTGCGCTTCCATCGATTGTCCCTGGGGCGACAGTCATCGCAGCGAAGCATCTTTAGTGGTCCACATGAGTCCACGAGTCTACCCCGAGTACGATACTTGTTTTGGTGCGAACCAGACTGCAATGCGGTGCAAGCGCAGTACAATGATGCGCTTCGTCGGATCGTAGCGCTCGCGGATGCTCGTCGTCTGTGGATGCTGGGCTCTCCGCTGCGAAGCACCAACCTGGATGCACGCATCTCCTGGCGACTGCAGTACCACCAAGATGCGCATCGAACGCAGATGAACGGAAATGCGCTCTATCGAGTAGGTGACTTGGATTTCTGTCGATGGCTGTGGCGAGTCTGGAATCGTCACCGCTCTGCGGCGTTTGATGTTGCGATTGATCGGCAGCTTTTTGCCAGCACAGAGGAGTTCTGGGATCGATCATTTCGACTGCAGTATTTTGCCCAGATCGAGTTTATTCACAATCTCGGAAACGAACCGTATCGCTGGCATGAGTATCGGTATCGTCATCCATACTGCTTTTTCATCCACGGGAAAAACAGGTTGCCGCCTGTGACCTCATGAGGTGGCTGGGAGCCTCACTGCAACATAGCGGCGTTTTGGACTCGGCAGCAGCAGCAGCTGTCACACCCAAATGCCTGTGGTCCAGGATATCGATACGTTTCTGCTGTACACGCGATTTCGTCTAAACCATTCCCCGCGGCGTCGGATATACCCCCGCGTAAGTCGGTATCTCTGCAAAACGATTGCCGTCGCCGTCATAAATACCAGAAGCGTGCTCGCCTAGGAATTGGGCTTTGCTCTTTGCCTCTCAGTACAGACACGCGACAGCGAAGATTGCCTTCATTTTGGATAGATCGCGCAAATATGGACGATAATGTGCTGGCTGCAATGGAAGTGCGTGCGCTCGCATCTGCAGATACCTCGTTCGCCGCGTCCAGGAGAAAGATGTAGGTACGCAGCGTTTCGTACCTTGACAGAAAGTCTGCTTGTGGCACAGGAAGTAGTACATGCGTAACTTTTCCGTACTAAGCGTCCCGCATCTCACTATGGCGGTGGGTATGCTGTAATTCCATATTCTGTCTACATCATGCCACTACTTTTATCCAGTAGCGTTACCGTGGCCGGATGCAACGGGTGTCATCCGTCCGCCGTCACATCGCTCAAGTGTCGTGCTCTTGGTGCTCGACCAGAAGTAGAGCACCGAAGAGGCTCTCTTGCCCGTGCACGTGCCTCTGAAAGCGCGTTCCCATTACAGCGCTTCAATATGGCTGGCTGCAGCACTCAATTCCACCGCGTTTCGAAATGAGAAATACTTTCGGCAAACCGCTGAGATATTTCTCGTTGGCAAAATGTTATTCACGAGTTGCATGCGAGCATGATGCTTCGCCGAACGTTAATGAAGTGTTTTTTCAAGTGCACGACCGTGCGTGAAGCGTCGCTCGAGAGTCGACCTCAACATTCCGTCGATGGAGGCTGCCGACTCGCACAGGACACAGCGTTTCGAGACAGAGCGGCACGAAAGAAACACAGTGCCGAACAGGTCGACACTCCAGCGGCGAATGCACCACAGCAGCAGAACGAATTCCGTGTTGCCCGGGATGGCGCGGAAGCTACCGCGCTCCGACGTGAAGCGCGCCCCTCGGCAGAATCCGCGAGGATGAAGACACGGCTGGGAAAGAACACAACACATGCCCCGACTCTCTGGAAACCACTGGGAGACACAGGTATCCAGAGCCTCATCAATTCCAAACGCTGAATGAACGAACGAACACTTGCCGATATTCTGTGAGGCTTTTCCGAGCATTGCGCGAGCACCGTTTCAGGTCCATGCGTAAAACTGGCACCTTCCTCTGCTTATCGCTCGCTGTGCGCTACCAAAAGGCAACGACTCTCATCCGCTAGACGTTGCTCGTCGGGTGCTATGTAGACGTGTCCGCCAGCGAGAAGAGGCCCCCTAACTCGGGCTCCGGTCGGGCCTGTGCAACCGCGAACCTCCAGATGAGCTAAACACGCTTGCCCATGGTCCATCGACGAGAAAGACATCGTTGATAGAACGAAAAATATCCCACAACCATGGTGGGTAAATGAATACCCATACGCAGGCGTCTCCCAACTTTTTCGACCGACCGCCTGCTTTCGGTTTCAGTTTATCAAGGCACCTCTCGAGCCTGAGAGTTTGCCGAATAAAATTAGATTTCGCTAGCTCCTCGGGTCTCGTCTACAACGCCACTCATTGTATGATATTCACAGCGGCGTTACAGTCTCGGTTGATGAACTCCATGCGTCTTTTGCCACTGTTGAACGCACCAATGCAAGGATTCCTTGAACTCGTGCGCTCTGTGCCTCTACAGTTTAGTCACCGTCCCGCTGTGCAAGCACCGCTTCTCGTGCATCTCCCCTTGTTGCTCTTCCTCTCCTTCGCTCCATAGTCGGCGAAAAGAGGGTTTTTCCGTTTCATTCTGGCGATCATCGATGACAGCGCTCCAGGATGCCCGACATCCACGTCTATTCCTGTGCCATGGATCTTTTGTTTCTCCAAATAAACACACTTCGAACATATCTGCTATGAACCGCGGAAAAGCATTTGATGCCACGCTACTGGATGTGGAACAGAATCCTGGTGAAAGACAATAGCTGCTGCAATCCGATGCAGCAGCAGATCTTTTTCATGGACAAAACGTTTCCGTAGGCCAGCGTCCTCCGGTGATGCGCATGCTGCAGCAGATGTGACGCGCTGCAGCACCGCATCGTCACATCTCGCTGATCGCAGCGTTGCACGTAGACCGCTCGTGCGCCCGCCGCCGCCGCGATCAGAAAGCAACCGTTGAACTGATCGACGAATCTGAGTCGATCCTGCGTACCAGCGGCGGCGATGATGGAGCGAGTTTCCTGCTCGTAGCCTCTGCGGCTGACATTTGCGCAGCACCGCAGAGCAGAGTTTTGGGTGCAGGATATTTCGTCAAGGGGCATTCGGTCCACTTTAGACGATCCCGGATCCTGGGAGTGCACATAGCACGGCTAAAGTGGCTGGATTGGGGAGCACTTCAAAGTAGTACATTGTGACAGTCGTGCTCATGAGCTCCTTCACCGAGTCTCTCGCGCAGTATCGCGAGCCGGTAGGCAGTGCCGGTGACAGTGTCGACTTTTTGCTCAATAAGCGGAAGCTGCCGTCGACAGCGATCGAGCGGGTACCTGGCGTCGCAGAGCTAGAGGTTATGATCAGCGGCAGCTTGGACGCACCAGGGAGTGCGCGCAGCGGCCGCCAGCAGGACCAGGGCCAGGAGCTCGCACGCTCACTCCAATCGGCAAACTTTCTGGTGCCAAAAGCAGTGCTCGCACGGGGCAGTGGCGAGTCATTTTCTCCCTCTCTTCTCAGTCGACTGAAGTTCGGCAGAAGTGGGGCGAGTCCGATGGACTTCTCGCCAGTATTCAGTAACTTTCCGCACGTCAAACCGCAGCTCCTAGAGCGAGATACACCCGAAGCTCAGGCTATTCGGCGGAAGCTGCTCAGAGGTGCACAGGTTCTCATTTTCCAGGCCGGATACAGTGGTAAGCGATTTATCTTTGAACATTTGAAGGAACTTGGGGTCAAAGTTAGCATTCTGGATGGCCCTGACAGCTGGGCGAAATGCCTCGTCGACGAGGACGTCATCGAGTCCTACATTGAATTGGATTTTACAGACTACAACACCCTTTTTGAGCGTGCAGTCGATGCTATTCTTGATTCCGGAATAACGTTTGACGCTGTGGCCACATTTTATGAGGACGCAGTTGCCGTGGTTGCCCGTTTGGCAGAAGCTCTGAACTTGCCTGGAAACCCGAGCGCCGCCTGCCAAGCAGCTCGGAACAAGTATGTCACCAGGGAAATCATGCGACAACATGGTTTGGCGACGCCCAAATGCTACCGCATCACCGATGTGGTGGATCTGGAGCCTGCGGGTCAGCATGTGGGCTTCCCGGCAATCCTGAAACCTGCGTTTGGCGCAGCCTCCATGGGCGTGCATAAAGTGTCGAGTCAAGATGAGCTGGTCGACACATTTCGGGCGATCCGTGCGACAATGGATGTTCATCTTGATACAATCTGGACTCAGGGCACGGATCTGCTGCTCGAAGAGTTCTACGATGGCGATGAATTCGATGTCGATGCGCTCATGTCGAAGGGTGAGGTTGTCTACGCCTCCCTGTCCGATAATTGGGCGTGCTGGGAGCCTTGGTTCCAGGAGACTGGCATGAACATTCCCTCGCTGTACCCGGAGGAAAAACAGGCGGAGCTGAAAGCGTTCGCATCGCAGACACTCCGAGCGCTGGGGTTCACAGATGGGGCCTTCCACGTTGAAGTGAAGTACACCTCCAGAGGACCGCGTTTGATAGAAGTCAACGCCCGCATGGGAGGTATGTGCGTTCGTGACGCAAACTTGCGCACCTGGGGCGTTGATCTCGTCGAAGAACACATCATGACTGCGCTCGGAATTCCCATCCGTCCGCGGATGCCGCCAGAGCCCCTCGTCTGCTTCGCACAGGCAGCCGTTAACGCTCCGTATTCAGGTATTGTGGAGCGTAGCGATTGGCTCGAGGGTCTTGACAAGTACGCGCACTGCCGTTTGAAACGTTACCTTGCGAAGGCCGGTGCCAAGGTCACCGGCCCCGAGGATGGGATGCCGGACTGGGTCGCGGAAATCATCTTTGAAGGTCCTGATGTCTCCGAACTGTTGCGGGAGATGCGCGAGGCGGTTCAAAGTCTGCCAGTGCCTATAAGGCCGTTCAAGGAGGACGCACGCCGTGGATGGTTCTTTCCCGATTTTGCGTATCCCTTTGTACGCCCCGAGGTGCACGCAGTTTCGGAGAACTCGGCAAACAATTGAGATGCGGGACGAGCGGATAGACACTCGGTACAAACGCGCGAGCTCGCTGCAAGGTGAACCGTGCAGTCGAGGTACACAATACCCAACGGATCGTTGTTGTGCTGTTCGGGAACACTGATGCTGTCAGCGGATTCATGCCAGTGTGTCGGGTCTGGTGCAGAATCTATGGGATTCCTCGTACAGTTTCCGTGCTGGCTTTGTGACGCTTGCGGGTACGGCCGATCCGTCCGGCTCCAAGATATCCCCGAGGCACGGACAGGACGCACTGGATCCTGTAAGGCTCCCACTATGGAACAAAGGCAGCTTTGCGGTCGGTGGATTACGGGACGGGGCCTTGCGTTCCTGTTGCGACCCTGAAAGCGTCAGAACAGACCCGGGCACATGCGCACTGCCACCATGTCATGGAAGGATAGTGCTTTCTCGTGCTCGTAACTGGTGCAATACGCGACACCGATGGAGCATGGCCCGTGCACTGTGCCTCAGGTCGTCGGCGGGAACTCGTTACGCGACCATTTGCGATGATGGGCACCAGATTCCTCATACCGACGTTTTATACCTGAACCGGAAGTGGTGGAAATGATATGATTTTCTTATGCAAACACTGATATCAATATCGTCGCGCATACGCAGCGCTGTATCGGACGAGGCGACCGGATTCGAAAATTCGTCTAAGGACCGACACTGTTGCTTTCGGAATGAACGCCTGCACATAGATTGGTTCATCCTTGTGACATGATCGCAAAGAGACATGGGAGACTGTTTTCGAACCGACCACTAGGCATGCAAGTCCCGCTGGGAGTAGGATCAAGGGATTGGATTTCACGACTCTGTAAAGAGACGCATATGCTTGGTAACGCCGAATAATGGAACACCATGATCATGACATCACTGCCGAGGTAAAACGTTCGCAGTATACACATACGACGCTGCTACCTCGCTCGATGGATGCGCTCGACCACAACAGTGCCTCGCTCCGGGCGAGAATCTAATGCCATCTCTCCTGGCCACTGAGTTTTTTCAATCCGGAGTCTTCAGCATTTCAGCGCAATGCCGACAAAGAATACGAAACGATTACCAGGAATTTTCGCTTGACACAGAGCCGCAGGACGCTCCGAAAGCACTCGACTTTTTCGGGTGTTGATTGAGGCGTCCAAGTCTTGGCACAGAAAGCGCTTGCATACCTTGTTGGCGACTGTATCGCAACATTGCGAGCCTCATGCATCTGACTGCCTCGTAAGCAGACGTCCGCTCGGCATGCCGTACCCCATCTCGTCCATCGTGCTCTGTTTCAAGCGCTTCGTTTCTGGCTGTTTCAACGGGCACTCGTGCTCGTGACGTTTCTCTGTTGGCCGTAACTCATCGACAGGCGTCGTACAGAATCGTTTCCTGCACTCGTTCTACGTTCTCGTCAGAGGAGCAGGCGTGCAGCCCACGAGCGCCACAGCACGTCTTGCGCCATAGGGTACCGTCACCCAACGAGACGAACGATCCGTCGTATTTCTTTTCCTGTTCATGAAACAAGTCGCTGAATACTCGCGTCCTGCCCCTGTACGCCGAAAATCGTTGGCCATTCCCGTGCGTCCGCAGGTATTTCTGCCAGAGATCGTCGACATACGCCATTTGGACGCTCGTGTTCTCTCTGAATGCAGCACACAAAGCATCCTCGTCTGCAGGACAGTGTGCTCAGAGCACCGGGGTCTGGTCCCTGACGCCGTCTTTCCAGTTTTCGTGTGCCTTCTCGCATTCATCATGCCCATTCCTGGGTGAAATCGAGCCCGGGAAAAGCTGAGTAGCTTCGTTTGCATTCCCTGCATATCCCTCGATACGTTCTCTCGATTCAGAGGTACGACAACCGTCATGATATTCTCAGACCTGGGGATCCGGGCCCACCATGATGTTTCTCTCTTGATATGTCTTCTTTGGCTGAGACCGAGTCGCATCGCTTGACTTGGGCCTCGATCTCACAAGTACATGCGGATTTGTATTCCAGCGAGCTCCATCGGCACTGTAGAATTCGTTCCATTCCTTCTCCGTACACGAGGAGCCTTGAACGAGCTCTGCAATGCTCTTAGCCTCTATAGTGGAATGCGGAATAGCTGCGCGCAGACAGACCAGCTGTAGCTCACTGAAGATGCGATACAGTACAGAGCAGAAGCGTCTCGGGTGATCGACTGGGCTTCCATCTGAGGTGCTGGGAGCACATCCACTTGGCGATTTCGGAGGCTACGGCGCTTGGATTCGAGGCGACGGTCTGATGGAATCTGCTCTGGTCTGCTCTGGGAAGATCTGCTCAGCGAAACATGGAACCGTAGATGCAAGCAAGGTAGGCGTTGCGTCTCAACGATCCTTTTCGGTACGAAATCCGCCGACCCGAGGCTGACGGCAACACGACGAGCTTGGATTACCTGAAGCGATACTCCCTATCGCTGGCACATCAGTTCCGAACTCGCTACCACCTCGATCTCTTGCCGCCAATCGCTCGTCATTTTCCTCCATCGACCCGCTAAGCATCCCGTCCATCCATCCGTATTTTATCGCGTATGTGACGTGAGGATACAATGCGCATGGGAGGTGTTTCGTGAAGCGCTCGACACTGAACCTAATTTGGTATGTTGAATGTAGTTCCGTACTTTCTGGCATCTGCGTTGTCGATCCTCAGATCGCCGAGGTGGCGCGGTAATGTGTCAAGGTATTCTGGGAAGCGTGCGAGTACATCCGGAATCCTATGAACAGGCCGTGTTGCGCCTTCTATCCGGAGCATAAGTGGTGTTCTCGCACGAAGGTCTGATCCGAAAAAAATCCAGAGAAATGCCGAGAGCTTGCCGCCCGTGTCTGGAACTCCACCGAAGCGTCGCGTGGCGCGGTGCACCAAGACAAGACGAAATAGGCAAGACTTGTGCGCGTAAGAAGCTACGCGATCTCTAATGGCGTCGTGTGCCTGACGCCTTCAAGGATTCTCCCAATGGATATGATTTATTGGTGAGGCGTTGACAGCGGTCCAACAATGATCTTTCCGATCGGAAGGTGCTCCGTTCCCGTCGGAACTCGTCATCTTTTAGGGAAGCTATTTCTCTGCTTTGACGTGTGGTTGCATCTCTTTCGGCTTCGACATCTTTGCCTTTTCGCTTACTCGGCTAGGTAGCGTGGATTTTTTCATGATACGCTGTATACGTTTTCTTTCTTGGCACTCAGACGCACTGATCGCTCGACGTGCCTGAAACTCGTCTTCTCTTTGAATGTACGCACTGTTTCTCAAGTGCTTTTTCGTCGCCTTAGCCATCGCATGCCCGCTCCCAGACCGGAGCGCACCTTTCCCTTCTCAGCTGCCAATGAGCGGAGAATCAATGCATGGATTCGGTTCTGGTGAACACAAAGAGTGATTTGTCGAAGAACTTCTGTAACACGGTTACGTACGACTCGTCTGTTCTTCCGGTAGATCAAAATGGCGTTTGAAATCCTATACGACGTCTTTAAGCGGATGGAACCCGCGAGCGTGTGCTAGCACGAAGAGCAGCTACAAACCGCGCCCCCGCCCCCCGACCGACATCAGTGATGGACTGAGAGATATTGCCCAGGAGAAGGACACGAAAAGATGGAACTCGAGGCGTGTTTCAACGGAGGATCAGGTGCTGAGCGCTGCTTTCTGTGTTGCGATTCATGGGCGACCACAGTATTGAATCGTCGCGAGAACTGACGTTGTCGGAATGCTCGCTTGACTCTTCTTCACAAACAGCGGCTTGCCCCTCTACGGCAACGTCTATACAAGTCTCGCATTGGTCATCGATGAATTTGTCATCATGCGAGATGAACGCCCGTCGCTTCCACGAAAAGTATTCGCATTTCTATACAGAATCTGTTGTGTATTGTTCGAAATGGTGCGGTCTCCTGTTGAGGCGTGCCTGTTTCTTGATCCATCCGCGTCTCTTCAGCTCCGCTCGAGGAAACGTTACCGAAAGTTTACATGGAATTGCATCTTTGGTGGCATTACGGTGCGAGCATTTGGACTGGAATAGATTGTCGAGGGAAGAGTCGTTGGCCTAGAGTTTGGCAAGTTCAGTTTTTGGTGTACTGCATTCGGGATATGAACGAGCAGAGGGATGGATCACTCACTAGCTGACCGACGAATAGCTGATTTGCACAAGTGAGGCCATTTCTCCAAAGCTAGCAGTGCGCACACAAAGTCTTTCCGCGACCATTCTCCAACCTTCATAGAGACTCTCTTTGTTAGACAAAAAACCGCCTGCTGGTACAGATGTTCCGGGATTCACTGCTCTGAGTGGAACGAGCGGCGCTAGCCTATTCTTGGCGATTGTTGCGACCATGTAGATAGGCAGAGTGCGGGTCTCTCAGGGCTCGAGTTCGCACAGACCAGTATGGGTGAAGTGTCCATAGGCAGACGTATTGGGAATCGCACCTTCGACATGCGGATACTTGGCCACGTGGTGCAGGTGTCGATTGTGCCACTGTCCGGAGCGCAATCGTCCGCTGATCATTGGCAACTGCACCTTCTGGTTGATAAGGCTGAAACGTTTCGATTTTTTTCGAATTTTTTCACATGTCCATCCTCGACGCTCGAGGTGCTGGAACAAGTGCTTGCGGATTCGTGTGTAATTTTAGTATTCTCGGTTATGTTTTTGGAGTGGATCCGTCGACTCTCCACGCTGAAATTCGTTTCGCCATCGTCACCAAGATGGTTCGCGACACCCTCCAACAAGGGTTCATAAAATAACCGATATCATTATCCATCGCCTTCGCAGAAGCCTCCATTCGTTTCCCGTCCTTACTCGTAGCATGCTCAAATCACCCGTGCTTGAAGTTTTAGAACATTGTGTTTCAAGTCATCTCGTTGGCGCAGCAACGCATCCAACTGGATTGAAATGGAACAGAAAATCGACCTCGTCTCTTGTCGGCTTGTTCACAAGTACCTGCCAAAATTTTACCGGGCTTTTCATGTCAAATAATGGAGTCCATTCGAAAGAGAGAATCTAACCGCTTCGCGGACATCGATGAAACTGCATTCAACAGCAGCAGCATGATATCTCGTACGGGCTGTTCACCAAGAGGCTTCCTTTTGTTCCACTTGCATGGAAAAGAATCTTGAACTCAGACCTCAGGCAACGCTGCGATCGCTTACAGTGGACAGCGCGTTACCGCTTGGCACGAAGGCTGCCAACACGGGTTGAGGCCTTATGGCGTCTTCTCGAGTCCGGAACTTGCTCCCGGTGCGTGTTTTATCATGGAGAATATTGCGTTTCAGAACTCCTCGATCGAATAGACGAGCGTGCGCTTGCAGCGGACGCCGTACTCGCCGAGGGCATCGCCCACATCAAGCCCGTGTGCGTGTAGGGTACACCACCAGTTACGGAAACGGAAGTGCGTATCGTAGAGCGCCTTCAGCAATCTTCACCAGCATGTACCGAACGATGAAGCAAGCGTTCAGGCGCCACGGGACGGCCATTCGTTGAAGCGGTATGCACGATATGCTACAGCATCTGAACACACCGCCATGTGTCGCGGCAGTGAAGAGCGCACCAACGCTGGGCACGAACAAGACAATGGAAATGGCAAGCGAGGCGTTGATCGCGACTTTTCGTCTGTGCATGAGATGCTTTGACCACGGCGATGAGCGACGTAATCAGCACTTGTACGTTGCCGTCAATAACCCTCGACCGCCGACATCGCATCTTGACGGAAGGAGAGACCGGCGAATGTAAATCCAGCAAGAAGAGAAAGCGAACGGATGCAGTTGCAGAATAAGCTCGTAATAGCCTGCGTTTGCGACAATTGGAAGAAACCCAAACTTTAGCTTGTGTACCCGATGAAGAGCACCTGTCGAACTGTGTGCCAGTATGGATAGATACCAGTCTGGCGACACCAAACATCCATACGCGCAACGCTCCTCCAGCTTCAACGTAGGCGGTAGCGCGCAGGACTGCGCCTTCAAAAACTCGTGGTTTCCGAGTGAACCCAGGCCGTAAGTGCCAGGGACCCGGAGCGTCAAGCGATGCCAACACGGCACAAGGTCCGTCGAAAAGACCAGGGTCACAAACCGTCTGCGTTAACGCGGTTGCAAAGCCAACTAGAGGCTCGTCTACGTGCAGCGCACTTTCGGTACTTGAACGAGCAACTTTACTCGCTAGACTCGCACGAGGTATTTCAGCTGTTTCTGAAACAGCCTGAACTCTTTGCCCTCTATCATAAGGGTTATCAGGAACAGGTCGCAAAGTGGCCCCTGAACCCAACGCAAGTGTGCCTGGAGCTGCTGAAGCGGCGGATACACCAGTTTCATCGCATGCGGGGCACCAAAGCGCATCCGCTGAACACCACTTTCAATGCTCAAGCCTTTTCGATCGTCGACATGGGTTGTGGTGAGGCAACCATCGCTGCCTCGCTGGATAGCAGACTCGCCAACTCTTGGTCGGCCCGAAACGGTTTCACTGTCGAGGTGCATTCATACGACTTGGTTGCGGCAAACGAACTCGTGACGGCCTGTGATCTGGCACGGGGCACTGGTCTACCCAACGACTGCGCAGATGCAGTCGTTTTCTGTCTTTCACTCATGGGTCCCAATTACGGCGCGATGGTCAAGGAAGGCCTCCGCCTTTTGCGTTGCGACCCGACTCGATCCGGTTTGCTGCTCATTATCGAAATAACAAGCCGTTTTCAGAGCCGAGCGGAAACCCGGGACACGCCCGGCGCTCGGGTCCAGCTGCAACGGGGTGCATCGACGACGGCATCCACGATGTCGAGCTCGGTCGAGGCAGACTTTGTCGTCGCACTCGAATCGCTCGGACTGCGGCTACAAGAACATCGCCAGCTTCATGATTACTTTACGCTTTTCGTATTCGAGGCGACCGAATCAGCAGCGCGCAGGATTCACATCATCGAGATGCCTTCCCTGAAACCTTGTCTCTACAAGAAGCGCTGAATTTTCAGCCAAAGACTCCATAGTCTCTCTGCGTCGAGCGACCCCCTCGAGTAGCGATGCGAAGCGATGTCGAGCGCTGCCCCGTGGTATACACGCTAGAACGGAGGCTGTGCGCCTTGGATCCGCAGCAGACCTGCATTGAAGCAGGGAAGCACTGGTTCGCTATCCGCTGCGTCTTTCTCATGGGTCAGGCATACATTTCGACACAGCGTCTGGCGCTCAGCGCTCCCTGTGAGACGACCAGCACCTGCTTTCGTCTAAGCGAATAGAGCGCTCGAACCCGGGCAAGGCGCCCTGCACAGCGCCTCTGGCAACGCCACTGCTTTCGACATGCTCTGGAAAACATCGCCATCACAGACATGAACAAGACGGAGACAGGGGCGTCCGAGTGCTTCATGTCAAGCGGTCCCCATGTGTTTATGGTTTCAACCTCCTGAAACGTGGATCTGTGTGGAGCACGGCGCCAGCGTCGCCACAGCAGCCACTGCGGCGCTTGTGCGCGTGTCGTTATTCAGCGATAAAATGCGAACTCGGTTTCGTCCTTACCGACATTCTCCTTGTAGGCGATATCGAAATCCTTGTGGAGCACCACATATCGATTGTTGCGCACAGCCAACATGCCCGCCTGTTGACAGATCGCAGCAATAGCAGCACCGGATAGATGATCTGGTCGCGACACGAACTCCTCAAGGTCGACGTCTTCGGCGAGGTTCATTTTCCCCGTGATGACCTGAAATATTTGGCGCTTCTGGCGGCGGTCTGGCACCGGAAATTCAATCTTGCGATCCAAGCGCCCTGGGCGCAACAACGCTGGATCTAGCGTATCGGCCCGATTCGTAGCCATGATCACTTTCACATTATCTTGTTGATCGAATCCGTCCATGCACTGAAGAAGCTCCATGAGAATGCGCTGCACTTCACGATCGGCCCCGGTTTGCGCATCAAAGCGCTTGGTTGCTACCGCGTCGATCTCATCGATAAACACAATAGCCGGCTGGTTTTCGCGGGCAAGACGAAATATGTCACGAACCATGCGTGGGCCCTCGCCGAGGTATTTCTGCACAAGTTGCGAGGCTTGCACACGAATGAAGGCGGCGGTTGTATGATGCGCAACTGCTTTCGCCAGTAGCGTCTTGCCGGTACCCGGTGGTCCGTAGAGCAAGACACCGCGCGGCGGATCAATGCCGATGGATAGAAAGAGCTCCGGGTTTGTTAGAGGGAGCTCAACTGCCTCACGAATCTCTTGTTTCTGGGTATCGAGGCCGCCAATATCAGCATAGGTGACATCGGGCTTTTCGCTCTGCTCTAGTATTGCAATGCTCGAGTCCGACTCGGGCGGCAGTGTATCTACCAGTGCATTAGAGTGGCGATGTAAAGCAACCGTAGCGTTCGGTTTGAGGAGTTCACGATTAACGGTGGACAGACACCGCACGTACGAGTTTGCTCCAGTTGTACTGCTCACTATGACGTAGTGCTCATCGATAGCTTCCAGAAAACTTCCCAGAACAAGTGGAACCGACTGAATTCGTCTAACCTCCTCCTGGGCGTGCACGAACTCTCGTTGAAGATGGCGAAGCTCGTCTTTCACGTACTCCTCTTGGATACAGAGCAGTTCGTAGTGACGTTGCAAGCGTTTCAGCCGCAGGAACGCGTCTTCCAGCGCCAGCGTCCGACTCTCTTTTTCAGTCGCTGTGTGCTTTGTCAGCGTTAGCGACCCATCGGCGTTGCCAACGGGCAGTACAGCAGTCGTAGAGCCCATTCGTTCTTCTTGATATGGCGCGCAGAACGGACTGCTGAACCGTATGGTTACGCTCTCGGGGCTGGCAGCGCCAACGGATGAGCAGCACGCCAGGATCGTCGCGATGGCGCGGGTGCCCGATGCCTCCAGCGCATCGAGCGCTGGTATCTTCAGAAGGGCGCTGTGTGTGTTGAAAGAGGTCTTGTGGACTGCAGATGACTGCTGTTGGAAGTTCAAGTTCAAGCTGAGATTGGCTTGTTGATGACGTGAAAAGTGCGAGGTACGCAGTTTCTGTCCTTGAAAGTAAAGAAAGAGGTAAACTTGTCCGGCTGCGCGCTGAGTTGCATGAAGGCTACTGCGCTCTGAGCAAGTGAGGTACGAGCTGGTAAGCGTTCGCTGTTGAAGCCACTGCCGCGGAATCTATTTCACATAGCATTCATTAATCTTTTCGAATCAAGAGCAAGATTATTGGTGGTCGCGTGGTGCTCTCTAACTAGAATATCGCGAGCGATGCAGGTGGAATTTCGCTGGGACGCGGCGGCGACGAGGTGAAGGAAAGCCTCTGTTTGCGACCTTTGATACGCGACCCGTAAGCAGTACCTCTGCTACAAGGATGCCGTACGTTGTTCGCGAGTGGCTATGAATTCGGGTTCTCGGAGTCTCGCCGGGCTCTCTGGCAGTACACTCATGTTTAAGACCAATGTGGAACACTGAAGTGGTTGCTCTGTTGCTGCGTGTCGATTGTTTTGCGAATTGTTTTTCACATTTGCAGTTTCAATATCCGAATTGCATCAAAGAGAAATTGCGGATCCATACGTAGTTTTTCCAAGTTGCTCGGGCGTGTTTTCGACGTCGCTTCTTCGACGCTTTTCCGCTGAAATCCATGACGCGACCAGAATGAAGACGATTCGCGACGCCCGCGAACAAAGGTTCCTAAAATAACCGATATCACTATCAAGTCCATGCGTATAAGCGTCCATTCTTGTTCTTTCGTAACGTGTGTAGCACGTTCCAATCGCACATTCATCAAGTTTTCAATCTCTCTGTCTCAAGGCAACTTGTGGGCGCAGGTATTCGCACCTCTGGATGGACGACGAAGAAAAAACTCGATGTCATTCCTTGAGTAGGCGTTCATAATTTCATGACGAAATTTTTCCGAACTTGGCACTTCAAATAATCGACTCCGTTCGAAAGACAAACTCTCTTCTCTACGTGGCCATGCTCGAAATGGAATTTCACAGCAGCATGATACCTCTCGCCGGGGTATGCCCGCGGGAGCTCCCGTCTCTCGCGTTTCTATGGAAGACGATCACGGACTCGGTTTTCAGTCACCTCAGCGATTTGCTGCTGTCGGAGCGTGCTTCATCACTTTGCACGAAAGGATCCTGGACCGATCGAAATTTCTCGACTTGTTCTCCAGGCAGGGTTCACCTTCTGGCACATGTCTCGTTATGGACGGCATCGCGTTCCACAAATACGCTGTAGACTGAAACAGTGTGCGCGTGCAACGGACAGCATACTCGTCATAGTGATCGCAAGGAACAAGCGTGTGATCCTGGGTTATGGCACTCAGGCGCGGAAATAGAGGAGTGAGTCAAGTGGAGTCTGCTGTATCCGATACGGACATGTGCCCAGCGATGAATGAAAAGCTCATACGTCACAGCATGGTCCTCGGAGGAGAATGCGTCTAAGAAATGCGGGAGCGCCTGACCGTAGCCCAGTTTCACTACTGTGAAAATGGAGCACGGAATCTATGTCCAGAGCGGATGAAAATGGCAAGCCGCAGTCTGGATCGCAACAACACCCGTCTGCGCGTGGAATGCGTCGACAGCAGCCGGACACAGCGAAATCGGACCATGAACGCTACCATCAATACCGTCCGACTAGTGACAACGGAGCTCGAGGTACAGGGGAGACGGTCTTATTTGAAGCCGCAGATACGAGAGAGCGGGAGGACGCAGTCGCAGAAAAAGCCTGCAACTCAGGTGTTGATACCAGTGGGAAGCGACCCAAACTACGGAGTGTACGTCCGAGCTAGGGAACCAATTGCGCTTTATTCTGACATCGATGTAAACGACTACTGCGACGATTACCTTTCCTGCAATGACTAATGATAACGGCCGAGTAAACACTTGCTCTAAGGATTGAAGCGCTCGGGCGGTACCATATGCTGGCCTCTTGCAATCAGCACGGCTTCCGGAAAGCGTCCGGCTCGATGGGCAGTGCGGGGTCGCGTCAACAAGAACGTGTCACAGAAGCGCTTACAAAGCCATGCAAGTACCATGGATCCTCCAAAGCTTGCTACAATGCGAACGAACGAGTAACTTGTATGCTCTTGCGCAGCGTCTCTGTACAGCGGCACGCCTAAATCGTGCTACAGGTGATTCGCGTCTGACAGCGCCCATTTGAGCATATTTTTGTCTCTTCACAACGCTGGTAACCACCAGGGCGGCGTCTCTGTTGGAAGGTGCGACGCTGGCGAGAACCGCCCGGGTTACTACCCATAAACTCGTTGAAGAGGTCCTCAAAAGGGAAACCTGTATCGAAGGCGCCTCCGGCCCTTCCTCCGTTATCTTGAAAGCTGAAGCGAAAGTTCGACCCATGTTGGTGTCCAAAAGGTCCGCCTCCAGGGAAAAAGAACTGCTGGAATTGACCAGACTGGCCCTGGTAGGGTCCGGTTTGGCTGCCACCCTGCTCCTGCTGACGCAGGCCCTCCTCGCCCAGCTGGTCGTATACTCTCCGTTTCTCTGTATCGCTCAAAACCTCGTAGGCTCGAGCAATGAGTCGGAACTTTCGCTCGGCTTTTTTGTCACCGCGATTCTTGTCCGGATGGTACCGTTTCGCGAGTTTGAGGTATGCCCGCTTGATTTCTCGCTCGGTAGCGTCTCGCGAAACCCCCAGCACTGTGTAGTACGACTGTGCGGCCTCAGCGAGCGCCACCCGTGGAAGCCAAGACGACACCCGTAACAACGCTGCCGTGCTCCGGAGGCTACTGGACCAGTCAGGCTCCCGTGACACCGGCAGCTGCTGCGTCTGCCGCCCAAGCCAGTCTGGCGGCTGCGACACTACCAAAAAGAGCAGCGTCGTTATGAGCAGCACCCATCGCGAGACCCGTCTACCCGCTATCGCGCTATTTGATCGAACACACATCGAAACGTCGTACTGAACACTACAAATACATGGCGTAGGAGGCGACGCAGGTGTGCCAGCACCAGCATCCGTCGCTTTCCATTTCCATCTTTAATTAGACAATCATAGACACACAGGCTAGCATTCCTTGTCTCTGCGCTTGATATCAGCGCGCGGTGAAGCACCGCTCGATTCACCGAGTCCCATAGCCCATACCTCTTCTCGGATATACGAGTCGCTTCATACATTCTACCGTGCATCGAGTGCTTGCCCTGATCGTCGGTGGTACCGCCTATAGCGCCGGTGCGGTCGTGGCACGTCGACGCCTGTGAAGTCTGTCCAGGTGGGAAGCAAGCGCGCGTCCAGCGTTCACAGACGACCCCGCTGTAACGGGACATAGGTTGAACCCTCACTGGATCCCTGTCCTCGTGGATGCGTCCATACGCATGCTCGTCTGTTTGTGAACCATCGAAATCGAAACAAAGCGTCCCATGTTTATGGCATGCACTCAGGGGATCTGATGCACTGCCCATCGAACTGGGTACTCTGGTAGGCTCCAGACGACATAGAGGGCTTCCCCGTTTACGAAAGACATGCGGGACCTCTGCGTAAGCCGGCTCGCTGAAGCCGTGGATGCGTTTGGCCGCTGCCGTGGGTTACCTGCGCTCCCTGGCAGTAAACAGATATTGAGTTGCGGTCGGGGAACACAAGTGCTTCCATGAACCAGGCTTATAAACGTACTACAGCGTCCCGCAGGTGATTTCTTCGTCGAGTGCTCACATGACATACGGCCCAGGGGTCGTACAGCCCGAGTGAGGGACACTGCGGTGACCAGCATCTCCGCTATACACGACTGGTCGATGCAAATGACCGAAATTCTCCACCATGGTTCCGAGGCAAGCGTGCTGGCACAGCGCTGCCAGTCTCTTGATTTCCATTTTTGTTGAAAACGTAGCCCTTTCAAAGACGCATGCTGTGCGCTTGCGACACGGGTTAGAGCCAATTTCCTGCTCAAATCGCTGTCAAAACACTTGACACTCGGAGCCTGTAAAAGTAATTGCTGAGAGGTTTCTGGTGCGCGACCACGAAACTGAAAGGTCAGAGATCTCTGACTAGGCGATCGAAGGATGGTTGTGATGCGCCACGCTAGCACCGCTTCAAGTAGAAACACGCGAACACAAGCGTTCGAATAAAACCTGAACACAGCCTCACAGCGCAAGAGAATCCAAAACAAGGCCGTATCCGCAATGGCCACTGGAAGGCGCCTTCTCCCTCTAGGCGAGGCGACTCCTTGCGATACGAGGGTCCACTTGCACAGTATGCGCGACTATGGACAAACACCTGCGGCATAAGCGTTGATGCCCGCCACTCCATCCGGAACGAGTCATACCAGATCGGTGTGAGCGTCGACAGCATCTTTGCTGAATGAACGAGCGGTTCAGAGGCAACCTGCCTATCCCAGGTACCGCTCGAACTAAAACAACGCCGTCGTCGCGTCAACATCGCATCTCGAAAGCACTCTACTCGACGTGGCGGTTACCATCGTGCTTCGAGTCGCCAGCGCCCGCATTCCACGCGAGAGCCACACGATGTGAGCGTTTTCCCGGAGCCGCAACCGATACACACAACGAGCATATCCCTGGTCAATAGGGCGACCTGGCGAAGCTGCCATCATCTTCGGTCGGTATACGCGCGAAATAACTTATTCGCCTTGTTGTTGAACGGCTGACGTCCGCGCAGAATTCGGTACCGGCAAGATCACTCGATCATACTTGTAACTCGCTGGTGCTCTTTGCAAATCCAGCGGATGATACCAAGACAAATCGAGTTCCATATTCTGGGCAGCCGCTTCGAGATCTCTTGGATCAATGAGGATCATCTCAAGAAACTTCGGGTCAATATGGGCGTTCACCTTAACTTTGCTCGGGGGCTTCCTCGAACACAACACCTTGGCCAGATTTTTCAGACCCTTCGGCTGAAAAGGACTAGCATGGCCCCGAAACGTGTACTTAAAGGACTCAGCAGTGGTCTTGTTCGTGAATATAAGCACCGTATGGAAAACAGTAAGCGCGCCCGTAAACACCACACCAAATAAGGCAATGATTAAGGAGACCAGGCTCGCAGCGGTAGGGCCGTTCGAAAGCGAGCGGGCAAAGCCCGCAAACCCAGTCGACGATGCTCCGATGCTTACCTTCTGGTTCGACACGTCCACCAGGTAGAGAATGGTGTACGCCACTACGAGCCCCGACAGCACCAAACAAGATGATATGAAGATGAAGAACGTGCGGTAGTTACGCAAACCCACGCAGTTGCTCACCCACGGGCAGTGATGATCGAAGCGCTCGACGCAGTTATTGCACGAAGAGCAGTGAGAGCAGCGCGGTGGTCGGTATAGCTGACAGGTCTCGCAGTATTTCAAGACAAAGCGTTGACCGTCATAATACACCTCCTTCTTCCGAAGAAGCGGCGCGTTACGCCGAATTCTCCGTGCAAAGAGATCAACGCTCTGGCGAGGCAGGATACCAGGGTCGTCGAAAACCGTCAGGAAGAACGACGTTAGCGTCACCACAAGAAGCGGCAGCGTCGTCGCTAGCACAGCAACTCCCGTTCGAACATAGTTTTCCAGTAGAAACGGAACGGGTATCGCGAGAAAAAGTCCCGTGGCAACAGCGATCAGAGCAAACGTTAGCAGGGCACCCCAGGGGTCCGGTCCACTGATGCACCTGCCTCGACAGTAGAAGCGGTTCCGCCCGGGCCACACGTCACTCGGAAAGCGACCGCGGAGGGTCATCAGGCCTTCACCACCCGCGAGCCCTGTTTCTGGTAACCGCTCACACACGCAGCGTGCTTCACGCAACCAGCTCCTGAACAAGGTACCGCCGCTTGACAAGCAAAACTGGACACTCACCTGCCATGAAGCGATGCCGCTTGACAAGCGATCCACAGACGCCTGCGCGCGATCATCGCATGGTGCACTGACGACTGGAAGCGGCGCTGATGCTATCCTCTGGGGCCGGGCTCGGCAGGGCAGGGTGCGCTCTGGAGTCGTCGCTGCGCTGGGAGCGCCGGACGCGCGCGCGCCTCAGTACCACATCAGCGCGATCGCAGGCGAATCGCGTGATGTGGCGGGAAAGCGTTTCGCGCATTTGCATGTGCATGCATGCGTGCCGGCATCGCGGCATTTGGATGACGGGGAAGCAGTGCCTCGTCTTCCCCAAGTATCGAAATGGACTAGAACAGGTATGGTTGCGTGAGCGTGTGCGTAGCTTTTAATCTTTGGTAGTTGGGTGCGGCAAAGTTTATGCTGCAGGTAGCAGTTCACGCGCGCGTGTGTGTATACACCACGGTGCAGGTGACGATTGCTGCGTGCGGTGTTGTTTGTTGGTTGCCACGCTGCTTTTAGAGCATGCTGTGGTTTGAATGAGCAAGCAAATTGCAATTCTGCCTTCAGAACGCGCAACATAGACATCCAGAGCGGTGGTATCGCAACGCAGCGTACGCAGACCTGGGCAGGGCGCTGGACTGGCGTTCGCGTCTGTGCCGCAGCGCGCACACACGGCGACTGCACGGCTCGCTCCGTTTTGTGGTGGAAGCAGTGGGAGTGTATCGTTGCGAAAAGCCCGGTATTGGTATGGCTTTATCGTACTGGTGACCGTATCGAAGCTTTCACTGGGTGAGGGTGGATCCGTCTAGCCCACGTTGTGCAATGAACGTCACGAGAACATTCTCAGTGGATGCTTCCGTCTGGAGCGAGCGCCAAAGCTCAGTCCTTTGTGAAGCAGTTTTGAAAGGAAAAGATTCCCAAGATGCGTTGAATGCGTTAGGCATCGATGAATGGCCAGGCGAGAGCGAAGTGCATGCAGCAGGCGCGCTCCGCGGCACTGCATGTGGTAGCTCTTCTTCAGCTAATGTGCACGCCGATTTCCGGAATACTTGTGAATGTTTTGGTTACTTGGCGGCCGCGGGCGCGACGCTCCTCCCTAGCGCAGGATAGGAAGACATGTGGACTTGTGATTTCAGGTCATTGATAACGATACATCCAAGCTTGAGCGCATTCATGCATGACTGCGCGGACGACCTACCCTCCAGAGATGCTCCGCGGCGTCGACTGGTCTGCATGAACGTCTGATTCGCGGATTCTCCGAACAGATGATATGTCCGATGGAATGATCACACTTTTGAGAAAAAAGAGATGCAGGGCACAAAAACGCGACATCACAGGAGCATGCTGAGCATCTGGATCTGTGCTTTGCGATAATCAATTTCGTATGGAGCAGCACAAGCAGCGTCCATGGACATCCGAAATTGCACTGGATCGGGGACCTGTCGCGCCGGGACACAGACGGTGCGCAAAGTGCTCTGCGATCTCGGCTTAAATGACGATGTACTCAGAATTCGCTGCGGACAACGGAGTTTGCGCGTTTTAGAGGAAGGCAAACCCATCAAGCGACCCCGCAGTCTCGCGTCGCATTCAGTGAGCAGATCCACCATGGCACTGCGCTCTGTCGTTTGGCGAACGTCAGAATACAACAAGTCATGGCATGCTCGAAGACCGCATTCGATGAGCAATTCCACGAAAGCACTGCTTTCCGCCTTTGGGCGAACGACAGACGCAACAAGTCTCTTTACAATGGAATCCCGCATTCGACGAGCAGCTCCATTATAGGCCTGCTCAAAGAAGGATCGGCATGCCGATTTCCACTCGGTCTCGTGGGATGCCGAGTTCCGAGTCCACCGAGGCAGCTATAGTCTTCAGGTAGTGGTAGCAGTAGACCAACAAACGGTGCAGCCAGTGACGCTGCGAGTCCACGAGAATATCCGTGTAACCCTTCACGAACACCACTTTCTCCCCAAAGCTTTCGTGAAAGAAAGCAGCGGGTACCTCGCGTAGAGACTCCATAAGACTCCTGATCGACTGGGCATACCCGACGTAGATACGGGCGCGGAAGCGGCCCGGTGCCTCCTCCACAATCACAAACCGCCGATGATCATCGACGAACGGCACTGGAACGTTTCGCACCGTTACGAAGATGGTGGTTTGGGGAATCACACCAATTTTGCTCACGAAAACCTGGAAAGAGTACGGTACGCCGTGCTGCAAGCCAGCCAGAAAGACAAAAGTACCCTTGAGCACCGGCGATGAATCTTGTCTAATTCCTTCGCTCTGTTGTGCTTTCCAAACACGTAATTTTCGCTCGTAGTATTCGTGTTCTCGTTTCGTGCCCCAGTCCCAGAGAAGCATGGCCAAAATGAAAACGGTAGAGATGATGACTGGAATATAGCCGCCGGTGGGAAACTTTGTAATGGCACTCGACCAGAGCAGGAGGTCGACCAAACCAAACACCGCCAAGTAGCTGAGCCAAACGTAGAAGCGCTGTTTCCAAACGAACACGAGCACAATGACGAACAAACATGTTGTTGTGATGAAGCTCGTCGTGACAGCCACACCGTACGCTGAGGTCAGCGCGTTACTCGTCTGAAACCCCGCAGTCACAGCCACTGTTAGAATCCCCATGACCAGATCCATCTCCGGAATAAAGACTTGGCCATAAATGCGCCAGTCAGTGCGTTTGATATGCATCCGTGGTAGCAGGTCCAAGGAAATCGCCTGGCTCACGATCGAAAACGCACCGCTGATGATCGCCTGCGAGGCCACGATTGCTGCCAACGTCGTGAGCACAATCAGGGGCCACAGGACACTGCGCGGCGCCTGGTAAAAGTACAAAGCGTTTCCCGCTGTCTCAGCTAGTGATGGATTGGACGCAAGTAATGCCAGTTGGCCCAAATACGACAGCAGAACCGACGGCAGCACGATCGTGAACCAGCCCAGGCGCATGGGCAGGCGCCCAAAATGCCCCATGTCTGCATACATCGCTTCTGAACCAGTCACACAGAGCAGCGCGTCCGCAATCTTGAGGAAGCCCACCTTGCCATCATTCCAGTATACGCCGATGCCTTTCAAAGCATAGTACGGATTCAGCGCTTTGAAAATCGCGGGATACTTTGTGATCCCGTACATGCCAAGCATGGCTTGCGCGACGAAGAAAACCACCAGAACGGGGCCGTAGGTGATTCCCAGGCGCGATGAGCCCAGAAACTGGCCCAGAAAGACGAGAAAAAGCACACCGATACTCAAGCCGACAACGGCGCCGGTAGGAAATGAAGGCGACCCAACCTGAATACCCTGAAAGGCACTGACCACCGTGATTGCAGGCGTCAGGATTCCATCTGCTACCAGGGCACCTGCACCAATCACAGCTATAATGACAGCGAGGCGAGCCCAGCGGCCAGAGAGTCGTCGCTGGCGCATCAGTCCAATCATGGCGAGCGCACCGCCTTCGCCGTTGTGATCCGCCATCGCCACGAGGAAGGCGTATTTGATAGAAGGAATGAGGAGCAGGAGCCAAAAGATCATGCTAGCGCCGGCTAGGATGGTGAACTCGCTTGGCGCGACGTTGCCGTCATAGAGGCTGGAGATGGTGTACAGTGGTGACGTTCCTAGGTCACCGTAGATGAGCCCTACGGCCTGCAGAGTGCGAAGGAATAGGTGCCAGCCCTGTAAGCGCTCGGGTTCATAGCGGTAAGCGTCGACGGACGGTGACGGAAGCGCTTCCTCTAGAACATTTTCTCGCGAAATCTCCCTTGAGAGTGCTCCGGATCGACTCGTGCTGCGACGTCGAGAATCGAGCAAAGTCTTTCGGTACTGGATCTTGGTGGTCCTTGAATGACAGGCCTCAACGGTACCAGGGTCGTCCAGCTCTTGGGGATCCTCTTCGGCGCCATCCTTATGCGTGACGCTCTCACCACTCTCTTCTGAGCTCATATGGTGCCGTTCGTGCGTAGACGACGATGAGAAACTTTTCCAGTCGCCAGCCAATAGGTTCAAGGCACTCCTCTGCCAAACCTGGACCGGACGCAAGGAGCGTGCATTGTTCAGCGGACAAGCCCAGTACCGATCGTCGACACGTGTCTTATGCGTGACCCGAGGCGTGCCCCTGCGTGCAGCGACGCGCATTCGCCACAGGTGCGGATGTTGATTAGAGCGTGCGCCGGGCGCGCCGCATCACCACCATCACCATCACCATCACCATCACCATCACCATCACTATCACTATCAGCATCACCATCACCATCACCATTAGCATCACTATCACCATCACCATCACCATCACCATCACTATCACTATCACTATCACCATCACACTCACTATCACCATCACTGTCACTATCAGCATAAGCATCACTATCAGCATCACCATCACCATCACTATCACTATCACCATCACACTCACTATCACTATCAGCATAAGCATCAACACCACTATCACCATCACCATTAGCATCACTATCAGCATCACCGTCATCGCGCTCATGGAGCAGTGCTCAGATGCCTACGTTGATTCAGAGATTGCTGTTCCTGCAACTCGATATTTTTTCTTGTAGATGTGCAGGTTCGAGATCCCAACATCATTAATGCTGGCTTAAGGATGCGTTCGTAGTTTTAGGGGGTGTTGGTCGTGTTTTTTTTTGCCTGTGTCCTTGTGCGTTGTGCCGCTGGAATTCGTAACGTCACCGGAATAAAGACGATTCGCGGAACCATGGAGTTGGGGCTCGCAATATACGCGTTATTATGAAACAATTCCTAGGAACAAGACTCCATGCTGCTGGTTTTCTTACATGTAACATGCCTAAATTACGCTTGTTTTACGTCTTCGATCGTTCTGTTTCAAACCGATTCGGGGGCACGGCAATGCGCGTCGCTGGATGGATGAGGAACGCTCATCGACGTCGTCCGTGGACGGCTGCTTCATGAGCTCATCCGCAAAGTTCTCTGAACACCTCGCGCGAAAGTATCTATTATCTTCGAAAAGCAAGTTCTCCTCTCTTTTTGGCATTCGACGAAAAGGCATTTCACAGCAGCGTGATGCCGCAGAAGCGATAGGCTCCCAGAGGCTCCTGTGACCTCTTTCCCCATTGAACAGTGCCATGGACTCGGGCTTGAATGCTCACAATGATCGCTTCCGCTGAGGAGTGCATCACTGCTTGGCACGAAGGCAGCGTAGACGAATCGAGATTTCCCAGCTTGTCTTTCGGGCTCGATTTCGCTCCCGGTATTCGATCCATCTTGGACAACATCGTGTTCCGCACCATCCCGTGTCGAATCGGACAGCGTGCGCTTTCACATGCAGCGAACAGAATTCTCGACGTGACGATCGTCTAGAACAAGCTCCTGATTATCGCGTACATCATCGGGCGCGGACCCGGAGGATGCCAGCGAGTAGAGACTTCCATACCTGCCAAAGGCATGTACCGAAATATGATGCAAGCCTTGAGGCGCCGCGGAGCAGCGCTCGGAGCGAGCAGTGTCGCTCACACATGGCAAGCGCTGACCAGTGCCAGATGTCAACGCTGCGAGGGCCGCACCGAGACTTTAAAAAAATAATACGAAAGCGGCAAGTGAATCACATATTGCAGCTACCTTTTGACCGGGAAATGTATCGCCAACGATGGCGAGCAGCGAAATCAGGTATTTCACGTAACCACGAGCATCCTTTGAATCCTGGCAACGGACCCGGGACGACTTTAGAGACCCGTGTATTTAAAAAATGGAACAAGCCAGAGGAAAAGCAGGCAGTTGCAGAAAGAGCCCACAGAAGCCAGTGTTAAGCACAGTGCAAACAGACCCCATCTTGCGTGTGTACGCCCGAATGAGACTGCCGCCTCCATTCCTCGCAGGCATTCGTCTACACAGGGCAGCATCCGTGTCATGCAAAAATCGGACACCTCTGGATGCTGTGCAGTGACGCCGCCCGCTGCAGATGCTCACCAGAGTCCCTGGAGCCACGATGCTCCGCCAGAACGAGCGGCTGTGAACGGCCAGCGTTGCCAGCCGCTGCAGCAAACGCTCACATCGGTGCGTTCTCGTGAACGCGTGACTCGCCTACGACCTGATCAAGCGCTAGCTGATGCCTCTACACAAGACGAACGTTGAAAAAGGCGGTGCGAAGCGTTTTCAGCATATCGACACAAGCTCGCTGGCTTTCGAGACCGGCTTTGCAAGCTTCGCGCTCGAGGAGTTCCCCAAGTACCAGTTGCGAGCCGAGCCGATGCCGTCGGCTGTTGCCGAAGGTATCATTACGCAGGAGCTGGAGCTAGACGGTAACCCTGCACTAAACCTGGCATCCTTTGTGACGACGCGCTTTGATGAAACGACGCACAAGCTCTGTGATCGCATGCTTCCGGTGAACTGGATCGACTTTGACGAGTATCCGCAAACCGTGGAGATCCACAACCGCTGCGTCAATATCATAGCGAACCTTTTTCATGCTCCTCTCGAGGAGGGTCAGCAGGCTGTTGGCACCAGCACTGTAGGCTCCTCTGAGGCGATCATGCTGGCGGTGCTCGCGATGAAGTGGCGTTGGCGAGCAGCTCGCAAGGCAGCCGGCAAGGACTACGCACGCCCGAACATGGTGATGGGTTCAGAAGTGCAGGTCTGCTGGGAGAAAGCGACTGCTTACTTTGATGTGGAACCACGCTACGTACCATTGCACGACGATGTATACGTCATGAATCCGGAAAAAGCTATAGAGCTTTGTGATGAGAACACCATCGGAATTTGCGGCATTCTAGGTACCACCTACACCGGACAATTTGAAGCAAGTTGACGAAACTTCTGGGGCTTTTCCTCAGAAATAACCGAACATGAAACTAACCATTGCGAAACAATCGATTCGAGTCTAGGACATTGCCACTTTGGACGCTCTCGTGACGCAGATGAACGAGCAGAAGGGTTTTGATATCGGTATCCATGTAGACGCAGCATCAGGAGGCTTCATAGCCCCGTTTTGTTACCCCAATCTCAGGTGGGACTTTCGTTTGAAGAACGTGCGTTCTATCAATGTTTCGGGGCACAAGTACGGTCTCGCGCCCTGTGGCATCGGATGGCTCATTTTTCGCAGCGCTGCGTATCTGCCGGAGGAGCTCGTCTTTCACGTCAATTACCTGGGCGCGGACCAAGCCTCATTCACCTTGAACTTTTCACGCGGTTCCGCTCAGATTGTGGCGTCATACTATTTGCTGTTGCGCTTAGGCCGTCGGGGATACCAGAATCTAATGCACACCCTGAAAGAATTGGCTTCGTACTTTGCAACACGTATCACGGAGGATGGGCGTTTCCGCCTGCTTAGTGACAACGAAAGCCTGCCCTTGGTTGCGTTTGCGATCCCAGATGACCAGCGCACGAAACTGGGTTTTGATGAGTTTGCCATAGCGGGAGAGTTACGCAAACGTGGATGGATCGTTCCCGCGTATACGCTGGCACCGAACCTGCAGCACCAGAAACTGCTGCGGGTGGTGGTGCGGGTCGGTTTTACCCGCGATCGGGCAGATATGCTGGTCCAGGATATTCGGGCCGCATATGATCATTTAGTCGCCATGGCTGGACTGTTGAACCTATTTGGACAGGGCCTGGCTGTGGACGATACGGCGTCGACAAAGAAACCGGAAAGCGAGCATACCGCCACCGCCCTCGGTAAGATGCTGCACGGCAACAAGTCGCTACAGGAACACGCGGAAGAGCTGCGGCGAACGCACGATTTACCGGGAGCCCGCCACCTCATTCATATGCAAAATTGGGGAACCATTCATGCGAAAGAGGGCACCAAGGATGCGGAACCGCGTCGCTCGCCTGTGGACCGCCACCAACGGCACAAGAAACGCAGCGGTGCTGTATGCTGAACGGCATCGTGGGGGAGCCTGTGCAACCGCAGTGCTAAAGCGGCACTGCGGTTGCACAGATATCGGGCACGTCAAGGTTCGGCTTCCATTGCGAAAAGGCAATGCGGAAGAGCCCAAACTTGACAGAAAGGCCCATGCGAGGCAGTTGGATCGCCAGAACTTGGGAAAGCGAACGGACCGTCGCTGGCGCAGACGCTCGAAACCGCTGATGGAGCAGCACAGTAAACGCACACCCGCTCATGCCGTGTTTTCTAGAAGCTACAAAGGTTCGCCGCTTTGCGCAGCGCTGGTGCATGCAGATAGAAAAGCCACCATCGAACTGCAGTCTGTTGTGCTTCTGTGGAAGCGTCCCGGTATCATTGCGCATAGGCAGCATAAACACGCATGCGTTCGTCGATATCCTGGACCAGGTGAAACACACAGCACGCCAAGACGCAGCCTACGGCGAGTCTAGGCGTGAAGGCAAGTAGAGTTCTCGCTCGCAGCGACAGTGCTCGCGCAGCATTTCTGAAAGCATGCTGGCCATGCGCCGTGCCTATCACGCACGCTGAGGCGTTTCACGCCCCTCGCTATGCACCAGTGTGTGGCAGCGTCACTCCAGTGCCTATGAACATCGTGACGAATCCTCCAGGCACAGTAAGTAGCCGCCTGTAGGGGAACTCTCTCCATCAGACCAGTCGACATGTCATTATCTCGTCGAATCATCGATTCATATCTTCAAAGATTTTGCTCAAGTGCCCGTGCGACCGGGCGACGCCTCTCAGCGATGCGCGCGGTCAAGGTAAGCGGCTTGCCAGGGCCTAAGCACCCACACCGTCGAGCAAGAGGCTGTTCCAAACAACACCAACCAACCAACCAACCAACCAACCAACCAGGAAGTGTGCAGGCCTCGCAGGAAACACTGGATTCTGACCGTTGCTCGTCGAGCGCCTTGCTGCGAGCACAAGTCGCCAGAACCTCTACCATCGAATCGGAAAATCTGACAGCTGCGTTCGGATTTGGATGCAGTGCAAAGCGATGCCAAATCCATGAGGGATACTTGGTTCCAAAAGATCTATATTTATTCTGCTTGTACGAACCGTATGCTCCGGCCGTGTTCCGCCAACTTTGCACTGAGCTGCCGCTGCGTTGCTGTACTGGCCAGTCAGAGCAACTCGTCCCGATCGCAAGCGTCTGGGCCGAGAAGCTGCTCCCATGCGTAAGCGGTTACTGTCAAGGAGGCAGAGTCGGTGTTGCGCCCGACGCTATGCTGCTTACCTGGTAGCGCTGGCCCTTGTCCTGGTGTTCGGAGCTTTCCAACAGATCGAGACTGCTGTTGCACGTGCGACTGCACACCGCAATGGGACCAGTTTGCGCACGTCTAGTGAGCGCGAACCCGTGCAAACGAAACCTACTCTCGATCCGCACACAATGAGCTCTTTGGTGCCGGGCGTGTTTGCGGGCTACCGTCGGCCAGTGCCGCATAGCCCCGTCCTGGGGATTATGTGGTACCCCGCTGATGAGCCGTTCGAGTCCGTTCGACTCCGACTAGAGTGCGGGACAGAGCTCGACGCAGCTGGGCCACTTCGCTACGGTTGGCTGCAGCATAACGGCCGCAACTATGGCGTACGCCACATCGAAGAGCGAGGCTGGCACTTGAACATCACCCACGTGGCGCACACGGAGAACCTGAACTTGCTCCAGCCAGACGCGCAGCTCAGCTCTGAACAACAGCCACTGCGTTCTCCAGAATTCTCTGTTCGTATCCAAGGAACTGGTCAAGAGCGTCGTACCGTTTCCTTCATCGTCTACTGGACAGCGCAACATGATGAGATCGACCCAGAGCGCTTGCAGGAGTCCGCGGCTAGGGGCATGGAGCCGCCGACCCTGCAGCACTGTTCATCGCCATCGATCACCGTAGCGTCCAGTAATGAAGTCCACCTGGAGTGTGGACCCGACCACGACCATCGATGGCGCATTGTGGCCGTACAGGGCCTTCCAGAGCGTTCCCAGTGGAGGCAGCGACGACACCGCCGCCGACGTCAACGGGCAAGCGCTAGTCGCCCCGTGAGCGCCGAGATCCTCCGAGAATTACCGGACCCTGGCAGGATCTACTACCGAAAAGGCCGAGTGAATGTTGGCGCGACAACTGAGGTGAAGTCCATGGTAGAGTCGTGGTTACGCGAGAGCTACGACCACCAGCGGACACGGCTGCGCGAGTTCTACGAAAAGCACGAGCAGCTTCCAGATACGGCTTTCAGGGGCGCCGATGTTTTCAAGGACGCTGCCCATGCAAGGGAGACGCCCACTGCAGCGCCCTTCCCGATCATTACGCGTATCGAGGATGTTGATGCACGGGCGCGTCGAGAAGTGAACGCTGACGCAGAGCTGGAACCCGATGCCCAGCACCACAGCGGGATAGATGACGGACTCCCCAGCAACCTTCTTGTCGTTCAGATTACAGTGCAGACGCCTTTTGATATCATGATCACGTCGAGTGCACGAATGGATGCATCGGCGCTGTCCGTGTTGCTTGAACAGGCGGACAGTCGCTTTCGCGAAAGATTTCAGCAGTTGTTTCCCCGGATGCACCGTGGTGACTTTGGCAGCGCTCAGATTGCTCAAGCGAGGGCGGCGCTTGCCGGTCTACTCGGCGGTGTCTCCTATTTCTATGGGAGTTTCATTGCTGGAGAGAATACGCAGGACCGAGGATCAGATCAACTCCGAGTCTCGCCGCCTAGGGCACTAGTCAGTGCGGTGCCGTCGGAGAACAAGTTCCCGCGCGGCTTTCTCTGGGACGAGGGCTTTCATCAGCTACTGATCCAGCGCTGGGACCCGGAACTCTCGCTCATCTGTCTCGATTCCTGGCTGGGCTTCATGCAGCCTTCTGGATGGATACCGCGCGAGCTGGCCCTAGGTATTGAGGCCCGCAATCGTTTCCCGCGCGAACTGGCATCGCTGCTTGTTCAATCGGAGAAGGTTGCGAATCCACCGACGCTAATGCTGCCGTTGTATCGGCACTGGCAGTTGCTGCAGGACACTTTCCCCGTCTTGGAACTGGAAACCTTTTCTAGCTTGTGTTCCCAGGGTGGTGATGGCTCCTTGTCGGACTATGCGGCGATGGTGCTGAATCAGTCTGTGGGCGACTGCAAGGCGGTAGCACAGACGACGAACACCGCGCGACTCGTCTCGCATTTGGGATTCCGCAAGATGAAACAATACATACGTTGGCTGAATGCGACGCAAAAGAATCACGGCTGGTTTGGACGCCACTTGACGACCTTGCTTGCTCAAGACGGAGGTTATCCGTTGACGCTTGCGTCCGGCTTTGACGACTTTCCGCGATCGACAGATCCAAGCCCATACGACGCCCATGTGGATCTCTTGTCGTGGATACTGGACGGTGTTCGCAGACTCCTGGTTTGGCGACGTACCGCAGGCGATCTTGCTGAGGCCTCTGCCGTGTCGCCTCCTGAACTCGGTGCCCTTGAGGCCGTCCTGCAACAGCGCCTCTACGAGGTGCACTGGAATGCTGACGCTGGCATGTTTTGTGACGCTGGACCTCGCGGCAACTCCTCCACGAGTATCGTGGACACTTGGCGTCACCACTGCCATCTAGGATATCCAACGCTTCTGCCACTTTCCTTGGGCCTGTTGCCGGTCAATGCAACATCGACAGGGGCACTCTTGAAGGCTGTCGCGGATCCGCGACAAATGTACAGCGACTTTGGGTTGCGCTCGCTGAGTGCCGCGGACCCTTTCTATATGCGAGGTGATCGGTACTGGACAGGTCCTATCTGGGTCCCGATGAACTATCTGATACTCGCAGCGCTTAGGGAGAAGTATGCGCGCATGCCAGGTCCGTACCAGAAGCTTGCGCAACAGCTCTACGAACGTACGCGCAATGCGATGATACAAACGATTTTGCGGGAACACCAGCGCACAGGCTTTTTCTGGGAGCATTACGACCCAGAGACGGGCAAGGGTGGCGGCGGGCATGCGTTTACGGGCTGGACTTCGCTACTGGTCCTGCTCATGGAAGAGGATTTTCGTGGAGTCATCGTTATTGACGAGACTGGTACGGTGCTTAAGAGTTAATGCGTGCCGAGTCTGGACTCTGGTCGCCTCGATTGTACGGACAAGTTGCAAGGTGCATTCCGCTGGACACTGGGCGATGCACCCAAACGCTGTATATGAAGGCAAAGATCGTGCACTGGGCATGACGCGAATGAGAGGTGCCACGGATTGTTCGATTTTCGCGCTTCTCATGGGTCAGCGCGGCGTTGGAAGCGTGTTCGCGTGTCTGAAAATTTGAAATTTCCGAGAAATACTAAAAACCTGACATTACCGCATACTTCGTTGAGAACGCAGGCCGTATCCGCGGAGATTCGGATGCAGTCTGGACGCATGGTGTCCCGCCTGATACCTGACGTGCTGCAAGCGTGCGCTGCCATGTTTTGCTGAACAGAGCGCTCCAGAGAAAAGCAGACCTTTTCCTGAATCTAAGCGCCTTCGCCCCTTCATGAGTCGATTTTTTCTGGTCTGCATAGGTCACCCCAATGCCCATGACGTCACCGTAAACAGTTGTGTCCTGTATGGCTTTCTCAGAGTCCTGCGTCTTGCGGCTGCGAGCAGCTTTGAAGCAACCGCCTTGAATCGGAAAGACCACTCGCCGAGCTCGCTCAAAAATTGTCGTTTCAACAGAGGAAAGAATTTTTCAAGTACGAAAGAGACCCATGGAACATCGGTCCGCATGCGCGTCGTGAAATCTGGGCCAGAGTCGTTGAATGCGGCTCAATTCCAACACGTCAAGATAGATGCAGGGAAAGAATATGTTGTGCTCTTGGTTCCGGTGTTGAGGGGCGTCCAGGCACCAGCCGTTCCTCGAACTCAAGAGATCAAACGGAAAGACCTGAATGGAAAGCAGTTGAAGCAGTTCAAATTTTCCAGAGCTCGCCAGTATCGATAGGCAGGCATGACGCTCGTCAGGATGCAAACGAACAAGAGCTAGGGCGCGTTCAGGATCCACTGAGACGCTCTGAGCGCCTCATCCAGCACATGGGAGAATGCTCTGCACGCTTTATTCGGCGAGGACCTGAGCGCCCGAATAGCTCAGTTGAACGAGCTTTGGGCATCAGTACAGGAGATCGCGCTGGTTTCGCCAGCGATTTCGTTTATAAAAAGCCAGGCATTGTGCATGCAGCAACATGTCCAATGGGTTGGAACTGGCAATCTCCCACAGTCCGCGTGGTACGATGATGGTCATCTATGATGCTGGACGTGCAGTAGCGTGCAAAAGCTGCACTGCGGCGCTCTCTAAACGAGCGCTTCCAAGGAGCACAGGCATCGACTTTGGTCGATGCTCGTCGATGCGCGCGAGCGGCGACACCCACGCATCACGAGCACGCGTGTGCACGCAGAAACTCACAGAGAGAAAAGCGTAAAATCAGAAGCGAAGGTAATCGATGGTGTACGTTAAGCTGAGCGATCATCATCGAATGCCGAGACAATCGAAGATCCGCAGCTCGCCACGTTGTGACTGCACCAGCAAACCCGTACGCAAGCACTCTCTATGCACCCACACTTGAACGCCTCAATTCATCCCCGGCAATCGTTTGATCTTCTACAGCATCTATCGGATTTACGTCAAACAAGATTTCTAGATCAGCGCTCCGCACGCCACTTAACAAACATCGTGCTGGAACGCTGAAGAGTTCCCATGCGTGTCATACGGCAACCTGTAGAGAGCGTGTATGCTATCCCCACTCGGAACAATCTACTGCTCTTGTACCGTTCAGCAGTCCATCAAAACAAGCATACCACACTTACAAACCGAGAGACTTGCCCCCGAAACAATCACTGATCCACCGTTCCCATCCATGACTCCATACCGTGCACCCTGGGAGAGGCACCAGCACCTGCAACCCGTACGCCCGCTGAGCATCGACCGCGCAAGGCGCGTTGCGCACCAGCGCCCGCCAGCAAGCGTTGCGAAAAGCACGCGCGCGCGCGCGCACCGCTGCAGGCGACGGTATGCGCATCACATTCAAATTCCCGGCAGCGTGAGCGCCGCCGCTGCCGCCGCTGCGGATGCTGCGGATGCTGCACAACGAGATCGCCCGCTGCTGCTGCTGCTGCTGCTGCTGCTGCAAGGCCGATACCCGGCAACTGCGCAGGCTACGCTCATCGTGCGCGCTGCGCTGTAACGGCGGGTGACACAGACTGGGAGCCTGCTTGGTGCACCAGCAACCTCAAGGACACGCGTTTGTTTTCAGGGAATCCATCCGGTGGTGGGGTAGCTTCTTCATTCAACATGAGAGGCAGGCGTGCAGAACATCAAGATAAAAGTCAACGTTCCGAAGCATCGGAACCGGAGCACCAGCACCGTGCACCAACGTCGCTTTCAAGCGGAGAAGCACAACCGACTGAGCGGGCTTCGAGCTCGTTTCTGGCACTTGAGGACTCCCTGTGCTGGAACGATGACGCGCGAGAAAGGCAGCAAGCACGAGTCGCGCGTCAATCGAAGAATACGCTCAGAACAGGGTTGAGCTTACGCTCACCGCAGGCGCGCCGCGGTCTAGACGAGAGTTTCTTGGCGGCTGCCGAGCCGGACGCTAGCGTCAAGAAGCTTTCGGATCCGGAGCTTTTGCAGTTGTACGCGACTACGATCCGTCTGTGTGCTGAGAACCGCGTCAACGCGGTGAACTCCTGGCAACTGAATCTCATCGACCATATTGCTGCGGTCGCGTTTCGCTCAGAGGGTTCGCATGACGCTCAGCGAGGGCGGGCGCCCCGTCATTCGGTTCAGGACGACCTCACACGTGAAGCGCTCGATACGAACTTTGCGCTTGCGGGCTCCACCATCGACGCAGGCGTGAAAATATATGCGTACCGAGTGGATTCTGTGCACAATAACGCGTATCGCGTGCTCAACGGGCTAGCACAGCATGCTGCCGACGAGGACGAGTCACCCGAAGAGACCGCCACCGACAGCGCAACCGTCGCTGGTGATGAGGAGCCTGCCGAAGCCACACCCTCGAGTCGTTCGCGACAGCGTTCGAAACTTGTCAAGTGCGGCTGGGGCGAAGCCACGCTGGAGTCCAACCCCGAGCATCTCACGTTGCAGAGTCTGGAGGAGGGATGCTCCATCGATCCACTATTTATGAAACTCAGCGAACTGTTTGACCAGAGCGGATCACAGGAGCTACTTGTGCGCGTTCTGGATTTGCTCGCAGACGGAACGATGGCGCTGGATGCAGAAGAGCATGCCGAAGCTGTCGGGGACGCATCACACCCTGATGACCAGGATGAGACGGCGGCGGATCCATACATAGAGATAGCAGCCGAGCTGTTTCCCAACGCGATGCTGGCTTGGACACAACGCGGTCAGAAAGCTTTGTGTCCAAATTTTCAGCGACTCTTCCATCAACTCGAGAACGACGCAGCCGAGGCCTGGCGAACTGCCGGCACAAACATAGCCTCCGGCGAAGTCGGCCTGCATGGACTCGTACCCGGAACCTCAGCGAAAGAAGGGCATCTCTTCCCCGAGGATGACATGTTCGGTCCACCGCGAGATTATGGAGATGGCTTTGAGCACATGGAGCTCTTTCCCAGCTCCGTGGCAACCGCATACGAGGCCGTACCCGCGCTGAGCGGAAGCGCAGACGCTTCCGATGCTGTATCCGATACGGAAAGCGCCAGTGCTGCTGTCGCTGCTGCTGCTGCTGCTGCTGCTGCTGCTGCTGCTGCTGCTACACATGATGATGACGACGATCACGAGGATGATCATGACGATCACGCCGCACTGCGTCTCGCCGAAAGCCATGCGAGCAGCAGCGGTGGAGGCGGCTCCGACGACGCGCTGCACACGTCCTTGTTCGGGAGTGCAGCGATGGCGCCAGGTTGCGCCGATGCTTTTCAACTTTATCTGAACTTGTTCCGAAATGGACAGGCTGCTGGCAGTCTCCTTCGTGCCATTCCCAGGGAGTTGTTCAGTAGCTGGGCCGGCCCCGAGCACTGGAGACCACCACACGCTGCTGGACTCCTGGCAGGTCAGCCGCATCCATCGAGTGCGAAGCGACCGCGTCCCAAAGCCGGGCAGCAGCAGCAGCAGCAGCTGGACTGGAGAAAACCCGTCTCAGATCCCGCTTTTGACAACAAGTTTCAGGTATGCCGACGGAGAGGCGTCACGCAGCTCTCGGCAGCTGTTCTCGAACGGCACAGCGAACAGCGCACAACGTTGCCTCCGGACCACCAGTATACGATCGACGCGTTGATGCGTCTGTTTACGCAGCCTTCGTGTTCGATCATGGTAGCCGCAGCCCGTCCGCATGCTTCTCGAGACAATGCTCGTTCTGGTGCAGGCGCTGGTGCTGGTGCTTCTGCTTCTGCACCCTACACCGACACCAACCTGCAGGCGCTCCAGACTGAGCTCGACTGGCGAGCCTTTGAAGATGAGAACTTTTGCGCACCGCTGGAGCGCTCATCGTCACAGCTGAGCACTGCCGACGCCGAATCCAGCGACACAGAACTGGAAACTGCCTTCCACGCCCTCGATCTGGTCTCTGATGTGGATGCGCTCGGGTGCATCGATGCGCGGCACTTGGTACCGCTCGTAGACGCACCTGCCGCCGTCGAACGAATCGATTTGGCCCATGCAACTCGTGCCAAACGCGTTGATATGCATCTCTTGAAGAATGTGCTCTGGGAAGTGATTCAGCGCCACCTTGCTACGCACTGTGCGGAAACCGAAGCGTCCTGCGAGAATCCGGGTATCCGACCTGGCAACGAAACCAGGCTGCGCGCTCTACTACCCGAAATCTGGCCGCGTCTGGGTCAGGATCTCCGCTCCGAGGTGTCGCTCTCCTACATCTTCATTGCGTTACTCCATCTGGCAAACGAGCGGGCACTGATCCTCGAGTCGTGTCGCCCGCTGCTCGACGATATGCGCATCGCCAGCGGTACATCGTCCAGTGCATCGTCGTTTCAGACGGTGACGGGCAACGGTTCATCGCTTAGCGCCTGATCGATCAGCTCCTTCTGCTCGGCAACGTGGATCGTGTAGATACCGGTAGCCGGTGCCGCTGCTGGTTTGCGCCCAGCGTACGCCACTACCCGGTGCTTGCCGTGTGCCTCGTCGATGAGACCTCGCAGGGTCGTGCGGATGCGCGGCTGCACATAGAACCAAGCACCGGCGTTCTTGGGTTCCTCCTGACACCAGACCAGTTCCGCTTTCGGATAAGCGCTGAGCGTTTCCGCAACTCGATCGTACGGGAACGGTGAGATCTGCTCCAGGCGCACAATGGAGACATCCCGGATCTGGCGTTTCTTTCGCTCGGCAACGAGCTCGTAGTAAACCTTTCCCTGGCAGAAAATCAAGCGACGCGTTTTCTCACCGGTAGCGATCTCGGGGTCCGTTTCCGGGATCAGCCGATGGAAACGAGTGCCGGTGAGAAAGTCGGCGAGCGGCGAGCGGCATTCCGGCAAGCGCAATAGCTCTTTCGGCGTCAGCAGGATGAGGGGCTTTCGAAAGTCGCGGTGAATCTGGCGTCGAAGCACGTGGAAGTAGTTTGCCGGGGTGGTCGCGTTCACAACTTGAAGGTTCGCGCGCTGAATCTGCATACGGTTGTCCATGCCGAGTTCAGCCGGGATCTCGTCCGGGTCATCGTCGGCGAGTTGGAGGAAGCGTTCCAGTCGTGCGGAGGAATGGTCGGGACCCTGGCCCCCGAAGCTGTGCGGTAAGAGCATGGTGATACCGCACTGACGACGCCATTTCTTCTCACCAGACGCGATAAATTCATCAATGATCACTTGGGCGCCATTCATAAAGTCGCCAAACTGAGCTTCGTGCATCACCAGTGCCCGCGGGGATTCCAAAGAGTACCCCACTTCGAAGCCGAGCACAGCGTATTCGCTGAGTGAGGAGTTGCACACGCGGAACTGTCCCGGAGGATCGCCCTCAATATGATCCAGCGGCACGTAACGCTCCTCGGTATCCTGGTCGATCAGGGCGGCATGACGTTGGGAGAACGTCCCGCGTTCGCTGTCTTGGCCGCTGAGACGCACGTGCGTGCCCTCACACATGAGTGCTCCAAACGCGAGCTGTTCAGCGAGTGCCCAGTCGATACCGATCTCGCCTTCGAGCATCTGCTTGCGATGCTCCAGGAGGCGCTTCAAATGCGGATGGATATGCAGACTTTCCGGAATACGACAAAGCGCCCGGCCAACGCGCATCAGCACATCGCGATCGACGCCAGTCTGACGAATCGGACTCAACTGAAACTCCGATTTGAATCCCTTCCAGTGCGAGGCGAGCCAGTCGCTATCGCGGGGTTTCCAGTTCGGGGCATTGCGGAAGCTGATTTCGTACCGACGCATGTGCTGGTCGCGCATCTGCTGGACCTCGCTCGGCTGAACAATCTGCTCATTCACCAAACGATGCGTGTACAGTTGCAAGATCGTGGGATGTGCCGCTATTTTCTTGTACATCAGCGGCTGGGTGAAAGACGGTTCATCCAATTCATTATGGCCATGGCGGCGGTAACAGAAGACATCCACCACTACATCCTTGCGGAAGCGTTGACGGTACTCGATGGCTAAGCGGAAAACGTGAACGACTGCCTCCACATCATCGCCGTTCACGTGGAATATCGGAATGCCGACACATTTCGCCACATCCGTCGGGTAGGGTGATGAGCGTGCATGCTTTGGGTCCGTGGTGAAGCCAATCTGATTGTTAATAATCACGTGTACCGTACCACCGATGGTATAGTCATGCAGATCACTTAGTTCTAGGGTTTCCGCCACCACGCCTTGGCCAGCGAACGCCGCGTCGCCGTGCAGCAGGAGCGCCATCGTGCGGCGGCGATCTACATCGTATGTGAAGAACTGCTTGGCCCGGGTTTTCCCGACTACAACGGGATCTACCGCCTCCAAATGACTCGGGTTGGCGACCAAAGAAAGATGCATCTGTTTTCCGTTGGCTAAGGTTCGATCTGAGCTGGTGCCCAGGTGGTATTTCACGTCACCGGATCCACCAGCGAGATAGACCCGAGTACGGCTCTCGTCTGGATTAAATTCATGGAAGATCTGCTCCAGCGGTTTCTTCACTACCTGGGCCAGCACGTTCAGGCGTCCACGATGAGGCATGCCAATGATGACGTTTTCGATACCGAGCTCGCTGCCGCGCAAGAGCATCGCTTGAATGCCGGGAATGATGCTTTCTCCACCCTCGAGACCAAAACGTTTTGCAGTTGCATACTTGTAGGAAAGGAATTTTTCAAATAGCTCCGCTTCCGCTGTGAAGTTCCAAATTTGTCGCTTCTCTTCCGGTGTGAAACGAAACATCGGGCCGAACACCTCCACCCGTGATGCGATCCAGTCTTTTTCCTCTTTGCTGAGCATGTGGCGGTATTCGAAGCCGATGGTTCCACAATATGCATTCTTCAGCATGCTGTGAATCTCACGCAAGGTTCGCAGCGGACGCCCCGGCAAGTCACCGCCTACGTAGAAAATTCGATCCATGTCCGCTTCAGTGAAACCGTAGGAGACGGGATCCAAATCGTAGCGCACTCTCGCTGGACTCAATGCAGACTCCTCGTGCGCACCGGCTACAACGTGACCGCTTGCCTGAGACAGGTTCAGTGGATCCAGGTTGGCGACCAGGTGACCGCGGTGGCGAAAGGCGCGAATCATCGACATAACTCGCACTGTGTCCCGCGCAACCTCCAGAACGTCCCGACCTGCGGTTACCGAAGGTGCCGCACGGGAGATGCGCTCCCGCTGAGGCCGGCTGAGCAAGCTTGTCGCTTGGCCTAACGGGGCACCCGTCTCGATATTACGGAAGAACGCCTGCCAGCTGCCGTGGACTTTGGAGGGCTCTCGGAGCCACAACTCGTACATCTCTTCCAGCACGTTTGCATTGGTTCCATTAAGAAAGTCCTCAGCACTAGAAAGGCCAGATTCAGCTAACGTAGGTTGACGGTGCGTCGTCTGCGCAGCTGTTGCCGCTGCTGCTGCTGCTGCTGCGCCTGTCGCTGCATCACTGCTACTGCTGGCGCTAGCAGTGCTCAACAAACGAGCACCCAACACGTTACAGCCAGTTAGCCCCAGCAGTCGCTTGCTAACACCTGTTGGAGACAATGAACGGAACAGAATCGGGTTCAGGGCCCGAACGACACGAAGCATGGCGCCTTCTCCCAGGTGTTCCTCCAGCGAGTTCACGAAACGGGTACTAGTGGGCAACGCGAAGCGATAGAGTCATGCGCTCCGTCACAGCGCCAGGCACCAGCGTGACGCCTCCCGATGATGGTGCTCGATCGCGTTCAGCGGCTGGATTCGCGGCCGCTGTCTCGAAAAGCGCCGCAGGCAGCGCTAGAAAGAGCTACATCATAAAGTGAAAGATGATAACACGCGTCTTACTTGTTTTACGTTTTCTGAGTTGTGGGATGGTTTGCAAGAATCAGAGATGCCCGATTGCGTGATGGATATCGGGATCCGTGATGATCATACCCAGTTTGATGATGCCGAGTCGGTGCATCGAACCGAATGCATCTCTGGATGTGCGATCGGCGCCACCAGCCAGGGAAGAGGCGACGACGAGTGATCCTTCACAGACGCTTTCGCATTTTCTAAAACTCCAGACTGGTCCTTTCGTCCGGAATAGAAGCTAGATCCAGCGGGCTTGCGGGTACCAAGCTGCCTGGGAACATTTGTCGTCGCTATGGATGCGCGGCGGCGCAAGTCGCATACAGAAGCAGGTCGATGCCGAATCCCGTGGACTGCGCCTCCAACAGCCGCGTGTTTCGCTGAGCGAGCGTTTTCTATCGGCGATGCTCAGCGAGCAAACAGATCCCAGTGCGTCATCTTCCGCTGAGGTACATCCGCCTTCCGTATCACGCTGCGCTCGCCACGCATCACGAGAAACCGACGCACCGCTGAAAATCCTCTGCGCGTCTATGCAGCGCCTCTTCGGGCCGACGCTTGCAGCGATATCCTGTTTCCCTGCAGTATCCATCCTGCGTCGCAGCAAACGTCTGCGACAGAATCGGTACCCACACGGTACCTGTATCCACCGAGCCTCTATTCCCGACGGAAAAACTAGTCTGAAGTTGGCTGCGTGCGAACGCGTCCGCAGACGAACGGTGGCCTCTTTCCGGATAGCCACCCGCTATTCATCGAACACTAAAAGTGGCGTTGGATGCTCCATCCAGCGATCCGACCCCGAACAGGAGCGGTCCAGCGCCCTGCCTCCCGCATCGCAAGATATGCAGCAGCAGCAGCAGCAGCAGCAGCAGCAGCAGCAGCAGCAGCGACGCCCCGAATCGACCTGTCCATCAGATCGCAGCAGCAGCAGCGACGGCAGCAGCAGCGACGGCAGCAGCAGCGACGCCCCGAATGGACCTGTCCATTAGATCGCAGCAGCAGCAGCGACGGCAGGCATGCGTGCTTCGAGGAATGCGTGTCACCGTGCACTAGACAACGTGTTGCTTTTCGTGGTGTAAGTGCCTTCTGAGCGCTTCTGGACACAGGGAACAGGAAAAGTTCCCGGTTCGAAGGCTTTTGGAGTTGTTTGTTTGACGTATCTACTTGGCCTACTTTTTTGGGTAACGTGCTCTAGTTGTGCGTGACAGGTTGGGACGTTTACGTGCAACGTGACGCCACCGGAGCGTCCCGCGGAACGCAAGGCGCTGTACGGTGCGATCTTTTCCATCATGTTCCTAGCCGAACTTAGTTTCTCAAGAGTGTTTCATTCCGGGGCAACCAAGTGGTGCGAGTCGCGCAGTTCACGCCAACTTGAGCTGCAGACGACGAGGAGCACCAACGGGTGGTTGTGTCCCAGTTCAGGGCGTCATTTGTTCCGGCAACATCGCACTGGCCTACGTGCATCGCAGCAAGGTGTCGAGGAAGGCTCGTCGTCGCGGCCCTCGCAGGCGCCGTCACCGTTACCGGCACCGAGCTTACCTGCGGAGCACTTTTCGAATCAGGCACAAAGTATGCGTTCTTCGCGGGGTGGACCGCTCTACCCCGAAGGCGAGTACGATGTCATAGTCATCGGTGCTGGGCACTCCGGCTGCGAAGCGGCACTTGCCTCTGCTCGTTTAGGAGCGCGCACGCTCCTCTTGACCCTGAATCTGGACCGTATCGCCTGGCAACCTTGTAATCCAGCGGTTGGCGGACCAGCAAAATCGACGCTCGTTCATGAAGTCGACGCTCTTGGTGGATGGATCGGCAAGATCGCCGATCGAACGTATCTGCAGCGGCGTGTCCTGAACCGTGGCAAGGGTCCAGCGGTATGGGCGCTGCGTGCACAAACGGACAAGCGAGAGTATTCAGCGGAGATGCGTCGAGTTCTGGAGGAAGCTGAAAACCTCGAGATTCGTGAAGGAATGGTCTACGATTTGGCTCTGGGTCCAAATGGTGAAGTCGTGGGCGTGGAGACGTATTTTGGGGGCGCATTCCGGGCACGTGCGGTGGTCTTAACAACGGGGACGTTTCTTGGCGGCACGATCTGGGTAGGCAACAAGTCCATGCCTGCGGGTCGCGCAGGCGAGCCGGCATCGTTCGGGCTCACAGAGACTTTGCAGCGAATGGGATTTGAGACAGGTCGCTTGAAGACGGGAACGCCGCCGCGTGTCGACGGCCGAACCATCGACTATACGGTTATGGAACCGCAACCATCCGATCCTGAGGATCATTGGTTCAGCTTCGACCCCGCCGAATGGAACCCCCGGAGCGACACGATGCCGTGCTATTTGACGCGAACGACGGCGGAGACCCACCGTATTATTCGTGAGAACCTCCATTTAACTCCCAAGTATGGTGGCTTCATGTGCTCAACAGGGCCGAGGTACTGTCCAAGCATCGAGGATAAGATCGTTCGCTTCGCAGAGAAAGAAAGCCATCAGATTTTCATCGAGCCAGAGGGTCGCACCATTCCCGAAGTCTACGTGCAGGGCTTCTCCACCGGCATGCCGGAATCGATTCAGCTTGCGATGCTTCAGTCCATACCTGGCCTTGAGCGATGCCGAATGGTCCGACCCGCGTACTCCGTTGATTACGACTACCTTCCGGGATGGCAGGTGTATCACACACTGCACAGCAAGAAGATCGAGGGGCTCTTCCTCGCTGGGCAGGTGCTCGGGACGACCGGCTACGAGGAGGCTGCGGCGCAGGGGATCATTGCTGGCGTGAACGCCGCGCAGTTTGCCAAGCGGGGCAGTGACGCTGACCTCGTCATGCTGGATCGCGAAGACTCGTTTCTTGGGGTGATGATCGATGATCTCTGCACAAAAGAGCTCGATGAACCGTATCGCGTGCTTACCTCTCGATCTGAATATCGGCTGCTCCTGCGCGCAGATAATGCCGACGAACGAATGACGCCGCTGGGTCGAAGTATCGGCCTCATTGACGATCGTCGCTGGAATATCTTCCAAGAGAAGCTGAAACGCATTGAGCGCCAACGGATGCGGCTGGAAACGACAATGCTTCGCGGCGACAGCGAAGAGGCACTTCTCATTCAGCAACAATGTGATGTCGGAAAGATCGCAGCGAATGTTTCGCTGGCAGATCTGCTTCGTCGGCCACGGTTGAGTCTCAGTGTGCTGAAGCAAGTTGGTGTGCTTGCGGATTCCGAACCCAACATGACGGTCTTCGACTGGGAGACACTGGAGACTCGCATCAAATACCAAGGATATATTGACCAGCAGCAAGAGACTGTTCGCCGAATCAAGGCGGAATATGGACGAAAGATCCCTGATGATATTGATTACTACTCGATCACGCAGCTCAGCCGCGAAAGCATGGATCGATTGAGCAAGATTCGCCCGGCAACGCTGGGTCAGGCGACGCAGGTAGGTGGCGTCAAGCCCGCCGATATCCTCATCCTTCTGGTATGGCTGGAGCGCGAACGACGCCGAGCAGCAGAGACAGCATCTGTTGGCAAGAGAGGCATCACGGAACCAGATGCCGCTTCCGCTACACGAGATGCCGCGGCGACGGACGGCGGAGAACGGATCAGCACCATTCAGTCAATGCAGGTGGGCGCCTCACCTCCCTGAGCGGATCGTTGTTGCGTTAGGGTCGCGGCCTGGAGACCAGTGACGCTTCCGGTGCTGGCCACTGGCTTCGGGTAGAGGCATCGGCCCAAACGGCACCGCATCTGGACCGCTGACGACAACGCGCCTGGTGCGCGGGGATAGCGCACCATGCCTGGCTGCGGTCGCGTGCGAGCGGCTGCACATCGCCAGCGGCGATGTATCAAACAGATTGCCTGGAACGTTCGGCTTCGCTGCGGATACACCCGAGCAGAGCGCAACTTGTCTCGACCTACCGAGGGCGACAGCTGGATGCACGTCCCAAGATGCGTCCCCAGCACTGCACAGCACAGCACAGCACATTATTTTTTCGCCCGAGAACGTCCTGAGCTGGGAGCCTCTGCGGTACATCCGTACACTGACATTGCCTCGTTGCCGGACGATACCCAAGGCGCGGTGTTCCGTAATCACAGCGCCGCTTTTGCAAGCCAGACATCTCGCGCGCCTATGCTCTCGCATAGAAGCTGGCGTTATCCACGAAATTTCCCGTCATGAACCGGTTCTGGAACTGTTTCAGATTAAAATGGAACGCTGAACTAGTGGCTCTGTTTCTGCTTTTCGTCTTTTTTTTTGAGTTTCTCCGATGTACAGCCTCCATGTTCGAAATGCTGAAATAAAGACTTACGCATCCATCTATCGTTAGAGGCTTCTGGGTCAACTTTTTGGAGCGGCTATTTGGGCTCGTTGTCGCTAGATTTCGTTACGTCACGGGAAGTGAGAGATTCCGAGGTGCCCTCGAACACGCGGTTCGAAAAACAACCGCTACCACCATCCAACTGATAAGCAGATGTCTCCATTGCCCTCCGTTCCTGATGTAGAGCGAGAGCGCAACAGAATGCAGTGGCAGACAATGCCCGCCAAGGCTGGTATTCATGAAGACAATGAGTGCAGGCGCAAACTTTAGTGTGTGTGTGTGTGTGCCCGAGTAAGGCCACCGGTTCCATTTTTTCCCACATGGATCTAGAAGATTCACTAAGCTCGGGCCGAGAGCACCTCCTGTAACCAGACATTGCGGCGGGGTGCTGCAAACCAATCAGCGGGTGCTTCATGCTCGACCTGCTGCTGTGGATCGGCAACAAAAGTCGGAAAAGGAGGCAAGTGCGGGAGCTCTGCCCACCACTTGAGACCACTTTTTTTGACTGCATCACGAACCAGCACCCAGTTGCCTGTATGACCAGGAACCGGCCCCGAAACGAAGAGCAAGTTTCGTTTGCAGTCGACGCGTTCCAGTCGTAGACTCTGGACGGTGGTTCGCTCCCCGCCCATGCGACCAGGCATGCGCTTGCCTTTAAAGACTCGACCAGGGTCCTGACGTTGCCCTGTCGCACCGAGCGAGCGGTGCGTAAGCGAAACGCCATGGGATGCAGGTAATCCTCCGAATCCGTGGCGTTTCATCGCACCTTGAAATCCTTTGCCAATGCTCGTACCGATCACATCCAGGTACTGGCCAGGGATAAAGTGACGCGCAGTGATGGGCGTCCCCGGCTCGATGCAGGCGGCAGCAGCGGGAGCGACCCGAAACTCCACCAGCTTCTCCTTGACGTCGGTCCCGGCGTAGGCGCAGTGATAACGATGCGGCTTTTTGGCCTGGTAGGGTCGCATAGATCCCGCTCCGATTTGAACGCTCCATTCGGAGAGTCCTTTCAGATTCGACGCGTTGCTCGGTAGCTGTTTAACCTGGATCACGTGGTTGTTATCGATGTGCAGGACCGTCACACAACGGTAGACACCGTTTGCGTCCCAGTGTGGTAGCATGCCGATCTTTCGCGCAACGACACCGATGCGTCGAACGAAGCGTCCATACAGTTCGGCCACTGGCTCAGTGTTCGGCGGCGGCAGCCGCAGCCGCAGAGGCGGCACGTGTGGCCCCGAACTGCGAGCAGCAGTTTCCGCCTGCGTACAGAGCGTCCGCACGAGTCGCCCGACAGCCCGGATACAGTGTCGTAAACCGGTGCTCATGCTGTTCAGGGCAACTCAAGCCCCGAGCTATGCAACGTGGCGCACAGGACTGGGCAGATGGGACAAGTGCACAACTTCTGGCAGCGAGGGAGAAGTTGGAGCAGACGCTGTGACGAAGGCGCTGCCTGCATTGCATTGTACGACGATCGCTGCAGTTCGGGAAATAGAGTTCGTTATTTTCCTTTTTATACAAATATAGTCCAATATGAGCCTAGATGACGCATACCGCGTAAAGGGTGCGCTGGCGGCCAGCGTCGATGACAAACCGTTTGCTGAGACCTTGGATCTCAGATCGCGGGATCATGGAATGGTTGGATGGATATTGGTATCCGGGAAAGCGTCCATCATGCTGCTGCACCTTACCTTCAAGTTCCATGACTTGTTCTCGAATGCACTGGTTATTTTGTACGTTTCATCGAGCTCTGAGTACCTGCTTTGAGCTCCAGCAAGCGCACCTAAACCATTTGAGCAGACGCATCACGGAGACAGAATCGCTTTGCCATATCGATGACGGCATCAGCTTGAGGTGTAGTTTGCGCGATACGGGGTCGAGATTCATTATCATGCTGGGAGCATGCAGGCTGCGCAGACAGACCTACAGATTGCCGCAGCGCAACGTGATGCACTGGGCGTCCACCGCGTCCAGGGTGACGTCCAAACGCAGCATACCCGCTCCTAATCCAGGATAAACTGCAGCGCGGACGAGTTGCTCGGGTCGCGCGACTGCACCCGCCCCTACGGATCATGAAGAACCAGCCTGGGAGACTCGTCCGGTTTGCGGGACCTTCCTCCTGGGAGGTAAACACCCGAAGTTCTGCAAACGTTTTCCGCGTTCAGAGTTTACCGTAAAGCGGGAAAGAAAATGTTACCAATTGGCTAGTAAGTGGTTGCTATCTGTTATTTTTTCGATAAAGCGCGTTCGATACGCGCACCTCCGTATCTGGCAAGCATGAGATACGGCGCGTATCTCGAAGTTGACCGGAAACGCAATCCTGACCGTTAGCGTTTTGCTCTGACGGACAAGATGTAACGCTGCTAAAGTCGTAGCATCGTCTTTTAATTCAATGGCGTTCCATACTCAGATTAGGGTCTTCAAGTGCTTTTTCACAGTTTATAGCAGACGTGTTCAAAGCGGATTCGTTTTCAAACGAAAAAAGGAGTGTTACGGAAAACGTAGTGGAGGGTCCTAGTGGGCAGATGTCGCCGGCTGTCGGAAAAAAAAACGGAAAACAGTGCCAAGCAAAGAGGAGCATGAGAAGACGAAGGAGCAAAAGAGGCAGGCCCTGAATGAAGCGCTGCAATTAAGACGATAGTACCGCGAGATATTGGTGAAAGCCCGTCTTCTTGGACATATCAAGGATGCGTATGAGCTAAAGTTGCGAGAGGCAGTCAGAAACCGTGTCGCGTCCCACTCCAAGAGTGCTTGTCACGCTTCTCTAGGACTAATGCATATGGCGAGGGAGATGTATAACGACATAATGCACATGGAAACAGTCGAGATTCGGGAGGAATTTTTCAACTAGACACTTATTCCTTGCCTGATGCTTGGCACAGGGGAAACGCCGAGGAGAAATGAGCGAGTGCACGCCATCCACGAAAATCACCCCCAATGCTGCTTCAACGGTTCTAGATACAGGGTGGCACTGATATTGATACTTACGGGGCAATCAAATGCCTCACGAACATGAAGAATCATAGGATCGTGAGCCTCAAAAGCTTCATGATATGCTCTATCTCTGCGCTGTACCCGGGCCTCTCTCGCAAAGAGGACATGGGCCGTCATCGACGGCATCACGAACAATCGCCAGCATGAACAGGAGATCGAATTCGTCGACAAGAAGACATCACACGCGAGAAAGAATGAAGCTTCTGTGATCCATGCGGCGATTCGAAAGCACCCTGCGGTGCTGGGGCTTGTCAACCCAGCATAAAACATATCAGATTCGAAAAAAAAGATGGAAAAGATGGTATCCCCTCATCCTGCACTATTTCGTGTTTTTGGACCGAGAACTCGAACGCATGGCCGAACAGGAGCTGCTTGGCGGAAGCAAATGAAGAGTAGTTGAAACGGAAGGGTTCCCTACCGGAACAGTGCTCCAATGTTGTTCCATTATGCAACATCAAGTCACCCTTCGTGACAATCGATCCCAGAGTCCTTTACGGCGTCATGAAGGAGATCTGTCCGGAGTTCGATGTAAGCAAGAAGGAGTTCACCCGTGAAATCCGGGAGACGCACTGGAAGAATACCTTCGATTTCGAGCGTCTCAAAGCGAGCAAGCAAAAGATATTCACTGGGATGATCGAAACTGATGGAGAAGCCATATTTGTCGACTATCGGCGCTCGAAGGCGGATCGTCCTGTTCTGTCCTCGGCTTCGCCCTTGACGTAACACGAAGAAGACAAGGAGGCGGGCCCTGCGACCCCGGATGTGCAGCAGAACAACTTTATCGTCGGCGCGGTCCCCGGGAACATGATTATCATGACCATCGCAGCACCCAAGCATGTAGAAGATGGTATCGACGGCAACTTGCGCCAAAAAGACATACGTATTCTGAGATTCTCACGAGCGAGATATTAGCGAGAGTCAGGGATAATGAATGCAAGGAAGAAAATTGAGAAGTGGAGTACAGGAGTGAAGGAGCATTTGGAAGCGATCAGCCAGGCATCGAGCCGCGGAGCGGACTTGGAAGCTTTTCTGGAATTCATGCAAGTTCGTGTTGGTCATGACGAGGCGCTGTGGAAAGAATATACAAAGCCACGGTGGGCTCGTCTGCGTGTGAATCTGCTCTGTGGGAAGCAGCGTGCCTTTGCCAACTTTATCATTCCGTTGAGTGCCCTCGAGGAAGTCAAGAGTCAAAGACTCGTAGTAGCGTATGGAGCAGGGCGCTGGGTACCCGGAAAAGAAAGCATACCTGCTCCGTCGACAAGTGCGCACAAAGAGTGCGCACACTGTTTCGTCACAATAGCGATAGATGCGTTTCGAACGTCACACATGCAACATGAGCTGGGATGTGCAATTCAGAGGGTCGAGTTGGAAAAGTGCCAGCCGAGCCCTGAGGATACAGAAAAGTACGGAGCTCTGATATAATAGGAAATGTAAACGAGGGCGAAAGTTCGAGGACGACTCGCTCTTGTGAGTTCAACCAGCGGCGGCAGGAAACACACGGACTCCGCGAACCGAGACTTTCACGCCGCCATCAATATGAGACGATGTGCGGTGCTGAAGACGAGACCTCCGGAGTTGACGAGATCTAGCATTGTGGAGCAATCTCCCACGGTCGACGAATACAAGGAGAAGTCGAAACCGATAGCAAGCGCCCTGTCAAAAAAAGGCTGTGAGGCGTCTCTGAGTGCATACCCATGTGCCGTATCGTCGCGGACACATCTTCGGTGCGTCCAGCATAGGTGTCGCTGCTCCTCACTGCGTACACCAAGGGCAGCTGCAGGTCGATGCTCCGTGGCGCCTCGGCGCTGCAGCATCTGCAACCTGGTGCCGACTGCATCTGCCGGTGTCTACCAGACGCCGATATCCGTTGATTGGTGGGCATCGTATGTCAGTCACGCGAGCCCTAAAGCAAAAATCCTCGCTCTCGAATGCAAATGAGCGAAGGTACCCCCCGGGGAAGCTGGCCAAGCTGCACGCGAGCTAGCAGATAGGTGAGCGTCCATAACGCTCATAGGCGCTGCCTTGCCACGACATCATAGCCTATTCGTAACGACAGTTTGTCTTTGGCACAAGCAGCGCGCTCTGTACACCAACATGATTCCCCCGGGTATCGTCATTGCAGGCCGGTTGAATATTCGCATGAAACGAACATTCCATTACATATCCATCGCCCATGACGCTGTAGATGGAGCATATCCATGAGAGAGCCCCGGATCGAGAGACCCGCTGCATGAACAGCTCGAATTGGCGATCTGCACTCGTCCGAGAGGTGCATACCACCGTCCGGAGCGTACCTCAAAGGCCGCGGGGCGTCCGTTTCCGCATGCTTGCACATCAAAGTGGCGTCATGGAGACGTCGGGTTCGAAGGAGACGTCTCTCTGGGTGGACGCGAATGTCCGTTCGCCTCGGTCGACGGTCCGTGCATTCGCTTCTGGAACCATAGAATGAGGCCTGAGCGACGTGCCCTGTTCGCAACCCTCTGAAGCCAGGTCATCGTCCCGGTATCCACAGCACCAGTCGCCGCTGGTTCGATGCTCCGGATCCCTGAACGCCCAGCATCCTCGAAAGTCTCCGTCGTCATCGATGCATACCAGTTCCGCAGCGAACGCCCGAGAGACCCCTCTTCAAGGCTGCGTCGCAAGCGCTTTGGCATGCTGTTTGGTTGCTTCAGCGCTGTAGCGAAGTTTTCCAGGTCGTTGGTGCCTGTGTACCAGAGCAGCAACCGCCAACCGATGTAGCCGAAAGACGCACATAACAAAGTGCCGCTTAGGAGCGCAAGTGACGCTGTCCGTACAGCTGCCGCTTGGACTGCTGCGGTATCGCCAACCAACGTACCGCGCTCGGTCCAAGCGTCTACGGTTTTCGGTAGCGGCTGGAGCCCCGAAGACGACTCTGGGCTCGACGCCAGCTCCCGCCGTCGTAGTCTGTAAACGAGATACCCGCTCGTCAGCGTAGTCGTCGCAAACACACCGAACGAAATGCCTGCTGCTTGGGTGGCGTTCAAGACAGGCTCCTGGTGGCGCTCGGGGGAGTCCTCGTTTGCTGGTGCACCAACGGGCACCTGGGTTTCGGGCCCCGACGAGTGTGGGGGTCCGGCGAGGTTCCGCGCCTCGGAACCGGGCATCGCTGGAGACACTGTCCACTAGTTCGGTAACACTGGACTATCTTGCGGGGGCTGGTTCCAGTTCACGGCGCTTTTGAGAAGCGCTCCCTCTCTCGCGACTCTCTTGCCACGATGAAGCGTTACGCGACCCCAGTGTCTATAAAGTGTACCCAATGGAGCGCCAAGCGTTGCCCCATGAACCTGGCCTCTCAACAGCGGGATACGTCAGCCGTGGATGTGCTGGATTCGAACGATGCCGTGGGAATGCTCAAAACTCCCTCATTTCAGGTACACGAGATTGAGCCTAGTCCTTACTGGTTCTTTTTGGGCAGCGAACTGCGCTAAGGATGTTCTGCAGCGACTTTTGCTCAAGCCCAATGGGAACGGCTATCATATCGACGGGTACTCGACTCGATCGCAAGCAGAGAGAGCGTCGTCGTCGTCGTCGTCGTTTCCTCCACCCATGCATACGATGAACACGGGAGTATCGCTGGCGTGTGGTGGTTAGAGCAGGCCCCCGAGCTCGTCTTTGGTGCAGCGTGTAATGTCCTTGTCCATAAATAACCGGTTTCTCTGGTGTTCCCGCAAGTCTGGTGCATCGCTCCAGCGCGAAGCGTTGACACGTCACCCACATTGGTGTGCGTATCGGGATTCGCGGTGACTCTGTTCATGCCTGCATGTATATTTGTGCGGCAAGTAGGCTCCCTGGAGGCGACTTGCGATACCCGTCGGTGTGTGCCTGTCACAAGCTGTTCACTTGTAACGATGCCAGACGTTGTTCGCAAACAAAGCTGCCGCACGCTCTACACCTCGCCCTGACGGACAAAGTTTCGCATGCCAATGCAGGACGCTCTGATTCGAGCGGGAGGTCGTATCACGCTGCGGATCTGCTTTCTAGCTGGCAGCTCATGATCCCATACCAACGCATATTGTCATGAAAATGCCCCCGGCATCCTCACCAGACTCGAGATGCATTTGAACGATGCTTTGGTGCTGCAGGAGCAATCAAACACCGCAGCAGCATCGAAAAACTGCCCGTTAGCACACCGTATACGATACTCGGTTTTCTCTGAAGCAGTGTCGCCACCTTTCACCTTCTAGTCCCAACTCTTGATACAGGCATATATTCACCAGGCAACTGCGCAACCTCGCCCGGTGCAGGCTGAGAAGTCGCGTAGGCGCGCCATTCGTCAGGGCGCCGCCGCCGCCGCCGCTGCTGCTGCTGCTGTTCCAATGTGCCTCTACTTGTTCAGCAGCAGCAGCAGCAGCAGCAGCAGCAGGAACGACGACAGCAGCAGCGGGCTCTTTTCTCGCCAGTGCACTGCACTCGAGACCTTCAACCCGCTGACTCGTGTCTGGACGCAAAGGATACAGCGTAGCTGGGATTGTTATACACGTAGTAACCCGCCTAAGCTCGGGGTCTCCGACGTAACTCGCACAGTGCCTGGCCTCCTCTATGGCGTCCACGTTTAAAACAACCGCCGGCACCGGTGCTGGTGAAGAGACGCACGCACGGGACTCGTATCCGGGTCGCGATACGACGATCCGGCGTGAAGAGTTGCCAAGCGGTTTACGGGATGCGCTCCCGTACACATCTTCGAGTTGGTGGTGGCGGGCAATCGAACGAACAGAGTTACCGAACCCGGGCGCCTACGAGGAGATCAACCAAGAGGCGAACACCGTGCTGCGGCCGAACCTGTTTGATGGTACCCGCTTTGACATGAATCTTCCGCTGACGCCCACGCTTTCTACCGGGCACTCGATAGAGATGGGCTCCACGCAAACAACGCCGGGTTATGCGCTTTCTGTGAACTATATCACGAATACGTTGATCGCGGTTTCGCGGATGGACATGACCGGCCGGTTCAACGGACGTCTCTTCTACACCCATACACCACGTCTGATATCCAAGCTTTTAGTGAGTCGGCAACCAGCGGAGGATCCGGCAGCCGCTGCGGCTATGTTGGCTGCGGCTACTGGCGGAGCTGCGATACAACCGCCACCGCCGACGAGTGCCACCACCACTGTCATGTACGACTTGGACTATCGGGGAAGTGATTACTCGGCAAACCTCAAACTAGGGACAGGTGGTGTGATCTCACTAGCTTATATGCAGAGTATTGTTCCCTCGTTTTCCATGGGTGGTGAGGGCTTTTTCCAATTACGGAACAAGTTCAGTGCATTGACGGCAGCTGCAAGGTTCCTCACAACGGATGGGATATTCTCGGCAACCGTTGCCAGCTTCGGGCCCGTGGTAGCTTCATATGTTCATCGAGTGAATCCGCGAGTCTCTCTAGCCGCGGAGCTCTTCTGGGACACTCGCAGTCGGGAGTCGTACGTCACGGCCGGCTACAAGTTTGATTTGCGATCTGCAACTGTGATAGGGCAGGTGACCTCGCTAGGAAAAGTTGCCGCGTTACTGGAAGAGAAACTGAGTCCGGGGGTGAGTTTCCTTTTGTCAGGGGAGATTGACCACTGGCAACAGCAGTACAAGTTTGGTTTCGGTTTACAGGTTGGCGGCACTGCCTAGCAGCGTGGAGGCGTTTCGACGATTGGATGCGAGTTTAGTGCCCGCAAAGCGCTGCGCAACGGTTGCTTCGTGCCTGACGAGCACTACAGGGACTGCCTCAGCGCTTTTCGGGAAGCTAGACTGACGTTCGCAGGATGCGGAATGTCCTTGCCCTGGTATGGCACAGCACAGCTCGTATTTTTACGAACCAGTGATCTTGGATGTCGCCGAGTGCACATGTGTGGCTTCGTGTATGGTTGCGCAAGCGACATAGCCGAGTACCCACGATCTGCGTACGGTTTGGCGGGGAATTTTCCAAGCCCTGCTGCATGTCATCCATGCCACATGGATGCGTTTCCATCATCTCTCTGGTGAATGCTCAAGTTGATCACGGCAATGCCCGTGCGATTTGTGGAGTACTACGAACTGCAGCTGGCTTCCCGCACTGTGTGTTGATCAGCATTGGGCGCAGCAAACGACAGGCTTCATTCGCTCCACATCGAGGTGCGCGTGGAGCAACGCGAACCGCAGTCGGCCTCATGCACCACATGGACGTCCGCATACAACGCTGCCAAGTGCATTCTAGTTCTTCGCTGTTGGAGAGAGACTCTTGCATGCGACCTCCTCTGTGCCGTCTGCGGCTTTTGCTGGACCCGTCCTCAGCGCGGCTTCAACGGCGACCGCTCCCTCATAGAGCTGCTGAACCGGAGGCGCTTTTCCCGTCTGATCCGTGAGTGTTTCGGCAGCAGCCAGACACGCAAAATACTCCCGTAAATAGAACTCGCGTTCGCGAAGCACCTCTTCCCAAGCCATGATATCGAAGCCCTCCGCCATTGTCCGCAACGTCAGCACGTCCACAATGACCTTGCTCGTGGGAGCGTCTCCCTTTCTGTCGGTCGCGTCACCGTCTGAGAGCCAGGTACCCGTAGGACCTGCACCAAGGCCGACGAAGCGCTCGTCGAAAACCCATACCGGCACACGAGCGCCCCGAAAAGTTGCACCATTCGGCTGGTGTTCGGCACCAGGCCGCCTCCGAGACACGGTGTATACGCGCCCAGTAATCTCTACCAAGCTCCCGATATAGACGTCGCTTGGAAGTTGCCCCTTAAAATATGCCAACACCCGCTTCCGTCGGTACTCTAGTACCAAGAGACCGAGTTCAGCCAACACTTGGCCCAGACGTGCTACCACACGCACCGTAGCCTCGCTCTTCACCAGCAGATCAACTTCTGCGACAAACCGCTCGAAAGTTAGGATAAGTGCGGGTTCCAGCGTATCCGAGTTTCCCAGCATGGATACCACCGGCTTCGATCCAGAGCCGCCACTGGTCCCGCCACGAAAACCCCCGGGGTATCCTAGCGGTTGCGCTCGAGATACCGGGATTTCGGTCAGTCATTCCCCGTGTCCGATGGAAAGGGAGCACTGACCGATGGACGATTCCTGGGTTGCGATTTTCTTTCGAACTTTGTTTCGTATATAAAGGCTCGACCTTTTCAGTGCATTGGTGAGAGCAACAGTCGTCATACGTAGTGTATGGAGGTTAGGTCGCTTTTTCGTATTGGCTTCTTCGACGCTTTGTCGCTGGGATTCGTTACGTCTCCGGATTCGAGACCATTTGCGACGATCGTGAACGCTGGATCGTAACATACCCGATATGATTGTGAAGTTCACTTGATCAAGGCTCGACGATCCTCCATGCCGTTTCGAATGGCATGCTCGAAACAAGCATACTTCAAGTTTTCGATCTATGTGTTTCACGGCAACTCGTGGGTGCGGCGATTCGCGCTTCTGGATAGACGAGGAGCCACATTCGACGTTGTTTCTGGGTGACTGCGTCGCAAGCTCTTGTTGAAATCACTCTGGCATCGTCTCTCAAGATAATCGATACTGTACGAAAACAACTCCTCATTTGTTTGTGGCTGTCGACGTGACGGTATTCGACAGCCGCATGATACCTCTCACGGGATATACGATGAGACGCTCTCGTGTCTTCTGTTTGCCGGGTAAAGAGTCCTGGACTGTTCATGCAATCATTTCAGCGATCGATGCCGGTGGAGCGCGCGTCATCGCTTTCCACGAAGCAAACGAGGACGGATCAAAATTTCTCGACTTGTTCTCCAATCTGACTTTACGTTCTGGCATTTGTTTCACACTGGAGTCCATCGCGTTCCACGAATTTTATCGAATGGAACAGGTTGCGCTCGTGCAAGCGGCAGACAGCGTACTTTCCAAGCATATCGCCCAGAACAAGCAGCCCGTGATCGCTGTGAACGGCACCGGGCGTGGGAAACGGAGCATGGCATCGAAGGAAAGCGTTCGGTACCCGTCCAAGACATGGGTCGCACGGTGAAGCAAGCCAGTGCATACCACGTGACGGCGCTGGTGCGAGGCATTGAGGTGCCCGTACGAAGACACCTGACCACAGTCAAGTGTCACTGTTGCGACGAGCGCACCGCGGCTCTACAAAAGAAGAGCAACAGGGCAAGCGAATCGTAGACCGCAATCATCGTCTGTGTATCCAACGCGTTGCCAACAGCCGAGAGCTGCGAAATCGGGACCTGCCCGCTGCCATCAGCATCGTTCTGTTTCTGATAAGCGATCTGGAGGGACAGGAGCGACCTGCTCACTTCAAGCTCGAGATATGAAAGAGGCGAAGGAAGCAGTCACAGAAAAAGCACAGAAACGCTTCATTTAAGGATAGTCGCACGCGGTCCACACGTTCGCGTGAATACCCGTGTTGGCGGACATGTTTGCTTGTATGCTGTCACGGGTGTAGCGCGCGAGCGATGCACCATTCTCCTGGAGACATCTCGCAAACCGTACTTGCTACAAAGCGTCTGTATCAAAGGCTTCTCAATGGATGCTGGTGTCTTTGAACAGGGCACCGGAAATCGATGGCAATCAGTGCGCGTGTGTTTGCTCGGTATGCACGCTACGGAGCCGGCACGCGTTCTACGCAAACTCTCATCGCTTACAGGCATCTTTCTTGACATCGTGAACAAAGTGCGGAGCTGGATGTCCATTCAGAAGCTCACAGATGACCCGAATGAGCACAGGCGCAGCATTTCGGAGCAGGCTGTCGAGGATTATTCTGTACAAGACGAGAACTCTGGACTGTGCGTCCGGCTCATCTGCTGGATGGACCGGGTTTCGCATGATGCACAGATCATACACCACCTTGAGGAGGTGTCCGGTGCGGCATGCGCAAATGGTTGGAGCCAACGCTTCCCCAGCGGAAAGCATTCGCATACTATATACAGGTTCAAACAGCGGCTTCCGCCGTCTCTGCTAGAATCTCTTACCCGCTTTACATGAAAAAATACTGGTATACGCCAGATCTCCGTCAAAGTTGCTCTTGTTGTTGTTGTTGTTGTTGCTGCTGCTGCTGCTTCTAACGCGAAGAGTTGCCCTGCATGTAGATCTGCTTTCTCCGCAGCCTTGAGAGCGCATTCCATATACACTGCATTATCGATTCCTCTGAACCAGTCACGCCAATGCGGTCGTTTCTGTACGAAGCCTAGGCCCGGGTCCGTTGCGCCAGCGTCAAGCACTCTTGCTGATTTTGCTGGTATTGTTGTTGCTGGCGTACAATGCCCAGACCACCGCATGCATGATAAGCGCCTGGAAATCACAACAGACAGCATCACCGGCAACACAGTTTTATCGAGTGCAAGCAGCAGCGGTGGTCTTCACGCAGACCCCTGGCACCTGTACCCGGTGCCTGACCCGCATCGACGGCGCTCTACCGACACACGCCAGCCGGCTTTCAACGAAACGAATTCCATGGGCATCGCAGCGCTGCAATGTCGATCAACATCGACAACGGTACCAGAGGAACACTGTCAAGAAGGCGCCCCATTCCGGGTACATTGGACAACTCGGTAAGGTACCCCTCGAATCGTCCCGTGATCGAGCTCGCTTGGCTCCCACGCACACCATTTCATCCAGACGCTCGGGATACCCCTACCCCTGCTACCAGGGATGCAACCCCCGACTTGCCTGCTTCTTCCGGCTGGTGCGCATAGACGCGCTCCTTTCGCTCATGCGGCGCGATACGCCTCGGACTCGACTGTGTCGCCAGAAGACTGCTTCCTTGTGTAGCTCGCCCGATCGCCTGTTGAATCACCTGCGTTACATACGATCGCGCAAAGCGTTTCGCGTGTTGCTGCATGGTCGCTTCGAGTCGCTGCAGCTCTGCTCGGCATCGATCGAACATGTCCATAAAGCGATGGAGCGTGAAGAACAGCGTTTCGGGAATGTCGTGTTCTTCGGCGAGCGACGCCACAGAGCCGGTATGCAGCGCCGGTGCCGGTACGCTCGTGGGGTGGCCCCCCAGATACGTCGTCGTTCGCTCCAGCTGTCGACGCATTCGGGCGTACGCCTGCTCAACTTGTTCGACCTTGGGCGTCTCTCGTTGTAGAAAGCCGTTCACAGCATCCGATGGATGGTCTTGCGATTCCTTCCGCACCAGGGCAAGCGCGAGGCGCAGGGCACGTATCTCAGCGTCGAGTTCCCCGAGGTCGACGCGAGCTGCCGCAGCTACCGCCGAGAGGTCACTGGTAAAGAGCGCCGCGTCTGGCATTCGACGCGACACGAACTTGACCAAATAGTGAAGCAGGGTTGTGCGGCGATCTAAAGTAGCTCGAGTCTCACTTAGTTTCAATACGCTGGAGAGGCGGAAACCCAGGGCATTGCCACGATTTGTGCCCTGATTCAGATAGTTTCCAATGGCCAGAATCGCGCTCAACACCGATGCCAGGCGGTCGCTTTCAAAAACCTGGCGACAAGCAGTGAGCACAACCTCGATGAGGTGCTGAACCTCCTCCACCTGGTGACCCAGTTGACGTATCGCGATCGCAGCGTCGAGCTTTGCGCGCAAGCGTTGATGGAGTGTTGCCTGTTCTGCAGAATCAGGTGCGAGCACCTCGAGACTGGTGGCCATTCTGTAGACCAGTCGCTCGGCACGGCTTTTCAGGAGCTCCTCAACGTCTGACTTTGCGTCCAGACGCGGGTCTGCGTGACTTCCGGGGTCCATGCTCGCCGTTTCTGGGTGATTCTGCGGCGCCAATGCTTTGGGCTGCGCTTGCTTCGCCCAATGAAGGGCTACTTCTAGTTCTTCCTGCTTAGGCATATTCATTCTCAGAGCGAGCAGGTTCTCTGTCGTGAGTACCGGCTTCTCCGCTGCGTCCAGTGCGATGACTGCGTTCGCGATCGCTCCGACATCTACACTAAATTTGCTCAACATGATTTCAAAATTGGTGGCTCGTTTGCTCTCAAGAAAGTGGAGTTGCGTGCGATGTGCATTCGCCTTCTGGTCCGCAGTCTCATCAAGGTCGAATGCGGTTCGTTGGCTGTCCATGCGGCGTTGTTCGATTGTTGGTCGATTCATGAACATTTGATCAATTTCAGAGGATGAGTTTTCCAAGTCTGTATCAAGCATTCGATGCAACCCCCGAGAGAATATCGTTTGGGGAACCTGATGTGGTGGTATTGTGTTCCAGTGAAGCTGCTTGACGTTTCGTCGCGGCTTGCGTGCAAAACGCGCCGCTCCCAGAATACCTCCCATGTGAGCACCGTTGGCCATAGGTACAGTTGCCGGCAATGGTGGCGGTGGTGGCGGTGGTACACCCATTCCGTTCGCTTCGTTTGCAAGACCTTGACGGTCACCATGATCACGACTGTATGACTCTGTATCTCGCGGGCATACATCAAACGCGGCTGTGTCAAGAAGTGGTGGTGGTGGTGGCGGCGGTGGTGGTGGTGGCGGCGGCGGCGCGGTTGGTGCTTGTACCTGCAGTCGATCTCGCTCGTCCTGGAGTTCGAATGGCGGTGAACTCTCGGACGCCCCTATGTGCACCGGCAAGATCACTCGTGGACTCGACCGCGTCGAAACCGGAGCCCTTGGACTGCCACGATCTTTCCAATCCTTGCGGTCCGATGACATCGAAGCAACGACTCCGGGTGCGGTCTGTGCATCTGCGTCGGTCGCGCACTTTCCGAATGCCTCAGCGCCTGCACCTGCGACTTGAAAAGCTCGCATGGCACTCGGTTCCTCAGTGGCACATGGGCCTCTGCTCAGTGAATATGCGTCCGCAGTTGTTTCGCTGCTTCGAAGCAGAGCACCATCCCCGCCTGCGATCCAGCGAGTCTTCGAAAAAGCGAAGCTCTCCTCCGTGGCGCCGGCTATCGACAAGCTGCTCTCCTGTGCTCCTTCAAGCGCAGCATCTGACACGTGAACAGTTGCTGACGCCTGATAACTCGCGGGTCCGTGTGCAGCAGCAGCAGCAGCAGCACCAGCCTCCTGCGCTGTCTGATGCCATGCTCGTGGCGGTGTGTGCGCAGTCTCCAAGTCCGTGTTGCTCACCGCATGTTCATCAATGAAGCTGACGCTCGTCACGAAGCTAGAGCAGTGCTCACTCTGCGTATCGCCGAGGAGTTCGCGGTGATTCTGATCCCGAGATGCACCCATAGAACGCTCTGTACTCTGTAACAGCAACTCGCGACGTTTCTGCAACGTTTCACGTGCCGTCTGGACCAGTAGACTGCGCTGAGCGGGCGAAAGTCGTTGGCTTTCTTCTCCCAACAAGAACGCGGCAACAGCGTCTTCGTCGATCTGCATATCGTGCGCCATCCTCCTTGGAGACGTTTCCCACTGCGTCTCGGATTCCAGCAGCTGCTGTCGACGTCTATCAAGTCGTCGTCGACGAGCACTCCGTTGCGCCGCTCGCTTCGCCCAGTAGGTGGAAGACGAGTCTGTAGACGACGAAGAACGAGACGAGGACGTCAACACCCCTGTGCCAGACGATGCATCGCTCGCTTCCTCGTTGGTTGATTCAACCATCGATGCCGAATCCGCCTCCAAACACCTCTGTTTCCAGTCTTGATCTGCAGCCTGGTCCAAGTCATCGCTCGTACTCACGTGCCTTCTCGCAACGATTCCATCGAGTCCAGCGTCCAGAGTCGAATGCGTTGCCGGAGCACCCACAGGCTCACGCTCCGCAACGCTCTCCTGGAGCAATGCGTGGAGCGAGATCGTACCCTCGCCACCGGTCGCGAGCTTGCGTCGGCTCTGTTCATCGCGTAACTCGGAGAGAAACGGAGATGGGACATGCGGACGTGCTCGCCAGGCACCCGCACCACGTCCTCGGCGATGGGAGAGCGACCCCTGCATCGTTCGATTCCGAGCAATGTACTTGGGATCCAGTAGGGGCGCTCGAGAAAACGCTGTTTCCAGGGCAGCGATTTCGCTTTCGGCGACATGCTGCGCTTGCTCCAACTCCGTGACGGCAATCGGCTCATCTGCACAGCTTTCGCTCGTCATTTCTTCGATATACAGGTCCATCGCAAAGTCCGACGCAACATGGAGTGGAAGCTGCTCGTACCCATTGCATATATCCATATCTTCTCGTCGAATGCGACAAACCGGGGCGCGCAGCGTGCTCGTATGGCGCACGACTGCCAGCAGCGCTAGGCAGCCGTTGAGCTCCAGCAGAATCGCCACGTCGCCTACGACTACAGCCCGCAGGCGATAACTCATGATACCATCACCGGGGGCACACTCGTTTTCGAAGCGCTCATCGAGTAGCACTTCGTCGCCATCTCCCACCTGGTTGCGGATTCGTAACGTCAAGTGAGCGGGTTTGTCTCCGAGGAGCACCTCGCCATTGACGATGGCCCTCCGGAGCAGCACCGGTGCGCGGTTCGGTAGTTCAGAAGGGTTCAGTTGCTGCAGGTGTTGCGGAAGGATCGTTGACATTTGAATGAGGTAACCGAAGAGCGCAGCGTATTCACAAACAGCAGCAGTGACGAGGTCCTCGCGGCGCGGCAGGGCACGTGCACGGGTCTTTCGCCGGTGGCGACGGAGACCCTTGAGCTGTCGGCGCACCGTGTATTCGATAGCATCGAGCCCACTATCGAACAGTCCAATAAAAAGCAAATAACACGCAACAAACAGTGTCGCCACGGTGTGTGGCCTAGCCAGCACGCCCCGGTGCGCTCTGCCCGACGTGGTGAGAACACAGACGCACGAGCACTCGCCAGCAGCGTGTCCGCCGAGAATCCACTTGTACACCAACTCGCACAGTTCCACCATTTGGTCGATTCCGGGGACAATCAAGTTACGAAATGGTGCAAGCGGGATCACAGTTGTCGTTGCGGAGCCCAAACTACCGGCATCGCCAGCACTGGGGAAGAAGGCAGTTCCAGCGTGCTGTGTGAGGAAGCCCGTCGGCGTCGCATCCAGGTATAACCAGTTCACTTGACCATTCTGCGCTTCGTCGCGCTCAAGTTTCCCGTTGAGTTTTCCCGCGAGATGAAAAAATGACTCTGGCGAGAGCGCATCGTAGCAGCCGCAGTACACCCGGGCTCGGCTAGCGTCCACGAGGTACGCACTCGTACTGCCCGTTCCCGTGTGCACTCGTGAAGCACCAGCCTTTGAGCGATGAATACCTATCGTCGATAGAAAGGACTCTGCTAAACTCTGTGGAAAACTGGAAGCATTCGATCGCCCACTCCACAGAAGCTTCTTCATGAAGGCGGCAATTTGCGGTGTTTGCTCCAGTCGAAGGCATAACGCATAGGTGCTGTTCGCGTCGGCGTTCCGCGCTGGGCTGCGCACACCAGCGCCTGCCGTCATCGCGTCCGGCGAGGCGCGCGCTCGACCCGCTCGCCCGATGCATCCGATCGGTGCGCGGCCTGCAGCCGGTATCGCGCTGCTGGCGTTCATGAAATCGAAACGGCGGATATGTGGATCGATGTCTCTTATGTGCCATTATTTCTAACAAGACGTTGTGTTGCGACGATCGCCAGGGACGGTCGTCTGGGCTATAAGGGGTAATGATGATCTGGGTTGGATAACGTTGTCCGTTTTCGAGCGTAGCGCCACGGTCCGCTATGGACGCGATGTACGTCGGTGGTGATATGAACTGTACAATATTGTCCCTGTTGTGTCTTCACCCTGGTGCGGTGGCTGGGTGCAGGCAACAGCGCCCAGCGATCGACGACATGGCAGACTTGTGCATTGCCTTGGAAGCGGTGTCGTTGCCCAAGGGGGCGTTTTCGCAGCGCTAGGGTACGCATATCCGGGGGCAACGGGCGGGCGGATGCCTCAACACTGGCCAACTGGTGCTTGGCCTATTGGCAGGACCCGTATTTCTTCGTGGTCGAAGTAGGCACCGCTGTGGCTGCATCGATTGTCAAAACACGTTTTTCGCAGCGACTTGGTGGAGCACCGGACGCCCTGGCTGGCTCTCGCACGGTCATTGCTCTGGTCAGGAATGGCACCTGTAGCGGGACTATGCGCTTGTCGACATGCGGACTGGCGCACAGTTGATGCTTTAGCGCAAATACAGCAGCTTGCCCGGCGCTGAGTGCAGTTCAATGCGCAGCAGCGCAATGCGCTCGCACGGATCGCATGCCCTTGCAGGGGCATGCTAGCGTGGGCCCCCCCACCCGCCACTCGCTACTAATTTTCGCATCGAAAATGCAGCACGCAGAGAGCATCAGTCACGGCATTGGTGCTGCATCAGAATGAACGCTTTCCCGAGTTCCAATACCCATACCGCAATCTGGGTCCCTGCTCAATGTCAACGTTTCGTCATCGGAAAAATCATTCAGCATTCGACGTCGCCGCGCGCTGGATGATCGTGCCTCGGCGCGCGGCCTGCGCGCACGATGCTCACGTCTAGGGAGTGTCGAGCGCTGCCGGCGACTTTGTGAGGAGACGCTTCGAACACGTCGCACAGGTTCACTTGACCACGATATGGAACCTGCACTGAGTGTACATAAGGTGCCGCCAAGCGACGCAACTGGGAACGGGCCGTCGTACAGTCCTGGGGAGTTGCGAAGGATACCCGTTCCTCAGCACCGTTTCGCTGCTTTGAAAAGCAACTGGCTAGCGCTTTATGAGCCGCTTACGAAGGAACTAGCGCTTCAAGTTCGAATGAACCTGAAGCAACGCGCCGTTGAGTTGCGCTGTAGTCCTCAGACGCCAGACCGGACCGCACTTCAGCGGGGGTACGAGTTCATGCAAGCGTTTCTTCTCGGGTTTGCTGTCGAGGACGCTATCGCCTTGATCCGCTTCGATGATCTCCGGATCGACTCTTTTGAGGTACAGGATGTGCGTCGGCTGCAGGGTGATCACCTCTCCCGAGCGATAGGGCGAATAGCAGGGACTGGCGGGCGAACCAAGTTCGCCATAGAGAACGCGTGTCGTGTGCGGATCGTCTTAGCGGGCTCGAAGGTGCACATTCTCGGAGGCCATATGCAGGTTCGTCTCGCACGAGACGCCATCTGCTCACTAATTCTGGGTACGCCACCAGGAAAGACCTATGAGAAGCTGCGGCGAGTAAGCGCTCGGCTCCGGGAGCGATTCTGACGACTGGCGCTGCGGAGGCACTGGTGACGCCCTGGGCTGCGGTGACGCCGCTCTGCGTCGCGCTAAGGCGCAACTTTTCACGCGCGAAGTGTATTTAAACGCTGCACGTCACCACTGGTGAATTTGTTCCTGATGTTTGACGCTTACCTGGAGCTCTCGCATCGCCGTACTCGTGTCATTCCTAGGTACGGAGCCAGCCTCCAGAGCACAGCTCTCGCTCTGGTCAGCGACAGAATCGAAGACTTGCATGAGCTGATCCATCTGGAGCATTGTGGAAGTGCTCTCATTGTATCTGCGTAGCTGAAAGATAATCTATAGGTTGAGCGGGGATTTCCTCTCATGTACGCGTCTTTGACAAGAATCTCGCGGTGTCGCACATGCTGTCTGATCAGCAGCTGCTTCGAATACAGTGTTGAACGCTGTGGTGGCTGCATCCGCGCTCGTAAGCGGAGCGCCTGGTGCACTGCACAATCCCCGAATCGTGCATGAACCTGTTTGCTACAGCGCGTACATATCTGATTTCTGGATAGACGCTTCCTGCTTCTAACGCTTGCAAAGCGCCTTCATGGTCAGGGGAGCTGTGCAGGCAGCGGCAGCGGCAGCGGCATTGGTGACCTGCCACACCACCGTCGAGTACCGAACACTTCGGGGTGGCATCGGCCTAGGTTACGAGTTTACTTGTTTGCACATCGGTCGCTAGCGCCGCATTTCACGCGTCGCAGGGCAAGTGGCGCAGCGTACACGTCCCTGCGGCTGCATATGGGTCGCTTGCACCACATATAATAATTCTAAACGGTGTAAGCCGATTTAGGAGTCTGTGTTCCTGCAAGTTGGTGGCGAGTGCTGCACGTTATGCGTCGAAACGACAGCGGCCCTGGTTACCAGTCTATTTGTCAGCACGTGAATCGCGAGTATAGCATGCAAACTGCCCTTGCGGTTTTCAATGGCACTCAAGTCGATGCGAGACGAAGGATACAGATGAGCACTCGAGACAAGCGCCGCCTGTAGCACGTGCTCGACACCGGACGTATGCGAATCGCATGGTCGAGGTCGTTGTTGACGAAATCGCTGCATGCCTGCAGGCGGTGCTTCTGCACATACTTCCTTCTGAGTCAGGCGTAACCAGAAGCTTATACGAGCTTGCCTTCTGATGCAAACTTGCCGCCAGCGACTATTTTTGTTGAGAGCTTCCTTCCAGGCAATCCCTTCATCGTTCTCGTTTGTGTTCAGCCAATGCGCATCGCAGCGATGCCTCGATAAGAGGTGATCACGCGGTACGTGCTGCGGACAAATCCCGTATCGTATGTGGATAGAGCGCGTTTCCGGCGTATCGCTGCTGAAACGAATCTGAAGCCATGTAATGAGAAAGCAAGCGTTCACCATGCATGAACGTGGGACAAAGGAGTATTTTGACGGGTCATGAACATTGTGCAGCGCCACAAGCATATCTCTGCATGCCAGTTCAATGCGGCATGGAAACTGAGCTTTCTCTACACGTGGGCAGCTACTGTCGGAGACCATGTAGCCATTGCCCCTGAGGCTCAGCACACATCAGGACTTGGAATGCGTCTCACTGACGGTAGATAGACTCCGCGTATCGCAACCGTACGAGAAAGCAGTAGGCAACACGCGCGAAGCAGTGCTCCAGTTCGTGATCAAGCGACGCTTTCTCGCTCGGTGATACTGCGTCGCATGAGCTGTTCGCCATCTGCCTCGAATGGATGCAACCAGCGCTAACCATTAGCATCCACCTCCGCACGCAGACACCATGCAAAACATTACCCAAGATGTTGGTACCCGAACCTGCCATCCATCGAGTCGAGAGCGCGCATCTGCAGCGGTATCGGCACCTGGTAAGCGATCATCCGCAGGCCGGGAAGCACAGCGATATCTGCTGCAGCGCCTTGCTGCGGAATATGAGCGGATGCCGCGCTATCTTTCGCACGCCTGACGGTGAGTTTCCGATATCAATAGCAAGCGACTCGCAAATACTGCAGCACGATTGCTGTTGCTGTCGCTGCTGTGCGCATCTACGGACGGAATGTCGCTACGAGACGCTCACAGCAGGTGCTCGCACAACGTTGGAGCGATCGCAGGCTGCCAGACGAACGTTGGTACTCGACCATCCTGCTGCATTCGCTCAGTATCGAATCGATTCTAGACCATGAGGCATAGCGTATGCTGCGCATGCTCACCATATTTACGGATAGCGTTTGCGTCTTTGACACAGTCGTTGCAGGCGATCCCCGAGTCGCCTTCAAGATCCCGGTGACGGTACGCAGGGCATACCCCTGGGCTTCGCATTCAATGACCTGTGCAGGATCCAATCTAGCCAGCTATCTCGTTCATCGTGAACGTCTTGGCTTGCCCATCGACGTCACGACACCATAGCAATACCATAAACGACAAATGATGCGCAAAACGTCTACCAATATGCCGTGCTTCGTTTGGGAACGTTCGCGACGCCAGCACGACGCGCAGTGTGCCGGCTACGCAGTACGCGAGACGACAGTCTCGCAACACCAGCAGCAGCTGCTGCTACTGCACCTGGAACCTGTACCTTGGGTGCCGTGCGCGGGTTGCTCCTTACCCAACGTACACGCGTTTGCAACACGTTTGAAAGCGTTACCGTACACAGCGGTGGAGAGGCTCTATCGCTTTGACGTCTTCTACGGTACTGTGCGAGGTTTGGTGAGCGCTCTCTCCCAGGCTCTGGGTGATCCCACGACGCATGCTAGGCGAGGAGCAGCCGCTGCTGCGAGCCCGAGGCCCCATGTCAGACGCCACCGCGCCTGAACAAGCGCAAAAGCTGTGGCAACAACAGCGGGAGCAGCGAAAGGAACGGGCGGCTCGGGATCAGCGCGCCCGCCGAAAGCTGCTCTTTTCCGCTGTTCTCTGCTTTGCTTTCATGGTTGCGGAGCTTCTTGGTGGCTACATCACCGGTTCACTCGCGGTGATGACGGACGCCAGCCACCTGTTATCTGATTTTGCAAGCTTTATTATCTCGCTCGTTGCGCTGCAGAAAAGTCAGCGAAGAGCGAATCAGTTGCTGACCTATGGCTATGGGCGAGCGGAGGTACTCGGGGCATTCACGAGCATTCTGTTGATCTGGACGCTCACAGCAGTGCTGGTGCTTGAATCTATCCGACGAATCATCACCCCAGAGCCCGTTAAAGGCCGCCTCATGTTCATCATTGCGGTGATGGGTATCTGTATCAATTTAGTGATGATGACGGTTTTGGGACATGGTCATGGCCATGGACACGCTCACGACCATCATCACGACCATTTTGCCCAGGTCAACGCAGAAGCCGAGTCGTCGACCAGCGAGGAGCACCGCAGCCACGGTCGTCATCGTCATCGTCAGCGCAGTGGCAATGTCGAAAGTATCGAACCCGATCAAGCAGGTCCATCGGAGAGCGGCCTCAACCGCCCGCGTGATCAGCAGCCGGGACATGACGACATGCGAGCAACGGCAACGGATGACATTGAAGCACCGCTCTCAGTGGCGGACATGTCGCACCGGCATCCGGTCTCGGAGAGTGTGAATGTTCACGCGGCATATCTGCATGTCCTGGGTGACCTTATCCAGAGCATAGGCGTCGCTATTGCAGCGCTTGTGATTTGGTGGCGCCCCAGCTGGTCTCTGGCCGATCCGCTGTGCACGCTGCTGTTTAGCGTTATCGTGCTCTATACAACTCTCCGGATGATTGGTGACATCGTGCAGGTTTTAATGGAAGGGACCCCTGCCAATATCCGTGTGCGTGACGTGTACGAGGCGCTCATCTCGATCGATGGCGTTTCAGAGGTCCAGGATCTGCACATCTGGAGCCTGTCCGTGGGCCGTACTGCGCTCAGTGCAAAGTTGCGGTGCGATGCCAGTGTCAAAGACGCGCATCAGATTACCATGGCAGCTGAACAGGTTTGTTTGAAGAATTTTGGAATCGAGCACGCTACCATTCAAGTGAATTGTGTGAATCTGTCGTGTTGTCCGCCAGTCGAGCATGTTGAGTGTGCTTCGCCCGGCAGAATGTAAAGGCACTCGAATCCTCCGCAGAGCGCGCGAATCCGTGCGGAGGCATTGGGAATGGTTGCTCCGCAGCACCTCTATCGTTCATCGGTTCAGGGTTGTGAGATGGGCTGTACGAGGAGCAGTTCCACCGATAGCGCCGCACTGGAGCTGTCACAAGCGCGACGAGGGCCAGTGAGATCCTTCGCGCATCGCGTGCGGAGACGCTTACTCTTCGTACGCTTCTGGTAGCGTGGATCGCAAGTTGGTCTCCGAGAGCGCCCAATGCGAGGTGTCGCCAGGAACCGCTGCAGTAGAGACAAGCAGAGCGTAGCGAGCCGACGTTGCTGTGCACGACTTGTGAGACTCGGGCGCTGATCAGAGAGCGCCAGGTACGGCGCATAGCGCATCTGCAACCAGCAGCATCGCATGGGCATGTACAAGCCAGCAGCAGCATCGGAGTGGGGCCTCGTAGAATCCCTTGGCCGCCTTGTGGAAAACGGATGCTCTTGTGGACCGTTGTCCTCCACAAGTCGATGCGTGGGGCGTCAATGATGTGGAGCTTTCGAGGCAGCAACCCGAGTGCATGCTGCACTATCCTGACTTATCGGGAACTGAGTAACTGACCCACCGCCGAACGAATCCGCACACTCGCGTACGCTAACTGTAGCATCTGCTGCCTTTCTACTTTCTGGGCGGAAGCTCCAGAGAATCGGATACGCACACGGGTTCAGCGCGCTCTCTGCAGTTACCCACTGTGGTGGGTGTCAAGCACAAACCCGCATTGCCAACCGACAACAACGCATTCCATGCATGATCACGAAGGAGGGAGGCCGCTCCCAGGATTCATCCAAACAGCCAAGTTTCTCCAGCGTGTCGTGCAGCGAAGGCAAGCCTGCATCCGCAGACTGTCCAAGCACAAACTGACGACGAGACCCGACTCTACATCGGGTGCACCACGCCTCGAGCCAATGTTCTTTGCGGTATAGAAAAGCCGTCCTGTCTTCGTGATGCACCTGTACCAAAGGTACAGGCGCTACTGCGGACGCTGAGGGCAGGCATTAGGTGTGCGATACAACGTACAAAGCGACCAGTTTATCCCAACGGAAGTATATTTAATGGAACTTGGAGGTAGGCTGTAGCAGCGTGATGGACGCTTTTGCAATTACCATTATCCACCTCGCAATCTGGGATCCATGGTCTATGTAAACGATATGACATCGAAAAAAATTGCTGTGCTACAGCGCTGCGACGCTCTCGTCAACGGACGGCTTCGATTCGAATCTCAACCGATCGCCTCCTGATACCAATCACGTTGCTTCGGTGCTTACTGAGCGTTCAAGTTGCAGCTTAGCGGAAAATGCTTGACACGAAACAAAGAGAACGAAGCGGACAGGCATTCGTCTTCCACACCTGGGCGTGTTCGGTAGCGACGCGGGAGCAGGTCACAGCGAGCGCTCGCCGGTGCAGGACTTTGCAGTTGCAGTCGAGGCGGCTCGGGGTTGCGAGCGCACCGCGTCAACAACTGGCACCAGAGGCTCGCTGGGGCAGCCACCGGTGCCACTTGGGTTTCCATAAGCTCTCAACGCGAAGCGCAAGACGCTTACGGGTCAGTGCCTCGCCACTGGCGCCGCTGCAGCTCCGAGCAGCGACGCCAGCCCCCGAGAACGATCCGGACGCCTCTGAGGCGAAGACGATGCCTCGACGGCGCGCTTCCGACTCAGGTTCGTCGTCGTCGTCGTCGTCGTCGCCGAGAGCGAGAGAGCGTCGGTTCCGCAACAGAGACAGCGCAGACGAGGCGGACGGTGACGATGCCGACCTGGAAGTCGACGAGGTTGACGACGACGACGACGAGGAGCTCGATGCCGAGCAGGAGCTACTCGCCGATATCACCGAGCGCTACGAGACCTGGAAGTCACAAGCACAGCGCAAGTCGCTGAGCGCTATGCGTGGTAGTGAGGAAGTTTTTTTCGATGCCTATGACCTTAATGAACGATTCCGACCTGACTACTGGCAACGGCTGCGAGTTATACTTCAACCCGAGGAAGCATTTGCGAACATTTTCAAATTAGAGGGCGTTCTCAGTGCGAATGCGCATGCAATTGAGTATGCGTCATGGAAACAGCTGGCGGAGGAGCTCGACAAAGAGCCACCTGATGAGGATATTGTGCAGCAAACCTACCATCTTCGCCCGGAGCGGATTGTGCAAGGAGTTCTGCGATGGACCGACAGCTGGCGCGAGGTACTTAGCATCGTTTATCGACAGCAGGAAATCTACAGGGAGCGCTTTCTAGCTGAGCAGCATCGACCGACGCGAGGACTTTTGCGATGGCTCGAGTTGCTCCAAAGGTACGACATGCCGTGTGCGGTTTACAGTCGGTTGGATCGCGTAAGCGTCGAAAAGGCGCTGACCGACATGGGTGTCGCCGACTTTTTCAAGGAGCGAATCACCGCCGAATCCGAAGTGGAGACCGCAATCCAATTCCTTCTTGTCGCGTGTGTGAAGATGCAGCGAGCGCCTCAGAAATGTGTTGTGTACGAAGATACGCCGAAGGGTATCCTAGCTGCACACGAGGTGTTCAGCAAAGCTATCGGCTTGGTTGGCCTCTTTCCCGCATTTGACCTACGATTGGCCGACTTGACCGTTGAAGACTTTGACGATCTGCGGGTGATGAACGTCAGGCGACTTTTCGCGGATCAGGAGGAACCCGCACCGCAGTTCGAATACGAGCGCCGCTGGTAACACGTCGCGAACGCTCGGGGAGCGCACCAGTACCGGTATTGTAGTCGAAGCAACGGGGTCTTGGCAGTGCATGCACGACGTGCGTAAGGGGTATTCGCCAACACCATACATATGCGTGCGAACTATCGTTCCTCAGCGGATCTGACTCGAGCACCATTGCGCTTACTGGAAAGTTTTCGGGGCCCTGACGCTGACAAGACCGTCGAAAACAGCGCGCTGCGTACAAAGTGCGAAAAGAAATACGTTCATGATAGAGCGTATATGCATTGTTGAGGCGGCATCTGGCTGCGCGATACCGCGTTGGTTGCGGCTTCGATGCGCTTGTGTTTACACATCGAAAGCGCCAGAGTGTCGTTGATGCATTTCGCGCTCGCGTAGCTTCACAGAGCCAAGACATCGTTGATTCTTTTTTTCGTTCTTGACGCTTGGATTTCGGAATACGATGCTACAACGTTGCCTTTTTCTTGATCACTGGCGGTTCCTAGTTGTCCCGGAGATCGTCGATCGCTGTTACATTCAAAAATTTTCATGTCTGTTTGTGTGTGTGCGCGTTATCGCTGGATGCGTGTGCAGAGGATTCGCGGTGATATGAAGTCAAGTACAAGACGAAAGAGCTCCAGAGCGTGCACGCTCTGGTATCACGAGCTGTCGTAGCCGCTGCGATATCGAGAGTGCCACAAGAAAGACCAGCGGATATTCATCGAGCAAATGGGAAACGTTCCAGAAGCGTTTCATTTGCCGCGCTCGAAGTGCGTATCGTAAAACGCCACCCCGCTTGACGAAGAGGAAACGTTCAAGAAGCGCTTCGTCTCGCACGCTCGGAATGCATGCAGCAAGGCACGATCGCGAACAGCGCTCGGCGGACAGCCTGCCAGAGACTGCACAGCCGATCCCGCCGACGCGCTGTTTTGTTTCCCAGGAAACCTGCGCGTTCGCAATAGCGCCTCGCTGGGATGTGCATCCGAGCCCGTCAGCGTACCTCGTACCAGAACTGAGGTCCCAGTTGTCGGATGTGCGCCATCCGGAAGCATCTTACACACACCATGACATTGTCTTTACACAGAGGTCACGGTTGACGACGACAGATGGCCTCATATATGCTTGTGATTCGGCATGCGATGCCTCTGGCACCTGTCCAGACGGGATACCCAGAGCACTCTCTCTTCCTGAAACTGTGTCAACCAACGAATCAAGCTGGTCTCACCGCCGTCCGCATACGTAACCAGTAACCAATGTGTAAACCTCGTCGCTGTTCTTTTGAAGTCAATCCAATGACTGAGATCAACACATTCCGCAACGATATCGCACGGTTTCTCCAGAAAAACAAAAGCAGCAAAGATCGCTCCCCCAGCGACCAGGATATCGTTCATGCATCCGCGGGGCGTCGCATTCGCAGACCGTGGATGCTCTCCAGATCCAGAGCGTCGATTCGGCATATAGAGCGTAGCGCCGCCGAAGGCCTCGCATCGACACCAAAGCGCCGCCGCGCCCAGTGCGATCCGTGCATCCATCGATCGATCGATCGATGGATGACGCGATCGCGATGCGGGCATCGTGCATGCACAAGCGCGCGTCTGTTGTTGTTGCAGCTTGCAGTTTGCATGCCGTTGTTGTATGGCGCATCGTGTTCAGATATGGATGAGGGATACCTGATTACGGGTTTTGTCAGTTCCGTTCATGCACTTGGTCGACAGAGACAGGTACCGCTTGTTTCGAGAAAACCAAACACGCCTAACTTCCGGCCCCAGAGGAGCGCTCGCGTGGTGCAGCGCACGCACAAGCTCCGCGGGCTACGTCTGTGTGAAGGCGAACGTTTGGTGAAAACCGACGAGAAGCCAGCAGTGCAGCCGGATACACAACCTCTTAAACCTGGTGATGGAAAAGAGAGTCCCGCGCCGCCATCTCCCCCGCCTCCGGTCGAGACGCGAGGGCGCCGGCGCACCTACCTTGGTCTGGTCTGGGACCGCACCCTCGATACCTTTGAGGACGCTCTGCTGCATCTTAGGCGTCAGTTTTTCTGGCAGGGTGAGTTTCTGAGTTCGAGCGGTCGGCCCAAGCCGCGCTTGGTGATCTTGGGAACCGGCTGGGTTGGTCACGCGATGGTGAAAATCATCGACATCGATAAGTACGAGGTAATCGTCATCTCGCCCCGGAACTACTTCCTCTTCCAACCTATGCTGCCGTCGTCAGCACTGGGCATTGTGGAGTTTCGTTCGTGCTGCGAACCGATACTCCGGGCGAATCCTTTCATCATCTACTATGAAGCAGAGGCGGTCGGGGTCGATATCCAAAGGCGGGTGGTGAAATGTCGGGCCAAAGTCCGGCGTCGGGGCGCGCTCTCCGTGGGCTCTGAAAGCGACGTCGGTGCACCGTCTCTGGCGGAAACAAGCCAAGATGTCCACGCATTGCAACCGCGATTTTCGACGAAAAGCAATACTGATGAAATCATCGGCATACGCGAGTTCGAAGTGCCGTACACCTACTGCGTGGTCGGCGTAGGTTCCGCGGTGAACACGTTTAACACCCCGGGTGCCAAGGAGAACTGTTTCTTTTTGAAAGAAATCCCAGACGCGCGGAAAATCCGGTCTGAGGTCGTGCGCATCTTCGAAGAGGCGAATCTACCCGAGACCTCCGACGAGGAGCGCAGTCGCTTACTGCACTTCGTAGTGGTTGGCGGTGGTCCAACCGGCGTCGAATTCGCTGGTGAACTGCATGATTTTCTCGTAGAGGATGCTGTGAAGTATTACAAGAAGCTGCTGAAATATGTACAGGTCACTTTGTTGCAATCCGGGCAAAGTATCTTGACACAGTTCGACAAGTCCCTGCAAGATCGGGCTTTGCAGAACCTGCGCGACGCGGAGATCAACGTTCGGACTGGCAGTCGAGTCGTTCGCATCACCGAGACCGAGATTTATCTGCAGGATGGTGCAGTGATACCCTATGGCATGTGTGTGTGGGCCGCGGGGGTCGGTCCTCAGAAACTCGTGACGGATCTCATCGAGTCGATTCCCGCCCAGACGACCTTTAAGAAGCGCCAACTTGTTGTCGATGATTGGCTCCGCGTGATTGGTGCCGAAGGCGTGTTCGCCGCCGGCGACTGTGCAACGAACCTGCACGAACCCTTGCCTGCAACTGCCCAGGTCGCCGGCCAGCAGGGCGCGTATCTCGCCCGTCTCTTGAACCGCGAGTATTGTCTTGATTGCGACATCCCGGAACGCACCGAGTACACGCGCACCTGGATCGATCGGGCTCGCTTTGCGAAGCCGTTCCAGTTCCTTTCGTTCGGTCTTCTTGCCTACATCGGTCGCGAGCGTGCAATGGCCCAGATAGAAATGGGCGACACCTCGGTGAAACTGAGCGGAACGCTGACCTATCTGATATGGCGCTCTGTCTATGCAGTGAAGCAGGTCAGTATGCGCAATCGGATCTTGATTACGTTTGACTGGATCAAAGCGGCTATTTTCGGGCGAGATATCAGTCAGTTTTGAAACGCTGCAACTTTACGAGCGGCGCCCGAGTGCTCCGGTTGAGTGCGGCATGCACTGGTCGGTTCCTTTGCGCAGTTCTTAAAGCGTGTATGAATGGGGGTACTTGAAAGTGGTATCTTTTCGGTAAGAGGTCAGAGCGAATGCACAGCGTATCCTAGTGTTGGGCTGCTCCCAAGCTTCACAGCTGTTGAGACATATCGGTGAGCTATTCCAGAAATGCAAGGCGTTTTTGCGAATGGATGTGCGTAGAATGCCTGTACGAAGCCCATGTCAGAATAGAAAGGAACGGGTCTTCGTGCACGAACGTCCATGCTAAAGTTTGACTTCGTTCCCGCTGTCATCACTATCAGCTTTTAAGGCGTCTACCTGCGACAGCATCCTCGTTATCCATCATATCTCCGGCTTTTAAGTGTGCCTGTCCCTCGTTCCCCATCTGTTCCGTTCCCAGCTGGCGGGCAATGTTCCCGGCAGCGTGCAGGTCCCGATATCGCCGCTTCTGGCAGCTGTCGACATGTCTCATGTGCAGACAGAAATTGCGATCTACGCTTCAATCGCAATTCTTATTTCATGGTTTGCATACAGATTCGGTGCGCCCATTGCAGCGGTGACACTGGATTTTTATTAGGTGATCTCCTCTAAAAACCTTACTTTTTCCTTGGAGCGCCTCCCTGTGGCGCGTGATGGCCCACTTTATCGCCAGGTCTACGCTCGTGATCGATCCAGAAGGCCAATCTCGATGCCCTATACCGTGTCCGCTGCCCGATGCAGCATCCTCTGATCACCAGCTGCATCTTATTGATCCCTTCGACAAGCAGGTCATCCGCGGTGCTCGCAGGTGCACGCCATCCCATTCAACGGAGGATATGAGGAGCATAATGTCGTCCAGTGATGAAACATGTATCGGAATTAGAATCCCGACTGGAGAACAAGTCGAGAGATTTCGATCCGTCGATGCTCCCGTTCGTGCAGAGCGTTGACACTACCGCTTCTCGCAGCGATCGCTGCAATAACAGAATTCCGAGTCCAAAGCACGTTTTTATGCAGATAGAGCGGAGAGGAAGCCTCTGGAAGCACATTCCGTGACAAGTATCATGCTGGTATCGAATCCCGTTTCGTTGATAGAAACAATGCCAAGAAGAATTGTATTTCGCAGCGAATCGATTGTTCGTTATCACAAGTTCAGTGAACATTCGGCATGAGCTCGTGAGCAACTTGTCAACGGACGACGTCGGGTTCATCTACCTGGTCAATCCAGCGAAGAAAAATGCTGTGCCCATTCGATGCAATGAAATGGGAAAAATAGAACGCTTCATAAATGCCAGATACGAGCAAGCATCCTGAAAGAAAACGAGAAGCGTAGTGTCTGCGATCCGGGTCTTCGATAATGGTATCGGGTATGGTACGAACCCGTGTTCAAGGGCATCACGAATCATCCTGATAACAATGACGTAACGAACTCCAACAGTAAATCGTCAAAGCAGCCGGTACAAACTGGCGACCGAGAATCCCAAAACAATGTATGAATCCGTAAGCCCGTATCGCTCTACTTACAACGTGGCCTTTGTATACCTTCATAAAAAAGGTTCGGGGAAAAAGCGCAACACAAGAACAAAGCGAACAGGTCAGTGTTCCATTTTCATCGCACCTCGGTCTGTGGCGCCGCCGCCTCGTCGCCCGCAACCAGTGCAGTTTCCTGATGAATCGCCTGCGACGCCCGGATAACGCCATCATTGAGAATCGTCGTTTCTTTTCGCGCAACTCAGACTTGGTGGTTTGAAATACCCAATTTTGGGTGACCTGACGGGAATGCCTAGCTGCCAGTCACCCAAGGAAAACTGCGACTTGTCGGTGGTGCAACGTGTAGCGAGCGCTTCCGTGGATTGGCGGCGGGTTCCGCAGGCGTCGGCCCCGGCAGACGCAGTGAATGGTGACGAGCACGCCTCCATGAAGCCAGCAGGTGTTTTTCCGCGGTCGCGCGATTCAGGCAGTGCCGTAGAAAACGGACCAGACGTAGCCCCAGAGAATGCCACAGAGAACGTTCGAGCTCGGAAACTAGGAGGTTCCGGATCGTATGTCACCAGTGCGAATCACGGGAGCGACGAGGCGCGATGCCAACGCATTGCCGAAGCAGTGACTGTAATTATGCAAGAGCTGGGCGTAGACCCTGTGCGCTCGAACTTGCGCGACACACCCGAGCGGTACGCGCGTGCGCTGTTAGAGTTCACCAGCGGGTATGCGCTCTCGCCAGAGGAGACGCTGAGCGATGCTGTTTTCTCGGAAACCTACTCTGATATGATTCTAGAGCGTGATATTGATATTTGGTCGCTGTGTGAGCATCACATGGTGCCTTTTTTTGGAAAATGTCACATAGCATACATTCCACAGGGACGAATTCTGGGTCTGAGCAAGCTCGCCAGAGTCGCGGAAATGTATGCGCGTCGTTTGCAGGTGCAGGAGCGTCTCACTCGACAGATAGCGGATTGCATTGAGGAATACCTACAGCCACGCGGTGTTGCAGTCTACATCGAGGCGACTCATTTATGTATGTCGATGCGTGGCATTCGAAAAACGGATGCAAGAACGACCACGATCACAACACGGGGCGTCTTTGCCACCGACCGCAGCCTTCAGGAACAGTTTCTCGACCTCGTGAAACGGTAATAGATCGCGCGTACCTGCTAACTTTCTGATGCGCCAGCGCTGTAGATACCAGGCAAGGCAGGGTATCGACCTGCACCTGGGGCCTATCACTGCTCCCTGCAACCCGCGTGCTGCGTCCTGGGCAAGGACTGGTTGCATGCAGAGCGGCCTCTGGGGCATCGATTTCACTACTGGTGTGCCCCAGGTGCATGGGGCGCCCTGCTACGACAGAGTAGCTGGACGACATCTCTGAAGGATGTATGCGGCGGACGAATCGGTCGAATATGTTCATCCCGCGATACCACGAAGACAGCGTCTTTCGAGGGACGACCAGCCTCCGCTGAGGCTGTCACCGGCTGAATGCTCGCAGCACGCATACCAGTCCGAATGAGCGCGGAGGTTGTTATGGTGCTCATTGTTCACAGAATATATGCGTGACGTTTGTTTTCGTCTGCCGCAAATGCCCTGTCAGATAATCCCGTCGTTTCGCGACGGCAATGAAGGTCGCAACGGACCTTTTGACGTTGATCTTAGCCCGTTGCACCACGATGTACTGCAGTGCGAGCCTCCGGGTGTTCGGGAGGCGAGCGACGCACGTTCGCAGCGTGTTGATGCAACTCTTGTCTTTGACCGTGATTGAGCGCTGCTCGGAGGGCGCGTGTACGCCACGCGATGGAGCAGCGCGGAGAACTGCACATTCATCATCGCTCATGCTTCGCAGCGAAACCGCAGAGTGAACACCATATCGCGCACCTAAGTTGCGTAAAGTCGATCCAGAGCGAATCCTATCGTAGACGACATCCGCTCCTGACTGTAGGCAGAGGATTCAAGTCCATTTGGCTAGAGAAGGTACCTGTTGTGACGCAGTCGGTGCAGCGGAGCGGTACAGCTTCGCACGTGACCTCGCTTTCCGGAACTTTTGGCGCACGTGAGAATCAGTTGATGCGCCGAAGAAGCGTTCTGGACTGATCAGCAGCGCGCCCTGCCCAGAGTCAAGTAATCGTCACGCCCCAAGGACTGCGGGTATGCAGCGGTGCGCACGGTGAAGCCGTACACTCGGCAAGGAACACCAAGCCGCAATATCACGCGACCACTCGGCAGCGATGCTATGCACAGCCTACAAAGACACGGGAGCGCCCTCGCCCAGAGCTGAGTCGTCGAAAGCACCGCGCGAACGCTGCGTCAGCGAGCGGCTCCAGCCTCGGCGAGCGCCTTTATCGGCAAGCTGCAAGCCGATCACCAGCGGCTATCGGGCACATATAAGGTGCTGAGACTTTGAAACATTGCGCGGACGTTTGCAGGCTGGACGCAAGTGAATGGATCCTGGGAAAAAGGATCGAAGACTCACCGGAAAAAAATCGAATGTTGGACGGACACGGGACGCTCGTCCGTGGACAACCTGCGCAACCCTTTATATATAAATTTTCCACTCTTACTTCCGATCATTCGAGAATTTCCCGCCGCCTCCACATTTCACGGGGGCGTGGCTTAGGGGTTATAGCGCCCGCTTTGCAAGCGGGAGGACGCGGGTTCGATACGATTTTTGGGGCCCGTTGCAGTAAAATCGAATAGCATATAGAACTGTGGAGAAAGGCAGCGCCTAAAGCTCGCCGGCACGTATGGAAATCCCATCAACGGTGACCGCTCGAGCCGCGGACGACGCAATCGACGAGTCTGTCTCGCAAGGACGTTGCCAGCAGCGTCGGAGGTTTTGCGACGCGCTCCGGTTGCTTGTCACCGTGTAGGTGCGCTGCATCGAACCAGCAGTCTCTCAGATGTTCGCAGGCACTCCCGGGACCTGGGCCCGGGAAGCAGGCTCTACGTCAAACATACCCGCGCTCGATCCACCCTAGTCGAGCATGCCCCAGACGCTTGATCAATCCATTGACGCACTGGATACCATACGGACCTGGCGCCATTTTGCATTCGCTTAACGAGGTTCGGATCGAGGCGTGACGCACATGCGCCGCTTCCGTAGTAGTCCCCAGGACGCGGGTATCGCGGGAAACAGGTAAGATTTATTGTAGGTTCACCGAATCCTCTCCAGGTTGTCAGGTCGCCACACGGTGCCTCGTTGATCACCGCGTGTACGCTGCGTACAACGCCGCACCGAGCCTGCCGCTGCCGATTCATCGCTCTGCGTCAGCGACGAGTCGAGCATGTCGATTTACGGACGTATACGTTAAGAATTATGGAGGCTAACCCAGCGAAAGCGAAGCGTCCCGGTTTCAGAACAAGCCGTCGTCTGCAGATACCGCAACGCGACGCGTCGATGCATGTTCGTCGTTGCTCGCAGTCTCGCGAGTGCCTGGCTGCTTCCATGCAAACGAATCCGTACTGTCGTACGCAACGAGCCATACGGACATCTCTCCACACAAATAGACACACACGCGCGCGCACAAATACACAAAGACAATTAGGGATAAAAGCATTCATCCTTACATGCACGCTGCTCCCGGTGCGTTGGCGTCGATGCGAGCTCAGGCGAAACGCGGTGTTTGTTCCGCACGATCCTCATCCGAGTCGCTGTCACTTGATTCAGATACGGAAAATGCCACGCTGAGTTCACGCATAGCTTGACGGAGTGCGGCGGCAGTAGTAGCAGGAGCAGCAGCGGCTTTCGTGGTGTCCATCGAGGCCTGCAGATCGACTCCGGAGCGTTCGGTGTGCTGCAGCGAATCCGTCGATGTGGATAGGCTCGCGTCTGCGCCAGACGGCGCTGGCAGCGGCAGTCGCGGTGACGACGGTGCCGAGCGGCAGCTTCGCTCGTGGTCACCGGCCCACGACACCTGCAGTAGTTCGCTCATCCACAGGGTCACTTGGCTAACGGCAGCAGATGCCTCATGGATTGCGCTGCTCATACTGAGAAAACCGTGCGGCATGCCCTCGTAGACTCGCAACCGAACGGCATCTCGATCGCAATGGGTGTCGCGCTTCACGAGCCGCAGCCGATGCGCAAACTCGACCGTATCATCCAGCAGTGGATCGTATGCACCGCAGACCATGTAGACGGGTGGGAACGCCTCCAGCAGCGTATCTGAAGCTGCGATGCATGGGCTCAGATACGGATCCCTACTCGCATCCACATCGGCCGGCACATACGACTGGAGAATTAACTCCAACAGATCGATCGAGAGCAGTGGATCGAAAGCCGACAAAAGTCGCGACGGTGACCACTGCAATGTCAAATTCAACGCCGGGTATGCCAGCACCAGTCCATCAGGTAGTCGCAGACCGTGCTGGATAAGCAGAATGGTGAGCACCACCGCCAGATTCCCGCCAGCGCTGTCGCCTGCAACAACGATCCGTTCAGCGTGCGTACCCAAAAGATGTGCGTTCTCGAGAGCCCAGATATAGAAATGGAAGCACTCGTTCACCGCTGTGGGGTAGGGATATTCTGGCGCTAATCTATAGTCCATGGATACGACCATTGCATCTGGAATGTCATGAGCGATCTGTTTCAGGAGGCTGGTGTGGGTCAGCGAACTCTGGCCAATAAAGCCGCCACCATGGAAGAAGACAATGAGGGAGCGCGCTAGCCCCTCGTCGGCTTGATGCCGCAATAGCGAATCGATCCGAGCGCCTATGCTTCGCATGGATGAGCTTATCGCGGATGCCAAGAGTGAACCCGAGCGCTCACGTCGGAGGCTGCGTGCCGCTCGCGAGCTAGACTGTGGAGGATCCCCAGCGTCCGCCTCGGCAGGCGTGGTGGAAAGCGCCCGCGGGCTGCGGTCGATTCCATTGGATGCTGCTGCTGCTGCTGCTGCTGCTGCTGCTGCTGCTGCTGCTGCATTTCCGAGAGCTCCATCGGCGTCAGCGGTATCCCGCTGCAAAGCTGCGCTATCTGCTGCCCAAACCGACGAACCTGACTCGCTATCTGGTCCAGTTGCCGCCGCACCAGCGCGACGTGGTGACGCATCAGTTGCAGCAACCGGTTCGGTTGCGCTTACAGTTAGGTTCGATGCTCTCCATGGATCATCGGCGTGCTGGCAGAAGCGATCTGGGCTCATCGCGGCTGCAGTCGCATCCGCGGAAGCGTCAATCGTTTCGTCCATTTCGTGTGGACGTTGCCAGCAATCCGTCATCGGTGCTGGGGAAAAGCTTTCGGCAGCGCTTGCACATGTCGCGGTACCAGAGGCGCTATGCTCCGCGGTATTCGGCGCCGTCGTTCGTTGCGACTTGATCTGCACGCAACGGACAACCGACGATAGAAGGCGTGCTTTCAACGGTCCATGCAGCGCAGCGGGCAGTTTTAATCGCGTACCACTTGCAGCTGCTTCTGGCGACATTTCCGCATCTCCGCGCGACAATGAGGTCGAGTGGTCGACGCTCCGCTGCACTCGGTGCTGCGCGTTCTTGTGTGGCGCGCGCTTCAATGCATCCGCTGCATCGTCGATTTCGAAGAACTGGTCGAGCGCAACGTCTTTGTCCCGAATAAGTGCGAATCCCAAGAACAAAGGATCCTCTGAAAGATTGAAGAACATGCGTGCCTCGTCAAGGCTCACGACAGGTGAGCGCGCTGCCACTTCAGGGGTATCTGCAGCCTCGCGACGACCTGCTGGTCGCTCCACTGTCGACAGGCTCGCTCCGAACGCGCTTGCCAGCTTCTCTACAATCTGTTGGGCCATGCTCGTGCTGTACCCATAGTTCTCCAGCAGCGCCATATGAATATAGAACCATCCCCACGAAAAGAATGCTAGTTTGCGAGCGAAAGCGCTTCTTCGAAAGTATTCGCTGGCTACTGCACGTCGCACTGCACTGCGAATAACTTGCACAATACGCAGCACCGTCCGCATTTCACGACTGTACTGAAAACCGAAATGAACTCCCTGAAAACTGTCCAGCTTCACAACGGGCGCCCAAACCCGATGATCGAACTCGGCACTCATCGGGACGAATAGCGTTCGCCCAACATCGCTCTGTCGCACACAACGACAGGCTAGGTGGATCATCGCATAGAACTGCTTCAGTTGCAAATGATGACCAGTTAGGCGACCCAACGGCGTCAGCTGGTTAGCACTCGAATGCGGTGCAAGCCAGCGCCTTTCTAGCTCTCGCCAGTTCACGCTGGGCGCTGTCGCTTGGCTCGGACGCTCATCAGCACCGCCCGAGAGCCCGTAGCCGCTGTTCGCCACCAGCCGCGGCGAACGTCGCAACGAACGCTGACGCGCACGACGCTCTGCCGCTTCCTGGTTGGTGAGTGCTGTCTCGACCTCAAGACGCTGCAGCAAACGCCAGAGGATGCACAGCAGTGACTCGTAGCCGTTGCCGGGGCAACCATAGGCACCGCCCCAGCCACGTCCCACAAGCGGGGAACGGCGCCGTGCCCCGCAACATCCGCATCCAGCAGCTTCGACGTTCCCTGTGGCGTGCAGCACCGAGCAGTTCGCAAAGTCCTTCGCATCCACGCTCAAAGCTGCGTCAGAAAGCGACAAAGATGGTTCCCCCGCCACAACAGCCAACAGCTGCTCCACCTCGGGGAAAATAGCGTCGCAGGTCAGCTTCAGCGACTCCGCCTCACGCTGTACCCGCTGAGCCGTCGCATAGTTGCGCGAATGCTTCTTCAGCGGACTGAGGCCCGAGTTAGCGTTTCCACTGGCACCGTCACTGGGTTCACACAAGAGGCAACCGATGCGTACGGCGAGCTCCGCTGCGGCGTCACGCACGAGCACCAAACTAGAACGCACACTCTGCGTCAACGCCAACGTATATGCTACAAAAGGTCCATCACTGCTCTCCCTGTTCGCCATGGGTCACTAGTGAGCACCCACACGCCCATAAACAGCTAGAGCGACGCTGCTCACGTACGTCTAAGCACCGTATGCTTCACAGAACGAATGGCTTTGATGCTATCCGGTAAGCGCTTTTAGGGTAATTGCTTCCGTTTAGACGGCACGGCGGGCGGCGTTGGCGCTCATCGCCATCCATCATCGCCATCATCGCCATCATCGCCATCATCGCCATCATCGCCTTCATCGCCTTCATCGCCTTCGCCATCATCGCCATCATCGCCATCATCGCCTTCAATCATCGCCATCATCGCCATCATCGCCATCATCGCCATCATCGCCTTCAATCATCGCCATCATCGCCTTCATCGCCTTCAATCATCGCCATCATCGCCATCATCGCCTTCAATCATCGCCACAGGAAAGACTGGAAGGCGTTCAACGCGCGCTGTCGTCGCACCTACAATATTCTGTTGGCGGGGACTGGCTTCACGCTCCAAGCGGAACGCGAATGAACAACTTGCATCTCTAGTTGGACGCTAGATTATAACTGGAGCGTTCGTGCTAAGTATAGAGCTGGTGACGTGAAACCCGGTGGCTACATTGGCGGTGGTAGTGGCGCTGGTGCTGGTGGTACTGGTACAGGAAATGGAACGTCAAGTTCCGTGCGCAGTCGGCAGTGTGCAGGTGGGTACAAACGCGCCAATGGAGCGCCATTCCCATTCTCAGGTGTCGGTTTGCTTTTGCACAGGTTTGGGGCCAATGTATGAAGCGGTTTCGCGTGGTAGGGGAACGCGAAAACCTCAGTTTTCTGTGCACGGGAAACGTCGACCCCAGTCTCGCAGGCGAGGGCCGTTCACGTGGCTGCGCGGTGCGCTTCCGCTAGACGCTCTGTTACCTCATCAAGAGCTGCAGCACAGACAACAACACTTTCGCCGTCACAGTTTCTCGACCTGTCAAGGCATGAAACGGACGGTTTCTGTGCCGCGTCAATCTGAACAGTGCACGCGTCTCCCGAGCGTGGTAGCGGACGCGACAGGGCAGCGAACTCGGGCAACATGGACCCGTCCGCAGCGCAGTTCGCACAAGAGCATCGTTGTCTGTTTCTTGGACGGGAAACGAACGTTTCGAAAAGCGTCCCGCACCGGCTTTTTCAATCCAAGCTTAATGTTTTCGCAGACGGAGTCGCGGATCAAAACCTGGTGGACGCAGACGCTGATACAGATCCGGAGCTTCACAGACGAAGTCTCGAAGCGCTTTGCCGATGCGCGACGTCGTCAACCTGTGGACCCGGCTGCCGCAAACCGTCCGCCGCTCTACCCCGACGGACTCTATGTCCTCCTGGGCATGTGGATACTGACGTATTTGGTCGTTCGCCTCGGACAATTCGTATGCGACTTGCTTGCGTTCATCGTAGCCATTGTGGTATCGGTGTTCTACGTGCCGGGTCAGGCTAGACAACGGCGCGCAAAGAAGACGGCAGAGCTTCAAGTCGATGCAGCGACCTCTGCAGACGGCGGCCGAGGAGCGATACCTGAGGACTCGGCTTCCATGAATACGCTGGGCTCCAGCAGTGCTGCCCGAGAGCGTCAGCGTCTGCAAGCGATCGCAGCGCGGGAAACCACGGAAGCGGAGTCGGCAGAGTGGATTAATGCGGCAATACGGAAAATGTGGCGTCTGTACAACACGGAGCTATCTGTCACCGGAAAGATGATTCTGCAGGACTTGATCGACGCGAATCTGAAGAACAATCGACCGCCGTTTGTGCAGTCGGTGACGGTGGAGCGACTCGAGCTGCACGAGAGAGCGCTGCGGCTACCGTCGGTGGAGAAGCTACCGACTCGTTCGGATGGCGACCTTGTGCTGCTGGTAGGCGTTCGCTATGATGGCGACGCCCAGCTGCATCTGCGCGTGAACTTCGGGGTCACCCAGCGGGCCTCCTTTGCAGTACCAGTTGTTGTCAGTGGCCTCGATATCGATTCGCAGCTATGGATTCGAGCCCGGATGATCCCAGAGGCACCCTACTTGGGCGATGTCAATGTGGCATTGCTGCGACGACCGCTCATCGATTTACAGCTGCGACCTTTCAAAGTTGTTGATGTGATGGAAATCCCTGGTTTACGCCCGTTTCTACGCAAACTGCTCACGTGCGATATTCCAGACCTGTTTGTTTTGCCGCGGCGAATGCCGATCCTGCGCCTCAGCAGCCTCGAGCAACTGCAGCGCTATGCCCGCATGGGTGCCTGGGACGGCTCGCGAAATGATCCCTGCATGGGCGCTCTGACCAAAGCGCGCTTTCGACGACGTTCGGAGTCCGCAGCGCCTGGTCGTGACGACCTCAGCACCGATGACCTGTCCGACGCTGGCGAATCAGAACCCGATATTCTTGACGACCCGAGTCTCGACGACGGCCTTCTCATCGTCATGCTCTACGGCGCGCGGAATCTGAGCGGCACAACATCGCTCGGGCTGAGCAATCCATTCTGTTATATCTCTGTGGACGGGATAACTGTGCGGAGTAAGCCGGACAAGAGCACAAGTGCGCGGAGCGTGCGAGGCCAGCCAATTTGGAATCAGCTGTTTGAGCTGCCCGTGCGAAATCCGAATACAGCACGTCTGCATATCGAAGTCGCAGATCGATACGGACTGAAACACCGCATCATCGGCGCTTTCAGCATGGCTGTGTCGGCGCTCAGAGACGGTCAGAGACGGGATATGTGGGTTCCGTTGCGCGGCTCCGTTGCTGCCGAGAGCCGCCTCCACATCGGCGTACAATACCAGGCCTATGTCGACGCGGACAACGATGATCTGTTGTTGTTGTCGTCTTCGTCGTCGTCACAGGCGCTGCGTTCCAAAGCGCCCAATATCGATTCTATCGTCTCGATGACTTCTCTGACGCGGATGTTTCCACTTGGCGTACCGCGATCGTCCTCGACGTCCGCAGCATCAGCGCACACTGTGGACAGGGATGTTCACGTTGATGAGGCGAACGAGCAAGGTGTTCAGGCGAGCAACCATACCACGGAGGAGAACGTGACGCCAGTTCAAGTGGAGGTTATACAACCCCCAGAGAAGCGCTAAAGTTCATTGGATGCGATGACGCAGTACGGACGAGCTTTTTTTGTCTGGATTACGGTTTGAAGGGTTTGCTGTAGGCGACAGCGGAAACTCCCCGCAGTGTGGTATAGGCGGGCGTCATGATTCCAGCGCCCCAGATCGATTCATACAAGCGTACTGGCGCGTATGCAGACACCGGAAATCCTCTACCAGCGTCCAGTGCAAGGCCCGGCGAATGGCACCAGCTGGACCGTACCCCTTCAGGCGAGTGCACTCGATACTGAGGCAGCGTTCCGGCAAGCGCGGGCACTCTAGCGCGACTCGGCGTTGGACGTCGCTGAACATGGGCAGTGCAGCTGCGTTGGGCCCGCTACCTTCCCGAACTGCTTCGTTCTTGTTCGCTGCTAGATCGGGAACTGCTTCGCGCGAGGATAGCCAGAAAAGCTGCACCATTGTATCCTTGGCGGAGCTTAAAGGTTATCCAGGGCCCGATGGCGTGGTGTTCGGGGTTCAGCCGATGACGTACCGGCCTGCAGCGGCCAGTACGCGTCCGCGAGGCAGCGCCCAAGTCGAGATGGACGATTGGTACCGTTGTTGCAGCCCGGCAGGTGGCAAACTTTTGCGATCATTTGGAACCCAGTTCCCTATCCGTGAGCGTGTCTGGGTAAACAGTGTCGCTGGTCAACTGTTGTGATCATTTGGCACCCAGTTCGCTATCGATGACCTTGTCTCTGCAAACACTTTGGCAAATATGACGTGAGCGCTGCGAACTCGTATCCCCATTGCGCATAAATACGCATATGCTTCGTTATCTTGGTGCGATGTGCGCACAGCATGGTCAACCTGTTTCACCGAGGTGACTGATCCGCAAACTCCAGCCGTCGCACCACCGGTGGTAAGGATTCCTCGCCGTCATCCTCAGCGTCTGATGGATGCTCGCGCAACCACCGACGCCATTCAGGCGTTCGTGCCGGAAACCCGCTCTCCGTCGGCACTAGCGGGTCTGCGCGGGCAGGCACATGGGGCGCTTCTCGGTCTCGACTGCATGGGAGCACGCGCTCGGTGACTGGGCACTCCTGAAACAGACCCCGTCGATGAGCGGCCTCAGCCAAACTCGACTCCGTCACGCTTCCTGCCTCCTCGGGATGAGCCATAAAAGTCGAGCTCGACGAGCTACTTGCAACATTCTGTAAACGTCTTCGTGTACAGTGCGAAGGTTCCAGAGTGCGGTCGCGGCGCCTGGCTGCGGCCCTCGAGACCCGGTCCAGCTGCCTGGACAGCGGCCACTCAACGGGACGGTCAGCCGCCGGGGTCTCATTATCATCGTCGTTGCTACATTCATTTCGATCATTCAATTGTAGCGACCCAGTGATATTGGGTGTGCCCTGTGAGCACTGTGCGAAGACCCCAGCCTGGGGCCACTGTGCCCCGTGGGAAGCGCTGAGCGGGCGCCCAGATGCCTTGGGCGCCTCGACCCAGTGAAAACCCCCGCTATACTCCAGTATGTCGGCATCTTCTGTGAGAAACACCCTTCTCCATGGTCGACGTTTTGGTTTTCTTCGGTAAGAGACCAAGGTAGAGGCTCTATAGAGGCAACTTCCACAGCAGCCCATAGCGAAGCTGTGGAAGTCGCAGCGAAAACGACGTTGGCGCGAAATGGAAGCGCTGTGGTCGTTTCATTCCCCGCGCAGAGCGTAGGCAGCGCTGCTGTGCTATCGTTTGATGCTGGAGCATTCTTCCATCAGGTTACTTGGTATTTGTTTCCAAGACGCTGTTACTCTTTCGGAAGCTACGACTGGGCACTTGGAATGAATAGTGGCGAGGATGATGACGGCGAGCGTCTGGCGACGGTTGTTGCGCGTGGACCCAGGTCGTGAGGACACCGGCGCTGTCGCCCTGCAGACTTGCAGCGACACGGGTGTCGGGTGCGAACCGCTGATCGCGTCCCTCCAGTCTGGTGATCGGTCGTAGTTCAGTGCTTGTGGTACGGTGGTGCAGTATGCTGACTGGCGTCAGCTATGGCTGTAACCTCAGTCGAGTTCGAGGCGTTGCCAGACGAGCGCGCTGATTTTCGGGCAGCGACTGCACTGCGTTTCAAGAATGCGCGCTTTGAAGATGAAGTGTGCTGCCGAAGTTAGTTCTGCGGCTTTCGTACGTGGCAGATGGTCATCATGCATGAATGGTGCGCGCTGTCCGGAATCACTTGGTACTTCGAGCGACTCGTCTCGATTGCAGTAGCAGTGTTCAAGGAGGCGCCGGCGGAACCTGGTACCTGCACGAGCGTCGCGCATGCGTCTCATCCGTTCAGCAGCCAATGCCGAGTCACCGAGTCCGCAATGTTGATGGTATAGATCGTATCTTCTCTACTACGAGTTTGATGCTGCATTCGGAGTATGTCTGTTGGTACGTTGCGCAGTCAACAGAGTATTCGCTGAAACGCGTATTCCATTGGAAACCGTGATTCCCCCCAGGCTGCCTTTTCATATTCACGAACACGCTTATAAACCATAAACATTCACAGTCGAAGCATAAAGCTGGTGGTTTCACCCTCGACCAAGGCACTGGATATGAAAACGACGCCGGGATGCCACCCGGAGCTTTGCTGCTCGTATCGGCAGCAGTTCCGGTCGGTCGGTCGGTCGGTCGGTCGGTCGGTCGGTATCGTGGTGTCACTTGGGCTCACAGTCGACTACATCTTCTCAGTGTGTATCCGTGCTGATCCCGAGCAGTGTCGTTGAAAAGAAAAGTATCATCATTCGTACAAGTACGAAAACACGCGGTTAGACAGGGATGCTCGCGCGATCAGGGTCGAGTTGCGCACTCGGCACATATTCGCCATCTCACTTGCGATTCACCGCACATACGCAAACGACATCGATACTGGAGCGGACGTCATGCTTTGCAACGCTTTCTTTTCGTGCGCCATACATGAAGCGTTCGTATCGCTCCTTGTTTGCCGCATGTGCTTTGCCCCTGGCGATAGTATTCGGTAGCGTTGGCTCTCGGCATTGCGGGCGATATGCTGAATGCCGATTAGTCCATATATGTCGAGAATCTGAGATGCTGCTTCTTTGGACGCAGGCGCGCATCGGCGAGGATACTCCCTGAGCGGCACGACGGATAGCAGCGCTTCCAGTACGGCAGGCCGGGACACGGCACGGTGCTGCGCAGCACAGAGCGAAAACGCACGTCGGGTGACGCTGCGACTCGCGGAACGTGTACCGGTTGAGCGCGATGTCAGCCATGGACAATGTGCGCCAGGTGACGATGCGCCACGGGGCACCCGCTCAGTACCGTGGCTACGTCCAGAAAAAGTGTCGAACGTTTTCCTCAACGAAACGCTGGATGGTGGCAGCCGGCTCCACGCTCAGCAACTACACGAGTCGCGAAGCCTTCGAGCCGACCTGGAGACTGAACATCCTCGGCGCACAGCTAGAGCGCGTGGGTAAACGTGGATTCCGCATCACGACCACCGAGCGAAAGTTGGAGTTCGTGGCCCCCTCCGACAAAGAGGCAGAGGACTGGTTCGTGGCCCTCAGCCAAGCAGTGAGCCGCTCGTTTGAGCGCGATTATGAGCTTGGCAGCAAGATCGGGGAAGGTGCGTTCGCCGTCGTCTACGACGCCTACGACAAAGTCACCGGTGAGCAGGCAGCAGTGAAAGTTATTCGAAAGGCGAGTTTAGACCCGGCGGACTTTGCCCTGCTCGCGCGAGAGGTTCATATTCTATTGACGGTCCAACACCCGAATTGTGTCGAGACTTACGATATCTATGATGCGCCGGATGCCATCTACATCGTCATGGAGAAAATGAAAGGCGGTGAACTCTTTGACCGCATCGCCGTGGCTGGTGCGTTTAGTGAGCGCGATGCCGCTCACGTGTTTCGGCAGTTGATGCGCGGCGTTGCGTACCTGCATAGCCGCGGCATTGCACACCGTGATCTCAAACCAGAGAACCTCTTGACGACAGACCCGACTGCGCCGCTTTCCAAAATGCACCTGAAAATCGCCGACTTTGGTCTGGCGAACGTGATTGGCAAGGGCACAGAAGCGCTCATGCGAACCTGTATTGGTACACCGGGCTACGTAGCGCCCGAGATCGTCAAACATCAACCTTACACGAGCAAGGTAGATTGCTGGAGCGCTGGTGTGATTCTTTTTATCATGTTGAGTGGAAAAATGCCTTTTTACGGAAAAGACGACTACGAAATCATGCGCCGCATCGTACGAGCGCAATACAAATTCCGAGAATCCGAATGGGCACAAGTCAGCGATGACGCCAAGGAATTGGTTCGGGCACTGCTCCAGGTGAACCCGGAACAACGCCTCTCGGCTGAGGAGGCACTGAAGCATCCCTGGTGCACGTCAAATACATTGTCGGTCGCTAGTCTCTCTAGCACAGCAGGTCTGAGGGCCATGCAGGAGGCGAAACGCAACAAAATGAAAGCAGCAGTCAAAGCAGCTGCGCAGGGTACGCGAATGGCGCAGCTTGCCAAAGAGCTCGAGACCATCGATATGCAACCCAAAGCGTGAATCGGCACAGACACAAACGCACATGAAAGGACCTTTGTGGGGCGCGTTTCTCGCCTCAGAATCGCGGCCGATGCAAGGGCCAGCACACCGCGTTGCATCCCGTGTGCGACATTGTTTGGGGGCGTTCCGGCGAGCATCAGGTAAACGAAGAATGTCGGCGGGCCTTGCTTTCAGTACGCTTATAGGGGATGGAAAATTGTTGCTGCTGCCACGACCCGGACAGGTCATGCAACTGTGGAGTCGGGCGTCCTCTGGACTGTGTTCGAGACGCGTACCGCCCGCGACCGCGCCGCTCATACCCAAACGACCATGCTTGCATCTCTTTTCTTTCCTGCGTCTGGTAGACGGGTACGCACGCGTGTATGTATATACATATATGCTTGTGTGTTGTGCCATGCTAAGGATTCGCTAGCAACGCGAACACATCGCATGACGCCACGCGTGACGACGCCAGGCACGGAGCCCGCTCCTCGCTCGCCTCTGTAACACGCTGGTGACGCAGCTCGTGCTCTGTTGCCGTGCGCAACGGAACGCATTCATCTTGTCGAGTCACGATGCAAAGTCTGTGCGCATCACAAACCGCTTCCAGCGTGTACCGTGCAGCTATTGTTTGCACCCTCGGCAGTGCAGGAAACGTTTATAATCAGGACAAACACGCAAGTGCAAACAAACGCACATACGCATAGAATTACACTCCCACAAACCTACATGCACACAAAAGTGACTGTTACACCGACGCCGTGCCTGCACAGAGCCGCTCAGGCGTGACGCCAGCACCGGGCGGTGCGAGGGTTCTCGAGGCTGGCGTGCGCGCGGCACTGCATACACGCGATACCGCCACGCGGAGCATCTTATGGCGCTATGGAAACGCCATGTGATGCACTGGGTGCAACATCACTGACAAGAGATTTTTCAGTGAACCTTGCAGTGAGCTACGATTCGCACAACGTAGTTGCTTCTACCGCAGCGCCTATCGGTGCCGCTGCCGACGATGCCCATGAACGATGCAGGCTCTTCGGCATATCAAGATGCTCACGCCTGCCGCAAACAGCAACCGATGTATGAGCAAATAGCGCTGGTCATGAAACCAGCTCGAGATTCGCTTTGACGCCGTTTTTCGATTCGCACCCGAAAGATATTTTCAAGACCCAGAGGCGGTGCGGATGCCGCAGCAGCTGCGCCACAGCCCGTAACGAGACGCGTCCATCAGTTCAAGACTGAATTTCTTCGGCGGTTTCCAGCAACTCAATGCATTTTCGAGCGGCGTCCACGACAGCTCGATTAAAGGCACGAATGCGCTCGGACGGAACACTAAGAACCTGTTGCTGCCGCGCAAGTACCGCCGCGCATTCTTGGCGGACGTTTTCGCGTTCCTCGGAGGACAGGAGGTCCGCCCGTTGGACACAATGTCGAGGAAGGAAGAGCAACAGATCGGCGGGGTTCCGTTCAACGATAAACCCATAATCTTGAATGAGTCGATCGTTGCTGACGAAACCCCCGCCATATGGGATGCGAATCTCCTCCGAGCGCCGCACAGATTCACCAGCGATGAGTACGAATTCATCAGTTGCAATACGGTAACGAAGCTCGTGTTTCGAATCCATACGGCAGTTGATCATGTCGAGGAGCGGGATGAGGTAGCGCTGAGCCTCGTCGCCCGTGCGCACTGCTAACGCCCGGCTGACGACTAAGTGCACAGCCCATAGATAACGCTGAAACTCTGGCATATGATCAAGATTTTGGGCAGCCACCTGGGGATGCAGATAATCCGCTCCCGTTCGAAGGAACTCCTGCAGGAAGGTGTCTCGCAACTGCTGTCGACGTCGCCGCGTCTCCTCAACAGTCGGTGTGTGCGCAATTTGCCCCAGTTCCTCATCGTTATAGAAGTCGGTAGTCATTTGGCACATTTCCGGGCGCGGCAAAACGTCAAAGTACGCCTTATACTTGTGCACGGCCTCGCCGTCCGTCATCATGCGCAAGAGATGGAGTGCGGGCAAACCGGGGTTCTCACCCTCGCTACCCAGACAGATAGCAAGCCGACGAGGTATCCGACAGATGACCTCGCCAGCTCGAATGGCTGCGGTAGCAACGAGCCCGCGCATCTTCAACGACGACGCACCATCCACTGGAACCTCAGCTAGCGCAACTTTTGGAAAGTGCGCCTCTCTCAGATAGTCGTAGAACCGAAACGTGCGACTATCCGACAGCAACCGATATGCCTGCTGCCTCCGTCCTCGTCCACGCTCTAGTTCGCTGTCCTGACTGCGCGTGAATACCCCAAAACCTCGCGCGGTACCCGGCTGCGCATACCCGTGATTTGTTGTACCAGAATAGCTTGTCTCGGAGTCGTCGTCCGCCGCGTAGTCAGACTCTGCCACCACAAAACAGCGCCGACTCCCAAGTACACGACCCTTTCGACGAAAAGGCACCGTACAAGCGTTGGGTGTCAGGTTCTTGCGGAGCTGCAGGTGCGCCGGCGGTACCGCGAACGCCACCACCGGCACCGCAGCGCCAGCGGCACCAGCGTAACGCCCCCGTCGCGCACGGAAGTCCGCGTCATCTCCGACACCATTCAAACTCCAGTCCATGGGTGTACTTATAGACCTCGCACAGTCCACTGAATTGGACGCTAGATTCACCGGCAACACTGTTCGATGCAGCCCGAAAAAACCTGTTGTCAGCGCAAGAAGCCCCCTGAATACTAGAGCTGCCGCTGCAGCGCGCTTTCGCTGGATTCGACCGGCGCGCTGGTCGCCCGCGTGACGCGCGTGACACGGGATGCACGCACGCATGCACGCACGCACGTCGATAGCTCAAACGCTGCATTGGTACCTGGTCGTGGACGATCCCGGGGGTCATCTGCCTATTCTCTGGATGTGGGCTGGATATTTGGGAACCAAGAACGCGGATGTGAGGTACGTCTCTAGACGCTTCTCTGTTCCGTGAACGTCGAATCAGCCATTCCAAATGAGAGCCTGGTTTTCGTTCCCTCTGACGACAGCACCGGTCTACAGAGTGCAGCGCGTACGCTGGGTGCTCGTTGCGATCGGGCGTTAGCGTCGTCGACAATGCTGTTCGGAGGGCGGACGGTTTCGTGGAGGCTTTTTGAGCGTCGGTTTAGTGGTAGGGTTCTCCTGGAGCAGCGATGCAGTTTGGCTTCAAGGCGAGTGCCCGACTGGAGCCCCGGTCGGTGTACCAGTGGCACCTCCAGCGAACCCAGGTTCAAACGGGGCACGGAGGAGCTCGCTCTATTCTTGCATTTGGAGACTTTTGGAGGTTGTTTGCAATGAACAGCATCCGCATTGTAAGAACATCAACGGGTTATAACGGTTTCATGTTAGGGTTTAGGGTTTCGGGTGATGCTTTCGGAATGGATCCCGCGACAGTTCATCCATGGCATTCGTTACGTTATCGTCATCGAGATGATCCGCGACGGCATCGAGCAAGGTGTTTTACAACAAAAAACGCCGATATTTTTTTATTGATTCATACATACAGGCGTCCACGCTTCTCCTGCTGCTTACATTGAGCGAGCTCGAATTACGCATTCTTCAAGTTTTCAATAATGCGCGGCAGGGCGGCGCACGGAGAAGGAGAAGCATGGTGGACACATGGGAACGTCTCACCACGGACAAGTGTCATCTCTGCGAAGGGTGCACTGAGGCCAGATAACAATCAGAGGAAAATAGGAAACGAAGCGTAGATCCCAAGTTCTCTCTGTGCACGTAATGCATCTACAACATCAAGAGACACCGAAAGCGAGTCTTTGGCGCTGCCATCGACATCCTGCGACTGCGGACAGCGGGTCCGAAAGCCAAGGACAGACCGCGGCATTGAACGCTGGAGATACGAGGGAGGAAAGGGAAGCAGTCGCCGACAAAGCCCCCAAGAGCCTGTTCTCCATGACAGCAGAAAGAGACTCAAATTTCGCGTGAGCGCCCGATTTCGAGGACATGTTCCACGCCGCATGTCATTCTGGCACTGGCATACCTGACTCTATGACTGAAACATCTCAACTTTTATCTTTGAAACCTTGCACCTCACGATGGTGCCAATGAAATACACGTGTCCTCCCGGGGTTCGTCATGTATTCGCGATGCTCTCCAAACTGAAAAGCATGCCGCGGTGCTCATCATGTTCCAATGACGCCCATCGTGCCGGCGTTTGCTGTTACATCTGTCCCTGTCAATCCGATTTCAGACACGTACTGACTCTGGCGTCATTTTTTCAATATGCGGCTTCGGTGCCTTAAGCGCCTTCTCGTACTTTGGCGGCGTCGGCGGTACCCAGCTCGTCTTCTTCTCCGCATGCGAGATGTAAAAGATGCGCCCGGTAGCCGGATCGATGCGTTCCTCCCAGCCAGGCGGCAGCGGCACCTCCGATACGTTTTTCTCAAACTTGGTCGCTGCTTCGTAGGACGTCAGCGGAATCTCGGGGTCATCATGCTTGACCTCTTTGTCCTCTTCCGCAATCGCCGGCGCCATGCTCTGCACATCGATCGTCTTCGCCAGCTCAATATTGTTCGAGACATGTTGCTCGACCATTTCCGAAACTTCCTGAAACGCTTCCGATGCCCTCATCTGGTATGACCACAGTGCGGCCAACACGGCGCGACACAGCGGTGGATACTTGTAGTACATCGCACGCGCGCTGTCGACGTAGTTGCGCTTGCGAGCAACGTAACGATCGCGGGCGCGTTCGAGTTTCACGCGATTCCGAATCATGCGCTCTGATTCCGCCTCTGTCAAACGACGCTGACGAGCGCGCTGACTCAGCGCTTCGCACTTGTTGTAGTAGTGGTCAAACTCCAGACGGGCGTTCTCTACGTCTTGTCCAATGTAGGTGATGAGTGTGCGGCATCCCTCGATGTACTGGCGTACCTCGCTGAGCATATGCGACAGCGTCGTGCCGCCCGTGAAGAGCTCGCGCCCACACAGGCTCTCGAGTGCGCTCAGCGCTTCCTCTGACAGCTGCACAAACTCAAGGTACCCGGGGTCTACGTCATGGAACGAGTCTTCCACGACCTGCTTTCTACGACCGGTCCCTTTCGCCACTTTCACTTTCGCGTTCCTCGTCGTCGTTCGCACAGACTTTATGACCGACTTCCAGGCCGGTGTCACTTGCGTGAGACCCTCCTCCAGCCGCTCGGCGTGCCGCATGGTGCGCCGCAGCTTCGCCTCCCACTCGGCCTGTACCTCAGAAAACTCGCCCTTCTCAAGACCCGCGCGTTGCGAGCTTGACAGGAAAAACAACTTTGCGCTGTGTAAGAACCCAGTCATCTTCAAGACCTCAGCTAAAACACAACGACGGCAATGTATTGTTTATTGTAGAAACACATAGAAAAAATTTTGTATGGCGGAGCGCAACGAAGATGTTCGTCGCACCCAGCATCTCGACAGTCCTTTTCGTCCATGATCCGCCGTGAATCAAGTAGCGAGATAAATCGCCTCCGTGTTGCAGGCAGCGTGCGCGCTCGGCCGTACATGATCGCAGGCTGCGGATGCGGCGCGCGCTGAGCGGACCGCGCGTCTCAGGCACACACACGCGTCACGCATGCGGTGCATCGCCGGCCGCTGTTCACCGCAAACCGCGTGTGATGGCGGCGGCATCGGCATCGGCGGCGCATTGTTGCCCGGGGCGCACTTTACTGGCGGCGGGATCGCGGTGGATCGAGTGCCAGCACGCACAGGACAGAACAACGCAAACAAGCTACGGGTGCTTCTGTTGGCCGGTTCGTTCTTTTTCGCATCCGATCCAGATGGTCTCTGGCGGGACGCGTGCTCTTTGGATCCATATTGGGATGCGTCGGTGGTGTCTGCTGAAAACGTGCAACGTGTCCCGAGGTGAGGCCTCTGGTGTGCGCTTTTGCATCGTCGTGCAGATCGCATGCGCTTCACCGATAGCTACGTTCGATCGGTAGCGAGTGATATCCCAAAGAATGTGTATTGTTTTGGACATGCTCGGATGCGTCCGCATGACGTATAGGTCGGCATGGTGCGGGGCACAAGCGGTATCGGGACACGTGCTATCCTGGCCTCAACGCTGAGAATACGCACCAAGCTGGGGCATTCCCACCGGAATCCGATAACGCGCATCGATTTCGATTACTCTGGACGCAATCGCGAGAACAACGCACCTAAAGCACAGTTATTGCGCTAGTCGCTGAGTTTCTCCAGTGTGCCGCGCCGCCGACAGCGGCTCTTCCTGACTGGCTGCCTGTCCAGCTTCCACGGGCGCCAACGAAGGATGCGTGTTCGCCGTGTGGCGGGCCCTGTGCGCTTTGAGCTGGCGCTGGATCGAGGCATCACAGCGCCAGTCTGTTCCTGAGCAGCGCCTGCCGAGTCGCTTGATCGAACCGGCCTCTATACCAGAAGGGAATACGCTTCTGGTGTTGAAGGCAAGATGCGACGTTGTCAACGAAGTTGAAGTATATTCCTTCGTGCTCGGTAGCGTTTGCGAATTCAGGAAAGTCTGGTCGGGCTCAGTGACCCCATAGCTTTTCCTCGATTTGCTTGAGAGATACGCAACACGGCTACGATATTTTGGAAACGTTCAGCGTCGCCGCGCCACCACGAACGCTCAAGCTCCGGGTTTTACGGTTCGGAGTCCATGAATATAACCGCGGATCTCCCGAATGCGCCATTGTTATCAGCATCCGGAGAAGCAACGGATACACCGTTCTAGATCCCTGCTTTCAAAAACCACGGACCGGTCGCAACTTTATGGATGATGGTTCTTCTAGAAGAGTCTCCGGGTGTCGAGCCTGGCGTGGTGCCTGTTTCTGCACTGGATCCGTCTCGCTGGAGCCGCCGTGCGGAGACAGCGTGGTCCCTGGCTTTGTGCATGCGAGCCGAGGAGGAACCGCGGTGCATGAGCACCAGTCGCTTGCGTGTTGTCGGCTAGAGCCAGAGCAGCTCCCCGTTGACACTCGCTTTCTTCCATGAGCGTCACGATATGAAGTAACATTGTATAGGATGTTACTGTCTATCGCAGTAGTGAGCGCCGCTTTGGCGATGATCGGGGGAGCTGCATCACGGATCCTGTTGGCAACAGCACGCGAGCGAGCGAGCGAGCGAGCGAGCTCCCCTGCCTGTGGCAACTATCTGGCGACAGCGTCCATCGCAGAATCTTCGTCACAGCGTCTGTGAAGCAGGCAATAGTCTTTTTTCCGTACAACGCTCCCGTACCGTGAAACCCGAATTTTACACCTTGCAGCTGGTGTACCAGGCGAGCCCCGTCGGCAGGCGTCGTACGCATGACCGCTGCCTCGGCGGCAAGTTCCTCTCGAATCAGCGAATGATTGCAGCAAATCCCCGTAAGCCCATGAACTCATGCCTCTGGCCTTGATATCCTGAAACAAATCTATCATAGGCTGGTTGCAGCGGTGGTTGCAACACAAACGCATCGCCGCCGAAGATGTATCACAAGTGTCGGGCATGCTGAGACGCAGGTTGCACGCCTGTATCATCTCCGTTTCCCTCGCGTGCTCCACACCGCTGCTGCACGAGTTCGTGACGTCGCCCGGGCGGGTGTGCGGGTCAAGGTCCATTCTTCTGGTTGCACGGAACGCTCTTCAGCCTCGAATTAAGCGACAGGGACGCGTCGTCGTCGTTGGCCTCGACGCTTCGGGCACCGTTTCTAAGTGCGCTGCTCGAACGCACCAGACGCGGCGTTTTGCGAAGGCATTTCGCTGACTCAGGTCACGTCCAGAGCAACCTGCGTTCGCTCTTGCTCTTTGCTTTTAAAAAAATGTGGGTTTCAGCGTTGGTTTCTCCAGCCTGGCTCAGAGCGGAACTGAAGCGCTGCTGCGTACTGGACGCGACGTGGTACATGCCTTCGGCTGGAAAGGACGCTGCTGCCGAGTTCACCAAGGCGCGGATACCCACATCGATTCGCTTTGACATCGACGAAGTAGCCGATAAAGAAACCCCGCTCCCTCATATGCTTCCGCGAAGCGCAGAAGCCTTTCGCGAGTGTTTGGAACGTCTTCGTATTCGTCCTCGAACACCTGACCCTGCTGACACCGCCATCGTCTGCTATGCCCGGAACGGGGCATTCATTGCAGCTGCTCGGGCTTGGTGGATGTTTCGCGTCTTTGGTATTGATCGAGTGTTCGTACTTGATGGTGGCTTTCGTTCCTGGATAAATGCTGGGTATGAACTAGAAACTGGTACGCCATCGCCGCGAAGCGGCGACTCGGAGGCCGCACCCTCGAGTGCCGTGTTCCCGCTGCGCTTTCGACGAGAGCTCGTTTGTTCGCGTACGGAAATCTGCGATTATCTTGCGGGAAGTCGACGAATCCGGCTTCTGGATGCGCGTTCACGGGGTCGCTTTCGCGGAGAGGAACCCGAACCTCGACCAGGTCTACGACTGGGCCATATTCCCGGAGCCTACAACGTCCCGTACGAGTCACTTGTATGCAATGAGGGATGCTCTCTGCGACCCGTATCCGAGTTGCGCCAAATCTTCTCATCTTGCGTCCAGCATCTTGCGGTGCCGTCTCCAGCAGCAGACGCGAACACGCAATCGCCACAGCTGGTTGCGTCGTGTGGCTCTGGGGTCACTGCAGCTATCATAGCGCTAGCGTTACATGAATTAGGGATTCCCGAGTGTGCCATCTACGACGGGAGCTGGGCAGAGTATGGTGCCTGCATGGAACTACCCTTGGAGACGATAGAAACAACGTCGACCTAGGAGTACATGCCCTCGGGTACGATATCGACGGAGCGGTGTGCATTTCATGTTCGTTTGCGGCGAATGTTGCGCATACCACAGAGCGGCGTCATCGAAAGATGGCTTGGCCCGGAAGTGGGTGCCCGCGCCTCTAGGTCCGTTGCGATACTCAGGGTAATGAATTCTGGAATACCTATATCAGCTCGCCCTGTTTGTTTTTCTTGCAGGTATGCAAGAAAAGGAATGTATGCTGTAGATTGCAGGAATGTCGAGCAGAACGTCTGCATGCTATCACTGCTAGGTTGCGCAAACCGGCTTGATTTCTGCCCGCCAGTCACTCTGCGTTCAATCATTAGATAAAGCGCAGTTCTCGTGCTCCGTATTCTGAATGTCGTGCACCCAAAGCAGAAGGTGGCAAAACTCGTTCTGTGCGATTGACTCTCCGTCAATCCATACTACTCCATACGTTCCCAAAAAAGACTATCAAAGTAGCCACAAGATGGAAAGCTTCTGTACGGTTGATACGAATGGTGATCATGAGTCACGGATGCAGGAATCGATTCAAACCGGTTTTCTTTCACGCGTCCTGTACTTTATTCACACATACCGAGCTCAGATGCACCCTGAATTAGATACAGAAGAAGCAGCTGAGCCAGAGACTGTCGCACGAGGTGGTGAACGGCAAGCTGACCGAACGCCGAACGGCAAAGCAATCGAAGGTGACAGACTTGCCACGGTACGAGTCGACCAGGACCCGATGCGCGCCACACTTTGCACACCGCGCCCTGAACGCCTCGATCAACATCCGGAAGCATTTCGCGCTTCTGGAACTTGTAGCATCTGTTTATCGAACAACGTTTCCAAGCACTCGTTTGGTACCCAGTAGGGGCATTGCTCGGAAGCGCTGGAGATTTTCGATAAGGTTAACTTCAGTAACCGTGAGGGAGTCCATTTGGATACTCGCCTGGATCATGGCACTGGTATGGTACGGTTCAACAGTCCAGCACAGACGCAGATCCTCGAATTTACACACTGCGAACGATTCTGCCGGACAAGCAGTGAACGATTCTGGTGTTTCCATCGCTCGATGTGGCCGGGTATAGCAGCAGCAGTCACACGTTCGGGATTTCCAGTTCGATGCCTCGATCTTCCACCTTGCAATCCTGAGTGAAACAAAAATACGTTCACGACCGTGCAGGGTAAATGGATGCCCATCCGCGGGCGCCTCCTCCGGGCGCTTGTCGACTGGCCGCCTGCTATCGGTTTCAGTATCTGCATGCACACTACGAGACTGAGAGGCTGCCCTACAAGGTTGGCTCGCGTCTGCTCCACGGGTCTCGTCTTCATCTTATCAAATCGTCTGTTCTTGATAGCAGCGTTAAAGTCGCGGTTCATGAAGTCCATGCATTTATTGCCGCTGTTTGTACTCACCAGTGCAAAGTGTCGTAGAACTCGCGCCCTCTGAACCATTTGGTGCTGTGTCAGCTCTGCGTCCTCTGCTATCGCCGAAGCGTTCCGCTGCCTTCTCTCCATGTCGAACTTCTGAATTATGCATCGTGGCTCTACCTTAATTCTTTGAAAACGAACGCAGTTTTTTATAGGTTGTGGTGAGGACGTTCCCGGAGCGAGCAGGACTGGCTCAAGGAACACGAAATGTGCCTTAATATGTCCCCGTGTGATGAACGCTTCAGCGATTCGTCCAGTGGAGCGATCACTACGTTTCACGACAGGCAACACTCCTTTTTATGCGATTGGACCACAAAGCGTACGAAGGAATGAAACGCAGCTCTACCCCGATAGAATCGGCAAAAGCTCGAACGCAAGGGAAACGATGAGATGCCACGGCATCCAAAGCAGTGCGTTTCTGGACGTCAAGGAAAGAAGTTCGAGTACTTCGACAAAGTCGTTGATGCTGTTGGATGAGCCTCCTGTACGAACGATACTGCGGCCGCTACGTGAACCAACTGTATCTAGAACAGATGATGATGCCTTAGCTACCTTCTAGTTCGATTGTACATACAACGGGCTCCCTGCTCCGCGAGTACCCATTCGCGCCCTGACCATTTCGTCCGAAACAAGTCCCATCGTCTGAGAAAAACAAATCGACGTCCCTGTGCTCCATATTGATCCCTTTGTTCCAGGAACGCTGTCGTTTCGATGTCGGTAGATGACCTCGGGTGAAATCTGACGCTCCTTTCGCGATTGTATTCATATGTTTTCAAGACAACATGAACAATCTGTTGAGAAACAGAAACGTACATGTCGGCCACCACCTCGTTTTGCATTCCGTAAGGTCATTAACGGGTCGATTTCGACCATTGACCGCAGCCAGTCTTTCATAATATCGGTTTATGGGGCCAAGCGCATACTCTTTTTCCCGCAGTCTTCCGTACCCATCTGAGTACTGTGGTGTGACCATGCTGAAGAGAGAATGCAGTCCTTCTTGTACTGACCATTAAACAATATATATCCCACAAGCAGTCCGTCTACGGTCTATAGGGTACATTCTACCGTGACGTCGATCTCCGGCTCTACACCGCAGCAGAGTGAAGCAGATAAGCGTTGAAGGCGATAAAATCGAAATCGCGCGCGGCAAAAGTGCGCGCGCAAACACCTGCGCACATCATCCCCATTCTGGGGTGCTTCTCTGCAGGAACGCAGGCGCGACCGCGGTCTAGCCAAGGACGCTTGCCACATCGACTGTGGCGGTGATCGCGCCCTCAGATCAGTGGAATTCGACGCGTCCAGTGTGCACTGGAACAAAACGAGCTTTGTAGCGGAGGCGTTTCGAGGCCGTTGCACGCCGGCCTTTGGGCTTGCTTGCGACGGCGCTCGGTGTTCTCGGCGAAGCGATCTGAGACAGCCGCTGCACCTTTCTCAACCTGTCAAAGCAGGTCCACCGGAAAACAGCCACTGAAAGTCGCTCTATGGCGGACAGCGAAACTTCTGCGGCGGTTCCAGAGTGTGCAGCGATTGAGCGGTGGTTACGAACGTCGTGCTTGGGCGAGAGCGATGCGTACGCGCAACTCGCGACGCTCATCGAGACCTTTCAAGAGGACGGGACGGTACTGGACGCCGTTCTTGAGCGCCTTGTAACGACACTCGCTGGAGTGCTCAGAAGCGCGCTTGAGAAGCCTATAACATGCGACAACATCGGTTACCTCGCCTGCGACGCGTTTTACCGGCTATGCAAGGTCCGAGGTCTAGCCTCTGTCTGCCAACTGCTTCCAGTCGAGCGCCCGACAGTACTTTGGCTTTTCCAACTGATGCTGAAGGAACATCCCATTCAAACACCGGTTACGACACCTTGGCAAGTCGCCTACGTGTTGTTCGGTTGGGCGGAGTTGGCGGCGCAAGCTCCGTTCGCACTTGACGAACAGCTGACGAGTGGCCTCCTGGGTGTTGCACGGAGCTGGCTGATCGCCGCCAGCGCTGCTGCAGTACCTGCATCCCGTTTCATGAGTCGACTGGTGACGCGTGACATGCGACCTTCCACCTCGAGGCTATTCGACGAGCACCTGCGCTGGCTGGCCAGCGAAATCAACAGGCAGTTGGCACATGACGCAGCCCATGCTCTCCAGAATCTCTGCTATCATCTCGCGTTGCTCCTGAAACATGCCCGAAATGAACAGGATCTGCAGTCCATGATGCCGATCATCCAAGTGTTTCTCGGTGCAGGGTACCGGATCCTCACAGGGCATGCCCGTGTCAAGCTTCTGAAACAGTTTGGTCGATGTCTGTTGACGCTTCAGAGGGGAAGCGATGTGCTCGCACAAGTCCTCGAGGTACTTGAGAACCTGGTAAAAATATGGTTATCTGCGGACACCCGTTCGCGCTGGGCTGCCGCTGCTGCTGTCGCCGGTCTGGTCAGGCTGATGCCGGCGGAAGCACACAGCGACCTCGTTGTGCAGTTGCTGGACATGATTAGAAACACCAGCACAAGCGATGTCATTGCCTGCCAAAGTGCGTGTGTGCTTCTCGCGGAACTGGCGCGTGCACAACTCGTTCCTCTGGGTGATCTCCGCGGCCTGATAGACTGGACGTCCAGCGCGCTCACAGCTGGACTAGAACGCCCCGATCATCTGCGGCGTGAAGACCAGGCCCTTCGCGATGCGGCCTGCTACGTCTTCTGGTCCTTCGCGCGGTATTTGCCATCAACAGCATGTAGCGAGATGAGCCGCGACATCGCCTCCCTTCTGCTATGTACCGCACTCTATGATCGTGAAGTGCAATGCAGACGAGCGGCAGCAGCAGCGCTCCAGGAATGCGCTGGTCGCTGGGGTGATTCTGTACCATGCGCACTATTCCTTGCAGATCGCGTCAACTTCTACAGTGTTGCCGACTGTGACGCTACGTTTGGTTTACTCACCAACGCCTTGTGCGCCACTGCCGGGCAGCAATATGCCGGCGAGATTCAGTGCTACTTGCTCCGGTACAAGTTATTCGTTTCACCAGACCCGTTGATCCGATTCCGAGCAGCCAGAGCCCTGGTTGATGTCTTCACGGGCGCATCTGCTGCGGCACCGCCCGAACGATCGGTATCGACCGCAGGGACGTCTGTTGCTGCGATATCGGCGGCAGATGGCACAGAGCGCGGGTTTGCGAGAGACGTATCAACGGCGCTGCCTGCGGTGTTGGAGCTGTGTTGGATGTACGCAACAGGAAAGGCTACGGAGAACACGGCGGCTGCGCATCACGGAGCGCTGTGCTTTCTGGGTGCGCTTGCACGACGAACGCCGGAGCCAATGACGCTTCCGCTGGACAACCTACCACTCTGGATGGAATGCGCCGTTCAAGTTCACACCGAGTCCGAGGCAGAGCATATCGTACGTGCACGTTGTGATCTGCTGCTTGCCCTGCTTGAAGTCGGCCATGAGTGCATCAGCTGCAATCCTCTCGTACCGGACTATTTGCTGCGCTCGCTGGAGCACCATGCTGCAGCCTTGGCCTCCGTTGCGCGCCGGGCACTTTTCCTCTACTTTGAACATAACCGCTTGCGTTCGGATCTTGTTTCGCACTGGCGCCAACAATGTGTGCATACAATTCACCTGCCGAGAAAGCGTCGTCTTCTCGTCAATAAGTTGCAGCGATCGCGCTCGTCTGTTCCGGACCCGTGCAGGTACGCAGCCTGTGTCCTGCTTGGTGTCCTCGTTGCCGTAAGCGGGCACTCGACCGATATAGCGTTACTGAAGGACACGCTCCAGCGTTGTGCAGATGCCCAGGACCATGCGAGTGCGCGCGCTATCGTCGAGTCGTTGCCGCTGCTGGTAGAGACACAAGTATGCAGCGACACGGACGCTACGAGGCGCACAGAGGCCTGGTACGCACTTCTAGAGACTTGGACGGCGTCCTTGTGCTTCCACATCACCTCGGCTAGAGGTGACAGTGGCTGCTGGGTACGCGAAGCCGCACTCGAGGTGCTGCCGTTTCTATGGCAGACCGCGTTAACGGGACCGCAACGGGAAGCTCTTTCTTCCGCGCTCGTACCGTCGCTCTTGTTTCTCTGTTTCGATCGAGTTGACAGTGTCCGGGCACTGGCAAGGGAGCGTTTAGCGCAGTTGTTCGCGCTAGCAGACGGGACAGTGCCTCTCTCGCGTGATTTTCGCAAGCCACTGACGGACGCAGAAGAGCACATTTTCAGCGTCTTTGAAGCAGCGCTCGCTGCTGATGAAACTCCAGCACATTGCGTTTTGGCGATTCTGGACGGGATGCTGTGGGCCTCTGCCAGCCCTGGCGGTCACGAACGTGCGAAGCTAGCACTGAAGTCTTTCGTGCAATCGCTGGCGCTTGCAAGTCCTGAACGTTTATTGGTGATCGCTGCGCATCTCAACAAGTTTTGGGACTGCCCTGCGGAAGCCTCAGCACAGCTCAAGCGTTTACAGTGGCCGGCATTGAGAGCGTACTCGCTTCTGCCCCGTACTTGGCGTTGTGTCGAGTTCCTGGATACTCACTGTGGTGCAAAAGCGCTGGCTTTGGCCTCAGTATACGCTCAGCGTTCGCAGGACCCCAAAAGATTACGCGGGGCAGCCACTGCAGCCATCCAGTTACGCTGGTACCCAGCACACCGGAACATTGCGTCATCCGTCGTCGAGGCACTGTTGCAGCGCCGCTTTTCCTGGCTCGATGAAGAGATTCTCGGTCAACTCTATAGCTGCGCTTTAGCTGTCATTCCGAGAGCTGATAACATGTTCCACGAATGCTGCCGGACCCACGAAACCATCCACGCAAGATGCAGGGCACTGATTCACCAGCTCGACGCACTGGATGAGGAGCCAAACGCCTAGCAGAGGCTCGAATGCGGACACCGATCCTACATGCAGCGACAACAACAGAAACCGCGTGTTCGCTCGATAGACTGCGATACGCGCGGCTTGCGCACCGTTTGCGTCTCGACAGTCGGCTCTGCAGCTTCCGAACCTGGATATAGAGATTTCCCCGATGCCTCCTCGGGTCGCGGTAACGGCGACGGCGGTCGATACCAGCCGTCTATCACCACCGTCAGAAGCCACTCGTTGGTCAGCGTCTCTGGTGAGCAGCTTTGCAACGTCTGCACAACGGAGCGACGCAGACCGAGTGCACCGGCAGCCTTAACCACTGCCTGCTTCACGCGCAACAAATCGATCGCACCGCCAGCACGAGCTGCGGCACTGTAGTCGTAGTGCACGTAAATCGCCTTGCTGTACTCGATGGCTTCGATGAGCGCATTCAGTGTCGCCACGCGCTTTGCGAGCGTCGCTTCACTCGAGGATATCGCTTGGTGATTGTTATCGCGTAGAATGGATCTACACTGCGTATCTAAGTTGATGCAAGTGTTCGGTCGTGAGGCGCTCATCGTCGCCGAACGCTTTTCGAAAAGCGTGCGGCCTTCATCTAGAGTCAACGGTAGCCGAAAGCCCGCTGGCTCGCGTAAAGACGTCTTCACGCTCAGAGGTCGCACCGGAGTCATCACTTGCCCATCGTACTCGACTGCAAGTGCATGAATACATCACTGATGTTGCGTTTGGACAGTCCTCAAGTACCGCTTAGGCGACTCACAGAAAACCAGCGCTACTGGCGGTTTTTTCGCCCACGAGAAACGGCGCTTGCGCAGTCGACGCGCACACACCGATCGGCGTTTCAAAATCGCGGGCGCATTTGCCGCGAGCCGCCGCAGCACACGCGCGCGCGTTTGTTCGTACGGGTTACACTCTGTGCGCTGGCGGTACGCCAGCGTCTTTTCGAAGGATCGGCAACCTTGCACTGGCCCTGCGTTGATCCGGGTACACAGGTGCTGAGGATGCTGCTGGTGACCAGCGGAAAGACGGCCGCTGCCTCCAGAATGCCTCTAAGTTCCCAGTGATCCAGTGTGGAAGGTCATACTTGGGGGCGTTGCGTTTGTCGTGCACGGATGCACGCTGGGGTGTCGCATGCGTGTGCCGCGCCGTCGAATGCGCTTGCCGCCTCATGGTTCTGCGCAGCCGCCCGAAACGGATGACGACTGACAAGTTGCGCTGAGTGTCAAGCTGCTCAGATATAAGAAGCTGCAATGTTCTGACTTCTCTGAAACACGGAGGCATCTGCGAATCGGCTGTGGACTGGCTTCGTCGAGGCCCGTACATTGCAAACAGAAAAAGCCAACTGGAAGCGTCTCTACCCGAGACCTTCCTATGTAGTATAAAAATAAATCTTCCTGGTCAAATCTATCCAGAGGCCTTGAGCACGGCCGTTCCGATCCGTTTCAGGGCTGGTGGTGGCGAGAGATCTCGCGGCGCTTTCTCGGCGCATGGGCCTTACCGTCCGTGCGAGCCGTTCGTAAAATCCGCAATTGTCCCGTTTTCTCTTCGAATCGTGGCACAGGACTGTTTCACCCGGCTTTTCCGTATTCATACTGGACGCAAGGAACTTTTATACGAACATCATTTTATCTTTTGGTGACTTTTACAGTACATCGTGCGCTAGGATCCTCAATCAAGAAGTGCGGACGCAAGTGCCACTGAAGGCTGGGCACACTTTGGAGGAGAAAAGCGTCTCACCGTTTCTCCCGTCATGCAGTGGCGCCCAGTCGAGCAACATGTCCCAAAGGCAAGTTACCACGAGCTCGATTTTTGTGGGTCCAAAACAATGAACACGTTTTGCGGGTTGAATCCTGGTCTGACAAGGCGTACGGTGCACCGCACGATCAACAGCTGGCAACGCACGTTCAGCCGTTTCCGGTACTATCGCCAGCTGCTCGCACTCACGGTATTCACACTGCTTCTGTGGATGTATCGAGTGGGGCGTCCTCAAGCTCTTGATGACGAAAACGAGTTGGCTGGGCGTCTGCAGCCGAGGCTGCCCGGTCTTTTGGCGAAGGCGTTGTCGGCGGGCTCGACTCAGCGGCGCCATCAATCCTACTCGCGGTGGCCCCCGGCGCTGCGGCCAAACCTGACGCTGGGAAACGAACTCTTCTTGGACGACGTGACTCGTAACGAGCGGCGCAGGGAAGCGGTGCGTCGAGCGATGCAACACGCGTGGCGGGGGTATCGCCAGTACGCCTGGGATCACGACGAACTGCGTCCGCTCTCGCACAGTTACGAGGACAGCATGAATGGAGTCGGCCTGACCCTGATCGATGCGTTGGACACACTGTACCTCATGGGGCTCCATGATGAGTTTCGAGACGCTCGAGCTTGGCTTGCGCGTTCCGAGCACCGATTTGCGAGACCCAAAGCGGAGCCAGTATCCATCTTCGAGATGAATATTCGTCTGCTCGGGGGGCTCCTCTCTACCTACCAACTTAGTGGAGACCCGCTCTTCCTCCAGAAGGCTGAAGAACTGGGACATTTATTTGCCCATGCGTTCCTGGGGCGTCCACCGCCTCGCATGCCACATCCATCTTGTCGGTTTCGAGTCCGGAGTCAGCGTACGGGATCCGATGACGAGAACGGAACCATCGTGACCTGTCGAGCTGCGGAACGAGTCGTCCTGAGCGAGTGCGGTACGCTACAACTGGAGTTTCGAGCGCTGGGCGCAGCCACGCGGGACCCTCTGTTAAAAGGACTTGCCGAACGCGCTGACCAGGTTCTGCGCGATATTATCGCGCGAGCTCCGCTCGATGGCCTGCCAAACAACATCCTTAGCAGTGCGGATGGGAGCAGCTTTGTGAACAAGTCCGCCGAAATCGTACGTTTTGTGAATTTGGGCGCTGCCGGTGACTCATACTACGAATACATTCTCAAATCCTACATTCAACTCGGTCGTACCGATCCCTTTTGGCGACGTGAAAGCGATCGCATCATCGACGCTTTGGAACGAATTGTTTTCCGACGCGGCGTTCTGATCGAGACGCTCGAGTCACCGAGCGACCCAGCGCGTCAGACTGAACGCCAACACCAACTCAAGCAACCGCTGAAGCGCTTTGTGAACGTGAGCTGGCCGGTCGTGCTCTCGAATAGCGAAGAAATCCACCAGCCCGATCATTTGTCGTGCTTCGCGTCCAGTCTATTTGTCTTGGCGGTGCCGCCCGAGCAATGGGACGCCTCCGTTCGAAACGATCGCGCGGAGCGTCTTCTCCGCTTAGCCGGTGAACATGCTCGATTCTGCTTCGAAATGTATCTGGTGAATGCGGGCCTCAGTAGCGAGAGCGTCGAGGTGCAGCCATCCTCGCCGCAAGACTCGCCTTACGCGGATCGTCCCCTGGTGCAGATTCGGAGCTATGTGCGCGGTTACCATCAGCGCCCGGAGACTTTGGAGGCGCTGTTTTATCTCTGGAGAGCGACACATGACCCCAAATACCGAGACTGGGGATGGACAATATTCCAGGCCATGGAATGGTACACCCGCGTGCCCTCGGGCGGTTACGTTGGTTGTAGAGATCCAGACAACGGCTGCCGGATACCGATCGACAAAATGGAAAGTTTTCTCTTGGCAGAGACGCTCAAGTACGCGTATTTACTCTTCTCGGACGATGCAGCGCTTGACATCAAGAATGAATGGGTTTTCAACACCGAGGCACATCCACTGCGCATCATGAGCGTTTCGAGGGAGCGTTAGCGCACCTGGAACGCCCTCCGACGAGTTTCGTGAGCGACCCAGAAGGCCACTAGCGTCGTGTGTTCCCGAGAAGGGAGCGCGCTTCCGTGAGTTCATTGTGGAACCCAACGCCTGTGGACCGGCATGCGTAGCGCGAATGACCTGCTACTTGACAGCGGCAATGCATCGTATCATGGCTCGTTTCGTCGGCATGGCAGGAATGCATCAGGAAGATACAGCGATCCGTAGTTCGCGCTTGTATCGCATCGTCGTCGGCATTCGGCAAAAGAAGATCATCGTGTATGGAGGTGAATCTTCAAATCGTTCATACGCTTAGACGCTGGATCCTGGGCTTGCTCGCTATACTCTGGAGCCGCCTCGGCGTCTGCCAGGTGCGGAGTGCGTCAACATCATGGGGCAACTCTTGCTCGTCTCTGAAATTTGTTTGGTCTAGTACTCCAGTTGGCTCTTGGAACCGGAGTGGAGGTACGGAAAAAGTGACACAGACACAGACACAGACACAGACACACACACACAGACCAGCAGAAAATCCACCAGCAACCTGTACAGCATCCAGAGGTCTAGTCCAGGCCCTGGACCCGCAGCATTGCCCCGTGTCCGAGCGGGGCTCCTGGAGCCGACTCAGCGGGGCGCTGGCTTGTTCGGCTCTGCAAACAAGCGTACGCTGCCGCGGTTTGTCTCGGGCGAAGTCACGTGAGGGGACTGCTTTTTGGAACTCGGTTTGTGGTAAATTGTGACGAGTTTGGCAACAAGTTTGCCAGTTTGGGTGTCAGTTGTTTCACGCGTGCGACGCAGCGTCGTCAAGAGCGCTGCGGCGAGTCGCGTTTAGCTGCTGCAGCGGAGTCGACTTTCGTTGCGTGGACCCCGCCTGCGTCCCGACACGAAACGTTTCCAACGGGACACCATTTTTGGGCGTAAAGTTATCGGCTGGGGGCATGTCGTCGTCGTCGTCGTCGGCCGTTGAGCTGAAGCTACCCTTTCTGGTGCGTGTGCCGTCACCAGCCGACGTTCATGAGCTCGCCGAATACGCCCAGTGTGCGGCAGTGCTCTATGGCTTGGTTATGGCCCTAGAAACGTCGTCCGGTACTGAATGCAATCAAGTTCAAACCTGGACGGCGGTGCCGGTGCCCATGACGCTTTTCCCAACGGTCATTCCGCGCGCCTGCTACCACCAAGCCCGGAGCCTGGTGGCAACCTTGCACCGTTGCATCGACGGGCTCGCCCGAGATACTCCTTTTCTGCTCCAGAGCTTGCACTCAACTGCTTCTCAAGATGATTTCACCGCTCGATTATGTGACCTTGTCAGACAGCAGCCCTTGAAAGCGGATGTTCCGGCTTTGAGCGTTACGCGTGCGGATTACTTTGTAACTGCAAACGGCCGGTTGCAGCTGGTGGAAATCAATACCATTGCGAGCTCCTTTGGAGCACTCGGCAGCCGTCTACGGGCACTCCATACACACGTCCTGCACCGCGCGGATATTCTCGGACTCGCCAGCGAACTCCGACACGGTTCACATTCGGATGGATCCGGTCAGTTCGACGGGGCAATGGCGCAGCTTGCTTCATGGCGACGGGGGCAGTGCGAAAACAACATGCCCGAGAGCGGAGCGCTCGAGGGTATTGCGGAGGCACTTGCCCATGCGCACCGCTGGTGGCGCGCCCAGCACGAGCGCTATTCGTCACCCGTTGGAAGCACGGTGATTCTCTTCGTGGTCCAACCGAAGGAGCGCAATATCTACGATCAGAAGTGGATCGAACTGACGTTGTGGAAGGAGCACAATATTCGGGTGCGGCGCGCAACGCTTACCGAGATTGCTCAGAACGGACAACTCGTCGGCGGAGCAGAAGGATCACGTCCGACGTTGCAGCTTCGCAGCACCTCAAACGCGGAAACGGAGCAGGCGTTCATCTCGGTTGTTTACTATCGCGCCGGTTACGTGCCGCAGGACTATGCAAGCGATCGCGAGTGGCAAGCTCGAGCGATGATTGCGCGCTCCAATGCGGTAGAGTGCCCAAACGCCTCGTATCAGTTGGTCGGAACGAAGCGCATGCAACAGATTCTGGGCGAACCTGGTGTCCTAGAGCGGTATCTGGACGATACGCGCGGGTCGGAGCGCATGACGCATGGGCATGCGGCAGCGTCAACGATTCGTCCATCGCATCCCAAAGCCGAGGCGCTGCGTGAGACTTTCGTAGGGATGTATGCGTTCGATGATCCAAGTACGCGTGCTGCGCTGGTGCAGCGCGTGCTGGATCAGCCGGAAAACTATGTTCTCAAGCCACAACGTGAAGGTGGCGGTCATAATCTCTATGGAGCAGAGATGAAAACATTCATTGAACGCACGTGGAATGCTCCCGACATGTTGGCACATCGACAGGACCCAGACCACCCACTTTGCGCTTACGTACTCATGGATAGAATTCACCCAGGTATATCTCCGAATGTTATCCTCCGAAACGGACACACACCAGTACAGAGCGACTGTGTTTCCGAGCTCGGTATTTTCGGGATATTTTTCGGGAGCACTGAGAATGCCGGGTCGCCTGGATCCATCGGTGTGATAGAGACTTTGAATCAGGCAGTTGGGCATCTCCTACGGACTAAGCTAGCACGGCAGGATGACGGTGGAGTTGCTGCCGGGGTCGCCGCCCTGGACTCGCCCTGGTTGGACACTGCGTAAACGTCCACGTGTCAAACGTCTGAATCGAAGCCGACACAGCCGGTATCTGCGGTATTGTTCCTCCAGTCTGATGTGCGTTGGTGTGTTAGTGAGGTAGGCAGTGCATTGGTGTGCACGTCTCGCGCTTTCGGTTGGACTGGTATGTGATCGCGGCGTGCTTCCTTGCACCAAGTACGCACTACGCTTTGCTGTGTGTGTATCTATGTATGTACGTGTGTGTGTTCGCAAGCGTGCCGCACAGGCCGACGCCCAGGTTCCAACCACTTGACGAGCAGCTTCACGCCTCTGCGGCGTAGCGCGACCACCCTGCCCAGCACAGCAGTCGTCGGGCATCATCCGTCACTAGCGAACATGCGGTGCTTTCGGTGAAAACGCCTGGATCATGTGGCGCTGCCTTCGCGTGGCAATAGTGCGGGCGAGCGCCTGGCCCCCGCAGCAGCCGAGCGACCGTTGCTCCAAGGCGCACGTCAATACCGCCTCTGCTTGCCTTACTCATCTTCGTCATCAGACCAGGTCCTGCGCCGAGCAATCGTCACGCATGGCCTATGTTCCGACTCGGTGTGCACCCGTTGCAGGAGCGCAATCAGTTGCTCTTCGGTAACCCGCGAGCCTGGAGCTAGTTCCCCAAAGCGCGCAGCTCGCAGCAGGTAGTCTTCTACCGCCCTTGCTCTGTCCGGTTTCACGAGCGCGACACGAGCTAAGCGTTCAGAAGCTTCCTCACTGAGAATCAGACGCAGAAGCGAACGCCTTCGCTCTTCCTCCGCGGCAGCCGCTTGGCGAGCAGCTTCATCGGCTCGTTCCTTCTCCGCACTGCTCCCGTCAAGGTGCGTTGCAAGCCCTGGGGCCTTCCCCGGAACCGGTGTTTGATCTGAACCAGTACTAGACCAACCAAACCGCGACGACTGCATACAAGCAACTGTGTTTCGAACCGCGGTCTCGCTGAGTACACAGAGACCAACGGTCCCCTGGGACTGCACCCGCAGCGACGATTGCCTGCTTGCTGTCGGCTGCCGTGGCGCGGAGCGTCTGCGTCGGTGCTTCGGAACAGCGCACTGCTGGGGTGTCGTTGTCAGATGGACGTTGCCCGCTGCTACGGGGTATAGCCTGGAAATCGGTGTTTTCCACGTATGTTGCTCAGCGCCTGTGCCATGATGTCGTGTGCAACGGAGGAATCCCGAGTGGTGTGAAATGAAGTCAACGTCCTGATCTAGTGCGCACACATTTCAGAATATGCGAGTTTCATCAAGCGGATCATGCGTTCTTCGCGGTAAACTGTACACTGATGGTGCCAGCGTTGTTAGACGACACGCGTAGCTCGTCGAGGCGCTAGCGCATTGTGGCTTGGGACGCTCACCCGCAACCCAGTCGACGCGAGAACGGTGCAGGGACGCGGATCGGGTGTCAGCTGGGCACTGCGGGAAGCGATTGACAAACAAGGTACGAAATTCCCTTACGAATTAGGGAATTTCTCGACGGATGGTTGTGTTGGTGTCAACTTCGTACAAGTTCTGGAGAGCGCGCATTCCCGGCTACGCTGTGTCAGCGTTCGCGGTCGCGCTTCCCGGTTTTGTTCGCGGGTTTCGGACTTGTGCGGGGCACGTGTACATAAAGACCTCAAGGCGGGGCAGAGATATTCAGGAGTGCGTCGAAAAGCGTACGCGCTACGGTATTACGTAAAAACCGGAAAAGAAAAGCGTCTTTAGAGCGCGCGTGCGGCACGGGGCTGGCTCGCGCGCTCCGCTCGTCCGTATACTTGTCAAGTCACAAACGTCAGCGATCTGTCTGCGGTCAGGGGGGCATTTTGGGGCATTGTCCACGCCCCTTTACAACGATATTTAGGTCCTGCAAGGTCAAGGACAAGTAGCGTGTATGGGCGAGTTGCAGGGAGCGCAGAACGTCCGGGACTCGAGGGACCCAGATTCTGCAGACGCAGACAGCCCAGTCTTTGGCGAAGGAGCAGACGAAGCGGTCCATGTACCCCCGTTGACAGACGCTAAATACGATGCGCGAGAAACACAGATGCCATTTGTGCCCGCCGAGAGACCGACTTTGTGTACGAAGCGACCGCCGCCGCATCAGTCTGCAGATATCCAGGACTGCGCAAGCAACCGAATCGCAAGTGACGCCCCGAGTAAAGCGTTGGCGTCGGAACAGGAGACGGAGTTTTCTTCATCCAATGCGTCAGGTGGGGCTTCGAAAGAGCTCGGGGAGAACACGAACGCAAACGGAGAATCCGCTGTGACAGACATGATGTATCGCTCGAGTCGAACGGGTAGAGATGCTTTGCCGGCTGTGGCGTCACAGCTACCTCGTCGAAAACGTGGCCGTCCGCGCAAGGAGGAACTTCTGGCACGAAAACTGCGACCTGGAGGCGAACCCGGCTACCCGGATGGAACAGCGAGTCACACGCGATGGCGGACCAGCGCCTCAGCGGTGGATATCCCACGGACGGTGCACATCATGTATGACTACCCCGAGCCGAAAAGCCGTTCCATTGACCAGTCTCGGTTGGATTCTCTTGCGCAGGCTACCGCTGCCAAAGCGCTGGCATCATTGGCTCATGGGAGAACGACCACGAAGAGTTTACCCGCAGTGAGCATCGGCGAGCCATGTCCGGCAGGTACTGCATTACGCGTTTTACCCCTGCTTCGAAGAGCAGGGCAGGGTACCACCTTTTTCGCTGACGGAAGCGTTGGCGCTCTGTCAGCCGAACAGTCTGCGCCCGCAATCGAGCAGAGGAAAATGTCCGATCAAGTTGTAGAGCTGGTGTCGAAAAGTGCAGCTCCAAGCAACCCGCGATCGCCCGAGAAATCTTAGAGGCGTTAGCGTGTATCCCGCGAAGCGTTTTCACCTTCCGCAAAAAGGTATGGCGGAAACTCGGATGTGAAATAAGGGCCAGCGATGACGCCAATGGACTTTTTCTTTGATGATGTGTCTGTCAGGAGCATGCCAACCTCGCACTCTCGGCATGCATTGGGATTCACTGGTGTAGGACTCATCACGCACGGTATCGAAGCTATCGAGGATTCTTTATCGAAAGGGATAAGCATCTGGAACATCCAGAAACGCATACCTTTTCGTTGAATGGACGCCAGCATCAGCATCCCCCGTCGATCGGTCTTTTAGCAATTGATCCCTACAACAACATATTGCAGCAGCAGCAGCAGCAGTAGTAGTCGTAGTCGTAGCAAATACAAAAACAACAGCATCATCAGCGGCCATCCATAGACGCTCGCTTGAGCACGTTCACTGTTCGCGGAAAAAGTGCTGCGAACTGGTTCACTACGCGCGTGGTCGCCAGAGTAGGCGTCTGCACACCGTTCACGTAACCAAGCACGGACTGCTAGTCTCACCGTATTCGGCTGAAATCATCACCACCATCATCATTATCACTATCGGCTCCGGTAATCGTGAGCAATCACCGGAGGTTACGCTGATCACCGCGTTCCACAGTGATAAACGCTTTGTGCTTATGTACCAGCGTAGAGCAGGCACCCGAAATCCAAACAACCCTACCCATCTCCGTAACCTTGATTTGCATCGTGAGCAATCCATTCGTTCCCAAGTACTCCATAAGGTAGCGTGTCATGATGCATGTGCCGCCATTCGTACCAGAGCGCGAGCGGCTCCGACCGACTCGAACGGCACGCTCGTGTCGGATCGCTACCCTAGTCGAGGCTGCTTGGCCCTGAATCGCCGTCCACAAGTCGTCCAAGGCGATTTTTCAGCTCATTCAGTTGACGTTCAGTGAGCTCTCCCACGTATTCGCGATCTGGAGGCCCCTGATCCTTTGCGTCGCGGAAGTACCGCTCATAGCCGGGCATGTTGTCCTCTGGAGGGATCACCATCATGCCGGATGGAACCAGTCCCATACGCAGGCCGGCTTGTTCGCAGAACGCATAGACCTCACCTATCTGCAGTTTTTCGACGTGCGGCTCGGGAAACTCCTGCGCCGCTAGTAAACGCGCGTAGCGTATGGCCTCCACGTCCCGCTCGAAGGCCAAAATAATGTCTTCGTCGCCCAGCCGGAGACTGTAGATCCCGTCACCACGAGGTGACGAGCGAAACACAAGCACGCAGACCTCTTTCGAAGCGTCATAGGGCGTTTGCGATCCCTCGACAACAGTCGCTTCGACTTCGAATACAGAGCGCTCGCTGTTACCTGCACGGGTGGTCTGGTCTCTGGCGGCGTCCTCGGGGCTATCAGCGCTCGCCCTAGTTTGCTTCATCTGTTGTATGCGTTTCTGAAGTTCCTCTAACGGCAAAGAAGTGCCAGGAATCTGGTGCAACGGGCGCTCGCCAGGTGGCGGCTGCTGAGCGTCCTCCTCGTGCTTGTCCGACGACGACTCCTCAGCGCCGTCTTTATCATCGCTTGGTGGGTCTGCTGTTGCTCGAAAGCGCCCGCGCAAAGCCCCAAGCTTGCGGCACCAGAGCCGTTTACCTTCAACCAGAGGAAAACCGCGTGCTGGCAGCTTTGGGTGCCACCGCTGCTGGCGGTTGCCGGCGTACCTGCAGCACCCAGCGTCTCGACTATGGCCTTGCCCGCTTGAGACCGTCCGCGTACACCAAGTTGGCCTGCAACCCCAAGCTACCCAAGCTGTATCTTGGACCATAGGAGCAAACTCTCGCTCGAAACAAACCTCAACTCGTTGTCGCAACAGCGTCGCTCCCTCCAGAGCCGCTGTGCTGTTTGCCCAGACGCCCTGCAGCGGCGTTTCTCTTAAGAGCGCACACGTGCCTGTACAATTCGGAGGTGTGACGCCTACCAGCAGCCTCAACTTGTCAGGAAACAAGAGCTGTGGGAACGTTCAGTAAAACTGCTGTTATTTGTGTTTCAGGGTTTAGAGCTGAGTTTGTGTCTTGTTTCAGCGCACACGTGCCTGTACAATTCGGAGGTGTGACGCCTAGCAGCAGCCTCAACTTGTCAGGAAACAAGAGCTGTGGGAACGTTCAGTAAAACTGCTGTTATTTCTGTTTCAGGGTTTAGAGCTGAGTTTGTGTCTTATTTCAAAGGCAGGGTATGAAGCAGGGCACCTGAATTTGGGAAAGTGCAGTTCAGCTGTCCTGGCTCCGTTGACTGGCACTAGTGGCACTGGGTACAGGTTCAGGCTACTACTATTGTTACTGTTCCTGCTGCTGATATCATTACGACTGCTATCGTTGCTGTTACGACGACCGTCGTTGGAGCCTGATCAGCACTTGACGTATCTTTCGTTGCCCTGGTTCGGCAAACGTTTGAAAAGACGTAGACGGGTTGTTTGCGATTTGCTCTTGAACCTAGAGCAGGGTTCGGTGCTTTCGGCGGGGCGCTACTCCCCGAGCGCTGATTGATCCCGGTTTTGGGGAACTGCCGCGTCTTTTGGCGGTGTTGCGGACCCGGCATCATCTTGGTTTTAGAGGCAACCGCGGCAGGCGGGGAAGATCGATAACGTCGTACCATGAGCGAGCGGCTCTATTATTTTGTGATCGTCGGACGAGATGACCGTGTTCTCTACGATCTCTTGTATCCGGCATCGCTCTCCGAGCTGGACTGGAGAACGAGCTCAGAGCTCTCGAGTCCGGCAGAGCGTGGAGACTTCGAGCCCCATCATTTCATACCGAGCATCCAGGTTCTCCTGCAGTTCGTTGCCTACAGCGCTCTGGACCATATCGAGGAGAAATATTGGTTAACCTCGGCCCGAAGTTTGAAGCATATCTTCCGATTCCGTGACTGGTCTGCATCGGTTCAGCTCACGCCGAACGCAGCCACGCGCTTCGTATTAGTGCATGGGGCTAGCGACGATGCGTCACGGAACGTACGGGCGTTTCTGCACGCCGTGTACGAGGCCTATGTGCCTCATGTGGTGTGCAACCCATTCCAAGAAGAGGATGCACCGATTACGAGCAAGCGGTTCCACGAAGTGGCTAAAAATCTCGCAAAGCGCTACTTCTCCGGTTAGCGCTATGGCCTCACTCGTATGGGCAGCGTTCACTTGCAACGATGTACGCCTTGGGGCAGTTTCCTGCTCGTATCCGCTGATGCATCTCGATCGGGAGTGGTAGCCTCGATTCACAAGCAAAAGATGAATATGATGCTGGTAGAGCTGGCGCACGGGGTGCATCTGTGAAGGATCCTGATCTCTTTTCTGATGACAAGCAGCAGTTGCACATCCGCGGAATCGGATTCTAGACGCCCGTTCTTGTGCGAGAAAGAATCGCTCTGGAGTGAATCCGCTGGAATTACTCTGGATCTCTGGGCCAGTCGTTGTGTGCAACGTTCTAGGCGAATGGTTCCACGAACTAGATGCGCACGCGAGTCCAGCGATTCGTACACCACCTCACTGGTGGATAACGAGCAAAGTTGAGACTCGGCCTCTTGGATTCTTCGTCATCGCGGGGTTTCTCAAACCCGTCGTGCCGCGAAGGCAGGTCTGCATACGCAGACTGGGCGAGCACCCACGGACGACGAGACACGACCCTGCGATCGATGAACGGCGCCTCGAGCCGACACGCTCAACGTTCTTGCAAAGCTTTTCTGTCAGTGTGCTGCATCAGCGCCGGCGCTACAGGCGTCTTGGCGAGCGCTCACAGCAGACTCGGTGTGCTGCGGAACCTATGCATAGACCACACCCTCCGAGCATAAGTACGCGTCGTGGAACTTTGACGTAGCGCGAGTTATCACGGACGCTTTCCCGGATGCAGATATCCAGTTGCACAGTGGCATGTATCTCTGGTCAGTGTAAACGTTCCGCCGATCAAGAAAGGATGGCTGGAGTCAGGCGGTATTGAAGCCATCGCGTCCAATGCTCGGACAGCGTGCAGGGAAACGATCATCGTTTGTGGGCACTGGACTAGCATGCCAGACGCGCTACCAGACGCATGCGCGACTTTTCTAGTCGACGCTTTGAAGCCGTTCGGAGCGATACCAAGCAGGCGCACACGAGTGATGCCGCTGCTGGTCTGTTTCCGCACACGAAACGGCGAGGCGAACCCGCGGTAGACCATAAAACGACTGAATAGCCGCTTCGGATTTTTTCCCGTAGAATGATCTCGGCATCTGCCGCATTGATAGGAGACGAAAAAAACAAACTAGTCGCAAACTATTTAATAAACAACAACTATCTTAAAGACCCACACACCACGCCCGCCTAAGAGGTCTAGTTTTTCCGGAGAAGCTCTGAAAGTGGGTAAACACGGGGTGCTCGGGCGACGAGGAAGGAAGCCCACAACAGGAACCTTGACCGCAAGGAACGGAAGGGCGGAGGCAGCAGCAGCAGAAAAAGTTGACGAGAATGCTGAGCAGTTATCCGCTGCTCTCGAAACAACGCTGCGGGTTCCGGCGCGAATCCTAGATCCATCCTCGAAATCGGGCTCAGTTTTACCTCCTACCTTGGGTACCTACCTCAACTTTGGAAACAATCTCGGCGGATACTTCGGAAGACAGCTGGCAGTATGTTCGCGGTAGAAGCTGGAACAAGCGACTTGCCCGCCTATGTATTTGGGGAGCGGATACGAAGCCGCTGACAGGGTGGTTCATAGCGTATCCCCAGTGGTTGAAGGTAGCTTCACACGTCCGGCAAGATAAAGGTCGCATTCGAATCGACTTTGACTAATGTACATCTGATTCTACGCTAGCGCTGCGGCAGACACTCACTGAACGACTGGAATGCAGGAGGCAATGGTGGCATGTGCGTTCTCACACGCCGTGGAGGGTGCATCTCAATCGACAACGTATCTCTCGAGTACCGCAGCGCTATTCCTATTCCCTTATGCGCTACGACTCGATAGGTTCCGCATCATGGAATATTTGTGGGACAGCCTCGATACTAGATGACGTAAGGTACTTCCTGGAACGCTGAGACGTCCATATCCTAGCATTGCAGGAGACACTACACTCAGAGAACACAAAGACGTATTATCGTCTGCATACCCCAGGCGACAACACCTTTGAACCAACATACGTAGACCCTACGGAGAAGCCAACTTCGTTACGCACACGTGGTGTGGCGCTCACTGTCGATCGACGCCTCACTTGCTATGCGGTCGGCAACCCGTCTCCATGGATGGTCTTTGTGAGTGTTACAATTCCAGGTCAGCCTGCACCTTGGCTTGTGGGCTCCATTTATATACCACACGCCGGAGAGATGCGCCAACAGGCACTCAAAGAGTTGGCCTCCAACATCCAGCGATTGAAACGCCGCACACGGAATCAGGAACCGATGATAATTATGGGAGATTTTAACATGTCGGCGGGCCACCTTAGGCAACACCTACAACGAATGAGATGCGGATTCCTGTCGGTGAATCCGTGTAGAGGTTCACCCCTGACGTGGCACCGCATTACCGACCAACGTTTGCTTCGCTCATCGATAGACCACATCTTAAGCGACCGATGCGACCCGGCACTCCTACAAACCGCCGTTGACCGAATTTGGGATGCCTCAGATCACTGGCCCATCCATTGCAGATGGTACCCGCGCCCGAGGAACCAAAATGCTGAACCAGCAGCCGACACGACTCAGAGCGCACAGCAAGGGTTACCAGCAAGTGCACCCTCAACATACCAAGCCCGGATGCTAACCAACAAGTCACTTGCAGCCTTCCGAGAAAAGATAACGAATTATCAGTACATTAACGAAGAAGAGACAACAATAGAGGGATCTACAATAGCGAAAGAGACCCAACGGGATACGGAGAAGGAGGCACAGAAACCTCATGATCCACCTAGATGCAAAATAAGCAGAGAATGCAGCTCAGGAAAGAGCCCGAAGAAGAAAAAGACCAGCAAGAAAAAAACAGAAGAATAGAAAGAAGAACTCCCAAACGAGCCCATCATGAGTGATCCCCCGAAAGAGCACCCGAGCAGGAACTCAAGAAAGCCGTCGCCAAACCCAGTCACCTACTCACAGCGCTGTAGATCCGAAAAGCCGTGCATGCAAATCTTTAGACCAATTGGCACGCGAGTTTGTAGCTGGGAATCAGAAGACCGCCAGAGAGCTGGGACTGCTTGGACCAGAACACAACAGTTGCAAACCTCAGTTCCTGAAACGACGTACCAAAACTCGGATTGATGAATACCGCCGACTCTATAAGATCGTCAACCGCACCGCCATACGCGCCAACGCCGGAGACATGGAAGCGAAGGCAGCGCTACCGGCGCTACAGGCACAACATGAGGAAGCTATCAAAAGAGAGAAGAAACTTTCCAGAGAAGACAAACGAGAGGATCGAAGCCGCAAAATCGCCGCCCTGGCGAAATCTATGCTAGAGAGCACCAACGAAGATGAGACCTGGCGCTACATCCGATCGAGACTTGACCCACCAAAAAAGTGCCTGGGGCTCACACCAATCGTTTATGAGGAAGCGCTGAGGACGGAGAGTGCCTCAGTGAATGAGGCCTGCACAGACCACGGGACAGAGCTGCATGAAGACGCAACTGGGCACTGCCAAAACCGAATCTATCGGCACCAATATGCTGCAGAACTACCGCGCCTCGAACCGGTACCGGTATGGAACGACCCAATCTTCTGGCCTGAATCTGTTCGGACCCTGCTATGCTCAAGCAACCGCAAAACACCTGGCATCGACGGTATCGCGACGGAGTGGATGAAACTGGCGACCCCAAAAGACGAGACAACAGGGACACCATCGATACCAGATGAATCTGACAGAATCCTGGGCAAACGCCTTCTGGAGCTCATCCAACGCATGTTCGAAGAAGCATACATCCCTGATGTATGTAGGAGTGTTGAGGTCGCACCGATCCTCATGTATGCTTCATCGACTTTCAAAAGGCCTTTGACACGGTCCCGCATGAGGCTCTATTTCTCAAGATGGAACGCGCCGGAGTCTCCGAAAAGTGCTTAGCATTCTTCCGGGCGCTCTATGCAGACTCATGGATGCGCATCCGACTGGGCGACGGCTCATGAATCCCTCGTATAAGAATCCGCCGTGGACTGCGACAGAGCGACCCCGCATCCCCGCTCCTTTTCAACATCTTCATCAACGATCTGCTGAACAACTGCAGACAATACGGGCTTGAGGTGCCGTGGATAGACTGTGGAGATGCCCGATGAGGAGCCCTCACATACGAACCGCCTCGCAGGCCTTCTACTTGCGGACGATGTCGTGCTGTTGGCATCCGCCCCGGAAACGCTTGCGGCTAGCATGGAACAAGTCAGCACCTGGGTCGATCGCTGGAAGATGAACGTAGGAGCATCGAAGTGCGGCGTCATGCTCATCCATGGAGACTCGCAGAGCATTCGCAATCGCTCGTGGCGGTTGCAGAATCAGGAAATTCCAATCGTGGAAAAATATCGCTATCTGCAGGGTCTGTCTCACGCCGACGCTCGACGAAAAGGCACACATCGACGAGATGATCGCCAAGATGCATAGACGTACAGCGATCGCACGCCCATTCCCATCCGACCCCTCTATCCCCTTAGCAATTCGTACCAGGGCGCTAAGGATGTGTATCATCCAGCCTGCGACCTGGGGTGCTGAATGGTGCGGCATGAACCACACAAATATCTCACGTCTGCAGATAGCCGCCAACAGGGCAATGCGACTCGTTGTTGCTGTTGGATGCTCAATGCAGAGCAGAGCAACCAACCTGCCTGGCACTCGGACTTGAACTCCAAATACCCTCAATAGAAGCGATAGCAGCAGGCTGCCAGGCACGTGTGTGGGCCAAAGGGCCCACCATGTACACCTGGTTCAGTCGGATTTTCATGCAGACCCCAACGCACCGCTAGAACACTTGGATGAAATCAGCGCAGATTTGGCTGAAGCGCCTCTTACGCGAAAACACGCTACCCAATCGTTCCCCAGAAATATAGAATTCTCCCGTCGCCTGAAGCGAACGGTCCAAACAACAGTACGGGAATGTAGACATGGAACCAGTCGCGCAAGTAACGCCGGCTTGACCCTATCCGGAACTACACCCTAGCATACACATGCAAGTACTGGTAGTGGGTGCTGGAATTCCCGGGACTTGCTCGAGGTACCCAGTGGATCGCCGAAATCCGCGTTGGTGGTTTCTGACTAGCACCGTCTCTAAGCCGTACGGAAACACCGGAATCGCACTGGGAATCACACTGTCCCTGCTCTGGAGACCAGACCCCCGAGACGCTGACATATTTAGGCTTATAGTGCCCGCACTGGAAACAGGAGCGCAGCGAGCTCCTTGAAGGACAGCAGCAGCTGGACATCGCCGTGATAGGCGAAGGCCGGACACTCACTTTGAGTGCAGCACTGGCAACTGATGGTCCGCTAACGGAGCCTCAGCGCTCATTAATGGCGAACAAACTCACATGCTACCTTCTGGGCGGAAGGTCCAGCGGATCGGATGCGAACACGGGGCCAGTGCGCTTTCTGCGCCTACCCACTGTGGTGGGTGTCAAGCACAAATCCGCATTGCCAACCGACGACAACGCATTCCATGCATGATCACAAAGGAGGGAGGCGACTCCCTCGATTTATCCTAACAGCCAAGTGTCTCCAGCGTGTCGTACAGCGAAGACAGGCCTGCATCCGCAGACTGTCCGAGCACAAACAGACAACGACACCCGATTCTACGTCGGGTGAACCACGCCTTGAGCCGACGCCCTCTGTGGTACGGCAACGCCGTTCTGTCTCTATGAGGTATCTGCTCCAGCATTTAAGGTGCAAAGGCGAATACAGAAAGGCAGGTACGAGGCACACCCGATAGGACGTATGAAACGACCAGAATATCCTAGAAGAAGTATAGGTAATGGAACTTGGAAGTAGGCTGTTTGATGGATACTTCACCGCACATTGGAAAACACAAAAAAGTAAGAAAAGAGAAACGCGCATAGTCGGAGAACGCTGGCCAAAGGAAACGTTTTGTTTATGAAAAAAATGCCGCCGTCGAAGGAAAACGTGATCTTGATATCTAGCATGTAGCTCTAATGTAAAAGTTGTATTTTCGTTAACTTCATAGCCAAGTATAGTTTTCAGTTCATTTGAGTCTCAAACCTCAAACATGTGTATTCAATTGTTTTTTCGCAGTATATAACAGAAGCGTTCCAGGAGCTTTCTTTTTCAAAAAAAAACTAAAAAAGGAAAGTTATGAAAAAGCAAGTCGACGATCCTGGAGGCCGAGGGTCGCCGACTACCAGAAAAAAACGAAAACTGTGCCGAGTCCAGAAGACAAGGAAGCGAAGAAGGACCTAAAGGGAGAGGCCCTACGTCGAAGGCGGCAAGAAAGACGGCTGTACAACGAGATGGTGGTGAAAACCTTTCTTCTTGGACATATCAAGGATCCCTACAGGGAAAAGTTGCGAGACGCTATCGAAAAACGTGTTGCGTCATACTCCAAGAGTATCGTCAAGGCGTCGTCAGGACTGATGCATTTGGTGAGAGAGATGTATCGCGACGTGACGCACATGGAAACGGTCGAGATTCCAGACGAGTTTTTCGATAAGAAGTTTATTCGTCAGCTGATGCTTGGTACAAAGGAAGCGCGGATGGAAAATGAGCGGGTGCATGCCCTCCACGGAAAACATCCCTTTTACAGCTTCAATGGTACTCGATACAAGGGTGACCAGGATATTTACACATACGGGGCAATGAAGTACATTACGAACCTGAAGAACCGTTTGACAACGAACCTCGAACGTTTCATGATACGCGCCGTGTTTGCACTCTACCCGGGTCTGTCTCGCAATGGAAAATTTGCGATTATCAATGGCATCACGAAAGATCGCAAGCATGAAGGTGAGGTCGAATTCGTCGACAAGAAGACGTCACGCAGGAGCACAAATGAGGACTCCGTCATCCGCGCGGTTATACAAGAGCACCGTGCGGTACTGGGGCTGGCGAATCCAACAGAAAAGATATCAGTGTTGAAAAAAAGGTAAGGAAAGATACTATCGCCTCATCGTGCGCTATTTTGTGTTTTTGGAGCGAGAGTTCGAACGCAAGGCAGAGATGAAGCTGAGTGAAGAGACAAATGAAGAGTAGGAGAGACGGAAGGCTTTCCGAATGGGTAAGCGCTTCGACGTGGTTCCAGTGTGCAAGATCAAGTCACATTTTGTGACTACCGACTCCGCAGTCCTTCATGGCATCATGAGGGAGATCAGTCCCGAGTTCGATGTCAGCAGGGAGTAATTCTCCGGTGAAAAACGGGAGACGTACTGGAGGAGTATCTTCGATTTCAAACGTCTCAACGTGAGCAAACAAAAGGTATTCACGGGGGTGATCGAAACCGATGGAGTGGCCTTATGTATACACTATCGGCGGTTGAAGAAAGATCGGCCAGTTCCGCCTTCGGCGAACCATGAAGATGAGAAGAAGGCGGGTCCTGCGACGCAGGAGGTGCGAGATAACGACCTTGTCGTTGGCACGGCGATGCATGAAGAAAACAAAGAGGAGGCTGGTCCTGCGACGCAGGAGGTGGAGGATAACGACTTTATGTTTGACGCGGCGAAGAATGAAGATGAGGAGGAGGCTGGTCCTGCGACCCAGAAAGTGCAGGATAACGACTTTGTCTTTGACGCGGCGAAGGATGAAGAAAAGAAGGAGGCGGATCCTGCGACCCAGAAAGTGGAAGATAACGACTTTGTCGTTGCCGCGGACCCTGGGAATACAAATATCATAACCATCTCTGTACCAAAGTGTGCGGAAGATGGGACTGATGGTAACTTACGTCAGAAAGACATGCGTCTTTTGAGGTTCTCGAGAGCGAGATACAATCGGGAATCGGGCACCATGAATGCGAGGAAGAAAATCGTTACATGGAATTCAGGAACGAAGGATCACCTGGAAGCTTTGAGCGAGGTGACGAGCCGAGGGGCGGACTTTGAAGCTTTTCGGGAGTTCATGAAAGTTCGCATGGCGCATTGGGATGCGCTGTGGGAGAAGTATACCAACCCCCGTGGGCTCGTTTGCGAATGAATTTGTATTGTGGGAAGCAGCGGGCGTTCGCGAATTTTTTCAATCAGTTGAGTGCCCTGAAGGAGGATGAAAATCAGAGGCTAGTAGAAGCGTACGGAGCAGGGCGCTAGAAGACCCAAAAAATGGACTACGCCAGCTCCAACGACAAGAACGTACAAGGAGTGGGCAAGGCGTTTTGTTACAATACCTGTAGATGAGTTTCGAACATCGTATATACACCATGGACTGGACTGTATACTTCATAGGGTCGAGATGGAAAAGTGCCAACGGAGCCCTGAGGAAATCGCAAAGTACGGACCGCTGACAGACGAGCAAATGGAAAGGAGGGCGAAAGTTCGAGGGCTACTTGCATTAGGAAGTACAATCAATTGCAAGAAACGTATGGAGTTTGTGAACCGAGACTTTAATGCCGCAATCAATATAAGGAGATGTGCGGTGCTGGAGAAAAGACCTCCAGAGTCGACAAGAGAGAACTTCATTGGACACCTCTTCATGTTTAACTATATGATAGAAATTTGGAAGCAGTAGTGGGTGGCCGTTCTCAAAGGGCTGGAAGGCGTCTACACCGCAGTGGAAGATTTCTTGTCCAAGGCGGGTTTCTCGCCACTACTGTACACGCCCGACGTCGTTCGACTTAGAACGGCGGTGGTGGTGTGTGCTCCACGTCCTTATAAAGGCGTTTCCGTGGACACTCCTGGGTTGTTCCTTCACAGCTGTTTGGTACTCTGTTCCGGTTCTCGAGTCTGTGATTCCGCTCTTTGCAGGAGGTTCTTTAAGTCTTGTCTAGTCTTTGGCTTTAATGAACGCACCTCGTGCGGGCGTCGAGGCACGCAGCAGCACCGTCGAGGTCGCCGTGCCCGAACAGCAGTTGACGAACTGGAGCCAGTGGCGTTCCAGGTTCCTGAACACCTGTGCAGAGCGTCAGTGGGACGAAGCCGTGCGTCTTGTGCAGTCCGCACGCTCAACATGGCCTCAAGCTGCGGCAGTGCTGGAGGCTGCACTCGGTGTGACGCTGGCAGCCGAGCAGGTCGAGCTCGAGCCCTCGTTACTCGCTCAAACCGACCGTGCAGCTGCGCAGTTAGCACCAGTCTGGCAAGGCTTCGTTCACCTCGCTCAGGAGGACACCCTGGGGGCACAGAAACTCTTCGAAGCGAGCGCTCGTGCAGTCCAACCGCAGACAAGCCCTGTTGTTCTGCTCTTGACTCGAGTTGGCCTCGGGCGGGTGCTCCTCGAACGGAGCGTCATCGAGCCGCACCTAGCCCAGCAGGCTGCAGCCTGGTATGCGGATGCGCTCTGGATGTACGGTGAGGCATCACCAGCGGAATGGTGGTGTTCATACGCATACGCGCTCGCTGCCGCCGGCAAGTTGCTCGACGCTACACGCGTGCTCAGCTGGCGTCTTTCGATGGAGTGCGAGCGGATCGATCGGAGCGTTATGCACTATTCGGATGCAGACGACGCATATCCACATCCAGATACGTTACTGGGCCTCTGGGTGTGCTTGCGAGCTCTCGAGGCCCCGACGCACGGTCCATCGTCGGAGGCAAAGGATACCGCAGCTGCACGTGCTGTCGCTGAGGAGCTGCTTCGCGAGGCGTTCGTGCTCTATCCCCAAGAGCTTCGAATCCGTAATGCGATCGTACACGAGCATCGAGAGCGTGCGTTTCGATTCCTGGGAGCAGTTGAACCGGACACCTGGAAAGCCGCCACACACAGGGCCGCAGCACGTACCGAATACCTGCTCGGTCGCTGGCGAGAACGACGCGGCGACTGGATTGAGGCTGAAACGCACTACGGTACCAGTATCCAGCATTGGACTGAGATGGCAGTTGCCCGCTTGGCACTTGCGTATTCGCTGTTGCGGAGAAACGCGCTCGATCAAGCAATGGATCAAATAGAGCGGGTTCGCCAACAGGGGTCGCGTGCGCTCCCCGCTCGGCTGGATGCCTATCTCCGGGCGCTTTCTGCTGTTATTCTCCAGGAGAAAGCAGCGGATGAGCAGGCGTCACGCAAGGCACTCGAGCAGGCGCAGCAGCATGCACTCGAGTTACTGCAGGGCACGGATTTGGAGCAGCTACCGGCAGAGGCGCTCGCTGTGTACGCGGAACTGATGGATCGACTGGATCCGGCATTCGCGCTGCAGCTTTACTCGCGCTTGGGGAAACACTGGGATGATCCGATTGTCTGGAACAACATTGCTGCCTTGAGAGTACGCCTCGGTCAGTATAACGAGGCATATATTGCTTTGGAGCGGGCGCTTCAGTTGGTTACCGGCGATCAGGGGCTGTCGTTGCGAACCTGGCTCCCTGAGGTGGCGTTCATCCGCAAGCGTCCGTGGCACCTGACCCTGAGCTACAACCTCGGGCGGCTGCTTGAGTCACTGGGCGATCTAACGCGCTCCGAGAGCATCTACCGCACGATCCATGAACAATTTCCTGAGTACGAGGATGCCACGCTGCGTCTAGGCGTCTTAGCCGAGCACCTTCACCGGAACTTGAACACTGCCGAGGACCTGTATCGTCAAGTGCTCCCGAATCCGCGAGCTGTGACGGCTTTGGCTTTTTTGGCACAGTCTCGTGGCCGTGTTGACGAGGCACAAGCATGGTTCGAGTACTTTATCCGTCGAAAGAAACTACGCAAGGACTTGGAAACGCGATACCAAGCTCGAAATTACTGCGATCTCGTCACTGCTGCGTATTATGTAACCTTGGCACGAGCGACTGCTCGCCATCATCAGAGCCGCCGTCACAAGTTTCTCGTAGCTGCGGGAAACCTGCTATTGGGTGTTCTAGAGCGCGCGCATGATAATGTCGCTGCGATGCAACTTCTCGGAGTCTACTTCCGTGAAATGAATCTCTTGAGTGAAGCCGAGGAGGCCCTCTGTGCGGTGGCCCAGTTAGGTGCAGTTGCTTCGGCGGAACCCAAAATCATGGAATGTGCTCGGGCGAATCTCATAGCTGTGCACTTGTCGCGTGGTTCCGCTGTCGTGGCCTCGCTCCGAAACGCCATACGTCTTCTTGATGATCGTCTTCAAAGCGCCCCGTACGATGCTGGGGCCTTGATGGCACTCGCAGCTGCACACTACGGCCTTGGCCAGTATGCGGCTTGCATGGAGACCCTGCAGCGCGCTCTGCACCTGCAACCTTCCGCTTTGTCGGTATGGTTCGACTTGTCATTGACCCTTGCTCAAGAGTCTTCCATTCGACTCAGCCGTCCTGATCACGGTACGGACCCGGAGGTAGCTACGGTTCTCCTGGAATGCGCTGGCGGTTGTTTCCGAGCCATGGAAATGAGCCTCCGTCAGATGCAACGTTCCGTGTCTACCGATGTCGTTCGACAATGGCAACCATCGCTTGCTGGTCCGACAAACAAAGTGGTTACCGCGGAGGCTGCGCACGCCAATAGCAGCTGGTGCCTACATCGCTTGGCATATGCACGTAGGCTGCTGGCTGAAGCGCAGGAGCGCACCCGGCGCCGTCACGAAGAGCTGCAGCAACGCCAGCAGCAGCGGGAGGCTGCTGCCGCTCGTCAGGCCGACGCCGTACGGCAACGTCGCGAAGTCGAACAGCGCGAGATCGAGGAGCTGGAAAAACTTGCTCGCGAGCAACAGCTTGAATTCTGTCGTCGACAAGAGGAGTGGGAAGCACAGCGAGGAAAAAGCCGCAGCAAGTCTCAGGTGATGGTTGAGCTCCAAGGCGACCTCGAGGACAAGTCCGGGTCGGCGTAAAGATGTTTGCAAGCCGAGGCAACCGAATGTCGTTTTTGGCTGGTTGTTCAGGGATAAGTTGACGCACGCTGCTTGGGCATTCATGTTGCGATACCGCTGGTGGCGCGACGTGCCGCCTAGTCTGGGTCTGTCAAGTGCTCGCATGACTTCCGGGAGTGGCTTGCGTTGCGCGTTCCTTAAGAACGCTTCTTCGGGTTCCAGCGGAGCGTCATACACCCTGACGCAGATTTTCGGGTCCTATAAGTTTAACTTGTGACGAGGTCGTCTCCTTGAGTACCTCCGATGGCGTCAGGAGTGCGCTTGTACGAACTGTGAGTCGTCTCAGGAGCGGCCTGCACGCGTTACGCGGTCCATGGATGCACGCTTGACAATACTTGGTATCGAGAAACGTCCTGTTGGCGATGTTGTTGTTCTGGTGCTTGGCAGTGGATTTCGAGAATATGGGCGACGAACACTGACGGCCACCGATGCCCTATCAGAACGTATGCATCGGAGGTGTCAGTGGTCGAGAAGCTTGACATTCAGAACAGTGCATGTTGGTACACCTGTACCGGCACGCCACTTCCCATGTTCATTCGTGTTTCTGGGAGTATTCAACTATATGAATGGTTCCAGAAGATCGGAGAAACGTCGCGAAGAGACTTGGTCGTGTCACTCGTTGCCTGCGGAAGACGGCCATTATTGTAGACGTTCGCCATTCTTCGGTTAGCGGGTTTGATAAAGCACCCTTCTCATCGTTCTCATTCTGAACGTCGTGTACTCAAAACAGAACATATTCTGCCATACCAACACGATCGTCTCCTTGTCAATACATTCCACTCCAAACGTTCTGCAAAAAATATCACCAAAAAAGCCAGAGGATGTCAAGTTTCCGTGCCTTGGATACGAACGGGCACGGACGGACCCGCACAGACAAGGGGAAACGTACGCTTCATTGGGACGCTTGCGCGCGTTGGAGTAGACATGATCGAGTAGGTACCGAAACGCGAACGCTTTTTACAGAAGCGAAGGGTGTTTGATCCATTCGATGAGACGTTATTAGGGAGAATCTTTAGACCAGTATATGGGTAAGCAGGGATGGGGGTTCAAACCGCTGTTCGTAAAGAAGGGTCATGCTCCCATGACGACAACATGAACCCTAGCCTCGATGCAATCGTCTGTTCGCCTCCAAATCATCATACGGATGACATCGACGAACACGTCATCCTTCGTCGAAGAGCGTTTCATGTTTATCTTGCGAACATTCTCCTGTCCGGGTCTCGGGCAATGTCGGTTTCCATCACTCCAATCGGTCGAGGAGTATGCAGCTTAGATTGGCGTTCAGCTGCTCTTCATGCCAGCCTATTAGCGCTTGTTCAACACAGTCCTATAAATCTTTATGGACACGAAACGCCATTTTCACATTCATCGATCTATAGATGATTCGTCCGCCTCTTGATACCATACTCGGACAGGTCGCTCTCTACCTTCACCGACCTTGGACGCCCGCGCTGCTTCTATGATCGTGCACAGGACGAAACGGGAAGACGCGCATCGGCCCGTAGGCGTGCTCGCGATGGATGCGGTGACGAGCAAGCAAAGGCCCCTGCGCTCCTGGTCCTTCGACGAAAGCGTACAACAAGTGCAGGACTTGATTCTGTACGATGCTCATTGACGCGTTCAGGACGACATATACGAATCACGAGCACAGTCCCACGATTCAAAATGGTAAAGAAGAAGACCGCCAAACAGCGCCGCATGCAAAAGATTCCTCACGCGAAGCTGACCGGACCTCAGATGGCAAGGCATTGAACAGTAAGCGACTTACCATGGCATGAGTCTACGAGCCATAATCGCGCAAGCACTTTGCGCACCAAGAATTGAAGGTCTCGCCCAGCATCCGGAAAAAGTGTTGTGTTTCTGGAGCATCCAGCGGCTTCGTATCGAGCGAACCTTCGAGGGTACTGCACCGCATGCAGTGTGGGCACTCTGCTGAAACGCTCCAGGTATCGAATAAAAAATAAGTGGCCAGGAGAGCGTTATTCAAATTCTCGCCCGAATCCACGCACGAATACGCTGCGTTACAGCGAACTAGAAATGCACTAGCTCCGCATGAAGATAGCAGGAAGGACTTGAGTCGGGCACCTGCTGAACAATCAATGGTGCCCCGCGCTTCGATAGGCGCGCGCGGGTGCCGCCCCAGGCGCTGCATGCGCGTCGCCACGGACCGGCACTGAACTAAACTGTATATTTACGTACATGGTAGTACAAAAGAGATTCCTGCAAGGAGATCGCCAGGGACAAGCAGATAACTTTTTACCCATTTCTGTACCTGCTCAAGGGCGAGCCGCCACCAGCCCGCCCCGAGCGCTCCACCGTCGAATGACACGGGCGCTGGACGATAATCTTATGGAGCGAACACGCCGGATGCAGCAGCGCAAACTGGCGACGACGTTGACGACGGCGTCGACGACGGCGGCGATGAAGCCGCTGCGCTCTCGAACGTTAACGTCGCTCGTGTGCTGCAGGCTATCGAGCACCGTCACTTCGTATCGTACGCTCCGTAAGAGCGGTTGAAAAATCAAGTATGACCTTTATATCCAATGTCATTTCGGGAATACAGTCCACGTGTCTGTTTTCTCGGGCGAGCTGCTGGGGCGATCCGGTGACCCGCCTTTGCGGCCGGCCGTCCTGGTTCAGCACCACTAGCGGTTTCGTACCGCGCGGCAAACTCACTCCGGTTGCGTGCCGGTTCGGGGGCGCCTCCCGTCGGCACCAGTGCTCTCTAAAAATGCAATTATCCCTGCCATCGGAAGAGTTAGAGTCGACCAAACAGGACGGCGTCGTCATCGAAGCGGAGAACGCCACCTCCGAGAGCAAGCACCGGGACTGGAGCCTTGAGCGCTTCCCGCTATCCGAGGCCACTGCAGCAGCGTTGCGTAAGAAAGGAATCACGGAACTGACGGAGATTCAGGCGATAACATTCAACGACATGCGCAGCGGTCGTGACGTCATAGGTCGTTCGCATACGGGCACGGGAAAGACGTTTGCGTTTGGCGTGCCGCTTGTTGAGCGTATGGTGGAGGCGCGGGTTTCGAACGGTAGCCGACGCGGTGCTCCGGGTCGCTCGCCTTGTGCACTGGTCTTGACACCCACTCGTGAGTTGGCAAAACAGGTAACAGAGCAGTTGCGTTTGATTGGGCAACCGCACGGCTTAGCGGTGGACTGTTTCTATGGCGGCGCATCGTACACACAACAGGAGGAAGCGCTGCGTCGCGGCTTTGACGTTCTGGTTGGCACACCTGGTCGCATTCTCGATCATTTGGATCGGGGAACATTGAACCTGAGTAATATACGGATCGCTGTCCTCGACGAAGCGGATGAAATGCTGTCGCTCGGTTTCGCTGAGGACGTGGAGCGCATCTTTCAAAAGATGCCGCCGAAGGAGGAGCGGCAAACGGTGCTTTTCTCCGCGACGATTCCACCATGGGTGCAGAAGATTGCCGCGCAGCATCAACGAGCGCCGGTGGTTCACGACGTTGTCGGCAGAACAGAGACCAGGGCCGCAAAGAATGTTCGCCATGTGGCAGTTCGCGTACCGGATGCGGATTTTGCCCGATTCGCAATGCTGGAGGATATCGTGTTTGCCCACGCAGAGACGGGAAATCAGCGGTGCATCGTGTTTACGGATACAAAGCGTGAAGCCGACGAGATTGCCATGACCGCGTCCATCTTTCGTAGCAGTGTAGCACAGGTCTTACATGGCGATGTGAGTCAACGGCAACGCGAGCTCACATTGCAACAGTTTCGTGACGGTCGTTTCTCTATCCTGGTGGCCACGGATGTTGCCGCCCGCGGATTAGATATCCATGAAGTAGACGTAATTGTGCAGATGCGCCCGCCGCGCGACGTCGACACCTACATTCATCGTGCGGGTCGCACTGGCCGGGCGGGACGCAGTGGCACAGCAGTGATCATGTACAGTGACTCTGAGCGCGGCCTTTTGCGTGCCCTTGAACGAGGTGCTTCGATTCGATTCGAGCAAGCGGGGCCACCAACGCTGGAACGGGTGCTGGATGTCGCTGCACAGAATGCCGCTCGTGCAGTCGGTGAAGCCAGCACCAATCGCGTTGTGCCCTATTTCCAACGGGCCGCCGATGAGCTCGCTGCAGCCCAGTTCGAGGGCGATGCGCGTCGAGCTTTGGCTGCAGCACTAGCCGTCATTTCTGGACGGACGCATATCGAGCACCGCTCCCTGTTGACAGGTGAGGCTGGCCTGCGTACCCTGCTCCTGACAATGAACCGGGCGGGAGTAACGCCTCGTGATGTGCTCGGCATCGTTCGGCGTCTGAGCCAGTCCGGAAAACTCTTCACCGATGATATTGGCAAAGTGCGCCTGTGTCGCGACCCTCGTCAGGCAGTTTTCGATGTCTCCGTCGAGGCTGCCGATGAGATTCTGCGGTGCATGGAACCGCAATCAACCACAGACGCCACCTCGTCGGACGCAGAGAACGGAACAACGGCATCACATGCGTCAACAGGCGCTGCTGCCGGTGGAGGTACTGGTGATCGACGCACCCGCTACCCAGACTTTACCATTGAGGTGTGTGCCGCGCTTCCAGAACTGCGTGTTGATGATTATCGCTTCAGCTCCGGGCACTTGGAGCGTAGACGCGGCCGCTCGCTTGACGACGACTCTGATCGTCAGTCTCTGAACGGACGCACGCGTGATGGGCCCGGTGGTCGTACCGGGCGGCGCGAGCGCTCGTCACGAGTGCGAGGCGGTCGACCGCAGCGGCGACGCTCCATCTCCTACACCCGTGACGTGCAGTAGACGAGGACCAGCAGCACGTTCAATACTCGATCCCTTTATCCAAGTTAAACTGGTAGTGTTGGGTGATTGTAAATGTTTTGGGTGAGAGGGCGCATAAGGTGCAGGGTGTTTCGTTCTCGCTCTGTTCGCGGGACATGCATACAGTACCTGTTCGCCTCAGCATGCCTAAACGTGCACGCTGGGCGACGCTGCATCCTTGTGGCTCTTGTTCAACGGCGTCACCCGTGTCCACATACGCACACACATACGTGTGCATACGCGTACGCATACACACCGACCAACGCTCCATCAGAGCACGCGACACTTTCGCTGGGAAACCTGTGCATTGATCCGTTGCGCATGATCCGGGAAAGCACATGTTCGCGGCCTCGTCGAGGATTTCCCCGCGGGGCCGAAGCGCTGGACACGACCGCGCGACTCTGACGAGGAACGTTGTGAAATGCCGAGCCTGTTGCAGGCTCGCGGTGCACAGTGAGCGAGCGCATGGCACGCGCACACGGTACCAACGAGGCGCGCATGGGCACAATCGCCGGCTTTAGGTCTGAGCCTGCGCTCTAGTCTTCGCTTGCGACACGCCGATGAACACACTGAATCCACAGTGCGACGCGTGATGCTGGCACGAGCAACTCCATGTAGCGGAACACTGGCGCGTTCTCCCGATGAATACCCGCAACGATGCCGCTCCATGACGACTAGGGCACAGGTGCCACGATTCTATGATCGTGTCGTGATGTGCTCGCGATGTTCTCGTTCGGGTAGAGAGAGCGCGCAAACCATCACAATATGAACGTTCGCATGCCCTCGGGGCATTGGTGCAAGGCTACATAAATGCAGACAAAATTGAACTAGGATATTCGTATGCACGCATGATCACCGTACCGCATGCTGTGTATTTGGGGCATTGGTGCAAGGCTACATAAATGCAGACAAAATTGAACTAGGATATTTGTATGCACGCATGATCACCGTACCGCATGCTACGTATTCGGGGCATTGGTGCAAGGCTTTAGAAATGCAGACAAAATTGAACTAGGATATTCGTATGCACGCATGATCACCGTACCGCATGCTGTGTATTCGGGGCATTGGTGCAAGGCTACATAAATGCAGACAAAATTGAACTAGGATATTCGTATGCACGCATGATCACCGTACCGCATGCTGTGTATTCGGGGCATTGGTGCAAGGCTACATAAATGCAGACGAACTTGAACTAGGATATTCGTATGCACGCATGATCACCGTACCGCATGCTACGTATTCGGGGCATTGGTGCAAGGCTACATAAATGCAGACAAAATTGAACTAGGATATTCGTATGCACGCATGATCACCGTACCGCATGCTACTGACGGAGGAGCCGCTCTTCGAGGATCTGCCTTCGTTGCCGCTCTTCTTCCAGTGCCACTTGCATACTCTCTATCTGGCGTCGAAGGACGGCCTCTCGTTCTCGGCGACTTGCTCGCGAAGCCGATGCCCTACCCCAGGCAGCGCCCGGACTAGACGCTGCCTCCTCGTGGACCCATTTACCGTCACGGAGGATGCGACGCGAAGTGTGCGGGTTTTCGGGCAGCCCGCCGGTCGCAATGCTCACCGTAGGTGCCACCCGGGTTCGCAGTGAACTCGTCACTGGTAGCGAGCTCGATAGCGCACCGGAGCCGGACATGGGATCCGAAAGCATCGGCGATGAAATACGGACCATATTCGAGCCACTCGTCGAGCGGGGCAGGCTGCCGATGATTGCTCTCTGGGCACCGCGTACGCTTGGATATGTGCTTTGTTGCGCAGGTGCTTGCAGTGAGCCGGCACCAGGGCCATGCAGGCCGCCGGATCGCGGTGTGCCGCCCCGTGGTGTCGACGAGGCGGACTCACCGGTGTCATCGCCGCTGCCCAAGGCGTTACCGAGACCGACTGCGCGCTGGAAAGCCGTAAGAAGAGGGTCTTCGTCGCTGCCGAAACTCCCGTGTTCACTGAGGAGATATGACAAAGCGGCTACGGGCCCCGCCGACGGAGAGCGGACCGTAACAGTCGGTGCGCCACGCGCCGCGCCACTACCCGGTTGCATCGCTCGACTTGGCGCTTCCGTAGGGTCATCGCTGGAGATCTCACTGTACAAGAGCCGCGAATCCTGAGCTGAAGGCGACGCTGTGGGCGGCCCCTGCTTTCCCGCCACGAATTCTAATGTCTCTGTAGCCTCCGTGGCTGTCGCGGTTGCTGGCCACGGCTGCGCCGCTGACCGTGAGGCTGTCCCGTAGCCTTCCGCCTGCACCTCTGCTCGCTCACTGCTAGCTCGGGTTGCCCTTCTAGATTCACCTCGATTCGAGTGTTCCGGCGATGTAGCAGCAGTTGCTGCAACGTTCTCCGAGAAAATTTGGCGCTCTAGCTTACGCAGTCGTCGTGCGAGTGCTCGAATGGTTGCACGCTCTGTTGCCGCAACACTGCGCGTCTCTGAGAGCACGATTGCCGTCCAAGCGTCGACGCAATTGTGCAGGTCGCGATTGCTCGATACGCAGTCATCACGGAATGCTGCAAGCTCGCGGTTCAAAAAGTCCACCTCTCGCTCCAGCGCTTCAATGCGGGCCAGTGCCGCCTCGAGCAGCGCTGTTCGATCGTTCTCCGAAAAAGCGCATTGAGACACCGCCGCCGCAGCCGCCGCCGCCGCCTGCGGCATCGTAGCAACGTCTGGAGCACCGACAGCAGCAGCAGCAGCACTAGCGCCAGCGGCTGCACGGAGCTCCGGGCGTTCCGTCTCCGTGGCGGGCGCATGGCGCAGCGACTTGACCGCTTCCGACAGTGCCGCATCGGTGTCACTCGACGTTGCAGCAGAATCAGCCGGCTCACTTTCCCGACCGTATGCGCCCGTCAGCGGTAGGGTTGCGCTGCTGGACGCAATCGCAGCCGCAGCGTCCGCTGGCGATCTCGCCCTCCCAACCGCTGGTTCCGTTGTCAAGGACGACGCCAGCGGTGGATCCATGGCTTCTGTGGTCCCAGCCAGCAGTTCCGCCCGCGTGGCAAATGCATCCAAAACCTCCCCAGCATCGGAGAGCGATCCTTGGGCTGACGCCTTGTTCCCCGATTGCGTTGATAACGTTCGTCCCAATCTGCTTCTGCTTGACGGCACAACGGCAATATTCGCCGACGACGCATTGGTGCTGATCAAGGCAGCATGCTGTGGTGTCCCTGCTTGATTCAGCGTACTTGAGCTGTTGCCCCTTGATCTACCGAAACCCGCATTTGACGTAGAGAACAGTTCACTGTACAATTCAGTTAGCGTTCGTAGCGCCATGATTGCCCGCGGCATGTTTGCCAAGTCCTCCTCCATTAAAACCTGATCTCCTTCGCTCCCTAGTTGCATCTCCCCTCGTTGCATATGGTAGGCGTGCCCGTAGAGGAACAGAAGCGGTCCCAGAATTGACGCAGCTGAATCTGTCGCTGCGGCGGCGAAGCTCGCCAGTACAGCGCGGCAAAACGGGTCAATCATTTGATCTAGAACGTACTGCAAGGCATCGACCCGTCTGTCTCTGGTAGACCCGCTCTGACGAAGCAGTGCGGCTTGGAGGCGTCGGTTAGCGGCGGTTTCCTCGTCGATCATGCTACCTGTGATACTGCTTGCCGAGCTGGCGACAGTGCGGGCCGCGCGTGGCATTTCGCCTTCTGCGGCAGCCATGATATTCTCTGCTTCCTCGGCTCCAAACAGAGGAAAGAAGCGATCCTCAAGCCAGGACGCTAGCGCGCCAATGATCGCCCACGGTGAGCGAGTCGTCAAGCTCAACGCCGAGCCGAGCGCAGCACCCCCGCGCCGCTCGATGGAAGTCGACAGCAACGACGTGCCAGTAGCCGGAGTTTCGTAACCACTGACCATTTCCTCTCGGTCGAAAGCGGAACGTAGTTGCCTCGCATCCTCTCGCTCCTGAGCCTCTCGTACCGACTGTCTCCATCCGCTCAGGGTCCAGATGAAAGACTCATTACCCAAAACGGTCGCGCCGAGACTCCCGCCGCCCATACTGACCACAACGTCGTGTGCTGTGAGGCTACCAGCGCTGCCAGCGCCGTTGTCTCTCTCGGCTGGTCGCTCAGAGCCCTCTGGGTTCTCTTCGCTCAACTGCTCCTCACCAGACTCTTGCGCAGTCTCGAGGGGACCCCGCGCCCCACTCAGCGTCCAGGAGCGACCGCCGCCGCTGCCGCCCCAGCCCGCAACACCGATAGCGCGCACCGCCTTCATGATCCAGCGTGGCGCACGCGGACAGTATACCATGCCGGTTGGTGCCACCACCACCGCAGCGGACCGCGAACGCTCCATAAACAGTGAACCCTGGTGCCCCAAACTCCCCTGAACCGACCCATAACGAAGTGGTGAAGCGTTCGTGCTCGCCGGACTGTGGTAGGCGGCTGGGCCGCGAGAGACGCGCATTCGCGGCAAAACAGGGGAGAGACACGAACCCTACCACGCTCGTTCGAGATGACCCCCGTTCCGCGATGAGCAAGACACTAAAAGCCGCTTTCAATCCGTTTCAATCAACAAGAAATCCGAGTTAGCAAACCGAAAGTCTAGCTTCGCTTTTCGTTCGTTAGTGTTCCTAGCATACCTGGTGCGTCGCGAGTACCAGCTGGAATCCCGAATTCAATCGTGTCGCGGGGCCCAGATTCGCGTTCGTTCATCGCGCGGTACGCAGTAGGGCATTTCGGTTCGGTGCGCAGCGTCGCGTGCCCGCGAATCCAGCGCGTCGGTACCAGCGCTGTGGGTGATCGGAGGCGCTGGTTCCGCTGGAGCAGCGTACTGGGCTCGGGTCGTACCCGGTGCTGGACGCATCTACCTCGGGTACCGTGGAGCTGGGAGCATTGCTGGTCACCAGAAGAGACGCGGCGGTGTCTGTGGGGTGCACACGATATCGCTGCGCGCTGGGAGGAGGCGTCGCAAAAAGCATCTGGTTTATCCAGGTATGTTCAGGATTTTCTCAAAGCGTGTAGTGCTCGATGCGTGCGTGCGTGCGAGCGAGCGTGCGTGTACTGTCACGAATTCTGCTGAAATGTCGTTGCCCGGGGAACGCTACACGTATCCAGAACAGTTTCCGGATGCATCCTGTGACGTCGGTATCATTCACGCGGTCGAATCTTTGTTTGGATTTCGGCCCAGCAGGTTGCGGTCTGTTTGAGCGAGCACAATGGTTCATGTCTGCGACACACCTGGTCTGTTCAACGCTGAGGCAGCGTGGAACTGGTGGTACACGCGACAGCGCGTTCGCCAGCGTCTGTCGAACACGACTGTCGAGCTACCGGCAAACTGACACACTTTATGATCGCGCTGCTTGCGATCAACGTGTCATAGAGTCTCTGTGAATGCGGTGTCAGTGATGATCGTCAAAGCGCATTGCAGGGCGCATGTATCCTAGGTATCCAATATGAACGCTTCTCGCAGTGACCGGCATGATCGAGGCGGAGTGCGGCAGCCCGATGCGGCATGCCCTCGCGAATATTTCGGGCAACGGAGATTCGCTGATGTCTCGAAAAGGGTGCTGGTACCATGGCAGGCTCCTGCCGAAGTGAATATTCCATCACTGATCAGGGTAGAGACTCGACAACTTGTGCGTAGATTTTCTCGAAGCAGCTCGAGGGCCATAGCTCCCGTCGCAGGCCTATGCTCATTCCAGAACAACATGGAACAGGTTTCCTAAAATGGGTATAGGCACCCGAATTTGGCTCGGCGCCCGATGTCAACGACGATACCAGCCTTTGCGATTTTGTCTGAGCATGCTTTCCCACTCTTTCTCTTTCGTAGCCGACTGCAATGCGCCAGTCTCTGCGTTCCCCGTAGACCCATGATCAGCACTCGAAGCGTGTTTATGGTAGCGTTCAAGTCCCGATTTCGCGGCTTCCAACTGTTGTCGACGCCTTCCCAGCACAAGCGGAAGTTGCGATGTACGCCTCGCTGGCGATTTTCATCTCGTTTGTATACAGCCTCGGTGTGCCTTTGGAAAGGGCACACTTGGCCATCTTCACGTGCTCCCAAACGTATACCAATATTTTCTCTTCCTCCTCGGGTATTCGTTCGGTGTTGCGTAAGCATTTGCTTCATCGCATCGTCCATGCGCTTGGCGGACGGAGAAGGCTGTCCTCGATGCCCTCCAGCGTTTCCACGCCCGATGCCGTGCCCTTGGCGCACGGACCTCTTCTGGACGATCTCCTCTGCGATCAGCCTGTCCGCTGTATGCACAGGCTCAGGTTTTCCCGTTTGATCAGGGCTTTGTTGGATGCGATGTTGTTGGCGAGAAAACAAGTACCGAAAGGAAAATCCAGGCTAGAGATCACGTCGAGAATTTTCGGTCCATCTACGTTTTCTTCATGCGAAGCGGTGACGCAATCTCTGCTGTAAGCGATCACTGCGATGACTCAACACCGAGTCCAAGATGCTTCTCCATGCACACAGAATAGACGACAGGCTCTGGAAGCATATCCCACGACATGTTTGATGCGCCTGTGGAAAGCCGTTTCGCTGATAGCCAAGAGGCGTAGAGAAATTGTGTTTCGAAACGAACCGATTTTTTATCTTGACAAGTTCAGTGAACAATAGGGAGGAGTTTTGGAAAACAAGTCTTCAAAGGACCACGTGGAGATTCTCTGCCCGGCAATTCAGCGGCCAGCGTGTCCCTGCGCACACGACTTGCGTTGAAACAGCGAGTCGGAAACTTGGAATAACTTTTGCATATGATTTGTATAGAGATTTCGGTTATTTTACGAACCCCTGTTCCAGAACGTCGGAGATCATCTTGCTTTCTTGCTTTGAACTCGTTGCAGCGACGTCGTGTAGAACGAGCCACTCCGAATAGACGACCGAGAATCCCAAAGCAACCTACGAACCCTTAAGCCCTTGAAACTGCATTTCAATTATCAAGCCTGGATGAAACTCCGGAAAAGTAACAAAAGTCCGAAAACTACAGAGCACTTTTGTATGCTATTCGGCTGGGAAACGATCCAAGATACGTTTCTCCTACAACCGTCGGCCTCGACGCCGTCGATCGATCTGCACTGTTCTTTTTTCAATTTGGACAGGCTTGTTTCCGACCAGCATCTGCAATCAGCACCGATCGAGGTCAAGGCTTTCCTACCCCAGACGCCGTAAGGCTCCTGCGGGTTCGCTCCACTGCAGAGGTCCAGAGAAACTCGCCTCCCGCCAAACAGGGCGCTGTAGTTGTGTTCACTCTGGAACGTAGCGGTATTGATGCAGAGACTAGCTACAAAGTGCCAAGTAGAACAATGTACAACTGGACGCTCTCTTCCTCAATCCCGTTGGGTACGGCGAAAACACTCGTGGCGCGGTCCACGGAACACCGTACTCGCGTGGGCACGCTGGTGGCTCGTGGCACTCCTCGTACTGGGCAGTGTGTCTGCTGTCGCGGCTGGGAAGCTGCTGACCAGCTTCCCAGCGACATCTTCGACATCGAACACGCTTCGCGTCGTACCGGGTTCGCCTTCGGTGCTCGTGCACGGCTCGCAGTCTACTTTTAATATTACTTTTGTGGAGCCTTACGACGTGCGGGCAAAGGAGGCGTTCGCGTTCGCGGCACTACAGTGGGCAAACGTGTTTCGTTCCAGCGCTCCTGTTCGAGTCGTCACCCGCTATGCCGCGCTGGCGGCGGTATCATCTGCAACGAATAGCGATCTGGGCTCAACGTTCGCCTACTTGGTGTTTGGGAATGGCACCAACGGCCTCCTGAACCGGACTTGGTATAACACTGCCTTGGCAGGAGCGATCGCGGGCCCGCAGGTCGTCGCAGGAACGCCCTTCGATATGCAGATCGACTTGAACAGCGCAGCGCCATGGCACTTTGATCCGTACACCACCATTGATCCGCTGTCGGAGCCGCACGCAATCGACTTGGCAACGACGGTGATGCGGCAGATTGCGGCAGGACTCGGGTTCAGCGGGACGATCACCGCGAACCCTCAGACCAAAACCGCGCACTACGGCCTTTCGTACGACACACACTACGGGTACCCGGCATTTTCCATTCCTGGACGCTTTGATTCATTGCTCACCGATGCTGCAGGCTGCAGTTTGATTGAATCGTGCCGACCGTTCGGCGGCGGCGGTCTCTATCAGGCGCTGACAACCCTGAACAATGTCCTTATTCGGGACCGGGCTGGAAATCCGTTCATGCTCTTCAGCCCCAATCCGTACAGTGCGGGGACAAACACGTACCAGTTTTCGCCGACGACCTGGCTGTGGGACTGCGTCGCGGCGGGATTCCAGACCCAGCGCTGCAGTTCCCTGGTTACACCCTATGCCGTCCCCGGTGAACAGAACTATGAGATAGGCGCGAATACACTCGCGGTGCTCGAGCTGCTGATGAGCAACGACACGCTTCCGTCGCCGCTTCCAAGTTACTGCACAACGGCCTGCAGTAGCAATGCGGTCATCGTGACGGAGGCGATTGCAGCGTTTCAGGACGACGCTCCGGGGGTAAATGCCGGGCGCGTCGCTTCACTGGACACACCAGCCGTCGACCAGGAGCGTGCTCACCTGGGATCACCCACGGAACGCATCTCCATTGGCCGTATGGATGCGTTCTCGACGTCGCTCCTGAACGTGCCGGATGCAGACGTACCTGCGTGGATGCACTTGGTGCCAAGTAGTGCCCCATCGAGAGGAGCGGTGTCCGGAAACCAGGAAGCAGGTGCTTCGAGCCTCGAAAAAGGGAAGAACGTCTACGTGCCGTTGGTACCCGAACCGTTGCCTTCGACATCAGGACTTCCGAACGCTTTGTTACCATCCTGCGGCAAGGTTCGAAAGGCGCTCGCGAGTGCGCTCCAGAACGTTTTGCAGGCCTATAACTACAGCAACAGTGCCGTAGCACCGATGCACTGCCACCTCAACGAGACCACGGAACGCTACCTCCTGAGCGCAGCGATCCTGGGCCTCGACATGTCCGCTCTGGGGAGCGTGCGTGCCACACTCCTTGACAGTGCCAATACCACCGGTGTTCTGATTGCTGTTTCGATGCAGGTAGCGCTCGGCACGAGTCTCTCGCTGGACCCGGTCGTTGTGGTCCGTCTTTACGACCGCACCGGCGAGCTGGCACCGGTCATGCCGCCACCGCTCCCGCTGCAGACAGCGTTGTCGTATGCCGGTGCGTATGATGTGCACTGGCGAGTCGAGGCCGCTCCCGGAACCGTGGTGAACCAGACAGCATTCTGCGCTCATACATCCTTCCAATCGCTGCTTCAGAGTGCAACTCTGGTGGTTTTAGAATTTTCTATCAGCAAGGCGCTGAACACTTCCAGGTTCGGAACGGCACAGCTGTCGCTTGTGCCAGGTCGAAGCGAGTGCTCGTTGTACCGTGCCTCTCCAGACAGTGCACCACCGGCCAAGTACGACCTGTTTTTCACGATAGGTGTTGCGCGCTCTGCGGCGAACCTGAACAGAAGCGCTGCCTTTGCTGCTGCTGGAGCAACTGCTGCCCAGATGTTGAGCACCGTCGATGTCCAGGAGGTGCTGCAAGCCCTGGCACCACATGGTCTGTTTACAAATACCGTATTCGTTCAGACCGTGTATAGTTCGTTCGCGTTTTGAATGCCTCGTGCATATACCTAGGATATGTTATCGTTTTGGGGCACACGTTTCACCACAGAGACATCATTATGGTTTTGTGGGGTGACGGGGGCGCGCTCGGGCCACCAGAGCATCCACGATGTCTCGACGAGCAGCAACAACTGCTTTCAGCGGTTGCCGGCTACCGTATCCGATAGCTAGTATCATTTGAGGACGCAGTTTACCAGCGTATCTGGGTGCTGTGATCCGCTCAGCGAGATGCAGTAAGGTTCGGCGGCACTGCAAAGCGTATCGCAGGTTCGCTAGCAACATATGAAAGCGCTGAAAGCTCCTCTGGGGTAGTCACGTGCACGTCACGAGCAGTGCACTGCTGTCGCGGACTCTGCAGCGTACACATACACGGCACTGCTGCTTTGGGAAAGTATCCATTGACGCTGCAGTGCGCTCCGATTCTGCATCCGAAGTTCTTGGTGCAAGCCCAAACGACACTGTAGCGCGGTTGCCTGTTCATTGCCGATGCTGCAAGTTCTCGTTCTGCATCCGCGGGTACTCCGGCGCTTACTAGCGGCAGTGCAGCTCTGTTGACTGTTCACTGCTGATGTAGGTGTCGTTCTGGGAATGCTGAACGCTCGTCGAGCGACACAAAGCGCACATAACGCGCGCTCTCCCGCCGGGGTATGCATCTGAGGAGTAACGCGGGCAGCATTTGCGGCGAAGATGCGTTCCCACGCTGCACAGCAAGAATATTCATTATTTCCCCCATGGCACACAGTGGTACTGGGACAGGAATTCTCGCAGGTTTCAGTGAAGCCGTTGCGCGCTGTTTCCGCCTGATAACACATCCGAAGAGACGCTTACCGGGTGCGAGCGTCGCTCTCCGGCATGCGAGCACTTGGTCGACAAGCGGAGCAATGTCGCTTATAAGAAAAAGCACAGGTGCGTCTGGATACGCATCTGGGCACGACGCTGACATGAGCACCGAAAACGCCGTGCCTCTGCAGTATGCGAACGTCGCTGACTGCAACCTTGTCGATCATCATGTGACGCTCGTGCATGCTGTACCAGAGCCGCACACTACTCCGATATTTTCCTCTCCCAATCTATCCATAAATTGACCTGGACACACCCGAAATAGAGAAAAAACTATCGGCAACGAAACTAGACACCTGTTCCTCTGGAGAAAGTCGTACCCTGTCTACGGTTACCGAAGCAGTGTTCCGCGAGTGACGCTCTCGATACTTTTGGTTCTGGCAGCAGTGCAGCTCCGTTTCGCACCGGATAGTTGTTCGCCCTCTGCGCTTCGACTCTACCCGGACGCTGGCACCGGTTGTCTCTGCGGGATGGAAACCTCATCGACGTGTTACTCGGGACTCGTCGAGCCGCTGACGTTGCATTTTTGAATCCAAAGAAACCAGGCGGGGGTTTCAGAGCATGGAAACCTCATCGACGTGTTACTCGGGACTCGTCGAGCCGCTGACGTTGCATTTTTGAATCCAAAGAAACCAGGCGGGTTTACAACGCATGCTGTGCGTGATGCTCCGAAGTAGGCGCTTGTTTCTGCACAGGCTTCAGCGTTTCTGACAGCAGTGCCTCCAATGCTCGCCACGTGCCTTCGTCCAGATAGCAGCGAATACTGCGGTAGCTTTCTGTGAACGCGACTCGAAGTTGAGCGTATACTTCCAAGGTCAGGCAGGATGCCAGATGCAGACCGGGTAGCTCAACACCCAGGATCAAGTTCATGATCTCACTCGCTGCAATCTGCTCCGCGAGAAACGGGGGCCAGTTCTTCACCAAGTAATTGGTCCAGGCCGAAGCGTTCGTTTCGCCCCCGAGAACGCTATCTGGGGATACCCACCAAACCACTCGATCATGCCAGTGATCCGCATCGGTGGCAAACCAGCCCAGTGCAAGTGACAGCAATAAGAGCGCCCATGGCCACAACAGCACCGCTGTCGATACTTCCGAGCTCGACTCAGCTTTTGGGAGGACGAGTTTCTCCAGTCCTTGGATAAGTGGCACCTTATCCGTCAACCGAGCACGGACAAGAACTCGCTGCAACCAGTGGGGCAACTGCGACAGCGTTGCTCGCAAACTACGCCCCTGACTCGCTTGCCAAGTGTAACGACGATGTTGAAACCACAGACTAAGGCTGCCTTGGGTGTCGTTGGCCCTGCGCCAGCCGAGTATCTGCTCAGAAAGGCGACGGAGATAGGGTGTATCGATCACTGGGAGCCATATATGCTGATGCCACCGCAGTGCCTCCTGTTCGGGGTCCGTGCGGGATGTCTCTGCCACGGACGACCGAGTAGTCACGGGTGAGCTTGCGCCCAGTTTGTTTGATGTCGCCTGTTGCTTGCCCTGGTTGGATGCGTCTCCGGCACTTGTTGGCGTGACAACGGGGTCCGCCGTCCAGCGCTCGCACCCAGCTCGAGTCGGGGTTGACTCGTTCAGACGCGTCCCGGTCAATGTCTCGCCGAAAGACGTCACCGCCGTTGGAGTGGGAAAAGTATCGGCTGCATCTCTGGATGCCTCGGGTGCAACGTCCGGCGCTTGACCTGGAGTCAGCGTCGCGTACGACTCGGCGGTGACGGTGCCTGGCACGTTCGCGCTGACGGTTTTCTCGCCAGGCACTGGTGACGACTCCAGAGCAGCGCTTTCCAAAGCGAAAGCATGCCGTCGGGGATGCTCGCCTGACATGGGTGCTGTATGAGACCACATGGACGCTGACCCCGATATCACGAAAGTGACACACTTCAGCGCGGTACGCTCATCTTCAACATGCTCGTTTGCCTGTGCGGTGGAATCGTTATCAGGTTGGCTCAGCAACATGGACTGAGCTCGTGCCATGGCCTCCTCAAAGGACATGGACGACGCACCACTCCTTGCCATGCTCCAATGTGGTCGACAGAAAGGATCCAGTCCACTGATGGCACAGGCTAAAGCACCATAGCGTCCAAAGTCCAGGGGCCAGCCTGCTATAATGTCGATCAACGATACAAATCGATCGTTTTCGAGAAGTTTTTGGCGGTTTCGGAGTAAAAGCAGCGCCCAAGGGGCATTGGCGAGAACGAGCGCTTCTCGGTGCGGAGCGTAGACCCCATCCACCAGACCTGCAGCGTAGAGGTCTGCAGCGACCAGCCATGTTGGTACCTCGGGCACATCCAGGTCTATGGCCGGGTCCAAAAAGTCAAGTCGGGCCCCTTTCCAATCATGCTGCAACAGGGCCTGCTGTAACTGCCACCAAACCGAGCGCGGATAGACCAGGCGCTGGATAGCGGCCATACGTCGCTTGCCTGCTCGCAGCGCTGCCTGGTCTCCTGTGGAGGTTCCGATCTTTAGCAGGTTCCATGCCTTTTCCAGTGCTTGACGTTGTTGATGCTCCTGTTTTCGAAAGTGCTGTAGTTGTGCTCCCCAGTGAATATAGTGAGACGACGGTGCAAGGAGTACAACCTGCAAGTGCGGGCCACGTCCTGTACCCGGAGGTTCTTGCACTTCGCGCCCGAGTGCTGAGAGCCAGCGTTCCAGGTCAGCGATCGCGCGTTCTATGAAGCTCGGTGACAGCCAACCGTAAGCGTTCAGTAAAGCACAGTCGTCGATGACTTGCCAGGCAGCTCGGTCTGCTGGGCGAAGAGCGAGCGCTGGCGTCAGCGGCTCCGCAACCAGCGCTTGCTGGAGCCAAGCCTCTAGGTCCCAGGCGATCCTCAGCGTGGGGTAATCGGCTGGTGGCCACAGAGTGGAGCTGCTTGCGCTGTGAGAATATCCCAGACGGAAGGAAGCCTCTCGGAAACCGCGAACTTGCAGCCACATTCGAGGCAGATTCAGGAACGAAGCAGCAGCGAGCGACACTGGCTCATTGCTCTGTTGTACTCGTGTACGCGGGGTGTGTCGCGCCTGGGGCACGACGGCCTCAGTAGCGTTCTCGTTGGTAGCGCGGCTGTTTGTTGCGTCTGGGACGCTAACTTTCAGCAGTGTACAGAAGAGAGCGGTGCTTTACGTGAGCGTTGGCCACCAGTGGTGAGCACTTGTCTGACAATGTCAGGATGAGTGAGTTTCACTCAAACGCTGAGGGACCTACCATATATCGCTGCGCCCTGCTAGTTGCCGCCGCCGTTGAAGTCTGTGACACACCACAGCGTCTTCTTAGGATAACGTAGAACTCGCGTTCAAGTCTGGCTCTCTCGAACACGTACCTAGGGAATGATGCTGTTTGAGGCACCATAGCCTTGGGAGCGCTTTGTGCGGCTGACGCTTTGACCACCCGCTGAGCGGCTTCAGTGAGTCCAGAGCGTCGATCATTAACTTTTGACAGCCTCTCGGGAGCAAGTCCAGGAGTCGCGGATTTGTTTTCTGGGAACGAAAGGCGTCAGGCGGTAACACGCTCCCGCGACACCGTTTCACGTCTAGGAGACGATGCAAACAATTGCTCGTGCAGGATGAGCGCAGGTCGATCGTTCCAGATCCTGAAGCGGCAGATAAGCGGTGATGATTGTAGGTGAGACTGTGGACAAATCAGGAGCCCCGCTCACGTTCTTTAAAATGAAAGCGCGTCGCGCTGTACAAAAGGTGCGGAACACGAGCTTGCAGCGCTGCCTTGAGCCATCAGCACAGCGCACTTGCTCCGTGTGCTTTTCCAAGTCGAGGATACGAGATCGTCATGCGAAAACGGGACATTCTTTATAACTGAACATGATCGACTTGTTTCCCTGAGTATACATGAACCAACTTGGCGGCAGCTTTGGCACGGTGTATCCACGAGTGCTTAGCGCAATAACGAGTCGGGTTCACGACTCGATCCAGGATACTGGAAGAAAACAGGAGAGCCAGGCCTCCGTTCCATGATCAGGGAGCTTCCGTCATCCCATGAGGCTTTGCAGACGAAGCGAAGCGTTTCGGAGCGTGGAGCGTTGACCTTTAGACACCGCTCGGGCGTACACAGACGTTGCATGCGCTGACGTATGGGAGAGCGTTAGACGTTTCACCGGGGTCTCTGTAGTATCGCGCGTCTTCCCATGGAAGCTCCGCTCACTCGCACGATCTCAGCAGATGATTCGAACGACAAAGCATGAAGATACTTCTCCCATAGACTGCAGTCGTGCTTATATAATCAGTGGAGCGAAAAAGTTCCTCGATCATGTGGGGTGCATGAATACCCATCCGAGGACGCCTCCAAGTCTTGTTTGATCGGCAGACTCGTATCGTGTTCTCAGATTCTCCTTGTGCACTTCAAGTCTGAGAGACTGCCCCATAAACCTGTATCGCGTCAGCTCCTCGGTTCTCTTCTTCAGCACTACATATCGTCAGATACTGAAGGTGACGTTGGAGTCTCGTTTCACGAACTCCTCGCATATATTGCCGCTTGTTGAACTCATCCATGCAAGGATTGCCAGAACACGAGTACTCAGTACCATTGGCTGCTCTGCCAGCTCTCCGTACTTTTCTATCGCGCGAAGCGCTCCGCTGCCTTCTCTCTATCTCGATGTTCTGAAGTGTACACCGCAGCTCATCCCTTGGATTTCTTATTTCTTCAAATGGCGCGCTTCTTTATGCCGTTAGATGAGGAGCTAAGCGGAGCAAAAAGGGCTTGCAGACGAGGGACGCAATGTGGCCAGGTACCAATGTGTGCTGAACGCTTCAGCGACTCGCCCCGTTGAGCATTAAAAACGTCTCACAATAGAGAAAACACTTTCTACGGGGCTCAACCACGGATTATATCGAGGAATGAAAAGCAGCTCTATTCCCCGATCGAATCAGCAAACATTCGAACGCAAGGGGAATGGTGAAATACCAAGCCGTACAACCGGACGACGTCGTCAGACGTCAGGGGAAATTTCTTCCATGATTCGGTACAGTGTGTGCTGTTCTACGAGCCTTCCCTCTGAGCGAAACTGCGGCCGCCAAATGAATCCACTGCAGCTCAAACAGTTGATGATGTCCTCGCTCTCATCAAGTTCGATCATACATACAGCTGGCTCCATCCCCGCGACTACCCATGTACGCCCCGACCATTTCGGCCAAAGAAAGTCGCATCGTCTGAAAAAGACAGAGCTACGTCTCTGTGCCTCGTGCCGATCGGGACGTTCCGGGAACGCTGTCGTTGCGAATTCGATACAAGACGGCTGTGCATGAACCAGGACTTTATCGCGACTGTATGCCAGTGCATTCAGGATCACACGAATTAGCTGGCGAGAAAAACAGATAGAGGTGATGGGTATCATCGTCGCTTTCCCCTTCCCTAAAGTAATCAACGGGTCGTTTTTCTACCAGTGAACGCAAGCACGCTATGAGTATATCTGGTTTCGGTGCGGATCGCATGTACTTGCTTCTTTATTTCAGTGTTCCTCGTCCATCTGAATACTGTGGTGAACCGTACCTGAACGAGGAATGCAGTCCACCTTGCACTGTTCAGTAAAGAATATATATCTAACATTCTATTCGTCTACGATCTATACAGCACATTGCTTCTACATCTCGACCTTCTGCTATACACATCAACATAGCATACGAATATGCATAGCAGGAATGGAGCCTCATGGAGTCGCGCTGGTGAGCAGAGAGCGTCTCGAGCGTCCGCATGGGATGCGTTTCTGGATGGACAGAATTCGAACGACCAAGAACGGCAGTGCAGTACAGTGCAGTGCAGGAATCCTCAGCTAGCCGACTTGGGGCTTGTGAACGTGTGTGAGCGTATGCGCATACGCACCGCTCCATACATAAAAACGAACCTTCTTTGCCATATTCATGCTTCGTGGTCCGTATACTCTGCACTGCAGTGCACGGGTACCGAACAATATGCAACTCTAATTCTGCTTGCACGCTGCCCTCATGGCTGATCGTGGTACCTCCGTCTCCTCGTTCGAGTCGGAGACATTTGGAGACAGCACGCTAAGAGGCAGCAGCGAACTCATCAATGGACAGGAACGAGGCACGCGCACACGTCGAAGCAGTGCACGTCACCGCAGTCGTTTGTCGGGTTTCTTTGCTCCACCACAGATCGAAGCGATCCAAAGGAAGCCAAGTTCCTCCTTGAGACGCTATCCTCGAAGCAGGTAACTTGGCAAATTCTCAACTTATGCAGTGCAATCGTGCTCTCCGTCACCTACACGCTAGCAATGAGTCTGTTTGCACGCCGTTTCGAAGCGGCACTCCCGGCACGCAACCTCGTTGACCGCGTCGTCGTGTACTGCTTTTGCGTGCTCCAGCTTACTTTCACGATCGTCTACTTTTTGCGTCTCTATCGGTATGGATGAATCCGTCGCACCTTCGAAATGCGCAGCTGCTTCCTACAAGGTCTATTTATTTTCTTTACGATGAATATGATAGGCAAAATTGCACGAACGATATCGGAGAAGCGAGCGGCACCACGATCGCCATTCTCTATGTCTCCGACCTGGTCTGGCAATGGTTCTGGATATTTGGTTTTTATGGACACGCCATGGCTATTCTACGACTCTATCGTGATATGAAGGATCGCCACACGTTTCTAGAACGAAACCGCGTGGTATTTGGTCTCTGTTTGATCATCGCCGCCGTGGAGACAGCCATTTGCGGCTGGTCTCGAACGACGTTAGGACTCACCTGGCCGGGCATGTTGGTTCAGTTTGCTATGCGTGGACACCAACAACAAGTGGCCTACTCGCTTACGTTTGCGCTCGTGGTTACCATGCGCATTTTCCTCGATGGCTGGATTGCCATGGAGCTCTACCGCACCTTCCGAGTGCTCCAGCAGCTGCCGTATACCTGTTGTCATCACAAACAAATGGGTGCTCGTTTCTACCGTGTCTTTACTGCGATATCCTATATATTCGTGATTGCAAACGATACCATCGCAGTGGGCCTGGTACCATTACCAAGCGCGAACGCGTCCCTCGATGGCGTACCGTTGCGGTTGCTGGGTATTGCACGATTCAATGGTGGTGCCTTCGCGATGCTCTTTACATAATCGGTGCTCCTGCTCTATGTGCATTTACCTCCGACAGTGCTGGGTGTTTGGCTGCCCTGGATCGTTGCGCTGGCTCCGGACCCAGCTGCATATCAAGAAAAGCGAGCCCCACAAAGGAGCGTTTCCTCCGAGTGGGAGTTGTCCGCGCACAGCGCCAGCCAGGCGGCACCGTGGCCAGCGGACGCACTGGATGCAGAGCGAGAGCTGCGCAAAGCAAACCTCTACTACCAGACAGAGCAGGAAGCACTGCGAAATGGAGACAGCTGGCTCTCGCGCTCACTTGTCCTCGAGACGCATGTTTTGATCTTCAACATGGCGTACCTGTCCTATCGACCGTGGCATGACCCGCATATGTATGCAGAGATGTTCAATCATTATGGTGTGGGCGAAATGGACCCCCTGCAAGCACGAGTCGTGCGGCATATCTCCAGCGCCGTTACAGATGTACATGTGCTCGTCATTGACTTGGCGGATAGGATTGTGGTGAGCTTTCGCGGTACCAAAAGCACCAGAAATTTACGCACAGATATGAATGTCCGACGGGTTCCTCTCAAGGAGCACCTGCATGCACGTGAATGTCCGCAAATACAGGATACGTGGCGCTTGAGCGCCTGCAGCAAACACGGTCAACGCGGGTCGTTGCGGGAGTCACCGGCGAAAGCGACGGTCGACGGTACAACTCGAATGCCTCGTACGACGAATGCTGTAAGCACCACTGCCTTGGCTGCCGGGCGTAGCGGCACCTCGGCTGCGACTTGTTCGCAAATACCGCCCGCAACACACAGCAAGCGCGAAATAGATTCGACTAGGAAGCACCAGGCATCAGTGGAGGCCTTTGCCAAGGACGATTCGCATATAGAGCGCGGTCTTGATGATGCCCTGTCACAGGAACTCGGTTTAGATCCTGGAGGCCGTTTTGCACATCGACGATGGTGGCAGTATATGCTGAGCGTACGCGGGATCCGTTCCCTGCGCTTTGGTGATTTTCGCGCTCAGGCTGGTGAGGATTTTTCGTATCTCATAGGGCGACGAGTGCCTACAATGGTGCACGGTGGATTTTTGCACGCCTATTTATCCGTGCATGAAGAGTTAATGGAGACGCTGAAACCGCTTGTTGCAGAGCCCTCGAGCACTGCACCAACCGCAGTGGATGCGGCTTGCGCGCCCTTGAGCAGCACCTGCGGCGATACCACTTGTGGTGTCGCTACCAGCCTGGATAGGCGCGTGCAACCATCGAACCGCTTTCCCGAGGTGTCCAGTGCGGATATTCGTGGCGGTTGTGAACACGGGCAGCAGCAACAGCAGCTGAGCTTAGCGGGTACAGAGACCGCAGCGCGGTGTCGAAGCGAAACTGCTACAGCAGCAGCAGCAGCAGCAGCAGATGCGAGCGAAGCGCAACCGTGTAGTGCGATGAACTCCTTGGATAGTGCATCTTGCAACCACAAACCGGTGATCTTTTGAGGTCACTCTCTCGGCGGGGCCCTGGCAAGCATCGCTGCCCTCGATATGACGTGTTTTGAGAATTCACAGTCGTTGCGTCTGTCATCGGATCTGGTAATGTGTGTGACTTTTGGGTCGCCTCGAGTCGGGAATCGCGCTTTCGCTGCAGCGTTCCAGCGACATGTGCCGTTTTCATTCCGATGGGCAGCGGTCGGCGATATCGGGACGAAACTGCCTTTCTGGGGTTATGAGCATGTTCCGGTCAAGGTGATGCTGGATCCGTTGTCGGGGAGCATTCTCATGGATCCCTCGATCATCGAGGAGTCCATGGTGGCGTTTCGGAACTCTTTGGATGCGCACCTGCGACCCGCATATATCCAGGGTTTTGAGCGCTGGTGTCGGCGCTACCACCCCCGCTGGAATGTGCAGTTCTGGGATTTCCACGACGTGTTTGATGACCACGCCCTAGGTGCTGCTTTGGAAAGCATCACATGATGAATGCATGACCTATGCAAGCGCATGGCTGCTGGAGCGTGCCATTTGTCCTCAAGGTCCGCTACGCTTCGCAAACGAGCGCAAGTACGCTACCCATAGAAGCACACCAGCATCACGAAGGTGAGCAACGACATGTCGGGTACGCGAGGCACGCTTGAGCATCAGCCGAATGGTGTCTTGGATCACGCCCGGTGCGAGGTCGCTCAAATATGTGGCTCTCGCCACACGCTCCACCTCGACGACCTGCAAAAAAGTACACCTCTGCGAATCATGCTCCAGAGGTATGCATCAAAGGTTCCGCCCGATGTTCGTCGAATCGTCATGCAGACTGGTCGGTCGATGAATGCAGCACCTTCATCACCAAACTGAAACGCGTTGACGTCCGAGTGGAGAGCGTGAACCGTCCCCGGTCGACTGGACGCGGAATCCGTCCGAATTCCCGGTACCGAAATAGACGCGATCCGCCACTGGCTACCATGAGAAGCGTCTCTGGCGGGTACTTCTGCGAAATCCAGAATGAGGCATGCTGCGCTCTGTCCACTAGTCTGCAGGTCTGGCTCTGACGCGGCCGCATCGATGCTGGAGTTTAAGCTGCGCCCCAGTGATCGACGCATGCTGCGGTTGCTGAGATTGGTCTCTCGATAGTCAGTCGTAGTGCCTCAACCAGCGCCAATATTCCTGCTGAATTCATGCTTGTCGCGAGTACGCCTTTGAGCGCGTTTGCCGACAGAGGCCGGCGCCGTGGTGCTCGCAGCACAGCACGCGATCATGTGCTCTTTGTGGAGCTGCAGACAAGCACCACTTTTGCAGCGCATGGTACACGCGATGGACGCGAGCGTAGCCTCCAACGATCCGCGGTCTAGTCCTGAGGTATTCCGGCGGCGATAATCACCACCCAGTATCATGACTGAACCGCTGTAAACGAGGCATCATGCGATATCCACAGGGCCAGGGCACGGCGATGATTCAGCGGCAATCTCGCTCAAATGCTAGCTCACTGAGGATTCTCCAGTGTTTCGTTTTTATTGGATGATCGTCGCCGGTGATGTCGTCTTTTCTTTCTCACGGAAGACGCGTTCTTGGCCGCTGGGTGCACGTCGTCCTCGTGCTCTGGATCTAACGACGACGACGATGACGACGACGACGACGAAACGGATGCAGACCTCCCGTGGTCGCGCTTTGCAGAGGCGCCATCCTGCGCTCCACCAGGTGCCCTCTTCCTCGAGCGCATGCGTTCGGGTTCAAGTCTCGCATCAGAGGTATCCAATGCTAGCATCAAACGCCGCTCCTCGGGTGTGCAGAGCTCCTCGCCAAGCTCTAGTTTCGTGAGCAAGAGTCGAAACCGACTTTCTGGGCGACGTAAGATACGTGACATCGACCGCGACTGCGAACCGAATGCACCATCTGCAGTTGCCGCGTCTGCAAGCTCTTCCAGATGCTCCCAGGCAACGACCTGGCGGTATCCCGGAGTCTTGGATGCCTGGTCCGCGATCTTCGCGACTTGCCTCACAAAAGGACTGCCTTCAGCCTGCAGTTCATGCTCGCGTTGGCGCGACGCTTCCGCTGCTCGCCTTTCCGCCAGGACGACATAGCGACTGATGCGACGCCAAATACTGAGTTGGGTGAGTCGACGCGCGCTGCCAGTTTGCTTTAGCTGTTCGAGATCGGCAAGGAATCGCCTGGCAACACGGTCCATGGCAGCGTCCGATTCTATTTCCCAGTCACAGGACTCGTTTTCAATGTCTTGCTCTAAAGATGTAAGCGACTTGTCGAGTACCTCAAGTGCCTTGGCTGCCAGCCCTGCACACTGCATCCCGAAACGCACTTGCTCCTCGGGTGTCAGTTTCGCTTGGACGAGTGCTCGCAGCTCTGCAGGTGATGCAAACGTGCTCAGATTACCGGCTTCCTTGGCTTTGCGCCACCTTTGATGCAGCTTTCCACTCTCTGGATGCCCGGGTTCAGCTTTGGCTGCCATGAGAGCTGCTGCGCGTGCCGTTGCAACAGAGATGCGAGCGTGGTGGTTACGAGGAGGTCAGAAAACTGAAACAATCGATATGATGGTCTCTCTAAAGCGTCTAAGTCTTCAAGGCAGTAACCGAACTTGTCGCTTCCGCTGTCTATGAGCAGAAAAGCGTGTAGCGTATGCCTGGAGCCGTACAGAAGCAGCAGCACGTGCTTTTCGATGTTTGCCTGTGCACGAAGCTGCTTCCCGAGTCGGCACCCGGGACAAGCCCAGCGGGCGCACGATCGTTCTGAGGCGACTTCGGCTATTTTAGGGAAAAAAGTGTATATATGGCTCTTTTTGAACATAGCGACGTGTATCCGAATGGTACACAATAGATCCATATCTGCACAAATTGGACAGATACGTGTCGTCGCCACAGGCGCATACACACGTGTGTTCGACGCAGCGATGCACACGCTCATCAACATCAGCCACTCGGGGCTTGTTCCGTGACTGCTTCCTTTACATCTCTCTTTGCTGTGGCTTTAAATAGAATGGTGTCTTCCATTCATGCGACTCTGTTGCCCGCAATCGAAGAGTATTGGTGGTAAAGTTATGTACTGATTTTGCATCTTCTGTCTGTATACGCATTACGTTGGTGGCGGTAGGAATAGCCCCTAACCTCAGTTTATACGCCGGAGGTAACGTGGAGGATCTGTTCCGTACGAAGCCACTGTGGGTACATCGCGGAGGATGCTGCCGTCCGAGCTGGCAGGCACCGCCAGTGCGCGGGCTGCGCACGCCCCTGATGCGCGCATCCGCAATGGATGGTAGGCTTGCGCCTGTTGCGGAATGCACGTTTGCGCCCCATCCGTAGCAGAAAGGCACATGTAGTGCTGGGGGTAAGCGCGCACAGAGCGCTCTTGCAACTGCTTCATGACCGTAAACGCGTTCGCAGCAAGTCGTTTGCCTGTGGTACGGAGCGCGTTGGACTGTCGTTGGCAGGCTCGAGGAGCGTGCCTTGCCCCAGGACGTCACTGGCGACGTGCACCTCGAACGCGGGCAACATCCCGAGCTGTTATCGCCGGTTTGTTTGACGCGTTCAAACCACTCTTCGGCGACGGAGAGAATGACCGCGCACAGAACAAACAACTTGAAAGTCAAAGGGAGCGTGAAATTGCAGAGCAACAGAGAATTATGCGGGAGAAGCTGGAAGCGCGCCGAGCTGGGCGGCACCTCGAAGGCGTTGCAGAGCGGCGTCAAGCTGTGCAGGAGCAGCTCAACGCCAAAGAGAAACCAAAACCGGGCGAGGACCCGCTAATAGCCTGGGAGCGGCAACGAGAGAAGGAGCGTACTGCTGGGACCTGGAAAGAGGTCGGGTACGGCGAAGAACCAAAACGGGGCATTATACTGCCCTGGCCGTCCTTCGGTATACCGCGCTTCGATTATGGAGAACGCTTTGACCTCCGTTTGCCCTACGTTGACGAGGGCTACGTTGATGAAGACGCAGATATCATGGGTAAGGTATTTGGACGGCGTCGCAAGCCGCCCGAGTCGCAACGTTCTCCAGAAAACGGCGACAACGGCACGAATGCAGCCTCTGAATAGATGATTTCAGGTCGGGATAAAATTCTGATGATTCGAATCTAAGGGTCTTTGCACGGTCAAGGGCTTCAGGATGTCGCTGCCGGTAAAATTCTGATGATACGAATCTAAGACGCTTTGTACGGTCCAGGGCGTCACAGTGTCGCTGCCGCACGCACGCACGCACGCACGCACGCATCTGCGGAAACCGAGCGCAGCTTCCATCGATGGGACGTGATGATCGAAAGCGCGCACGAGCGGTGCGGGCATGCTGCATGTTCCGATTGCAGCGCGCTCATTCCAACGATACGTGTCTACGCTCACTGCAGTTTCAGCAGTACCACACGCGTACCGCATAGCTTGTACGTTCACGTGCGAGGTAGGAATATTCTGATACGAGCGCTAAAATCGCTGTTTTAGACCCGAGGTTCCCTTCAGATTGCAACCAGTGATCTGCGGGACTTAGAATGACCTCTGCTGTGGCACAGATAGGGACGAATGGTGCCGGAGCTTCCGGGGACAGTCCAGAGCTGAGGGCACCCTGCACAGACGCTGCGTCGTCGCTGGAGGTGCGGGTGAACGACCGCGTGTTGCGGGTGTCTGCGGCCGATCCAGAGGCTCTTTACGAGGAGTTGCGGGAGCAGGTGGCTTCAGCTTGGAACTTTGCCAGAGAAACTGTGAAACTGATCGCACAAGGACGTGTTCTTCGCACTGGGGACGCGCTCCTCGCGGCTGTTCAGAAGCAGCAACCGCTTCGCGTCATCGGCACGGCTTCGTTTGCACTGGAGCGCGTTCAACTCGCTCGACCAGACCCGCTTGTGCGGCCGGCGGATTTTGACGGGCCTGGACGGCGTCCGGCTCGGCCGTTCGATGGCGAGCTGTATCCGCGCGCACCGGTTGGGAGCTGCTCGCGTTGGGGCTTCTCCGAGCTTCGGGTGCTCGGGAACTTTGCCGATGCTCATCAGGCCCATTCTTTGTTAGAACAGCTGGCTAGAGATCCCGGTGTTAATTACGTTATGCAGAAATGGCACTGGCGAGTGGGTGCACTCTGTGAAATGGCTCCTGACGGTCGAGTCGGCGTCGATCCGGTTTGCGTCCTTGGACTGAATCAAGGTCGCGGTGCTGCGATTTATCTGCGATTGCGAACCGATGATTTGGCCGGATTTCGCCGATATGACGCTATTCGGGAAGTACTGGCACACGAGCTTGCGCACAATGAGCACGCAGAGCACGATTCCAGGTTTTATAAACTGATGCGAGAGATCTTGAGCGAGATGAATCGACGTGATTGGCGTCGATTGAAGGGCTTCAGACTCGGCTCAGGAAACGCGGGCGCTCGATAGTACGCCAGGTGCAGCGCTTGTGGATCAGCGACGCCTCCTTACGACACATGGCGCCGGGTCTGCGTTCGTGATGCAGCATTGAATAATCGACGATTTCGATGCGCGCGCAGCGCGCATGGCAGAGCATGTCACTCAGATGATTTGGTCACGATAAGCAACACAAAAACAGCACCAGTATTATATTCAAAAATGATTCTTGTTCGAAGGAGCATCGAAAGACATCGGTGCGGCTGCATCGGCGCCGTTTCAGGCGAGAACCCTGGAAACCACCGAAGCGCGAGTGTGATCCACGATGTTCAAAGCTGGAACTCCGAATCGGAAACGACGCGTATTGTGACGCTAGCGCATCGGATCCAATATGGGCATGTATGGATGCTAGCACAGGCGCTCCCTGGTATGCTTCCAGAATTGACCAGACGCCAGCGGATGCCGCTCACTACCGGTGTTCCTGTACGTTTCGTCGTCGATTTCAGGACTCAGTAGGGTCTTGGGTGTGATTCGCAGGTCTCGGGATCGATTTTTCTAGACGATACAGAAACGAATCATCGAACCTGTCTCTTCCGAGAGCGCAAACGCGGCCAGTTTCCGAGGGATCAAACGGTACTCTGTACAGGGTCGCTTTCGCTTGAACTGAACCTGGTCCGGTATCGCAAAGGGAAACAGGTGCGCTCGGTACGCGTCAGGGAAATGAACGCCTCAGAGCGCATCATTCCCGACAAACAGGTGATTCATTTATCGTCGATGCGACTGTGTACGACGATGCTGCTCCTGCAGATGACATATCATCGAGGGGTGTTGCATGCCTCTGCGGATTCGACCACGGCCGTCAACAACGAACGCCTTGCGAGCGGCGCAGGTTTGCACGCGGTGTACGGTGGTGGCGAGCAGCGCGCTAGGCTCCGCTCGCCATAGACCATATGTCTGGCCGCCCACGTGCAGACGCCTCCCGGCTTATTGCGACCGGCCACCTACTATCGGTTTCGACTTCTTCTTCGACAAATCCGCCTTGAGGGGCTGCCCATGAAGTTGGATCGTCTCAGCTCTTCGGCGCTCGTCTCAGGCACGGCACATCGTCTGATATTGATAGCGGCGTTAAAGTCCCGGTTCGCAAACTCCATCAGTTTCTTGCTGTCGCTTGCACTCACTAATGCAAGGATTCCTCGAACTTTTGCCCTCCGTGCCATTTCCTGTTCTGTCGGCGCTCCATGCTTTTTCAATATCCTCAGGGCTCCGCTGGCACTATTCCGTCTTGACCCTCTGAAGTGTACTTCCCAGCTCATGCTGTATTCATGACGTTCGGAACTCATCCATCGGTATTGTGACAACGCGCTGTGCGCACGCCTGGTACGCTCTCGTCGATGGAGAGCGTATGATCCCTTTTTTGGAAGGCCAAGCGCCATGCTACGTATGCTGCTAGGAGGCTTAGACTCATGTACTCCGTGAGGGCGCTCACCTCATGGAGGAAATTGGCAAGTGCGTGCTGCTTTCCGTAGTGCAGGTTGAGACGCTGGCGAACTCGCCGGGTCATTGAGTACTTTTCCCACAGCAACTCGTTATGAGCAGCTCGAATTTTCATGAACGCTACAGAGGCTTGCAAGTCCGCTCCATGGCAAGTGGCCTGGCTGATCACTTCCAGGTGCTTCTTCACATCTGTATTCGAAGTCTCACTTTTTTTCCTCATGTTCATGATTCCTGATTCTCGTTAGTGTCTCGCTCTCGCGAACGTTATAAGACACATGCCTTTCTGGCATAAGTTGCCGTCGATACCATCTTGCGCACACTTGGGTGCTGCGGTGGTCTTGACATTCGATTTCGCAGAATCCACGTCAACGACAAAGTCGTTCTTCTGCACCTCCTGCGTCGTACGATCCGCCATCAAGCGCCGATAGTGCAAACGTATGGGTAGTCCATCGCTCCCAATCGTACCCCTGAATACATTTTTTGTGCTCCTTTTAAGACATTTGAAATCAAAGATATTCTTCCGACAAGTCTCCCGGTTTCGCCGGTGAACCTCTCCCTGCCTGAATCGAACTACGAACAAATCTTCCTCATGATGCCATGAAGGACTCTGGAATCGATTGTGACACAGTACGACATGATCTTTCATAACGGAACGACGTTGAAGCGCTTCTCCAGAAGCCCAGCCATCCGTTTCAAAGACTCTCAACATACCTCCATGCCCAGATCCATATGCGCCTTGCGTTCGAGTTCTTCGTTCCAAAAACACGAAATACCGCAGGTTCAGGGGATAGCATCTTTTTCCATCTCTGATACCTTTTCTTCTGGATTGGCCAGCCCCAGACCTCCGCGGTGCTCTTGGACAGCCGCACGGACCACAGGAGCTTCATTCATGGTACTGGGCGATGCCTCCTCACCGGCGAATTCGATCTCCTGTTCATGCTGTCGATCGTTCGTGATGCTACTCATGGTGGCCCATTTCCCTTTGTGTGAGAGGTCCGGGTACAGCGCAAAGATGGAGCGTTTCATGATGCGTTTGAGGTTCATGGTCAAATGGTTCCTCATATTCGTGGTGTACTTCATCGCCCCGTAGATTTAAATATGATGCAGCGTTTCGTGAAGCGTTTTAGGTTCATGCTCAAATGTTTCTTCAGATTCGTGGTGTACTTCACCGCCCCGTAGATGTAAAAATTCGAGCTCACCTTTATATCGTACCGTTCAAGCGTTAGACGATATAATTTTCCTGGAGGGCATACACTCGCTCATTTCTCCTCGAAGTTTCCCCTGTGCCACGTAGCAGGTGCTTGATGAAGGCCTCGCTGAAGAATTCTCCCGGAACCTCGACTGTTCTGCTGTCCGTGATGTCGCGATACGTCTCGCTCACCTTATGCATCAGTCCTGAAGAAGCCTTAATGATACTGATGGAGTACGACGCGACACGGTTTCTGATGGCCTTTCGCAACTCCTGCTTGTAGGGATTCTTGGTCTTGAGTAGAAGAAATGCTTTCACTACATTCTCGTCGTACTGTCGCCTTTTGTGTCGCTTTTGAGGTCGAGCCTCCCATTTCTTCATATTCGCCTTGTCTTGATCCTCTGGGCTTGGCAGTGTTTTTAGTTTTTGTTTTCGGCGATCGGCGGCGCCGAGCCTACCGGATCCTCCATTTCCTTCCCCATGGCTTTTCTTTTTTTATTTTTGAAAACGAACCCGCTACGAACGCTTCTGCTATAAACCACGAAAAAGCACTTGAAAACGCTAATGCTAGGGCTGGAGCACAGCTGAATCGAAAGACGATAATTTGCTATGGCTTCAACCGAAACACATCTTGTACGATAGAGAAACACGCTAATCATCAGGATAGCGTTGATGTGTAACGGCGAGATGCGCGTCGCGTTTCGTACCTTCCTGATATCGGAGAGCACGTACGGACCGCTCTATAGAGAGAAGAACAGAAACTAACCACTAGATAGCAACGAGACTAGAATCTCTTTTCACCACCACAAGAAACGTTACATGGGGAACAAGTTTCCATATTGTCAAAAGTTCACTGTACTAGCGGAAGGTCCCGCGAGCTGAACGAGTCTCCCGGGCTAGCGCTGCATACCCGCCTCCCGCCCCCGCAATTGACGGATGCTGTAGTGAGATGTGAGCAGTTTGTCCGCAACGCAGTTCATTCAGGAGCTCGCAGCGGGTATGACGCCTCTGAGCGTCGCCCTGTTCGCGGTGGACACCTGGCATGCCGCTTCTCGCTGCCGCAGGCTGTAGGTCTGTCTGCGCTGCTCGCAGGCCTTCAGCATGACTATGTACTGCGAATCCGTACCAGGTGAAGCGTTCCTCGATTCGACGCCCTCAGTGGTGGTGCTGGAAAAGCTTTTCCGTCTCCGTGATGCATCTGCACCAGCGGTATATGCGCCAGGACGGGTGCTCATGGCATGTTAGGTGCAAATCAGAACCTAAGAAATAACCAGTATATCTGAAAGGAAGTGCGAAAAATAGAACTTGGAGGTAGGGTGCTGCAGCATGGTGGACGCTTTTTCGATCATCAATACGCATCCCGCAATCTGGGATCTTTGGTCAATCTAAACGTTTTGGCATCGAGAAAACTGAGTCGCTCGCGCTGTTGTTCGCTCGCATACCGACTCGTTTACGTAGTGTACCCCATAACGCACCTGAGTGAGTTTGGAGCGGCATAGCAGTTACCAATCAACTCTTTGTACTTTCTATGAGAACTCAGTTGGCGTTTCTGAGCCTGGTGCGTCCCCTGCGAACCACTGCTCCTGGCGCTGCTGCTGCTGTTTCGACGACTGCTTTTGCTGCCTCCGCCGTCGGTGGCAGCGGTGTTTCTGGTTTTGCACTTGGGCCAGCGCTTGGGTCCATGCCTGGCTCCCGGAAGCGCTCTCGTGCTGTTAGTGACCTGCGCTGCGCAGCTCGTTCGCCGAAAGAACCCAGTGGCATCTTGATCGTCAATAAACCTCAGAACTGGACGTCGTTCGACGTCGTGAACAAGGTACGCGCAACCCTGGAAAAGTACCTACGACAACACGAGGCGCCCACCGCTGCTAGTCCTCCTGCGGGTGTCGGCAAGTCGTCATCTGGGTCTGGTGCAGGTCGGCGCTCACGTCGTTTTCGACTTCGCGTCGGACACGGTGGAACGCTGGACCCGCTCGCGAGTGGTGTACTCGTTCTAGCGGTAGGCGCGCAGTACACGCGGCAGCTTTGGGAGTTCCAACGCGGACGCAAGCAGTACCGGGCAACGTTCAAACTCGGCTCAGCGACGGATACTCAAGATTGCACTGGTGAAGTGATAGCGCGCTCGAGTTTTGAGCATCTCCGTGAATATGACGTTGAGGCGCTGAATCGCCTCCTGCAGTCGGAGGCATTCCACGGTGCAATCGTGCAGCGAGTACCAGCCTTTTCCGCAGTTCGCGTGCAAGGTGAACGGCTGTATGACCTCGCTCGGGCCGGTAAAGCCGATGCGATCGGTGAATTGCCTTCTCGAACGGTCTACGTCTTCGAAGCACGCTGCGAGGCATTCGACGCGAGACAGGGCACAGGCACCTTGTTCGTGGACTGCTCGGGGGGAACCTATATCCGCACCTACATTGACGACCTGGGGAAAGCTCTCGGCACGCACGCGCACATGACAAGTCTGGTTCGACTTCGCGTCGGTCCGTACGCTCTTGATGACGTCTCCATGCCGTGTCTGCAAACAGAGAAAGAGCTCTCGAATCCCGAGAAGATTCTCAGCTGTTTGCAAGCAGTCTCCGTGACTGCACCTCAGCCCGCATCGTCGCCGGTAGCGAAACCTCCGTCTTCTGCGGCATAATGCTGGAGCCAATCCATCGAGTGAAGGTACCAATGGCCTTCTGGGAGCCGATGCTGCTAGAGCAAGTCTGGCAACGGCAACGTCTTGATGCTGATCCAACCAGGCTGGATCAGGATGACTGGGCGGCCGGCCCTGAACGTATTCGAGACATCAGCGACTTGAAAGGCAAACTTCGCGATACTGATTCATTCGGAATAGGGTATTTGGTTTCCAGGCTACGGTCCGTATGCAAATTCGAAACCTCAGCTCCGTTATGGTGCGAGTTGAGAGCATTTCGCTGGGAGTCGACGCAGTCAACGGCGATGACGCGCATGAACCGAAGGATTTTTGGGTCGGCACAAGAGCGGCGAGGGATCAGCGTCGGCTCGCACTCGCTTGCGAACAGTTCGTGTTCCTGATGGACGCTGCCTCTTCCGCTATACTGGTTAAAAAAACAGAGCACCGAACGACGACTTTTGCGGCTGAACGCTCGTTGCTCAGGCTGTCCGGGAGATGGCGCACATAGATGAACGTGGACGGAAAACGAAACTCGGATCTCGTTCGGTATTCTGTGATGAGAAACGCCGAAGCGCATTCGTCTATGTGCCATATAGCCGCGGCTTTTCATCGTCAGTCGTCATCGAAGATGTGGAACTGCGCAGTGTGCATCAGTAGACAACGCCGGCTGTCTGTTCGTGAGCACACTCGCATTTGGTACGACAAGCGCTTCGTTGACGACTGCGGGTTGCAGTGCAGCACGCGTCCGTTTCTGGGCACCGTGCCTGTAACAAGATACAGCAGACCTGTTTTCGTTGAACGAAGACGGAAATTTTGGACATGGTCAGGTTCCAAAGATGATCGCAGCACGAAATGTTCGTTTTCATACTCTACCAAAATGACGCATCGGTTGCGGTCATGTTTCTGAATGTCCATCATTTTGGCTCGCACCAGAGTAGAATGCAAGGAATCCACGCAGCTACCACGGGCGGAATAAGTAAAGATTGGGTCTCTTCTCATGTACATCATCGGCAGCCCGTGCGGAATGCTCACATCGCTATTACGGTTTCCGCTCCCTCATCTCCGGCTTTCAATGCGTCAGCCGCTCCTGTGCCCCCAGCTCTGAAGTCAGATGTCGAAGGTCGTGGACGGCAACTTTCAAGTCTCGATTTCGCAACTTCCGTCTGTTCCTTTTCTTGTAATGGACATGCGGGATTTGGAATCGAAGCGTTGCTTGCCACTTTCGTCTTCTATATCTATAAATACCGTCCGTGTACCTTTTGCAGCAGCGGTATTTTGACTGCAGTCCGCTGGTCTCGTGTGCCTAGGGTACCTCGTTCACCGAGCGTTGCCTTGTCGCCCGTGAACATCTGCTTCACCACCGGCTACATGTCCTTGATGGGTACAGAGGCGCCCCGTTGGCGCACTCATTCTTTTCCGCGCCCGGTAACGTACACGATGATCATGGACCTCTTCTAAATGACCCACTCGGAGAGTACTCTGTTTGCTGTGTGCGCAAGCGCCCCCTATCCTATTCAAGAAAGGATTTGTGCCAAGCGATGGTGTTCACGATGATGGAGATACCGCACGAAAAATCCAGCCTGGAAATCATGTCGAGAAGCGTCGATCCGTCTACACTCTCATCATGCAAAGCATTGGCGCACATTCTATTGGAAGCGATCGCTGCGATGACTCGAGTCCGAGTCCGAGTCCAAAACCCATGTCCATGCAAAGAGAAAGAGCTGCGAACCTTCCAGAGCATATCCCGTGCGATGCATGATGCTGGTACCGAATCGCTTTTCGACGGCGGCTACAAACAGAGGACGATTTGTCTGTCGAACGAAATCCACGGATGAATGTGATACGTTCAGCAAAGTTTCTGCATGAGCTTCTGGACAACTTATCAGGGCAAGGCGTTGAGTTTTCCTCTTCCTCGTCCATCCAAATGCGCAGACTCCTGCACCCAAGAAGTGCCTAGAAACAGAGAACAATTCGAAAACGAGACGCCTGGATTCTTGTCCACATGAACTAGATTATGGCATCGGTTGTTCTCTAAACAATTTTTCGAGGACGTCGCGAATCATCTTGGTCCCGGATGACGAGCCAAGGTCCAGTGTCAGAGGGCGTGAGAGAACCTACTCCACAATCACGACCGAGAATCGTAAAACTACATATGTTTCCATGAGCTCTGACTCTGGTACATCTCATTTTCGTGGCTGTGCCTCGAAAATTCGCTGCGGAAACTCGCAAGACAGGAACAGCGTCTGGAGTTCCATGCCTCAGTCCCATTGGACACCGGTGTAGAGCTCCGGAGCGCAGGCTCAGGCGACGCCAGACGCCTTCGATTCCGAGCCAGACGACGGCATGCGCTGGTTACGTCAAGACTCTTTAGACGAGTAGAATATTCGAGGCAATGTCAATCTAGTCTCGGGTGTCACGCTTCCGCCGATGCCTCACTTGAAGATAAGCACCAGCGACACCACACCGGACGTGAGCAGCAGAACCACCACAATCCAAGGAAATACGGTGTCGGCTGCGAACTGGCCCCGCTCAATGGCCAAAATTTGAGTGTAATACCGCCAGAGTCCAATTATCAGCGTCAGGAGCCCGAGGCTAATGAACACCGTGCCGGTAGCATCCGCTAGGCGGGTTCCAATGAGTTTCGCAATGGCAACCCCGAGCGCCACGGATGAGAGGCTCGTCCGAATCATGGAAAGAAAAGTCCTCTCCAGGGCTAAAAGATCTCGCGCTCTGGATCCTACGTTACGCGACGCATGATACTGGAGAAGTTGTTGCCAGCGAAAGCTATCAACAGGATTCTGATTCGGTGCTGGCGTTTGTGCAGCTCCTGTACCCCCGGGCTTGCTATGATCCGTCTGTGGGCTCGTTGACCCCAGTGCAGGTCCCGAGTTCGGCGGAGAGGCTTTGCGTCCATCCGAAGCGGGCTGCTGTCGCTCACACGAGTCCTTTGATCGCTGCGGGTTCTCGTCTACAGCGTGTGTCCAGCTCGCACTCGCCTGGACGCGCATAGTATGCGAGGTTTGCTTGTCGGTTCGTTGACCTTCGGGCCGGTCAGCGTTAGATAAAGCGCAACTTGTCTCGTGGGTACTTGCTGTTCCTGCACACGCTGCTGGTGCATCAGTCGCACCTGCGCTCTGCCTGGACCCTCTGGTGCAGTCACTGAGCGCTACCGCTCCAGCGTCAGAAGTTTCCCGCTCAGCACGGCCTCTCTCAGACAGTGCATTGTGTTCGGCGTACGCGTGGTCGCCCCAGTGTTCAAGTGCAGGCTGCAGGCACACGTTCGGTGGCGAGTCCCGCCCTGCCTCAACGTCCACGACCGAGTTTGTCGTCGCCGGTGGCTCCGTCGTTGCCGAAACGCGGCTCTGACCGTTGCGTTTCAGCATCCAACGAGACTTTCGCACATAGTGCTGCAGTGTCCACGAAAGCTGCGGTCAAAAAAAGTCCTCCGCCAGCCCCGGTTAGTGTAGCAATAAGTTGCTTATAGGCGAAGCGGTACTCCGTCCGGCTTCGTTGCGTAAGTGGATTGCTTGAGTGGAGTATAGTAAGAGAGCGTCGTTGAGTGCTGCACTGCGCGATAGAGCACGAGCTCTGACCTATCACGATCACTCGAGAAGAAAGCGTTCGCAACGCTCGCCGTTGACTGTCCCAGTATGCGGATCACGCGTAGCGCACCCAGCCTGTTTGACTAGCTAACTAAGCTAGCTGGCTTTTGGTGAAGCTTGTGCTTGTGCTTGTGCTTGTGCTGTACGTAGACAGGATCTGTGACGACCAAGGTTTTTTATCGCACTGCATGCCTATTGGCTAGGCATAGTGCAAGTCCCAACACAAGTTTCGTGGAGCTGGATCGAAGCCTTCATCCATTATTCTTGACTGGCCGCCGCTTCTGAGGAGGCACGCCCTGCCTGTGAACCTGCTTGCGGCTTGGCCGTTTGGCAGGCGGCACTGGCACCACAGAGCTGCTTGACAGCGCTCGCAACGACGCTCTCGTGGACTGCACGAGCGGCTTGCGTCGTTAAGGCTACTGCCAAGCGATGGACGATGAATTCCTGGAGCACGCACTGGTCGTCTACGGCTCACAGTCGGGTAACGCTGCAGACGCCGCAGCTACGCTCGCAGAAGCTATAGGTCCTGGTGCTGACTGCCGAAGCGCTCAGTTCTATGATCCGGAGAATCTTCCGTTCGAGTCTGTTGTCCTGTTCGTTGTCTCCACCTATGGAGACGGAGAGCCGCCGGATAACTTTGCAGCGTTCTGGCGTTTTCTGCGAAAGCGGCGTCTCCCCGCCAACTGGCTGCGAGCCGTGCGATACGCAGTGTTCGGACTTGGTGATCGTAGCTATCCCAAGTTCAACGCGGTAGCACGACGCCTCGATGTGCGGCTCGCCCAGCTGGGTGCCACCCGCATCCAACCCATTGGTCTGGGCGATGGTGCGCTCTGGGAAGATGCCTTTAACGAGTGGTTGACGAGTCTCCTGGGCGCCCAGCGCATGGAGGCCTATCGACGCCGTCAGCAGCAGAGGCAGCAACGAATAGCACCGTCTCGTTGGCATCTCCGGCCTGTGAACCGGGAAGCAGTCTTTCTGGACGCACGGGAACTGGCCCTCGATGATACTTATCCTGATGAAAAGCACGTGGTGCTCTTTCGTTTCCTCGTGGGTCGCTCGGGGTCAGCGGGGCCCATTTTCATGCCTGGAGACGTTGCGTACCTTGTTCCTCAGAATCGGCCCAGCGCTGTGGATGCTTTCTTTCAGTTATTCCCATCATGGGATCCGAATGAAGTGTTCTGGATAGAAAATCTGACTGGAGAGCGAGTCAGGGCGCGATCGCTGGTGCAACGCCTCTTCGACTTGAACGGAATTCCCCGACGTCGATTTCTACGTCAACTTGCCTGCTTCGCGACGGAGGCTCACGAGCAGCGTCGTCTGTTGGAAATCGCGGACAGTGCCGCCGCGTACGCCAGCTATATCCTCCATGAACAGCGAACGGTGCTGCTTGTGCTGCGCGATTTCCCATCTGCACGTTTCCCGAGCCTCGCACATGCTCTCGAGGTCATGCCGAGAATGCAACCGCGTGGCTACTCGATTGCCACCGACATGCGCGATGCAGCAAAAGCAGCCTCGCCTGAAGACAATGCACTTGTAGAGATATGCGTCCGCCTGGTGCGCTACGCAACACCTCTGCGACGTCTCCGGATCGGAACAATGAGTGGTTGCCTGCGTAATCTGCAGAGCGGCGACTCGGTATGTCTTTGGATTCAACCGGGAACGCTTCGACTACCCGCAGATCCGGAGTGTCCGATGCTCATGGTGGCAGTTGGTACCGGTATTGGCGTCTTCCGTTGCATGACATCGCACCTGGCAACGATTTCGACAACACGGCTGCCGTCGAACAAGATCCTTGTGTACGGCTGTCGGAACGATACCGCGGATGATTTATTCCGGGAGAATTGGCCGTCGTCCGTGGTACAGCGACTACCCGCGTACTCTCGACCGCGAGACGGTCGCCCCAAATGCTATGTACAGGATCGTATTCGGCAAGATGCAGACTTGATTTACGAGACCTGTTTCAAGGGTACGGATCGCTCGCAGCGAGTCCATATCATGGTGGCAGGCAGCTCGAGCACAAGCATGCCAGCTGAAGTGCGTCGAGCGATCCTGGAAGCGGTGCTCTGCAGCCGCGCTGGTCTCAGCGCCTCAGAGGCTGAGCAAATGCTCAGTCTCATGGCCATGCAAGGCCGATACATGGTAGAGGTCTGGGACTGAAACTGGTTTAGATGCAATGACCGCCGTTTTTTCGGCATTGTGGCGACCGCAAATACGAGGATGCGCGGGCGCATGCTCCTGCGAAAGCGTTCAAGTGCTGCCCGACGAAGAACGTCCTGGCAGAGCGCGTTTTCCAGCGGCAAAGTGAGGCGTCGGCGGAGACGCATGATGTTGGCAGCCGCACAGCAGGCGGACTTGCATGCGTGTGCGTGTGTGCGTGTATGCGTGTGTGCGTGTTTGCGTGTGTGCGTGCGTGTGTGCGTGTTTGCGTGTTTGCGTGTTTGCGTGTATGCGTCTATCTCTATGCAGTTTCCTCCATAAACCGCATTCGAGAAGCGCCCTCCTATATAGGCCCCACGGTTGAGCGAAGGTGATCATGTCACCAGCGCCGGTCGCGATATTCAGAGGAGCGAATGCTGGAATACATGTACCAGCCTGCCGTTTTTGTTTTTGTTTGCCTGGTTCATATGTATTCAACAAAAGGAATGCGTCCTTTAGACTGGACGCGGGTCACGTGCAGATTCTCTGGTAGAACAGCTAGCTCGTGAAGTACGACAAGACAATGATTCACGGTGTGCAGGTGCGTATGTTTTGCTCCGTCTTTTGGTCCGTACCCTGCATGGCATACGCTCAAACCTGAGCTTTTTTGAATGTATCTACACCACTGTCTTCTTGTCAATCAATTTTTGCTCCATATTTTCTACTGGAACTACTACCATTGTTCCCAAAGAAGACACAAGCGAGCATTCGAACAACATCAGCCTGAGCTACGATTCAGTCACGTGATCGCCGACAAATCACCAAACGGATAGGATCTTTCAAGAACGCATCCTTCGTGGGAGCACGCTTCGTGGCTGCTCCTTCGCAGATGATTCTGGCCTGCTGTTAGAAAGTGTCGCTCTTCATCGCGATAAACAAGTCTGGGGGTATCCAGCTGGGATTGGCGTTGTGTTGCGCTTCGCGGCAGCTCATATCCCTGGATCAGTCGGGTCGAAGGCGTCTGCATCATTCGTGAACGTCATTCTCAGGCTGATATACTAACCGAGGGGCCACTCGAATCCGTGTCACCGGTCTTCAATGAATCATAATCGAGGTTCACGAGCACTGAACTGCTGCTTCGCGCCGCTGCTCGAGCGCGGAAGGGAGCGCAAAGGTGCGCTTCGGTTCGTTGGTGTGCTCGCGACGAAGAAGCTAACCAAAAAGCACTGCGAGAATAGCAGATGCGTTTGAAGGAAATGCAAGTTTCAGTCCCAGCGCGCAGCCAGTGCGTCTGAATCCAACGTAAACTAGAGATATGGTGCATAGCGAATATATCCCTGCCCAAGATCACCTGGTCGAGTTGGAGGCCAACTCACCCCAGGCCAAAAAAGAGAAAGATCCATTGGAACAGAGGTCCACGAAAAACAGAAAGCAAACGATCCGAGCGGAACATCAGTCCTGAACCATTTTCAAATCCTCTCTATTCAACCACGTCGACGGAAATAATCTTCCTAAAGTTAGTATAAGGACTGCAGTAAGGGTCGTGCAGCTCCCTGTTCGCACACGGCAAGCTGGGCATCCCGCGTCTCGACGTACCTAATCGTTCAACAGTTTGTGAGAGCTTCGGAAGCAGCGGCCTGCTGGCCGTACTCATTTTCCCGGAAAATTTCGATCAAACCTTCGTGCGACCCCATAGCTGAGGCTCTGTATAGAACGTGACACACAGCGTGATCATGGGATCGGCGATTTGCACACACACGCTTCCCAGAGTACCTTGAGACGTTGCCGAGCCATCTCAGACGTTCAAAAAAGTCTACAGCGCGGATGTCATAAAATATCAAGCCAGTATTGTAAACCAGATGCGGATCAATCGCGAGCGACTCATGATGCGCACACCGTAGGCATTGCAGCCACTGTGGCTTCAGATGACTGGAATACAAAAAATGTTACCTACGGAAGGTATTCTTGGGATGTTGGCAAAGGCAAATGACGAGCCGGCGGTTACGGAAAAGATTGATATTGTGGCGCCTTCGGCAGCCGAGTCGCAACGAGTGCGAGCTTTGGTTCGGTTCGTTTATGCGCTTCATGTCGCTCTCTGCCCCGCACCGACGCACGTCGTATCCAAAGAACGAATGAAACGGGATGCCTTTCTTCTGCCCATCGTGCGGGACCAAGTGCTCCTGAATAGAGCGCTCCAGAGCATAGCAGGCTCGCTCCTCTAGTCGGGCGTCCTTGCCTCCTCAAGCTTCTGGTCGATGCGATCCCCGAGTGTCACATCAAGCGCCTTGACATCACCCTAGACAATATTCTTCTGTATTGAATAGCCTCCATAATGGGGAACGGCTGGTCTCTGCGAGCATGTGCGAGCGAATCGAACACCTTCACGAAGAGCACTGGCGGAGGTCGTTCCAGGCTTCTCGTCTGCACGGGGAAATGGACAGAAGTGTACAGGGATCATAGAAACGGCCGGAATATCGGTCTGCATGCGCTTCGTGAGGCCTAGTCCTGAGTCTAACAGCACGACGTTCTTTAAATTGCTCAATGCACAAGAAGAACAAGACTTGGTCCTTGATGTCGATCCCGGGTTGAGGAACTACGAACACCGTCGCCAGACGTCTAAGTGAAAAGGACGGAGTCAAAAATCGGAATGTTATGCTGGTCGATCTGTTCATATTTTCTAGGGCTAGGTGGCGTCGAGAATCGGGTTTTATGGACGCCAATAGTCATACCAACAAGTTGATTGACGGCACCAGGAGCCGTTTCGAGGTTCTGGCAACCGTATCGAGCACCGGGGGTGGTTCGGATACACCATTCAGAGCGCACGTTAGCGTTCGAACATTTCATGCATGCGATTCTAGGCAGGAGTACCTGCCACCGCGCTGGCTTCGCCAACGGTTGCTGCTGTGCGGAGGCAATGGATATGCATTTGCAAACTTCTGCAAAACATAAAGGAACTGACCGACAGGTCGCGTCGTTTCGTGATACTCAATGGCGCTGTACATTCTGCTCAGTTCAGGGGCCGCATTCTTGCTCCTTCGAGTCGCGCCTGTAACGAGTGCAGGAATCGATCCGGTACGATTTCCATCCGTGAGTTCGGAACAACGTATACGTATCACGAGTACAGGACCACATCGATATCGGTCCGTAAATGATGCGAGTGAAACGGAGAAGCATGCACGTGATTGTGTACTGTAAGTTGGGCGATCGTCGGGTGGCGAGGCAATCGAAGGCCACATGCTTGCTTTTCGGTATGGGGTGATTTCACGTGCAACAATACGCGTAGGCACTATGCACACCGAGGCTTGAACGAAGCGATCAACATCTGGAAATGCCTGGCGCTTCCGGTGGGTCCAACGTCCTCGTGTCGAGCGATTCCTCAAAGAAATCCTTTAGGATTCAGCACGGGCATTGTGAAGAAGTGTGGAAAACTCCCGATGGAACAATACCAATGGCCAGGCAAGGCGGCATTAGAACCTCGCCTGGAGCAAGTTTTTGGCACAGTATGGCCCGCGATCACGAAAGGCTCAAGCGCCACATCCATTCACACACCGAGAACAACTTTCCGGGGCAAATGTTCGAAAATCACGACTTTCCATCGTTCAATATTTCTGCGTACACGGATTCCAGTTCCTACAGTGCTCCAGGGACACGTCCGACGATGCTGCAAACAGTCCCATACGGTAATGCGCTTGTTACGTTTGTCCTGCATGGAGCTGGCTTCTCGACACAGGTGCGCAGGCTGCTCCGCCAGTGATTTCGAGATTGCGTCTTTCCTCTGGTAGCAATGTGCGTGTCTCCGAGGTTATTGGGCGGATTCAATACTAGGGTTTGTTTGTCTATATAATCCGTGCTCCCAGATGTAGTTCTCCACGGCACGGGGCGTGAGGTAGCGTATCGAGCGCCCATGTGCGACGCGTTCGCGTACCAGCGTCGATGAGATATTGCACTGGACGGGTGCGTCTTTCCAGTAATGGATTGCAGCAGGATATTGTCTTAGGACCCGTTCTAGTGCTTCTTCGTCAGTTGCATCGAGAGCAGGGCGTGGAAGCGCCACCACCTCACAGAGCGCGAATAGTTTCTGCAAGTGCTCAACAGGCCAGATACTGGGATTGTTCATCGAGGCAACGAGATCAGCACCACAAACAAGGAAAACACTCGGACCAGGGTCAGGCAGGCGTCGCTGGGCCTCCAAACGTTCTCGCAGGCTCTGCACAACCTGAAACGTCGGAGAGTAGCAGGGTTGCTGGGCTTCCCAGGCATCGACTTGGACCCAGTCCGAGTCTTTCACAGCGAGCGCACACATCTGTAGCCGGTGTTTCGCCGCCACCAGACCAGGTTTCTGATAAGCGTCGTGCACTGGTGAGAGAAACCCTTTCCAAACTGGATGATGCAAAGTATTTTCAACGTACTCGCGAGCTTGCTCGAGAGAGAGCAGGTGCATCAGTGTCGGGGGCGAGAAACTGCCAGCGCTGAGCAGGACCCCAACCCGCTGACAGTTGAACGAGCCGCGACTCATATTGCCTACCGTGCACAACGCAATGCCCGATACCCACATACGCGGACTGGAAAGCGGAACATGCGTTCAGGTGCTGCAACGCTGTGAGCCGTCTCGTGGTATATCCCGAACCTGAACAACAGCTGGTCGAAGGCGGCGCTTCTCGGGGTTGCGCACATACGGGAGACGATGCCTCCTGCAAACAGGTGCGCGCATCCACCCACGAAGGATATGCGTCACTGGAGTCCGTATTGTACATTTAATGGCAACTACTCCATCTGCCGCATGTTCATCGCAGATTAGCGTACCCTCCGTACGTCCTGAGGAAGGCCTGGCGCGACGTCTCGCCTGATGTCGTCGTAGGCACTGTGTTTCGAGACGTGTTCTGCGGCGCTGGTATTTCGAGTTGTGCTCATGGGTCGTTCCAGTGTCGATGTTCAGGCTGAGGAACAAGTGAAAGGCGCGTTGGCGGAGCGAGATGTTGTTGTCATCTTTAGTAAAACCTACTGTGGCTTTTGTGCAGCGGTGAAGCGCCTCTTTGAGCGTCTTGGGATCCGCTATAGAGCGCTGGAACTGGACATATTACCCCTGGGTTCAGCTATGCAGCGGATATTGTACGAAATGACCGGGCAACGAACGGTTCCGAGTGTCTGGGTGCGGGGACGCCACCTCGGAGGCAACGATGCTGTCCAGGAGCTGCACCGAACAGGCCGCCTGCTGCCGCTTCTCGACGAGTCCGGTATCGCCCACGCTTGAAATCCTAACGCACGGCTCTTTGAGAACCGCTCAAATGTCACTGGAAGTTTGATGAGCGGCAACGCAAGGTTCTCTCTAGGCTGGTCGAACCGCGTGCTGCTTTCAGTCGCGGTTGCTCGTGAGACTCCGTGCGCACTGTACCATGATTCCAAGAGCAGTCTTTGCGGCAGTTTTCGCTGCACACGTGGAGAAAATGGCGAACGCTAGACAGACGATAATGCATGGGGCAAGCATCAAAGCTTAGAGCGAGCGCGCAGAATCCCGCTACCGCTAGGCTAGTACGCGGCACGCATGGAACGCACGAGCGTCGTTTATGTCGTGAGCCTGCGGGCGTTGCTGGGCATCGCATCGAAGCATCGTCTAGAGCCGATGAGCCCACTTTCACCAGGACCGCGCCCGATGCCTGCCAAGTCACTGTTACGGTTCGTGGTGCCTGTCCAATCTATGATCCTTGAATGCGCACGTGAGTGGACCAACAGTACACGAAGCATGTGCATCTGCACAGATGCTGTACGGAACGCGCAGTCGTTACGAACAACGCTATCCGAAATATAGTATGTGATTTGAAGGAAGCTACCCGCGGTAGAGCGAATCGCACATTGACTCAAGACAAAGTCTACTTGCGACACGCGTTGCAGGCCACCAGCATGCCGCATGCTCGTTGGTGCCCCTTTTGTACACAAGAGAGCACCGCGGGAGAGCTTCGGTCGAGCGGGCTCCCAGTGGCGTTCGCTACATTTCCCCGGGGGCTCTCTAAGAACCGTCTAGGTGGCGAGCATTTTTCTTTCGTGTGTGATCTATGAGACGTGTGGATGAGAGCGGCACGACTTTGCGGCTGGTTTCGATCGCATTCAGCGCGCTTGATTCTGCCGACGAGATTTGTTCCGTTGTCGCTCCGTATCTATCGTATTGTTGGTAAAGACCCAAACAATTAAGCTAAAAGACAGCTGCATACTTTTTGATGAGTCTAGATTGGTGCACAGCTGGTCACTGGAAGTGCCGTAGACGGAGATTCCCGCTCGATCGATACGTCATGCTGCTAAGAATAGCGCTGCGACCGCGGCCGTTTTCCGCCGCCATGTTCGGGTGTTCCGGAATGGGAACCTCCAGCCTCTCGTCTTTAGTGGCTTTCCATGGCAAGTGGCCCGGTTTATGTCGCTGTAATTGCTCACAGGCGGATGCGCGTCGATGTACGATACGGCAACTGCAGCGAGACAGGATGCAGCTGTCGCGGACTGGGAACCGTAGTGCATGCGGTATCATCTCTAGATGGCGACACACTCCCGAAGGAGCCGGGCTTTCGATCGAGTACCGCAGTTCTTGATTCGCATTCACGGCGGCGAGAGTTTGCATGGAAAAGTTTCTTGGATCCCGAGTCCAGGCATCGCGGCGCTCGCTTCCACCGGAGCCTGCGTCACCGCATTGCCCGAATGGAGCGTAGACGGATCGAAATTTCTCGATTGCATCTCCAGCATGGATTGTCTTTTATGTGTTTGTTCCAACGTGGACAACCTTGCGTTCCACAAATCATCTGCCGAATGGGACATCGTGCGCTTGTGTGTGCGACAGACCGCGTACTCGCAAAGCGGATCACCAAGAACACACCTGTGATCGCAGTGTACGGCACTGGGCCCGGAAACTGAGAACGGCATCGACTGGAGTCTATTGTACCAATCATGGGCACGTACGGAGCGCTGAAGCAAGCATTCAGGCGCCAGGTGGCGGCACGCGAAGGAGCAGGTCTGGTAGAGACATACGGGAACAGCTGCCCACAATCAGGTATCACAGTGAGAACGGCGCACCGAGACTGATAACGAATAAGATGAAAAGGGCAAGCGATGCTTATATCGCAACTTGTGCATGTAGATGGAATTCAAAGGAAACAGCCGGAAGCTTCAAAATCGGGACCGGAACGCTGCCATCAGCGTATTTCGACTGCTGACAACGGAGCGACAGGGACAAGAGACACCAGCGCATTTAAAGCCGGAGGTTGGAAAAAGGAAAAGAAATCAGTTGCAGAAAAAGCCCGCAAATACTAGTGTTGATGGTAGGTGGAAGAGGCCCAAAGTTTAGTTTGTACACCCAAGTAGGATGACCTGTTACATTGGTGTATAGACATGTTTATATGCACTGAGCGTAGAACCTGCACCAAACCAAGCGGAACATGCATCTGGCTTGCCGCCTTTAACAGACGTATCCGGTTATTGTCAAAAATATACATGGTTGAAAACACTTGCGCACGGGAAAACCTTCCGTGTCGCTCGGACGCGAATTCATCTCGAGTCTCGCTTCAGCCGTGCAGCTCGCTCCCAGTCATATCCATCCTCGAGGTGCACGGGCACGGTGTCGCCTCGGAGCGACGCCTCGTCGCTGTGCACGAGCATGCCCCCACCGCCACAGCGGGGACATGGCTCACGTCCTGTTCCGTGGCAGCGAGAGCAGGTGCTCTTTGTCAACGCGACCCTTGTCCTGCTCTTTGAGAAGAGGTTCCAACCCCGCGAAGCCTTTTGAAGGGGCCCCTTTGGCTCGCTTCTGCTTTCTGAACTGTCGCTGCTGGCGTCAGGCACCCGCCAGCGTTGGCAGAGACAGTCGATGGAGCCCTCGCCCTCGCACGCTGGACAAGTTGGGTTCGCCTCTCGAGCGTCCGCACCTCGAATGAACCGGAGCCACGCTTTCCGGACTGCTGCTGGAGACTGCTGCGCCAAGTGGGATACCACAAGGCCAGCGACCGCACCTAGTACCCACACGACCGGCGTTAGCGAGTTCGCGCCGTCAAACTCCGTCGTCATGCTCGTGCCAGTGCTTCCGAACCAGGCCAACATTGTCGGCGGCAGACTCACCCCGAAGGCATAGGCCAAGTGCTGGCCCGCTGCCGCCTGGGAAACACCTACCACGCTGAAGCTGCTCGTAATCAAGGCGCAGGGGGACTGCGGCTGATGCGGACGCGGTCCCCGTCGCCGCCAGCGCCGTTGCACCGTTGTTGCCCCATCGTCGCGAGCGAACCTGTTGTTCGTCGCTTTAGGCAGCCACGAAGTTCTCTGTAAAGTTTGGCGTACTACAGACTGAATACGCGATACAGATAGAGAGATTCCTATGAAACCCGAAGATACGGCTCGTTTGGGCGAGCGTTTGCAAACCATCCCCAGAGTGTGAATAGACCACCAACTCGAGGACTTTCAAGAGTGATTTCTGCGCCGTTCGCCCGCCATCGCGCAACACACGTCGCGAGATGCCGATGGTCGGGCGTCTGTCACCCGCGAGCGCTGGATAGTGACAAAACGGACAGCGTCGCTTCGGGTGCTCATCTAGAGTCGCCAGTCACCCGCGAGCGCTGGATAGCGACAAAACGGATAGTTGCTGCGGGTGCTCATCTGACTTCCGGAGTCTCCCGCGCGGTACAAAGAATCGCGCGCTTCCGTCAGACGATGCTGCACGTACACTTATCTCCTCATTTGGCGCTTGGGAGTCGAACCAGGTACGCGCAAGTGCTGAAAAGCGTCCAGTAACTTTGGAAGGGACTGGCGTCTTCGTGAAGACGCGTCCGTATTCCAGATGCTCCAGTCCAGTATTACTGCGGTAAATAGAATCTGCGTGGTCCGCAAATTCGTTAGATAGACCGTTATCTGACCTGCCCCAGACGCTTGCTGTGGCGCTGCAGAAGCCTTTGCAACCGCTATTGCCGCACGGAGATCGAAGGGTTTTGTGGTGTCTCGGCGATGGTCGCTCTCAAGGTGCTCACTGAAGCTGGGCGGTGCGTCCACCGGCCGGCGCTTGGTGCGATAACGCTCCTGATTTCGTGGCCTGAGCATCCGCTCCATACCCGAAACGCTTCCTAGAGCGTAACCATCATACCAGTGCGGTCATCGAAGATGTTTCGATCCGCAGCGCTGCAGCGATGGTGTCGCTCCGGTGCCGACGTGCCCGCAATATCTACCGTGCTCAGCAGTTTCGTGCCGGGCTGTCACCTACCCTGGCTTCATGCCGTTCATAGCCCGAAAATAGTGTCCGCATGCAGGCCTGATTCACATAGGAATGTGCTTGGCCTACTTTCGTGTTGTCTAGCATGCCTATTTACGTTGACGTATTCTGCTCTATGATTTTCTAGGCCGCCGTGGACCCGAAATCCCTGTCGCGATCGCACCGGTTCCCTTCCAGAGCGCCACGAAATAAAAATGCTCTACTCGGACTGCCTGCTCAGGCCGTTCATTTCCGCAACGTGCTCGCCGCCCGTGAACCTCCGCGCCGGATTTCTCCGACGATCCAGTCGATGCCTTCGTGAATACCCTCCCCTGTAACCGCCGAGCAGCCAGCGACATGATAACATCGGCACGGGATTTCTTCGAGTCCAAGCTCTCGCTGCAGCTCCTCACTCGTCATCGCGTCAGACAGGTCCTGCTTCGTGGCAAAGATGAGCAAGGGTGCGTCGTGGAGCTTCACGGCAGCACGATAGAACCGTCGCAGCTCACGACGGTTGGCGTCCACAAGGCGGCGATCGGCAGCGTCCACCACGTAGATGACTCCCTGAATGCCATCCTGATACATGGGCCAGAGCGGGCGCAGTTTATCTGTGCCGCCAAGGTCATGGAAGAGAATTTCCTCAGAGCCCCAACGAATGGTTTCCTCTACAGATCCCAAAGTCGGAACGGTAATGATGAACTTTTGTAGCTTGAGGCGATACAGAATGGTGGTTGCACCAGCCCCATCCAAGCCCAAGAGAAGCAGCTCTATGCGTTGGCCGGGGCGATGCGCGTTCGTCCTTCCGCCGCCGCCACCGCCACCACCACCACCACCATCACCTCTGCTTCCGCGTCGACGAGTTGAGCTGGCGTCTCGAGCGCTGGTTCCAGCTTCGGAAGGCTTTCCGAAACACGCCCCCATGCCGCGTCGCCACTACCACAACTGCGGGCTGCGCTGTGCGGTAGAGAGCAGACGTGCTGTTCGCTGGTTTTTCCTGGTTATGCGTGTCTCTCTAGGCCACCGACAGAGAGCGACTATGCCGTATAACCACTGCGGACTGCGCTGTGCGTAGATCGCCGTCCAGCACTCGGTGGCACCCCAGAACAAACCTGCGACGATCCTGCCTTGTAGGCTGCCGAATCGGCTTTTAGTCCCTGTGCTCGTTCAAGGCAGAGAACACGATTCCGAGCTATGACTCAAAGAAAACACGCGTCGAGCGAGTTTCCAGTACACGCAGCGTATAGCGAGCCGCACAGGTTCAGCTCACGGCCTTGGGCTCGCACACCGCGCAGTCCGGACGTTGCTATCGCCGGAAACGGGCCAGCAGTTTCCGCAAGTGTAGCGAGCTCTGACTGCCAGAGAAGGCTGCTAAGGGACCAGGGTCTGCACGATCTGGCAGATAATCGTGTCTGTCCACTGGTCCAAACCTGCACCAATGCGTCGCCCGTTCCTGTGAGTGACAGGTATGTTCCGGTCCACGGTGACGTGCGAGCCACAACACATATAGATTGGGGTACAGCAGGCGCCGCCGCGCATTTGCCCTGAGGCGTTTGGTAGTGTCCGTATTGTTCTAGACAACGAGTATGGGACACGAACCTTGAGACGCTTGGTAGTGTTCGTCTTGTCGCAGAAAATGAGTATGGGACACGAACCCCGAGACACCTGGTAGTGTTCGTCTTGTCGCAGAGAATGAGTATGGGACACGAACCCCGACACACCTGGTAGTGTCCGTATTGTCAAAGAACATCACTAAAAGACATATGCGCTCCCCCTTAGGTGCACGAGGCACGCCATTTTACATCGATCCTGGTGCATATGCAGGTATTGGAAGTCATCCTGAGTTAACTATGCTAGCCCGAAGCGATTCATACCATGAAGCACTTTGGCTGCTTTATGAACAATTTCACATCGTTGTTCCCTATTTGCCGTGTGGATTCGTGCTCGCATCCAATACCTTGCTGCTTGCTCAGCTCGGTGCTGTATGACGACCGACTCCCTTGGCGGTCGCCCAAGAGGCTCCCTCAAAAGACATATGGATCGCTGCTATAGCACGAAGAATGAGCTTGTGTTTCCATGGCAGAACACGGAAAGAATATAGCATCAGGCCTCGGGGAATGACTCGAAAGGCGAAACCCTATCCACCAGAAGCCCCAAATACCAAGACTCCGCGCAAACAGCAAGGATTTCAGCAAGAATCGCGCTGAGCGTGCATTCCTCAAGATCCCGATGCCTCGTAGCGCTCTTCGTCCATACCATCGCTTCCAAAAGGCAGCTTCGTGTGAAGGCATCAATTGACAGCGAGCTCCATGGATGCGTCTGTCTTCGTCGACAGAGAACGGCACAGAGCGCACTGGAGCAAATACCAGGTCGCCGGCCTTTGGTTCAGCAGCAAGACCGTAGAGTCGCAACAGTGATGGCGATGAGATCTCTTCTGGATAAAAGACAGACTGCATGCAATTCGCATGCATGAACGGCGTATGTTAAGGTGCCAGAACGGCAGAGCGCATAGCAGTAGTATGTGCGGATGCTTCGCAACTTGACGATAGCGAGTACGTGACAGATCCCACCGGGATCCGCAGCAAACACGCTGACACATTCCTACTGTGCATCCGACGATAGCAACTGGAACGAGATGTACTCGCCAGACGCTGCTACCGCCGTGCTTGTTTGTGGGCGTGCACTGGGACTTAAACGTCGTCGCCGAAGGCAACGATAAAGTTCCACAGGGCGCATCACCCTGGATGCACAAAGTGCCCAGGCTTCAAGTTCTACGGAGATCTCATTCGTTATCCAGGTGGGACGTTCATCGAGCATGCGTAGAACAAAGGTCGCGAAGAGCTCAGCGACGCGCTCCGAAGCCGTGTCATTCCACGAGACCAGTGTGCGTCCTTGAGCACAAACTCGGCTTGTGTACAGCCGAAAGAAGAGTTCCCGATCTACTGCGTGAACAAGAGACAGATTCGAAATCGTTACCGGAAGCAACGTGAATGCGTCCATATATTCTGGCAAGCGGTTGGTGCACGTATCAACCAGGTGTTGCAAGATCCGGGCTGTATGCCGAACGCTGTGATTCTCGTGGAAGCGCAGAAGATCCTCCGGACTCAAGTGAAGCCGGTGAATCAGGGTTTCATCAGCGTCGATGAGGCGGTCCAGGATGGTGTCTGCCTCCAGGGGCGAAAGAGATGCTCCATGAATGACATCAACGAGGCGAGCTGCGGCTCCTCCGTCGACTCGAAGACAGCGTGGAACCCGTTCCTCATCGAGCGATGAGGCCCTCTCGAGGAAGATCGCTTTCCATACACGCAGCTCTCGGAGGCCAGATCCTGTCTCCGAGGTGACCCTGGGCGCCAACGTCATATCTAGCGGAGGGCAATGCAAAGGTCCTGGCACAAACAACTCACGGCAGATACGTAAGCTGGCCAGCGCCCGCAAAGCGTCCACCTCAAACTGCTCTCGATTCGTTTCGCGTAGAACAGCGTCCTCAAGGGCAGTCTTATCGTCTTCCATGGCCGTGATTGCAGGCATCATCCACGGCCGCAAAATAGCTTGCTCCCGAAGGAGAATTTCATCGAGCCAAGCATGCGTTACCATATCTCTCCATTGATTCGGAACAAGCGTGGCTTCTACGAGGCGTTCCGGATGTCGCCAAGCCGTATGCGCAACGAAACAACTGAGCAGCGCCTCTCGCGTTGCCGGAACTGCATTCTGTTGAAGATCAATTTGTCCCGACTGTGTCCCAGTGTACGGCGCTCTTGCGCCGAGAGCGGACCACGTCTGTGCGGGAACGTAGCGCAGCACCTGCGGCAGTACCGCTACGATCACATGAGAGGCCTCGTAATCACGAGCGGTGGGGTAGCTGGTGCGGCGATCACAACCAGAAGCAGTCGAACTCATTCTGGTGGTGAGCAGCCCAACGAACTGCTGCCGCCAACGAACAAGAAAGTACGCCAGTTCCGCAAAGTAGACCCATCCCATTTCCTTCCAGAGCTCGTAGCGAACAGCGCTGAGAACGCTACGAGCATGGGGTCTCAACAGACCTCGCTTTGAGACGTAGTATACGAGTTGCGACAAAAGCAGCCATGCATTTCGACGAGGTATCCGAAGGCCGTGGGTTGCCCCCGAGCCATGCGGTGGATACGTTTCAAAGATTCGCTGCTGGAGGGTGGCTACCAATACCTCCGCGAGGCTAAGTTGCCATTTATACAGTTCATCCTTGAGCTTTCCCCAATTGTTCTGTGGCCCATATGTGTCTTCCATACGCTGGGTGTGCAGGCCGATGAAAGCGGCGAAGGCATCTGCAGCCTCTCTGGGGTCCGTCAGCTCCAGTATACTGCGAAGCGTTTTCGCCACTGGCAGCGAAACTTCGTCACCTTCCGTGTTCGCAGCCATGAAGGGAGGCGGTTATGAAAACTCCGTGCGACACCCTGTGGAGGAACGCATCAGCCGAGAACAGCGCTGGCCGTAGCCAAAGTGCAAACGAGAAACGCTGTCGAGTGCGAGCAGCTTGGGAGCCGGCTCTCAGCTTCGGCCTTTTTCAACACCAGTTCTCAGCGTGTCCACTCGAGTCTGCGGCAGATAAGTGCCAACGGATTAGAGATTGCACTGAGGAGTGAGCCTGCACCGCAAACCAATAACGAGCGCCACTCAAAAGAAAAATGCTGCGGCCAGCGGTGTACAGTAGTGGCAAACACGCCCTAGACACGACGTCTCCACCTGACGTGCAGACGCCTCCCAGCCTTTTCGGACCGGTCACCTACAACTGCTTCCAACTGTTTCTCATATAGTTCCACTTTGAGTGATTGTCTAACAAAGTTCTCTCTTGTCGACTCTGGAGGTCTTCTTTCTGTCACCGTACATCTCTTTACATTGGTAGCGGCGTTAAAGTCTCGGTTCCCTAATACCATACGTTTCTTGCCATCACTGGTTGCGCTCACCAGCGCAAGTAGTCCACGAACTTTCGCTCTCTTATCCATTTGCTCTCCCATCAGCGGTCCGTAGTTTGCTATTTCCTCATGGCTTCGTTGGCACGTTTCCATCTCGACTCTCTGAAGTGTAAATCCCAGCTCGTGGTGTGTATACGATGTTCGAAACTCATCTGCAGGTATCGCAGCGAAACGCCGTGCACACTCCTTGTACGTTCTTGTCGTTGGAGCTGGCATAGTCCCGTTTTTGGGTCTTCCAGCGCGTTGCTCCGTACGCTACGACGAGCCTCTGACTTTCAATCTCCTTGAGGGCGCCCACCTGATTGAAAAAGTTGGCGAACGCCCGCTGCTTCCCACAGTACAGATTCATTCGCAAACGAGCCCACCTGGGCTTTGTATAATCCTCCCACAGCGCGTCCCAATGAGCAACGCGAACTTCCATGAATTCCCGAAAAGCTGTAAAGTCCGCTCCTCGGCTCCTCACCTCGCTCAAAGCTTGCAGGTGATCCTTCATTCCTGCATTCCATGTCTCAATTTTCTTCCTTGCATTGATCATACCGGATTCTCGATCGTATCTTGCTCTCGAGAACCTCAAAAGACACATGTCTGTCTGATGTAAGGTGCCGTTAGTACCATCTGCCACACGCTTCCGTGCTGCGATGGTTATGAAATTGTGTTTCTGGGGTCGGCCGCCAGCAGCACGTTCACGTCCGGAGATTACAATCTCAATTCTTTCTGTTTCTGGAGTCTGTCAAACGACCTGGAATTCGGCCAACCTAATGGTGCTCACAAACTGCGAGGAAAACGACGCTGGGAAGTACGTTGTGGAGCTACAGAATTTGAGGAATACAGACAGAGGCTTAGTTGGGGGGAAGAACGCCAGCCTGGGTGAGCTGCTGAGTCTCGGGCTCTTGGTCCCGCGAGGCTTCGCTGTGACGGTCGCCGCGTACGAGTCCTTTATCGAATTCAATAAGCTGGACACGAAAATTCAGTCCATTCTTCAAGGTCTGAACTTAGAGTCGCCCAGCTCGCTGGAGGAAGCCTCAAAGGCAATAATGGCGTTGTTGGAGGATGCTGCATACCCACCGCCCGTAGAGCAGATGATTCGAAGTGCGTACCGCAACTTGGTGAAAACCCTTGGGGCGCAAGAGCCACTGGTTGCAGTTCGCAGCAGCGCAACTGCGGAGGACTCTGCAGAGGCAAGTTTTGCTGGCCAGCAAGAGACGTATCTGTGCGTGCACGGCATCGATGCGATCCTCCAGTATATCAAGAAATGCTACGGCTCGTTGTTCTCGCCTCGCGCCATTGCATATCGGGAGGAGAAAGGCTACCCGCACCTGGATATGCGCCTGAGTGTGGGTGTGATGCAAATGGTTCAGAGCCGTGTCTCGGGGGTTTGTTTCACCCTGGATCCGGTTACCGGCAAGCGTGATCTGATCGTTATTGAGTGCTGCTGGGGACTCGGCGAGATGGTCGTTCAGGGCAGGGTTCGACCGGATCGTTTCGTGGTCGAAAAGGCAAGCGGGCGTGTGCTCGAGCGCCACACTGCCTCAAAGCCGCTGATGATGGTGCGAGCCGCAGTCGCTGACGGCGTCCAGGGCATCGACGCAGCATCCGCTGACACGCTGACCCGTGAGGTACCCGTACCAGCGGACCTGGTGGAGGCTCCGTGTCTCACCGATGCACAGATACAGGAGCTCCTACGAACTGCACTCACCATAGAAAAGCATTACGGAATACCAATGGACATTGAATGGGCCATAGATGAGGAAAAGAACCAGCTCTATGTGCTTCAAGCGCGTCCCGAAACAGTCTGGTCAGACAGGAAAGCAGCCTCGCGTCGCGAGGTTTTGGTACGTGGCCTCGGAGCATCGCCAGGGCGCGCACACGGGAAAGTGCGAGTCCTTCTTGATGTCCAGAACATATCGGAGTTCCAACCAGGTGAAGTGCTTGTCACATCAATGACAACGCCGGACTGGGTGCCAGCGATGAGAAAGGCGGCGGCCATCGTCACCGACAGTGGCGGAATGACTGCGCATGCCGCGATTGTCTCGCGTGAACTTGGCTTACCATGTGTGGTTGGCACCGGCAAAGCAACCGAGATTCTTCGAAGCGGCCAGATCGTGACGGTGGACGGAACGCTGGGTGTCATACTGCGCGGAGTACACAAAGCCGAGGAGGACACACCGCCCAAGGCAGGGATATCCGCTGACGCAGTCGCGTCGATGGTATTGCCGATCACGGCTACTCGCGTCTACATGAACCTCGGTGAACCAGAGAAAATGCAGGATCTACGTCACCTGCCATTTGACGGCATTGGGCTCATGCGGGTCGAGTTCATCCTTGCCAGCTGGGTTGGACACCATCCCATGTACATTATCGAGAACAAGGAGGAAGAAATGCTCGTGGAGAAGCTCGCGGAAGGTATTTCCATGGTCGCACAAGCTGCCTATCCGAGGCCAGTCATTGTCCGATTTAGTGATTTCAAGACCAACGAATACCGCTCCCTGAAAGGCGGCGAACGGTACGAGATCCTTGAATCTAATCCGATGCTCGGCTGGCGGGGCGTCTCGCGCTATGTCAGCGCTGAGTACGAGGCCGGGTTTCGCCTCGAATGCCGAGCGATGAAGCAGGTTCGGGATGAGCAGGGTTTGAAAAATGTCTGGGCCATGTTACCATTTGCACGAACGACCTGGGAGGTGCAGCGTGCGCTTGACTTGATGCGCTCTGAAGGACTGCAGCGCGCTTCCGACTTCAAAGTTCTGCTCATGGCGGAGGTTCCCAGCGTTGTTCTGCTCGCGCGCGATTTTGCTCAGCTCTGTGATGGATTTAGTATCGGTAGCAACGACCTAACGCAGCTGTTGCTGGGCGCGGATCGAGATTCCCCGAAGCTTGCCACTTTGGGATACTTTGATGAGCGCGATCCGGCAGTCAAGGCCGCGATGCGCATCCTCATCGAGGAAGCCCACCGTGCCAATATCACTGTGAGTATCTGCGGGCAGGCTCCTTCAGTATATCCGGATTTAACCGAGTTTTTAGTTCGCTGTGGCATTGACAGCGTGAGTGTCAACCCTGATGCTGTGATCAGTACGCGGAAACAGATCGCAAGCGTTGAGCAGAAGATACTCCTCGAGAATGCACGCAGAGCACTGCTGGAGCAGCACAGCACGGGGCGCTAGTTCCTCCGAATATCTCACGACATAACTTGCTAACTGGCGGGGCACTGCGGTTTGAACCGTGCCAGCGATGATCGTAAACTGGGACAGTTGGGATTCACGGTTGCTCTCATGGAGCGCTCGAAGTGCGTAAAGCGTCGCCCGGGGCGCCAATTCGTCGACAGGGGCGAAGAGTCGCTCTTTTTCCGCTGGAGTATCGTGGAATAGTAGGAGACGCTCCGACAGACTGGTTCTTTTGCTGCGAGAACGGCACGCGTCCTCGATACTGGCGCACGCGACTGCTCAGTGGACGAGCAATGCATCCGCGGTTCCTCATTGCCTCAAAAACAGCACGCGACAACAGACTTGGAGGCCGTTTTTCATGCGTAGGCGGACGCTGTGTCCGGAAATCTGAACTTGATTGCGGTCGAGGACCCACTGAGTCGGTATGAAGTGTTGGAACCGCTTCTTGCAGGCGCACGATACATGAATATGCTTCTCGATGGCGCGAAGCATTCAGGGAAGTTGTTCAACGGTACAAGAGGCGGAATTTCAGCGCATAGTTGCCTTGATGGTCCGCAAGCCGCTACGCTTGGAAGATAGCAGGTTTTGCGGATAGCACGAAAGCGTAGGGTGCGTGACTTGCGCATGACCTGGTAGTTCATCGTGAAAGAGCGCTTATCGACCTCTACTCTGTCGAGGTAGCTGATCGAACAGCTGCAGAGCAGGTATTCAACTTTTGGTTAGCGAGAATAGGTTGAAGGTCGGCGCGGGGCCTCTCGGGCGCATCTGGTGCCGACTCGACTGTTTTGCTAGAGGGGCGCGCTGATTATAGCCAAACTTCCGAGGAGTCGCGCGTACGACCGATGACTAGGGAACAGGCTTGTGGTCGTCGCCTAAAAAATAAACGCCATTCAAAAGAAAAATGCTGCGGCCAGCGGTGTACAGTAGTGGCAAACACGCCCTAGACACGACGTCTCCACCTGACGTGCAGACGCCTCCCAGCCTTTTCGGACCGGTCACCTACAACTGCTTCCAACTGTTTCTCATATAGTTCCACTTTGAGTGATTGTCTAACAAAGTTCTCTCTTGTCGACTCTGGAGGTCTTCTTTCTGTCACCGTCCATCTCTTTACATTGGTAGCGGCGTTAAAGTCTCGGTTCACTAATACCATACGTTTCTTGCCATCACTGGTTGCGCTCACCAGCGCAAGTAGTCCACGAACTTTCGCTCTCTTATCCATTTGCTCTCCCATCAGCGGTCCGTAGTTTGCTATTTCCTCATGGCTTCGTTGGCACGTTTCCATCTCGACTCTCTGAAGTGTAAATCCCAGCTCGTGGTGTGTATACGATGTTCGAAACTCATCTGCAGGTATCGCAGCGAAACGCCGTGCACACTCCTTGTACGTTCTTGTCGTTGGAGCTGGCATAGTCCCGTTTTTGGGTCTTCCAGCGCGTTGCTCCGTACGCTATGACGAGCCTCTGACTTTCAATCTCCTTGAGGGCGCCCACCTGATTGAAAAAGTTGGCGAACGCCCGCTGCTTCCCACAGTATAGATTCATTCGCAAACGAGCCCACCTGGGCTTTGTATAATCCTCCCACAGCGCGTCCCAATGAGCAACGCGAACTTCCATGAAATTCCGAAAAGCTGTAAAGTCCGCTCTTCGGCTCCTCACCTCGCTCAAAGCTTGCAGGTGATCCTTCATTCCTGCATTCCATGTCTCAATTTTCTTCCTTGCATTGATCATACCGGATTCTCGATCGTATCTTGCTCTCGAGAACCTCAAAAGACATATGTCTGTCTGATGTAAGGTGCCGTTAGTACCATCTGCCACACGCTTCCGTGCTGCGATGTTGATGATAATGATGTGTCCGGGGTCCGCGCCAACGACAAGATCAGTATCCTCCACCTCCTGCGTGGCGGGATCCGACTCATTCTCATCTTCATGCTTCGTCGAGGGCGCAGCGGGGGGTGGGACTCGACGATCTTTCTTCAACCGCCGATAGTGTACACACACGGCTACTCCATTGGTTTCAATCATCCCAGCGAATACCTTTTGCTTGCTCGTTTTGAGACGTTTGAAACCGAAGATTTTCTTCCAGTACGTCTCCTGGTTTTCGCCGGTGAAGTCCTCGCGACTAATATTGAACTCCGCACTGATCTCCTTCGTGATGTCGTGAGGGATCTGGAGTCGATAGTCACAAAATGTGACTTGATGTTGCACAACGGAACCACGTCCAAGCGCTTCCCCATTAGGAAAGCCTTCCGTCTTTCCCATTCTTCATTTTTCCTCACTCAGCTTCATCTCCGCTTTGCGTTCGAGCTCTCGGTCCAGAAACACAAAATACCGCAGGAAGAGGCGATAGTATCTTTCCTTATCTTTTTCCAACTTTGATATCTTGTCTGTTGGATTCACCAGCCTCAAGACTGCACGGTGCTCTTGTATAGCCGCACGGGTTACAGAAGCCTCATTCGTGCTCCCTTTTGACGTCTTCTTGTCGACAAATTCGACGTCATCTTCATGCTGGCGATCTTTCGTGATGCCATTGATAATCGACCATATCCCCTTGCGAGAGATGCCCGGGTTGAGTGCAAACGCGGTGCGTATCATGAAACATTCGAGGTTCTCTGTCAAATGGTTCTTCAGGTTCGTGATGAACTTCATTGCCCCGTATGTGTAAATATGCGAGTCACCCCTGTACCAAGCACCCTCGAATCGGAATTCCACGAATTTTTCGTAAAGAGCATGCACTAGCACATTTTCCCTCCACGTTTCCGCTGTACCATGCATCAGGTATCGAAAAGACGTCTTGTCGAAGAACTCGTCCGGAATGTCGACCGTTTCCATGTGCGTCACGTATTTGTACATCTCCCTCGCCAAATGCATCAGTCCGGAAGACGCCTTGACAAAACTCTTGGGTTACGAGTCGACACGGTTTTCGATAGCGCCTCGCAACTTTTCCCTATAGGGATCCTTGATATGTCCAAGAAGAGAGGTTTTCACCACTATCTCGTTGTACAGTTGTCGTTCTTGCAGCCTTCGACGTAGGGCCTCACATTTTGCTTCTTTTTCTTTTGCTGTTCGTCCGGACTCGGCACTGTATTTGTTTTTCTGGCAGCCGGCGATCCTGGGCCTCCAGGATCGCCGACTTGCTTTCCTATGACTTTCCTTTTTTTATTTTTTTTGAAAAAGAACCAGCTTCGAATCCTTCTATTATATATTGCAAGAAAACACTCGACTAGACATGTTTGAGGGCTGAAACACAAATGAACTGAAAAATTGTACTTTGCTTCGACTCCAACGCGAATACAACTTTTTCCGGTAGAACAACACGTCAACGAATGGTCAGGACTACGTTTCTCTTCCACTGTGAAAAGCGCATTGTATTTCATGCCTTTCAAATATGGAGGTGCACAACTCGACAGCGTTATTTAGAACAAAGAACAGAGACTCACGATTCACGACAAACGATGTAACGATTTCATTCCCCCTCTACGCTAAACGTTGACAGGGGGAGAAGCTTTCCGCATGTTAGAATGTTTGCGCTCCAGGCGGAAGGCCCCGTGAGCCGGACGAGTCTTCTGGGTAATTGCGTCATGCTTCCCCCACCCAATGGCAGGTGCTTTAGTGATATCTGACCAACTCATCCCCGAAGCGGTTTATTCCGGCATTAAGGGTGCTCAGGCAGCGTCTGGGCGTCGCCCTGGTCGCAGCGCATTCGGTGGTACGCCTACGCTGTTCTGTCCCTGTGCAGCATCCGCTCCAGCGGTACAAGCGCTGCGGCGGGTGCTCACTGCAGGCTCGGCGCACGAACGAACGCACAAATCGACCAGTCTAGCGGAAAGGGAGTCTAAGTAATGGAACCTGGAGGCAGGGTGCACCATGACGGGCGCTTTCCCGAAAGCCGATATCCATCCCGCAATCCGTGATCCACGGTCGATGGATAGGTTTTCTCAGACCAGAAAAAGAACAAGACACGACGCACATCTCGCCGTTGAAGGGAAACGCGATCCTGATCATGAACGTGTCGCTCTAACGGACAAGACGTGTTAGGGTTGAAGTGGCAGCAAGGTCTAGTCTTTCAATGCATTCGTGTTCCAATAGCCTCGTATAGTATTCAAGTGGTTTTTCGCGGTTAACAGCAGATGCGTTCCAAGTGCGTTCGTTCTCAAAAAAATAGAATGCAATGGTATGGACGTGAAAGTCGAGGATACCGGAGGACCATCATTGCCGAGTTCGACAAACAAAATGAAAAAATCCTCTTCCCGCTGACCACCAATCGAAGAGGAGCAACAGATGAGGACAACGAAGACGATGACGATGAGAGATAGCCAGGAAAAGGTGTTTGCTCGACGGTACGTTTACGAAACTCTGGTGGCACAGAGAGCACGAGTTCGATGCGTCTTCGCAAAGCGAGGTTCCACCATCGGCAATAAATGCAACGAGTTCGTTGACCGAGACCTCAACGTCGCCATCATTATCAGATAATGTGCAGAGCGAAAGACTTTACCCGAGGAACTGACGCGATCTGACTTGCGGGGCAGTCTCTCAGGGTCTCCGTATACAACAAGAAGCTGGAGCCGACAGCAGGGCGCGGTCCAGCATGGCAGGGAGGCGTCTGCGGGTAGATATTCATGTATACGACATGGTCGTGGGACGTTTTTGTTCCACTGACAGGTGCGTTCGAGTTACATAGAACTGAACAGATCCACGGACAAAGACGTATGCACTAATATTTCGGCTTCTTTAAACGACGCTGGTCTCTCCTTTCTCTCCAGCGCTGTTCATAGCAGTCGCACGATATTGGCGGTGGTGGTGTTCAGGCCCCGATTCCATAGCTGCCGACTCTTGTCTAGGCATTCCATGCACTGCCAAAAGTTGCCATCTTCGCTTCGCTTGCCATGTGCACCTTCTTTCCACTCTGTTGCGGTGCGCCCGTCGCAGCGTTGCCGCTTGGCTGTGGTCTGGCGGTCACGTGCCACCAGCATACTTCGTCATCTGACGGCTAGTCGCTGACACGTGAACGCTCGCGTCGACGCTCCGTAACTGTGTGTGGCGGGTCCAGAAGCCTCACCTCAGTGCCCTGCTCCGTTCTCGCACCAGCTGCCGTAACCTACGCTCACGGGCTTCTGCTGGGCGATCGCCTCGGCGAGAGCGCTCCCCTCAACACACGCCTGCGCATGCTGCTCCCTTCTCTAGACGACTCGTCGAAGGCGATGCTCTCCAGACAGGAACAGGTATCGCAACGAACCTCCCAGTCCGGCGTGCACGTCGTGAACTCTCGATCTGTCTTCGCTCACTTCGCGCAAAGCAGTGACGCACGCTCTACTCAAAGTCATCGCAGCGATGAGTAAAGCCCGGGTCGAGGACCCCTTTCCATGCGCAGAAAAGAGACGGGCGCCTCTGAGCGCATGTTCCGGGAACTGCACCATACTGCCAATGAGTGCCGCTCCGTCGATAGCCCCACATAGAGGTGGCATTGCTTCCCGAGCGAAACTGCTTGTTTGCAGTGATAAGCTGCGTGACGTTTCAGCGAGAGTCTGTGAACGAGTCGTCACGGCCTCAACCCAGGTTTTTTTCGTCGTCCATCCAACGACATGAAGTGCTGCACCCGAGTGTCGCCTTGAAACAGAGGCATCGAACCTTGGCGCATGCGAGTGATTCGTGCACGCCACACTAAGGAATATGAGAAGCGCAGAGGCTTGTACGCATGTCGTGGAAGAAGATGCCTTTTATGTGATGAATCCTTGCTCGCGGGTGCCGCGCATCATTCAAATGACGGTGACGTGACGAATGCCAGCGGCAGAGGGTCTACAAAGCCACTCCGGTTGCGCGTCCGTGATTCCTGCAGCTGCTTCCCATTCCATGAGCCCGCACTGTTGCACTTTGCTTCTACAGACTGGAGATCTAAAACCATTGCGGAAAAATCTCAAGGCAGGAACTGCGCGAGCAGCTGAGTTCTCCACTTTAATCTGACATAAGGATAGGATGCCATGGGTACCTACAACTGAGAGTCCTCGCGAACAGGCTGCGGGGATCGCCACAGGCGCGAACTCATAACGTACAATTTAATATATTAATATACCAAAAAGTACTAGATCTTTGTGGGCTATCACGGTGGGACGTTCCGCTTTCGTGCTAGGGACGCAGGGTCCGCCTACAGCAACAGGCGAGATGACGACATGGCGAGAGGCGCGCTACGGCGTGTGCAACGTGGCAGCCTACACGCTCTCGCCGGTGTTTTGAAGACGCATCATCAGTGGAACGCGGCAGTCGCCGACGGTGCTGAGTGCTGACGCGCGCCCCGTTGAATACTCGTTGTTGAGGTTCACTGATACAAGAACCTGAATACAAGCTTCGCTCGCTACTTCACGACCTTTGCCTCAGAATCATTATCTGCTACTTTTAAAAGATGCCCGAAAAGCAAACGCCAACCGATAAGGATATTGTGGGAAAACGTACTGGTCTAACTTGCCTATCTTATCGTGAACTCCCACCCGTTGAGGGTGAGTTTCCTGAGGGTGCTGGGCGAGTGGCGCTCTGTTGTGTCAAGATCACGACCAAAGGTGACCCACGCGCCTTTATCAAGTATCCGTACACGTTAGATGATGGCTGCATATGTTGTTGTGAGTGCTGCGCTGCTTAAGAAATTTGGGCGGGGAGAGCACTTATACAACTATAGAAAAATCAAGTGCGTTCGGGGCTCTAGTGCGTTTCCACTTCAGAGCTTCTTTCTTCGAACACCGGCGCTACTGCTGCCGACGAGCCGGACGGTTTCCTCTGGAACGCGAAGCTTGAGCGGACTCCTCGAGGACTGCAGTGTCGTGGACTGGAAGTGATGATGTGCTCGTATAGGAGTGGTATCCAACGCAGCGAAGTTCTTCGTTCAGCGGCGTCGCTCTAGCCTCATGCTATGCGGTGCGATTGTGACACTGCTTGACTGTGCCCCGCGCCAAGCGCTGAAGATTGCGTTCCCGCTCTGCACAGTTGGGGGCAGGACACCTGCACGAACTTGTTTCGCCCTCACCGAAGGTCGTTTGCGTACTGGAAATGGAAAGTAAAGGATAGATAGTGTCTGTATACTGCAAAAACCCCTGAAACAAAACGCCTTTCAAAAGCAAAACGTTGTCGCCAGCGGTGTACAGTAGTGGCGAGAAGCCCGCCCTAGACAAGAAATCCCCAGCTGACGTGCAGACGCCTCCCAGCCTTTTGGACCGGTCACCTACAACTGCTTCCAACTGTTTCTCATATAGTTCCACTTTGAGTGATTGTCTAACAAAGTTCTCTCTTGTCGACTCTGGAGGTCTTCTATCTGTCACCGTACATCTCTTTACATTCGTAGCGGCGTTAAAGTCTCGGTTCACTAATACCATACGTTTCTTGTCATCTTTGGTTGCGCTCACCAGCGCAAGTAGTCCACGAACTTTCGCTCTCTTATCCATTTGCTCTCCCATCAGCGGTCCGTAGTTTGCTATTTCCTCATGGCTTCGTTGGCACGTTTCCATCTCGACTCTCTGAAGTGTAAATCCCAGCTCGTGGTGTGTATACGATGTTCGAAACTCATCTGCAGGTATCGCAGCGAAACGCCGTGCACACTCCTTGTACGTTCTTGTCGTTGGAGCTGGCATAGTCCCGTTTTTGGGTCTTCCAGCGCGTTGCTCCGTACGCTACGACGAGCCTCTGACTTTCAATCTCCTTGAGGGCGCCCACCTGATTGAAAAAGTTGGCGAACGCCCGCTGCTTCCCACAGTACAGATTCATTCGCAAACGAGCCCACCTGGGCTTTGTATAATCCTCCCACAGCGCGTCCCAATGAGCAACGCGAACTTCCATGAATTCCCGAAAATCTGTAAAGTCCGCTCCTCGGCTCCTCACCTCGCTCAAAGCTTGCAGGTGATCCTTCATTCCTGCATTCCATGTCTCAATTTTCTTCCTTGCATTGATCATACCGGATTCTCGATCGTATCTTGCTCTCGAGAACCTCAAAAGACACATGTCTGTCTGATGTAAGGTGCCGTTAGTACCATCTGCCACACGCTTGGGTACTGCGACGGTAACGATATTTGAGTTTCCGGGTCCGCGCCAACGACAACCTTTACCTGCGCACCACGCTTTGCATCTCAACGTTCTGTTTGACTGCGAGCGCTCTGCCCTGCTCGCCTTTCAGGCGTCTCACACTCAAGTCTTCATCTATTTCAAATGTCGTACTGTAGTTCGCTGCAGACTACTTCAAAGGTTTAAATTCTCCACTCGTGTGGACTAGACGCTCCCAGTTCTGTTAGAGAGATGCCTCTGTCAAGTCTCGTGCCTTCGAAGCGACGGCTGTTTGTAGTCGCTGCTTTTGCCACTGCGGTACCGCAGATCGTCTTCTTTGCTGGTGTAGCACCATATTTTTGTGCGGACAAGGCGCCGCGCGGCTGGTCTGTGCTTGCCGTAGGGATCTTTTTGGCTGTTTGCGCGTGGACATGCTTCCTCGTGGCCGCCTTTACTGACCCGGGCTGGGTCCCTTACAGCGCTGAACACGAAAAAGAGCTGCTGTACCGGGAGGCCTCCACGGGTCTTCCAATGAACATTCGAGTTCGTGACAGGAAGACAGGAGAGGAGTTCTCCCTGAAGTACTGTGAAAACTGCCGGGTGTTCCGGCCACCACGAACCAAGCATTGCTATGTATGCGAGCGCTGCTGTGTTCGCCTGGACCACCACTGCGTCTGGCTTGGCCAGTGCGTGGGGGCGCGCAACCACCCCTACTTTCTGGGGTATCTCATCTCAATCCTGCTACTGCTCGTGTATGGCGTTGTTGTTTGTTTCCTTGAGATTGGCTTCGAAAGTGAACAGCTCGGCAGCGGCACCAGCGGTTTCAGGGCAGCGTTGGTGCATCGCCCTTTTCCGGCTATTTTGGCGCTTCTTGTTGGTGTCTACTGCCTATTCGTTGGAGGTTTTATAGCTGCACTGTATCTGGTGCAGTTATTCTTCGCATGCACGGGCCGCACAACAGCCGAGGCTTGTGGGCGCGCGCCGATCAAGCGGGGGTCGCGAATAGGCATCGCTGGCCTTGCGGAGGTTCTCTGTATCGCTCCACAAGATTCGAAGAAAATCTGTGACAGGAATGGGCGTAATGGAGCTAAATTCGTCTGGCAATATGAATTTCTCGGACTGGAATATCACGAGCAAATGATATCCAGCCTGAAGGAAGACAAGAGCATTGTCTCAAACGCGGTCTACGATGAGCGATGGTCCGAATTTGAGAAGCTGCGCCATATCCCGGTTATAGTATCGCAGTCGCCGGACCGGGGAACCGCTTCGGATACATCCGTATCGCAGAAATCACTAGCAGAGTGGCTGGATCGATATGAATTGATGCTGCTGCGTCGCTGGATCATGGAAGGCATGCCTGAGCGATGTCCTCAAGATACACCGGAAGGAGGCGAGCTGGAGGCGGCCTCCGAACGCAAGCATCTCGAGCTTGTTCGTGCTTTCATTCGCGGCGAGCGCGCCTCCGCCACCATGAGCGATCTGGAAGATATCCGACGAATGCTGGTGTTATGGCGTGAGCAAATTTGCCAGAAGAGAAATCTACCGGGCACTGTGCAGTCAGGCGCCGAGCTGGCGACCATAACTGCAGCGACGGGCGCACGTGGGGACCCTGAAGCGTTGCCAGAAATTGCGGCGACAAGTTTGCATCAATCGCGCGTAGTCTGCTCAAGCTTTCACGGTCGCGTGGAGATCACGAACACATGCGGTGCCTGAGCCGCCGGATAACGGCTCCCAGCTGCTATCGAGGGCCAGAACACAAGCGCCCCGATACTTACCGCTGCACTGGGCGTGCCCATCGTAAGATTGACAGGCTTTACCTGCCAAGAATCTGGTGGCGTTCGGATCCAGCTCGGGTGCTGGTGCGCTCATGCGCGCACGGTGGTGCATTATGTGGTTGTTCGTCATACTTAAAGTTATGAGATGCTTTCGCGGTACCATCTCCTCGTTTTGCGCGCAATCGTTGACGTGGAGCGCTCGTATGCGAATACGTTGTCCGGGTGAATGTGCCTGCTGCCAGCGTCATGAACGTGATTATCAATACGAGCCTTTTTGAGCGTGATGTTCGCGCTAATCGATATGCTCGGCGCCCCGTCCATGGATATTTAGAAACGCTCGCTAGTGAGCGAAGTTCCTGCCTGCTTGTTGATGCAGGACCGAAGTTGTGGTGCTAGGTCTGCCCGGATACTGTCGAGTGCCCAAACAGCGTCTAAGAATAATTTCTCTATGTTGCTGTTTGCCTAACAGAGATTTTCTCCTGATCGGTGATTCCTAATTGCGCGCTTGAGGTCAGCGATCGGGAAACCGTCCATCGCTCCAACAGCCTTCGAATTCTGTTACCCATTCTTCAGCTCGGTGATTCTAGTCGTTCCCCACACAACATCATGCGCGGTGCCTGGCGTGAGCGCCAAGAATGTTGCCTGTACCGCCTGTACCGACGCACTACCGATTGTGAGAATGGCTTTGCGATACCACTGGGCGCGTCGACTCGAGATATGCTCCACCCGATGCAAGGTCGTGTTTGGCAAGCGGTTGGCGCTCGGCCAGTGTGCATATTTTGGCTTGCGTTCGCGATACGAGGATTTGGAGAGCAGTGGCTGCTGGGATACATCCTAAAGCCCGAGTCTGACTTTCGCAAACTTGTGTAGAGTATGTTTTCGATTCGAGGCGCTGGCCTCTGCCCGGTACCCTCCAGTGGGTAGGTCAACATAACTCTGGTCCCATGTGCGCATCCGATTCACGGCTCCGAAATCCTTCCTGTTATGGGACGAAGAAACATCTCTCCTCGAGGCCCGCGTGGATCCGGTACGTGCGTATGACGCACATGAGCTTAATGGTCGACGGGATGATGCGCGTAGCCCGGTAGATGTTCGTATCTGTTGCTGGATCCTTTTCGAGGAAGGGTACGACCTCAGCAGTCTCCCATACACCTGGGATGTACGCTTCTTCAAACATGCGATGGATGATCTCCAGAAGGCGTTTGGCTAAGATTGTCTCACATTCATAAGGTATCGATGGTGTCCCTGGTGTCTCATATTGCGGGAGCGCCACTTTGACCCGGTCCGCGGGAGGAATGCTCCAATGCAGCGCACTTGGTGGATATGCCTTCTTTGCAGAGCCTCACAGAGCTGAGGCCAGGTAATCAGGACGCGCACGTTGAGTCACGGGTCCAGATGGAGTAGTTTGGCAGCGTTTCGGCGCCACAAGGTTGGGTCTCGAACTTGTCCCGTTACGTCTTCGTACAGGTCTGTGAAGCGATCTGTCCAGGCATCGTTCACTGGAGCACTCCCTGTCCTCATCTCTCCCTTGTGGTAGATTGGTGCGATCTCCAAACATTGTTTGGGTGGGCCAAGTCTCGTTCGGATCTAGCGCCAAAGTTCATCTTCGGTGGCGCACTCGTACGTAGCCTTGGCTAGAGGAGCGTTTCTGGGTTTTTATCGGCTCGTATGTGTTCTCTGCATAGGTTCGTCGTTCTTTTGGGAGCTTCCGCACGCTGCGCCTTTAGCACCGATAGGGCTGCGGCTGCTCTGTTGTCGTCGTCGTTGGCTTGTATGGCGGTGCGAATGACGACCTTGTCGAGTTAGTGGCCTTCAAGTATCCGTGCTCTGGTACGTCGGTTCGGGAACTGCGGGTTGCTATTATTGCGTTCTGGTGCAAGCAGTCCCAGTTCTCTGGCAATCATCTGATTCCTATGGACGAACTCGCATCTCAAATAGTCTAAGGGTTTGCGCGCACGGGTATTCGCGTCTGTGGCGCCACAAGCGGGTGGCCGAGCATGTTGGCTGTTTTCCTGAGTTCTCGTTAGGGTTCTCATTCGGGGGATGAGTTGAGATGCGTTTGCGGGGGGGCCAGAGCTGTAAGCCCTTTTGTCAGTCGTTTCTTTTGTTGGTCCGTTTGTTCTTGCATGTCTTCCTCTTTGAGCCCTGTTCTGGGTCGCTTTCTCCGGTTGATCTTCTGCTACGCGGGGAATGAGGCTTCTGTGTCTCCTCCTTCATATCCCGCTGCATCTCTTTCGCTGATGTACAGTCCGCTATTGGTATCACTTTTTCGTTATTGTGCTGGTTACTGGATTTCTCCTTTCGGGAAGCGGCTCGTGACTTTTTGGTTAGTTTCAGGCCTTATCCATCAAGGATGCACCCGCTGGTGACCTCTGTTGTGCAGTCTGTGCTACCACCATTGCTGTCTCAAAGCTTTTGTCCCTCGGGCGCGAGTGCCATGTGCAGTGAATAGGCTACTGGTCTGAGGCGTCCCAAAGACTGTCAACGGCGATATGCTGGAGTGCTGGGTCGCATCCCTCACTTAGGATGTGATCTATAGATGAGCGAAGCAAACGTTGGCCGCTTAGGCGGTGCCACGTCAAGAGTGACCGTCTGCACGGATACACCGATAGGAATGCGCATCCCAGTCGTTGTAGGTGTTGCCCAAGTTGGTTCGCCGACATGTCACAGTCCCCCATAATGGTCATCGGTTCACTACCCCGTGAGCTACATCTCAAGCGCTGGATATTGGAGGCCAACTGTTTCAGCGCCTGCCGGCGCATCTCTGCAGCATGTGGAATATGAATAGAGCCTACAAGCGAAGTTATGATTTCACCTGCGATTGTAACACGCACTAAGAGCATCCATGGTGACGGGTTACCGAGCGCTTCGCAAGTGAGGCGTCGATCCACAGTGAGCGCCACTCCACCTGTGCATAAATAAATAAGTTAACTTGTCCGTAGGGCCTGCGTATGTAGGTTCAAACGTTGTTGTAGCCTGGGATGTGCAGACTATTATAGGCATTTGTGTTCTCTGAGCGTAGTGTCTCCCGCAACGCCAGGCTATGGGCGTCTCAGCGCTCCCGGAAGTGCCTTGCATCGTCCAGTCTCGCGGCTGTCCCGCAAATGTTCCACGATGCGAAACCTATCGAGTGGTAGCTCGTCATTGATTAGGAATAGCGTTGCGGTGCTCCAGAGTTGTGCCGTCGATTTAGACGCACCCGCCACGGAGTGTGTGAGCGCACATGCCACCAGTGCCTTCTACACTCCAGTCGTTCATTGAGTGCTTGCCGCAGTGGTAGCGCAGTGTTAGGAGTCGAGCTGGCGGGGTCGATTCGAAAGCGGCCGTTACGCTGCGTGGCGCGTGATGCAACCCTCGACCACTCGGGATATAGTCTACTAACGACCCTTTCAACGGCTTCGGATCCGCTCCCCAAACATGTAGGCGGGTAAGTCGCTTATTCCACCTTCGACCGCGAACAACCTGCCTGCCGTCTTCCAAAACCTCCGCCGAGACTTCCCCAAAGTTGAAGAAAAAACTAAAGTAGGAGGTAAACCTGAGCTCGAGTTCGAGGTTAGATCCAGGGTTCGCGCCAGTGCCTGCAGAGTTGATTCAAGACAGACAGGTGTCTGCTCAAATATCTCACCATCATATGGTGCTACTGGTTCCACCCCTACGTTCGTATTTGTCAAAGACCCGGTCGTGGGGCTCCTTCTCACGTTACCCGAAACCTTCCGCTTTGTTTGGCACATTTAATGTGTATCCCGAAAAACGGAATTCTTATGTGGGATCTGTGTGGAAGGTTTAGGACAGTTGTTTTAGGACAAATCGTTTCAGTCTGTTTCTCATTGTGTCTTTTTTATGTTTGCGGCTCTCCCTGGCCTCCTGAATGCAGCTTAACTGTCACACGTAGTCTGCCGCATACAGACACTAGCTATCCTTCACTTTCCATTTCCAGTACGCAAACGACCTTCGGTGAGGGCGGAACAAGTTCGTGCAGGTGTCCTGCCCCCAACTGTGCAGAGCGGGAACGCAATCTTCAGCGCTTGGGGCAGGGCACAGTCAAGCAGTGTCACAATCGCACCGCATAGCATGAGGCTAGAGCGACGCGGCTGAACGAAGAACTTCGCTGCGTTGGATACCACTCCTACACGAGCACATCATCACTTCCAGTCCACGACACTGCAGTCCTCGAGGAGTCCGCTCAAGCTTCGCGTTCCAGAGGAAAACGTCCGGCTCGTCGGCAGCAGTAGCGCCGGTGTTCGAAGAAAGAAGCTCTGAAGTGGAAACGCACTAGAGCCCCGAACGCACTTGATTTTTCTATAGTTGTATAAGTGCTCTCCCCGCCTAAATTTCTTAAGCAGCGCACCAATCACAACAACATACCCACCCATTATCCACCGTGTATGGGTACTTGGTAAACGCACGCGAGTCTCCCTTGGTGGTGATCTTGATGCAACAGAGCACCAGCCGCGCAGCACCTTCAGGGTACTCGCCTTCGACAGGTGGTAGCTTACGATAGGACAGGCAAGCTAGACCGTAGCGTTTTCCCACAATATCCTTATCGTCACGAGTAGGGGTTGTAGACATGTTTTGGAGGTATGAAGTTATGACTCGTAAGCCGCTCAGTATGTATCGTATCGAAGCTTGTATTCAGGTTCGTGTATCAGTGGACGTGGTCAACGAGCATTCAACGAAGCGCGCGTCAGTGTTCTGCAACGCCGGCGGCTGCGGCGCTCCAGTAGTGATCCGACTTCAAAAAACCTGCGGTTGGGAACAGGGCCACGTTGCAAAAATCATCTAGCGATCTCGTTATCTCGGCTGCTGAAAGCGGACATTTCTCCCGAACATGGCAGCGGAAAGTCTCGACGTCCCTGATTGCAAACAGAGATATGGAATTTATATGGATATTAATGAATTTATATGTATGTAACTGGACAGCGTCGCCTAGTTTTCTTGGTCGACAGACCGAATACGTTGACATGGAATCAAAACTGGAGCGCTTGAGGTCAGCGATCGGGAAACCGTCCATCGCTCCAACAGCCTTCGAATTCTGTTACCCATTCTTCAGCTCGGTGATTCTAGTCGGTCCCCACACACCATCATGCGCGGTGCCTTGCGTGAGCGCCAAGAATGTCGCCTGTACCGCCTGTGCCGACGCAGTACCGATTGAGAGAATGGCTTTGCGATACCACTGGGCGCATCGACTCGAGATATGCTCCACCCGATCCAGGTCGGCGAGAATCTGTGTTGGCGCCCGGCCCTCTGCGGGAAGATGATCAAAAGTCGGAACAATGCCCCTGTAGAGATGAACGACAGCGTCCATGGGTTCAAGCGATTTGGCGTAGGCTGATCGAAGTCGCTGCACGAGAGTCGGCAGCCAGCGCGTTGCCTGACGGTAGAAAAAGGAAGCCATTCGCTCGGGAATCCAGGGAAGGAGACGCTCCTAAAGGTCATTCAAGCGTGTTTTCCAGCTTATTGGTGACTCAGATAAGGAGTGAACACTGTTCTCAACCGAGGCAGTCGCCATAACACTACGAGCTGCGGCTCCAGTACCTACGTGCGAAGGCGCAGCGTCTGGAGTGAACGCTTCACCAAGCGCAGAACCGGAACTAGAGCATACGCTCGCTGCTGTTTGCCAGCCGTCGTTCGTCACTGCAGGTGCCTGCGTGTTCCAGTTGAGTCGCGTGCCTGTGGCGTTCGTGCTGACGGGCGTCTCGGTATCCTGCTCTGACCGCGCGGCTGCCGAAGGCGATCCCTCGGGCTCGGAATCCTCGCAGGATACACGCCGAGCTTCCACCGCGGACTCCTCTGTCATTTTCCGCAGACAGTTCCGTTACACCACCTAGAAAAGAACGAAATACGAAACTACGTTGAACAGACGGCAGCCGCGCACACCCGTTCGTTTTTCTTTCCAGTAGCAGCACGTTTCCATGGACCATGGATCCCAGATTGCGGGGTAGATGGATATTGTCTTTCGGGAAAGCGTCTATCGTGATGCATCCTGCCTTATCGTTGCATTCCTCGTGATTCCTCTCTGATATGCTGGTCGTTGCGTACGTTGTATCGTGCGCCATACCTACTTTGTACACCCCGCACAAGCGTTTAAACTACTGGAGCGGATGCGGCAAGGCATGCACGGTCACTCGATAGAGTATACGAAACGACCAGTATATCCGAGAAGAAGCATGGGCTTTGAGACTCGGAAGGAGATGGAATGATGGACGTCTTCCCGCGCACGGCCACACCAAACGCCGCTCGAAAGTCGAACGACGCCAACGGTGTACAGTAGTGGCGGGAAAACCGCGCCCTAGACAAAACGTCCCCAACTGACGTGGAGACGCCTCGCCGCCTTTTTGGACCGGTCACCTACTACTGATTCCAATTCTTTCTCATATAAATCGACTTTGAGTGATTGTCCAATAAAGTTCTCTCTTGTCCACTCTGGAGGTCTTTTCTCTAGCACCGCCAATCTCCTTATATTGATTGCGGCATTAAACTCTCGGTTCACGAAATCCATCCGTTTCTTGCCATCACTGGTTGTACTTACTAATGCGAGTAGTCCACGAACTTTCGCCCTCCTTTCCATTTGCTCTTCCGTCAGCGGTCCGTACTTTGCTATTTCCTCAGGGCTCTTCTGGTACTTTTCCATCTTCACCCTCTGAAGTGTACAACCCAGCTCATGGTGAGTATAGGACGTTCGGAACTCGTCTACCCGTATTGTAACGAAACGACGTGCGCACTCCTTGTACACCCTCGTCGTTGGAGCTGGCGAAGTTCCTTTTTGAGTGTTCCAGCGCCCTGCCCCATACGCTACTACGAGCCTCTGACTGTTATCGTCCATCAAGGCATTCAACTGATTGAAAAAATTCGCCACCGCCCGCTGCTTCCCACAATACAAATTCATTCGGAAACGAGCCCACCGGGGCTTGGTATACTCCTTCCACAGCGTATCCCAGTGCGTCATGCGACCTTCCATGACTTTCCGAAAAGCTTCAAAGTGCGCTCCTCGGCTCGTCACCTAGCTCGAAGCTTCCAGGTGATCTTTCATTCCTGACTTCCAAGTCTCGAATTGTTTCCTCGCATTCATGATTCCCGATTCTCGATAGTATCTCTCTCTCGTGAACCTCAAAAGACGCATGTCTTTCTGACGTAAGTTACCATCAGTACCATCTTCCGCACGCTTCGGTGCTGCGATGGTAATGATATTCGTATTCCGAGGGTCCGCGCCAACGACAAAGTCCTTATCCTGCACTTTCTGGGTCGCAGGGCCCACCTTCTTGTTTTCTTCATGCTTCGCCGCGCCAACCATAAAGGCGTCATCATGCACCTCCTGCATCACAGGATCCGCTTCCTTCCCATGATCATCCTTCGTCACGTCAACGATAAAGTCGTTATCCTCCGCCGCCTGCGTCGCAGGACCCGCCTCTTGGTTTTCTTCATGCTCCGCTGCGTCAACGGCAAGCTCGTTATCCTCCACCTCCTGCGTCGCAGGACCAGCCTCCTGCTCATCTTCATCGTTCGTCACGCCAACGACAAGATCAGTATCCTCTACCTCCTGCGTGGCAGGATCCGACTCATTCTCATCTTCATGCTTCATCGAGGGCGCAGCGGGGAGTGGGACTGGACGATCTTGCTTCAGCCGCCGATAGTGTACACACACGTTTACTCCATCGGTTTCAATCATCCCAGCGAATACCTTTTGCTTGCTCGTTTTGAGACGTTTGAAACCGAAGATCTTCTTCCAGTACGTCTCCTGGTTTTCGCCGGTGAAGTGCTCCCTACGAATATTGAACTCCGCACTGATCTCCTTTATGATGCCGTAAAGGACCGCGGAGTCGATAGTCACAAAATGTGCCTTGATGTTGCACAACGGAACCACGTCGAAGCGCTTCCCCATTAGGAAAGCCTTCCGTCTTTCCCACTCTTCATTTGTCTCTTCACTCAGCTTCATCTCCACTTTGCGTTCGAGCTCTCGGTCCAGAAACACAAAATGCCGCAGGAAGAGGCGATAGTATCTTTCCTTATCTTTCTCCAACTTTGATATCTTGTCTGTTGGATTCACCAGCCCCAAGACTGCACGGTGCTCTTGTATAGCCGCACGGGTTGCAGAAGCTTCATTCGTGCTCCCTTTTGACGTCTTCTTGCCGACGAATTCGACCTCACCTTCATGCTTGCGATCGTTCGTGATGCCATTGATAATCGACCATATCCCCTTGCGAGAGATGCCCGGGTAGAGTGCAAACGCGGTGCGTATCATGAAACATTCGAGGTTCTCTGTCAAATGGTTCTTCAGGTTCGTGATGAACTTCATTGCCCCGTATGTGTAAATATGCGAGTCACCGCTGTACCGAGCACCCTCGAAGCGGAATTCCGCGAAGTTTTCGTGGAGAACATGCACTAGCACGTTTTCCCTCCACGTTCCCGCTGTACCATGCATCAGGTGACGAATAAAGGTCTTGTCGAAGAACTCGTCCGGAATCTCGATGGTTGCCATGTCCGTCACGTCGCGATACATCTCCCTCGCCAAATGCATCAGTCCTGACGAAGCCTTGAAAAGA